AAAAAAAAAAAAAAAAAAAAAAAAAAAAAAAAGAAGAAAAAAAAAAGCGGAAGAGATGACTGCACAACTGCGCAGAAACACAACAACAGGAGTGTGTGCTTCAGAGCAAAGGGGAAAAAAAAAGTTCGTTTCAACAAGAAACTGCATTCATAGAGATTGCTGCCGTGCAACTAAAGTTCATAAGAAAATCTAAACGCCTCTTAACAATCTGACGCGCTGCGCCATTTCGCGATCGACTCCATCGACGAATGGGAGCTGGGTGCTGTCCAAACCACCATGCTGGCCGCGGAGGGAGGGATCAACGACATCATCAGTAAACGAGTCATGTCGGGCATGGCCAGTACGGGCCTGGCTTGCGCCATTGACATGCTCGTCGTCGTCGTTATCATAGCCCATGGAGGTATCAAAATGGTGCTGGCTACTACTGTGAAAATCATGATCGTCACCAAGCGCCTCGTCTTCGACCACGGTCGTCGAAAGCTTCTTCTTTCTACGCTTCTTCGCGGCAGCTTCTTCGTCCTCTGTAGAAGGAATGTAGCGCTCGCCAAGCTCGGTTGGGTGATCGGCAATCAGGCGATCCATGAGTCCAAGAACCATATCTTGGAGCGATAGTTGGTTCAGTTCTGGAGCAGTCTGTTTCATCTTGTGGAAAGCCCATTTTCGATCAGTTGTGCTCCAGATTGCGCGGAATTCGGGCGATCCGACAATTTTCCACGGAATATTCTTTTCTTCGTAGGTTCCAGATTCAGAAATGCTGTTGATGATGATGATGAAGGGTTAGCTAAAGTAAATGAAGAGCACAAGACAAATAAAGAAGAAAACTGGAAGAGCAGTGCAGGTAAGAATAGACAGGATAGGGCACAAGGGGGAAAACAGTGAGAAAAAAAAAAAAAAAGCCCTTACCTCTGCAACAGATGAAACTTATCTCCCGGAAGCATTTTGGCAATCTTTTGCTCTGCCTGCTTCACTCTCCACGTGATCTTCGGTCCCCGGTCGCGATCGGACGGAATAACTCCTTCGGCCTCCAATCTGGCTTTACGCTCCTCCTCTGCATCTCTGACCTTGAGCTTTTTCCATTTGTACAGGCACTGCAACCGACTTCGTGTGCCGCCCATTTTATCGCTGACAATGCTCCAATTGACCAGATCTTCGAAGGTTTCCGGCTGCTGCTCTGCTGATGTTGCTTCAACATTGGCATCTCGTTTCGCAGCTTTCTCTGCAATCTTGGCTTCCTGCATAGCGGTTATACATTCTTCAATAGCCTTGCGCAGCGATCGCTCCTCTTGTTCGGTCCAGATATCCTTGTTCATGTGGTCACCGCACTTGAGATAATTTCGCCAACGGTCACGGCAATCCTCTGGCATGCGTCCTATCATCTCGCCAATGGCTTTCCATCTGTTTGGCTTTTGCGTTTGGGCAAGTCTGAGTCTTTCATCTTCCTCGGCCGTCCATTGCCCACGCTTGCCAAAATTATGAAAACGTCTGCGACAGACCTTGTAGATTGACTGCCGAGTCCGATAGGGTAGAACATTGGCAACATCGGTCCAGAAATCATCCTTCATGCCGACTGCGCCGCGGTTCGTCGCCTGAATCTTTTCATTCAGTTCAAATTGGGACATATCATGCTCCAACCGGTACTTTTCGAAAAAGTCAGTCAGCTGGTCAATCTCGTATTTGGTAAATGGCCCAGAGGTGGCCGACTCTTGGTCGTTTGATTCCGCTGGATCGGTTTCGCGGCTCTTCTTCTTAGACCCCTTGGATGTCTTGGAGCGCTTTTCTGCTCGGCTTGGCTTGTCCGTCTTTTCTCCTTCTGAACGCTTCCGCTTCGAGGTCGCCTTAGAACCAAGCTCCACGGATCCCTCACGAACATCGTCACCCTCTGCCTCTTCGGACTGGGCGGTAACTGCGTCCCGGCCGGGTTCGGATGCTGTCAAGGTCTCCGCTCCAGCTGAGCCGCCAGTCAGCGCGGGATCAATAATGAGCGCATTTGCTGCGGACGCTGTGTGAGCAAGACTATCTGCGTCCTGTCCCGCTGCCCGCTTCTTCCTCTTCTTCTTCTCGGCTACTGCAGCTGAAGGAGAGGCGTTGAAGCCCTCGCCATCTTGCCCGGACATATCTGCCCCATGGCCTCCAAAACTACTATATGTGGATTGGGGTTCGTGGACGGAACTGGGAGGTAGCATTTGAGATGACGGGTCCACATGCTGGCCGTAATCTCCAGCGTGGGTGTTTACATGAGCTGGGGTGGACTGAGAGACGCTCGATTGCGCGGTCTGAGGATACGGTTGGGGTGGTCCAAACATATTTTCCATCAATGAATCGATGGTGTCCGTCTGGCCGCCCGACTCCTTTCTCTGAGCATGTCTCTCTGAGCGACTCTTGGGTTCTTTCTTGCTCTTCCTCTTCTTATGTCGGTCATGTCGCGCTCTGTGCTCCTCATCTTCCTCAGGAATATTAGGTTCGTCTTGTAATTGGTTCTCGAATGCAATCTGCGAAGAAGCAGCGAGATCGTCATTGTTAGAATACTGTTGTCGATCCATGTCCTGGGAGTGTGAACCCTTCATTTCCAGAAGTGTGCGTGCACTCTCTTCCTCTTTGCTGTGCTGAGCAGTGCTCTCCTCTTGTTCGTGTCGATGTTTCTTTTTCCTCTGCTTCTTCTTCCGCGCAGTCTCTGGTGACCGCGAATGCGATTGTTCCTCAATTTGTTGATCCTGCTGCAATTAGTTTCTCGCGTTTAATTAATAGGTGGGCACGGGCAGCGGGTGATGGAGTCGTCATACCATGTCTTCTGCGAACAGCTCGTCAGCTTCACGAACGGACAAAAAATAAGGGCATTCACAAGCACAGCTAGTCAAGGTGCTTTCATTCACATTGGTGTAAACACATACCTGGAGGGTCTTCAGCTCGGGATCCGTGTACAGGCTGCGAAGATGATTGACCCATCTCCCGCGCTGCTGACCGCGCTTTCTCGCGTTTCTGAGTCGGCATGAAGAGATCAATGGCCCAGGGCCCGTCGACAGCGAAATAACACTTCTGGGGAAGAGCTCAGGGATCCAAGCACGCGTCGAACCGGGTAACTTGATGAACCGATACGACGCGGGATTGATGACGATGATGGGAAGTGATGCCGGGTAAGCAGCAGAGTGAAGATGGGGGAGATGGACAAGGTAAGCTGGATGTGGGCGGGGGAGCAAAGGGAGGAGGTTGCGAGTACAGTAGCGAGCTCATGGTGCACGCTTTGCCAAATACGGCAAGCGCCAAGTCAAGCCCATGGTCTCAGTGCAAATAACAATCTCAGGACGCGTTCCCAAATATAAACAGAACACCTATTGAAAAATTACATCTGGAATATGAGCACCTGCTTGATAACGCGGCTTCCTAAACTTTCCCATGACTAGGCAAAACAAAGGGTTCAATGGGGACTGGGATGACTACCATCTTCCTGAACCCCACTAACAGTCTCGCAATCTCTCAACTATCACCATTCGTCTTTCACATGGGTGAAAATAGAGCAGGTGACAAGGCAGAGAAGGATAGGAACAAGAAGTGGGAGATGGCGTTCACGGCGCGGGCGAGGCAGATTGTACCTGGTCTCTACCTCGGAAACGTCGAAGCGTCACACCAAAGGGAAATACTTCAAGCAAATCATATCAACGCAATCGTCTCTCTGACTGACGCTCGGTGGGTGTGGTGGAACAGCACTACAAGAGACGCAGGCATTCCGGCACATCGTCACAAATGGGTCCAGTGCGCAGATTCGTCGACGCAAGACCTCCTTGCTCATATGAGCGGCATTTGCGACTTTATCGACCAGATGGCCTCCCCAGCTCTTTCGTCGCTGTCTTCCTTGCCCGTCGAGCACAAACACGATACAAATGATGGGTCGTGTGGAGCTCCTCCGGAGGCCATACTAATCCACTGTGATCTTGGGATATCACGGTCGCCAACGATAATCATTGCCTATCTTATGCGCAAATTACGTATGCAGCAAGCGAACGTGTTGAATTTTGTTCAATCAAGCCAAAGAATTAAACCGAACCCTAATTTTATTCGCCAACTTCAAGTATGGGAGATGGTTGGGTATGAAGTATGGGAGGACGAAGACAGGACTGCCCCGAAAGCGCCCTACAAAGCATATTTGGAGGATCGGGCTGCCCTCCTTGAAAATAGAGGGCTCACCGGAAATGAACCGCTCGCGCCTCAAGATCTTTAGTGAAGGTATGGATGAATGCATTGTTTTTGGATATCACATAGCGGAATATTCGGCACAATGAAATTGAGGAATACACTGATTAGCATAATGCACGGTGCCGAATATTGCTAGCATTCATGCTTGGATGCAGACTGCATTATCTACAAACTTTCGGGGGATGGACGCTGCTTTGGCAAGGATAGAGGAGTTGAAGGGAAGGTAAGAGGTAAAAGAGGTCGAAAGGGCACGGCGAGCTTTTTTTGCCGGAGCAACAGAAGGCGGAGCTTACACAAGGTCGTATTTAGGTCCTGAACTCAAAATGGCAGAACTAACCGGATCACGTAATTAACAGGTCCGGCTATTACAGAATTCATCTTCTAAATGCCGGGCATACGGAGTAGACATATTTGGACGCTCCAGCACAGAATTTTATTGACATGTTACTTTTGAGACCTGAGTTTTGATACCCGCAAAGGAGAAGAAACAAATTTAAACCCCTGCTTATAAGGACGCCGAATTGTTCCTCCATTTCCCTTCCGCATCCCTGTCTTGATATGTGATTGATCGAAATGAAATTTTTGAGAATTTAGACTTCAACTATGCTGCCCAAATGCAGAAGAGCACAAAAAACAAATGAGACCTATGCCCACGAGGAGGGAACACCGGAATACTCTTTGGCACTAATGCCCAGATCAACAAATACGGACTCATCGCCTGAATATTGTCAGTTTGTCTTCTGTTCGGAACTAGAGCTGCGGCTCATATCATACCCTTCAGATGCTTGGTTCGAATCTCGTCCTCGTTTTCAAGCTTCTCCATTTCTTCAATGGGCGCTTCCTTGTCCTTGTCTTCTTCATTTGGTTCTTTTTCTCCCGCTTTGCCAATCTCCCCTTGGCTTTCACCGATGAACAAAATCTGGCTATTCGCGTAATTCAGGAACTTTGGCTGAAGACCCGCCCAGCGCAGGCTGCGAAACTCTTCAAGGACCCTGGCATCTCAAGTCAGCGCAACTTAATAGAGCGGGAAACTGTAGTGGGACGTACTCCTTGGGAAACTCAGGCGCTTGAGGGAGTTGGGCGTTCGGAGGACTGGGATATTGGGGATTTCGCACACTGGCGATAAAGCTCCCCTTCTGGCGGAGGCCCAAATCTTTTTGAACCTTTTCAACATCAGATGGAATGGTGAGTATATAGGCAAGATGAGATTCGCGGCCAGTTGTTGTAATCGCGTAGACGCCCTCCGCCGCAGGAGTAGCGGCCGGTGTATGTCGCGTGCCTGCAGTCTTTGTCTCGTAATCAGATGATGCAATGAAATTCTCTCGAAGATCCTTTAGTGTCGTATTCGCCTTTTCGACAAAGGTCAGGAATCTGTCACGGTGACTTGTCGGAAGGACCTTCTTCGGAAGAGCAAGGAGGCGATTGTTTTCAAGATCCTCCAGAGGCCCCTCAGTCAGTTTTGCACCCTGGGGAAGTGGACGAAGCACAATGTAGCTGCGGGCGATGTCATTTACGTTTTTAGGGTCGTCGATGCCGACACGTCCTCTAAAGAAGAAGTAAATAATACCTTTTTCCAAAACGTTAGACGGTACCTCTTCTTCTCGCATCGCCGACTCTTCAATCGCTCCATTCTCAGGCTTTGACTCTCTTGCTTCTGCTGTACCGTTTGCTTTGGCATCATTCTCAGCTGTGACTGCCTCCTTGGCTGTGTCTTCAGCTTTATCGGTCTTTTCTACACCTGAGGTCCACTATCTTAGTTTTGATACACCTTTTGTACGCATAGGCTATTACATACCTGCCTCGGGGCTTTCGACCTTTGTCTCCTCCTTGTCCTTCATGTCCGTCTCTTTTTCCGTCCGGTCCTTCGACTGAGGCTGGCTTTCCGTACTGATCAACGGCATTGTCTCTTCAATCGACTTCTGCTCCGCCTCTCCGGACTTCTTCCGGCCGCGCTTTGACTTAGACGCAACTCCGGCCTCTGCCTTGCGTTTGTCGCCGGCAGCCGCCTCTCCCACATCTTTCCCTTGAGTCTCTGGTTTTGAATTCGCCGCGGCAGCAAGCCGAGCGGAGGATCGAGTGCCGACCATTATAGCTAATTACACGGTTATAAGCGTTGGATATATATTTCAAGTAAAACGTATACCTCTAAATACGTTCCTTCAGCTGCTGAAGTCCACTAAATTAGGCCTCTGGGTCACTCACTTGAATTACGTGTTACAACAGTTGCCCAACTTAGAGCAATAACAATTCGACAGAGCCTGGTTGTGCCCTTAAAAGGACAATTAATCAAATTGAGAGCCGCCAATGAATATGCACAGTTTTCCGGTTGGACCCATATAAAACTATTGACGTTTAAAGGAACCAAAATCGTCTCGACATGAAATATTATATCTACTGACCAACTCCCTTCGCTCGAGCCGGGGAAGGGCTGGGGAGATTTCCCGCGAGTGACGCCATAGCTACGCGCGACACGGGCCCCGTCCAAAGGAGCCGAGGCCAAACCTCAGCGAAAGTCACCGCCTTTAAATTCATGATTACATAATACAACACACCGCGCGACGATTAACATGACAGCTACGTTAAACAGATAATACACACTCTTAAGCAAAATTGATGACGTTGCCTGCTGAACTACCAAGCTGTTCATGGTATTCAATTGCGAAGGCAATGGGCAAATGCTTTTCTATCCAAAGTTTATTTGAGTAGTTCTAAAACCCTAATGCGTAAGGGTCCTCGGAGAACCTGGCGTACCTCCACATTTTGGCATATTTTTCAGACTTGACAATCAAGTCGCAATGCTTGGAGATTGACGCAGAACCGTCTATCCTTCTGCAAATATTGTATCTTCAGACTCCATACAAATTGCAGAAATCCAATGCTCTCTCTGAACCATCTGCGGCACCAAATGTCATGCAAAGTGCAGCCTCTTCCCGATTTTGATACTCCCGGCTTTAGATGAACAAGCGGCATCGTGGTTTGAATAATATAGCTTGACGATTCGAGAAACATGCCATGAAGACACCGTTTTAAATGATGATTGATATCCCGACTCTCCACTTCCAGTCTGAAGACCCTATCACTAAAATCTCACGCCATCAGTGATATCTAAACATTTCGGACTAAATGGCGCAGCAGAAGCAAGAAGAATGTCTGGCATGGCTTAATCCGAGACATTGAGAAACATGCGCAATACGAAGAAGAGGCATGAGGTAGTTTCTTGCATAGAGCCGCCCCTTGACGAAGTGGTTCGCCGGAGGAGGGAACGGTCTTATTTTCCGTGGTTGCATGTCTGTGCTTTGAGATTCCGGCAGAACCCCATACTTTCGGTACTTTCGGATTCCACGTTGAGTTACGAAGCATGCTCAGCAGAGGGTATGCGGGTGGATAGCGTAGACTTGCGAGATCCAGTGCTGATCAGCTTCCACTGTCAAGTTCCATAGCGCACTCGGCGCCGGACAATGCCGGACTGCTCCGGTCTGAGCTGGAACTGTTAAGGCTTCGTCTTCTGCTTTTTGAACTTTCACTTGCAGGCTCTTCGACCTCGCCCATGATTGGCGTTGCAATGCCTTCAAAGCTCATCATTACTCGCTCATCCGGGCCGCGAACCCGTCGTCGAAGTCTCCGAGCGCTCCATCGAACGTCATGATCATCAAGTGCATCCACATCAACATCAGCGCTGCTTCCAACGCTCTGACTATGCGACCTTTTGAAAAGTCCCGTATTTCCTCGCTTTCTTCGTCTGTGATCTCGACGTTCTTGCTCGCTTTGACTCTCAGTGTCATCATCGCAGCTTAATTTTCGCAATCCACCCACTATACCATTGTTGTCCACGACAGATCTGACTGATTCATCCGCGGAAGGAATGACTTCTTCCACTTCTTCGTAATGGTCAGGATGGATGTGTTCCGCACTCGTGTCGACATTGTTGCTGTCCTCCTCAACCTCTTCGATCACAAGCCCATCATCCTTCCCTTTCTCATCTTCCTTGCTGAAACTTTCGGTACTTTTGTCATCGAAAAGGCTGGCTTCCGACAAATTTTCGGGCGTCGCCGTTTGTGCGGCCTCCATCAGAGAGGCTCAAGATCCGTTCTAATCGCGGTAACACAATTGTCGGAGCCTATGAAAAAAAATATTTGCGCCTTTGAGGACAACCAGAGAAAATGAATGATGCTAGGGAAGCTGGTTGTTTCAGTTGGCACAATTGCTCGAATTCGAAAACGACCGAGTTCTCAAGCGTATCAGAAACGGCTGGCAAGCCCGCGAACAACTACCTCAACGGTCTCATTGTGTTGGTCAGGTCAGCGGCGAAAAAAGGGAAATTTGTAGGAGTAATTGACGTCGGACAAATCGAGGGATTTTGAGGTAGGGTTGCGAAGGCAGACGACATGCCACATGGCAAAGGCATGGAGGGGTAGATGGCGTAGTATTGGGTTGAATCGTCGAAAATAAAGTACACCACTACTAGGGCGAGAGACAAATGGAAAAGCGTTTCACTTCTGGGCTTTGACAAGCCAACAGCGTAGAGCGGCAGCCTTCTTGTCCAGCACGGCTTGAGACTGATGCCTTATTCTCACACTTTTAAAGAAGGCTGAAGGCGTCGTTGCTGCCCATTGCTACCTGATTACTTTTTTTCTGGTGTAGGCAAGTTTCGGGACTTGGGGTCCCCTTGCGAGCGAGGGGCCGAGGGGTGGGCTTAACAAACCTACCTAGGTACAGTGCTTCTAGAGTTAACTGGGTAGAGCTAAAACCAGTGACAGGAAGTATTTGAACCAACGAGATGGCGGGGCTGCCCGAAAGGCGGAAAAGGCAAGGAAAGGCGGGGTGGAAAGGGTAACCAGGCAAGAGCCTCGGAGGCAGCGGAAACATTCGATTATGTAATTGTCCGGTCTTGTTCCTGACAGCGCAAAGGACCAAAGCTGCCACAGCTGTCCATTAATGCCCAACATGCAATATACGGGCTGATTATCATGCCAAAGTGGCACGTCCTGGCCGTTCCAGCGAAGCAGGAAGGCCAGCCTACCAGTACTCCGTATGTATGGTTTGTACGGCCACCGACAGCGACCTCGTGCACACAGGCCACTGGGATTCGCTAAAGAAGGGCGACGTGTGAACACCATACATTGATCGGATGAAGCTCGAAGCTGTATCAGGGAGAGCCTGGGCACAACTCCCGAGCTGCTTGCCATAGAAAAGCTACAATCTACCAATCTGTAACCTCAGTCGATGCTCTGAACTGTTCCGGATAGGCTCCGCGAGATAAGGTTGAAGCAGGGTTCAGGTCTCCTTTTAGACAAAGGCCCTGGCCTAACGCTCCCCCTAAGTCAAGATGCAGTCCTCCCCGAATATGTTGATCAAGGTACCTTGTTCAACACCACCTTTGCTTGCACTCTTTGATGAGCGAGCCATGCTGATATTTGAGCTAGTTTGAGTCCAAGTCGTCGAGAGCAAAGGGCATTGCTTTCCATCCGAAAAGGTCAGCCGCGTCACCCAGCAATCCCCATTGTACGCAGCCCGACTTACGCTTCACAGGCCATGGATTCTCGTATCGCTCCACTCATCGACCATCCAGCTCTGGGATTATCGAATGGGCACCTTGATCGACCGTTTTGATGAACATGATGGCCCCGTACGAGGAATTGACTTCCACAAAACCCAGCCTCTTTTCGTATCCGGAGGAGACGATTATAAGATCAAGGTCTGGTCATATCAGACGCGGAGGTGTATATTTACGCTCAATGGTCATCTTGACTACGTGAGAACGGTTTTCTTCCATCATGAGCTACCGTGGATCTTGTCTGCGTCGGACGATCAAACAATTCGGATATGGAACTGGCAGAATCGATCACTCAGTACGTCACAATATTGCGGTATTTCAAGGGCAGGGGGACCATTGCTTACATGTTCATGACAGTTTGCACCATGACCGGCCATAATCATTATGCCATGTGTGCGCAGTTCCACCCCAAAGAAGACCTCGTTGTTTCGGCCTCGATGGATCAGTCCGTCCGTGTCTGGGACATTTCAGGATTGCGCAAGAAGCATTCCGCTCCTTCTTCGTTGACTTTCGAGGACCAGATGACTCGCGCCAACGCAAACCAGGCTGATATGTTTGGAAACACCGATGCCGTCGTGAAGTTTGTCCTCGAGGGCCACGACCGGGGCGTAAACTGGGTTTCTTTCCACCCTACACTGCCCCTAATTGTGTCAGCAGGAGATGATAGACTGGTGAAACTCTGGAGAATGAGCGGTACGCTCGGTATCCTTTTAGACCCTGTATGCGGAAAGCTGACTATTTCCAGACACCAAAGCCTGGGAAGTTGATACCTGCCGCGGCCACTTCCAGAATGCTTCGGCTTGCCTCTTCCACCCCCATCAGGACTTGATTCTCTCAGTGGGCGAAGATAAGACGATTCGTGTCTGGGATCTGAATAAGAGGACATCGGTTCAGTCATTCAAGCGCGAGAATGATCGATTTTGGGTCATTGCGGCGCATCCAGAAATCAACCTCTTTGCCGCCGGACACGACAATGGTGTCATGGTCTTCAAGCTTGAGCGCGAGCGACCTGCTTCAGCCGTTTACCAGAATCAACTATTCTATATTACGAAAGAGAAGCACGTGCGCTCATATGACTTTCAGAAAAATATCGAATCGCCTCCTATGCTTTCGCTCAAGCGGCTGGGCAGCCCTTGGATTCCACCGCGTTCGCTATCGTACAACCCCGCAGAGAGAGCCATACTTGTGACCTCGTCGGCCGACGGCGGCGTCTACGAGCTCATGAACCTTCCGCGCGACGCCTCTGGGGCGGTCGAGCCTACCGATACCAAGCGTGGTCAAGGCAGCTCGGCCGTCTTCGTCGCCAGAAACCGATTTGCCGTTTTTAATCAAGCTATACAGCAGATTGACATCAAAGATCTCAGCAACTCGACGACGAAGACAATCAAGCCGCCTACTGGAACCACAGATATTTACTTTGGCGGCACTGGTTGCCTTTTCTTGATCACGCCAACCAGCGTTGTTCTGTACGATATCCAGCAGAAGAAGCATCTCGCTGAGCTTGCGATTCATGGAGTCAAGTATGTTGTCTGGTCCAACGATGGGCTTCATGCTGCGTTGCTTAGCAAGCATGATGTCACTATCGTAAACAAGAAGTTGGAACAAGTCAGCACCTTGCATGAGACTATTAGAATCAAGAGTGCCACATGGGATGATACAGGTGTTCTCTTATACTCTACACTCAATCATATCAAATACTCTCTCATTAACGGGTGCGTCAAAAAGATCCCTGATTTAAGTTTCTGCTGACAGTCGCTTAGGGACACCGGAATTGTGCGCACACTGGACCAAACCGTCTACCTCGTAAAGGTTAAGGCTCGTAGCGTCTACTGTCTTGATCGAGCAGCAAAGCCAAAGATCTTGACAATTGATCCTACCGAATATCGTTTCAAGCTTGCCCTGATCAAGAGGAATTATCCTGAGATGCTACAGATCATCAAAACGTCTAGCCTTGTTGGTCAGAGCATCATCTCCTACCTTCAGAAGAAGGGTTACCCAGAGATCGCTCTGCAATTTGTGCAAGACCCACAGACGCGGTTTGAACTTGCGATTGAATGTGGAAACCTCGATGTCGCCGTAGAAATGGCAAAGGAACTTGACCGTCCAAAGCTTTGGCTCCGGTTGGGTAGTGAGGCCCTTGCTCATGGTAACCATCAAGTTGTAGAGATGGCGTACCAACGGCTTCGCAACTTTGACAAACTTTCCTTCCTATATCTTTCCACGGGCGATCAAGAAAAACTTGCTCGGATGGCAAAGATTGCAGAGCATCGCGGTGATTTCTCTTCTCGGTTCCAAAATGCCCTGTACATGGGCGATGCTCAAAGCCGGATCGAAATGTTTAAAGAGATCGATCTCTGTAAGCGGAGACTCCCCTTTCTTGCTTTGCTTCTTAACAGCTAATTCCATCTAGACCCCTTGGCCTATGTGACGGCAAAGTCTCACGGCCTTACTGAAGAGTGCGAATCTATCCTCGAGGCATGTGGCTTGACAGAAGACCAAATTACTCTACCCTCGCTTGGTTCTACCCTTTCTCCTCCCCAGCCCATCATTCCTACGTTCAAGTCGAATTGGCCAGTCAAAGCCACTTCGGACTCGTCTTTGGAGAAGGCGTTGCTAGGCGAAATGGAGGCCCTTGCCGACGAAGCGGAACCCGTCTCAAATGGCGTTAATGTGGAGGCAGTTCTTGAGGCCGATGGAGGGGCTGCCCAAAACGGACATCTCATAGATGATGAAGAGGACGATGCAGCGGGATGGGACATGGGAGAAGACATACACCCAGAAGTCGAAGGGGACTTTGTCAATGTGGAAAGCGAGGACGCTGGAGCCGGCAGCAGCGAGGCTGATATCTGGGCTCGAAATTCGCCAATTGCAGCTGACCATGTCGCCGCTGGTTCGTTTGAGACAGCAATGCAACTCTTAAATCGGCAGGTTGCAGCTGTCAATTTCGCCCCGCTCAAGCCTCGTTTCCTGGAGATTTATGAGGCATCGAAGACATATCTCCCAGCAAGCGCTGGTCTTCCCCCGCTTGTGAACTACGTTCGCCGGACTGTAGAGGAGTCAGAACTCAGAAAGATTCTCCCAATCATCCCCAAGGATCTCGAGTCCATTGCCAGCAAGGATTTGCAAGAAGGCTACGCAGCTATGAGGGGTAACAAATTGGATGATGGCTTGAAGATCTTTAAACGGATCGTGCAGTCCTTGATGGTCAACGCAGTTTCTTCGGAACAGGAGGTTGAGGATGTAAGTTGGCGCCTAGCCCTTCCCCCTTTGACCCTTTGAGTGTCTGATCATCTGTTAGGCCAAGAAAATCATCGCCACCGCTGCTGAGTACATTGTTGCTATGTCCATTGAGTTAAGTCGTCGTGCCATCGGAACCGATTTCAGCAAACTCGACGACGAGGAGAAGAAGCGCAATCTCGAGCTTTCAGCATACTTCACCATCCCCAAGTTAGAGGTCGCACATCGACAACTTGCCCTAGTTTCTGCCATGAACTTGGCGTTTAAGAGCAGGAATTTGTCCTCTGCGCTGAGCTTTGCTAGTCGAATTATTGCCAATGGGGGTTCGCCTAAATTCGTCGAACAGGTAATTTCTCTCACTCTCTAATTGGGATGCGTATTAACATGGATTGCAGGCCCGCAAGACAAAGGCTGCTTGTGAGAGGAATCCTCAGGATGCAATTGATATTGAATTTGATCAGTTCGCTGATTTCGATATCTGCGCGGCTTCTTTCACTCCTATCTATGGTGGCTCACCTAGTACCACATGTCCATTTGATGGTTCGAAATACCACGCCGAGTACAAAGGAACCGTCTGCACCGTTTGTGAGGTCGCAGAGATCGGAACACCAGCAAGTGGACTCAGATTGTTTGCTTCAGGCGTGTAGTTTACATACAGGCATGGTCGTTGCTTTTCGATGTTGCATGAATTGTAAAGTCTTCAATGAGTTCCTTTTTCTTTGTTTTTTTTTTTTGTTCGTCAGGGTTCAGATGTAGTATCTGATTTTGGCGCCGGAAAATCTATTGCAATATTGAAAAGAGTTCTTTTCCTTTCTCTTTAACTCTAAGCTTTAATTGAGGCATACCCAAAACTAAGTTTAACTCTTCGGGATTTTCTGGAACCTGCGTCGCATGTAACTTCGATAGCTGAGACACGTGGATGATTATCTGCCATCGCCTCTAGATAAATAATTATTGTGACATATCGTTGCAGAATTTCAAGTACTATGAGATTTTCCACCTGTGTCAAATAGTGATACGTCAGGTGTATTCTAATTTTACTCCCCACAGCTCGACTTATCGAAGCTGAGGGGGATCCTGTTTTGGCTTAGTCATCGTTCGGGAGGTTCCAATTGGTTTATCGTAAAGTACACCTTCTCATAAGCCGACGGCCAGGATCGTGCCTACCTGGCAGCGAACCTACTATTTCTTTGGATGTCCCAGTGGCACTTCGAATTGATACTTTTCGTTCAATTAGATCGCCATTCTTCTTTTGGCTCGGTGCTGCTCTAGGTAGGAAAAGGCGCTGCGTTTCCTGATCTGCAGTCAAGCCCCAGCCCACCCCATCCGACGGCTTCGAGTGCCGCAAGCTCGCCCATCAACGGTCCGCATCATCCTACATTCTCCACCCAGTTATATCTTTATAAAGCTGACACATTACCCTGCCAGAATTATTTATAGAATCTCTCTAGAGCTTATACAATAGTCAAGGAGCGCAATGTCTGCTCCACAAGGAGGATTTCCGCCTCAGGGCTACCCTTCCCAAGACGTTTACGCCCAACCTGAAGCTCAGCAGTTCCAATCAGGCTTTGAAGCACAAGGCGGCCTTGATACTGCATCGCCGGTCTCTGGCTATGATGGGCAGCCAGCAGCCCACGCAACAACAGGCGCAGGACGCAAGAAGCGGGCCTATGCTGGCCAGGCGTTCGAATTCGGTTCTGGTGCCAATGCTGCCCTCGGCGGCCAGACAGCTGGAGCCGCTCCTGCGGGCTTCGCAGCTGCTCCCATCACGCCTGCTGCCGGGTATGGTGGATATCCCCAGACTGGCTACCAACAGCCTGGCTTCGCCGCCGTTGATCCCGCACAGGTTGCTGCGGGTTCTCCGGCTGCAGGCCAGTTTGGCGGGGTAGGTGGCTATCAGCCACCTGTCGCGGGCTATCCTGCGCAAGAGGCGCCGGCAGCAGTGGGTGGAGTGGCTGGCATCACACAGCAATTTGGGCAGATGGGCATTGGCGCTCAGCCAGCGGCGGCTCAGCAAGTCCCGCAGCGGACTCAAGCCCTGAACCAGCTGTACCCTACAGACATTATGAGCCAACCGTTTCACGTATCTGAACTAGAGCTTCCTCCGCCTCCAATTGTTCTACCACCAAATGTAAGTCCGCGCTGTGGCTGGCGTAAAATGATACTATGCTCACAATCTATGTTAGACCAGCGTCACCGCCTCTCCAACCGCAAACTGCTCTGCCAAATACGTCAGGTCCACGCTCAATGCTGTCCCAACAACTCACTCATTGCTGAAGAAGACTCGGCTTCCCTTTGCCTTGGTCATTCAACCTTACACCTCTCTCCATGACGTGGAGGATCCCGTACCGGTCGTACCCGATCAAGTCATTTCCCGCTGCCGACGCTGCCGATCGTACATCAACCCTTTTGTTTCCTTCCTCGACCACGGTCACCGTTGGCGGTGTAATATGTGCAATCTTACCAACGATGTCCCGCAAGCTTTCGACTGGGATGCTGCCGCCCAGCGGAGCGTCGACCGGTGGACAAGACCAGAGCTCAACCACGCTGTTGTGGAATTTGTGGCGCCGCAAGAGTATATGGTCCGGCCACCTCAACCACTTGTCTACCTGTTTTTGTTCGACGTGAGCTATGCTTCGGTCACGAACGGTTTGCTTGCCACAAGCGCTCGTTGCATTCTGGAGAGCCTGGATAGAATACCGAATGCCGATCGGAGAACGAGACTCGGATTCATGGCTGTAGATTCAAGCCTTCATTATTTTAAGATTCCACGAGATGGTCAGGGCTCTGGAGACCCCACCATGCTTGTTGTCAGTGACCTTGACGAGCCCTTCCTACCCACCCCTGATGACCTGCTCGTCACCCTAAGCGAATGCCGCGAGAACATCGAAAACTTCCTTGGAAAGCTGCAGGAAATGTTCCAGAATACCCACAATGCTGGTTCTTGTATGGGCTCCGCCCTCCGAGCCGGTCACAAATTGATTGCTCCCGTCGGCGGGAAGATTACTGTTCTCACGTCCACTTTGCCTAATGTTGGCTATGGAAAGCTCGAACTTCGTGAGGACAAGAAGCTTCTTGGAACAAGCAAGGAGAGTGGCCTCCTTCAGACCGGCAACAGCTTTTATAAAAGTTTTGCGGTCGAGTGCTCGAAGAACCAGGTGTCGATTGATATGTTCTTGTTCTCCTCTCAGTATCAGGATGTGGCGTCATTGAGCAATCTACCTAGGTATACCGGAGGCCAGACATACTTCTATCCCGCATGGAACGCTGGTCGAAGCGAGGATGCAATCAAATTTGCTCGCGAATTCAGCGACTACCTTTCCTCGGAGATTGGGCTCGAGGCTGTGCTGCGCGTTCGTGCTACAACTGGATTACGAATGAATACCTTCTACGGCAATTTCTTCAACCGAAGCTCTGACCTTTGCGCGTTCCCTGCCTTCCCTAGGGATCAGAGCTACGTCGTTGAGGTTGCTATAGACGAGACGATTGGGAAGCCGTTTGTCTGTCTCCAAACCGCCGTCCTACACACAACTTGCAATGGCGAGCGAAGGATCCGGGTTATGACTCTTTCTCTGCCCACGACGAATAGCGTCGCTGATGTCTATGCGTCGGCGGATCAAGTGGCTATCACGACATACTTTAGTCACAAGGCAGTCGAGCGCACTCTCGGCAACAGCCTTGAGGCTGCTCGTGATGCCTTGCAGGCCAAGGTGGTGGAATTCTTCCAGACTTACAAAAAGGAATTGGCTGGTGGGACTATTGGAGGCGGTGGCCTGCAATTTCCTGCTAATCTGCGGGGACTTCCCATCCTTTTCTTGGGTTTGATCAAGCATGTAAGTTTTCATTTTGTGGCGGATTTCCATTGCGCTATCCCCTGTCTTTTCACCGGACTGAAATAAGATCTGACTAACTTCTCCCAGCTTGGTCTCCGGAAATCCGCACAAATCCCCAGCGATCTTCGTTCGGCCGCCCTGTGTCTGCTCTCTACTCTTCCTCCGCCCTTATTGATACAGTACATTTACCCTCGATTGTACTCGTTGCATGACATGCCTGACAATGCCGGTCTACCTGACGTTGCCACGGGTGAAATTGTTATGCCAGGACCCCAGAACTTGAACTCAGCAGCTCTGGTGTCATATGGACTGTACCTGATCGATGACGGCCAGACGCAGTTCATCTGGATTGGACGCGATGCAGTGCCGCAGCTTGTTCAGGATGTGTTTGGCTTGCCGGATCGCACCCAACTCAAGCAAGGCAAGTCGTCATTGCCCATTTTGGAGAATGACATGAATGAGCGGGTGCGAGCGGTGGTGGAGAAGAGTAAGGATCACCGCGCCAAGGGTGTCGGCAGTATCGTTGTACCACCCCTTTACATTGTGCGCGAGGATGGCGACCCGAGCCTTAAGCTCTGGGCGCAGACGCTCCTCATTGAGGACCGTGCGGACCAGGGTGTGAGCCTAGCGCAGTTCATTGGGATAATCCGGGAGAAGGTGGGATAAAGCGTTCGCGTGCCGGGCCAACCGGCCGTCTGGAGCGGATAGCTGACATGAACCATTTTGCACAGGTGATGCAATAAAATAAACTCTTGCCGAACGAAACATTGGCCTGCCCTCTAAAAGGGCTGGCACATCTACACTGAAGAAGGATCCGCAGCGATAAAGCGTCCTCGCATTCGGGAGGTTCCCGTCTAACTTGATAATCCCTTTTTTTTTATTTCCCTTGTGTTTCTCATGTCTTGTACTTTTTTCCTTTGGCTTCCTCTTTTTTTTTTTTTGCGCGCAACCATGTCCTGGGGGTGTGCTGGCGCCCATGTACACCAGCAAACCAGTCAATTTATATTTTTACTTTTCCTCGCTAGAGCCTTGACTCGGCCTCACTTTTTTGTCTGCAAACAATGAAAAGAGTTGCGTTTTTGAAGAGATCAGTTTGGCCATTATTGCAATCGTGCGTATCTTGTACCAAAAGGTTTGCTTTAGGCGGGAACTATTTTGCATTATGGCTGAAGAGGCTTGGAATAATAGTAGAGAGGGGTGCCCTATTCGTAGCTCAACTCGTGTCTGTGTGTGTGGGAGCGGAAGGAGAAAGGGTTAGGGAAAAGAACAAAAATTTTAGTATCTGCCATGGATGAGATGCACTGTGGTATAATTTTCCGACAGGAGGGTTCTTGTGCATGTGCAGATGGGGCAGCTACTGTACGTTCCAATGGAGGGTATGACAGATGGAGGGGTTGAAGTACGTAGAAAGGCGAATCATTTGACTCGAAAAGAGCCTCTTGCATTTAATAAATGTTTTCCCCTGCTCTTTGGACTATCTCATGACACGCTCTAGCTACCTTTTGAGCAAGCAATTAGACTCTCAGCATGGTCCTCTTCAAGAATTGCTTAAACTGTAGGGACTCAAATCCGGAGATATATTCATTGCAGTTGATGAGTGGGGACGATAGCTATAATACCAATCGTGACCTCTGGTCTTAACTGAGTGGGACCCCATAGCGCAGGGAAGCTGCAGTAGTGGGCGCTTACAGTAAGTATTGTGGTACACAGTTTATGTGGAGAGTGACTCTCGAATGGGGTGTACTGGCCGAGGTTACCTAAGAAAAAGGGTGGACCAATCAAGTCTTAGGCTGGACAGGGTGGGGATGCGCAGGCTAAAGGGAGTGGCCCGTGCCGACCACGCGTGAGGCGTGAGACACGCTCCAGATGCAAAGTGTGTGGGCTGCCACATTTCAGAATCTCATCACACTTGATTTGCAGCACTGGGGATGTAATCACCGTAATCACTTTCAAGTTATTGGTTGAAGAGTGCTATCAATGACGATAGGAGCAATGTGGAAATAGATATTGATTAATATTCGTAGGGGTATTTTCCACTGATTTTTTCGCATTTTATTTGTATTATTTTTCGAATGTTCGAATTCCTGCAGAGGTAGACATAATTCTTCACACTATTATGCATAAAGGTTCCAGTTAAAATCGTGCAACTTTCTTTGAAAAGACAAGGTAGATCAAATATCATGATAGATGGCAATATTTTCGGACAGGAAAAGAATATTTGAATGGTGGACAATTTATTCATTCTCGATATTAATTGCACCTTACTAAGTGGTTACCATCACATTACACACGCTCTGTTACCAGAAGAAAAGATCTGCCCCGCATAAATAATACAAGCGCCTGGTTTTCTCTTTTCGCTCTCAATTCACATCATCATGCTTGCAAATCGTAAGACGATCCCCAATAAAAGGCAGACATGGTAACTCTGGTCCATCCCTATAAGGAGGAACAAGGCCGAGCATACAGAGAGTAGGCCCAAGTCAGCTCGGTTTGGTGTTCCCGCCCCGCGTGTAGTTGGTGGCATGGTGGACTCTGGAGCCGGCCAAGGGACCATGGGTCGACGGAAGACAAGAGTGACGGACACCCGCCATTAATGAATATTAGTGGCTCATCTCCCTCCTGAACGGGAGAACAAACGAAAGAGGGAAAAAAGGACCCCTAGAACGAGGGAACTCCAGCGCAAGCTCAACGTGGTGTTTCCCACCCCCACCATAACCAAAAATCCAACCCGGCACCAACGACTACTGCATGGTAATACACCATTGCACACCAAGCACAGCCGTCACTATCACAATCTCTTGCTCCCAAGCCAACCAGAGGGAGGAACAAACGCCGGGGACGGAACAAGTTAACTGAAACACTTCATTTGGCTCATTTCACCTATAATCGGCCTATCCCTCTCCCTTTCTCGCACTATAACTCGCCTGAGCCTGCGACTTTGCTCGTTACGTTTCACCTTTCGTCCCCACCGCCGACCTACGACTCTCCAAATCGATCCGAGCACTGCCCTTCCCTAGCTCCACAAAACAGCTTCACGCCCAAACACTTGAGCCGTCTTTTCGACGAAGCGCTCTTGAGCTGTTCTCTCTTCCTCGGTCTTTTCTCTCCGGGAATATATACAGAGCACCTTCGGAAACTTGTGAGCACAGCACGAGCGACGTCTATTCATACTCTCCTCCCCGTTCCCACGCGCTCCGCACTTAAGCGCCCGCGCTCTGAAGCGGCCTTGCCCAACGGCTTGCAGCCGTCGATCGGAGGACGAGACGTGGAACGTCAGATCAGACGCAGGTACTGTTCCAAATATGGCACCCCATTCCCCCCTTCCTTGCCGGGCGGCCGCCGAATGGGCCTCGTCACTGTTCGGAGTCTGGTGAAATGCCGGACACCCCGCGATGCGTCGGCCAGCTAGCTTCCTCAAGCTGCCTGCCTTATCGTTTGCCCATCACGGCTCGCTTGGCGGCGGCAACATCAACGACGATAGCTTAGAAGAGACCCTTGTGCTAATTGCTTTGTCCGGTAGCGGCAGCTAGTCATTTTGCGCTTGTCCTGCAAGAAAGCATTGTTTCCCCACCAGACGTCAGGCTTCACGCTCCTCGGTTCCAGCCAAACAGCTCTCGTCGATTAGCCTAATCAACAACTCGGTACGGCCTTCGAATTCACTACCGCGTAGGGTTCAATAGTACAATAGCCATTGGGCATACATTGTTTCATTGAATGACGCACGTCTCTCCGCCAGCCCTCATCTTTCAATAGCTTTCTACCCCGCCACATCTATTCTGTCTCTCGCCTACGCGGCTTTGAACAAAGAGAATCTCCCGAGACCATCGAGCTACTCGCTTCCGCTACGTCTAATATATACACCATCTTGTCTTTGCGGAGGCAATACTTTACTTGACACATCGTTGTTAAGGTCGTCAAGGCGTGCAACAGTGGTTGCGTGGCGGGTAGAGTTTGGCTCCTAGGACCAACCTCACTACTTACCGATCTCTCTTTTTTCTTTTGGCTTTTTTTGCACTCTGCAATTTCTCTTGATTCTACGTCATAATGTCTCGCACACCGATGCAGGGCGGTTCGAGAAAGATCTCGTTTAACGTTTCTGATCAGTATGATATTCAGGATGTCGTTGGAGAGGGAGCTTATGGTGTAGTCTGGTAAGTTGAGCTTGAAAGCGAATCGGGAGTTTTATTCCTTTGAACCAATGTTGACCAGTAGTAGCTCTGCCCTTCACAAGCCGTCAGGACAAAAGGTTGCCATCAAAAAGATTACTCCCTTTGATCACTCCATGTTTTGTCTGCGTACGCTACGTGAGATGAAGCTGCTGCGTTATTTCAATCATGAGAATATAATTTCCATTCTGGACATTCAGCGCCCCCGAAACTACGAGACATTTACAGAGGTCTATCTCATTCAGGTATGCCGCGACTCGGACAAAGCTTGCCTGGCTCAAAAGAAAGCTCCTACTAATGGTAGCCAGGAACTCATGGAGACGGACATGCATAGGGTCATTCGTACGCAGGATCTATCCGACGACCACTGCCAATACTTCATCTATCAGACGCTGCGAGCGCTCAAGGCTATGCACTCCGCCAATGTCCTGCACCGTGATCTGAAACCATCGAACCTCCTTCTCAACGCCAACTGCGACCTCAAGGTCTGCGATTTCGGGCTTGCACGTTCTGCCGCCTCGACCGAGGACAACTCTGGCTTCATGACTGAATATGTCGCTACCAGATGGTACCGTGCGCCAGAAATCATGCTCACGTTCAAAGAGTACACAAAGGCCATTGATGTGTGGAGTGTCGGATGCATTCTCGCCGAGATGCTGAGCGGCAAGCCCCTCTTTCCTGGCAAGGACTGTATGTTTCTCACCCTCTGATCCCTTGGACGCAATCTCTTTTCTAGCTTTTCTCTAATTTGATCATCCAGACCACCACCAACTTACGCTTATCCTTGATGTCCTCGGTACTCCAACCATGGAGGACTACTATGGCATCAAGTCTCGCCGTGCCCGAGAGTATATCCGCTCGCTTCCTTTCAAGAAGAAGATTCCGTTCAAAGTCATGTTCCCTCAGACGAACGAGCTTGCGCTGGACCTACTCGAGAAGCTGCTTGCCTTCAACCCAGCCAAACGGATCACGGTCGAGGAGGCGCTCAAGCACCCTTACCTCGAGCCGTACCATGACCCTGAAGATGAGCCGACGGCCGAGCCGATCCCAGAGGAGTTTTTCGACTTTGACAAGAACAAGGATAACCTTAGCAAAGAGGAATTGAAGCGTGAGTACCACCCGGACAATCTACTTAAAGAAACAAGTTTGTCGCCTGATACTAAATCTTTTGTCACCAGTGTTGATCTACCAGGAGATTATGCGGTAAATATTTAGGCTCGAGTATGGCAAATCACAAGTCACGGTGACTGTGCTATGACCGAAACGACCGAAACCAGATCACACCTTTTTTGGGACAACATTTGCTGACTGGGCCCAAATCGCTGAATCTCCTTTCTCGCATTTACAACTCTTCAATGTTTTTTTCCCTTCCCACCCCATTTTTCTCAGCCATCTCTACCTGGTTTAGCATTTTTTCAAATCATTCTATCATCATCTGATGCTGGTTCACCTTTTTTTTTGTTCCGTTTTCTATATCTCCATCATGCATCATACTTTTGTGGGCTTCTTTTTTTCATGATGCGTGCTAGTCACCGTCATCTGCTCGTCATGTCGCCATCGTCATCATACTCATCTAACAGATAGATATGCATTTATTTCATGCTTTGCTGACGCTGACGTGATTCAATGACCTTTTTTTTGGGACTCGTCTTGCTTCTTATACATGTGACTGGTTTATTATACGTGTGATTTTTTTATGTGCCACTGTACTGTGTTCCATCTATAGTGTGTGTATATGCATATGATCTCGTATGTACCTAAGGTATTATTTACAACGTTGGCCAAAAAGTAAGCTCATGCACTGGTCCTCCGATGCGATTATTGGACAGACGGTATGAAAACCGTAGTCTATCCAAGTCATATACCAGTGTATGTATCTCAACGACTATCCATGTCCGTCCATGATGTCGCTATATCCAGACTGAGGGGTATACCGATTGACACTATTTTCCCTTTTCGGGCGTTTTGTGTTCTTTTCTACCGCTATTGATCCTGCCCTTGCGTTTGCTCTACTGCTCCTACTGCTCCTACTGCTGCTGCTGCTCATGGGCAACGCATATACCCCTCAATGCCCGCCATAAGTCCCTCGGGACTCGGCTTCGCCGCAGAAACATCTGGGTCAAAGCCAAACGTGTCGCGCAGGTAATCGCGCGTCGTGGGTCCTATCGTGGCGATGTATGTCTGTACTGATCTCGCTCTCGTTCCTTCCTTCGCACTTGTCCTCGTCGATAATGCAGCCGAAGCCGAAGATGAAAGAGGAGACGAGAACGAAGACAAATGCCGTCTCTGCTCTGGCGTCTGTAATTCCGAATTTGCTTTTCCCGTGGCCGGATCGAGCCAGCCGAGACAGCGCAGCATGGTGTCGCATCCTGTGGGGGAGAAGACGACGACCCATCTCGTTGCAGGTTCTGCTTGTGCTTGCTGGGTTGAGGATTGCGTGGGTGACGTGGAGGAGATCGAGGTATTTGCGTTGTCGTTTGTAGATGAAGGCTTCCAAGAAGAAGGAGGGGAGGTGGAAGAGGGACAAGAAGAAGAAGAGGATGAAGAAGAGGTGGCATCTAATACGGCTCGAAAATCCTGTTCAAAAGGCTCCATGACGCCCGTTTCGTAGACGACTAGCTCGTCGACTTGAATAGGTTTATATGCTTGCTGGGTAGACGATTCATTGATCCCTGCATTTTCATCAAGCTTAGACGACCCCGCGTCTGTCCCGCCTGTCCTGTCTGTTCTGTCTGTACCGTCTGCCGACTTCGCGGCACACTTTGCACCAGGGGAATTGGGAATGCCGGATTTCAACGTATCCGGTATAATCGCCCTGCGCTGCTCGCCGACGAGGAACAGCAGCGGAGGCACCGATGAGGGTGCACAGTGTCGATATAGATTGTTGTAGTGCGGGAGGATGTAATCTGCCAGAGCGGCGCCGTTGCCGCTTTCGTATCCATGGATGTTAGGACCGTATGTCTCTTGTTCTGTGTTGGTTTCTGCGCTGTCCCGGGGGTTTGAAGGCCGAGACTCGTCGCTGGCGCTGCAGACGTTTATCGATGTCAGTGCCCGAGCGGTAGCTGGGCCGACGGTGTATAAGGGTATCTTGGGACTAAGTAATGGCGCGTCGGGGGGAAGAGAGTTCTCTGCTAATCGCATTGTTAGTACTACCTTCACGCAATGCTATAAGATTTTATGTAGGGTTAAAGTTGCGTAGAAAGCGTTGAAGGAATAGGGATTTGTGTTAAGGGAAATGGGTAGAATGCATACATCGCACATCGTCAACGACTTGCGCAAACGCCTCGACTGCGCGTTGACTCGTGAATATCATTCCGCCATATCGCGGGTTTGGTCCTTCGAATGAAGACTTTGTCGGAAAAGATGAAGAGTTCGTCGGGCTAGAAGAAGAGCTAGGAGAGGGGGACAAGAGCTTCTTGACAAGCTTCATATGCTCCGCGTGAAAGCGGTGCTCAAGCACAGGTACAAAGCGCGGCGTAAATACCCCTGGGGGGTCGCGGGAGAAAAGCTCGTCGTAGCCATCGTTGGGAGTGGATTTTGTTTTGAGAAGAAGGACCGGTATGGGCAATGGATTGGATGTTTTGGAGGACATGATAATTGTATCGTGGAATAGTTGTGTTTATGGAGAAATTGTGAAAGCTATCGCCCTGTGCGTATAAATTAGTGAAAGAAGTAATAATATGCAGAAGTGCATAATATTAATGCATGTTCTGGTTGTATGCACGATGACGCTTTTACTTTGGTACGAGGTACCTCCGTACAAGCTCCTCACTCGGAGGTTAGGTTCGGAGATCCGACCGCCAGGCGCCGCGAAACGTTGTGCCGATCCTCGCGCGTGGGTGCGTTGGTGCAAGGTGTCGGAACCCAATTTCAAGGGTCTCGGACGGGTATCTGCACCAACACTTAGTGTGGGCAGATGAGAAAACGGGTCTGCCGCTTGGCGTTTGATTGATAATATCATCTTACCCACGATTTCTCGGCACATCGCATCGCAACGTACCGCATAGCGCGCGTCTGACTTCTTTTTTTTTCTCTATTTCCTTTTGAGCGCTGTATATTACCTACATCTGCTCTGTCTTACAGCGCCCGTACCCAAGACAAGCGCGCTAAATCGCATTGCCGCAGGCCGCGACTTCCGCATATTGCCGCCAGACCCGGAACTGACCGGGGATTTTATTTTGGGACTTTTCCAACTCGCAACACATTGGCAAACATGGCGGAGATATTAGCAGAACAAGTCGAAGAGCTGGAGCGTCGTAAGCAGGAACGTTTACAGCAAGGTGGGGACCAGAATCAGGACCCGGCAACGCAAGCTCAGTCGCAAAAACTGCCAAAGGGCATGGTCATTGGCAAGGATGGAAAACCGTACGATTCTTTTATCTTCCTGCATCACTGTGTCTTTCGCGTCCAATTCTAATGCTTCGTTATGATAGATGCCGCTCCTGCACTTCCGTGGCCGACTGGATGGCTCTGAGCAGACGGAAAATCGCAACCGACTCTCCTTCTTCCTCGTCCTCTTCGACTACGACATCGTCGTCATCAGCATTCCCCTCTGCAGCGTTTAGTTCAACATCATCTACTCCTGTTTCATCGACTACGTCCAAACCCGCCACAACGTCGCCTTCCCCTGCACAGTCCTTCCTCGAGGGACCGCTCCGGGATGACTGCCCTGCCGATGTCGAAGCCTTGGGCCGATCATCTTGGACCCTCTTGCATACCATTTCTGCATCTTACCCCGAGAAAGCAAACACCACGGAACAAAGTGAGATGAAGCAGTTTTTGTCCCTATTTGGAAAATTCTACCCGTGCTGGATCTGCGCGTCGGATTTCCAGTCGTGGATGACGAAAAAGGGTAACGAGCCGCGCGTTGAAGGCCGTGAGGGGCTAGGGAAATGGATGTGTGAAGCGCATAATGAGGTCAATCGCAAGCTGGGAAAGAAGGAGTTTGACTGTACTCTGTGGAAGGAGCGTTGGCGGGACGGCTGGAAGGACGGAAGCTGCGATTAAGTACCTGATCTTGGTAATTGCTAAATCCGATCCGCCAAGCCATGGCTGCGGAATCGCCTGTATTATCCTTGAGGTATTATTGGTTTGAATCGCATTTTGACGGTATCGTTCGCAGTTCCAATAGATCTGTCGATGCAAGTACGTCTGCAACTCGATATCTGCGCTGTCCTCTTCAAGCCGTTGTCATCCAATTGACGCTCGGTGGTGCTAATATTTGGATGTCACTACCACTCCCCCATTGCCTTTTTTTTTGCAGAGTATCTGCCACGTTTCTCTCCGCTCTCAAGCCGCTTTCTCTCAAGCATAGCGCATCAGTCTCATTCGCATCTCCTCTTCTTTAATCGTTTCACGTGCTGTATTATAGCTGTATATCTAGACAATTTGTTATTGGGTGGACAGATGTCAGAAACGGCGTAGCCAAAAGGACATGGGTTGTTTACATAGCATCGGATACTATCGGTGTAGGTATAGCATAAAAGAAAATCCCCACTTTAATGTTTTATGTTACGAGGAGCCTGAAGTGAGGCGACGCTGTGCCATGTCGAAATCTGAGTATGGGTAAATTACTTTATCGAAATGGCGCGGTGCAAAAGAAAACTTCTGTACTCCGATATGTCTAAACTCTGATGGACAAAAGTGTCCGTGCAACAGGACACCTTGTTGTGGAGAGGGAATATATCAAAATTTGGTCTTCGCGATTCTTGGCAGTTCAAGACAAGCTTAAAAACAGATGAAATTAAATCTAGGTATGAGGATATGGGTATAAATTAGGATTTGGCATTCTTTGCTCGTACTGAGCACGCCACAACAGTAACAGACCGAAATAATTAAAAGCATAAAGAATCCAAGGCTAGATCGAATGAACAACAATAGCTGGACTTCGCACATTAGAATGTCTTATCCACCTTCCCAATTTTAAAATATTCGATACGTTACCAATTCTCAAAAATTTGTAGATGACATCTGCAACGATCAAAGCTGTCTTCCAAAACCAGGCACATGCGCGATTTCTTTTGGGCTTTGTCATGTGAATCGCAGAATCCGAAATCGCCGCTTTCCTTTGCCGCTTTGCGCTTTCTCCCTTCAACACTCATTCCGGTGCAACGGCAGCAAAGACCTCTAATCGATCCTCGTATATGAGATTGGTAGAGGATTAGGTGTCGTGGAACTATAAAGCCACAAGACTACAAGTTCGGCGTTGTACAGTCTCGAGTACCCAATGGGTTCCAGCAAAGTCCAACCCCCAATCGTTATGCCGAGATCAAAGCCGTCGGAGAAAGTTGTAAAACTCTTCAGCTGGCTGCACAGGGCGGCCCTGTCGGTAGATATCAAGGAGACGATTGTGGAATTCTCATCGCGGTTCACGACAGCCCAAATATTGTCACAGCGCACATGCATCTCGTCCGCCAAATTCCAAATATCAGAAATAGGTGGTGGAAACACCCAACCGACAGGAGAGGTGGGAATATTGCTGTACTGGTTCTTAAAGCGGCACAGTTTGAGTTCTCCACAGAAAAAGTATTGGTCAGGTAAAGCTGCAAAAAGCATCTCCGCATGGGCTAGACAGATGCTTTGTTGGCTTTCAGCTGGCGCTATTGCGTCAGTATCTGGTGAAGCTGATGAAGTATAGACTGTATTTGAAGGCGTCTGCGCGGGCGTTTCGAGCGGTGTCGTCGAGTTCTCTGTGTGATTCTTAATGGCTTTGCTCATTCTTAAACACTACTCTTCTCTCACCTTGAATATCCAGCCGAGCAGCACGAAACGCCACAACAAATTCCTCCAAATTTTCTAAAAAGATCTCGCAGTTCACCTTCGGTGAAAGATGCCGCAATACCGGTTCTATTTTGTCTGCGATGGTGCGCGCTAAACTTTCGAACAGCTCCCACCCGGATTCTGTAAGGGAGAGAAGTTTTTGTCGCCTGTCCGAACTTTTTCGTTGCTCCTGGACGTGTCCAGATTTCTTCGCAGCACGAACCCATCGGCTGACAGAGGTCTTCTCCTTGTCCAGGAAATTACAGAGCTTGGTCATGGGCAATCCATCACCATCTGCGGTGGCAGTGTCCTTATTTGGATCACGGCCGTGCCTTTCAATCGCCATGACAATTTGTCGGGTCATTTCAGCCGATTTCACCTTTTTGAGCTTGCCGTTGATGATTGACATCTCGTTTGCGATGTCGTTAAAAGCATCGTAAAATTTGGCTGCAAGATCATTGCCGGCATTGGGCTCAAGAATCGATGGAGAATCTGTCGAGATTGGTGACGATGTGTCTTCAGTATGGCCGGTGCCGTCGGCATCCAAGACCGAAAAGCTGTTCATAATGTCCATAAATGAAAAGTGGGTAGATTGTGCACTGTTTCCCGGGTTGCAATTGGAAAAGATTTCTGGAGGAACATTGCCAGGCTTTTATCTACGGGTCGGAAATGCGGCGCCTCAAAAGGGACTCTCGTTCTGGGCTTCCTGTTTGGCGATGAAAAATAATTCCTTGGTCGATTTGTTGCAATTTGCAACGACTGGGGCTTCATGCGAAGTCAACCTGGTCTACGCGACTAGACTTGTCAGCCCGGTGAATTGAGCTTTGGCCGCCTTGTGCCTGCTGGATCGGCGTCTAGCCTCACGCCATGGCAATTGTGCTGCAGGGGTAGCTCTCTCCGCCTCCCGAGCACAATGGCAACTAATTATGCAACCTGTCAAAGTATTCTACACATTTCACTTGCCTATCGATGTGATATGCCTACAATTTCTTCAGGATCAAATGATCTTACCAGCATATGACTCCCAAGCTTTTTCTAACTTGGAAATTGTGGGTAATCATAAAAGAAAGAGAAAAAGAAAAGAGACAGGGAGGGGAGAGCCTGAGGACGAGGCCACCAAATTCTTCACCGGAGGAACCCCCAAATTCGGCTTTAGGATATCTGTCAAGCTTCGCGAAACCTATACGCAGATCGAACTCGCGTACTGCATTGTAAAATGAATCTATCAGGTGCTCTCGTATTGTTGGCTGAGCCGAGTACTTGAATGCACCTAGCGGACCGGTGCACAGCTGCAATGCATGACGTTCCATCAACTCTCTTTCATAATTAACACATTGACAATACACGTTGGATGTATAGATAGGATGTGTGGCTATAGTTTCCCCGCCAGTTTACCGTATGCTCCTCCACGAAAAGGTTATCAACAGGTGAATATTGGGATTGATACATGTTGCCAAGCACTAGCAATCCTCCCGCCCGAGAAGATCGGGATACACTGTTAGCGGAAACCTTAAAATGTTTGACGCCACTGTAATAATTGTCTCTCTCAAAAGTGATGCGAGGGCGCTTGGCATTCCTCATTGGCAGGCCATTTGTGCATCCAAGCAACGTGAAGAACCTAGGTAGGTAGGGATGTTGCATGTCATGGAAGCGGAGAGGAAAAATATGACGGAGAAACTTGACAAGCATGCATGTGAGCTATCATTTTTTTTGTGGCTATATCACTAGCGCGGATGAGACCTCCACGAAATAATGGAGCTCTCTTTCCGGCACAACTCACGGGCCGACGTCCGAAGAAAAACATTAGGGCGACCGGGATAAGAGGGGAGAAATATTGCTGGCACTGGGGAAATTCTGGTGCCATGTGCTCGAAAATCTTAACACAGCCACCACAACCACATTGCAGAGACTAATGTAACTTATCGAATTGGTATGAAAAAAAAAAAAGACAGTGTCCGATGCGTTAACTCACCACGTCTGGTCCACTACCTCGGCACGGCCCGCTAGTAGACCAATAACCACGGCCGCGGAACCACGCGAGGTACGGTAAGCACGCGATCGATGGAACTAAGCCAGAATAGACACCAGCTTTTTCCCTTTGATACGGAGTTAGGGCACAACCTTTTGTACCCTTTTGCAGCACACTTAGTCTGTTTCTCTCCGGCCTACCTACATTGAAGGCCTACCACACATAAAACTATCTCCCCTTATTAGTCAAAGTTGCTCACTAGCAACTTTGTTATCCTGGTTGAAGTCCTTGGGCAGCATCCACTAGTCAAACACACCCTTGCCTTGCGAGTATACAGCTATCGTTTCAATATTGTGCCGCCTAAAATGAGGCAACAAGTATTTCTATTGTAGTGTAGTTGCCTACTTATTCATTGTTTTAGTAGCGTTTCATCATGGCAAGGGACATCCGATCCTGGCCTGGTTGAAAAGCTCGGTGGTCCCGATGCCGACGATCCCCCGGTGCTACATGTTCGTCAAATACTGTTGGTGTTTCCAAGGCCCTGCCTCCCCCCTTACTAGGTCCGAAAAGGGTTTACTAGCAGAACACCACTTTTAAAAACGGTGTTCTGCTAGTAAACCCTTTTCGGACACGATGGTGAAAACACTGGCTTGATCTTGAACCCTCACAGATCAGAGATCCAGACCTGAGCCTAATTGGGTAGCAACTACTATGGGTATATGTCTGCCAATATATATCAAATATACAAGTAATGGCTAGGGGTCCTATAATACAAAGTAGAATGCTTACTCCTGGCAAGACATTCTCCTTATAATATATATAAAAGCTGTTAGCTAGATTAACTATTTAAACTGTTTACTAAATAGCCACCGTTACGGGGACTAAGTGCGGTTAGCCGAATCTTATTCCACCTTCCAGGCCTCGCGCGCCAACAGGCATCCTAGCCAGTACTTGCATAATATGGAGTTGGATATTTGCCGAGACTGAACGACCCATCGGCATGGCAAAGGCTAATTATCTTGCATTACAGTGGATAATACGTGCACCCGCATTTCGATCGGGAGTTCCAAAAACAAAAAAAAAAAAAAAAAAAATGCATGAGATGCCGGTCCATGCCGGCATTGGCTTTCTCTCATGATCATAAATCTCGTCATTCTCATCGTCTTTTTGGAACTCTTTTGTCGATAAATTTGTTAGTGTCATTCATTGCCAGTTCATCGTCAACGCCACGGTCAATTCACTGTATCAATGTCGCACTCCTCATCGACGTTGTTGCAGCCATTCGGCCGCCAAAAAGAAACCCAAAAAAACCACCCCCACCGAGGGCACCATATAGCCAGGAAATAAACGAGCCAACCAAATGTACGTTCTCATGCACCTTGTATTAATAATCATGGTCTCATTGAAAGCAGATCCCCAAAAAAGAGAAGTGTAGGTAAATAAATGAAACTTGTCATTCTTCTATCCTCTGCGCCTAATAGTTAAAAAATAAGCCAGGGGGAAAATAAGTGAAAATTGGACTAGGAAAAATTTAAATGGAAATGGAAAAGGAACTCTCAATACAAATGTAATACTACTTCTGGAATTAGTGTAAAACATCTTGATAACATATGTGCCTGATAACGAGATCAAACAAATTTCAGGTTGGATACATAGATACAAATGGAAGCCTACTTACTGACAAGATAGCCAGAGGAGACGTTGTCAGGAGTCGGCTGGGCTGTGTTGAGACGGGGAAAAAAATAATAATAAAAAAAAAAAAAAAAAAAAAAACCTTTGACGTCAAGAAAGTAAAAGGGTAAAATTGACTTGGGACATGAGGATGGTCATGTCCATCATCTTTCGCTTGCGCGGTACAAAGAAAAGGGTCCAAATCAAAGAGAAGAATGGGAAAAAGGAAAGGAAAAAGAAACGGGTAAGAGAAGTAAAGTGAAGAAAAGTATATAAGGGTGCTTGCAAGATATGACTACTACAAAAAAGGGCGTTCAAAAAAACGAAACATGAAATAAAGGATACCAAGAAAAATATATGGAAATGGTACAATTTCTTTTGATCGCCGTATATAAGATGCAGGGGAAAGAAGAAGAAGGGGAAAAAAAATAAAAGAAAAAAATATAGCACAAAAATGTCAATGCCAATACGCAAGGGTAGATTGATACATATAAATCGTTCCTACAACCACGCTGAAGGGTGGCCCAACGGGAAGGGAAAATATAAATGGTAGGACGCGTAGAGTGGTTGTGACGCAAAAAGGGTCAAAAGTATAAAAAACGACGTTCCCATCAGCAGCAAGTCAAAGACGACAAGGAACGCCACATGCTTTGATCGCAATTATCCAAATATACTTTTTTTTATTGAGGGGAGGAAAAAAGCTGTCATCAAGTCGTGTAAGCTGAAGGATTTTTTGCTGTGCACGCCATGCTTCTTGTCAATACTTAAGAGAGACAAAAGGAAGTCGATTCGAAGACTTGGGCGATCAAACTGCGCCAGCGTCGTCGCTGTCATGGGATGGCGCAGTGTGAGGGGGAGTGTCTTCAGGACTAACAGCAACAAGAGTGCTTGTGCTTCCGTTTCGCTGGCCAGTGGCTGCAAGGCCGGACGACTGCGACGAACGACCGTCTCCGACGGCGAAACCGAAGCCGGAACTATATCTCTTATTGTCATCTTCTTCTTCCATGGAGAAGACAAAGTCGCCTTGCTCCTCGTCAATGCGACTCGTGCCAATACTAGACGATGAAATCGCTCGGTCCAGCCGGCTGCTCGGGTTGCCCGAAGAGTGTCGCTGGTAATGGAAGCCTCCAATCGGCGGAGTCTCGGATGAACCGCCGAGGCGAGTACGTTGAAGTTGTTGAGAGATCATCGACATGGAAGATTGGCGCGGAGAACTCGACACGTACGGGGACACGTCGCCCGACTGCGGGCGACTGACGGCGTTGAGACTGGGGCTGGGTCCGTTGTTGAAGGCAGAGTTGCGGAGAGGCGAGCCTACATGGCCAAAGCCTGACGCAAAACCAGCAGCCTCTTCTTCCTTCTTTTGCTGCTGCTGGCGCGAAAATAGCGCACTAAAGCGAGAGGGACTCGAAGTAATTGGAGAGCCGACATAGCTCGAATCAGCAGGAGGAGAGCCAATTGCTCCACCAATCCCACCAAATTTGAGTCGCAGGTCCTCGTCGGCAGTGCGCGAGAATCGGCGCATCTTTTCCTGCGGCGTCAAGAGCTCGTGTAGACTGTTGGGTACCAAATCTTCCTCAAAGGCGAAATTGTCGTCCCAATCCTCATTGATAGCCGGGCGCGGCAGACTGGCAGAGACCATCTTTGGTTTGGCCTGCCGCTGGGAGTGTAGAGTCCGGGCGGAAAAGTACTCATCATTGCCAACAGGTGGAGATGAAGCTACACTGTTGAATCGGTTGCGCGTATCCTCGCCAAAGGCTGAATCGTGAAGGTTCTTGAGAGCGTCCGATGTGGGCACAACTTTGCTGCTGGGCAAGGACGAGGGCGGGGACTCAAGTCCAAATTTAGATGGCACAGATGCGGCAACCGGGCCATGCCTGGCCATCCATGACACGCCCTGGCTATCAAATGACGCCGGAAGAGGCGCATCGAGGGCGCTCAAGCCTTTACCAGCTGGAGATAGCGGCATGCGTACATCGTCACGCGGCGATCCTATTCCAGAACCTTGCTGTGAGGCGAAGCTGGTGTCGATTGTGGGAATGTCGAAACCGACGCCGTGAGGACTTTGAGGGCCAATGTAATTGTCCTTCCCAGAAAACTGATACTGTGAGCCATAAGGATACGATCTGTTGGCTTGCTGCGCCAAAAGTGACCCGGCCAGGGCTGACTCTTGATTCTGATACAGCTGCGGGTTAACTCGACCGCCAAGATTCAAATGTGCTCCGCCAACCGATAAGCTTGGTCGGTTCACTCTGCGTCCGTCTGGCAGGATATGAGCCAAGGCGCATTTGGCACCGAATTTGCAATTCCCCTGTAATCATTCATCAGTATGCGCGGTTTTCCGTGAGATCATGCTTCTGGGAATTTTCAGGACGCGAATACCTTTGCGAAGTATTTGCAAGGAGCTGAATCGGCGGTGACATCATTAGAATGCAGGAATGGGCATGCTTTGCCGGCCTGGCAGGCGCCCTGACGAAAGAACTTGCAAGGAACGTGCGACGTGTCTAAAACAGACGCAGGTCAGTCAGGATCGAAGCGTGGCCAGATGGTTCCTGATTGCAATGGCTCTTACTTTTAGTTCCTGGAGGACTCCTTGGGCCATCAAAAGCACCCATTCTCGCCATCCCCGAAGGATTGCGCAGGTGTCCGTTGCCAACGCGAGTATGCGGTGGCGCTGCCGGGACAGCCAAAGGCCCGTTGCCGTTGCCGTCTCCAGGTACGGCAACTCCGTTCGCCTGCATGTGTCCTGAGATGCGATCCTGAGGCTGATATCCGGGAGTATGTTGTTGCGTCGATGGTGGATGTTGAGGGAAAGGGTCCATGGACTCGGCGCCAGGCATGATATGCACTGGCGGGGTATGTTCAGTGGGTCAGTGGTGGGGATGAGATTATTATTGCACAGGTCCAAAAAGGTTGTCGGTGCTAATGCGGACAAGCGGCGGTCTTCGGTAGACCCCCTATGACGGAAGGGAGGTTGTGGCCGAATGATAGGGTTAAATTCTCCAGGGGGATGATGTTTGGCTGCCGGTGCGAATCTCGTGCTGAAGAGGGCGGTGAATACGCTCGCTGGGGTTAACTAAGACAACGAGAATAGAAATGGGACAGATCAATGAGTACAAAAGTACGCGGTTGCTGCAGTCGAAAGCTGCCACCCCGTCAGTAATTCTGCCGAGAAATTGCGAAATCAGTTTACCAAGTAGGGTCGCTACCGGCGGCAAAGCCAACGACTGGAGCGAGGGAGGGGGGGCCAAGTTGGCGAGAGATAAGTTAAGAACCTCAACACAGGGAAGGAATGGTGCAAAGGTTCCCAGCTACCTTTTGGACTCTAAGAAAGAACCCCTACCTTTACTAGAAGATTGATGTGCAAACCTTCATTCCATGATGAGTAAGGCTCCTTGCTCATGGAGTGATGTCGTTCAATTATCGCCCAAGCCTTTTGCTGAAGACTTGCTCGATCTCTTTGGGGGACCCTCGAGCACGACTGTTCGTTCTTCAAGTCGCAGATACCATCCATCAAGCCCATACCGAGTTGGGTAAAGTACATGTCAAAACCGCCTATTTCCGAGGCACGACCGACGACAGCCTCTACAGTAAATACTGCATGGATGATGAGGAGCGGAGTTGGCCAGATGATGCGTTGCGTGTTGCGTGGGAGGAATGACGATTTGATGTCTAAAATTTCCCGATAGCATTCATCTCCTTGTATCCTTGCACATAGTTATCATGTCGTACCTTCAGTCTCGTGGATGCGACAAAATATCCCTAGCACAGAAGGCACCGGGAAAATCATCATTGATAAGGCGGAGCACCGCCTCCAGGTGGCTAAGGACGGGGATGCCCGAACCAGGTGATCACACCTTATTGGGCACGCGGCGACCCTTCCCTTCCCAGTTCTGAGGATCACGTCAATCCTTGGAGCCAGAGCCAAGGTCTACACAGCACAGACCCAGGGCATCCGATATGCCCACCCCTCCTAGAAAACCATTAATCAGTTTGCCGGCTGTCTTTTCCGCTTACCGTAGCCCAAGAATGCTCATCTCTGCTCCCTCATGACCTCAAAACAACCAATATTGAGTCTACATATACCATCCACATCAAGCGTCATGCGGGCCGTTTTGTTGATTCAGCCTGGATGGTGGCTGCACGCTTCGAAATAAAGCTTGATTCGGGATCTTAGCATACAATCTTCCGTTCATCGTTGCGAGAAATAAATGGGTAATGCAAGGTCCAACATGAGACCTGCGGAGCAAATTCATGCAATATGCAAGATTAATGCAGCATCATCGAACCAAAACGCTACGCTTAATTAGTCAAATATGCTTCCTATCGCTCTAGGGACTGTCTCTACCATCCCAACTAACCATCATATCGAAGCTACCGAATGCTCTCCTGATCATCAGGGCGATCTCCTCGGATCTAGATAGTCAGGAGCTCAACCGGATCATCCTCAAGCCCCAGCCGCTCCTAAGCAAAGTCAGCCTGAGGGTAAGGGTACTTTCTAAAAACAACGGTGTCTCAACCTCCCAAGGAGTTGGTCACAAGGAGCAATCAAGTATTCACAGAATGTACCAAAGAAACGATGTTGTGAGCCAAGTCCAAACAACGCAGACGACAATCCCACTTTGGGTGCGTAGCCACTCCGGAGAGTACTTACCCAAAGCTCATTTTTAGTTGTGCCCTCCGGGACTGCATCAGAAAGTATTTTCCAAAGCTCTTTTGCGGCCTTTCTCCTCGAGCGAAAGCTGCGCATGAGCTTAGCCAATTCTTTGTTGATTTTTTCTCTTTCGCCAGCATCGATAGGCTGCATGTTTCCTGCGCGAAGCGGCTCCAACCTCTCTAGGAGCTGCTGCTTTTCGTCTTCAAGGGCTTTCGTCCTTTCAATAGTGTCCTTGGTTGACATTGTAGCATTTAATGTAGCAAGTTCTGCCTTCAGCGACTTTTCCCGCTCTTTGGCTTCCGAAATTTCCTTTTTGATTGTCTCGATATTTTTCTCAAATGAAGCTGTCTGCTCTTCGCTGAGGCACTCGTTCGGATCCTAGAGGAGAGTGTTGACTCGGGGCAAGTCATGAGCAAGCAAAATTGAATACCTACCTGCAAGGCATGGTACACAATTTGTTTTCCTGCGTTCAGTTATTTCCAACCTTTCGCCGCGTGCCTGCTTCCTCGCAAGTGCAGCCATCAAGTCCTCATACTTACCTGCTGCCTTTCCAACAATTTCCTGCCTCTCATGCAGCTCTTTTAATGTCTTCGCAGCAGCAGCTACGACTTCGTATCAGCCATGACCATTGTCATATTCAACCGGGCTTTGAACCTTTGGTAACCTTGTTGTGCAAATTCGCTGAGATATCTGTTGCCTTGGGCCTGTAAGTATTCCGTTTGTCCTGCTCCTTTCAGTACATACCGAGTAAGGCCGGCTATAGAGAATAGGCGTTCAAAATTAGTCAAGCACTCTCTCTTCAATGATTACTTTAAAATTTATCGTCTTTATACTTTTGTTTTCCTGAAGTGGCGCCTGTCAGTTTTTCCCCAACAAGGACCCTGCCCACATGCTCCTTCTCCACATCTTTTTGGGGTACTCACGTAGGTAATTCAAGATCATATCCGCAGCTAAGAAGTGTGAGTACACGTAGGAAGGTAACGTATGAAATGAGGACATATGATATAAGTGAGATTCCATGACATTTGGGGTCTGCACCTTGATCTGCCGATGGTTTCTCTTGTTTTTCGGTCTTTTCTTTGGTACGTGGAGCCATGGTCAATTTTTCGAAACTAGGCCAAGAGATGACACCTTCATGCGGTTGAAGTGATTTCCGAAGCAAAAAGAAGGATGGAGAGGTGGTGCAAAAGCGTAGCAAACAATATTTTGTTGGAAGAAACTTATGCAAATACGGACTAACGCATACGATTGGGTTGACACAATGCACATGTTTACATGAAAGCTGATTATGAAGGAATATTTCTAATTAACCCCCCATAAGATGATAGCTAACGTCATCATTAGATATCTTTACATTGATGGCTAATGAGTTTAATGTATTGTTGCAAGTCATGGGATATCTGCGAATATACAAATGGAATATATTAAATGCCCACCGCAAGGTACTTAATGATGTAGTAATGCAGACATGAAAAATCAAACTCCGCACCAGATGACGCCTTGGATATCAACTCCGAAATCGCAGAGCTTACAAACGCGCAAACCTTTAGATTTAGGAAGTAAACCATTCCAGATTTATCCTACATGATTGTCTGTATAAATTGTTAGGACTTCCACTCTTTGATGCTAATAAGAAAACAATAAAGGAGGCAGAGGCTTACACATTCGCCAGAGTCTTTGACGGCAGGCACACCCATTTCGTCAAATGTTTTGGGACCCTTTCCTGGAGGCTTGGCCAACGCTGAAGCTGCAGGCTTCTCTGAAGCCTTCGCCGGCGCAGGCAATGCGGCCGAGCCTGGTTTGGGACTAGGAGTTTTGCCTGCCGCTTGGGAGATTGGCGGTATTGGTCGTCCTGGAGAGTCAATTCGGGTCGGGGTCCGTCGGTCGTCTGTGGGTGGGCGTTGGGCTTGTGGATGAGGTGAAAGAGGTGGGGATTCGCTATGATCTTGGAGGCGACGTCTATTTCGCTGCTCGGTCGGGGGTGGATCCAACGGAGCGGAATAGCCAATGTCTACTGTTGGCGGCGCCGATGCGCCACTGGCAATTGGCGGTCTCGTATTATTACCGGGGCGACCTCTGGGATCGACACCGGCAGAGCCGCGGTATGGCTGGGTTCCTGGACCGGCAGAACCCAACCTTGGCGGGTAAGCTCCACGGCCTCTGCCCATGGTCGGACCCATGCCCGAACCGTCCATTACTGGAAAGGGGCGCTGAGGGTTGACACGAGGGCTTTGCCCTCCGATATAGGGTGCTGGGGGAGGTACCCCAGTAACGGTAGCCGCAGAGGTAGGCCGGAGATTAGGATTGATGCCAAAAGCGGACGTAGGCCGTATCGCGGGGCTCGACATGCCGTGAACTCCAATTGCAGGCCGAACTCCGGGTGCAGGTGGACCATCTTCAAGTGGGTAAGGAGCTGCAGTGGCTGGCCGAATTGGTGGTTTGATTCCGTAAGTGAAGGAAGCCGCGGGAGCGGATGGCGAGATCGGCGACATTTTTGCTGGATCAGGCATTTCGACGGCTGGTTCGGACATTAACGGTACGGGAGGGGTGGCGGAAGCTTGAATATGTTCACTCTCCCTCCGCTTTTGAGTCCCATATTGAGACTTGATCCGCGCCAGTGCAACACTTTCGTGATATTTCTTTGACAGAGTCTTAGACCTGGAAATACCCTCTAACCTGGCCGTCGCGTCCTTGTTTCCATGATCGGCCGCTTTGGCGTACCAGGCACGGGCTTCTCCTAAATCAACTGGTACGTGAACACCAACCTCATAAAAATATCCCATGGCGAATTCGGCGGTTGCCAATCCCGCGCCAGCAGCGCGCTGCGCATAACGGAAAGCGAGTTCCTCGTTTTTCTGGAATATCCCCTCAAAGCCACAGAGGAACCATTTGCTGATGGCCATTTCAGCTTCAGCTTCTCCCTGCCGAGCCGCTAAAGCATTGTAGTGTAAGGATAAGGCAGGGTCAAAGTCGCAACCCAGTTGGCAGAGCTCGTAAGCAGAGCCCATTTTCATTTGTGCCTTGGAGAACCCGAGGTAAGCTGCTTTTTCGATATAAATCCTTGCATTGTTGATGTCGAGTGGCATTGTAGTCTCGGAAAGTACAACTTGGGGCAAAGAGTGGGACTGAAGCATGCCGTAGACCTATGTTGCATCAGTAATCGCCAGTGATTTGCTGCGGCAGAAAGCAATAGACTTACATATGCACCTTGTGGTGCGTTTTCATCTGCGTGTTCCGCGGCAAATCTGATCCGCTCCACACCAAGCACGTAGTCTCGTGGCTCACCATACTGGCCGAAGAGATTCATCATTCCCAAACGCTACGTTCTGTCAGAAGAGTTGCATAAACAAACGTGGTTTAAAAGACATACATAGGTGGCGGCTGAGTCTCCTGCATCGAGCCCTCTTTTGTAATGGCGTACCGCTTTGGCCGCGTCATTTGAACTTTCGTATTGCATGCCAATACGATATTCTGCCCTGGCATAACCTCCGTCTGAGGCTCGACAGTAACAACGGAAAGCTTCCTTCTTATCCATTCGGAAACCGAACTTGCCAAATTCAAGCCACATTCCTCGCAAGAATGTAGCATGCGGATGTCCTTGGTCTGCTAAGAACTGCACGATGTTTATCGCATCCACACGTAGTTGGTGCTCAACCTCAGGTGTCCCGGGCCTGGGAGGCTGGTACTTGGCCAGGCGCGATTCATTCTCCGCCGCTATCTCGACGTATGTAAGCGCATCCTGTGCCCATGCCAGCTGCACTTCTGGATCTTGAGAGCCCAGAACGGCCACCCGAGCCCGTTCGAGAATAGCCTCTTTCTCGTCGTCGGTAGGAGGCACGTTGGGCGGAGGATTGTGTAGCTTTGGGAAAGGAGAAAAGCTTGGGAGGTCGATAGGATCGTATGGTCTCGATTGTTGCTGACTGCGTAAACTGATAAGATTTTCCTTTGAAACCCTGTGGGGGATCTGGGAGCTCTCGTTCCCTCGCACTTGCCACGACGGAGCCTTGTGCAATCCACGGCCGGCAGTGTGTGTTTGAGGCGGTTGCGCGAAACCGTGTGGGGGAGGTTGAGGTGATGCCGCGCTGGTAAAGTTTCTCGAATTATCTGCTCCCAACTCCAAATGGGCGAGGTTGCCCTGAATATTTTCTGGCACCTCGGGCATTATCCTGGAACGAAGCAGCCATTAGGAACACGCGTCCGTGAGGAATACATCATGTACAATTCTTCAAGTACATAACTGGGGAAATAGATGTCCATACCGTTGCGGAGCGGGCGAAACGACTTCGGGCATATAGAAATCATCAATCCCTCCGGGATAGAAGGTTGCTCCCATCTGGGGTTGAACGTAGCGCTCGTTCATGCCGAAGTTTTTGGCTGTAACGGAACTGTCAGTAATGCGTTACAACTGCGCTCTCATCCGTGATCAATGACGATGGCGTCACTCCAGCATCCCAGATGCTCGCTATATATCCACAGGGCGTCCAAGTCCATCGATGGGATGTGGACGCTGTATTGTTGGCCAGCAGAGGCTGTGTTTCTGGGCTCTGCATTCCCAGCGAGGAGCTAAAAGCGGAGCCGACATAGTGGGGGAACGTACCCTGTAGCCTGCCTTCCCTTCCGTCCTCCTTAGACTAATAGATGGTAAATATAGACGCTAGCAGGGAAAATCAACGTGAACCATAGGACAAAAAGATACTTTTGACTGACTGAGCAAGACTTCAATTATGCCCAGAGAGAATCCCAGAGCGGCACAGTCAGTCAGCGAGCAGAGCAGCGTTATGGATCTTTTGGGGGCGGCGCTTTTTCAAGTTTTACCGCAACGGTTTTATCGGAGGTGAAAAGGCCGCTGCGGGTTCGAAACAACCGCCACGATCACGAACGGACCGATCACTTAATACGTCCCCTATAGAAAAAGTATAAATGCATTATTCAATTAAGTAATCCGTATTGTTTCACTTTTCGAATTTGCCTGTCTTAACAAATTGTTAACATCCGTCACTTTTAATTATCATTTCCAGCACTCGGAATTTCCACGTCGTCATCTGGAATCCATCATGAACAGTATTTTAGTACAGATTTCCCTTCGTAGAGTAAATGCAAAAGGGACGATTACAATTTTACTTTTGCTGACTTACGGCAAGCCTGGACCCACTGTGATATCGTAGATATGTGCTGCAACTGACAGTACCTTATACGGTCAGTCCTTCAACTCCTTTACTAGTGCCGTGACGCTGTTTAAAGGGGAAAAGTAGTTAACTATTGTAAATACTAAAAGCCCCTTTTCTGAACAATCCTCTCCGCCCTAAATTAAAAACCGTACTCGGATAATTATACTTAGAGATTTTCCGCTGGAGCTTTACCTGTTTCAAGTGCCGCGTGTTGCTTTGAAGCTAAGTTAATCTTTGCTGCCTGAGACAGATTTCTCAGCTGACTCAGTCATGATTATTTGCTGCGCCTCGTTCATGTAATTTCTTTGAATTACTGGAAAGCAGCTTCTCTGTACATAATCAACCAGAGCACATAGGACTTCCCAAATATTCCTCAAGTCAAAGGGACAGAGATTGTAACGCCCCATCTCCTGGTTTTCTACCGTTCCATGGTGACCCTAATTTATTTTTGGTTTGGCATATTTTGCAATTTATTGAAGCATATTATATTATGAGACGGATTGAGGTAATTCAAATGAGTGTTCCCAGGAACATTTATAACTGTCAACACTGTAGCTCAGGCATAGAGAATTCATAAATAGAAACCAACAATTTTAGTGCTTGATAACAACTGCTTCACAGATTCATATTCCATATAATATAGTTTTCATGAATCCTCTGATCGAGTGGTTTATCCATGGTTGAAAAAGGAGCTTACCATAGTACCGCTATACAGCTGGCAGACCTTGAGTCTAACAGCCGGATTCGGTTAAACCGCTTGCACCAAAATCCCACGCGACAAGGGGAAAACGCGCCCCACGCGAAAGACAATTCTACCCCAGAGGGATTCCATATTAGGCCAGTATGAAGCAAAAGTCGTTCAATGCTAATGATGATGAAAGTGTCCCTGTTACATAAACCAGATCGTGTGCGTCAGTATCAATATGGCACAAGGGAAGACGGTCACTGTACTCCCGAGGAATTTCCATCATCCCTACACACCTTATGAAATTCAGCTGCAGTTTATGAATGCGGTCTATAGCTGCCTCGAAGATGGCAAGGTTGCAATACTTGAGTCGCCAACCGGTGAGTACCTTTTGGACCAGAATACAATGCAGTTAGACTTATACATAAAATAACTAGGGACTGTAAGTCATGCAAATCCCTTTTGATTTGCAACGTCACATCATTTGCGGCGACTTTTGTAGAATGTGACGTCAGAGCTCATGTAAATATTCAAATCGAAAAGAATTTGAAGCGGGTCATAGCTGTGCGCACATTGCATATATGTTGCCCGCAAATATTATTTTGAACCATTAGTCGCTGATTATCGACCTGGCAGGGGAAATCTTTGAGTCTAATATGTGGATCCTTGACCTGGCTGCGCAATCATAAGCGCAAGGAGTTCGAGGAAGACGAGAGCACAGCGAATGGTACGTTTGATCGCTTTCTACTCTGAGGCAGATTCGACTAACAGAGCTAGATGAAAATGAACCGTCTTGGATTGTTGAATATGCCCAGAGGCGGAGGCGCGAAGCTGCTGCTCAGAAATTGTCAGATCTCAAAGAAAGACTTGACAAAATCCGCGAAGGTGAAAGAAGGCAATTATTGGAGTACCAGCATGGTGAAATCGTACGCAAGAAAAGGGTATGGATATTTCTTGAGTTGAAAATCCATGTGAAAGCTAAGAGAGGTAGAAAATAGAATCCACCCAACACACTGCGGATACCGAACCTGAAGCACGATTTGCTCTAGACGACTATGAAAGCGATGAGGAAAATGGGAAAACTAATCCAGTACAAATTCAAAACTCGGAGACTGGCTTTTCTGCAACCACGCAGGAATTGATGAAGAGACTTGGTATGCCAATCGGCGAAAAGAGGCTAGATGAAGAGGATGTTGATGATGGACCTAAGGTAGCTGCTACGTTGTATTCAGATGAGCGCCGCTGAGAGATTATAGATATACTTTTGCTCAAGAACTCATTCGCAACTAACCCAATTTGCGGAAGAGTTACGAAGGGTGAAGTTACCAGCTGGAATTCCGCCTGAGCCTAATTCTGAATCGGCTTCTGCAAATAAAAATCAGGTGGAATTAGAGGAGGAAGTTCGTCACCTCACTCTCGGCTCGCGAAGGAACCTATGCATCAATCCAGCTGTCTCAAAGCTGCGAAGCCCCACTGCGATCAATGAGAAATGTTTGGATTTGCAACAGCCTGGCGCGTCAAAATGTCCATTCTTGCCAACGAAAGAAGATCAAGTCTTGGTACACGAGTTTCGCGATCATGTCATGGCCAACGTTCGGGACATTGAAGACATGGGTGTACTCGGTAAAAAGCTGGGTATCTGCCCTTATTATGCGTCCCGATCATCAATTCCGCCGAGCGAGGTATGTTCAGCTGCATCTTGGGAAGCTTCTTGGAAACTGACTTTTCGGAGATTATAACGCTGCCTTATCCGTTATTGCTGCAGAAATCTGCCAGAGAATCTCTTGACATTAATTTGAAAGGCAACGTTGTAATCATCGATGAAGCACACAACCTCATGGATGCGATCAGCGCGATATATTCTACAACCATATCGCATAGCGTGCTAAAACGGGCTCGAACACAGCTTGCAATTTACCTACAGAAATTTCGAAACAGACTAAAGGGAAAGAATAGAGTCTATGTCACTCAAGTTGTGCGACTGATGGACTCTATCACGGTATGTCTCGAGAAAAAAGATGCTACTCTCACTGGCCAAGACGGTATTGCTCAGCTCAGCGACTTGATGGCCGGCAAGGGCACGGACCAAATCAACTTGTACAAATTAGTCCATTACCTACATGAGAGCAAATTGGCTCGTAAGGTCGATGGTTACACTTCGCATGAACAGCAGCAGGCGGGCCATGTAGAATCCAAGCACCTGGCATCATCTCGAGAGCCCTCTAAAGGCTCCCGTGCAACAGATATGGAAAGGGCCATGCCAGCTCTGAGTCAGTTTCAAGCCTTCTTATTAGCGTTGACAAATCCTTCTGGGGAAGGACGGATTTTCTTCATCAGAACAGAAGATGGCGAGCCTTCCTTTAGGTATATGTTGTTAGACCCCACACATCATTTTAGAGAGGTTGTGGAGGAGGCGAGAGCAGTCATCTTGGCGGGTGGGACAATGTCACCGGTAGATTCCCCCTTCCTTCTCTTGCGGACCTTTTACTAACCGTTATAGATGAGTGATTACATGAACCATCTGTTCAACTATCTTCCCAAGGAACGTCTAGAAACACTCTCTTGCGGCCATGTTATCCCCTCTGAAAACTTGGTTGCATGGCCAGTTGCCAAGGGGCCTTCCGGCCTCGAATTTGACTTTACATTCGAAAAGAGAAAGGAAGATAATGTGATTGATGAATTGGGCCGTGCAATCTTAAATCTTTGCCTGGTAATTCCAGACGGCGTGGTAGCATTTTTCCCGAGCTATGCATACCTTGAAAGTGTCATTCAACGGTGGCAGAAGCAGATTGGCGCGAACAAATCTATTTGGGAAAGATTGTCGGCGCGCAAAGAAGTCTTCACTGAATCTAAAGGGAGTGCTAGTGTTGACGAGGTCCTGCAGAGCTATTCTACATCTATTACAAATGGCAGAGGAGGTCTCCTCTTTTCAGTTGTCGGTGGTAAATTGTCCGAGGGAATCAATTTCTCTGATAGATTAGGACGAGGTGTCATTGCGGTCGGTCTCCCATTTCCAAATGCGCATAGTGCCGAGTGGAAAGCCAAGCTTGAGTATGTTCAACAATCCGCCTTGCAGAGGGGGGAGAGTAAGGAACAAGCCAAACTGGCAGCAAGGGAAGTATATGAGAATGCTTGCATGCGCGCTGTCAATCAGAGTATTGGCAGGGCGATTCGTCATAAAAATGACTATGCTGCCATAGTCCTTCTGGACAAGCGGTTCAATTTGGATAGGATACAAGGTAAACTGCCCGGCTGGATACGAGAAGGTCTAATTCAAGATGGAATCTCAAAGCCTTTTAACACGTTGATGAGCAGCGTGTCAACATTTTTTAGATCAAAGAAAATCTAATGAAAGTTAAAGAATTGTGCTATCAATTCCAAAACTGCTACTCTGGCTACGTACTGAATTTGGGTTCACGCTCAACTAAACAAATATTCATGCCAATCTATGCGTATTCAGGTTCCCCGGCGACTCTCAGATCTGTGGGGTTTCCCATAGTCCAATCAAATTGCGCGTTCAAAAACTTTCTGTGGTATTCAAGTGCTTACCCGGCTGTTTGCTGACTAATAGAGAAGATGAGCGCAGCAATAAAGTTTGAGTAAGGGCTTGCCCTGTCCAAGCGAGCGCCAGGCCCACGCCCAGACGAACCTCAACACCAGGTGGTTTGACGTATCGCGAAATCGACAGCGACGACACCCAACCTCCGACGCCAAGGTAGTAACCGTCAAGATGCCTACCAGATTCTCCCAGACCAGGAAGCAGTACGTCTCCCAATTTTCCGCTTGATACGAATCGTCGTTTCCGCGTCTGGAAGAGGAGAGAGAAAGGGAGGAGATTGCGAGAGAACGAAGGAAGCGTACAGGACGACCAGTTTCGGCCGATGAACGAGCATATGCAAACCCACGATGTTCCAATTACGACCGAATACCCATCAGATGTTTACGATTATCGTTCTCTCACTATCTCTCTCACTTTCTTCTCTCCGCATCCCGTTCGCATATAGTTATCAGTGCAAGAATGCCGCGGCAAGGAGGGATCTTGTGCTAATGGTTTTTTCTTCTATAGCCGTGGTCACGTCTCGGCCGGTCATGGTCGTATCGGCAAGCACCGGAAGCATCCCGGTGGTCGTGGTATGGCCGGTGGTCAGCACCACCACAGAACCAACGTCGACAAGTACCACCCTGGTTACTTCGGAAAGGTCGGAATGAGATACTTCCACAAGACCACCCAGCAATTCTGGGCCCCTACCATCAACCTCGACAAGGTGCGTAAGATTATTTAGATTTTGGAGGAGGAAGCGAAAATATTGCAACGGGAGAGTCCAGTCCAGAAGAGGAGGAGATTTTGCGATAATGCAACAGCGCATGGGAACACCAAACCAACAGTTATCTGGTTGCAGAGGAATGGGACGTCATACTTGTTCCTTCTGGGTGGTTGATGCAGACATGGGACAGGCGATTTTACTCGCGGACTGGACTCTGGATACCCAACGCTTGGTGTCTTCGCAATGCGGAAAAGACTCGAGAACGAACGAAAGGCTGACATGTGTGATTTCTTCGTTTAGCTCTGGACACTCGTCCCCGCTGAGAAGCGCGACCAGTACCTCGTCGAGAAGAAGAGCGACAGTGCTCCCGTCCTCGACCTCCTGCCCCTTGGCTACGCCAAGGTCCTCGGCAAGGGCCGGATCCCTGAGGTCCCCATCGTTGTCCGTGCCAGATACTTCTCCCGGGAGGCTGAGCGCAAGATCAAGGAGGCTGGCGGTGTTGTTGAGTTGGTTGCATAAATTGGGGAATATCAGGCTGCACCACTTGTTTCCTTTTTCGATAAAAATTTATCATGAGCTAGGCAAGACCTAAATAAAATGTCTGGATCGGAAACGATATGGTTATCAAAATTGCCCGGAATGGAATTTGATGCCTCTTCAACTCTGTTGATTTGGCCAGTGATGCTTATTTCCCCTTGGAAGATGGATAAGTTTCGGACCGGCGATTTCGTTCCTGCGGTCATACTTGCACGTGATTGATCTCATCGATGTCCTTCGATCCTAATCTGCCTCAAATATCCCGAATTTTGACACGGATTATCATTTTTCAATCAACGTACCAATCTCCTTTATCGCCATGTCGATCTATGGTAAGCAAGACTGGGCGTCAATTGTGCTCTACAGTGTGCAAATCATATATTAGAGTCACATGAAACCATTCATTCATCTAGGTATACACGCCCGGTTGTCCACGACACAAAGTCAAATGATGACGCAAGAAAGAAGCAGCAACAAAAAGAAGCAAAGGACAGAAAGTAAACCCCCAGCAATGACTCGACAACATGACAAAATGCGTTGATGGCATATATAGTATCGTTATGCATCCCATTCCTCAAGACAACATACGCCAACAAAGACAAAAAGTACAAAAACAATGACTCGGTAAAAAACAAGAAAAAAAGCGGAATGATGCAGATGCAGAATACGAAACCCGCAAAGAGACCACACCCAAATGCACACTGACCCTTGAACCCCAATTTAAAACATCCCTGGATATTAACATACCATGCTGTAAGCCCCGAAGATATGAGCTGATTAAAAAACCGTCCTCTTTCTATTCCTTTTCTAAAGCATTTCTACCTCGTCATCCTCGGCGGCGCTTTCTCCCGCGCCTGCTAAAAACTCGTGACGAAGGGCTTCTTCAGCAGAGATTCTCTTCTCGGGGTCCAGCTCCATGCATCTCTGCAGGAATCTGACCGCTTGTTGTTCATCGGCGGATAACGTTTCTTCGCGACCGTCCTCTCTCTTACCGCTACGGCTTGTCGACCAGAGGATGATTTTCTCAAAGCTAAATCCGCGCTCGCCAATGGTAGGAATGTTGGCCTCAAAGACGGTGCCGTGGAGAAGTGCACAAGCACGCATGCGCTTGGCGCCGAAGATGGTAGCGATTTCAATCATGGCGTCGATGTCGTCTGCTGAGTGGAAAAAGGGGAAGCGTCGAGCAAGGATGGTCAGCAGGATCACGCCGGCGGACCATATGTCGATTTCTTGTAGAGCATGGCGTTAGCGGTTAGATGCTTGAGCATGAGCGTGTTGGGGGGGACAACTGGAGGTGTTTATAGGCTTACTGGTTGTTTGGCTTGGGCATTTTAATAAAACTTCTGGTGCTCGAAACCCTCTGGTTCCTGCGCGATTGGCACGCCGCGAATTGCGTTGGTCATTCTTGGGGTAGCCTGTTGCGGCTCCTTGCTGAGCTGCAACGCTGGAGGCGATCCGCTCGCGGCGCTCTTGAGGGTGGTCCTGGCATATGCAGGGCGCCCAATCTGTCCCTTCGCGCTGTGGTGCAGAGATGTTAGCGCCTTTTAAGGTCAAAAGAAAGGCAAGGCAGGCCATACCTCTGCTAAGCCAAAATCGACTAGGACACCTCGTTCCCGGTATATATCGTAAAGAAAGTTACTGAGATATGTGAGCTGAAGTTTCATACAAATAGCGGGACTTACTTACGTCGGCTTAATATCTCGATGCAGAATCTCATGTTCATGAACAGCGGCGAGCGCGGCGAATAGTGAGCGAAAGTACACTCGCATGTCGGGCACGGTGAAGTCCCGGAAGTATTCCTGAAAGGCATCTTAGGAAAATATGTCTTTTGCAAGGAGCAAGCAGGAGCCACGTACCCGAAAGTCTACATGGCGAAAGTATGGAAGGACAGCCACAACTTGGTCCTGATGTCGAAAAGCGGTGATTAGTGGGCATACAGACTCGCATCCTCGGAGGTCATGTAGAAGTTCTAGTTCATTCTGGATGCGCATTGGGCTGCTGGTGACGTAGATCTTTTTGATTGCAACATATCGAGGGCCTCGTCTTCTTCGCGCTCGCTCATTTGCAACCGAATATCCGGCATCGTCAGTCCGTCGCCGCTTGACCGGCGGCGAAAACCATTTCTGGTCCTCTTTCTCCTCAAGGTCCCACTCGTTGACGTAGTGGTCGTATAGAAGGTCTTCGGCTTTATATACGGTTGAAAAAGTGCCTGCGCATCATTTGTTGTTAGCTTCAATGTCTTGTCTAGCAAACAATGTAACAGTAAGAGCCATGCCTTCTCCGATCCGATTGATCAGACGAAATCGTTTTGTTATGCCCTTGAAGGTCTCTTCGAATTTCTCCATATCGTCTAGAACTGACTGGTCGACGAATTCGTCGCTGCCTTCGGATAAATATGATTCCTGATCACTGTCAAACTCCTCATTACTTCGCGCGGTCTGATCTAGCGATTTCGTCTCTGTCCATTCGCCTATGGCGTCCTGTTGTGGTTCATGGACAATGAAGGGATCCGTGGCAGGCTGGCCTTGCACAACTGAAGCCATTGTTTTGTTCTGGTGGATTTTAGCCGATTTCAAGGCTGAGAATAGAATGAGGTCGAGCAAGAAGATATTATTGGACCATTGAAAAGTGTACAGTCTTCATAGTAACATGCTGAGATCTGGCGGGGTCCTGCAATCGAAGGTTCGTCGAACGCGAAACAAATGTAAGTCAAATCACACGCTATTCCCAGAGCAGTAAAACAGACACAATCAAACACGGCCGCCTCTTAGCGGAACAAACCCGCATCATCGTTGTCCCGCTCTCTTGTTTTCCCATTTGGACGCGGTCAACAAATACGACACCCCTCAACCTCTACCACTTTCTGGGCTCATTCACACCCGTCGATTGCGCGCAATCCGCGCAGAGATTTTGCCCAAGATGGATGACCGTGTTGAATTCGACATTAACGAGTCGCTCAAGTATTACCTGAGCGATCCCGCTTCGGTGCCCACGCCGGGTGCTCATTCGACCTTGGTCGACTGCGAGAACGATCCGGAATCGCTCACGAATTCTCTTATCAATAGTGCATTGAATCCGATAGTGGACTCGGTGGCAGAGGATCCTGAGGCTATTACGAGAAGTTCCTCGTTTGATACATTACAGTTTTTGTTAAAGTGTGCCCCCACATGTCCCGACTCGAGCCAGAGATTTCCGAATGAGCCTGATTCTGAACTTTTCAAACTCTCCAGATCTGTTTCGATATTACCCACGCATGCCTTGAGTAAGGTGTTCGACCTGGTCGTCTCCGCGCTCTCGGCAGAAGCCGACATAATCCAAAATGACCTTGAGAGCGACGAACAAGATCTTATCCAACATCACAAGAGACTATTGGAGATGTACGGCTTCCTTCTCCAGTGGACTGTCTCTGCGGTAGAAACGAAAGCTGCAGAGAAACCCGCTGCGGCTCCAGTTGCTAGAGGCAGAGGCGCTGGCAAAAGTGCTAAATCGAGAACGAGCACAAAGGACGCGGCATGGGATCCTTCAACCCAGCTGCAGACAGCTTTGGATATCATGTGCAAAGTCTTGAAGTTGAAGCTTGCCAAGCTATTCATGACAACATCAGAGCGCGACACCTTCGTTAGTCTCTTTACACGGTCTGTTTATCTCATACTGGAAAGCGAGGCGCGAGTGAAGAATACGTCGATTCGCATGCACACTTTCAAGGTTTTGTGCATTGCTGTCAAGCACCATGGACATGCCTTTGGTATCATACCCGTTGCAAGGAATTATGGGAGACTGAGCTGACGATTGCAGGCGCGCAAACCTCCATCATTCAGAACTTATCCTACTTTGAACATCTTTCAGAGCCTATGGCCGAGTTTCTACATATTCTTTCGGAGCAATACGATTATCCTCAACTGGCAGATGAAGTTCTTCGGTACGTATAACGGCTACTGTCGACAAGTACCAGGCTTACACGTGGACAGAGATTTGAGCAACAAGGAGTTCAACAGCAACGATAACAGAGGTCCAAAATCGGTGTCTACCTTTATGATCAAACTTTCAGAGCTTGCACCTCGGCTTGTAAACAAACAGATGACCATGCTTGTCAAGCAGCTCGACAGCGAAGTAAGTATTGTCAAATAATTACTGAATTCGCGCTAAACATTAATAGTCGTACACTCTTCGCTGCGCAATCATTGAAGTCTGCGGAAACCTCATTGCGGACCTCAGCAAACAGGTTGAGGAGAACGAGAGCCATAAGACGCAAATCAACGCTTTCTTCGATGTTCTGGAAGAACGCTTCCTTGACGTTAATCCTTACTGCAGATGTAGATGCTTACAAGTATATGCCAAGTTGTGCGATCTGGAAACCAAGTTTCCCAAGCGCCGTCAAACCGCAGCAGAGCTGGCAGCAAGGAGTCTAGAGGACAAGAGTAGCAACGTCCGGAGAAACGCAATCAAGTTGTTGGGTCGGCTCATCGCAACTCATCCCTTCAGCGTTCTTCACGGCGGACAGCTTTCATACAAAGAGTGGAGCACTAGACTTCAAGCTGTGGATGCCGAACTCGATGCACTGAAGCCGCCATCAGATACTCCTGGCCTTGCAGAGAAGCCCGCCGCAGGAGACACTACGGTAGATGACGAGCTCTTGGATGATGTCACTAAAATGGACTTGGACGACGGGCCGGAGGAGCCTAAGGAAGAGCAAATGACCGAGGAGCAACAAGCAGCAGCTATGCAAAAAGCGGCGGAGGAAGCAGCCACGTCGGAGCAAATTGGCAGGTTGAAGCTCACGAAACGATACTATGCCGAAGCGCTGCGGTTTATTGAGGTTTTGCACAATGCCTCGGAAATTGTCTGCCAACTACTCTCTGCAAAGAACAAAAGTGAGGTGATTGAGGCGATGGATTTCTTTGTCATCATTGATGCCTACAAGATCGAGACAGCGCGAGTCGGCATTCGGCGAATGCTTCGACTCATTTGGACCAAAGGCAACAGCGACGAGGGCAAGGGCGTGCAGACTCATCTTATCGAATGTTACAAAGGCTTGTTCTTCGAAGCTCCCGACTCCTTCAGCGCCAACGATGCCGCCAACTACATTGCTCGCAACATGATCAGTTTGACATTTGGCGCCACGCCAGCGGAACTGACTTCTCTGGAACAGCTCCTTAGCACGATGATGAAGGCTGAACATATCTCTGAGCTAGTAATCACAAAGCTTTGGCAAGTCTACGGCGTCCAGAAGAAGGAAATCTCACGGAACCAGAGACGTGGAGCGATTATCGTTCTTGGCATGCTTGCTCTGGCAGATCCGGATATTGTTGTCAGAGAGATGGAAACAATGCTCAGGATAGGGCTGGGCCCCCACGGAAGAGCTGATCTTAGCCTTGCAAAGTACACCTGCGTCGCGCTCAAGAGAATGAACCCTGGTCCCAAGAAGGCCAAAGGTACCAGTGTCTGCATGCTAAGGTCTGAACACAAGCTAACCGACATTTTGTAGAATCTCCTATCGCAACTTCCAAGTTGCCCAACGATCACGCTGTCTTGACAAAGCTTGCTGCTATCACGGAAGTTACTACAGACAACAAAGAATGGTAATATTAACAGAGGGAACACATAGATACACGATCCAGATACTAACTGAGAACCAGGTTCGGAGTTGCTGAGCAAGCAATTGGAGCCATCTATGCTTTGTCAAAACACCCTGACAACCTTTGTTCAGATATTATTCGACGCAAAACCAAGCAGGTCTTCCACAACCAGACTCAGCAATATGAGCAGGAAGAGGCTGCCGCCGCCGCCGAAAAGAGTGGATTGCTGTCACCGCCTCCAGAGGACACCACAGAAACGCCGGCCACCCAGCAAAAGCCCCAGAGGAGCGCCCTCGGCCTGTCTCAACTCCTTTTCATTGTTGGACACGTCGCTATCAAGCAAATTGTGCATCTCGAAATCTGCGAATTGGACTTTAAACGACGAAAGGCCGAGAAGGAGAAGGCACTCCCGGCGAATCCATCTCCGAAGAAGGGCGGAAATGCAGCAGTGGATCAAGATGAATTAGACCTCATCGGCGGCACGACAGAGGATGACTTCACCGAAGCGATGGCGCATATCCGTGAGCGGGAACTGCTCTATGGCGAGCATTCTCTGCTCTCAAATTTTGGTCCTCTCGTCCGGGAGATCTGCTCCAACAATATCATCTACAAGGATCGCAATCTGCAGGCCAACGCTACGCTTTGCATGGCAAAGCTCATGTGCGTTTCCTCTGAATATTGTGAAGCCAATCTGCCTCTCCTTATCACCATTCTCGAGCGGTCCAAGGATCCGATTATTCGGAGCAACGTTGTCATCGCACTGGGCGACATGGCGGTGTGCTTCAATCATCTCATTGATGAAAACACAGACTTCCTCTACCGACGTCTGAATGACCAGGATGCCTCTGTGAAGCGGACATGTCTAATGACGCTGACCTTCCTCATCCTCGCCGGACAAGTCAAGGTCAAGGGCCAGCTGGGTGAGATGGCCAAGTGCCTCGAGGATTCAGATCGCAGAATCGCCGATCTGTCGCGCATGTTCTTCACCGAACTGGCAACCAAGGACAATGCCGTATACAACCATTTCGTGGACATGTTCTCCTTGCTCAGCGCAGAGAAGAACCTTGATGACGAGGCGCTCAGGAGGATTATCAAGTTTTTGGCTTCATTCATTGAAAAGGTAAGCTTCTTCTGCTGTCTTAATACAGTGTCTCTTGTGCCGCAGCAGCACCCTTCCCGGATTCGCGTTTGGCTCGTTATGCGGTACGTCGAAAGTATGATACACTAACGCTCTTCTCCTACAGGACAAGCATGCCAAACAGCTTTCCGAGAAACTCGCTGCCCGCCTCGGTCGTTGCGAGAGCGAGAGACAATGGAACGACGTTACGTATGCGCTCTCGTTGCTGCACCACAAAAACGAAGAAATTCAGAAGACGGTCGAGGCTGGATTCCGCGTCGTTCAAACGACCGCTTAGTTTGGGACTTGTCGGTGTTATTCTGGTATTTTTTTCTGTAGATTTTCTCCTTTGAAGGAGTTGTACAGGTCATGTCGACGCTATCTGATTTGGGTGAATTGCCAGGCAATGTTGTGCTGGTTGTTGAATGGGTGCAACGGGAACGTTTTCCATAATGGTTTTTTGGCGGTTTTGCGGTTTGGCGCTTTAGAATTTGGCTTGACGAGGATATCATTCATGAATATTGATTTCTTTTACCTTATCACCTGCTGCATTTGAGGCTGTGGCATAGATTGGACCTGGGGCGGTATTATAGGTTCCATGCCGTCGCCAAAATTCGTTCCTTGTGCGAGCGCTGTGCCCTCTTTGAGATATAGAACCAGCCGAAAGGCGGTGTTGCCATTGAGATAATATCGATGAAGCCGCTTGCTTCTGAGAAACCCTAGACCTTCGTAGAGCTTCATGGCAGCTTTGTTCGTAATCTCGGTTTCTAGAGCAATCTACGGAAAGTTAGAGAGACGCCGAAAGTAATGATAAGAAGCTTGGTAATGACATACCTCGTCCGCCTTCAACTCAATCATTCTGTCGATTGCCATGCGCACGAGCTTCGTGGCGATGCCTTGGCCCCGGTATTCTTCCCGCACAGCAAGCATTGCAATGTAGCCGCGCATCGGGCCGCCTCGGTGTGGTTCTAATTTGCAGACAACGACGCCAACAAGGTCGTCGTTTGAGTCGAGTGTCTATATTAAAATCGCGTTGGCAGAGATTCGATATATCTATCTTTGAGGAATTGGACGAGACTCACCATGTAACATAGATGGCCCCATTGATATAGGAAATACCGGTAGACGTAGAGACTGTATGGCTCGGAGAGGTCCTTGGAGATCAGTTGTCTAATGGCAGCCATGTATTTAGGCTCTTGGCTGCTGTCGTATTGAACGTAGCGCAGCTCAGAGCTCCGGCTTGCTGTCGCTGTAGCTGTCATTGCGAAAATCGCCGTTTAGTTTCTGTGAACGGGAATGCCTCAAAGAGAAGTACGGAAGAGAAAGTAAGTAGAGGTAGGCGATTCAGGGAAATCAGCCGCGCACAGATCGCTGTCACAAGCAAATGGATTTGTTGTATAAGAAGAGTGGGATATAATGAGGCAGTTGATAGAGTGTATAGTATCAGATAGTCGCGTAGTTAAAATATGTGGATCGTTCGGGGGAACAACAAATGGGATTTGCCGAGAAAAGATGTGTGTGTTGTGTTGTGTGATAAGTCAGGCATGAACATTAATATTTCAGGCAAACATTTATCAGCCCTTTTTTTCGTATTAAACCTCTTAAGGAGCAGATAGCCTGCTTCTTCGCTTCAAATGATACTACACTGAGGTCGAAAAGCAAAAAATAATAAAACTACGAAACCCTCTACACCTCTCCCCCGCCATGTCGTCCTTGCGACGACGCATCTTGGGAGACAACAATATTCCGTCATCGGATGTTTCGCGTGAGGTGACGCCCGATAGAGAAGATGATGTGCGCGCCAAGCTACGCCAGGTCCGCCAGGATCTGCGAGAGCATAAACGTGCCAAAGGAACTAAACGCCGAAACACCTTTATATTTGTTCTGGGAGGTCTCGTGGGTGTTTTTGTTGCCCTCTTCTTTGCGCACCAGAATGATGTCATCAACTTCGAGGGCCTGGCCGAGCTCAATCTGGACTCCTTGATTGATGTGATTCCTGCGAGTATTATGAAAGATGCGCGTGATATCCAGGTATGCCGTACAAATTCCCCCTCAATAAGTCAATGGATTTTGTTGAATTGGAGTGGTTGTATCCAATATCTTTCGCAGGAGTTGCACTGACGATGTGTTGTTAGCAACATGAGCGAGATGCGGTCAACTACGACGCTTTTGCTATCGGACTACACTTGAGCAACCAAGGCATCAAAGCCAAGCATCCGGTCATTATGATTCCAGGAGTGATCTCGACTGGTCTGGAGAGCTGGGGCACAGACGAGCGGTCGCGACAGTACTTTCGCAAGCGCCTCTGGGGCAGTTGGAGCATGATGCGCGCACTGGTCATGGACAAAACCAGTTGGAAGCAGCACATCATGCTAGATAAAAATACCGGGCTCGATCCACCGGGGATCAAGCTTCGCGCGGCGCAAGGCTTCGACGCGGCCGACTTCTTCGTCACGGGCTACTGGATCTGGAGCAAAATTCTCGAAAACCTCGCAACTATTGGATACGATCCTACCAACGCGTTCACCGCCGCGTACGACTGGCGGCTGTCGTACATGAATCTGGAAACCCGCGACAACTACTTTACGCGGCTAAAGAGCCATATTGAGCTTGCGAAGCAAATCTCGGGCAAAAAGGCCGTGCTTGTCTCGCACAGTATGGGCTCGCAAGTCCTCTTCTACTTTTTCCACTGGGTTCAAGCCAAAGGCTACGGCAACGGCGGCGATTCATGGGTCGAAGACCACGTCGACTCATGGATTAACATCAGTGGCTGCATGCTTGGCTCTCTCAAGGGCATGCCTGCCGTGGTATCTGGCGAAATGAAAGATACAGCACAACTGAACGCGTTCGCCGTGTACGGGCTAGAAAAGTTTCTCAGTCGCGAAGAGCGCACGGAGATTTTCCGCGCCATGCCCGGTATCTCCAGCATGCTTCCCAAGGGAGGTAATGCAGTCTGGGGAAACGAGACGTGGGCACCCGACGACACAGAACACCAAAAAGTCACGTTTGGCCCGTTCATCAACTTCAAGGAATCGAATTCCTCGACGTCCCCTAGAAATCTCACCGTCGAGGCAAGTCTCGAGTATCTTTTTTCCAACAGCGAGGAATGGTACCAGAAGGCGGTGCTCGACGCTTACTCGCACGGCGTCGCGCATACTCGCAAAGAAGTCGAGGCGAATGAGCGCGATCCCCGGAAATGGGTCAACCCGCTGGAAACGGCGCTGCCGAATGCCCCGAATTTGAAGATTTATTGCTTCTATGGCATTGGAAAGCCGACAGAACGCACATACTTTTACCGCGAGGAACACTTGGCTGCCAAGCTCAATGTCACCATCGATACGTCGCTGACTATAGGCAATATCGATCACGGTATCGTCATGGGCGAGGGCGACGGCACTGTTCCCCTGCTGAGCAACGGATACATGTGCGCCAAGGGCTGGAAAATGAAACGGTATAATCCAGCAGGCGTCAAGGTGAAAATGTATGAGATGCCGCATGAGCCAGACCGCTTCTCCCCTCGTGGTGGACCCAATACCGGTGAGTTCTTTTTTTTCCCTCCCTTCAATTAAATTTTTTTATACCCTCTTATCTTTTTCGCTTCTATTCATATTTTTTCTTTCCTCTATTACTCTCCTTTCCTTCCTTTTTTATTTTCTGTTTTATTTTGTTCTATTTTCTACTCTACAACATTCAAAACACCATCTAACTACCAAACCCTCCAGGCGACCACGTCGACATCCTCGGCCGCGCATCTCTCAACGAACTCATCTTGCGCGTCGCCGCCGGCCATGGCGACGAGATTGAAGACACCATCTTGTCCAACATTCTTGAATACTCTGACCGCGTCAAGATTTATGACGACGAGTAGCTGTGCGCTGTAGTAGCGGTCCGCAATCATGCTACTCTCTTTTCTTTCTCTTATCTTATCCTTTTTTATGATTCCCCGATTTCCTTCCCCGATTCCCCGATTCCCCACATGATTTTTTTCTTTGATTTTTCTACTTTTTACTTTATTTATATTGTTTTTTTAGGTCATCTCTAATACCCAAGCCTTTTCTATTCATTTCTATTCATTTCTATTCGTTATTTTCATTATATTCATTTATCTCATTCGTGTTTAGTCATGGCTTTGTTACTATTCATTTCATTTACAACGCATCTCTCGAGAGCGGACACATTTTATCCATTTTACCTCCGTACCGTCTAGAATTATTCAACTTACACTAACTTAGCCCACATCCTTTACTCCATATCCCATTTCACCATGCCTTGTCTCGGGTCCTCGGGTATGATATATTGGATGAAATTCATTAGAGCACATCATGTACACGGTACACTACTCCGCGTTAAGTTTTATTATTTCGTGGGAGACTGGAGTTGATCATGATAGATAATATTTAAATCGAACTTTCTTTTTCCTTTCGTTATATAGTCTAACTAATACACACATTCAAAAAAAAAAAAAAAAAGAGAAAGAAAGAAAAATTTCTAGGCACGCTGTGATATCTACATAAAAAAAAATCAAGGACTGCAGGTGAAAAGACCAAAGGAGAACCAACAAGAAGACAGTCTAAAGACAGTCTAGTCTAAACTTCAAACACTGCACGTTATCGTCATCGATTCAACACCCCGTGAAACCATTTAATAGGGCCGCTGCTGTTGATAACCCGGCTGGTACGTCGTTCCTTGCTGCTGATGCGCCGGCGTCTGCGTAGGCTGGGCCACATACCGCTCCTCGTTACCATTCACGGTGACATACGCCCCTTGCTGTCCCATTTTCACATTGTCACGCACATCCCTCTCCTCGTCCCCGGCGGCCGAAGATGTGGATGATGCTTCCGACGTCTCAGGACCAGCCCCCGCACCGTCACGAGGATTGCTAAGCTTGGCCACCAGCAGCCCTGCAGCAAGGTACATGGCCACAATGACAAACTCTTCAAGCACGGCCATGAAGGCCTGCACAAAGACATTTCCCACCACAGTATTGAACGTCAATTTCGTCGGCGACTCGAATGCGCCAATGAGAGAATAGAGCAGTCGCACAGCGAGAAAAGGAATGCTCCCTGTGACGGCATATACGAGTTTCCGTTCACCCTGAGGAACATGGCGGAGCTTGAAGAGCGTGAGGAAGGTGAGCGCTGATTGGATAACGTAGACGACAAGGAAGATGATGATTGCGATTTTCATGAATTTGCGGCCGCCGTTGTTGCTGGTGGGGGAGGAGCTTTCTTCGGAGCCGCCGGTGATGGCGAGTATAAGAGCGACAAGGGTAGGAATGTGGAGAAGTGTGAAGGTACGCCCGGGAAGACGGTGCGAGGAGGGGAGAGAGTCGTCGCTGGATGAGTATGTTAGTTGATTTGACTCATTTAAATGAAGCGGATGAAATGGATTTGTAGGGGCAGCCAACTTGTAGGTAATGTAGAGGGGAATTGTAGGGGATGTAAATAGGGAAAAAGAAGGAGAAAAGGAAAGGGACAAAGGCAGACATACACTCGCTTCAACAATCCCGCCATGGCCAAAAGTAAAGGCGATAATCCGACACTACTAAGAATTGCAGCGGTCGTAATGAGGCCCGTGTTTGAGGGATCCTGCTCGCTCGCAATTTGCATGCTGCTGCCTATGATTCGGACCAGCGCGAGAATAGCAAGATAGATCCATCCGAGTTGTCGACGGAATCCGTGACGCAGCATAACAATAACGGCGAGGACGAGTGCGGGGGCATAGTATACGATTTCTGCAATCGCCAGGCGGCCTCGAGTGGTGATAGTCATGATGAAGAAGTATGGAGTTTGATTTGTGTATTTCGGTGCAGATACTCGGAGAAAAGAAAAGCAATTGACTTGATGCTCGCTGGGATATATATGCAGGAGAAAGGGAGTCGATATGCAAATGAACAAATAAGAAAATTGTATCAATGCTGATATTGATGGTGATGCTGATGAGAGAATTGAAAGCAAAATTGGAGAAGAAAAGCAGGGTTTATATCATTGTTGATTCTTGGAGCTCAACATTTGACCGCATTTTTGATGCTCCTCCAGCACAGACATGATGCATTTCCCAAAAAGGACCATTTCACGATAAATTGCCCCACAGTATAATTTATTCAGTCAGCATTCCATGTGTTGTGGCTAAGCTTCAAGATCTGCTATGGGTATCTCAGTCGTGGGGGCGATGCAGATCGCGCTATAAACACAAACATTATGAGCGATCGGGGGGAAAAAAAAATGGAAGGGCAAAAATAAGGCCGAGCGTGCAGTGTTAGTAAAGTAAAGTGCGTCAGGGGAAATAAGGTAGAGTATCATTTGTTCAGGCGTGGCATTCCCTAGAGCGTTGTAGTGTTTCATCAGCTCTCAGACAAGCAGTGCAAGGCTTGGCCATGTCGGGCTGATTCCTGACGCTTTGCTTGTCAGGGACCATTTCGCGAGATGGACGCTGCGCTAAATGTTTAGTCGGGTTGGATAGCTGATAGCGCACTCTGATCATCAGGGTCCACAGCACAGCCTGCACACACTGCAGTACGTACTCCGTACGTAAAGTCCAAAAGCTTTTTAGAAGATTTGATGCTGCTGGATCATACTTTCACGAGAAATCTGCTTTCAACCATATTCAGAAGCCGGTGCATTATAGAGGCACGAATGGACATGATGCGAAGGTCTAGATGATCGGATGTTAGCCAGGTGAAGAATACAGCGATTGTTCAGAGTTGAGTAATCGCAAAGATTGGAATAATTAAAGTGATTTTTCTCATCATTTTTGTTATTCTCTAGGTAGATATGATATCGTTGTGGATGTATAGGGAGATTGAAGTGTTGGATTGATTCTTGTGATGATCACGATGAGATCTCGAGCAGCGCTAGTCCGAGTACGTACGAGAGAGAAGAAGCAACAGCTGTATATCATTTACGGGCGTAATTCAGGAGACGGCTCAGCATTGAACTCGTGCACGAAATGCCAGTCGTAACGTAACAGAGAGATCGTTGATCGAGAAAGTGTTAAGAGTACTACTAGTTAACTACTTGGTACAGTGAAGATCAAGAATCCGCGTGGCCCTCGGAAGACTAACCTCTTTCGGACCGTTTCGCGAGGCGCGTTGTCATCGCGTGGAAGATTTGGGTTTAACCTGGTGCTGCGGTGAAAGCAGTTTACAGTGGGAAGGTATACCAAGTATCAGCCCTAAACTGTCATATGAATGCATAGTTGAAGTTTCCATGTCAGATCTTACTCGCTGATGCATTTCATTATTGACAATTATTGACAAGGCATTCCATTCTGACTGTGCGAGAAAAGAGACAGCTGATTGCCCGATTTGGGTCGAGATGCGAGACGAAGCCTGAATCAGCACGAGGATGGTTGGGATGAACCAATCATCAATCAAGGTGTCAGTCCGACCCTTTCACCTTCGTCTCCTTTGATCAAAATCCCCCCCAGCTATGGCGTACCCGCTCCCGTTTCCCCCTTCGTCCACACACACGCACACCACATCTCTTCTTTTCGTTAGAAGCCGAAATTCCAAGAACGAAACCTCGGACCCGTTTTTGACCAAGAGACGATCCCCACGGCAGGACTGAACCTATTGAGTTTGGGCTGTGAGGAATTCCAACCCCCTTCCAACCCTTCTAGCTCCACCTCAACTCCGTCTCTCATTCCGTCCTCTTCCAGGGGCATGACGCTATGGTTTACTGCGGTAAGCCGAGTGGGGCCTGCCAGACCTGCAAAAACCGTCGAATCAAGGTACGCTTGACCCTGTCATGAGACGACAGGAATAATGAAGTTTATTTCCGCTACCCTATCTGCTGAACACATTTGCTCCAACATGTGGATCTTTTTCTGCGTCCTCTACAGTCCTCAGTGTTTGTGGCTGTTCGAATCATGTACAGCATCCATTGAACAATTTACCCTTTTATCACATTGACACTGGGCTGTTTTTTTGCCATGTTCATGTGCTTCTGTTAGCTTGCATCATGTTCCTCTATCCCCAGCAATGATATTTCAGAATCCTCTCATTCGCTGTGCTCTTCTAGCTGTTTCCCCACTTTTAGCCCTTCAGCGTTGTGCATGCACTTGCCTCTACGACGTACTTCATACAAAGCATTCGCGCAGTTACCCCTTTCGGTTGTCCTTGCGAACCGTGCCTATCGATGTATTTGTTCTTGAGGCCCCGCACCCCTCCACACTTAATGAATTACCGGATTTTCTTGGCTGAACCCAGACTTTTCCCGTCGGGGCATAACAGTGCGATGAGGCTCGTCCAGCATGCAGCCAGTGCCGCAAATCGAAGCGACAATGCCCCGGCTATAAGAGCTCGACCGACTTAATCTTTCGCGACGAGACACAAGCAACCGAGCGCCGGGCTCAACTCCGTTTAGCTTCGACGAATGCTCGTCGCCCTTTACCTGGTGCCAAGCCCTCCGCCCAAGGGTCCGTTAGAGATCCCGCAGCGCCACAATCCTCCAGTGCCGGCTCCCTCTTTGATGACGCCGGGACCAGCTCCGGAGAAAGTTCGACCAATCAGACCTCGCTTGTCGCCGCTAGGGATAGACATTGGTCTTCCCCTTCCTCGAATTCCTCAGCCTCGTCTTCATCCTCATCATGGTGGACGGCTGCTGATGCCTTTTCCGTGCTCTACCAAGTGCCCGGTCAACCTGCAGAGCACCAAGCTTTGACTTTTTTCTTTTCTTCATGCATCCTTCCCACGACCATTCGCGAACGGGAGGCCGATCGAGGCTTTCTGCAGCATGTTTTACCCGTGTATAACCAAGTCTCCACCGGTTCGGCCCTGTCGCTGGCTACGGCAGCCACCGCCTTTGCCGTCCTCGGCAATCGTCCCGGTCAACGAGGTCTTGCACGAGAAGCTCGAGTGCGATATGGCGAAGCCTTGGCCTTGGTGAACCAAGCCATTCGTGATCCTGTCCAAGCAAAGTCGGACGCTCTTCTGCTTTGTGTCCTACTCTTTGGCCTTTACGAGGTATGTGACTCTCATCTTGCCGGTTACTTTATTGCTGTGGCCATATTTTCCACATATAAAGATTTGTCCCTTTGCTGCAATCTCTGGCCCTTCAACAACCATTTTACCGTCACTTCTTCATTGGAAAGAATCTTACTTATTGATTAAATTTAGGCGACCACATGCACTTCACAATCTATCACCTCGTTCGACCACCACCTCGATGGAGCTGTGGCTCTCATCAAGTATCGAGGAAAGGAGCAAACAAAGAACCCCCACTCATTGAAACTCTTCCTCTACATTCGAGAGCAAATGGTGAGATGGCATTGCCAGTTTTTATTCATCCAAATAGACAATTCGCTATAAGTGGTACTACTGTGCTAACGGTATGTTTAGCTGGCAAATTGCATACAAAAGGCGAAACCTCTAGACGACTTCCCTTTTGACTGGGGCGAATATCCGCCCGAGGCCAACGTCTCCAATGAGCTGACTGCTATCGCCCGGAACATTCCCAACCTGCGAATCCAAGCAAACGGTTTACTCTCTGAAATTCGAACTCCCCAGGTAGTTGCACGAGTACGTGAACTGCTGTCGGCTGCCCAGGCACTAGATGCCGAAATCGCTTTCTGGGCAGACTCCCTCCCACCAGAGTGGTGCTATCATACAGTGCTGCGAGTCAAGGAGCCGCCCGAAGACACAGAAGATGCCGAAGTGTACGCCGGCGACGTTGACGCATACCCAGACGTGTGGGTCGCAAACTTTTGGAATTCTTATCGCTGCCATCGTATCTTCATCCTCGAAGTAAAATTGCGGTGTCTCATGTGGCTTGCCGCACCAAACAAACCTTCGCCCATGACATTTCCAGACATAGTTCCAACCCTTAAATACGCCTCGCAGATGGTTCAAGGCATCTGCTCGAGCGTACCCTACTGTCTGCGCAATGGGCCATTTACTCCCTTTATCCAAGAGCAACAAAGCCAACACTATCTGCATCACTACCAGCGATACAACGTAACCGAGCTCAACGCGGAGGCTCTCAATGCTGATACCCAGACCTCCGACAGCAACGACGACGAAAGCTTCACCAAAGACACATCAACCGTTCCACCGCCTCCACCTAATACCACCAGCGCATATCTCCTTTTGCGCCCACTCTTCATCGCCGTCCGCCTACCCTGGGTACCGGAACAACAGGCGCAATGGATGCGCGGCCGCATGCGATATATTGCACGCACTTTTGGCGCTAACTTTGCGGAATTGCCCACCATAAGTCGCAACTTTTTATTTACTGGACGGCGCGTGTTCAAGCAGGAAACGCCGCGGCAGGAGATGCCCCCAGAGAAGAAATCCTCGGCTGGGTCGTCGCCTGCTTCGTCGGGCTCTTCCACTTCTTCCCCGCCTGCATCCACAGACTGGGTTTCTGTCGCCGCTGCGGGCAAGAAATTGGCGGCCGGATCGGCCGGTGGTGGGCCACCATACGGAGTTGCAGTGCAGTTGCCCGTTGCGAGGGCTGCTCGCTGACATGAGACACTCTTTTTTTTTTGCTATTCAGATCCCATCATCTTCTGGATAAAAGCGCAAATAAAAGGAGGATATAGCATGAGGCAAGTCCAGACCTTGATACCCTACTCGTCTTAAAAGCTCTTTGTGGCTGCTGCTGGTGCACCTATGAGTAATGCCAGCTCATGTCACGACGCAAAGCAAAAACCCATGCAACAAAGTATTATCTATGACATTATACTACCCTTATGACTTTATGTCCCACTCACGCATTTTTTCATTTAGAAGTTTTCATTACGATTTGTTGAATTTGGACTCCTCTCTTACCCTTAATTATGCTCTCTTTCTTTTTACACTCGTTTTTCTACGATTCTCTCTCTGAGCTCTTAACCAAGCTATGGCTACGTGTGTTTTCATTTCAGACATCCTCTTTCTTGGGCAAGCTTTAGCGGGTTGAATAAGATTTACTTTTCTTATTCTCGGATTATTTTTGGATTTATGGCGGATATCCCCTGTTTCAGGTATCTATACCTAGGTACTTTCATTTTCAACCTTTCTGTCTCTGTTTGGACTTCTCGATTGATGATATAAAGTGGTTCATTTCATTTTCACCTTTCCCTCCTCTTTCTTAAGCCTTTTTTTCTCTTTGCTTTTCGATTGAGTGTGGAACCAACTCATAGTTTCATTTCAATTTGAAACTCTAGATATGTCAAATCTGGGGTTGTTCTGCTTTAATAATGTATCACAATTGCAGCATTTATTTGATCGATATATCGTGACTTTCTTGACTTGGCGACTGGATTTCCTCGGTCTCGATCATAATCCCGAAAAAGAAAAAGAAAATTGTATCGATTGCTCAAACCATATCAATTGATAGATGCTAAAGGATCCCAAAACCTTTGAAAGTTGAAAGAGGGCATTTGAATACACGAAATGACCTATATGCTGAACGCCATGATACTCGCCAAATAAAAAAAAATTGTGAAAAAGGTGCGAAATGTGGGAATGCTTCTCAGATTGTGATACCTCGACCTGCTTTGTCTCGCACCTTGGTTATGCTCTTGGTAGCTAGATCGAGATATGTTTGTTTCCGTCGCCAAGGGCTGCGATTGATTTCGTCAGGATTGTCCTCCTCCCAAATTTGAATTTGCTCGTCGTCAATGTCTTGGGAAGTGCTATTCCCGTTGCAGTTGAAGTTGTGATGGTCAATCATTGCGTCTTGCCGTGATTGGTGTGTCTGTTTGATGTAGTCATGAGTATCGCTGACGAAACGGGTAACGCGGCGGGTAAGAAGAGTAGCATGGGGATGGTGATTTGGGGGTTGGTTTTGAGAGGGGAGGGGTTCAGGTGATGGAGGAGTTTGCGGGGTGGAATTAGGGGGCGGAGGGGAGGAAGAAGGAGGAGGAGGATGATCATGAACAGGATGAGCAGCAGCAGCAGGAGAATCACGGGTAGGATGGGCGGTAGAAGAGGAGGAAGGAGAAAAAGAGGAGAAATGTTGTTGCAGGTATTGAGAGGACGATGGAAAACGTTGTTGAACATATTGCGAAGCAGTAGGGTATCGTTGTGAAAGATATTGAGAAGAAGAAGAGATGCGGGCTGAGAGGTATTGAGAAGAGGAAGAGACGCGATCGGAAACATATTGAGAAGTAGTAGGAAACTTTTGCGAGACATATTGAGAAGTGGCGGGGAACTTTTGTGAAACGAATTGAGAAATAGAAGACAGTGGGGAAGTATCTTGAGCGGGGAGCGACGATTGCGGGGTATCTTGAAATGACGAAGAACGGGTATCAAGGCTTTTGGAGTACATTGTGTTTGAGGAAATAGAACGCTCAAGGGAAAAGGTGGAGGGAGATCGAAACTGGGAGGTAAAAGCTGATGATAACGAGGGTGCCAAAGCAAGAGATGATGAAGAGGGGGAGAGGTTTTGTCGCAGATGAAGCAATTGACAATCTTGAGAATTGTGGTGCGCATAGAGTTCATGATTTTCGTATTGTGAAAGTAAAGCTGAAATGTGTTTTTGTTGAGAAAGATGATCAGTTATTGAGCGAGAAAGACTATCTGAGAGTCTTTTCGTCGATAAGATATATTATAGGGTTAATAGAATAGATTGAATCCTCTTCACGTACGGGTATGTATAGTGGCCTTTGGCAAGGAAGGAAATGGGAGGAACGGGCGGAATGCGGGTGATTTGAGAAAAGAAAAAAAAAAGGAAAAATATGAAGAACTTAGGCTAGATTCCTTGAGACATACCCTCGTCGTGCTTCTGGTCGCGATTGCTGCTGACCATTGTTTTCAGTGGCTTGCTTATTCCAGAATCGGCTCTTGTAAGCCGGCCAGGTAGAGTAATTCCATGCTTTGACAAGGTAGCTACATCTCAGGTCAGTACGCCGTATATTTGTTGTTTATCGTGTTTCGGTGATTGAAACGAGCAGGAATCGGGATAATTTTACCTCTGCGTCTTATCCACATAGTTCTCATTCTTCATTTCTTTGATGCCGACTTTCAAGCCGTCCTTGGTAAAGGACACATTTTTCTTCTCCATGTGCTGTGACGTCTTTTGTGCAATGTCATTGGCAATGGAATATACGACAAAACCGACAAAACCGAGCACAATGACAAGTAAGAGGAGAAGAATGAGGGGGATAATCTTCTTCAGTACGTCGGCCATCTTGGCTGTTGCAGGGGTTGAAAGATCCGTATTTTATCTTGGACTGAGAGTAACCTCGCGTTTTGAGTTGCAATGAAGGCTTGCTCTGGTAATCTAGTCGTTGTTTCGGATGTTGCAGCGATCATGGCAGGGTGTTGAAGGAAGATGAGAAAGAGAATCGCAGCTTCTTGGCCACGAGACTGCGGGCGGAAGCTGAACTGGGAAAACGTGACTTGTATGGATGGCCCTGTTTGCAATCTGGACAAACTTCGGCCTTGACCAGCGCCCTCCTTTACGTAGATAAATCTTGTCGAGGCTTTCACAAGTCGACAAGCTCAAGCAAGGCGGACAAGTCGCGGGGGATATGGGATCACTTATAAATCGGTCGCTGAAAATGACAAAAATGAATGACGTTAAACCATGCGCGAGCGGGGATTATTTATCCGGCAAGACGAGCGATGCCAAGGGTTTCCAAGCCCACCACAGACTTGTCCCGACCGTGATGACTTACTTCGGTTGGCTTTTAGGCAGACAGATGACCCTGACAGGCTTTGCGCATTAAAATGGAAGAGAATTAGGGGATCAATTGCCACTTGAAGCTCACACGACAAGTGAAATGCTCCTTTCCTCTATGGCTGTGCAAAGGTCGGCGGGGAAATGCGCAAAATAAATGATGTGGCTTGACCCAGGGGGAGCTTATTCATATAAGCGCCAGACTACGCTCGAATTTCCGGGTATATTTGGGATCCTGATGCTGATTATGGCTTAGATATCTTGACTATCCCCGGCCAAGACTTGACCGTCAGGATGTTCGGTCTCTCGGCTGTTGACCCCCCTCTCGTCTCTTGCCGGATACCGTTACCAGTGAAGCTCGAAGGGACCTTTTCAGGAGACGAAGTCTACGTATCATCATTTACTTTTCAATGGAGGTAGCTGACATGGACATTTTTCATTCGAAGGTGTTTGTGTATGGAAGGCTATTCGGCAAACGTGCCGGCCAAGTGACCGAGAGGCCAAGAAAAGCCAAGAAGTAATGAGTTGGCCTGTGGAGCTCTGCCCTCGGGCTAACTACGCCGAAGAAAAGAAAAGAAATTACAGACGACAGGGAATACGAAAAGCAAAGCAAAGGGAAAAAGAGAGTGACGAGAATGACTAGCGGGCGGCAACATTGTTTGGTTCAATGTATCATCAGCATGCTTTTTGCATCGGACTTATGACCGAATCCCGAACAAGCATAAATTTCAAACTTTCGGAAGCACAGGACTGTGTAGTGTTGCACAACAAAAAATATTCATATAAAAGGGATGAAAAAAGTTCTTGGCGACGATCGATTCGGGCAAGAACCTCCTGTCGGCGTCTTTCACCACGATGGTTTTCTGGAATGCTCAACCAAATGCTCGTCATTTCCTTCACGTGAAAGTCACTATAGGGCTGAGAGCATGCAATGACTATGGAAGACAACGGAGAGCCATAGCATTTGCCCTGTTCAATTGTTGTCGGTGGTATCAGTCATGCTTATAAAATCAATGAATGATTCTACAGATGGGAGAGAATGAAAACGGGATACAGAAGATGGTACCTAGATAACCCATCAGAGCATCACACATGTCTCACACGACAGCCGGTTGGGCAGCTGATCGACTCTTCGGAATCCGTTGAGCTGTGTCTCCCTTTTCCGTAGATTATTCTTCCACCTTACTCTCCCTAAATTTTTTTTTTTCTCTCTAAACCTTTTTGCGATGCCTTCAATGCTAGATGAGGATGCTGAATTTTACATATGCTCTTTTTATTCGTCTGCCCGTACAGGCAGTGACAGTGACGCTGCGGGCGGCAGTGCGAGTGCTGCGAAAGGCGATACATCGGGATCCGGACACACCGCATCACCGCGACGATGCTGATCACGTAAGCAGCGCCGACGCCAAAGCTCCGATGCAGCACAACGTCAATGTCGTCGACGCCAGTCGAGACAGCAAATCAATATCCAACCTTTCATTAAATCAAACCCTCAACTCATCTCCGCCCACCTCGGTCCAGCCAGTCCGGTACATCGAATCCGCTGTTATACCTTGTCCGAAACCACTTGCATCACCCTCTCCACCGACTGTTTCATCAACAACGAAGATCCCTACAATGGCCGAACAAGAGCTCTCCTCTCTGCTCAAGCAGATCCATCAGACCGTTGGGTCGCACGACTACGAAAAGTCCCAGACTCTCCTGTCGAAGGCCAAGCTCGCTTTACTCTCCCTCAATGCTCTCGTCCCTTCTCCCACAACATCCGCATCGAGCCTCGCACTGGCCCGCGAAACCCTCGAGCTTGGCGCCATCGTTTCCATCCGTCGCCAGGACCCTGAAAGCTTTACGCGCTACGTTCAGCAGTTGCAGCCCATCTACGATCTTCCTTCGGATGTCCTTTCCCAAGAGGGCAGCAATCAGAGCCGCATCACCGGACTCTACCTCCTGCTGCTGCTGAGCCAGGGCGACTACGCTGGATTCCACACGGTGCTGGAGAGTCTCGAGACAGCTGTCGTCAGCAATGGCGGTAGCCAGCAGAGTCTAGAGCATGACGTTTTCATTCAATATCCGGTTAAGCTGGAGCAATGGTTGATGGAGGGTAGCTACGACCGTGTCTGGGCCGCAACGAAAAGCGAGCGCGTTCCCAGCGAGGAGTATGGTGTCTTCTCAGACGTAAGCTCTCTCCCATCCAATCAGCAATCCTTTTTTATTTATTTTCTTACGTCTTTCTTGGACAATTATTGCCTTTGGAGTCAATGCTAACGGATTGCGCCAAACCAGGTCCTTGTCGGTACTATCCGTTCGGAAATCGCCAGCTGCTCAGAAAAAGCGTACCCTTCTCTTCCCATTTCCAATGCTAAGAACCTTTTCTTCCTCGAGAGCGAAGGTAGCGTCATTGACTTTGCCAATGCACGGGGCTGGATCGTCCAAGATGGCCGCATTTTCTTCCCGCTCGCCGCCGAGCAGGGCCCGCGCAACGAAAAGGAAATCCTCGCAACGAGCGGTACCGTCATCGAGAATACCTTGGGTTACGCCCGCGAGTTGGAGATGATTGTATAGATGATGGTTTACGGGCATTTCTTTTTCGTCATTATTCTCACGCGCTTCCTCCTCCAGCATCATTTTATCATCACCACTATTTTCAATCTTATCTGCTTCTGCATATCCGGCATAGCCTCAAATTTAAAGTTCTGCCACGAAACCTTAGACTTGTATTTGTATGGAATCAATGGAGTTTGAGATTTCAATTTTAATTTTCATTATCGTAAATTGTCTCGTAAGTTGTCTCGTAAATTTCCTCGTAAATCATCAAAGCAGGCTTGTTTAGTTCGTAGGCAACGCCACGTGCTTAACACAAGCCAGCTATTCTGCATAATGTATGCATAGTATGCAACCCTATAGGGTATGCAGCTGCCTCCTCTTCCAACGGTGTGAGGAAATAAATGGATTTGCAATACGCCGGCAGGGAATCCTCATGACCTAAACTCCACCCCACAGGTTCTCATTCCTCCTCCTCACCTGCGCGGACGCCAGCATGTCCCGTGATGAATACATGCTCGCTTTGAGTCCCCATGGATTTCCAGAAGTGATGCCGAGATATGTATATGCGTCTGCATACCGAAAGATATATATATTAGCAATCTGCGTGAAGGGAGTAAAAAGAGGGAAGAGGCACCGGATTTATAATAGATTCCACCGTCGCCGCGACCGCCACTGTTCCCCACCAGCTCCAACTCCACAAGTCTGAGAAGAACGCGCAGCACGTCCTGGGTATCCGAGAAGTCGTATGTGTATATGCAAATCAGACGGGGCCGAGTCGTGGATGCAATGCCTGTGAAAGGTTAGGGATCCGTTATTTTTGTTTCGTTGAAGCAACTGCGACGCTACATGGAGGTTTTGGGTTTTAGGTTTTGGAGAGGGGGGGTGGGGGTGGGAGGGGGTTAGGGAAGTACTCCGTAAACAACAACAACAATAATGATGATAATAAAGAAATAAATAAGAAAGAAGAAGAAGAATGCGAGACTCACCCCCAGTACCACCATCTGCTGTAGCGATTTTTGCATCGATACCCAGCTGACCCGCCGCAGTGGCAGTCGCAACTATTGCCCAGATGCGATCGATTGAAGTTTCTGGAAAGAGCATCCACTGTTTCCGAGTTCGTATTAGCACAAAAAAGAATTCCCCTCCTTTTTGTCGACTTACTTTGCCAATGGTAGATTTCTTTTCCTTTGCCAAATTCTGCAACTCCTCTTCGACGCTCTTCTTCTCGATATTAATCGTTCTGGATATGGCCGCGACCATTTTTCCTTCCTTTTGCAGTTCGTTCTCAATAGTCGCCTTCTTTCCCGCCCACTTTGACAGAATGCTTTCTCCCGCAGACATTAATCCCGCCAAGTCTTCGGCCACAGGACGATGAGCCGCATATGGGTTCGCAATCCATATCCATGGAGAATGAGTACTGGATTGGGTGCTGCTAGGTGGGAGACGAGCGAGGAACTCCTCGACTGTTTCGGAGAGCTTTCGGCCTGAAAGCTTCCTTTCGTGGGGATTGTATAAGGGTTGTGTTTGGTTTTGGTTTTGAGAACGATATGTCGTATTGAATTTGACAGATTCAGAGAATGGAGTTCCTGGATAAGTGCTGGCTTGAGGATAAGGAGGAGCACAGTTCTTTCCCGCCAGCGCACCAAGTGCATTAAGACGTAATTTCTCACGATTGTCACCTATTGGTTGATTAGTCTGGGTTTGTGTTTTTTGGAAGAGAGATCGAGATTTTCATTTCAATGAGACTCTTGTGCTGGTGTGAGAAGATATGATTTATTGATAGATTTTGTATATCTGCTTACCATGGAAGCTGACATCGTCTGAAATGTCCATATCATCATCCAAACCTCGTTGAACAATCACAGTGTCGTCCACATCCGCCATTACGATGTCCTCCATGGTGTCAATGCAATGGCTCAGCGTAAGGAATGAATTCCTGTACATAAAATGAGTTTAAGACAAGATGTCAATCATGAGGTGAGGTTAGTCGTACAAAGGTGGTGGCGGCTAAGATGTGTTGTCACACCGGACTTTGAAGGCGGTGACCAGGGCGGTGTACCGGCCCGCTCCGGGTTGGTCAAACCCCACAAAACTTTGGATCAGCTTGGGGTCACTATCCCCAGAATGAATCAATGTGGGCACAAGAGACAAGGTTCAAGAAATTTAGAAAAAGGTGAATCTCGTTATTTTTGAGAAGACTGCAATGTAAATATCCTGGAAATAAGCCTGTTGTTGTGGGAATGTCAAGTCGTGGGTTAGCGCAAATCACTGGTGTCGTTTCTAGCGGACCGAGCCGTCAAGGCTTTATTCAGAATCTTACAGGCGCTCAATTAGAGAATCATTCAGAACATACCTGATTTGACTTACCTTTTAACAAGTAAATTTCAGTTGATTGCACTTAGGAGGGCACCTGTCAAAAATCTCAAGGTTTCTTGGGTGGGGAAATCATGGCGGAAGACTCTGGAATTAAAGAAATCCAATCGATTCATTCGCGGATTCTAGACCTACCGCCCAGCTGCATCGAATTTTCTCCCATTGCACGAGATTACTTTATTGTCGGAACTTATTACCTTGAGAAGAACGAGGATGGAAACGACGCCACTAAGGAGGACGAAGAAAATACGTCAAACTCACCGGAAGAAAAGAAGGCGCAGAGTCGCCGCGGAAGCCTGATTCTGTTCCGATACGTCAATGATGAACTGTAAGTATTATACTGGTAATCATATGCATTGAGAATTTTACTTTTCATAGCTTTATGTTTCTCCTTCAAGAATCTCTTTGCAGCTGTTTCTGTCAATTATTTCCGCTGGGAACCGGCCTCTAGTCATTATTCTGCGACTTTGCGAAGCCCGCGTTAGCTCAATTCGGACTTTATTTTAATTTTTAATTTTTTCCTCCTTTAAGCTCTATTTCCCGCCAAGATATACGGAAAATAGAAGCTCTGTTCCATTCATTATTGCGTTCTTTATCCGCACATATAAGTCAGCCAAGGCTCATGCATATTCTAGCACACTCCTCCAAACTCTCCCCACACCATCCGCCTTGCTGGACCTGCACTTCTCTCCGCATGACCCTTCGATATTCGCAACTGCCACCAGCACGGGTACTCTATCTCTCTACCAACTCTCTCTACCATCTGACACCTCCCCTGCCGCGCCAGCATCCATTCAGCATCTCTCAACCTACCAGATTCTCGATCCGTCTACCCTCGTCTTAGCCTTCGCTTTCCACCCCGTCTACTCGAACCTTCTTGGCGTATCGTTATCCAATGGGGACATATCGATATATCAGATTCCCTCTGCCTCCACATCTTCTACTGGCATACGTAAAGTGTGGACGTCTTCGTCCGCCCATTCCCTCGAAGCCTGGACACTATCTTTCAGCCCGGACGGTTCGACCTTCTTCTCCGGCGGAGATGATTCGAAACTTCAGGCATATGCCATCTCAGACGTGACTCCCCAAAGCGACGAGGTGTTCAAAAGCGAAGCTCAAGCGGAAAATGACGAGGAAGTTGACGAAGAGACCGAGCTCGACGAGCCGGTAACTCTGTGGTCCGATACGAAGACTCATGGAGCAGGCGTGACTGCGATTTTGCCATTAAGTATTGACGACGATGCATCAGCCATGTCAAAGATTCTCATCACAGGGAGCTATGACGATCATATTCGTGTGTATGAGTATCCTGCTCCGGGGTTGCCGGGGCGGAGAAAAGTGCTGGCGGAGACGTATCTCGAAGGTGGCGTCTGGCGGTTAAAGCTACTGAAAGGCTATGAGACGTCGGATGACGCGCGGGATGAGGGAAATGCTCCAGATGGGACAAAGTCGGTTATCCGAGTCCGCGTTCTTGCGAGTTGCATGCATGCTGGAGCGAGAGTGGTGGAGATTACTCGCGATGCAGAAGGACAGTGGGATATAGCTGTCCTGGCCAAGTTTGAAGAGCACAAGAGTATGAATTACGGAAGTGATGTGCAGCCGTTTACGGAAGGTGAGGACAATGGCAAGGCTGAAGCTCGTAAAGAGTTCACGATAATGTCGACAAGCTTTTATGATAGACTGCTCTGCGTTTGGAAGTGTGAGCGGTAGAGTATGGTAGCAGCAGAGTATTCGAAATGAAGAACATAATCTTTTGGTAGAGCTAGCTACCTAGGTATATCCATGGATGAGATTTTATGCAATACTCCCGACATGATGTCCTACTGATGCTGCGCCTCCCGCTTCTGATGCTTCTGACTCCACATGAAACTCTTCTGAACCTGAAAGGAAGATTGCCTGCTCCTGAGCATATTAAGCCCATTGCATTTTTGGGCTCGTTCTGTAGCTCGTCCAGCCCACCTCGTAGCCCTCGCTTGCCCCTCTCATACCGTTCCTTCCAAAAATATCAAAACCACGGCCACAGTGAATATCAACAACGCCACGGCCGCAATTCGGCCACCCTACCCCGCGAGTTCGAATCCAGGAGAAAGCTTCATAACAGCCATCGAAGAGGATTATTATCTCTACGACCACGATAGTTTTGATGTTGCAAAAAAATAGAATAGGCGAGGAAAAATGAGGAGAAAAATGAACCGCCAAAAAATGGGGCCCCTGAGGGTCAGGGTGCTCAGAATCGTTGAGGTATCGAGTAAGCGTACGCCCGCTGCTTTGTTAGTATTGGGAGGGGGATTTGGGACTAATGTAATCTTAACATCGATTTCTCCGTTCTTTTTTATTTTGCCGCACCACTAACCCGGCCCCGACTTGAAAATAGCTCTGAAAAACTGAAATATATCCCTTCAAAAGGTACAAAGTACCTCCCACCCAACACTCGGGTCCAACATTGTAGGTCGCGTAGCCCCTCGGATCCATCCTTAACATGAAGCTGCATAGCTGCCGGGCACTGCTGTGCTTCTGCGCCTGTCGCCTCAGTAGCTTGGTGGTTTCGACACCCATGAGGCCATCCGCGAACGGGATCATAGCCTGGTATGCTCTCCCATCACTCATGATCCCTTTCTGCAACCACGCGCACGTCGCTCTCCGAGATGTTGATAATCAACCATCGTCACTCAAACCCAGTATGGTTTACAGATGCTCATGAACCTAAGTTACGAGTTTCGGGTTTGGTATTGACCTCGACGGTATTGCGCGAAAGTACAGCTTGCTCGATAGGTCTCATGTCACGTATGGCATCGTGCAATCGATGAACTCGAATATCGATTCGGACGCGTAAGGGTTCGAGGAAAGGAGAATCGCCGAAAACACTCGACAGGCATGCGACACATTTCTCGTATGGGTATCTGGAATAAGAATGGAGGATCATCTCGACCGTCGCGTGTCTCTTACGTTCCAGCATCCTTCCTCAGCACACTCTCACACTCCTTTCTGACCTTCTCCACACCCGGAGTTCCGTTCCATTTGTCTAACAACTTCCTGACATCCTCCCACTCCCGATCCGCTTCATCTGAGCGTCCCTCGCTGATCATCTGCTGCAGAAGAAAAGGAGTGTTCAAAACCCAGCGCACCGTCTGTCTTGCCTTCTCCTGATCAGTCCCACCAACGGCATGGGTGTTTTGTTCAGCCTCCTTGCCGACACCCACGGACTCTGTGGGCGGAGGGGCATGCGCATGCAGTGATGCTGCTAAAGCCTCTGAGACGGCAGCGATGTGAGCGATAGCAGGAGAAAGTGTGGATGTTGAAGGCGTCAGAGGTTCCATCTCAGATCGCATCTGCAACAAAGGTTAGACTTTTTGAGGCAAAGCACTGACACGCATAACGGTATGCAGAAAAGCCAGCATTAATCAACAACATATCAGAATAAGCAATAGAGCATACCTTACGGATGGTATCCGTTGCGGTGATAAGCTTCGAATAGTTGTCATAAACAAGTGCTTTTCTTTCACCATCTAGAGATCGGATCTCTACAAAACAAGTATCTCAGTCAGCTGAAATTTCAATCCTTAATGGCACAGCGATAATGAAATAAGCTTGGACATCATCATGATATCTCCGGCTTGTTAAATTCATTTTGTCAATATAGATTATATACCCACCATTGACGAGTCGGGCCTCAGCTTTGAGCACGCCCTCAAGGGACTCCTTCCCCAAAAGCTCTCGAACATACTTTTCAGGCTCAAGTCCCTCGCGATCCAGCTCGCTGTCCTTGATCTCTGCGTCTATGTGGTGCTGGTCAGTACTAACGTCCGCGGGAGCTGCAGATCTGAGGCCATAATAGTCGCGAAGTGCTGCTCGATTGCGTCGTTGCGCTGCCTGAGATGGTGGCGGTCCCGATCCACCCCGCACGGGAGATGAAGCCTGAGAGCGAGTAACAGTATCGACTGAGGTTCTTCTTGAGTCACTAGGGTTTCGAGGCATAGGACTTGCACCCCTAGACGAAGTAATCATAGTTGCCATTATATATGATTTCGGCTTGCAGACCACCTGAAAAAGGGTTTGCAAATTGGACAAACAGCAAATTAGAGAACTTTTGGTTTCGACTATTTAAAAATTTCCAATAAAAAAAACGAGATAATGGCCGGTTGGCCCTCTCATTGTTCAAGCTTTCATGGATTTGTCGTTGATGTTTGGACAAGTGTCGTTGGTGATCTCGGAACATTAATCGCGGCTAGCTGCAGAGCCGCGCAGTAACTAGTGATCGGATAAACTCACCCCTGAGCTGGTCCGTGCATGACGCACCACAACTTGCTCTATACCTAGGTCCCTAGACTATCCGCGTCTTAGACTTTCACGTCTTGCCATTATCGAAAAATTCGGATTGATTTTTTGAAGTCAAATTTTACATAAATCATATATCCAGAAAAAAAAAAAATACCCCACAAAAATTCTCTCCTTTACCATTAATATCACCTTTCAAAGACCCCCGCTATGGCCACAGCTTCACCAATAGCGACCCAGATATCCACACATTTAAGCACAACGAAGCACATGATACCATCAACAAATTGGCTGGCTAGCTTCATATCCTCCCAAAGACCCACTACTCCTCTTGCTGCGCTTAAACAAACCGCCCTTTTCCGCCTCCTGGCGTCAGACATCACTCAATCTCTCTCCAAGGACAATTCAGCCACATTATTCCCGCCAGACATTCACAATGCTCAAATACAAGAGCGCAATCTGGCAGGTCCAATCGCAGTGCAGGTTCTAGACATCGAGGACATGGGGCGTAGTCGCTGGAGTCAGGTTGAAGCCCTAGAAGCAGCAGAACGCGGGGAGTATATGAAAGGCCGAGAAATCATTCGTGTAATTCCAGGCGAAGTCGAGCTTGAAGGTGGAGATGCTGGAGGTGGACTGGATGAGAATATATCAGCTCGAGAGCCAAGCGATGTCAATGGTTCTGGAGGTAGAGGAGGAGCTTCCGCCACGGATGGAGCGGTATTAAAAAGTCGTGGTCCGCATAAATTACTCCTGCAGGATGCGCGGGGAGTAAGAGTTTATGGAATAGAGCTGAAGTCCATAGATGGAGTCGGAATTGGCATGGGCATCGGGACGAAGATGGTCCTACGCGATGTGGTGGTTGCGAGAGGGACAGTGCTTCTAGGCCCAAAGCAAGTCATGCTCTTGGGAGGCAAAGTCGACGCGTGGCACAAGGCATGGAAAGAGAAGAGGAAAGAACGCTTACTGGCAGCTATTGCTGCCGAAGAAGAGGGAAGATAAGAAACTTCACTGGTGCTTTTCTTACGAGAGGCGGGATACACAGATGTATGGCTTTGCATACGAATGGCGTCGTTCACCGGTAAGGAATTCAAATTTCAATTTGGTCATCAGATGCTGTATATTTCGTTTCATTGAATTTTCCCACTAGACGTGCGACGGGCGTTACGGTTATAACTTTTTCTATCATCATGCAAGTACAATATGTTCGCAGCCAAAATGCTCATCAAAGTGGAATTTATTTACAGAGCGAAGGGGAGTTAAAGCCTCCTTTGCTTTTGTTCAGGCGACACAATCGCCAAGCGCTACCCATCCATCTTGTAACCAAGGAGCAGTCATGATGGCACGTTGCGCATCGCCTGCTCTATCCGTTCTTGCGAATGCTTTTGCGAGATTATCTGAACCAAGCGATCCCGTTGGAGGAACCCCCTGGGCCGTCGTGCTAAGCGCCATCTCGGCAGGGAACGAATTTTGTCCGACCTCAGCCAGCTCGGCCCATCCATGTGGCTGGGCGGGAGAGAGCATCACCGATGTCATCAATTCGGAGAGTTGCTCAAACTCTTTGTTGTTTTCTTCAGCTGAAACAGCAGCAATCGCCGCTAACACCATGTCGATCTTTTGGCCCTGCAGAGTGTCCAAGCCATCTGCCGTTCGCAAAGAGTGCAAATCAGACGATACCGCCGCAATCACATCAGGATCATTGTCCAGAAGGGCAATGACACCAAGGAGCAGCGTGGCATTGACGTGTCCGGGGTGTTTCTCGACGCAGTCAAAGAGTTGGTCACGCGCAACGCTCCGCTCTTCCTCGCCGCCTTTGGCCCAAAGTACTTGTGCCAGCAAACAAACCACATCTGGTGCACCTTCACTCTCTTCAAGGGCGGCACGGAATGCGTCGATGGCATCGTCCATAGACTTCATGTAGTAGTGCGCTAACCCTAGAGTAAGGTGGGCAGATAATCTGCATTTCCGCCGTCCAGTACCAGTCAGGTCTTTGATGTCTTCTTCAGAAAGGTCAAGTGCCATTCCTGCATTCTCTGCCGCCGACGCGAAATCGTGTACAGCTAGCTGAACGCGAGCAAGATCTGTCTTTGCTACCGCAAATTGTGCCAGCGATTTGGTCGATTCTGAAACTTCGTATTCCGCTTCTGCACTCGAACACGTATCTTGTAGGGACTGAATGGCCGCTGAGTGATCACCGATACGCTCGAGGTAGAGTGCAGCAAGGTGCTGATATGAGGATTCCTTTGGAGATTGTGATTGGAGTTGTCGAAGAGCAAAAAGAGGTTCGATAAAGCTTGTGACGTTGTGGGATGGCAAAGGTATGGTTAGGAGACGATCGAAGGTTGATAATGCAAAGTGACGCTTAGCAAGGAGGGAAGAGGAGTCAGCAATCTCAAAGGCATGCGTAAATAAAAGTTGTGCCTCTTTTGGATCACCCAGGAGGTTAGCCAAGAAACCTTGCCCGATCCAAGCAGGTGCGTAGTCAGGATCAGCCGATTGTGCTCGACTGAATGCATCGTTTGCCAGCTGGAAATCGTCCTGAAGGATATAAAGAGTTCCGATGTTGGTCCAGACGCGAGCATTTCTGTCATTAAGATGTAAACTCCTGACGAGAGAATGCTGCGCAACCTTTGGACTAATTGGAGTAGTCGCGACTCCCAGTGCATTCCAGAAGTCGGCATTGCTAGCCTCTAATTCTATGGCTTGCTTGAAGCACCGGACTGCTGCCTTGAGGAAGTTGCTTGCTTCCTTGCTTCCATATGGTGCATTGGGACCAAGACAGGCGTAAGCCCTATATTCTGTCCATCCAAGATTGTACCATGCTACTGCTTGAGCATGCAAATCACCAGCACAGGCATGAATAGCGCGTTTATGTGCCAGAATGGATGCGTATAGAATAGTGGAAATTGTGACTTCGCCGTCAATGGCCTGAAGAGATTTAATAGAATCTTTGCCAATACCGTCAAAATCTGCGAAAAGCTCAAACTCCTGAGTGTCTATGCTGATCCGCAAGAGGTGCTTGACCTTCTCGAGACAGAACAATGGAGCTCTGCTCTGCGTCCATGACCAAACAGCGCAAGCATCACCAACCGCTTTCCACAAATTAAACGCATCGTAGCGATCCTCAGCTATGTCGGCGGCAAGATCGATGGCTTTCTTTGCGCCATCAGCAGCCCGTCCGAAGAATCCAAGCTCGATATTTCTCCAGGCACCTTCAATAAGCGTCTGTAGATGGGCCATAGCAACGCCGAACTCTCTCGGACGTTGACGGAGCACATCTAGGTAATCCTGTATTGCTTCATCATACTCGCCAAGTTCGCGCTTGACGTTCGCGAGCATGTATTTCGCAAACCAGGTTTCTGTCTTTCCTGTCTTATTCACCTCCGCTTGAAGGGCTTGAGCTTGCTCGAATGCTTTGGTTGCTGCGATATATCGACCGGAGTTGTGGTAGCTCTCTCCAAGGCCCACCCATGAATGATAATCATTCGGTGAAATCCTGAGTGCCGCTTGAAATGACACGATGCTCTTGGCGTACTCTTGCTTATTCAACTCTGCAACACCTAAAGCAGCAAAAGGCCAGCTCACGCCTTTTTTCTTAGACCCTGGGGCTGGTCTTACTTTTCCTGAATCGACGACACGCTGGGCAATAAGTTCGACAAGTTCCCAGTCGCTCCTGTCAGCAAATTCGCGAGCCAATCGTTCCGCAGCCTCAATTTCCGAAGCCGAGAGCTCAAAGGCCTTTTGAAAACATCTGCGAGCCCGGTTTCTATCCTTTGCATAGTCTGCATAATAGACGCCCAAGCTTGTGTATGCAGGTGCAAAATTAAGGTTCGTTTGTATAGCACCAAGGAAACGCGCATAAGCACCCTTTCTGTCTTTCCGCGCAGCCTTAGAAGGGTCTTGCTGCCACCAGCATATGCCGGTCCGATATAGAGTTTTCGCTTTGAGATCCTTTGTACGAGGGTCTGTATCGTGGATCTCGGGCAAACACGCCTCGAGCTCAGGGAGCGCTGAGGAATAGTTTCCGCCCAGGGCGCTACACCAAGCAGCCTCAGCTCGAACTCGGACATTCTCAGGGTCCCGTGCCAGTGCTTTGCTCAGGAATCCATGTGCAGCAGAATATTCTTCCTCTTCTTCAAGAATAAGGCCAATACCTATCAAGGCATCTGCTGAATGGGGCTTGCGTTTAAGGATGTCATTGAATATTGATTTGGCCTCTGGGTGATTTTTGGGAGCCTGATACTGAACAAGCGCAGTGCCCAATATAATATCAACTGCATCGAGATTACTTCCGATGGCGTTAGTTGGTATGAATTTGGCCTCAAGAGTTACTGTAGCTGCACTCACTGTTGGAAAGCTAGTCCGCATTTTCGTCCCTCTGCCATGTAGAGTTTGCGAGCATTGCGGGAATTTTCGACAGCACTCTCATACTCCTCCAAAAAGAGATAATAGTCTCCCAGTAAGCGATTGCTCAACGGGGATGCCGGGCTTTCACCCACGCCTTCCTGCTATGCGTCAATTTCAGAAAAAAATTAGACGTGAGGGTTACAAGAATACCGTCATCAATAAAAGGCGGTCGGCAGATGAGAGCGGTGCGGGCTTTGGGTACCCATCTACCGTGTCGTTGCTCTCAGCACTCTTCTCTTCCTCCTCGTCATTGATTTCAAAGTCAGCAAAGGGTGAAATCTCGCTCGTTAGGTAAGCTTTCAAAGTCTTGCTCAAGCCATGGTCAGGGAAAATGCGGATGAAGTCTGCCAGGACAACAACGTCCCAATTCGCAAGACTCTCGGAATCCTTCCATTCAAGGACAGTCTCCCATGCTAATGCAAAGGGATGTTTGAGAATAACGATGCCATTAGCGAGCTTTTCGATCTGTGCCCTTTTCTGTTCCTTTTGGTCTGCTGGGAGCACCAGCAGCACCTCATATGCGCGCCGAAAGAGCTTCTCCTCATACTCTCGACGAACTTCATCTTCATTTGCCCAGTCAATGATATTCTGATAGGTTTCTTCCAGATCACTGCCAGTCAGCACTTCGCGCTTCACATCAGCAGTAACCTGGCCGATCCTTGCTCCCAAGCGCGTACGCCGCTCGCCAATTTCTCTGTTGATCCTCTCTTTCTCTTCTGCCTCGGTGATTTCAGCTAGTCGTACGTACGTAAGTGATGGATGTTGAATACGGCCTTCGAGATAATCGTATATAGTACTCGAGGGAAGGAGGACTTGAAGAGCTCTCTTTATTTGCAGCCTGCTACCATACTTTTTTGCAAAGGAAATGAACTTGTCGATCACAGTTTGGCATCTCTCTTTATCATCTCTGGATATCACAAGCGTTAGATTGAATACATCCCGTGGCTGTTTCCAGGATTTTCAACGTACGCTTCCATGTATATTTCGGCCAATTTCACGGCGCATTCCCGGTACTCATCAATTTTCTTTCCCTGCTGGCCTTCATAAACTGTGATAAGACCCTGCCAAGCTAGTGGATCCGTCGGTTTTATTCTCGCCGCTGTCTCATACGCCGTTATGGCTTTCTCATTCTGGTTTTGTCTGGCAAGGCCGAGGCCTAGAAATACATTCCTAAAACGATAATTTAGTAATAAGATACACCAAGTAACGGAGAGTCAAGCTTAAAATGCATACCCATGATAGCTTTGCGCATCTATGTCAAGCACTATACGTGCCTGGGTCACGGCCTCTTCGTAGTTTTGCGCATCCAATGCACTCTTCGCAGCTTTCAATGCTGCTTTCACGCCCGACATAATGACCTTTGTTATCTGTCCATCAGCTTCAGGGCGTTGAGGCGACGAATTATCGGTGGTAAAGCTGTCAAGCTTTTGAGCTCATCCAAACACTGCGTGGACAACGCAAAGTCGCCGTGGAAGTTACCGCTCAATGACGAACGGAAGTGTTGATCTTTTAGTTATCTGATTGAGAGGGCAGAATCTAATCGATCTAGCCGCCGGAGTTGTTCCTAGTTAGTCGCTATCTGAATGACGACAACCCCAAGCTATCGGCTATTCCATGGGGTAATCCGTTCCGACGACAAGCTGATCTCAGGCCAATTCACTTATCTTGCTTGTTTTCGAGCTCAACACCCCGATCAGTTGTTGTTTTCCAACTTCTTAGTTCGAGTGATAAATTGCACCACTTGAGGGCGTCAATAATCGAATTAGAACTCGACGCCGTAAAGGTGGTCGTCATGTCCCCTCTTCGACTGAGAGTGGATGGGGCAACCTTCCGGGATCCTCAGAACCGTGAGGTTACTCTGAGGGGCATAAATGTGGCAGGAGATGCCAAATTTCCAGCTCAACCTGATATTCCTTCGTATATCTCTGATAAATTTTTCGATGGCGACAATGTCTCCTTTGTCGATCGGCCGTTTCCCGTCCAAGACGCTCATGTCCACTTCTCCCGACTGAAACGTTGGGGCTACAACACAATTAGATACGTATTTACTTGGGAGGCTATAGAGCACGCTGGACCTGGTAAATATGATGAAGAGTGGATTGAGCACACCATTTCTTTGTTACGACTGGCAAAAAGCTACGACTTCTATGTGTTCATGGATCCCCATCAGGATGTGGTAAGACACTTTTATCGTGCTACATGCTCTCCATCAGGGCATCGAGACTGACAGCAACTGCTACTAGTGGTCGAGATTCACGGGTGGCTCTGGTGCACCGATGTGGACGATCTATGCAATGGGACTCAATCCAGAGGGATTTGCTGCCACTGAAGCAGCATTAGTCCATAACACTTATCCCAACCCTGAAGAATACCCGAAGATGATATGGGCGACAAATTACACAAGGATGGCGTGTCAGTTAATATTCACACTCTTCTTTGCAGGAAAGGTTTTTGCTCCCAAGGCTATCATTGATGGCGTGAACATACAAGATTACCTCCAAAATCATTTCTTGGGTGCATGCGAGTATTTGGCTCGACGGATTCACGAGGCAGGAGATCTTGAAAACGAAGTTGTCATCGGGTGGGAAAGTTTAAATGAACCGAACCGGGGTCTGGTAGGCTATGAGGATATTTCAGTCATTCCGGGATCGCAGAGGCTACAAAAAGGGACGTCACCAACGGCATGGCAGGCCATATTACTAGGATCTGGCAGACCCTGTGAGATCGATACATGGGACTTTGGGAATCTTGGTCCATACAGGTCCGGAAGAGCCCTGGTCGACCCAAAAGGCGAGGCTGCGTGGCTTCCAGCAGACTATGATGATTCAAAATATGGCTGGCATCGAAGTCCGGAATGGAAGCTAGGAGAATGTCTATGGGCTCAACACGGAGTGTGGGACCCGTCTAATGACGTTCTTCTCCGTAAGGATTATTTCCTATATCACCCTAAAACCGGCGAGAAACTTGATTATGAAGTGTTTACCAACACGTATTGGCTGGATTATTATCGAAAACATAGTAAGATGGTGAAACGTTGGCAACCTGACGCCATTATGTTCTGTCAACCTCCTGTACTAGAGATCCCTCCCTCTATCAAGGGAACGGAAGACGACGACCCGAACATTGTTTACGCGCCACATTTTTATGATGGAATTACACTGATCATGAAGAAATGGTAAGTTTTCCCTTGCTCAAGATCTCCGCATTATAACTAATAGAAAAGGAACCGCTTTTGGAATGTGGATGTCTTTGGAGTTCTACGCGGTCGCTATTTAACACCGGCCTTTGCTATCAAGATCGGAGAAACCAATATTCGAAACTGCTTGCGTGACCAATTGGCAGCGATGCGGAAAGAAGGTCTCGATTACATGGGGAATCATCCCTGCATTTTTACAGAAATCGGGATTCCCTATGATATGGATGATCGGTATGCCTACAAAACGGGTGATTACAGCAGTCAAATTGCGGCTATGGATGCGAATCACTTTGCGCTTGAAGGGAGCAAGGTCAACGGTTTCGCTCTATGGGTATACGTGCCTGGTGTGAGTTTTGCTATAAGACATATGACATTTGCAAACCGAAATACTGACTTTTGCGGCAATTAGAATAACCACAAGTGGGGCGATAATTGGAACGGGGAGGATCTTTCCATATTCTCGGTGGATGATCGTCTATTGCCTTCAAACTCCCCTGTCGCAGGAGACAATACCTCAAAGAGTTCCGTAGATCTTGCTTCTCCGACATTTTCGCGCAGCCAATCCACAGATGCATCGACTGTGTTACCTGCCAATGTCAAGGCGACCTTGTCCAAACCGTCGCTTAAATCTGAGCCTTCGGCAGTCACCAATGGAGAGCAGCCTCGCGCACCAGGCTATCGAGCAGCTGAAGCTGTCGTTCGGCCGAGCCCGGTTTTTACGGTCGGCGACGTTAGGGGATACAGCTTTGACCTTCGCAACTGCATTTTCCAAGTTGCTGTAAGTTCAACCGCACCGACTAAACAAGATGCGCCCACAGTGATGTTTCTACCTGAGTTCCATTTCCCTCGCAACGACACTCAGGTGGAAGTGAGTGGCGGCAAATGGTCCATTACCTTGGAAGAGACGCATGGCACGGAGCTGCAGTACCTGAGTTGGTGGCACGGAGAGGGTGAGCAGACGATTACTGTGAAAGGCGCAAAAATGAGACAGGGCCTGTTCCTTGGACGAGACGATGAAGATGACGGTTATCTGAACCAGTGTCAACAGAGTTCTTGTTCGATCATGTGATGGTTACATTTAGTGATGTCTGAGATCTATTCGCAATTTTTTTGTGCATCTGGTTGGGAGGAGTTTAATTTAAGTTACCTACATTGTACCTGGTTTGCGCTGCATATTCATGTATTCTGGAGGTTTACCAGCAATTCTCTGAATTTTTTTTTTAAATTTGTTTACAGTGACAGCTTATACTAAGCTAGATATATGAGGACTAATGCCATTACAAATGATCAAGGGATGGACCCAAGCAGAGAAAATATGTCGAATATCCTGACACAGAGAAATACCAGGAGTGATAGAGTAAGAATGTGATATAGGCCAGGTGACTACCATGACATGGAGTGAAGTTGCATTGACTGATCGCATATGGCCTAATCGGTTCTAGTTTGGCAGCGGACCGGAGCTTCACCGAGAGAGGGAGGATGATCACACCTAAAAGCTTCCACCGCCAAACCCCCCCCCGGTCAAATCCAAAAAGTATCATATTCATTGGTTTTTGTTGTTGAGTGAATAAAGGTTTCCTCTAGAGAAGGGCTATTAGCCCTCCGATTGTTTTCCTGTTTTCCTTGCGTATATGCACCAGGTGATGGAGAGTCAAATTCACAAAACTCGCAACTCTCTCTCCGTCTGACACCAAATTTAGCTGATTGTAGTGTGACCGCTCTGCCACCAACAGCTAATCCAAGCTTTCCAGGAAGCTTTTGATGGCAACCTGAACATTATATCGCGCCTGTATTTAGCAAATCCATGACTGAGGTAGCTCCCTGACTTTTCTGTTGTTGCATCACGTCAACTGCCTCAGTCAAAATCCTTGTCACCGCCATGAACGGAACTTCTGTCACCCCAGTTCCTCTACAGGGTGACGGACTCATGCCAGAAAAACTCAGCAACGATGACTCCGACTCCACAAAATCGCTAGCATCGATTATTGAAGCTCTAGAAGCAATCCACAGCCCACAATCATCGAACGAAGCTCGGGTGAAAGCGTCGGTGTTCCTCGATCAGGCACGCGCTCAAGATCAAGCGCCCTTCGTTGGTTATACGCTTGCGTCCGATCTTTCGCAGCCGCCGCCTGTCCGACATTATGCTCTCTCGATGATAGAATATGCGATACAACACCGATGGATCCATTACTCGGGAGAACAGGCTGTTGCCGTTCGTGAATGGACTCTGAGTCTCGGCTCCAAAGTCAAAGAACAAGATCCGCTCTACGTCCGAACCAAGCAGGCACAATTATGGGTTGACATAGCCAAAAGGAGCTGGGCATTAGATTGGATGGGCTTGGATGAAGCTCTACTGCAGCTGTGGGCCGGGCCGCAAGTGCAGAGAGAATTCGTGCTCTACGTGCTAGAAAATCTCTCAGAAGATATCTTCTGCAGCGAGGATTCTATCGCCGCCTTACGAGGTGCTGAGCTGAGCAAAGCCTGTGTCGAGATCTTCACTCCGGCCGCAATCTTTGCGGAGCAATATCCGACAAGAGAAACCAGCGCCAATGTGCGCCAGGGTGATGAAGGATGGCTTGCGCGTCTTGCAGAATTTCTGGGTCTGTGTTTGGAAAATAATGTGGAGATCGCTGGTCCATATCAGACTGGGGCAATCAGAGCATTAGCAGTGATGAAGTCAGTGGCTGGATGGGCCATTCCAAAAGCTATAGTTGCTGCGCATTTGCTTGAGCTTTGCTGTCGAGCTATGGCAACTTCCAGCGTCCCAGTACAGTTCGTAAGTCAAACACTCTATCCCTACGGTGGGGTTGTATGAACTAATGGAGAATTGTAGGCAGCTGTTGAAGCACTTCACAGCCTTTTTAGCCGAGCATATCTCCAGGACGACGACTTTTTCGCAACCGTTTGTCCAATGTATAGAACCGAAGTCGTGAATCTGATGAAATCGCTCTATGAAAGATCCATTGTGGACGTTACAGACATAGATGAATCAAAATATATTCTCTTGCAGAAACTTGTTGAGGTATGTGGCGCGAATCGCATTATCCCGCTGTTTCTTGCTGACTTTTCTCTGACTTAGTTACTCGCAAACTTGGGTCACTACATAATAGAAAGGCCACAGCTCGTCCCCGAAGGAAGCGATCTTGCTGGTTTCTTTTTCCTCATGCTCACAGTCGTACGCAACCAGAGTCTTCTTGTTACGATACCCGTCTTGCATACCTTTGTCAGACTCCTCAGAATAGAATCCATCGGAGACTCGGAGACTATCTTGCCCCTAATCGGACCGCTACTCCAAATCTGCAGTGAACGGCTATTCCGCTATGAAGCTTTGCCTGAGGACTCTGACGATCCAACATTCATATTCCTTAACGAAGACATAGAGACTGTGCCGGAACGGCATGTTTTCCTTGGAAACTATCGAAGATATTGCGTGGAGGTCGTCGAGATAGTTACTCGAAGGAAGCCATTCGATGCGTTGGGTCACATCATAACTCAAGTGGATGAAATGCTCCAGAGGCTATACAGCAACCAGCCGCCATTCAAAGGTAGGAGAACGCAGATGAGTAGCCCATGTTGACGTTTGGAGCTGACCAATTTCAAGTGGAATTCTACACCCGAAATTCTATTCCTACTCTGATTGCCGACGCTCATTTCACGGTAGTAGAAGCAGCCCTCAGAGGCTACGCGAAATGGTCTACCTCGCAAAGCCCAAGCCCACCAGCCGATGTACGAAGATCAACACCTTACTGAATGACTATTAGAGTCCCTTTACTGATGGTATGTGCAGGTGCAACAGACCCATGACCTCATGGACAATTCGCTGGAAAATTGGTGTGAGCGGATACTGCAAATAAATCATCAGGTAGGCCCATGAATTGAAAGTTGCCCACTGGACGCGATGCTCATAGCTATAGGATCCACTTATTCAAAAATGTGTCACACACCTGAGCGTTGACATTGCAGCAAGCACAAGGAAGCCAGCCTTCACCCTAGCCGTTTTGGAGCGCATTCTGAGCCTTAAATTCGTTGAGGATCCAGACTATCCAGCTTACTCGGAGGCAGTTCAAGAACTACGAAAAGTTTGTTCCCATGAACTGCACCGGCTAGCCTTGCACTTCTCGGATTATTTTTACGTAAGTCAGCTGAGACTCTCGACCTCGCGGAGACACATTAATCGATTATTAGTCTACATATGAAGACATTGAACGTCGTATCAACGTAGTAATTTCTGGCCCTGACGTCGATGACCGATTGCGGCTACAGTACCAGACCTTTTTGTTTACCATCACGTAAGTGCGAGTTCAAGGCAGAGGTCGTTCGTGCAGAGTTAACAAATTATTCAGTCATCGCTCCGCCTGTGGAGATGACGAAGTCCGCCGACAGCGACTTGCAAGCTTCTTAGAGCCTGTCAAAGGATTATGGCTACAGCCGCAGATGCTGGAGGCTCTCTCGTCGTTTGAAAATTTCTGCAGATTCCTGGGTCTGGACAAAGTCCAGCAGTATCTTCTTTCAAAACAAGCCCATCAGGTGGAGAACTGGTCGACGTTTGCATTGGATGATGAGGGAATGGCGATTAAATCACAAACAACCCAGAGCTTCGAGGTATGTTTCGGTACGACGTTTCAATAGCAAATACTAATGTTACCGCAGGCCTTGCCCATACGAGCCACAAAATCTTTCCTTGGTGTTTCTGTGGACAAGATGAAGCGCACCGAGAATTCGTACAGGGTAACCTGCTCACTGTGGAAAGACGTAATCCCACAAATCCTTCCGCATCTTCTCAAATTAATAAGGTAAGATATTCAAAAGGTTTTACGTCTATTAAGCAGACCGCTCATTTGCCACAGTTTCTCTCACGCTCTGCATGTGCCCGAGAACTGGACCGGCCTTCCGGGAGAAATGCACTCGGTGGTCAAGCACGTATTGACGGATCGCTTCTGGCAAGCTGGAATTTCAAGCGGGAGCAGAGATGACTTTTACGCAAAAGTTACCGGCACGAAAACCTCTCTCGAGGGCTTTGCATCATCTGTTCGTGGCACGATCCGCGCTGTCAGGGAACAATGTTACGCCGTGCTCGGATTTATGACCCGGCTGGAGGATCACTTTTATGGTTTCAGCGAACTTCCAGAGCCATTGTCTGAAGCTCTTTTCACAGACGCTCGCTCGCTCTCAACTCATCAGCTTTCTGTTCTGCTTAACGTCTCTAGAACAGTGATCGACAATTGTCCCGTCCATCAGCGGTCAACTTTTCTTTCACCCTTCCTCTATTCCTTATTTATTCAGCTTGATCAAAAGATACATTTCGAATGGCAACGTCTGATTCAGCGACGCCAGACTTCCTCTTACGAAGACGATCTCACAAACGAAATGCGCGATGAAAGCATTTTACGCCAACTCACCTTTGCTGCCGTTACGACCGTAGCTGGAATTCTCCACCCCCAGCGGCCAAGTATGTTAACCTTCTGCTCTTTTTTTTTTTTTTTTCTCTTTCCTTCCCTTTGATGCTTCAACCTCACTCCTGCAGGCTCTGTCCACTGTGCAAGGCTTATCATTGATGTGTACCAAATCTAGATCCCCCTTTCCAGACTACTTCCGGACCGCTTCCATCTCAGTCAGAGGATCAATCCAAATCATCCCCAGCAAAATCCAACGACACATATCCAAGCATGCGCATGTTCATAATCTCCAATCCTCGAATCCTCGAGGCCATCATTCTATTCATGACGCATGCAATCTATATGCAAGATTCTCGATGCTGTAACATCACCATCAATGTCTTTCGCAGCATTATCCCGGAATTCCGTATTTCGGGCGGACTTCCAGCCGCACCCATGATCCGGGACTACATCAGCTCAGAAGTCCTCAAAGCGAGTATAGCCTCCTTACACGAACCCTACTTTGTCGATCTCCAGAAAGAACTCGCTCAACTCATTGCGACTATTATCCACTTCTACGGTACTCAGACCGAAGTAGTAGCCCAAGTTTTGCTCTCCATCAACGGTATGACTGAGCCTATTGTTGGCCGGGCCATGGGCCGCATCGTGCGTAATCAGTCTGCCCGTCAGCAGCGCGCCCTCGTGCTGGAATTGCTTGAGAGCCTTCGCGGCGTGCGCGTCAGCGAACAGGGCAAATTTGCGAAGCCCGACCCGAAGAAGGTCAAATCCGCCATCCAGGAGAAGTACATGACCATTGATACCGAACCGACACAGTCCCAGCGCGAGCAAAGCCCTGATTTGGGCGGGATTGCGGATATGTTCGGTTGACGAAAAATTGCAAGATGTGGTGCATCAAATTTAGCCGTCTTGCTTACATATTCGAACTCTTCATCCCACAGTCCTTTCATACTTGGGTGCTCCCGTTACGTTGACTTTGAAAGTTTCCATTCCTCTGGGTCGGCTACTTGTTTTTTCTTCCTTTCTTTCCATTTTCTTTTGCATTAGGGAAGGCAGGCAAAACATTTTCAAGGATAGGAATCGATCTACACCCTGCATTAAATTTTTTTCTTTTTACCTGATGTTTTCGATTTCCTTCGTCCTCCCTAGGTTTATCACATACTCGAGGCGTCGGGGTCTCTCATGGATTCTTCTAATCTTGATCCTCGCCGTCCATACCATAAAGAAGCAATTAACTCCTCTGGAGCGAAACCCGCAGATCGCTCACACACATAGCTAGGCTATTGATAGATTTCACGAAAATAAGAATTTGAGATGCAGATAGCAAAAATCAATTTTTAAAAAAACACCAAAGTGGGTTGTTGGAAAGGATCATAGGGAAATGATGTTTCACAAACGTGGACAATGTGCATGTTCAGATTCATAAATGTCGATCTTGTGTGCTTATGAACAATGCTTATGAAGTATCATAAATTCATACTTCGGTTTGTATTTCATCTCTTGATATAGTCAGATTTCTGGACGTCCTTGGCCTCTATATTGTCTCATACCCTTTCATCCTATCAATAACCTGTTCGAAATACGATGCCATAACTCATTTCGTCACATTCGCTGGCGAGATTGCATATGTCGGTCTCACGAACCTAATATTGATCATCGAGTCAGTAAGCTTTCCATTTTCGTTCTTCATCTTTAAGATGCTTGGTTAAATGGAAAGATAAATCGATATAGTAGCCATCGCGCGGATTATCCTCTTGAGAAACAACATGTGGAGCTTGGACGTACCGATCAGAATGATATACTCTTGTTTCACTACCAAGCAGCTCCTTCTCCCGTGCCAAGTCTGCCCAATGCCGCCGCACAAGATCCCGATCTTCTTCAGCTTGTAAAAGCGGAATCAGGTGAATCCTACCCCACATCTTTTCTCGGGCGAGTTCACTAGAGAGCAAAAAAAGGGTCAGTTCGTCCATTGCAACAGCTGCAGGTCGAGAAAGCTAAGATAGCGGGAATGCCTTTTTTCGTAAAACTACAGCTACAACGTACTTTTGTTCTCTGATTCCTTGGCCAAGTTTGTAGAACCCATAGCCTGATATCACGCCCACGGCGAGGAGGTAGACGGCGGGACGGAAACCTCGGACGGGTAGGTTGCGCTAATATTTACAGACTAGAGGTTAATTATATGCTTCTTCATGAAATTCGATTGCTATGAGAGAATTGAAACAGATATATTTGCGCGATTGACAGTCAAATGTTCGCAAAAAAAGGTAACAGTAAAGATAATGATAATTATCAACTCCGAGAAGGAGCTGTATTGTTCAGGGGAACGATGCCAACTGCGTCATGTAAACATACCTTGTATTGTACCGGCGCGTAACCCCCGACGGGAGGTAAATCCTGAGGCATCGTGTCTCTGGAATAACTGTTTGACTGATTGATATATCTCCGAGTGCAATAACGTCTTGGACGATTGAGAGACAGCGCAATCTGGGGGAGAAAGATGGGGGCTAGTTCGGCCAGCTACCAGCACTTGGGGCGGGTAAACGTATGGGGTTGGGGAAACGGGAGACCCGCGGGATGCGGAGTGGGAGTTAGCGCTAAGTCTCTATGAGGACATGATCGACTGATTGATTGATCTTGCAAATAATGATAAGATAAAAACCGTTTGGTTGCACGATTTCTCGGGAACTTTTTTCGCTGCACAAAACAAAAATAACCACTACGCAAACTGCTGCCCCACTATATCCTCTTCGATCATCACGCTCTTAGAAGCTCTCACCCATAAACGTTGGACAAAAATGACAGAAGACGAGCGGCCGAGGAAGATGCAGAAGCTCAATGGCAATGATGAGCCTGAAATAAGCGCGGGTACCACATCAAATCACGTCGAGAAACCGACCGAAGAAACGCAGCAAAATGCGGAAATAGCTACTTCTGCAGCGACAGGTGCTGCTCAGCCTTTGCCAGATGGTGGAGAAAACGGGCAAGCAACTGTGCATGAAGCTTCTTTGGCGCCTGCTTCAGACAACGCTACACCAGAAGGCGAGCAGAAGCCGTTGTCAAAGAACGCGCGGAAGAGACTGGCCAAAGCACAGAAATGGGAAGAAGGACGTGAATGGCGCAAATCCATGAGAAAGCAAAAATCGGTAGAGCGGCGAGAGAAGAAACGAGCTGAGAAGAAGGATGAAGTGGCACGGCTCGCTGCTGAAGGGCTTGAGCCGCCCAAACCTACGTTCATCAAGCCGGTTCAAGTGCCTATTACAATCATTTTCGATTGCGACTTTGATAATTTGATGCTGGACAAGGAGATTATTTCTCTAGGATCACAGATTACGCGGGCGTATTCGGACAATAAGAATTCAAAGTTCAGAGCAAATATGGTCTTTAGTTCATTTGGCGGCAAGTTGAAGGAAAGATTCGAAGGCCCGCTGGCAGGTCATTACAAGTCGTGGAAGGGGACACATTTTACGGAAGAAGACTTTGTTGCTGCGTCCGAGGAGGCCAAAAACAGGATGAAGAACAACAAGGTCGTAGGAGCACTGGCAAAGAGTGACGACGCAAGCGAATCCATACAGGATAGTCCTTCAAACGACAAAGAGGGAGAAGTTATCTATTTGTCTAGTGACAGCGACACTACTTTGACGGAACTAAAGCCGTACAGCACATATATTATTGGTGGATTGGTCGACAAGAACAGACACAAAGGCATTTGCCATAAACGTGCAGTCGAACGCGGCATCAAGACTGCCAAGCTTCCGATTGGAGAGTACCTGCAAATGGCGAGCCGTTTCGTCTTGGCTACAAACCACGTGTCGGAGATCATGGTTCGCTGGCTAGAGCTAGGAGATTGGGGTGAAGCATTTATATCAGTACTGCCCAAACGCAAAGGAGGCGTTCTTAAGGCCAAGGACGAAGCAGGAGAAGGGAAAGAAGAAGTGAATGTTGAGCCATCCTCGGATGATAATGATAATGAGGAGGAGGAGGAGGAGCAGGAAGCTGCTACTGCGGCGGCGAATGATGGGAAACCAACTATCGAATCAGCCGCTGACCAAGAAGTAACGCATGAAAAAGCGGCTGCGGCCACTGAATGTTAATAACGCTATGGCACATTCGTGGCAGCGCGTTTCGGCCTTGGCGGTGCAAATGTGCCTGCCCGAGGCATAACTGTGGACTACGGATTAAAACTGCAATCATCAAGTGTGACCGCCGCCAGTCCGGGTCCTTGAGCACTGCAATAGTCATCCGATGTTTGAATTGGCGCATAGTGTCGGAGTTCTGTCGATGCGGTTGAATAATAATCATTTCGACGATACCCGTTGGCCAGAGTTCTTGATGGCCTGTTCGCTGAAAGCAATTGAAATAGAGGTTCCGCAAAATTTTAAAGCAAAGCCAAGACATTTCAGGATTTGGACCCTTTCTCAGGTCCATGACGACAGAGATCTGTGAAAGGTTGCGAAGGTCAAATCCTCGAAGGCACGTCCAGAACCGAAAGGCCAGTACCACATAGAGGCTGCCTGGCTCAACCAGAATTCTGAAGGCTATGAGGTATCGTCTATTCGTGTCGCCAATGCGGTCCAAAAATTTCGTTTGCAGTGCGCGAAAGCTTCGAGGGCCGAAATGGAAAATATTCTCTCCATACAAAATCAGGGCAGCCTCGTAGTATTATTGCTTTTGCGTTCGAAGAATCGCTACATCTGGGGTCTCTTTGAAGGGGAAAATGTATTCTGCTTGCTCAGAAATGAGGACAGGGCTTCGAATTAAGCAGAGCCGGAATATCGTTAATCGAATCTCTAATGGGAACTTGTCTAGATGGCATATGCCTTTGTATATATTCCTGTTTTGTTCATGTCCGGCGAATTCGACTCGCTGTCCCCCCTCCATCATTGCGTACTATACTACGGTGCGTCCTCAAAGCCAATGCCTGCAGGAAGATATGGTCTTGACGCCTCTCCTTTTTTATCGCTTCGGTGGACGAGGTAGGCTCTGGCAAGCCCCAAATGAAGCTGTACATAGAATATTAAACATTGTTTGATGAAGGAGCGCGGTTATGCTTACTACTTGCTGGAATGGCTTATGGGATCAGACGTGTCTTGAAGTGTACATAATGTGGGATGTTGTGAAAGCTCTCTATTTAATGATACCTCATTGGAGTCCATCTTCATTGTGGTAAATCACTTCTTTCCAGGCCTCGTATAGCAGAGATTATTGAAGGTGTGGCTTTATGAGTAGAGCACAGGATGTCTTTTTTCGCAGACGATACAAGATTTTATTTGATCTTAATTTAACGACTTAAAAACCTGCATTTCAAAGAGTCTTATCTAATAATTGTTGAATATAAAGTATGCTAATAAATTGGAAAGCATAGAAAAGGAAGGGACGAGGGGCAACTTGACACTGCGCCCCATGTTTTCGGAAGGAGACAGTCTATTCTAGGAGAACTTAATTGAAACTGGAAAAGGTTATAAGTCCACGATAAATTGAACTCAAGGTCAATCTACATTGTGGTATTGACATGCAATTGAATGGATGACGATGAGCATGTTGTTGTTGTCGGTTTATATTATATTGCTGCCCCTCTTGCGGAAAGGTTCCGCCCCCTCCGACGGTCAGCCGAAGGAGTGAAAGGACAGAAGAACAATGAAACATCAACACCAACATCACCAACATTCCAGCTCTATTCATATAGCTCCATCATTCTACCCAAATTGCATCTCTCGCTGCATCTAGACACCACATAAATCAAATTAACTTCTTACTCTTTCATATACGTTTCATCTATACCTTCATATTTTACTGATACCCGTATCTGCCCAATTAGTCAATACCTAGCCCTCCGTATGTCATCGACCACGGATTCCCACGACCCCACATCACCGCAGCAATCACCCTCCCCTCCTTCAGCTACAGATCCACAAAAGCCCTCTTCACCTTCTGCCTCTTCACCTAAACACAAATCAAAGCCGTCCATTGCCCGATCTCCCACAGCACCTGTTCCCGCTGTGGCTTCAACATCACCATCGACGGTCTCACCAGCTCCGTTATCACCTTCCTCACACCCCATTACTTCTTCCTCAGCATCATATCTGACATATCCGGTCACCTATGCGGTTTCAGGCATTCTACGGCGATTCTCCGCCGACTCCAACGGGCACAATCTGCGCTCGACCAACAACAGCAACAATCATAATAAAACGAAGAAGATGAATAGTAATAATAATGGCCTATACACTCCGCCTAATCGCACCGCATCGCCCTTTACACCCCCGCCTTTAACTCCTCTCAGCCTTAAGGGCTACCAACCCAGCACGCCCACGTCTGCAGCTATCCTGACACGCACATTGGCCGAGGAAATCCGATTACTCGTGCCGCCGCGATTGCAGCTGGTCGAGGATTGGAATCTTGTGTACAGCCTCGAGCAGCACGGTGTGAGCTTGACGACGTTATATAAGCGCTGTAATGAGTACCGGGGGAAACGATGTGGATTCGTCCTCGTCGTGAGGGACAGTAGTGGCGGGGTAGGTCATGTCCCAAATTTCGAACTTCCTGCCGTATCCAATTTTCCCCCTATACGCTATACATCAGTTCTTTGAAGATGCATGCCCATACCTACGGAATTTAGCTAACTAACATCACTTCTGTCACAGACATTCGGCGCATACCTCACCGAGCCGCCCCGCCCAGCACCGCACTACTTTGGCACCGGCGAATGTTTTCTCTGGCGCGCGCATACTCTGTCAGCTACTCCAGAATTATCGCATCTCCCGCTTCCTCCCAGCGCAGATACATCAAACATGCAGCGGTCAACGACAATCAGCAGCGGCCTGCTCGCTCCGCCGTCGCCTGCTCCTGGACAAGCAGGCGGGAGTCGATCCGGCAGCGCGACCCCTGAACGGATTCGATTCAAGGCATTTCCCTACAGCGGTGTGAATGATTATATGATGTACTGCGAGGCAGAGTATTTAAGTGTAGGCGGAGGGTAAGTCCGAAACCCAGATTGCTATTGATTCCTCCCCCCGCCTTTTTTCCCCCCGTTTTTTTAATATCGTATTCAATTGCCCATGATTTCCCACTCGTAACTAAATCACTAATTCTCGAAACAAACAGTGACGGCCGCTACGGGCTCTGGCTCGACGACGGTCTCGAAAAGGGAATATCCAGTCCCTGTCCAACGTTTGGCAACGAGGCTCTCAGTGACGAAGGCCAACGATTCGATGTTCTTGGCGTAGAAGTCTGGGTCGTCGGTGCTTGATTTCTGATTCTTCTTCCTCTTCTTTCCTTTCTTCTTTTGATCCACCTTCCTTTTCCATTTCTTTTCCATTTATTTTCCCCCTTCATTTCCCCTTTAATCTCTCCTCCCATTTCTTTTTATTTTTTTTTCTTTCTTGCTATCTACAACTTTTCTGGCTTAAAGGGAGGCCGGTACTCTTCTTCCCATCCCCCCTTCTCCCTCGTTTTACCTTAATATCTCTCCTTCCGGCCCTTCTCATGTTCGTTCTTTTAGGTTCTCTAAGAGAAGGAGAAAAACATCACCATACTTTGTACCGTCCGAAAAGGAACATGGATGAAAAATAGGGGAAAAGGACAAATCGGCGTTGTTTTTTGTCTCTCTTCATTTCGGAATTCTGTCAATAGTTCCAAGTCTGTATCTCGTTTCGTCTCGTCGTGTCTAGTAAGTTAAGGATGCCGGCCCGTATCTGCGTTTCTGCATTTCGAAGAGGGCGAGGAGGGTATATATATATATATACATATACGAATTGCATCCTCTTCTCTTGATATTTCCTAGGTCACTTTACCAACACTTCAGAGATTTAAACTTTAAGATGCGAAGGGGCTTAAGGTACCACTCCTTTAACCACACAGAAGACTTCTCTCTGTGTATCTATGTGCCAGCGCTCGTGAAAATACTATATCTGTCATGACTGAAAGAACTGTTAATTGGATTTAAGGGAAAAAAAAAGAAAATCGTTGATTGGATTTAAGAGAGAAAAAAAAAAAAAAAGAAAAACGTGGATTGGAATCAATAGTGTTTGAATTGAGAACATGTCCGATGGTTAAATCTAAAACACTACCTACTACGTGCTACTACAGCGATGCAAAAGGCGGAAAGAAAGTACGAGGGAGGGCGAGGATGGAAGTTGCAGATGGGGGAGGAGAGAAAAAGAAGGAAAGAAAGAAAGAAAGAAAGAAAGAAAGAAAGAAAGAAAGAAAGAAAGAAAAAAAGTATTAGACGGGTCCAATAGTAGTACCCAAATCGAGCTTGGGAGTTAAAAACAAAGCAACAAATAAACAAGTGAAAGGAGAAACATAAAAAGATGTTGTGGTATCAGAATCAGGCAAGAGAAACAATAAAAATCAAGGTGATCTGGGTAGGGGGGTGGAAGGGAGGAATGTGTAGGTGCCAAGGCGAGTAAGATGGGAAGTATGACGAAGGAAAGGGCAAATAATGGAGGATTGGATCATACACAAATACGCGAATGGAGAAGAAGAAGATGATGAAGGAGAAAAAGATGAAGAGCACCTTGAAAGGAAAAAGAGATCGTAAGAGACAGATGACGCGAAACGCCATCAGACTGTGTCATCACAGGACCATAGTCTAGTAAGGACTATTTACGATATCGTTTCTCCTCAGGGCACCAATGCGACCACTGCTGCGACGGGGCGTTCCACGAGACTTGACCGGCGTAGCGATACTCTCACGAGTTGGTCTGCGGAGTGCGGTCTTGGCAACCATATTGACCTCATTCGGGAGGGCGACAATGACATTTTTGTCGGTGCCAAACTTGAAATTGTCTGCCTTGACTTCCTCTGCGTAGCGCTTGATCGTGTAGGGGTCCTTGCGGCCCGCGAGGACCTTCTTCATGTTCCAGGTGACGATGAACGGGCCAGTGGCGGTAATGATGGACGTTTCATTGCTATCGACACCAGTGTTGAAATGGGCAGGGGTGAACGAGAGCGGTGCGCCGGTTTCGTGTTGGAATTGCGCAACGTGCGCAGGTTGCAGACCGAGACGGCGGGGCTGTGGCTTGGAGTCTTTGCCAAAGGACTTTTCAAACCCGAGCTTGCCCTCGTTCTTGCCTTCCTTTTGAAGAGCATCGATGAGGAGCAAGTATGTGCGGCACGTGGCCAGGACCCAGCGGCCATCGGCGGAGACGTCGAGACCAATAATGGGCTCACCAAGCGCGGGGATATGAGTCTTGGCGTTGATGCCTAGACGGTCAAACATGCGAATGTCACCCTTATTGGAGGCAACCGCAATGTAGCCCTTTTCTGTAGTCGCCGCAGTGGAAAAGTCATTCTTCGAGGCGTATTGCTTGAGCTGCGAGTCGACGAGCTTGTTGCCGGCAAGACGGGGATCGATACGGTACAAGGCATTGTGAGAGTGGCCGAGGAAGGTCTGTTCGCCGGTCATCTGGGCAAATTTCTGTGGGAAAATCAAAGAGTTAGTGGCGCACTAGAAAATGCTAAATTAGAAAATCGGAGTCCATACCTTGTCTGGCGCAAAATTCATGACGGGAATGTCATCGTGCACCTTCCATTCGTCCACGACTTTGCCGTACTCCAGATCCATTCGGTACAGGGAGTTAGGGTTGTCGGAGTTTTGTAAAATCATATTCTGGTCTTCGGCATGAAGCATGACCTTCTTGGGGCTGAACAGCTTGCCTTTGGGAGTTTCGACCTTGGAGATATTGGTGGAAAACTCCAAGTTGTTGTTCGGGGTGTGCTTGAAGACGCCAATCTTGGAGCCACGCACGACGAATGATCGGTCATGCTTATAGCCCACGGCCAGCTGAGAGTTGACATTGTCGTCATCAGGATGAGCATTAACATCATCTTCAGATTCATCGGAATCATAATGTTCGCTGCGCTGACCGTCGTCCTCGATATCTTCTTCCTCTTCCTCGTGCTCTTCCTCTTCAGCTTCGGCCGCCGGTGCGTCCTCCATGGTAAGATCCTGAAAGGCCTCTAGCACGTATTCTCTGTCATCATCCTTGGCCTTGATCCACCTGGTCTCGTTGAGTTTCTCCCACAAGGCCCGCAAAAGTCCTTCTTGGAATCTCTCTTCGGTCTCCTGGTCCTTGAAACGAAGCAACCATGAATAGGCAGAACCATCACTGGTATAGTGATTAAAGATGAAAGAGAGATACTCAAAATTGAAGACAGGATTGATATCTGGCACCACATCCTGACCCAACCAGTCCCGATCAGCGCCAGTGATCGAGAGCCAATATTGCCACGTCCCATATTCCGAGACAGTCGCAACGATAGAGGGATCCTGCAAAACAAAGGTACCTGACTCAAAGTCGAACAGATGCAATTCGGCTCTCTCCTTGGTCAGAATGTCGGTACCAACCGGGTGTGTCACTGCCGGAGGCGGAGCGGTGACAGTGTCCTCAGGTGATGCCGGGATAATTTGCTTCTGTGGAGTCCTCGGCATGATGGGCTCTTCCGTTATTTCAGGGGCTGTGCCGACGCGAGGGGAAGAGGGTGATCCAGGAACAGCAAGCCGCGAGTTTCGGCGGGAGGTAGCACTTGGAATAGGCTGTTCCTCGGTGAAAGAAAATTGCTCAAGATCTTGCTCCGTAGCAGTTTGGTGGCTCTTGCGGAACTTTCGCTCGTATTGACACTGAACCGCGACAATCTCAAAAGTGCTGACGGTACTGGTCGGAGTCGACGTATCGCAGACGAACTCGTAGAGATCGCCAGGGTCCCCACTGAGATCTCTCCAAGCAAAGACCTTCTCTCCTCCCTCGCGGACTTCGCAGCGGAAATGCAAGCTCTCGTCGAGCAAAAATGTTTTTTCGTCTTTCTCGAGTCCAAGGCTATCGGCCAAAGTGTCCTCGCCGTTCTCCTCGGCCAGCAGCTCCTCCTCGCCTTCCTCGTACGCGCGCAGGACCACAAGTTGATAGTGATATTCTTGTCCGGTTCGACGGATGCTAGCAGCAGCGTCTTTGAAGATTAGTTCCGAGTAGCCTTTGGGCGAAAGTGGGCGGACCAAGTAAAGCTGGCCCTGCGGGATCTCGACAAGCGATTCCTTGGATGTATCGCCGAAGAGGTATTTGCTCACTGCGATTCCATGAAATGAGAAATTAGTAAACTCCAAAAAGGAGAGAACAAAATGATTAACTATCTGTGCGTGTTGTGGGGGCGTGGCAGTGTGTAAATTGCAAAGCGGGGGATACGCACCGTTCCTGAGCATAAACATGGTGGGGAACCTTGACAACAAAAGATAAGTGGTTGGAGGACTTTGGAAAGCTTATGTCACGTTCATTTAGATTAAACTTTGGATAGTGAAAAGGGACACGAGACTGATCAAAAGTCCACGAGCCAAGCGAAGAGAGTGTGAGCGAAGCAGTGAAAAGAATCAGGATGAAGAGGGAAGGAGTAAGTGGAGCAAGAAAAACAAAAGATTCTCTCTTCTCCATCTGTTGGTCATTTCAACTCTCGATGACGCCCCATCTTCACTTACCTCTCTGTTTTAGGATTAGCGGTGGCGAGTGTTCATGTGGCTGTGCCGCCTCAGGCAGCATCCATTACGTAAGCAACCCCGTCTGTCACGTTGTTTACTCCGTACAGAATACGCTCAAATTCCCACCTGTCACGGAAATATTCGAAATAATGATATAAAAAGTAAAATGTTCAAACAGATCCTTCTAGTTGGATTTTTAGTTTATTGATTTTATGTTCAATGTTCCTTTCAACACGCTTCTCCTTCTTCGAAGAAGGCGGACCAGTAACTCATCAGCTACTAGACAACAATCACATTGTAATGCACCTTGTTACTATGCCAATTATTGAATCCTTTTGAGAAAAAGTCTAGTCATCAGTGTTTGAAGTAAGCTATCTACATTATCCCATGATCCGTATCAAATGTCCCATCATTTCGTGCCGTCGGTCGTTTGCACATATCCCTTCAAAATATATCCATCAATCTGTTCGTAACATACGCATGCTGTCTCGTAATGAGAAACTATTCCCAACAGAAAAAAACGCCAATGCGCCGCAATATTAGGGAGACGACAATATCTCCCAAAATGCCAAAGTGTGTCTCTGAACCCAATTTATATCTCAAATATCAATAAACGACTCGGAAAAAGGCGCTTCCGAGTACTCAATCTCCATGATTGATGTTGAAAGCCTTTGACAAAAGAAGAGTGCGGGTAAAAATAACAAGGCGTAAGCAATCTGGTATCTATCGAGTATTGCGATCAAATCTCGAGACATGAAAAGTAAAAGGATTTGCTGAAACGTTTTTGGCGACAATCATTCCCAAACTTGGAAGATCCTCAAGAGAATATCAACATCCCGTCGTGCTTCAAAGCGTGCATTAAGCGGCTGGCTTTTTGCGCTTCTCCGCAAATCGGGCAAACATGAACAAATATCGTGTCTTCGATCGTTTATCATCATTCATCTGTAATCTGCTCCACAATATGGATGCTCAAGATCATAACCAGCAGTCCGACCGTTGTTATTATGAACAACGCGAAGCCGAACCAACCGAGAATCATGGCTGACGTGCCGACTCCGGACTTGACGCTTCCATTTCCTAGATCCTGGGCTATCGTTGCGGCGGCTACTGAGGCTGTGTGTTGCCACAGGACAGATACAAGAACGAAGATGGATGCAATGAAAATCAGTGCAAGGGCGATTTGTGAGACAGCCCGCGAAGGGAATGGCTTGACCTCGACTTCACCTTCAGCACGCTCTTCTTGATGCCAGCCAGGGAACGTAGCAAGAAGCAGGAAGGACACAAATGCGAGAATTATAGCAACGATACTGTTGACAAGAGTTAGTGGATTTTCCAGAAAGGACATACAACAACAATACTCAAAGTCCACGCCATCCGATATACAAGGGTATCTTTGGCATGAACCTCGACCAGGAGAGGAATACTTACATTAGGTAAGGAAAGACAATTGCATCTTTGAATGTGCTTGCTACCCAAATTAAATTTAGTGGATCTTGATCGACAGTCACTTGTCCTGCCAGGCTCGTCGCATTGTTGGAGCACAGGAAGGAGCCACCATCTGGATTGACACAGATTCCAAAATATCCCACGCGAACTTCGAGTTGCGCTCGGCCGACAATGTTCGCAATGGCGGATGTAACACCGGGGTCAACTTGTGAGGCGTCAAACGTTGGCGTGTACGATTTGTAGTACATTGAGATTAAGAAGATATTTGGAATGGTGGGCGATGAGGACGAGCATCCTGCTAGCAGAAGAGCTGAGAACCCAAGACATGTTAGTTTTCTGGCAGTAACAATGTTTTGTTTATTTTCTTTGATAAAGTCTTGGAGATAAGGCGAGGTTCAGCTAATCGGAACGGCTAACTTACACAATAATATAATTGCCAGCGCAATAAAAATCATCAAAACATGGTGGTAGCCCAAGAAGGGAATAGCCCCTTTAATTCAGAACGTTAGCTAATTATCCTATGATTTCTTCCTGGACGTATTGTTGCCCAATAAATGTCCAAAAAATTGGGAATTAGATTGAATGCTTGATAAGGGCGATGACTTACTTCCGACACCAATGGAGAATCTCATAATGAAGAGTCTCCGGAATTTTCTCCGTCACCAATAAATTCAACCCTATCAATGCTCTAGGATATCTGCCCGAAATTGCCTCTCAACTTGCAATGGTCTCGCACGACACGTGGGTCGCACGCCTAGCTGTGGAGCGAGACAAAACGTGGATTGTACGAAGCTCGCTATCCGAACACGTGAAAGTTTAGGAATGCACCTATTGGGGTGGGAAGTGCAGAGAAGATGTTATTGAACGATGCCTTCCAGCCTTGCTCAGAAAGTGTTAATCTCCTGGGATTCCTCGCTTCGATTGAGACTCTGTGAGGGGTTCTGCGAAAACCACCCAGCGTAAGCGTTAACTGTAAGCCGTATCGTTCGTCTCGACGTGATGATCAAGGAATGCGTAAGGGCGCAAAACGATCTTTGTTCCGGTGCGAGGAATGCGCTGAAGAATTGCAAAGCGGAGCCGGAATAGTGCTGCGTAGCGATAGGGATACAAAACGAAAGTTGTTTGCTCGTTCGGCGAAGAAGCTTCGAGCCTGCGAATTATTCCCAATGTGATCGTTAGACAGCCAACCTTCCCAGCGCGGGCAAATTGTAGAACTGCGAGATGATGAGAATTGGGAAAGGTGTTGGTCGTAAGGCAGGGGAAGATGTGGTAGTATGGAGGAATGAAGAAGGGGAGAAGAGAAAGTGAATAGTTAGTCTTTGGCTCCCTAGTCAAAATCCCAGCCTCCTCAAAACGAGTAAAGAGTTTCCGAGCACGCCTTGCAAAAATGCGTTTAGTAGGGTATTCGTCAGGTTGTTTCTTGGGCATAGAAATCAATCAGTCCCGAGGTGGGTTCATCTCATTCAGCAATGGTCAAAAATGGGGAGGTCGGTGAATTCTGCCGTGGACCGGACCACAAATCCATGGCAACGAGGCTGGGAAAGGTGCGTCACTAACCAGGGTCCTAAACAAATTCGTCTCCACGACAACCCCGCGTCAAGCGGGTACCTAGCCAATTAGCGAGCAAAATATCCGACAAGCTTTTGGCGGATAAGACCAAACTGCCTATCAAAGTTAGTTTGACGGGCAGATCAAGGGAGATAAGCTAGCTTTTTGAGGATTAGCTCGCTTACTTGTCACCCCAACCTCTTCATTTTCTTCTTACGATTCCTCATCTCATCCTGTCCAGATATAAAAGCTGTCCGTGCAGAAGGAAGATCCAGGTAGCATTTCCATTTACGTTTATTATCAACCTCTGCTACGTGTCACGCACCACGGGTTCACCTTTCAAATCTGTCAAATGAACTTAGAAACGATTGATAAAATCTGTCGTGGTTTTGGGGTAAGGATGCTACTCCACGATAACTGCTCTTCAGTGCTTTAAAGCTGAAGAAAACGCCTCAAATAAAAAGATGCGAGATACAAAATGAAAAGAAGCCCGATTCTGATAACCATTTGAAAGCCTTGACGGGAAACAATAATCCGCTCCTTTGATAATCGTAATCGCTAAACGCCGCTCATCTTGCTGCTTTTCCCTGTAGTATGTCCTCCGCTATGGTGAAGCAGACCAAATATCAAACGCCGAGCCTTGTGGTATCAATATAAAAATCATTTTGGTGCAAAAACAAACTTCCCAAGGTCAAGTACGGGTTTATGCTCTTCCGTCTCTGTGTTATTGACACCACTACTTTCATAATCTTCCTCGCCGTCACTGTCAGGAACCATCATGTCCTCGCTACCTTTGAGCGGAAGTGATACAGGATGTGCGACCTTATCTTCATTGTGGTTTTTCTTGTGGGCACTCATTGATGGGGCCTTGTGATCACCTTCGTTGCCAGCTAGCCCTTTCAAAACATCCTCAAGCGAAGTTTGGGCACGGCGTAGTACTCCCTTTTGACCCGAAAATGACAACATCTCGCTTTTTCTCGGACTGATCATCTTAGAATAATCACTGGATTCTTTTTTCAATGGGGTCCGTGTCTGCAGAGGAGTTCGAGCACTTTGGCCTGGAACGGTGTTCTTGAGTCCCTTCTTGCCTCCTAGACTGAAGACATTGGTGTTCTCTGAAGGCCGAAAAGCAAATCGGTCCTTCAGCTCCTGCAATTCCGCGCGAACATTTTTATCGAGGATGCTGGCAACGTCCTTTGAAGGAACATTGCTTTCAAGGGACGAAGGCGGAGTGTTGTTCTTCGAGCCGTTGGTAAACTGAGAGGACTCTGAAAATGTAGCTTGGCTTTCCTCAGAAACCGACTTGGCCGAAATTGGTTCAGGTGACTCTGGCACAAAGTCTTCATGCTTGCCTTCCTGGAAGACGTCCATCTTCCCCTTCTTGGACGGACTCGGGCAGTCAGATACGTCTGGCAAATCAGCCATGATACCTTCGACTGAATCATCAGACCAGATATTGACGTCAATGCCCTTTCTCTTTCGCGCACGCGCTTCATGGGCTGAGGGTGTAGGATCATCGACAGCATCCGCGAAGAACCGACTGCGGGTTGACTGGGACGTGATCGGCGTCTCACTGTCAGTACAAAGTCTAGAACCACCAAGAGAGCCGGATGTCGCACGTCTAGCGGACAAGCGCAAGCGGGCTCTGTCAATGGTCGAAGGTGCAGAGGCTGGCGCAATGGCGGGAGATGGGGCCAAATCTTCAATCGTGGTGGCCGAAGTCGAACGTGCCGGGGCGGAGCGACTGGTCCAGGATTGATGGCTGTTGGTTTCCAAGACACGCTGTTGAGTTGGGGATGGGGTGAATAAATTCGGGTCAAGCTCTTGAAGAGGCATTCTCCGGGGCCGAAAGTAGCCATCTATTGGCTTATTGCCTTTGAGATCAGAAAAGCTACTGGCCATTGTTCCCTGAGCAAGCGCAACCGGAGTTCGAGGAATCGGGTCAAGCGCCTGCGGGATGACAATATTTTCCTTCGTCATAGGATGTAAATCGCCACGAGCAACGCCTTGAGCAATCTCGGGGCTGTAGTCGACACCCAGAAAGTCGAATTTGGCGCCAACTAATTGTTCCTCGGAGGGATTGCACATGACCAAAGCCTTTGCTTCGGGACAAAACACCCGCTGGTGACAAAAGGTTAACTCAGCCTTTCGAAAATCTTCCAAATAGCCTTGCGGGACGCGAAATTGACCGTCGAATTGAATGATGCGCAAAAGTCTTTCAACAAACTTGTACTTTCGAATTAGTCGATACGATGTCTTCAAACCCATCTTGTTTATGGAAGCTAGGTAATCGCAGCCGCTCAGTATGGCCATGCGGCGAAAATCAGCATCGGTCCATCCCACGAGGCTTATTTCGCGGCAGGCCGTGAAGCGGCTACGGTTGATTTCGATGCACTCGCCATATTGATCGAGCTTAGTTAGTAGGCATTTGGCGCCAAACACCAAGAGATCAGAATCCTCAGAAATGATACCCTGGATAAAGCCCTTGCGCTCCAAATAGGCCATTTGCGCGTCAGCTTCGTAAGGAGCGACGACGTATTTAACCTTCATACGCTTAAGGGCATCGATAAGAACACGGGCCATTTCTGGAGTGACATCAATGGCCTTTTGGAGCTCAATTTGGGCTTGCTGGATCTTGCCAGTCTTGAGAAGCTCGAGGCCAGCCTTACGGCTTTCTTCACGCCGTGCAGCCCGTCCTGACTCGGTTGCAGCCTTGCTCGGGAGATAGTCTCCATCAAAAACCAAGTATGGAGTTACTCCAAAGTGGATCAGCATACGAACTCGATTCAAGGCAAAATCAATATATCTGGGCTAGTCAGCAATTTCGATCTAAGCAACGAGTGATATCAGAGGTTCGGACCTAGTTGTGGGCTTTCCAAGTGCTAAATCGATAGCGCACGCAATGGTACCCCGATGCAGCCAGCCATATGCATCGACTCCCAATGTCTGTCCTGCAAATCTCTTCAGGTGTGATGGACGCTGAATAGACTTGAGTAGAGGCAATAATCCTGAGGAGGGGTTTAGCTACACAACCCTTTCTCGAGGACGCATATTTGCCCACCTTGGATACCCATTGTGACCTGGCAAGCAGCGGGGATGCTGCTGGACCCTTTGTTTATGTGCAGTGAGCGCCAACGCGCATGATCCTTTCTAAATGGTCGATATTCGACACGGATAACAGTTGTAATGAGTTTTCGAGAAAATATGAAATGAGAAGGCTAGGTAGCTCCTTGGATCAAAAGGATCAAAATAAAGGTACAGACGAGAGCAGTGGAGCAGAAGTGCGACGAGATTTGATCAGGTAATTCGAAGAGTGATATTGAGTATTTGGATTGAATTGGACGCGTGAAACGCGAAAGGGGAAAGAGCGAAGTCGACGACTCTCCCATGGGCCATTGCTCGGCCACTATCCCTCTTTCGGCCCAAGCGAGGCGGTCGGTGAATTCTGCCGCTCAAAAGTCTCTAAATCCGTTTGCACCGACTGATCATTGCACCTGTCGATCATTCATCACTTTCAATATGCCTCGATCATTGAATAAAGTACAGAAGAAAATTAGCAAGAAGCGTGGCAAGGTCGACTCTCTCCATGAGAACAGTCGAGACACGCAGCGCCTCCTCCGCGCCGGTATGCGTGAGGAGAAAATTGCCCGGCTTCACGCGGCTCGGAACAAGAATCATCAGCCTCATCGTATGTAGACGCAGACATCACTTGCGTTGAATCAAGAGGTTCTAATTGATATTCATAGTGTATCGAGTAGCATTCTTTCAGGAGATAGCCAATCAGACCGACAAATTGTTGGACGTTCCTGGGATGCAAAAGCTCATCGAGAGGTACGCCTTGCAAACTCTTCATCCATAGTGAAGTTGTCTCTAACACTTTGAAGATTTATTCACCGCGATGACGAGGAACTGTCGAGACTAAAGAAGGAGCGACGGCCGGGTCGTCCTTCTAGCACCCGCGAGGATATGCTTAAGCAAAGAATGGCCCAGGAAGAGAAGGAGTGGGAGTCTGGATTCTGGATGCCAGACATGGCAGATGCAATCAACATGGAGAAATTGAGAAACTGGAATCAAGAATGGGCATCGCTCAGCCCAATGCTTTTCGTGCGAATCAATCGGGCGGGTGTCAGACATGAGTCGAGCTTCCCGCCTCGAGGTGCTGCATAATGCTTGGGTCTTGGACTCTTTTTCAAGCATTTTATTGATTAACAAGCGAGGAGTTGGGTGTTAGAGGAAACATAAATCTTCCCTTCATCGCAAAAAGTTCTACTAGATTTGGCTGGGTGCTGTAGGATTTTCTAGAATTGATTTTATTTCTTCCTCTGATACTCCGTAGTAAGCACATGCAATTTGATGGCGAATGGGGTTGGTCGCTTGAAGTCATGGGTACGTAGCGTCTTGGCGAGATGGGAATTCCCATGCGGAAATCATCCCAATTCGGCTGTTCGTGAAGAAGCTCTAGCTCATCCTCCTCGAATAATCACTTTCTCTCCATCACCACCGAAAACTGAAATCTTTTTCCAATTCTCTCCATATTACATATTCACGATGATGTCTCTTCGATCCTTTGCTCGCTCCGTCCCCCGGACGTGTGCTCGCCTGTCTGCTCCGGCCGTTCGCCGTCCCATCTCCGCTCTCCGAACTTCTTCGCCGCTCAAGGCTGCATCAACGCAGATTGTTCGTCCCACCTTCGCCGCTGCTTTCTCGACCTCCAGAACACGATGGGACAAGGAGGGTCAAGGTATGACTCAATTTCAAATCTTCAATGCTCCTTACTACGGCCAAAATCTCACACATTGTACAGTCGACCAGGAGCTGGTCGCAAAGTTCGAATCCGAGCTCGACCTCGAAAATGAGATGAGAGACCCCGAGGAGATTCCTTTTGACATTCAGAACTTCCTGAAAGAGTCTCCTTTTGAGGTAGGTTTCCACTGCCATCAAAAGATTGCACCAGATATTAACCGAGACTTTCTAGGTCACCGACACTCCCGGCCAAGAGGAGGTTATTCTGACCCGCAAATTCGGCGACGAGACGTGAGCTACTTTCCCCCAAACTCCTGGCTCAAAAAGAACACCAAATCTAATTTGGAAAAAATAATCTAGCATCCGCGTGACCTTCTCCATTGCCGACCTCAACGCCATGGAGAACGACGCCGACAACTTTGAGCCGGCGCAATACGACGAGGACCTGGACCTGGACGCCCAGTCTGGCGGCGCCCAGAGCAAGGGCACCGTCAACCAGGGCCGCACGCAGGGCGGCAACGTCAACGTTGCTCCCGAGGACAGCGTGTCGCCCGCTGACCGGCCCGAGCTGGACGAGGAGGGCGCCGGCGATGTTGCGTTCCCCGCACGCGTCAACATCTCCATTGAGAAGGGAGGCAAGGGCGCTCTGCAGGTCGAGACGGTGATGCAGGACGGCGTCATTGCCATTGAGAACGTGTACTACTTCAACGAGGCCGAGCTGGCCGACCCCAAGACCGCCGAGAAGGACTGGGCTCGTCGCGGCCTGTACAGCGGCCCGCCCTTTGGCAACCTCGACGAGGACCTCCAGGTCTTGCTCGAGCGCTACCTCGGCGAGCGCGGCATCGACACCAACCTTGCCGTCTTTGTCCCCGACTACATTGACTACAAGGAGCAGAAGGAGTACATCAACTGGCTGTCTAGTATGTCTATTAACTCCTTCTCTTTACCACCTTATTCGTTTCCTCGAATTGCAAGTTACTGACCACCCATTTTTTCAATTCAACAGATGTCAAGAAGTTCGTCGAGGCTTAAGCGCGCCTATATCCCCCACTTCTAGAGAGAGAAAAACCACAACAAGATTCTCAACCCATTTTCATTCAAGACGCAAATATTAATCCAATGAGCGTTTAAAACACCTCCTTTACTCTTTCCCCGCTTCTCTCTTCCGATGCCCACCTCCCCTCTCCCCGAACTTTGTGCATCTCCGAACACTGCGTCTGAGATTTCCTTTTTTTTATCTTTGAACTATTGTTTGCCACACTATCCGCAAGCAAGAAGCTGGTCAATTCAGCCAGCTAGCTGTTCACTTTCTTCTTTTTCTTTAAATGTAATGTATTTTTAGTGAAAACGTATCTAAAACGAAGCAAATAAGAACCACGATTCAAGAATACCTAATTTGTGTCTCTGTTTTACGTTCATGTTGCATCAAGGACTTGTATTATGTCCGCAACGCAGATTTATGAGTTTATTACATCAAGGAACTCCAAAGAAACCCAGCATATATCCTCATGCTTCTTGTACTGTAGTGTGATTTGTTTTGTCCGTACCCAACCTGGAAAATAAAGAAACTGAAAAGGGGAAACAAATAAATTCATGATATGCATAACTGCCGTTAATTATCCGTGTTGGTTTAAGGAATAGTGTGATACCTAGAGCCACATCCGATTGCGATAATGGTTCGCTGAAATGTAACATAAATGAGAATGATGAGGAATGGCGAAGAAGAATATATATAATTCCCATAGATCTTTGGTATTGCCGGTCAATATCCCATTCCCCCGTCTTCGTAGTTCGGAGGATTACCCGACCCGCCGTATGGTCTTTCATGAACGTCGTCAAGGGATCGATAGCCGCCGCCGCCGCCATGTCCATGTCCATGGCCGTGGCTATGGCCTGGTCCGCCACCTCCTCCGCCGCGACCTCCTCTGCCTGATGATCGGCCGCCGTGGCCACGGTGACCTCCCCCGCCTCCACGACCTCCGCCACCACTGCGTCCGCCTCCTTGTGAGGAGTGGTGATGTTGTTGCTGTTGCTGTCGGTATCCGCCCCGACCAGCCCCACCACCTCCTCCGCTGCCGCCCCGAAACGAGCCGCCGCGGTTTGAATGCCCTGATGCGCCACCGCCCCGGGTATGCTGCGTGTGATGTCTCGGGTGCTGGTTACCATAATGCGGCGGCAGGGGCACGCCACCATTACTCGTGTCTGATTCTTCTTGGGGATGTCTCCGCTTGAAATTCTTTGTCGGAAACAGACTTTCCCATTCGCCTTCAGCGGGATTGGCTTCTTCGACGCGCAAAAGAACCTTTTCGCCGACAACCGAGTCGAACATGAATTGTTTCTCTGGCGCAACTGGTTGCCAGTTCTGGATACGTCCGGCATCTATCGGGCGTGCACCACGTCGATGAGCAAGAACGACCATTGGCACCGGATTTTCGGTATAAATCTTCTCATTCTCAGGTACGGGCTGGACCCGCGCGGCCCAAATCTTGTTCTCAAAAACTGCTGTTCCAGTAACTTGCCACCGGAGCTTTTTACCTAGCCCACCCACTTTGTCGAGGATGCTGCGTGGGCAAGGACGTGGCGTGATGAGAATATTGTTGGCGAGATATTTGATGTCGGAGTCGGGGGCGTGGAGCGGGAGGTTGACGAGGGTAAGGAGGTCTTCTGACGTGTCTGTTGAGACAAGATAGCCTGTGTAGAAGACGGTGCGTTTTATCTTGAGGAATCCATTGACGTTGTCGACGCCATTTCGGCGAGCCCGGTTGTGTGCGTTGATCATGCGTTGCACTTCGGCGGCTTCGACGACTGGGCTGAGCGTTGCGGCGGCTTCAGCGACGTGGATAACTTCTGCGGTAATGGGTTTGCGGTTGATTGGGCGATTCATGGAAAGAAGTGCTGTGTTGAAATTGGTGAAAAAGTCGCGGAAGCCTTTGACGCTGTGCGGGGAGTTAGATAGTCTCATAATGGAGGAGATGCGGACTGGTGTAGGTGCATACTGTTTGGGCCGATCCTCGTAGACCCGGATCTCTTCTGCGTCGCTGTATGTGTAGATCAGATCTGAGATGAATTCCTTTTTATACTCGGCCGTACTGGCGAACTTCTGGTTTGACGGCCCAACCTCTGGTTTGAGACAAATCATATCGAACTCAAGCCCCCTGCTGGCCACTATCCGCTTGATAAGTTCTGCAAAGGGGCCTTCGGAGCGGCCGGTGAGAAGGACTGTCAACGCATCCTTTTGTTCCATGCTTAGCTGTACGAGATCGACCTACGGCGAACACTCTCTTGTTAGTTGCATGTTGAAGAGAACTGAAATAAACGTTTATTGAGGTGAACGCACAATCTGTTCGTTCCACCAGCCTGCCCATGCTCTGAGCTCCTCCTTCTCCACGCCTTCTCCGGTTGCAGCTAGAATGGCTGCATCGTGCCACCACCCGCCATTGACGAAACTGTCTGAGTGCTGGAGATACCCTAATGTAGGCCCATTCCAAAGCTTCGCGTTTGGAAGTGGACTTGTGAATACTGCGACAACGGTCAGATCAGGAGAAACCAAGGGCCTTGCGGAGGCAGGACGCACATGTATTATCAAAGTCGTAGACATGGATTGCTTTTATCTGCGAAACAGCTGTCGTGGCAGCGTCAGCTTAAGATACTTCCAAATTTACCAATTCTATGGAAACAATCCTTACCAGGAAGGTCCTTTGACTGGCAAGACCACCGCTTCAGGCCGGTTATTGTATGTGAACTCATTCTGCGAATGAAAGCGCCAACTGTACGTTGGGGCGGCTGTATGTGGGATGGGATTCTCGTGGAAGGTACGGGAAATGCGCGCAGTAGCGGAAGAACATGCATGCAAAGAAAAAAGGGACAAATATCCAAATCTAAATCTTTGACAATAGATTATAATAATAGAGCAAGTGAATGCAACTGTCCTAGTAATGCCCCCTCGGTCCGTCAACTCGAATCTCGAATTCCCCGAAAGTTACGATAAATTACGGCCAGTCACAAATACCAATGGTGCACAACATTTCGTCAGTCTGCAGCTGTACAGTCCCACCAGAGGAACAGTCACATTCATTCATTTCCACGCACAGCTTTCGCAAGTACAACAGAGTTGTATGGACAGCGACACGACGATTCGACAGCAAGTCTTGCAAAACACACTGAAGGAAGTCCACTTCCGACATGAGGATGGCAAAACCGAGGACAGTCACGCCGTTTCTCACGAAGAGCCCTGCGTCATCTGCCTCGAACGGATTTCTGAGCTCGCGATAGCCGTTCCATGCCAGCACCATAACTTTGATTTTCTTTGCCTCGTGAGCTGGCTTCAGCAGCAGTCATCCTGTCCATTATGTACGTCTTCACTGTTCTCCTCTTTCACAATACACTGTTCTCCCCCTTCACGATACATCGCTCTGTACCAGGACTAACATCCGTTCCAGGTAAATCCGAAGTTACGGCGGTCAAATATGGCCCATCACCACAAGGTTACAAGACCTACACAGTCACATCTACGACTCCCACTCCAACTCCCACTCCCACGCCGAGCTCGGGTCCATCTCAAGCCTCCTCGCGTTTCCGCGGCTCCGGTGCTCCGCTGCAGCACCGCCCATTCGGACCCCGCAGACCCCGTCGGCCTCTCTCCCCTCCTAGTCCCAACGAAGCACTTGTTCGGCGGAGACGCGTCTACCGGCACCAGCTATACTCGCGACACGTTGGGTCTAATCGTTTATCTCGATTTCGGGACTTGACTCCGCAAATGTTCTGTCGCGACGCTGAGCTGGTTTCGCGCGCGCGAAAATGGATTCGGCGGGAGTTGCAAGTCTTTGCTTTTCTGAACCCAGAAACTACAAATGGAGACGGAAGCGGCGGAGGTGACGAAGCAGTCTCTCGAAGGGCCAACAATGCCGAGTTCTTGCTGGAATATATCATTGCTATTCTCAAAACTGTGGATATCAAAGACAGCGGCGGACAAGCGGAGGATATGCTGCAGGAGTTTCTCGGTAGAGACAATGCGAAGTTATTCTTGCACGAGCTCCGAGCCTGGCTTCGAAGCCCGTATGTCTCGCTGCAAGATTGGGATCGCGCGGTACAGTATGATGAATCCGCAATCAAGAATCCCGAGTCTTCTGGTCTCGGAGAAGTTGCGGAGTCTGAACCGAGTCGCCCTCGAGCCAGAGACCGTACTGAAGCACCGCCTGAAACTTCGTCGCAAATTCCAGCTGGGGCTGAGCCTGGGCCGGTCCGCAGAGCAAGGACCGATCATTATTCGCCCAGAAGAAGAAGCCCTTACAACGATAGTCGTGAACGCCGAGGCCGACGGGGATTTCGGCCAACAGATCGGTACATTCCTGACTGAAGCCTGCAAAGCCGTTCTGCTTGGTTCGGACGAATCGGCCTTTTCCTTTTTTTCGCCTTTTACTCTGGTCCACTTGGTTCCAATGGTTGCTTTTTCACCTTTTACTGGTCCCCATGGTCCCAATGATTCCTTTTTTCACCTTTCCCTGGTCCCCTGGTGCCAACGAGTCACTGTCCAATTCAGCATCGTACTATACCCATTTCTCCTTTTTTCCCTCTTACAACTGTTCAATAGCATCCAGTTTCGGCACCTCATATGTACCATAACTCTTTTTTCTGAAATGACTCGAAATTTTGAACAAAAAAGTATATTAGATTTATCGAAAGCAATTTAGACTTGGCCAAGTAAACAGAAATCACGTGGAAAGTAAAGACAACAAATGATGTGAAATAGGTGCATATGTTATAGATATCAAGCCCAAGAGGCTTACATATCGAGCAGGCACCCACACAAAAGACGCAGTGAAAGAAGCAATTGATACATGTATTTATCTACAGAAACTTAGACTATGAACAGGGAAGGAAAAATATCAACCATCGTAGATACAATCGCTTCCTTGGACGACTGGGGAAAAGCAAAACACTATTCAGTAGCAGACGGGAAAAAAGACACCGCCGAGCAAGTAAATCGCAAGTACACCAATCAAGAGGAATATTAATGCGGATACATATAAAAAAGCCTCGCAAGCGAATTGCTGAAGACATTCAAAGCAAAGCGTAAAAACGAAAATGCCATGAGCCACTCTGCCATACCCGCCAAGTACACCGTCCTTTCCATGCGGTCATTGCTGAGTAAAACAACGTAGATGACATCAACCGAATCACAGGTATATTACTTCCCGAGAAGGCAATCCGATGTTGAAAACTATACCTCCCCGCTGCAGCCGGCCACGCCGGTGTTAATATGAAATATTTGTCCACGTCTGAAAACATAGACAAGTAGCATCCTTGTTGAATAATAATAATAATTTGGATGCGGCATGTGCCAGAAACTAGGGTCTGATAATCTCAAAGGGGACCTGATGCCTTATGGTCCCTCTGCGCGTTTTTGGTGTAATAAAATGTGTGGATATCGGGCCTTCCTGCCGCCAATATCTTCCAGTGATCAGTTTCATGTCAAATCGGCAGAAACTGAACAGAGACATTCCCTTTGAAACATAGGGACGTCACCGCACCGCAAAATCGGTGGTATGTGTGAGGGGTTGGAAAAAAAAAAAGAGAGGTTGCAGATAATAAACGCTTCATTCACATGGCAAGCAATTCTTCGGCGTAATCATCGAGCTCGACCACCTTGAACAACGTTCCCCACTTTTGCCGAAACTCTCGTTTACGGTAAAGATAACTCATGTTCTTGCTCCAGGTGACGAGCTCGACTTTCCAGCCTTTCTCAAGCGCTCGCTCAACCATTCGCATGAATCCAGATGAGTACTCTGCCACAGCGGCATCGCCAGTCGCGAGGACAATGGTAGAAGGCCTTTCGGCGTCAACCAGACTTTCGAGTATCTTCAGGTGCAGAATTTCGTCCACAGCCTGCTCGGTCCATTTTTCCGGACCGTACAAGGTGCCCGCACCACCTGCGCCATTTCCGTTCGTTTCAGAGCCGGAACCGCTTGAGTGGCCAGACGCACCTCCATTGTACTTTCTCTGCCGTTCAGTAAGCTCCTTTGCTTTGTGAACTTTGTCGAGAATGCATGTTTCGTAGCCAATCTGCTTGGCTTCTTCGTAAGGCGGGATGATGGGCGTAGACCCAACCAAGACCCGCTTGGCCGTAAGTCGTCCTCGCTCCATGATAAGAGCGAGGGAGTGGAAGGAGAAAGGGACCCGCCTGATGCGGTTTGTGACTGGGATATTGCGCGCCCGTTTGAGCTCGTCGTGGAATCCAATCATGATCTGATATCTGTTAGTCAAGCGAACTAGGGCCGTGGTTAAGCATGGAAAAAACGAACATTAGACGCATCAACGAAAACGTGGATTCCGCCTGATCCATGGGTGAATCCGCTTGAGGAAGAAGGCTTGAGGAGATATTTTCGCTCGGTGGGATACTTGTTAATGAGCGCCAACGTCAGATCAACCTTTCTCTGTGCTGCTGATCTCGGCAAAAACGGCTCGATTTGCAGCACATCGAAAAGAGATCGTCGGACAAACGGGTTGTCAATAAACCATGATTTTGGGGGTGAGCCATTGATTCCTGGCTTGGGAGGGGAGAAGGATGAGGGCGGAGAAGACGCGTAGTGAAGGCTTGCAGACGCGAAATGATTACGCTTGGGTATTGTAATGGCGTGTTGACTGGCCTTGCGAGCCGGGTTATGTTTCACGTCCGTTTCCGATTCAATCTCACTGGCCGAATGAGGATGGGTGGAATTTTCAAGTTGGGCAGCTCGGAGCTCCCTCCTCTTCAGTTTGGCCAGTGCCTTTCTTTGCTTTTTCGTGAGGACCTCGAGGGTAGCTCTTGCTCCCTTTACGTTGTCTTCAAATTCTGCACCATCCACTTCATCTCGCCGGCGTACACCTTTGTCAAGCCGTGCGTCGGAAGGGTCATCTGATGATGACAGTCCAACGCCTTCATCGTCAATCTCCTCCGGAGGAGAAAGGTCAGCCTGGGGGACCGGCGCCGGCGCCTCAAGTGGTTGTCCCAAAAACTGCCATATCTTATCGAAATTGCCGAGCTTCGTAGAAGACTCGGCCTCGTGGCAATTTACAGGCGAAGGCGGACCTTCTACGCTGCTCAAGACTTCGACCGGGCCATTACACGGACTGTAATCGGCATTCCGGTTATAGAGCGAATCGATTAGATTTATGACCGGGGTGAAATCCCACCCACTCCCTTCGCAGCTTGAACGCATGTAAGATTAAATTTTGAGAGTAAAAGAGATGGATTCGGGTCGTAATGTGAAGCGTTAAAGAGCGGGGCAATGCCCGAGAGGAGGTATATCGTGAGTAATATGAAACCGCGCTATTAAATTGTCAGAGCTGAAGGACAATACGATCTTCTGTCATACTAATACTCACCAAAACAAGTCTGAAGAGATTCTACATTCATGAGCATTTCGTGCAATGCCCAGCAAAGCAAGAGGAGTTTGGAGGTTTAAGGCTGAGGTGGAGGGGAGTCGATAAGGGAGTCAAAGCCCCCTTGGGCGAGTCATTTGCCGCAAGCTATATACCACATCTAGTTTAGCGTGAAAATGATTGAAGCGTCTAGATCTCTTTCGCGCCACATCTTGTCGCCACCGGAGATCCGAGACGATCCCAAGTGTCCTTCATGTTTCTGTTGCTTTAGAATTTATTTCTTTCATTTTTAGTTATATGTAGGAAAGATCTGGTAGTATTATGGTTCAGACTTTAGAAAAAGTAATTTTATTGTATATTTTATCCTATTTGAATATTTAAAATCAGTGTTGATAACAAATAATAATATAAGCCAAAAATAGCCTTTGAGTCATCACTATACTTACAAGTATTTTATAGCTATACACTTCTAGCTAATGGAGCAAATTACATGTATAAGATATCCAACATAAATAAAGCTCTTTTCTAATTATAACCAAGTTACAGACTTGGCATCTTAGAGGCCGAGATTGACTTGGACATACAAAGTACAAATCTACAACATCTTTCGTCACACCCCCGGGAATGGCTTCTACTACTTAATACAAATGCTAAGACCGACCTGATAATTCTACAAAGAGTAGATGGTACACCTTGATTCTGGCGGTACCTGAAATGGAGGTAGTAAAAGAATTAGATTGTTAACGCAACGAGTACACAGGACTCGCCGACTCGGAAAGTACGGCATAGCGGAAAGCACGCAGGCCGCGTAGTGGTATATTCTTCTGCCCGGCTGATCCGATGAGAATTATATCCACAGGACCACAGCTCCCATACTTGCCATGGCAAACATTCTACGGTCTACACTAAATCATAGGATCCCTAGCTAACTTATCACTTGTACATTCGCTATATACTAGCAGGCGCACGCCATAGTAGTCGGACTCGCTACCCGCTTAGGCCCGAGACGCCTCGGACCTTACCATAGATGATGTATAGACCACTGAACCTTCATTCCACCTACCATGTCCTGCTCGAGCACAGTGGAGTATTACACTAAACAGCATAGGTTACTATGAAACTCAATCCTGAACAAAACAATAAAGTCTTTTAGACTGCATTTCATCATCGTTATAGACTGTCAGCAAGCCACAGCAATATCGTAGAGTCTTATAAGCTTATTCGAAGCTCCGCCTTATGCCATCAGCTGCATGTTTGGCGAGCACCTCCAGTGTCCCCTTGCCCATCATCTCCAAAACACTTATATCAAAACGGAAGGTTTGCTTCCACCACATACGCATCTCGATAGCTACCAGGGAGTCCATGCCGAGGTCTGCCAGGCCTAGACTAGTATTGAGCTCATCGTCGGCCTTAGAGAGCAATCTCAACACCTTCAACCCGATCTCCCGCGCCAAAATTTCCAATGCCTCGAGTGAATCCAGAATGCTAGGGTCAGTACGTGCACGATTTAGAAGCCCCTTCAACCCATCACTGCCAGAAGCCTCACTGCCGGATGCCACGCCACCTTTGCGGTTGTGATAGGCGGCCATACGCGGGTCATTTCGCCAGGGAAGGCGGTTCTTGTCACTGTCAAGGGGAATTGTCGAGTCGAAGCCCAGAAGGAAGCTGGTCCGGCTGCCTGTAGATGGAGTAGTGGCCACCAATACCCCATCGAGGACCTCTTTGCCGCCAATACAATAGAAGCCAGTAGCCTTCATCTGGCGCAGGAGGTCGTCCTTTTGAGACAAAACACCAACACCGTCTATTGGCCCGAAATTAATGACTGAAGCGGCTAGACCCTGCTGCTGACGGTAGTTACAGAAGGCATCGAGGAAGGTATTGGCTCCGGCGTAGTTGGCTTGACCCGGTTGGCCAATGATACCTGAGATGGAACTGAACATGACAAAGAAATCCAAGGTGATTCCTGCAGCGAGAGTCGCATTGTGGAGGTTCCAGGTGCCCTCGGTCTTAGGAGCGGTAGCCGCGTCCCAATCGTTCCAGCTCATCTTGGAAAACGACTCATCGCGCAGGACCATGGACATCTGTAAGATACCCTTGATAGGAGCAGATGCCGTCTGAATAGCACGCGCCACAACATTCGGATCAGATACACTTCCCTGCACCAACTGAACGGCGCAGCCCATTGTGACGAGCTCATTCACAAAGGCCTTGTCCTCGGGTCCCTTGCCTGCATTACGCGACAAAAATATCATGTTCTTTGCACCATTTTCAACCATCCAAGTGGAGACAGACCGTCCCAGGCCACCGAGGCCTCCCACCAAAAGGTAAGATGCTGAAGGATCAAATTGAGGAGTAATCTTCCTCTTGGTTGCGTTGATGGCAAATGCAACGGAACCATCCGTGTTGGATTCACGTACTTCGACAGCAATGTCACCTGTTGAGGTATCCTTGAGCTCGGCAAAGGCATCTTGAATTTGGGAGGCGTTAAAGATTTTTCTGGGCCGAATGGGACGAATCAACCCTTCGGAGTACAGTTGACAAATACCAGCGAGCAGTCTTCCAAACGTTAGCATTGCAATTATATTCCTTTAAGATATATAAGAAACTCACTGTTTCATAATCGCTGGCTTGTTCGCCTGAATGTGGCCAATATCCACAAGACAGTAGCTGCGGTTGGCCTGAAGAGCAGGGACCTGACTTTCACTGATTTCGGCCTTTTCAGTCTCAATTACCATGCCAAACTCGGCAACGCAAAGCCAGGATGCACGCCCCAGCTCCCCGGTGAGGGAATTTAGAACAAAATCCACGCCTTGACCGCTTGTAACTTCCAACAACGCTTCTGGAAATTTAGAATCAGAAGTCAGGAATATATGGCAGCGCGGGACATCAAAATTCTCGATCAAATGTGAAGCTTGCTGTTCGTCAGCGACGGTTGCAAAGATCTTGGCCTTGAGAGAGCAGGCAATCTGAATGGCAGCAAGGCCTATGGCACTGCCTCCAGAATGTATCAAAATTGACTGTGATTGCTTATCAGCTTAAAACTGCAAAATGGAGCATCTGAAACAGACCTGTTCTTTGGCGAGACGCGCAAGATTGACCAAGGCGTGGAATGCAGTGGAGTAGACGATGGGCAGGATGGCACCTTCATTGAAGGTCAAGCTGTCGGGAAGCTTGATGCAAAGTGCCTCTGATTGCACAATCACAGATGCACAAGTACAGTGACCCACAACCATGACACGGTCACCAATCTGGAAATCTTGCACCTCGGGGCCTGCTCGGCGGATGATACCTGCTGCTTCTTGTCCAAAGACCAGCTCAGGAACCTCTAGGGACCCAGTAGCAATGGCGACATCCTGAGGTATCATATTAGCAGGTACATTAACATGCACAACAAAACTTACTCGAGAATTCAGCCCAACTGAATATACTTCGATTTCGACCTCATCACCGACCAACGACTTAGTTGGCTTATAAGCCCAATGTAGATCTGACAATCGACCAGGCTTGTTTGTAGTCAAGATAACATGGTCATCTTCAGAAGACGTGACCAAGGCTTCTCCGAGAGAGAACGGATGGATACGAGGAACCTTGACCTCTCCTTCATGAATTATATATTCCATGTCTTTGTGTAACCTTGTGATATCATCTCTAAGCTGAAAATGCTCAAATACTTCGAGAACATGGTGATCACCAAAATTAGTATCCGTTTCGCATACAGCGAAGTCGATTCCAAGCTCGGAGCGCATTGTTCGAGCAAACCCCAATGTCTGAGCATACTGTGGGTTTTGGCAGTGAAGAGAGGTAAGAGGGGTAATCCAAAAGATACCTGCGTTGGTCACAGAGCCAAGGAAAATCTTGAGACGGGCGAAAACTTCTGCTGATAAGGTTGCAAAGAACGAACTTTCTTGATCCAGAAGAGAGATTATGTCTTTGTCAGTGGGAGGAGAGTCGTCAAGTGTACAGAAGGTGACTTCGAAGTTTCGCCTCTGAAGTTCCTCCGCCACTGATTCAGAGTTGCTTGTCGGTTCTGTGCATAGTAGGGCAACTTTCTTGACCGGCCTCTTTGATGAATCGGGTTTAGCCACAAAAGTCGCGCTGAGTTGAAATGGCTCGTCTGCATCAGGCACGGCCATAATATTGCAGAATCCAGACCGATGCAGTTCCTCTTCCCACCCTTTAATGTCCAGGTAAGGCTCACAGGGCCCTCCATCGCGACCTGTAGACCACCACTTGGGCAGCAGTCCAAGAACATAATTGATCCATTGGGACGAAGGGCACAACTCCTGAAGTATGAGTCTGCCATCGGGGACAAGAAGGGCACGGAGGTTGTCAAAGCTCCGTGACAGGCTTTCAGTTTGGTGAACTATGTTTGTAGCAATAACAAGATCATATTGGCTTTCTGCAAACCCTTGCTGCTCCAAGTCTTTGCCGATGTCCAGAACAGAAAATTCGATGTTGGGTACACCCTTGAACTGTTCTTTGGCTGTTTGAAATGAGCTTGAGGACACATCGGAAAATGTGTATTTGGAAAAGGAGGATCCCAACGATTTCAATATTCTCGTGGTTGATACGCCCTTACCGGCTCCCAACTCAAGGACACGAAGGGTTGGACGAGTATGAGCAAGCGCAGCGAGGAGGGAAGAGTTGTTGAAATTGTCAATGAAAGCATATAACTGGCTGTGGACATCACTTTCATGCATGATATCCCATGCATCTTTCTTGCCAGAAAATACGCTGTCCACCTCAAGGTTCACGGCGAGAAGGGCGCGAGCTACAGGATCGGCTGGGGTCCCCGACAAATGTTCCACTCGCCGCTCGATTCTCTCACGAAGACTCTGGTCATCTAGAGCTCTCCAAGCCTGCGATGAAGGCTTCATCGAGCTAATTTGTAATTCCAACCAGGCCTTATATTTCTCCAAGTGAGGCACTGTGGGCTTGAAAGATGAGATGGATATCCACGAGCGCAACATGCACAGCTGAGCCAGCTCGTTCAGCGTTGACATGTACACAGCCTTATCAAAAGAGAGTTTGATCAGCTTCTGAGTATCAATAAAGTCGATGTGAGGCTTCCACTTTAGATAAGCTGCAGCATGCAAATCCTCGCCCTGAGGAGCCTCCAGAATGTTGTGTTTTACTCCGGACATGCGCATAACCACTTTGCTTTCTGCCAGGCAGTATCCACTGCCACGTACCGAGCCATTCCTTGTGAAGGATCCTGATCCAGTGGCAACGAGGACATTTTCCGAACTGCGCAAGATGCTCATCTGTCCCACACCCGTTGCGACATTGTTGCGATGCTTTAGGCCGATACCGTATGCGGCAGCACACACCGTCAGGTGCAAAGCAGCATCGATAGCCACGGGATGCTGATGATACATGCCTTCGTCGCCTTGCATCTTGTTGTAGATGGTCGCAGTTGAACGGCCTGGAATCCCGGTGGTTGACGCTCGCATATCATCGAGACACTGAAAGCGCGGCCCAAAATCAAGCCCAGCGCGACGCAGAACATCATACCAGCTCGAGGCGGCAATTTTTCGAGGGAGCTCTTCAATGACTGCACTGGATCCCAAAGACTGTTGCAAAGAGGTGACATCGCCAGCGCAATGTCTTGTCCAAACATGCCCATTGTGGGAACCGATGGTGAATTTCCACCAATCTTTATCAACCTCATGACGCTGGAATGCTGTCACGAGCTCCACGGGAGTTCCCTCAGCAATTACGAGGGCGGTGATAGCTTCAACGTTCCGAACAGTGAAACCCTCTTGAACACCGCTGACCTGGCGCACTGCCTCTCCAGCCATTGCTACATAGGCGGCAAAAGGGAAAACAATATCACCGCCGACCTTATGATCCCGTACCCATGGCGCATTGTCGATGTGAAATACATTGCGCCAAACTGGTGTAAACTCAGCGCTTTCTAGGGCCCGCACGCCGAGAAGATCATGGTAGGGGTGCTGGCGATGCCGCCACTCTCGAGTGACGCGGTTTTCATGCCAATGGCTTTTCTGATGATTCCAAGGGTACTGCGGTAAACCTGGAAGAGAAACCCCTTCTGGCATCATTTTCTTGAAGTCAATTTGAATGTGTAGCGTGTATAATTTGCCAACGGCGGACAAGAACGCCTCGGTGCAGTTCTCTCCACGCACCATTGCCGCCACGTATGCTCCTGAGCTTGCATTTGCGGCCAGAATCTGGCGAAGGGGACCGGCCAGAGCTGAATGTGGGCCAACCTCTAGGAAGACAGCATTCTTTCCAACGGGATGTTCTGCAATGCGGGATACAGCACTAGAGAATAGCACTGGAGACTCTAGGTTCTTCTGCCAGTACTTGGCTCCCAATGCCTCACCCTCTCCCAGAAGCTTTCCTGTGACACTAGAGAAAAACAGCTTGGAGGGAGAGCGCCCGATCATCTTTGGTCCCACGAGGCGGTAATAATCCTCTCCAACCTCCGCCATGTGGTACGAATGATAGGCCTTCTCGACCTTGAGCAGACGTGCCAGCACTTCTGGGCGTGCTTTCTGGATTGCGGCAACAACGTCCTTGACTTTTTCAGCATCTCCAGAGAGGGTCACGCTTTTAGGTGAATTCTCGCAGGCCACATCTACTGTTGGGATCAAAAAAGGTTTCACCTCTGCCCAGCCCATTCCGATAGCTGCCATTGCTCCTGGTCGAGATTGTTTCTTAGCAACCAGGCCGCGGTGGAAGGCAGCCGTGATGGCCTCTTGTGCTGTTAGAGCACCAGATGCATATGCCGCTGCGATTTCACCACTCGAGTGACCGACTACTGCATTCGGCACGATTCCAATCGCTGCTAGACTATCCACGAGACCAATTTGAAGGGCCGTACAGAGAGGCTGTGACAGTTCTGCGGTGCCCAGTCGACTGGTTTTTGCGGGCTTGCGCAACTCAGCTTCGATTGTCCAATCAGGCCCTTCCTCCCCAAGCCCTTTCAAGTGCTTGTCCGATTCCTGGATGCTGGCTTTAAAAACAGGATTGGACCGCAAGAGAGCTCGTCCCATCTGTGGCCATTGAGCGCCCTGCCCAGTGAAGACCATGATCAAGTTGGAGGGCTGAGTAGGCTTAGCTAGCGGGGCAGGTGTACCGGGCTTTTCCCGACTGGCCACCGCAAAGGATCGATGTGACAAATGCTGACGTCGATTGGCCAGGGTGAAGGCGAGATCCTCAATACGCTCAGGATAGCGGCTGAGGTAGGTAGTATAGTTCTCTATCACTTTTTGCAATGACTCTGGAGAGTTGGCAGAGTATAAGAGCAACTGTGGGGTGTCAGATGCTTCTTTGAGTTCAGTAGATGCATGATGGCTTGCTGCAGAGTCCAAAATTACATGGGCATTGTTACCGCCAATGCCAAAGGAATTAACAGAAACTCTCTCCGCAGATGACTTTGGCCATGGAGTTGGCTCCACAGGAACAGTCAATTTTGCCGACTCGAAAGGGATATTTGGATTCGGCAGACCAAGCTTGATGTTCGGTGGAATGGTTCGATTCTCAAGGGCGAGAACTGCCTTGATGACGGAGGTGAGGCCGGATGCGCCCTCAGAGTGACCCAGATTAGGCTTGACGGAGCCAATGTATATTCCATTATGGCCGAACACTTTGGTAACGGCTTTGGTTTCAATCGGATCTCCAACGTAAGTTCCGGTTCCATGGCACTCCACGAATGTAGTGTCAGAGAAATCAGCAATACCTGCGATTCCGTATGCATGCCTGATCAAGGCTTCCTGGGCTTCGGCACTTGGGTATGTCATTCCAGGCGTTTTACCATCGTGATTTGTGGCTGTAGCCCTGATTACAGCCCTAACAGGATTTCCATCTCTTAGAGCATCGGCCAAAGGCTTGATGTATAAACCATTGATGGCCTCCCCACGACCATAGCCATTGGCACTGGCCGAGAAGGTTTTACAAGATCCATCCGCCGATAGGACACCCTGCTCTGACAACTTAATCGTCATACTGGGTGTCAAAATCAAACTTGTTCCACCAACAATAGCAGATGAGCAGTCACCTCGTGCAATGGCAAGACAAGCCTCATTTAAGCTCACCAATGAGGATGAGCATGCAGTTCGGATGGTCATACTAAAACCATTAGCCTATGATACAACTCCCTAATCTTGAAATATACTCAAAGCATACCTCGGTCCTCTTAAATCCATTTCATAGGAGACACGATTTGCAAGCGCAAAGTCACCTGAGCCTGCAACGCGATATACTCCATATTGCTGAATATCGCGATCTAGCATTTCATTCCAATCGTCTCCAAAATTGCCCACGTACACCCCGATGCGACGCCCCTTCCACTCGGTCTCGCCGGCATCTTCAATGCATTCGCGAGCGACTTCAAGCATTAGGCGCTGCTGCGGGTCGCACCGGGCGAGTTCCATTGGTGACATAGTGAAAGAAGAGCTGTCAAACAGGCTGAGGTCATTATCAAGAAAGTACCCGTGCTGCGTCTTGGTGGAGCCTGGCTTGTCCATCGAAGAATAATAGGCGTCGACATTATAACGTGACTCTGGAATTCGCGAACGAGCATCACCTTTGCTCAGAAGGAATTCCCACAATTGTTCAGGTGATTGAATGCTGCCAGGGAGTCGGCAGGCCATGCCACAGATTGCAATGGGCTTGAAGCTATTGTTCGTTTGGTTTTCGGAATGACCGTGGGTGATGTGGCCATTGTTACCATTAACATGCACCCCATTTTCGTAGGAACCATGGCCATTTTTGGTGTTTCCGTTGGGCTGGTTGGGGATTTTGTTTGAAGGCTGAACTGTCATAATTATCTTGAAACGAACGGCCCAAAAATTTAAAAAGACAAGACGTAAATCAAATAAAGAATAAGAAAATTCTTTTTACAGGAAGGTCTTGGCCCATTGCCCTTTGAGTGCTGTATGTTGAAGCCATATATATAGTGGACCTCAAAATCTGTAAATCATGCCGATATCGCGCAATTCTTTTATGCAAGGCAATTCATTGTACGAAGGCCATCTTTGCAAGCAAGCTTCATCCCAGTACCTGTAAATGAGTATTGAAGGCACACAAATTCTCTGAAATCTTGCATTCATCAAGCAATGTTCCATGAGGGGCCCACCTGCAAGACCATGCAGGGTTCTGATGCAGGCGTGGGTTCCGACGCCCGTGCGGGTTCCGATGTCCGTGTAGGGTTTCCGATACCTATCAAAGCCTTGACACTAAACGTTTGAGAAACAAAACACAGCAATGTACCAGTTTTTGTTAGCAAAGCGAATTGCTAAGCTCTTATCTTATTGTTCTGTGACCTTACAATCACAGATTCTGAGAAGATCTATGCATGAATGTAACCGTGTATAATCTGATGAAGCACTAGAATACGCATGATACCCCTTGCCTAGATCCTGAGAATTCAATGATGGCGTGACATCCGTTATTGGATGTCAAATATTGATATCAATGGTAGCCAATTTGGCTCCATCACGGAGAAGCCGAAGAGAACCCCCCTGTATTATATGTTAAATGTGTGCAAGTTGCAACGTAATCAGCGATTGCGTCTCGAGCCAAAGCCCTCTAAAAGGAGTAGGAAAGAAGAATTTAGAGGTTTTCTTTCAGAGGCAAAAGTTCAAAGAATTTTGAGATTGAAGCTCTTTCTTCGCTCTGCGCCTAAATTCTCGCAGCAATTTTACCACCTTTCTCTTTTGAATTCAAACGGCAAACATGGCAACTCCTGCACTTCTAGCCTCTTGGTTTCCTAATCACAGTGCAAAGGCTCCTAGTATGCGCAATGCTCCAGCATTCTACCGCAACCTGGAAGAAGCTCTTGATCTGCGGCGCGCCGAGCGCAGCGTCTTCATGGTGCGCAGCAATGAGCCAGCCCCCGGGAGCATTGACTTCAGCACCTTGGACTTTCTTCATCTCTCTGCTAGTGGTGCCATTCGTGCAGCGTTCCTTGAAGAGCTAGCGAATAATCCAAAATTCGAGCTGGGTGCAGGTGGCTCCCGTTTGCTGAACGGCAACAGTGCATACGTCGAAGCTGCAGAAGCCACAATTGCTGACTTCCACAGTGGCGAGAGCGCGCTGCTTTTCCACTCGGGATTCGAGGCCAACACAGCCATCATGGCTGCAATTCCACGCCCAGGAGATGCAATTGTTTTTGATGCATTGTGTCATGCCAGTATGCACGAGGGTATGCTTGCAAGCAAGGCACTATGCAAGCAATCTTTCAAACACAATGACGTCGAGAACTTTCGTGAAGTTTTGCTGCAGGCTCTTGAAACAGAGCCACTGATCAAACAGGGCAAACGGTCGGTACTGGTCTGTCTCGAATCGATGTATAGTATGGATGGGGACGTGGCTCCCCTACGGGAGCTCATCGAGGTCGCCAAAGAACTCTTCCCTGATGGCAATGCCCAGTTCTTAGTTGACGAGGCACATACTACAGGTGTTCTTGGACACCAGGGTCGAGGTTTCGTGAATGAGCTAGGCCTCGAGAACGAAGTTGCAATTCGCATGCATACTTACGGGAAGGCATTGGCCACAACAGGAGGTTTGTTCCTCTCTTCTGGGAATATCTGTTTCTGTTTTGCGCTGTCAGCTAAGATATTTTGGCAGCCGTTGTGGTCTCTAATCAAACCATTCGTCAAGTACTCATTAATCATGCTCGCTGCTTTATCTATTCAACCGCACCCTCTTTCCCTATGGTTGCAGCCATCAAAGCCGGATACAAACTTATGAAGACTGGCCAGACAGAAGCGGTATGATTACGTTCCCCATATAGCAGAGGCGTATGCTCACAATAAAAAAAGTTGCAAGAAAACATCCAGCGCCTGGTGAAACATTTCTTCCAAGTCATTACCGAGAATCCAGTCTGGGACGAGGCAAATGAAGAAGGTATCCTGTCTATTCCCCTTGCTGAAGACTGGGAGTCGCGTCCTTTCTTAACCCAAGTGGTGCCCGTAATGACGCGCCAGCGGTATACACTCTGGCTCTGCTATCATTTGCAACTGGCCAAGATTTCAGCTTTCCCGATCGATTATCCCGTGGTACCCAAGGGACAGGGGCGCCTACGTGTAGTCTTCCATGCAACTAACACGGAGGCTGAAGTGGAGAAGCTTGCAGAAGCGATCTGCGAATGGGCACAGGAGATGCTTGATATTGAAGAAAGTGGGAAAGGGAGCAGTAAAATACCTAGTGCTGCCCGGCGAGTGCAGGCTCAGCAGGCGGCAGTGGAGGGAAATGGGAATGGCGTGCACGCATGAAAAAGCCTTTGGATCATTTAGCCAAAATGATTATTCCAAGGAAACCATTCGTTATTGGGACCTCGCTGTTAAGCATACAGGTGCTCATTCTTGATATGTAACTCTGGATGCTGATTCACCGAGTTATTTCTTTTTTCTTCGTTGAAAAAAAAAAAAAGAAAAAACCAATAATAGAGAATGCATTACATTCATCCACTCGTTCGCAAGAATTTTCCTAGTGAAAAGGCATCCCCTCTTGTCAAGTCTCTCACTGAATCTACTCAGCCATCTCTAGTCCCAAACTATTGCGTTAGTAAGTAAAGTTGGAAGACATGTAGAAAAGAAAGGAAAGAGTCAAGCAAGTTAGTCTTTTAATTTGCTTACCACTTACTGCGACCGTAAAGCATATTCTCGATTTGTGCCGACAAAACTTCTATTACATTTTCCTAGAAGAAGCTCCGCTATGAGAATAGTAGGCTTGTTCTTCTGGAAAAAGTACACATTGATTGGTGTCTATAGCCACTGGCTGTACCTTTGCCAGTTCAGGCAGGAGAAACTGTGTCTCATTAGGGCGAGAATAGAATGCTTGGTGCTCAATGCTCGGGCTGAAATCACCCCAAGTGCAGCCTGGCAAAGTAGACCAATATCCAGATTCTGCTCTGCTCCGTTCTAGTGGGGCTGCTTCAATATTCCACTTCATGTGTTTCTCCGCAAGTATATCGTTATCATATCCGTTCGCCTTCGCACTTTGAGAGATGGAGGGCGTAGGGAAATTATCGCTACCAGGGAGGGCCTGTTTTTCAACGGGCAGAGAAGACTGCTGCAAGGAGCCATGTATTGTCGCTACCAGACTTTCCAGTGTTTCAATTCGATTGCGTAGGTCGGTAATCTGCTTTGACCTAGAAACCATTGAGGAGTCTGCCCGGTAACAGGCCTTGATACCACCACTATCGTATGCGGCTCTTGAGCGAATGGCTTACAGTAGCTTTGTCTGATTGGGTTTTTTCCCCTTTCCAGACCATTCACATTGATATCCTTGTCGGGCACAATTGAGACACTGTGGGCGCTCCCGGCTGCAGCGGATTTTTCTGTCTCTGCACTGCCGGCAGACTAGGAAGATTATGTGAATTTGAATTGCCTACACAGGTTATATTGGATAGAGTACGGCAAGCCTTACCAGCATGGTCATAGAGATTCATTTGATAAACCATTGAGAGGATTTTGAATTGCAAAGTGTGTAAGTTGGCTATAGCAACTCTGAAGCAAAAGGATAAAGATGCGGCAGAGAAACATTACAATCGTGTGGTATCGATATTCTTCGATGAAACCACGCAGGAGATCCTGGGTAGAAGTTTGGGAGCCGGGGCGGGTGGACGGGAGGGGAAGGAGAGAATCAAAGCCCAGTAATGTTGTTTTTTCTTCAACATTGCCCCTGTAGCATGCAGGAGTTGGTGATGATCTTCCTCTCATCTCACGCCATCAGACTCCATGATGCCTCATGCAATGAGGGACCGTGAAAGATACAGTTGGATGATAATTGGACGGGGATATGGCAAGATGGACCCTTTGCTGGTGGCTAGCCCTTCCAACCAAAGAATGAGGTGGTCCGAAAAGAAAGGATTGGGATGTAACAAAGTCGCAGGTTGGGAACTGCAACACGCGGCCATTACCGGTTGTGGCACCCTCTCAGAAGTTATTGGCCCTATTTCTTGCTCCCATGAACATTCTACCCTTGGACTTCAGCTGCCGCCCATCGCAGGTTCGGGCGATAAGGAAAGACGGGTGATTCCCGGCAATTTTCCGACCATCGGCCCTCGCTGCTTAGTTAGCGCCGGGTATGAACTCCATATTTTAGTTAGTATCTATCGCCTCATACCAGAACCCCTGTTTCTTTGCTCTGCTCTCCAATCAGCAGCTTTGGTGTTCTGAACAAGCTGGGGTTTAACCCCCTAGTCTTGCCTAATCAAAAAGCTTATAGCCAAGCCTTAGGAGGAAGGTCCTTCAGGGGAATTGTCTTTCAGATAAGGGTTTTAGTCGTTAATATGTGTTTAGTGTTCTGTAAAAAAGACCAAGTCCCGCAGATGGGCCCCTCCCTTCTTATGTGCCTACTCTTGTCCATCCACCTCCAGCAGCAAGGTTATGCTCAATGACCAGGGTAAGAGTATCATATAGTTTCCCACACCAATTAATGCAACGTCACGCACAATCGTTGATTACCAATCCACAACATGACTAATTGAGAGCCTCTCACTCTGAAATAATAAAGCTACGGACATATCTGTAGGTGTTTCTTCCTTGATGGCGAGAGAACTAAGTGTCCATCGTTCACCCATTCCAAAATATCTAAGAAATGTCTACAACAACAGAAGTCTTGCCGGGATCAACCCAAAAATGTTCAAATGACTTCTCTTCGGCTGAGCCAAAAACTCAGTCCCAATCTCGAACTCAAACTCAATCGGAATGTGACTGTACGGAGAAAAACGATGCGTCAAATGTTTCACCACCAAGAGATCCTGAAGCAGGACAGCAAAGACGCAAGAGAAAGCCACTCTCCTTCTTTCTTGCATTTATTGCCCTGCTGCTCATGGTCTTTCTGGTATCATTGGACGCCACTACTTTGGCCGTTGCAATTCCTGTATATCTATACACAACCCCTGAGCATTTATCATAACGTTTCCGCTTACTTTTCTCTATTTTATAGGCCATCACCAGTGATCTCTCAGGAACCACTTTAACCGCTTTCTGGGCCAATATCTCTTTCACCCTAGCAGTCGTGGTGATTCAGCCCATCTATACCAGCTTCTCGGACATCATTGGCCGCAAGATCCCCCTTTATGCAGCATTTGCTCTCTTTGGTATTGGATCCATTGTCTTTTCTGTCGCACGAAGTATGGCAGTCCTGATCCTGGGTCGTGTGCTACAAGGGCTGGGCGGAGGCGGACTGGATGTCCTAAGTGAGGTTATTGTCGCCGACATCACCACACTGCAGGAGCGTGCCGTGTACATTGGCCTTTTGTCTCTTCCAATGGCAGCAGGATGTATCGCAGGGCCCATCCTCGGTGCAGTCTTCAGCGAGTATGTCGACTGGCGATGGATTGGCTGGATCAATCTACCTGTGATTGGAGTTGCCCTCGTGCTGGCCATCTTTTTCATGCGCCTGAGGCCCATACACCAGTCTCTCCGCGAGCAGCTCTTCCGCATCGATTGGCTGGGCATGCTGATTTTCATGACTGGTTGTATCCTTTTTGCCTTGCCGCTAAGTTGGGCAGGAAATATGTACCCATGGGGCTCATGGCGTACCATCGTACCACTAGTGATTGGCATTCTGGTGTTAGTGGCATTTGCCCTGTACGAGTCACGACCAACGGACCCTGTCTTTCCCTATCGTATCTTTCGCTCTCGGACGGCCCAGATGACACTCCTTGGTAGCTTCATACATGGCATGGTTCTCTATACCCTGTTACAGTACCTTCCCTTGTTTTTCCAGGCTGTCTATCTCGAGACGGCACTCAAGTCCTCCATTTCAATCCTACCATTCTGCTGTGTTGTCTTTGTCTTTACGGGTATTGCTGCCTGGGCCGTTGATTTCTTCCGGAAATACCGCTGGGAAATATGGGCAGGATGGGTTTTTCTAGCGGTGGGTGTTGGCATTTTCTCACTGTGGAATCAAAGTTCCTCTCTAGCCATGACTGCAAGCTTCCAAGTGATAGCTGGAATAGGAATTGGCACGATCTTCAGTGTTCCTCCAATCCCGATGCAGGCCAGCGCACCAACGGCCGAAGATCAGGGTCTTGCGATGGGCATCATGGTTGCATTCCGGCTCTTCGGTGCTCTTATTGGCCTTGCAATTGGTGCTACTACATTCAGCGGCGTTTTTGCAAGCAAGATTAACTCGATCCCCTCGCTGCCCGCCTCCGTGGCATTGTTAAAAAACCCCAGCGAGGCGGTCGGTTTTATTCCACACCTACGAACAGTTGACATTTCCCCTGCCCTAAAGGACCTCATCCAAGGGGCTTACAAAGATGCTATGCAGACAATTTGGTATGAATTAGCAGCATTTGGGGCTGTAGGATTTCTGAGTTCATTGTTGATAAAAGAACTGACTATGGAGACGGAGGAGCTCAGTCGGCAACACTTTGAGCCGGAATCGGACTGAACGAAGTTAGAAGATGAATGAAGTATTTTGTATAATTTATAGAATATACGAAGCTATTTTGATCTATAAAGGTTTAGAAAGCCCTGGTCCGTGCATTTCATTAGGATTGCTAGCTAAGGTACGCACTTGGTAAGGGTACTGTACACGATTTGAGGAAAGCGCCGAGATGCTCGGGCTGAGTTGTGCTCCCATACTGACAAGTTCGGCAGCGTCAAATCATAATAGCTAGGTAGGTACACTTACCATCTCCCTCTACCTACGTTACGAAATAACTTACAGGCTTGTTCTGTGGGTGGCCATTGAGGCTTGAATGCTTTTCAATGCCTACACTGGCAATGACGCAGACACCTTCAGTGCCACAATTTTTGCTCATTACCATCGGCATGACCAGCGATGCGAAACATGTGAATCTGATGAGCCGGGGGTAGGCGCAAAGCGCACACATTATCACGTCATTTGGGTTTACGTACCGCGTAGAAGGAGAAGGAAAAATGCCATCCTTTGTGAGAATGGTAGAATTCCCATGACAGGCGAGCGAATCAACGATCAAGGAAGGAGCAATGTGACCTCAGTAACTTGCTAAAGACGGAGGAGAATCCGCCATTGGATTCCCCACAAAAGGGAAGAGCGAGGGAGGCAGAATCGATCCCATGACATTCCATGGCGAGGAAGTAACAAACCTGATTGGCGTCGTCATGTCATGGCCACGACATAACCGTTTGCCTTCTCGTCTCAGCCATTCCTTATGCGGTTAGGCATGGACCCTTCTGGCTACTGTCCCTGAGCTAGTTAGCTCGAATCCGGTAAGGGCGGATGCAGTGACGTATATTGACGAAAGAGACAGAGCTCATTCACCCCGCGATTGTTTGCTCCTGCCCCGTTGGCCTGGAACGAGGGGCCGTTGTCAGTGAAAGCGTAGTTTGCGTCGCTCTTACACGCATTTCTGAGACTGGAGTACAATATTTAAAGGAGCTCTCTCTGCTGCGATTTTCCATCTCTTCTTCATCAACCAAACCGAATCCATTCCACCACAACCAAACAAACTTCAAACAAATCTATCTCTTTGATCCAAACATCAATCAACATGTCTGACGCCGGCCGCAAGGATTTCTCTGACAGTCAGTTACCTTATGATCATTCGCTCGTTACTTTGATCCAGCTCAGCTAACAACAATACAGAGGTCGAGGAGAAGATCACTCCCGACTCCTCCAAGTCAACCCAGCAGAAGGTTAAGGAGACCGTCACTGACACTGGCGACAAGCTCGCTCGGTATGTTTTTGGATCTTTCTACATTTTCTCTGAGCGTACGCTAACATCTGGTGCAGTGGCACTCAGTCGGACGAGTCCAAGTCGACCACCCAGGAGGTCTCTGACAAGTTTGGTCGCAGCAAGGATGAGCACGTCCACGGTGGCAGCAGCCAGAGCATTGGCGACAAGGTCAAGAACGCCTTTGGCCTTGGTGACAACAAATAGATGTGTCATATCACATTTTCCTCAGCTTACGACGTTATGAGATGAACCTCGAGTTGAGCTTGCTTTCAGAGCTTTATTATACCATTAGCAATTCAGAGCATTAAATCTTTCGATATACTGTGCAAATTAGATGCCATAAAAATGTGAAATTTCTCCCAGCCACGTATATATGATTTCTATTCTTTTTATCTAATTAGATCATAAAAACACCCGGCTGAGGTTGTGCGGGCTTTAGATATTGCATGATCAACTCATATACCTCAAACTTAAGCTTATCAGCATGACAGACGCCACATTCGGAGAATAAAAAGCGTACCTGGACGGCATTGACTATGAATGCACGGACGCTGCAAGTTGGTAGCCCTCGAAAGAAGGCTCTTATGCCTTCAGAAGCATATAACTCTTTTGCGATTGCAATTGCACCTTGTCGGATCCGGGGTTCCTGGCCTGAGGAGCCCCCTCCATTGCGAAGAAGGGTTGACTCCTCTGTTGTAGGAAGATTGGCAGGCGATAGTGGTGACGTTTGTGTTTGCATCCTTGTCTTGATAACGTCTGAATCCCATTAGCCATAGCCAAAGTTGGGGCGATAGGAAGTTATGGTTTTACCCAAGGGGAAGATGGAAGCCCAGGTGACTATGCCAGCGATGCCACCAGCAAGAAACACCCTGACAGCTTGCTGTTGGGGTGTTTCAGGGCTCCGTGTCAGCCATTGCTTGGTGAGTTCGTACGACCAAAAGCTACGGAGTCAGCTCCGCGAGTGGTACGACCATTGCAGTACTCTTACTAAAAGCCATATCCCATCGCGTCCCGGATGCTGGTAACAACGCCTCCAAGGTATAATCCTCTCAGCCCATGCTGAGTCCAAATGTTCCTTGCAATTGTCCAAGAGCTGTGTTCGCCTGAGCTGATTTGTGCACGACACTTGATCAACTCCGTTGGCGCAGACACGACCCAAGTGCCGAATCCACCAACAGCACCAGCGCACCAGATCTTCCAAGCACTAGACGGCTGTGAGGGGTCGTCACCAAGAGTAAGAAGGGTTCGGTTGTACGACACAAAGAGGAGAGCGTTCAATGCACCATAGCCTAATACAGGCGCAGTGATACCTTTTAAAATGTGACAAGAAAAGTTGTTACTACAAGTAAGCTACTGGAATTCTAGTCGCAAGACCAAATACCTCTCCAAAAAGCACCAAGCGACTCAAATTCGCTGGAGGCTGCTGCGGTTGACCCAGCTTGTTGTCGTACTTTGACTAGATCCAATGGATTTCCAATGATAATTCCTGCAGCACCACTAATATAGCCTGCCCAGAAATCAGCGGACATGATATGTGAGCAATGAGGGCAGCTGTATGTTTCTCTCGTTGGGTCACACAGGGACACAGAGCCATATTCCATGGTCGAATTGCGGGGAAGAATTGCGGAGGTTACAAACAGAGCAAACAAGCACAGGGACGGAGTTGGCGCAGCATTTGTCCGATTCACGGTCACGTGCTCTCGTGCACACCCGCGCGTTGGGGTGCGGACACGAGCGTCTGCCTTGGGCCCTCCTGGGTTACATAATAAACATTGCGCATTTGCCACAGTTTGGTTGAAGCTACGTAGCTCAATTTGCTTTTGGAGCTGTGGGATTACTGACTTATTTTGCTTTTTTTTTGTGAAAGATCAGTATCGATCTGACTAGTGGCGCAAATGTGAGTTGAGATGGCCATCATTTGTTCATAAAACACGTGCGCTAAATGCTGTCTCTTGGTGTCAGGCATCGACCGAGAAGCCTCACGTCCGTGTCAGAAAAAGAAAACACACCGGTTGCTCAAAAGTCGTCGAGGCTGTATGGAGGTGGACCGCAGTCAATTGAACGCCTGGTGAAGCCGTTCAAATGTCCGGGCTCATCAACGCCGAGCCGATTGTCGGACAAGCCCGCAAGAAAGCGGCGAAAAGTAGACTACACCGGTGCAGATGCGAGCATTGAGGATGGTGACAAACCTTGGACGAACGATGATCGACTAGCCCTGGCAAATCGAGATGTGAATAAGTACGGGATTTTTCAAGTGAAAGACAAGGAAACGGCATTTCGACAACGGTTTACGGTACCTTTGATCAACAAGCAAGCGGCTGGCTACGATCCGTCTCGGCCTGCTCCGACCCTGGGAATGCGAAGAGGAGCAGTCTTTGTTGCAAAGCCGCTCCATGACCCAAGTGGCGAGTTTGCGATTGTTTTATTTGATCCCACTATAGACGACAAACCAGCCAAGAAGGAGGAAGGGGAAGTAGAGGAAAAGCCAAAAGAAGAAGAGCCGATGGAATTAAAAGTTCCACTCGTGCATAGAAGTCTTGCAGACATTTTAGGGTTGAAGAAAGAGACGGACGAGCATCCAAAGGTGCCGGTCGTGATTGATCCGAGACTGGCAAAAGTGTTGCGACCGCATCAAGTCGAGGGTGTAAAGGTAAGTTTGGTGGAAAGAACATGTAGAAGAATATGTGAGTGAGGTCAATGCTGATTCTTTATTGATTGACAGTTTTTGTACAGATGTACAACTGGCTTAATTGATGACAACGCGAATGGATGCATCATGGCAGATGAAATGGGTCTCGGAAAGACTGTACGATCTTCAGAGGAAATCCGCAAAACGTTATGACTGATCTTTCGCAGCTCCAATGTATAGCACTCATGTGGACACTACTTAAACAATCACCAGAAGCGGGAAAATCGACGATACAAAAATGTGTGATAGCATGTCCGTCGAGCTTGGTAAGAAACTGGGCAAACGAATTGAGTACGTCGAGTCAACGGCAAGATTCAATGATGTACCTTCAATGCTGACATGTTTGCAGCTAAATGGCTGGGCGCGGGCACAATTACACCATTTGCAATTGACGGGAAAGCCTCAAAAGCGGAGCTCACACAGCAATTACGCCAGTGGGCCATTGCAAGCGGCAGGGCCGTCGTCCGGCCTGTTCTAATTGTCTCTTATGAAACACTACGACTCAATGTGGACGAGCTCAGAAACACTCCTATCGGTCTCTTACTCTGCGACGAAGGACATCGTCTGAAGAACGGCGAAAGCCAGACCTTCACCGCACTCAACTCTTTAAACGTCGACAGGCGAGTCATTCTATCCGGCACGCCCATCCAGAACGATCTTTCCGAGTATTTCTCTCTCCTCAACTTTGCAAATCCCAATTTGCTCGGCAGCCGCAACGAATTCCGGAAAAAGTATGAAATACCTATTCTTCGAGGGCGAGACGCAGCGGGAACAGATGCCGATCGACAAAAAGGTGATGAATGTCTAGCAGAGCTGCTGACTCTAGTCAACAAGTTCATCATCCGGCGTACTAATGACATTTTATCCAAATACCTACCTGTCAAATACGAGCACGTGGTCTTCTGCAACTGCGCACCCTTTCAGATGGATTTGTACAAGCACTTTTTGCGAAGCCCAGAAATCAAGAGCCTGCTTCGCGGAAAAGGCAGTCAGCCGCTCAAAGCCATTGGTATTCTGAAGAAACTCTGTAATCATCCAGACCTGCTGGACCTACCAACCGATTTACCAGGAAGTGAGCAATACTTCCCCGAAGACTATGTTCCCAGAGAAGCACGAGGACGCGACCGAGACGTCAAGACGTGGTATTCTGGTAAAATGATGGTTCTCGACCGGTACGATGACACTTCCAATTCATTCCATTTTCTTTCATAGCCCAAAGTGCTGGAATTGAGCACTTCGTAACGCTCTTTTTTCAATTTCATATTCCAACATCACATCCATTGTCCGAACAAATCACATCCTTTACTTGCTTCCCATAAGACCTAAAGAAGAAGCTAACCCAGATCACAGAATGCTCGCCCGCATACGACAAGATACCAACGACAAGATTGTCCTCATCAGCAACTACACCCAAACGCTCGACATGTTTGAACGCCTGTGCCGGTCCCGCGCATACGGCTGTCTCCGCCTTGACGGAACCATGAACGTCAACAAGCGCCAGAAACTCGTCGACCGGTTCAACAACCCGGACGGAGAAGAGTTTGTGTTCCTGCTGAGTAGTAAAGCCGGAGGATGCGGTCTGAACTTGATTGGTGCCAATCGTCTTGTCTTATTCGATCCAGGTATTTACTACCCTTTCTTTCCCTTTTTACTTCTTCTTTCCACACCCCCCTCAGTCATATCTTTCCATTTTTCCTTATCATCCTTTCCATCCCTTTCCCAATTCTCTCCACCCACGGGTCATGAATATCAGTGTTCTAACTATTTTATGATCTACAGACTGGAACCCCGCTGCAGACCAACAAGCCCTCGCCCGCGTGTGGCGCGACGGCCAGAAAAAAGACTGTTTCGTCTACCGCTTCATCGGCACGGGCACCATCGAGGAGAAGATCTTCCAGCGTCAATCCCACAAGCAATCCCTCTCATCATGTGTTGTCGACTCTGCAGAAGACGTCGAACGCCATTTCACGCTCGATTCCTTGCGTGAGCTCTTTCAGTTCAAGCCAGACACTCCGTCCGATACGCATGATACCTTTAAGTGTAAGCGCTGCAGACCTGCCGGCCGTAGCGGAGGTCGTAACGATAGTGAAGACCTTTCCAGGAGTAGCGGATTGGGCGCAGACGGTAGCGGCAGCGCAGGCACCGGCGCAGGCGGGAAAGTAAAAGGAACTGGAGGCGAAGGTGGTAAAGGAACTGGAACTGGAAGTGGCTTCCAGTCCCAGCGCCTCAAAGCCCAAGCCATGCTCTACGGCGACACCAGCACGTGGAACCATTTCGTCAACGACGGCGAGGCCGGCCTGCTTGGCAAAATCCAGGACTTGCTGCTGCGCCAGGAAACCCGCGAGAGAGACGTCAGTGCCGTCTTTCAGTATATTAGTCATTAGATTTTTTTTTTTAATTTATTTTATTTATTTATTTAATTTATTTATTTATTTCTATTTTATTCTATTCTATTTATTGATCTATTGATTTATTGATTTATTGATTTTGTTTCCGTTGGGTTTATAACTATTTTCGTTTTTTTCGTTGTATAAGGGTGTATACCTCACTTTTGTCGTATTAGTCTGTTTTCTCTCGTATTATGTTCTTGTATTTGTCGCTGGCTGGTTTGTTTCCTATCCGTTCTATAGCCGTTTTCCGTCCGTTTCCCATCCGCTTTCCATCTGCTGTCTGTCCTATATCCGTTATATCTCTATATCCATTTTCTATCCATCTTCTATCCATTCTTGTTTCGTTGTTTCGCCGCCACAATACATCCTATTTCTTCTAGTCTTCGCCCAGTGCCCGCCTGCCTGGCCTTGTACTTGTGTTCCAGTCCGTCATTATATGTTCCTGTTCCTGTCCCTGTCATTGTATATCATTCGTCATTCGAGATTGATGCTCAAGGTTCAAGGTTTAGGGTTCAGGTTCAAGGTTAGAGACAAGTTATATTGGTTACGGGCATGAGTTACATGAGTTGTTAGTTATGTTTAGAGTTCATCGATCACGATTATCGATCACGATCATCGAACTTGGAATGAGAGGTCGATATATAGATATATATATATATATATGGTTATATGTAAGGTACGTATTGAAGATTGATACACGGAACATGATACATGATACATGATAGATATACGATACGATACATGATACGATACAAACATCTACGTGTCTTGCTTCCCCTTTTCAATGCGCGGTGGTCGCAGCACGGGGTAGCTGAGAATCCCAGAGTTTTTATATAAAAGGATAAGAGCGTAGCTGGACAAGGGTCTTACGGAGATAAAGTCAAGAGAAAAGAAGAATGGGGGGGAGAAGAGGGGGAACGAAGAACGGGGAAAGAAGAATGGGAAAAAGGAGAAAGGGGGGAAAGGAACAAAGGAACAGAGGGAAAAAGAGGGGAAAGGGGATAAAATGGAAAAAGAAAATAAAATAAAATAAAATAAAATACAAAACGGGTTGAAAGTTTTGTAAGGCAAAAGGCTAGTTGAACATGCACAACATGAATTGTGCGTTTTAATAAAAATGGACGAAAAAGACACAAAAGAATTTAAAGATGGGACGTAAAAGGATATAAGAGAAGAGAGAATAGGGCAAAAGGACAAGAGGCCCTCGAGCGGTATCTAAGACAAATAAAACAAGAGAGAAGAAAGAGGAGAGAGAGTAATTCCGGGCATTAAGAAAAGACAGTCCAAATGTGTCTACTATTTCGCATCAGACTTTTGCTTTGCCTCCTTCTCTGTCTCCAAAACTTCGAGCACACCTCCGACGAGATGCACGCTACCCGTGACCAGGACCATGACTTCTTGATTTTCTTTCTCCTGCTGGGCAGTGTCCTTGCTGGCGCCTGCGGCAACTTCTCTGACCCAGGCAATGGCCTCTTCAATGGTGGGGCGCACGACGACATTGGTCTCCGGGTCGAGCGCAGACCAGGTTTGGGCCATTTGGTTCTGAACGGTCAAGTCTGTGACTTCGGAAGAGTTGGTGTTGATGCTGACCAGATCCGCCTTGTATCCGCCCTGGGCGAATGTGATGTTTGAGCAGAAAACCGCGTGAGTAAACGGTCGCTCGTCACCGAGGGCTTCGGCGAGAGTGGTGTGGAGGGCGCGAGCGAGCGCGTCGGCGTCACGCTTCTGTTGGTTGAAGAGGAGAATGCGGGTGCGCGCTTGGCTTGCGGCTGCTGGTGCTGATGATGATGATGATGGTGATGAGGAAGCAGGCGAGGACGCACTGCCACGGAGAGATTTCTGAATCTCAGAGGCAAACCATTTCCCCGAAAGGTCAATACTTTCGAGCGTGTGCCCGCCATCAAGATGCCATGAAATCTGTTCCTCCTTGCGAATCTCGCATCGCCCGCCCCATTGCACTTGTTCCAGTCCGCGGCGGAATTCCGCAGGCAGAGGTGAGTTCTGGATATCCTCGGGAATGTCGGTGAAGCCTAATTTCCGAAGGTGTGCGGCGGCAACTGCGACAGCCAGACTAGCATTGATCTTCTGAAAGTCTGCGGCGAGGCCCAATTTCATAGTTTCGACCTCTGGATGACGGTCCACCACCTTGAGCTCTACACCCTTTTCTTCGGCGCGCTTACGTATCACGGCCAATGCTTGCTCAGGCTGAGGCACCGTAAATGCGGCCGCTCCAGGCTTCATGATTCCGGCTTTGTGCCATGCTATTTCCTCAATCGTCTCGCCTAGCACAGCGGTATGATCAATGCCGAGACTGCTGATGCCGGTCACAGTCGGCTTCACGAGGATATTGGTGCTGTCGTATTCACCGCCAACGCCGCATTCCATGACTGCGGTATCAATACCCTCGGACATGTAAGTGTGTAGTGCCATGAGGGTCAGGAACCGAAAATAGATGGGCTTTGCAGACTTGTCGGTTGGGAGCCCGGCAGCACGGGCAGCTGCCTCAAGCCGGTCCCATGTTGAGAAGAAATACTTGGCAAACACCTCTTCCGAAATGGGTTGCCCATTGACTTGTATACGCTCGCGCACGAATCTCAAATGGGGCGATGTGTAGAGTCCAATCTTCTGCAGCTTCGGAGCTCCGGTTTGTTGCTCATCCCGAGAGATATATTGTGATAAGATGGAGGAAATAAAGGCACTTGTAGAACCTTTACCTTTTGTCCCGGCAATATGAATTGGGTTGAGACGATCGAACTCGGCTGGCTAGGGAAGACAAAGTCTGGATTTAGCACGCAATCACGGATTACATGAAGGCCTATATTGCCCGGCGTGAAGGAAGGGAGCCCTTACCTCGTATCCAGTTTTGTGGCACCATTCAATCATTTCTGGAATTGCCTGCAGATTGAGGGCCTGACCAGACTTTCGAATGGCATCCAAGATGGCGAAATTGGACTGCAGAGTGTTCAAGGCAGCCACAGCATCCTGAGACCAATTGATGCGACATCAGTATCCTGGTTCTCACACTTATCGCGCGCTTCATACATACACTGTAGTCTCGGCCCATTTTGCTAGGAGTGTGAAAGTGTCGCACACGAGGGAGAACTCTCAAGAAAGGTGCCCAGAGGCTTCGCATGAAGAGATTCCTGAAAATCCTTTAGATATCAACCGGGGGGAGGGCTGGTTTGGCGTGGAAGAAGTGGGATGGCAGGGTTATTGTAATAATTGCTTACTCGGGGGAAGGAAAAGTCACTCCGGCAAAGGGACGTTGGAGAGAGAAGGCTTATCGATAAGCTCCACCCTCTCTAATGCCCCTCCATAATTCATAACTACGACACTTGTAATTTATGCATCATTTCCTTCTTCTGCTGGATATTCTCTGTGTGTGCATATTATTTCCCTTTATAATAATTTGTTTTGTTCCTCGGTCTCTGTTTGGTCTCTGATAAGACAGTCGAGTCGCGGGTATTATAACAACACATGAAACCATGGCACAGATTGAACCGAACAAGAGGAAAAATGAGATTAGAAGGACAGAAGCTAGAAAGAATGAAAGTGGTATCTGCAGCAATAATGACAAGCAAGAAGCGGCGAGTCAGAGAGAGTAAAAAAAACAAAAGGCAGAAGTTAAAGTAAAACCGGTAGCAGGGATGCCAAACTCAGCAACTGTAAGAGTCAAACGGTGAACGAAATCTAATTCACCTTTCCGGCACAATCACAATATAAAACCGCCGATGAGTAATTAAAAGCCCTCCTGCATCAAGACATGCTTATATGGCAACGTGATAGTCTCACTGTCTCCATCATCCAAAGCCTCGAGGACCTGCATCCAGTTGTCCTTGCATCCGAGGACGTAGTCAATAGCATGGCTAATGTCGATCTCAGAAATGAGAAGAGAGCAGTTAATAAGGACGAACAAGCTGCCTAATTCACCTGCAGGAATAGGCGTGACGTTCTCGGGGAAATGGCGGAAGGCCTGCTTTGTCGGACAAAGACGTAAATTATGCACGACAAAGGATTGGAGTTGGATGTGATGAGTCTGCGTTGCCGGCGCGACCGAGGTTGACGACGAAGGATTGGTATTAAATGGCGTTAAGCCTGAAGAGCCCAAAGTTCCAGCATATCTAGGAGAAAAAGCATTTAGGGTAGGAGCGGCTTCTGATGTACCAGGTGCATTGTTGATACTGCCCTGGGCCCAAATCGAAGCAATCTCGACTGGATCTCTCCAAATCACCTCGTACCCGTCTTCGTCTATGGCAGCCGCCCCCGTATCAAAGCCTACCCGCAAACTTTCGAAGACGCGTCTCCAGGAGCCATGGCAGAGTGTGATGCCGGAGAGCCTCAGATGTTGAAGACCTACGGAAGGTCCGAATATGGACGATGGTCGCATATGTGGAAGAAGGAACGCCAGAAAGTCGTCTATGCCGACAAAGAGAGTCCCAAAGCGCAAGGCCAAATGTGTAAGTCGCGGAAAAAGAATCATTCGCTGCGTCGTCTCGTTGTTCTCCGGAGTTTCATTATTGGTGGCTGCGTTCGCCGTCTCGCTGCTATTGAGCTGCGCCCTTGGAATGCCCAAAAGGTCGCGGAAGACACGCCTGCTCGTGAAATTTTGCATAAAACTGAGGTCGAGTTTCTCAAGCGTAGGGGCAAAATGTCTCAGACATGTACGGGCGAGACCACCGCTAGCAAGCCGCTTCCAGTTCTCGTCATTAAAGTACTGAGTCAGCTGAGGAACACGACACTCATAGTTCACCCTCTCTGTAGCTAGAAAATCTTCCCCAAGTACCAGTGTGAGTTCTCTTAGTGGTCGGCCGCCGCAGCTGATTGAGGTAAACAGCCTTTCAAGGTTGGTGAGATTGTTTCCAATGAACTCTCTCCGCTCCGCTTGGATGCCGGTTGGTTCGGAAACAGCAGCATTAACCTTGAGCAACTCTATATTCCCCACCGTCGTGGTTGATCCCAAGTACCATCGAGGAATGTCAGGGCTGAATTGACTGAGGAAGGAAAGCGCTGAGAGCCCCATATCCGGCCACAGACCGAGATCAAGCTTTCGCACGCGCAGCTTCGAGCTGTGCAGCCCTTGCAGTAATTTCACGGTCCATTCGCTCTCAAAAGGCTCAGGTCTGAGCCGCGCGGGATGCGTGCCTGTTGATAGGCATAGTAGCATCATCGAGGAATGATGAAAAGAGTAAAAAGGCGCTGCAGAAAATTCAAGGCCGCTTGAGAACAACGAGCACTCAGATTCCTCGGTTACTGTGCGTTCAACGACCAGGTGTTTTTGTAAACAGGTGCTGCAACGCCTGCGCATCTTGCTGCCATACCGGCAGATTGAGTCACGAAGTACGGCGGATACGTTTGGCAACTTTGGCAGGATAGTAGTTAAGAGAAGTGAAAAGTTTCGCTGTACCAACCGCTGATCTTCCACCGCCTTTTTGTAGGCTTGAAATCGCCATTCTATTGCCGTTTTGGTATATCCAGTGAATACTCCAGCCATTTCGGTCTGGTCCTGCGCCCAGAATTCAGCTTCAAAGGTTTTTTCGTCAAGCTCTTCATATAAACACTGTTGCGAATACCAAGTAAGCTTTTTAAGAAACAAAGGAGAGCATGTGACCTTCATGGGTAAGTCATACCAATTCGTCCTCCATTGCAAGAGAAGGTAGTTCGAACGAGCATTCATACGGCAGAGGTTCCTTGGACCTTCGCCGAGTGCGATACCTTGAGGTGACTTCCTTTATTTTATATCGCCATTGTTCGAAAGCAGCAACAAATGCAAGACCGCTATCCGCTTCAGCTGGATTAAAGATGTCAAAATAAAAAATAAGGATTTGAACATATTTGCGGTATGTTTCATGCTGTGAGATGATCTTGAATTTCTCGAAACTGGCCAGAAGTGCGTGTATTTGCACCGTCTTGAAGAGAGGACGCGCAGCAAGCTCCGCGAATGATTTGCAAACAAGGCGCAGATTTTTCACATCCGTAACGGGAAGGAAGCGTGTGATCATTTCGAACAATTCAGGTGCAACGCGGTCCATCTTTTTGATCGCTTCACCTGGAAACTGTATCAGATACCCCAATAGTTTACTGAATGCGGAATGTATCGAGCTCTGTGCGTGAAGGTTTCCAGATAGATGTTCACCACAGGCAGAATTTGTCTAACCTTGAGTATGTCAATACTTCCGAAGAGTAAAGTTTGCGGAATGCAGAATGGCAGATCCTGTGTTTGTAGAGGTTCAGACAGCTGGCCGCATGTGGTGTGACAACTCTCTGTTGTGTAAACATTTCAGAAGACAAGTCCATCGAACCTCAGGGGCCAATTCGCGTCTAGAGCCCAAATTCATTCACTGCGAGGCTGCATTCACCATCCAAACATGACGCATGTAGAAGTTTTGGAGAAGCCAAACCAGCAAAGAGATTGAAGTTGCTGAACAGTACAAAGGCTGATGCTGCGCAGACATCCCTAACGAAAAGGCTGTTTTCCAAATTGTCTCTGAACAACAATGGGCAGGCTTCGAAGGCATCTCAGAGAAAGAAATATGACAAGGTCACCGTGTCATTCATAGGTCATCTTCTTAGGGCGAAGATAAAGATTATTTTCCTTCATCCCGGGAATCTAGAATCAGTCATGTCGATCAGTCTCTAACGGCAAATATGTAGATAAAATACTCACATTTGCACTCAGATGACGAGAACAACATCAAGACTCAGCATCATGCAAACCTCCATCACACTAATCACGTTTGTCCATACTTGCGTCTTTACCATTCCGATCCTTCGATCCTCATAGATAGGCGTGCAGATATCAGTTCAAAAGCAATACCGCATAGTTACTATACATTAGAACATTCTTGCAGAGACCCCACACCATTCTGCATGAACCAATTTATTTTAACGAGTAACCAGACGAAAACGACAGAAACTTTTCGGCAAAACAGCTACCGAAGTCGGCCAGAAACCCTCGCCACCGATCAATGGCGTTGCATGTCCGAAGGTGTCCTGCCCGTTACGTCCATGACATTCCCTACGGTTTCTTCGAATTTAGGGCATTTACTTTCAACCCGTACATGAGCGAAGAAGCAAGAGAGAACAAATATGGAAGCAAGGACTGACTACAAGGGGACGGGCGTTTGCAGCATCAGACGAGTCGATTCTAGTAAATTGAAAGACAAATATTGCTCACGCAGAGGAAAAAAAAAGATAAGACAAAACGCGTGAAAAAGGCCATTGAAAGGTTTAAAACCGAGACATAGAGTACTTGAGCCGTTTTACATAATCTGATCCTGGGTCAGACCGGCAGGAGGTTCGGGCTGCACCTGCATGGCATCGCTGCCAGGGCCCGCATTGGTGTATCGGACAAAGCTAAGCCCTAGAGGACGACCGCCGTAGTGGTAACCAGAGAATTTGGCTATTGCATAGGTTAGCTATATGCCCTTATCCTGATAGAATGTAATCGAAAGGGGGAGGGGCATACAAATGGCAACCTCGGCCGTGTCCGGTGAGTCAAATTGAACGACACCAGTTCCGCGCGAGCGTCCATTGGGCTCATACTGGATCTCGGCACGTTCGACTTTGCCAATCGTTGTGAAGAGCTCTATGAGATCGTCGTTGCTGGTGGACCACGGGAGCTATTGGTGAAGAGCGTCAGTAAGACTATAAACACACATACACACACACACACACTCTCTCCCCCCCCCCCCCTAGTAGAGATACGAAACCTACATTGCGCACGTGAATAGTCTCACTTCGCTCGCCCCCCGAGGTGGCAAAGTCGGTGAAGGTGTTAGGAGGGACGACGGGAGCGGCATCGAACCCGCCAGCGGGAGGGCCGCCATAGCCACCGCCCATACCGCCTCGGCCACCATAACCGCCGCCAAAACCTCCACGACCAGCGAAGCCGCCGCGGCCACCGAATCCGCCACGACCGCCAAACCCGCCACCAAACCCGCCACGACCTCCAAAGCCGGGACCGGGCCCGGCAAATCGGTCTTCGCGGACCTCGATAGCCCGTCCCTGCCATTCATATCCATTGAACTGCTGGATAGCGTTGCGAGCATCCTCAGGAGATTCAAAGGCGACAATACCGGAACCCTTGGGGCGACCGTCGGGGCCCATATGAACATCGGCGCGTACGACAGAGCCCATGTGCGCTAGACGATTATGTCAACTCTGGTGATACCCACCCATTGATGTATTGCATGCCACAATTAATTAGCCCATTCTTCTTCGTGAGCACTTACCAGCTTGACGGAAAAGATCCTTGAGATCTTGCCAGCCTACCGTGTAGGGAAGCTACAAGACAGTTAGCAAAGTCTCGCCACATATGCAAGATCTTTTCGCAGGCCCCAAATCCAGATCACCTACGTTGGAGACGTAGAGCTGGCGGCCGCCACCCGCACTGGGGGCGCCGCCACCACCGAATCCGCCGCCGAAGCCACCGCGGCCGGGGCCTCCATCGAAGCCTCCGCGAGCAGGAGGTCCTGTGAATCGGGGTTCTGCCTCACGGTCCTGTGAAAGATCACGCTGTCAGTATTACCGTTTTAAGTATCGAACCCGGGCAGTTTCCTTCCTCGGAAGGCAAAGGGGAAGGGCGAGTGTTGAGGGTGCGGGGGAGGGCGCCTACTTCTCGGACGTAGACCAGACGGCCCATGAGGTTCTGGTTGCTGAGCGTGCTGACCGCATTTTGGGCCTGCTCCTTCGTCGCGTATTCCACAATTCTACAGTAGAAAAGCGTTAGCACTCGTCGAGTTTCGCGCAGGAGCGACGAAGAAGAAAAAGACACATACCCGCATCCCTACATAGACCCCAGGACAACCGGTCCCAACCCGTCAATCCAACGTTCCATCAAACAACCAAGGAGAAACCAGCACAAAAGACCAGCCACATCTACACGTTGGCGCCCACCTTCGACATTCCATTCGGAAGCAGTAAGACATCGGCGAAGAGAACCTCTCCAGCTAGAATGGCGTGTCAGCCCAGTATTCTTCCCCTCTCGTCCTATCATTCGTTGCACAACCGCCGCGGTGGGCGGCCGCAACCGAGGAAACCAACCCTGCCTCATAAAATCCTTCAGGTGATGCCACTTGACATCGTAAGAAAGGTTGCCCACATAGACCCGACGGTCCTGCTGGGACGAATCTCGCACGGATTGCATCATTTGTTCCTTTGCGACGGACCGTTCCTCAAAGTTTCGGGGCGGTGGCACACGAGAAGAAGCTGGATAGCTTCCTGGGGCACCAGCGGGACCACCAACGGGCGAACGAGATCGGCGGTCGCCTCGGCGGTAATCGTCCCGGCTCCGGGATCGACTTCGAGGAGAGTACGAACGACGAGTGCGGCGAGGACTCCTCGATCGACGGCGAGGGGACCGAGATCTCTCGCGCTGAAAGCGATCAGTATGTTGTACGTTCATCGACCATCAAAATACAGAGTCAGAGTGTAGGGTCACATTGAAAAAGAAAAATATGAGAGGGCCCAATAACGAGATCAAAAAGAAATGGTGATGGGTCGAGGCATTGGTACGGTATGTGGTTGGCATCGGATGACGACTGAGGACATTCACGTTTGACAGAATCCCCGACCCCTGAGTGTGGGATCTCGGAAAAATATCAATGGTGAATAGGAGCCGTGTGAGGTAACGGAAAGCAATGGTGCTGTGACAATCGACAACGACAGCAGCGTCGACCAAGGTCCAGACTTACTTGGGAAGGGCGATAAACGTCACCTAGATCGGCAGTCAATAATCAATTCAACATCCACCGGTTAAACTGAAATGCACGGCAAGCCGCAATTACCCAAAGGAAGAGAATGAGAAGCAATGGCAGCAAGCTCAACCAGGGAGCAAGGGGAGCTAAGAAGCGGAAACGTAGGGGGAGGGGGCGAAATGAGAAAGAGAAAGTAGGAATAACAGGGTGCAGAGGGAAAATGAAGGCAATGGGAAGAGTTGGAAGGATGAAGAAGCCAAGAGGGAGAAGGAGAGGGAAGGGCAGAAACAGCAAAAGGACCTTACCCATGGTACTACCGAGCGCGGATAACGTCGATTCTTCAGAAAGCAAACGTGTGCGGGTTGGTGGTTCTGCACGAGTTTGCGGAGTTTGGGACTACCTGGGTGACAGGGGTCACGCGGTGTGTAGAGTGAAAAGTGAGAGAGAGAAAAGAAACAAGTAAAGCGTTTGGATGGGGCTGATTCGAGCGATTCCCAAGGTGCCACCAAGCCAGTCACGGCCGAAAGGAAAGCGGCAAGGCTACGGGATGGGATGGGATGGACGGGGAGAGACGATAATGGGGGGGTGTGTGGTGCAAGAGAGCGATGCGAGTCGAAACGGGTTCGAGGCGAGCGAGCGAGATGAGCAACCGAATATGCGATACGACCTCTTGTTATGCGCGCACGCAGCCCAACTGTCTGGTACGATAATGCCACTCGTTCTGTATTGGCGCGACAACCGGGAAGCGCGGTGAGCCTAAATTGAATTCAAAATAAAGGGCAATAGGGGAGAGAGCGACGGAGGTGGAGGAGGGGAGATCCTAATCTGCCTATGCGGATAAAGGGTCTATGGCTTGAACAGTATAAGGTAATTGGTGGGGGTGTAAATAATATGGGTGTGATGGGGGCGAGCGGATGGTAGGTAGTGGGTGGGCAAGGGGAGCTGCAAGACAGACATGCACTGGCGTGCTTGACTCAATGTCTGACCGTATATATGGTATGTCTTGTACAGAAAATGTAGGCAGAAAGCAATATTATGCGTGTATGATTGAGTGGTGTGTGCGCATCTGGGTGTGTGCGGCAACGAAAGAGCAAAGGAGCGAGAGGGAGAGAGAGCAAGTATGTTGTAGGATCGGGAGATCAGCCTGCCTCTCTCACTTCTCTTTTCGTCTGCTTGCTTGCGTGCCTGCTGGGCTTGTTTACTTGCTTCTTCGTCTTGGGGCCTTCTCCGCCGTCGTCTCTTTCTTGGCTTCATCACTAGATCACCATATCAGGGTCTAATGGCAGCATGGTCAAGCCGTCAACCATCAATGGCTAGCTCCACCCTGGGCCACGGACGTTGGTCCGCGCGGATCGATCGGCCTCGAAAAGAAGAAGAGAGACAGCAGGCGAAGGAGGACAACGAGGATGGAGCTGAGCAAAACTCCGAGGGGCCCTGAGATTGGCCCTGACCGCGCGCCGGCGTAGTCAGCGGGTCCCCCACGCCGCAGGGCATGTTCGCACGCACACACCTCTTCTCGGGAAATGGATGATGATAGTGGTGCTAATATTTATTGATATGGGCCAGGGTGACTTACCCTCTCACGACGCAATCGCAATAGCAATAGCAGCTATTGCTCTTTCTGTTCTGGGAACGAATCTACCGATTTGCGGTAGACGCAAATTCTGTCTAGCAGCCCGAAGAATGGCCTGATCGATGCTGATTACGTCTGCCGACAAAGGCTGACAAAGATTTGGCCCAGGAACGGGACCGGAAAGGAGGTGGAGGAAAAGATGGTGGAGAACAGAACAAATGGACGGGGGTTGCAGTCGAAGGAGGTCGGTCGGATTGAGGTGATTTGATTGATGAAAGGATGGGGTGCAGATTAGCAACGGTAGACGGCGACGCACTAAGACGCGCAGAGGAGGTGGAAGGCGTTGCCGCTAAGACCCAACTGGGTAGCGGCCGGACGGAGCGAACCAAGGCAAAGGCAAGCCCACGAAACAACGGGACCCATGAAAACACACAAACCACCTCCAAGGCACCCACGATAACCATCCCTAGCTCAAGTACAATACTAGTACAGCCAAGTAACTCGTTGGTTTCTCTCCGGAGCATCATTATGATGATCATCATGCCTCCCTCGGAAAGGAGAAATGGTAGAAACTCCCCAAAAAGACCGCAAAAGCCGGTCATAGGGAGGGCGTCACCTCAAGGAATTCTCACATACATGATACCGTCCATGCATATAATGATGATGCAGGATGATAAGGCAGGAGAAGGAATCAAGGAGAACATAGTAGCGGCATAAGGAAGCAAGACAGGCAAGGATACAAGGGACATTTCGTTTCATTGCATGAGGACGGGGATGTGCATGCAGTCATTCAGAGCAACGCGAGTAATATAGCAAGGAATATCCGGCTTACTCTGTACACACGCTTCCTAACGTGAGAAAGCTATTATATAAATTCACTTCAATCTGCCGGGGTGGGGGGAGGGGGCGCCGATCCAAAAGTCGAAAAGAAAATCTGAACTCAACTCGTCGGCTGCTTCTGCAAAAGAAACAGATGACTTATACTCCGTAAAAGAAAAAAAAAAGAAAAAAGGAGAAAGCATTTGCACCGTTTGCTCCATTGGTTGAACAACCAATGATTGAAATTGCGTGTTATCAACCAAATAGTGTGTTTTCGCTAGTACCTTTGTACTACTGTAGCTCTGCCAAAGAGGACGACCGATGAGGGACGATCATATGGAAAGAAGTCCCATCAAGGGAGCGAGATGGGAAATCTAATGTGGATCAAACCAGCAATGAAGGCGCTTGGACGAGACCCGTGGCTGTTCTGCAGCAATTAGGTCGCCACGTTTTCGATAGTGCGCTCATGGTAGCAACATACGGTACTTCAACCGTTCAAGCCTTCGCTGGTCGGCACAGTAGGCGCAGCGACTAGTGATCGTTGATGGTCTCGGCAATATGAACAACAAATGATAGAGTCACAATAGCCGGAGAGACATTTCGTAAAGTACGAGGTAAATGGCTTCGACAATGGGGAAAAGGTCACCAAGGTGTTCGTCCCCGGGTTCTTTCGGCATATCTATTCGGCCGAACCTCGTTTCCTCGGTACAGATTGCGACAAATCAATTACAATTTGCATAAATAATACCGTAGTCTACATAAAGTAGTATAAAAATTGAAAGGGGAAGTCCAAAAGAGGAGAAAACAAACTTGCTTCCGAATCGAGCATTAACCAATTACGGCATTATTACTTCCAGGGCCTCAGATGTTCTGAGGGTAAGCAAAGACCAAATGCACTAAATACGCCACGTCTGACACTGCATCATCCTGTGTAGCCGTTTAAATCACACCAACCACGAGCATGGGGAAGCTGGAAAAAATTCTAGCCCGGGGCAAAGAAATCAATACGGCGACGATGGATTGACTTGACTTTGTCCTCCACATTTCAAGCGGTGAAGATTTTGCAATAGTCTTTGTCGTCGCACATCAACTGCAGCATAAAGAAGCAAATGCCATGCCCTCCATCTACTCTACTGATGTGAGAAGAGGCATGTCCTGTTTGCACTAGAAGATCTCCTCTAGTCCCATTGATACGGGAGCGAGACAAGGTTGAAATAATGCCATAGTCCAAATCCCTTTGAAACAGATGATTAACTTATTTGATAGTTCAACAGAGAACGCCATCAAAAATGATATTTCTAATCGACAGTACTACAGTTATGCCGAGCGCATACAGAAATTTAGCGGACGATTCGTGAAAGAGTAAGACGGCCAGACTAAATTCACAGTTGAGCTTGCTGCCTCAATGCGTGGTGCTGGTGTCTCGGCCCTGCGCAGCGAGTCAGTCACTCACTGACAACCATTTGTCGGTGATAGTGGAGGCAGTAGCGGCATGCAGGTCATGACCGATTCTGGCTGCTTGCTGAAAGCCACTCGAGAGAAAAACCCAGTGGGACTTTACGGAGGTAGTTTTTGCCCCGGATAGCAGGGGTCCGTGTCTACCGTGCGCCTGAATCGAAGTGTGGGGTGATTGACTGCAGCCTATTCGAACCACTGGTTCATGCGTTTGATGTCCCTTTCTATGCCTATTGGATTTCCATTAATCGACTAGTGACCCCTTCAGGCCAAGGCTCCGACAGAGGTGGCGGTCAGCCAGGAAGCCTCTTGAGCTCCTTCCTTTGCAGTGCAGGCGTTCTATCTCGCATCCTTCCGAGATCCCCGCGGCGCCAGTGGCCCTGAGGCTGGCGTCGACTTGCAGCTTGGTGTGCATCAACAGTCGCCAGCCAACGACGTGACATGGGAGACTTGATGATGCATAGAAGTTTTTGGCGGAGCTTCACCATTCGCATCCCCCGGTGCCCTTTAGCAAGGGTATGGAAGTAGGGGAACGGCCACTGCAGTAGATCACTCGATGCCCAGAAAATTTCATGTGGCACGGCAATCACATGCATTCAGCTGCACTGCACAGCATTGGACTCTACGGTCCAGGCATTTTGCACCAAGCGGCTTGCCTCTATCAAAGCCTTGGCCATCACCTCGTTTTGATCTCTTGGCCACATTTGTTGAACTGGTCATTAGATCTATATTGTCTCTCAACATTTTTGCTGCACTAGTGCGGCTGCACATCACTGTCAGGAATTTTGAAGGATGTTTGGTACGTTTGCATACTTGAATCTTGCAGTCATTCAAGCGAAGGCTGTTGGAAAGTCATCCCGAGAGAAATTCATGCTTAAACGGGCTTTATTGGATACAGAGGCATTTGCCTTCTTTGACATTACCCATGCTTGCGCCTACAGCTGTACTGAGCTGCTGAGAAAAATCAATTTATCTAATCCAGAATGGACCAAAAAATTGACCCATTTTTAATCCTGGGCAGAAAGCGTGAAAAAGACCACTCCCCTTGTACTATCATCAAAATTGAAAATAAAAAAATAAAAATAAATTCTAGAAAGAAAGGAAAAAGAAAAAGGAAAGAAATGAGTAGAGAGTAAACATATGAATTCAGAACACGACAATTGCCAATCCAACAAAAATATTCCGTCTCCCAGTCATTTCCAAACAAGCTCAGGTACGGAACATGCCGCAGCCGGCTCTCTAGCTCTCCCGATTCACCTCCGACATGCCCGACGTGACATGATTCCTGACCAAAATATCAAGAGCTTCCTAGACAATTTTCCCATCACACGCCTATGTACTGCCTATTAATTTGCTGCATATAAATACCTTCATTTTGAAAATATTGCGGCATTATGGCTGCCTCGCGCGTTCTTTCCCGCCAGTCGGCAGCTCTCAGAATATCTCAAAAAGGCCTGCATCTTGATGCGCGGCATATCTCCACGTCCTGTGTCTCCTCTCAGAGACCTTCCAATGCCCTGACGTCCCAGGGACTGAGCAGCAAGCCGAATCAGAACGCGAAGCCTTCTCTTCAAGGCCCCAGAAGGTCCGCGCCTAGCATCCAGAATAACGCTGCAACAAGACGATCATACCACTCTTACGAACACGCCCAAGCTGCACCATTCACGCCTGCTGAAGACGCAATTCTCTCTGCGGCTCTAAAGCATGTTCCCGAGCGTGGGTTTACCAATTCAGCGCTTGAACTGGGTGCGCGTGATGCAGGATACCTCGACGCCTCGATCAATCTCTTCCCGCGGGGCCCGTTCGATTTGATTAATTACCATCTCACCACAGAGAGACTAAAGCTCAAGAGACGAGTCAATTGGGAGAAGTTGGAGAAAGAGGCCGGCAAGCCACTGGGCGTGGGTAGGCGAGTGAGGGAGTTGACTTGGGGGAGATTATTGGCGAATAGGGCAATTATCGGGCGTTGGCAAGAGGTGAGTTGAACCTTTTCCAATTCAAATTTATGTTATTACCGGGGAGCGTGGAAGGGGAAGTTGCAATCAGAACTGGGGGCGAATGAAGTTGTCATGAGGATTCTTAGCTTTGGTTCTTGTCCATATCTTGAAGGGAACATGGAAAAGAAGACGATTGAGTTAATTGCAGAAACCGCCTCTTTCAAGGACGGGCTATTTCTCCACGCTCCAATAGGGAAAAATCCAAGCTGACAAGGAAATGGAAAATATTATAGGCCCTCGCCATCATGGCTCAACCATCATATATTCCTCCTTCCATTGCAGAACTCGCCCGTCTCGCAGACGAGATATGGTTTCTGGCCGGAGACAAAAGCGTGGACGCAAGCTGGTACACAAAGCGTGCATCGCTATCCGCTGTATACTCCAGTACTGGTACGTTTTACCATTCCTCCCTCTTTCCTCCCTTCCTTCCTTTCCACCACTCTTTGTCTTCGTGGGTTTTCTCCTGTACAACATGTTGATTTTACACCTTGAGCCCATCATCACCAATACTCATTTCATCAACACGGCTAATCAATCATCGAACAGACGTCTTCATGAGCCAAGATACGTCACCCGACTTTGTCCGCACGCAGGAATTCCTGGACCGACGCATTGAAGACGCGCAGAACCTGGGATCCTCGCTGGCAAATCTCGGCCAGTGGGGCTTATACACAGGCCATTCATTCGTAAATGTTCTGAGAAGTAAAGGCGTGAGAATATAGATTTCATATATTTCTCCTTTTTCTTCTCCTCTGTCTCGTTTCTGAATCTCTTTTTAAAGTCCCATCTATCTTTGAAAAAGAACGAAAAGCGTCCTTTGATGTTACATCTGGCCGGTGTCACCTGGAGTGTGATACTATGGAGTTTTTGATATAGTGTTTACATTTACGATGTATTTATAGTACCTTGTTGTATTTTTTATGCATCGCCCTTCCATCTCTTCTTTTGTAGTTATACTCCGTGTAATTAACCTCTTAGAATATATAATACATTGTATGTATATCCATCCAACGGCTACATTTATATCCTCTAGTCAAACACATCCTACTCTTCCATCTGTTCTCCTTGTTTCTTTGGAAACACACCTATACACTTCTCACGCCGTGCACAAGACTCTGACAATCAAGAGAAGAAGACACAGAAGTTGTAAATAAAAGTAAAAATAAAAAAAAGAAGAAAGGTTCTTTAAAGGAAGAGATACGTAATCTATTCGTTTAAAAAGCCCCATACTCCTCCTTGACACGCGCCTCTTTAAGCGCACGCTCATACAGCTTCGCCCTGACTTTCTCCTTCCACCTCAGGACTTTACTCGTGCCCGTCTTGACGCTCTGCATGCGATAGACCTGGGCGAGGGCCTGGCCCTTGAGTCCGCGTCGGATAGGATCAATCGAGTCCTTTTCAATGGCGAGGAGGATACTCAGCGTTTCGGCATCAAACTCGACATTCCGGGCCTGCATGTCTGCCAAGAGGTCGCTGATGGCGTGATAGTCGGCGTCTTTGTGCCAGTGGATGGCGATGAGTTCGTTGTAGAGCGCCGTGGATGCGCCGAGAATAAAGGAAATGTCGCCGAGGTGTTTGATGGCGGGGAGAAGCGCGTACGGGAGAGAAGAGCGAGGGAAGGAGTGCCGCAGGATGCGCAGTGCGAGGAGGAGGTGAGAGGGATAGTTGAGTGCGGCGATGGGGATGAGGGGGATGGATGGCGCTTGGGCGGAGGAGGGAGGGGAAGGAGAAGGGGGGTTGGAAGAGGGATTGGAAGAAGAGTCTGCGGGAGGAGGAGCAGAGGAAGAGGAGGTTTTGGCCTGCTCCTTCAGCCTCTTGCGCTCTTCGCGTTCGGCTTTTCTGGCGGCTGCGGCAGCGGCCTTTTGAGCTTTTCGCTCATCCTGCAACTTTTTCTCCTCGGCACCAATGTCAATCTTGCTGACCATGGAGAAGACCTCCTTTTGCAAGACTTCCCACAGCTCCATGTCGGTCTGGGCAGCGTGCAGAAGCGCTTCGACGCGGTGGAGTTCTTGCTGTTGGAGCTGAGTGAATGGATCAAGAGGCGCATTCTCGGCCGCCGCCGTTCCTCCGGAAGGAGATGGTGTGGTTGCAGTCGTTGCATCAGTGCCACTGGTTCCACTACTTTCGGGACTGACTCCACGAGAGTGCTCTTGGCGTTGCTGAATGACGCCAAATGCAGTCTGCGCGGCCATGCGGAGAGATTCGGGGTAGCGTGAGATGGCCTCGTCAATTTGTTCATTGTCATCGGAACGTTTCCTCAAACGCTGGAACGATGTGTGGTCTGTTCTTCGAGACGATGATCGAGGTCCCGCTCGATGTGACGATTCAGATTGCCTGTCCAGCGCATTGTAGAGGATAGACCGAACTTCGCCTCTTGGTTGGAGAAGATCTGGCTTCTCCAAAGATGAGGCAGAGTATGGGGAAGAATCATTCGCAAGATCGTCAAAGAGCCGGGCGAATGTGGCTCGCTCGGAAGGGGTAATAGTAGAGGTGGGTTTGGGTTGGGTTTCACTGGGCTCGGGGGCAGGCGCGTCAACTAGTGGAATGTCTTCAAGATCATCCTCTTCTTCGTATTGAGAGTGACGATTGCCGTGTGGTCGATGGCGATACCGAGCGGCGTGGGGAGAATTGGAGGAGTGATAGAATTGGATTGAAGCCCGGCCTGCGCTTGAAACGGTTTGCTGGAGTGTTTGGGTTTGGTACAGAAAGGGGAGCAGTGAGCTGTTGGATTGTCTTGTTTGTCTGCGAATCATTCGAGCGCCTGGAAGCGCGGATGAAGCTCTAGCTGCCATTGTGCCCTGTGAGGGTATATCGCAGTAGAGTTATTCGACTTGTTGGTTGTTTAGAGGTTGATGTTTGAAAGTTGAGAAGATCGGGGTTTCGATACTTTTTGCTCCGACATGTCCGACCACCGACTCTGCTGCCTTGTGCCAACGCGTTCCTGCAACCAATTTACGCGACTCTCCTTTGACTCGTGTATGACTTCACCAAACACGACTCTATTTCTGCCTTATTTTGAGTAGTTCATCCCCGGCAACACTAAACGGCAGAAACGATCACCTCAAGGCACAATGGCCAAGGGCTCGACTACAGAAGTCAGCGAGTATGAATTACAACGTCAGGCAAACATTGCGAAAAATCAGGCGCTGCTGAAAGAGCTCCAATTAAGCGCAGCATCAGCCGGTCTTGCACCGAAGAAGAAGGCGGCATCCAAGCCCACTCCAGGCGAAAGCAGACCTCAGAAGAAAAAACCAGCAGTCAAAAAAGAATCCGCGGAACCCGTCGTGCGCCGTACCTCGTCGCGGCTGAGAGGTCTTGTGGCAGATAGCGAAGTCGCAAAGCGCAAGGCAGAAGAGGAGCATGAAGCCTTGAGACAAGTCGAAAAGGCCAAGCGCCAGCGCGTCAGCGGTGATTTGAATCTCAGTGATATTATCGTTGCTGGCAGGCAATGGGATAACAGCGGAAACTTTTTGCGGGATTTGGTTCGGGGCAAGCCCTACGAGCGTACATTTACCTCAGAAGATGTCAAAGAGACAACAGACAAGGATCTCAAGGCGCTGAGACAGCGGATGAGTGGCCTGGAATTATATGGTGAATTCACACAGAGTAGTATGTTTATCTCGTGCAATTCTCCTTGCAATGTGAAATATGGCTAACATGGTCTTAGGAATAAAACTTACTCCTGAACGCATTGTATGTCAACTTGCAAATACATATAGATATATATCCATATCATTCACAAAGTCGCCTGGAAAATAAAACTGACTTTAAAAGTACTGCATGGGCTTTCATCCCATGCCAGACAAGCCTCTTGTGTTTGCAGGCGATAAGATGGGGAACCTCGGTCTCTTTGACGGCTCACAATCTGCTCCTGAAATCAAAGCCGAGCAAAACGACGACGCAGAAGAAGACGCCGACGAAGACGAACCCGAACCGGCAGTTACCACCTTCAAGCCCCACACGCGGACAATTTCTTCAATGCAGGTCCATCCGACAGACTCGAATCTCCTCTTCACCGCCTCCTACGACTCTTCAATCCGCAAACTCGACCTTGCCAAAGGCGCCGCCGTACAGATATGGGCACCATCTTCAGAAGACGAGGACGAGCCCGTATCAAGCATATCAATACCGCATCAGGACCCTCACTTGATTTACTTTTCAAGTCTCGAAGGGCGATTTGGGCGGCACGATACACGCGCACCCAGCGACAACACTGGCGGCACAGAGCTATGGCAGTTGTCCGACAAGAAAATTGGCGGATTCAGTCTTCACCCGTTACAGCCGCACCTGGTCGCTACGGCATCGCTCGATCGGATGATGAAGTTGTGGGATTTGCGGAAAATCACTGGCTCCAAAAACTGGCGCCATCCGCTGCTGGTTGGAGAGCACGAGAGCAGATTGTCCGTCTCGCATGCGGCGTTTAGTTCCTCGGGCCATGTAGCTACCTCATCGTACGATGACACGATTAAGATTCATGACTTTACCGCTGCGGCTGATTGGAAAGTCGGCACCTCGCTGTCCGACGACGAGATGGAGCCCATGGCCATTGTTCCGCATAACAACCAGACTGGCAGATGGGTCACAATGTATGTTCTCCCTACCTTCTCTCTCTCCCTCCTCCCCCCCCCCTCTCTCTCTGTGTGTGTGTGTGTGTGTGTGTGTTCCTCATGCTGACAGACTGTAGTCTCCGCCCGCAATGGCAAGAACGGCCACAAGACGGCCACCAGCGCTTCTGCATCGGCAATATGAGTCGCTTTGTCGACATTTACTCTTCATCGGGCGCGCAACTCGCCCAGCTCGGAGGCGACGACATTACTGCCGTGCCCGCCGTGACCCAGTTCCACCCCACTAATGACTGGGTGGCCGGTGGCACTGCGAGCGGTAAATTGTGCTTGTGGATGTAGGCGTCTTGTGCCCTTTATTCGCATAATCTAGTTGATATGCTTTCTGCATTACATGCTTGCCCTTTTACATTTACCCTTTTACACTTACCGTTTGTGTAGCGTGTTATACCTTGCTGTTGTCTTTTTTGTTTTCTCTATTCTTTTATGGTTTCTGTTTTCTTTTACCGTTTTCTGTTCTCTGTTTTCCATATTTCGCATTCTGTTTCCGCTGCAGGTTTGGGTTTAGGTTTGGATTCGGGTTTCGTCGTTTACTTTAATCATAGCGTCCCGCTTCTTGCTTTTGTTTTGCTTTTGCTTTTGTTTTTTTTGTTTTTTTGTTTTTTTTTTCTTTTTTCATTGAATTCTTTCTTCGTCGCATTCTCCTTTCACACCCTCTCCTTCTCTCCTTCTCTTCTGTCCTTCTCTAGGCTTTATTCCTTGTTATTCTCTTTCCTTTTCTTTTCCAGCGACTCATAGCGCCACGGCATTGAAATCATTTTTTCCCCAGGAGTAGAAGCCTGACTGAAATACATATCTTTTCATCCACAACTATCTTAGGGTACCTAAGATAACCTACCTAAGATAACCTAACGTTTGAAATGCTTTTCGCATCTATCCTACCATCCTCTTATTCCCCCATCATCATCACCATCATCATTTAACAAGTAACATTTCACCCGAGACTCAAACGGTCAAACGGTCTAACCTCAAACCATACAATCCAAAATAAAGGTACTAGCCTACTACCCTTTTCCGAGCCGTGACTCGACCAAATCGTGACATGAATGTAGTACTCAGTTACCTAACTTAGCTGTTGACTTTTTTTTACCACTCCACCTCCATTCATTGTTTATTCTATCCGCATCTACCTTTCTATCATTATGCGAATTTCATGAGCCACATATTATTCGATTCGCATATTCATCCTTCAAGTCGTGTCTCTATTTATCCGATTGTCACTCGTGTCTACTCGACCTGCATTTACATTTCTCGATGCCATTTCAATTACTACTCGATTCATATGAATATCTTCTTTTTGGGTTTCTTTTTCTCCGGACTTTTTTGTTTTTGGGCTTTCTCTCTCTCTCTCTCTGTCTTAAAAAAGAAAAGAACCGAAAAGAAAAATGTGGCCCGATTAAAAGAGAAAAGGACAATCAGCATGAAAACAAAAGAAAACAAGAAAAGAGAAAAAAAAAAAAAAAAAAAGAGAAAGTAATAGAGAAAGGACAATGAAGAGGAACAGAAAATAAAAATAAATGGACAACAAGGGAGGAAAAAAATGACCTAACCAGGGGTCGAACCTGGAATCTCTTGATTCGTAGTCAAGCGCCTTGCCATTGGGCCATTAGGCCAGTTGATAGTTTCTGCTGCCCTTATTACACTTTATTAAGCATTATGCTTCCAAATCAATTTTCAGCACGGGGATTTTGCGACAGAGACGCGTGACGCGTTGTTGACAACTCGTACAAGGCGTGACCCCCAACCCACAGAGTGCAAAGTCTCGATCACAAGCTGGCCTCTGGGTCCTGGGTCCTATAGACTGGAGATCATACATCGTACACCGCGGTCCGTAGACTGAAGATCGTAGAGTGAGGACTGTAGACTGAAGACCGAAGACGGGGACCGAGAGACAACACTGGAGAATGGACGGCAACGACGGCCTGACGGGAAGACTGAGTCACTGGACGCATACTGGACCGAAGACTGGATGGACACTGTCGAAACATACAGTAGGACAGGCTAAACCCTTAGGACAGGCTAACCCCCTCGCAGCAGGGCAATCTGAAAGCACCAGGCCGCGCTACAGGAGGAACTAAAGGCAGGTGAAGCTACAAACACTATTCGTACAGGGAACTCATACGCCTGTCAATCTGCCATCGAGTACGTATGTAGTATGTAGTAAACAAGCAACTCTACTCTGGTACTTAAATATCATCGACGCATCTACTCTACACCACTCTACTGTACGTAATACGTAGTATATACCTGAAACATCACCACATTTATGGGATGGTGGGATGGAAGGATGGAAAATGGGATGGAAAATGAGATGGAAAATGAATGGTAAGGTGTATATTCCAAATTGGCACAGAGAGACAGCATAAAATGCGAAAGCTCGACAGTGCTGTGGAGCGTCAGTACGGTAGTGCAGCAAGGCCGGAGCAAGGACAAGGACAAGGACAAGGAAATAGAACCATACGAACCGGAGAAGAAGTTCAAACTGAGAACATATCAATATCCTGCGAAAGAAGAGATAAGATACAAAAAGAGGTATCCGAGTGATCCGTGTGAAATGGAAATTCAAGTACGGAGGTATGCATAACTGAAATCCAAGCCAGACCAAGCATACACGGAAATGGATACAGTTAAAATGGGAAAAAGTACCCAAGAAAGAGCAATGCAGTTAGGTAGTTAGATTAAATTGATGAGATAAAGAAGAAGAAGTAAACCAAGTGAGATGATAGACCAAATGAGGTAAATAGACTAAGGGAGATAATGGACCAAAGAATGTAAACCAAATGATGATATGAAAAATAGTAAAATAGGCAATAATCCAATCGAAAGAGTAGAACGAGGACAAAGGAAATTTTTGGCTGAAGCGCTGCATGGAGAGAAATGCATTTATGATATCTTCTTGAATCAATTCGTGGAAGGGTAAAGAAACGAATAATGAGTAAAAGGAGAAGAAAGCGAGAGAACGATCATTACAATCGCTTATGCATGACTTTTTTGCGAGTATCGTAATATCATGAATTCCTTGGTATTTCCTTCAAACATTTGCGTCATTTCTATTAATTGACACGTTAATACAGATGGAATGCCGTCATAGTCACATATTTCTAGACGGTGCCCGTGGGTTGAGAGGCGAGGAGCGAATGATTCCATTTGACGCGTTGAACGTAGCGACATCTAAGCAGTGAAGAATTAGCATCTCGTCCGTGTTGATCATCCTCTCTCCCACCGTCCAAACCAGCAGGGTGCGTGCCCAATGAAAAGGAGTATTGGGATCCTGTCAGGTAAGGAAGGTTTGGAGTTTAGCAGTAAAATGGACAAAGTAAAAAAAAAACAACAGGACCGGAAAACTAAAAGAATAGAGGGGTGTATAATGAAAGACGGAAACACGTACTGAAGAGTCTTCGCCGTTTGATAGAGAAAGGCGGCGCAGAAGAGATTTGGATAGCTGATGCAGGATATGAACCAGGGGTAAAATGCTTGGCATGATCTGTGGAGTGATTGTTAATATTGCGAATTCTTCCGATGGTCATTCGATATACTCACTCTCGCTCCCACCTCGCCAGCGCTGCGCAGTAAGCTTCGGATTCTGGTATTGATTTCCGCGTCCAGCCAACTCATCGGCCACAATAGGATCATCGCTCTCGTCGGATTCATTATCGGATATAATCACAACCTGGGGAGGACTCGAGGAAGAGGAATCGACTAGAATATCCTCCGTGACCGGGGCAGCAATGTTCTGAGGACTTGGGTCTTCCTGGACGCTCTTCTCGCTCACTTCGACGACAACTCCACTGTCAGGTTCCTCCGAGCCTGGTTGATCATCCATCCCAGCTAGCCACGCCTCTCTGAGAGCCAGACCGAATGCCAAAGCCACCGGCCGAGCTACGCTGTTCCCCACAATCTTCCACTGGTCAGCGGGCGAACCGACTAGCACTTCATGATCTGGAAATCCCTGTGCCCGGCGTGCTTCCATGATCGTCATGGTTCGGTGCTGGTCCCAGTGGACCCATCTTCCCATAAACTTACATCTCGGCGTAATCGTTGTAGTCACTGTGGGAATTAATCCTGCCGGAAAAATACGCGTATAAGCCCTGGAAATTACTCCTCCAGGCTTAGAATTTTTGTTCCGCCTGATCTTTCTTTTTCTGTCCGTGTCTGTAGAATCAACCAGTGAATCATCATCGTAATAATCACGGCTTTGGCGAGTAGCCATGTCTTCCAGAACCCTGCTGATACGTCCCGCTTGTATAGCGAGAGCTCTGCCCTGACCTCGAGGAGCCCTTGGAATCTGTGACATTAATGCTCTCATCTCTAAATTCTCTATTCGCGAATGTCGATGATCCGGGAATGGAATGCAAGTCTGTACATGTCCATCGCCAATATCGGGAAGATCGCTGGTAGCTTCTGCTATTGAAAGGAACTCGAACGGGGTCAAACAAAACCGTCGCGCGCCAAAGTCCAAGTTATTCACTGCCATGCCGATGCTTCTATCTCTAATAGTGGCCGGGTGTGAATGTGAAAGAGACGGATGAGGAGGCAGTGGTAATCCAGGGGCCGTGATGGACACGAAAAGACGGGATCTGCTCTGCGGACTGCCGTAGCTCCAAGCGTCAATGGGATAATATTGCACTTGGTAGCCAAGGCCGACAAACGTGCACAACAATTGCGAGAAAATGTTTCCATCCACGCCGGTGGCTTTTGCTTGCTTCGACGGCCCTTTTCTTGCCATGCCCAAGACATTTTCAAGTACGGCGTACTTGGGCCGATAGTAATCCACAAAGGCTGCGACAGATGCCACGAGAGAACAATTTTGGAGGGCTTCTATTTTATCCCTTTGAAGGTTTGCGTTGGAGAATCCTTGGCACGGACTTCCCGCAGAAATGAAGTCAACGTCGCCTGGTAGTGGAATATCCTCGGCATTTAACCCCTGGATGCTTCGCATGAGAAAATCGTTGACGGAACCATAGAAGAGATGGGTTACATCCAGGTCCTCCAGATTGGCGCGGTATGTGTATATGGCCTTTTCAGAATAGTCCACCGCCCATTTCACTTTCATTGCTCCCCCTTCCTCGAGGCCCCGGCCAAAGTTTCCACCGCCGCAGAAGAGGTCGAGACCACGGAGCTGGGGTTGCTGAGCCGAAACTTTCGGGTCGAATCCTTCAATGACCGTTCCTGGCATTTCCTGTAACGGAACGAGCTTCTGTTGCCCATGGTCTTCCAACAGTATTGTAGAAATGAAGAAAGCGTCGCCTGTTCCATTTCTACCATAGGGACAAGGAATCATACCCATTTGACGATCCTCTTCTGAGTAGAATCGAATATGACATTTTCGGTCGATGCATTGTGCTGGGACCATCAGAAAGTTTTCACTGTAAACTAACTCATTTGGAGGAGCAGCTGCGCCACTGCCAATATTATTTCTTCTCAGAAGCTGCCTACACAAGACAAGCTCTTTTGCATTTTCCTGCGTGAATTTTTCAATGACCACTGGCTCCAATGTCTCTGTTCCACGAGAGTTCACCTGCTCTACAAGCACTGTATCACCAACCTTGAAACGCTCCATGAGATTCTCTAAATCAGACTTGAATCCGATCTTGGAGCGGTGGGTGCATGAAAAGTCGGATTTCTTTAGCGTTACAAAGAAGGCGTCGGCGTGGCAATACTTTTGTCGTACGGCGAATCCAGCATTAGAAGTCAGCGGATTTTGAAAGAAATCAACTGAAACTATACAGGCAACGTCCTCAACCCAGATCTTTGCGTCACCGCAATTGCAATGATCGGACATGAAGAGCTCATTTCCGAAAGGATAGTTCATTGCTGCGCATGGGGTCTCCGAAGGCGTGTAGAGCCAGATGCCAATGATGTATTCCCTTCCAGCTTTGGTTGTCTCGATGCCTTGGACATAGACGAACCAAATTTCATTCTTGTCTTTCCATTGTGTTTCGGCATCTCTGGAAATTCCAATCACATCCCCCGCCCGAATGCGCTTTGGTATCCGAAAGGACCCGGATTTCCAAAGTTGCTCTATCGAACTGAAAGGGCGCGTAGTCGGACCTTGCGACGTTTCCTGTTTACCTGGAATTTCAACAGGTTTTAGGAGCCTCCCCCATTCAACGTTTTTGAAGCATTCAAACACAAAAGGCGTGACGATTGTGCGACGTTCCCTGCAAGGCTGTGCCGGAATGATGTATAAATCACGATAATTAACCTCTCCCCAGATAGTATGCTTGGCATAGGCAGGGTCTATCTGATAGGACTCTGCCCATAGGAAATCCGGATATCCAGCTACAACAGAACAAAAATCGGTTCGAGGGAACTGTTGCCTCCACTTTTGAAAGATTTCATCACGTCCATGCAATAATTCTATCCAGTTGGAAAAATGTTTGCGAAACTCATGCAAACAAACATTTTCGTAAGTGTGGAGATAATCGACAAAATACTTGGCGAAATTTGCCATCCAGATGAAAGCTTCCTGATATCGTGCATACTCCGGTGCAGGGTCGAGCAACCTATACCACCGGTCACTCTTGTGGTTGTGGAGCGATTGGATCCAGATCTCTCCATCAACAGAGTGCAAATCTTTGTCAAGGTAGTTGCCTATGGACAATTTATCGAATGGAGCTCTCTGGACGTAGAACTTTCTGCTACCATTGCTGAGTATGCCATCAAAGTAGTATACGCTGTCTTTCTTTCTTGACGCAATACTATGAAGCGGAACAAATTCGCGTTTATGCCTTACAGTGTTGCACGAGTAAATGCTAAATCCATGGAGATCGAAAGAAGTGAAATCGTCTCCGGGTACCGCATCCGTAGTTTGGCCAGCAATCTCTGGGGCAGTATCGTCCTATAAATCCTGTCAGAAAGCTTCGATAGGAAGAGACCGAAAGACTGAGAGACCTCGAACTGGCGCATGACTTGTCGCTCAGAAATCACCGGTAAAGGCGGTATCCAGCCAGTGTACAATGACTTGGGATGCGTCAAATTCGAGATTCGCAGGTCTTTTAAGCATTGTCGTTTCTGCGGATGCGCCGACAACTCTGCGATCTCGATTGCTCTGCGGTCCAGAAGCTCATCTTCGTAGTCTGCTAAGATCTCAACGTTGATGTCAGGCTCTAGCAGAATAATTGCATTTAGTCTTGATTTGTTCATTTCTTAATGAATAAATGAATCGTCGCGGGATTTGAGTCGTTTTAATTTTGGACTTACCCAAGACCCCCATTATGTATATCCAGAGACTCAATAATTTAGCATCCCATGCAGGCGGCCGAGCAGCTTCTTTTGGGGTCTTGTGTTATATCCCCAAGGTTCGCCCGTCCTGACACAAATGAAATTAACTATTTACTGCGACTGCGACAGTACTCGTCCCTATTTTCATATCCAACAAGTCCCGCAAAGAGCAGTATTTAATATGAAGTCCCCAAATCACGTCCCTGCACGCACAGTAGGGCCTGGCGGTTCACGCGAATGTGGCGCTGTCGAACGCGTCGGCAGAAACGAAGGCGGTGAGCAAAGCCAGGAGGCGGAGAGCGACAAAGAGCCAGCAAGAGCGAAGGATAACTGATACAGAGATGGGATCTTGGGACGATACACCGCTTTTTAAAGGTCGGAGAGTGTGCTGACTTGACACTTTGTGTATTGTTGCCATCCTAGCGGATCTGACAATAATCCCTTCATTTCGCAACCGCATGTTATTGTCCTTGTCAATGGATAATGTACTATTGAGAAAATCAGGCGCAAGAGCGCTACTGAAGCTAAGGATTGTATTGAGAGGCTTCCCCTCAATGGACTGACTCCGCTCAGAAAGTCCATTTTACTGTCAGTAATCGACTCGAGCCGCGGTTCGCGTTGTCGTGCATATGCTCGCTTTGGATGCCCAGAGGTTATCGTGTGGCAGCGGTTGACCACCATAAAATAGCGAAGCAACATATCAGCCCAAAGTGGAAGGATTTCGCTATACCATTGCACCAATGACAGCATCATATATCACGGTGCACAGCTAACAAGGCATAACCAAATTTGAAGTCACAGTCATCCAATGCGGCACACTTGATGAGATCAGATGCAAGAAACACGAAATGTTTTTTCAGATGATCCGTCAATGCTAGATACGCCTATATAATAACCTTAAAATGAAATGCGAGCCGCGCAGTATCTACTTGCATGTTTAATGCTCAGCACCAAACGCTGCAAGTGACCTTTGGCATTCAGCCAAAATGGCGGCTTGTCTACCAACTTCTCCAAGCCGACCAATGACTTGCTTGTTTCCGTCAGTAAAACCATAAAGAGCATAAGGAATTCCCACTTCTTCGCAAAACTCCACCACCAATTTCTGGGTCTGGCGTAAATTGTGGCGCGGGATCCGGGGAAACAAATGGTGGATGGCTTGGAATTGCAGACCACCGTGAAAGAAATCGAGCCACTCCGGGCAGTCAACGTCCATTGTGGTTCGCAGCATTTTCTGGGGAAAGGATTCCCGCTCGCCCAGGTCAGCGGTGCTCATGGCAAAGTGGCTGAGCGTGATTTGCACATGCACAGGCATGGTTACCATATGGCTGATCATGAGAAAGACGAAACGATTCCAGCCGTCAGGAATGCTCTTATAGAGCATTCCGTAGCCGAACCAAGTCCAAAAGAAGACCTGTCCCGCAATTTCGAGCCAACGGTGCCATCTTGCAATACCCTTGCGAGGTCCAAGGCCGCGAAGGAGATACTCCCAGCTGAGAGCATAAAGATTGAAACGCCCAAATGTCAGAATAGGATAGTAGAGAAAGTCTTGATACCGAATAAAGAATTTTGCAAAAGCGTCATATGTCATCGTGCGTTCGTAAAAGGTGCTGCGTAAGCTATTAAAAAATCGATGAGAAATAGCGAAAAATGGTAGATGCTCAATATCGGGATCGTGCTCAGGCGAATTGGTGACAATGTGGTGAACATTGTGGTTTCGCTTCCACCATCCTATACTCAGGCCACCAAGAAAGTCTGCAATGATGATACCGAGTACCGAATCAATTTGGAAATCGTGGGTGATACCCATGTGGCCGGCATCATGGGCCGAGAACACGAGCTGATGCCAGAACATGCCAAGGAACATGGCGCTTGTGGCATACCAACCCCATCGAAGGAAAAGAAGACAGAGTCCGAAAAGGAGCGAATAACGGCTGAGTTCGATGAAATATGAGGAGTATCTGCACTGGTATAATCCTTCCTTTTTTATTCTCTCATTTAAGAGACGATACTTGTGAATAATCTCGTCTTGAACAGCCGGATCCAAAGGAGGATACTTTGACAAATCCAATTCAATCTGCTCTTGGGTCCGCATGTCGAGATGGGACATTTTTGGTCCCGGCTTTGGGCTTTCTTCTTCGAGCGACGACCAGGATGAGACGGAAGGGTCCCGATGGGATGTTTTCGAGCTTTGTCTGTGTCGTAATCTTGTATTATTTTGGTCTGCGGGTTCGAAAAGAGGCGAAGATGGGATTGAGCTGTCGCGACTAGATGAAGTCTGCTCATTGTCGCACTCCTGCTCTGGCTCCGGTTCCTCTTCAGCACCCTCGACGTATTTTCTGAATTTACCACCCTGAATTGGGGGAACAAAATTCTCCCAACGGCCTTCAATCCTCCCAATCTGATAGGCGTTCATTTGTCGACGAGCTTCGGGAGAGTGCAGGCTAAGTTGACATTTAGTATGACGAAGGTTTATGGCAGCCTTGATCTCATTACTCACGCATTCACTTCATCCGTGGCATCGCGGCCGATCATATGCCTGATGGCAATGTCGCCGCCAGGATGATAGGGAAGCCAGGCATCGCACTTAAGGACTTTCTGATCGACGATAATAATGGTGCGGCCCTCTGCAATCAGGCTTTCGATTTGACGTCGACTAAGAACGGCATTCCTGCCCGTCCCTGAAACTGCGGCTTTGTCCATATTCTCAGGCCAACTCTCTAGAGAGTTTAAGCAATTGAAACGGTGAGGCCTAGACAAGATGAGGTCGTCTCTTTCCTTCAACCATCGACATTCAAAAAAGTGGATCTAGGGGTATGTGGCGAGGAGCAGGGAGGTCAATGAAGGGCTGCCTGGTGCCTGGCTGGTGGTTCGATTGCAGCTGATCGGAACCTATCCATCAACCGACGCGCGAGGGGTGTTGCGTGGATTTCTCGGTATTCAAACCCGCCCAATCCAAGTATAAAGTATATCTACGGCTCTTATCTTGCAGCGTGGCGGGCATAGAGAGTAACTGGACATCAATCATAGATCATCTCGGTACCGCTACTTGACCCTTCACCCTCACGCAAGGAAGTGGTGTTTTGACCACGACAACCGCATGAGACTGACGGGATATCATTCTTGCTGCCATTGAATATGTATCCGAGCTGTTGAACCTTTTATCACTGATATTGATATAATTATTGCATAATTCTAGCTATACAATGAATAGAGGTTCCATTTCCTAGGTATTCTTCATCGCCATGCCTGTTCCTGAAGAGATAAAGCTGTTCTCTACGGAGGAACCAATCAAAGCTCCAGGTTGAGAAATCCGCCACGAACGTACCTTAATGATGATTGGTAGTTAATTATAGCCAATGAGATAGCGTTGATTTTTGAAGATGATCAGATTAGATTTCAATCAACCGTCTGCTCAACCCACCATAGACACCCCACATGTCACAGACATAGAAACGACTGCACTTTGTTTAATAGCTTTTGAATACCCATCTTAGACTTTGATTTATTAGAGGATAAGCCCCAGATTACTCTTTTACGATTTAGTAGAAAATGGGGTCTATCCAAGAATTGGCAGAGGATTGGTTGCGTTTAGATCAAGTAAATTACCCCGCTGCCGTCAATGGCTGCCGTCAAGCACAGACTCTGCGTTCTCAAACTCACGTTCGCAGGACCCTATCACAAGAGACGAGATTCAAAGCTTGGTGGATTCTAAAAACACCCAAGAGCTAGAAAAACGTCTACGGAAAAGTAATTAATTCTTTGTCACCATATGCTACCTTCAAGTGCAAAATCGTTTTCGAACCACGTGATCTGACAATATCAAACAGGAATAGCATTTGGCACAGCTGGTTGGTGCTCTTCTTGAGCTCTCTCTGTAGACTCATCGTGAAGGGGGCTCCTAATAATGCTTTGCTAGGCTTACGTGCCCGCATGGAGGCGGGATTTTCCCGCCTGAATTCATTGACAATCATCCAGGCCTCTCAAGGCTTAGCAGCCTATTTACTTGAGAATGCTCCCCACGCAAGAGCCAAAGGAGTAGTGATAGGCTACGATGCTCGGCATCAATCTGAGAAGTTTGCACGACTGGCCGCAGCTGCCTTCGTTGCCAAAGGCATCAAGGTGTGGTGGTACAAGTTGACTGTCCATACGCCTCTGGTTCCATTCGGTGTAGGCCAGCTTGGAGCCGCGGCTGGAGTAATGGTCACCGCAAGTCATGTCAGTATCACCATTGGGAGCGAAATATTTTAGTAAACCCTTGCTGATTTAATCTTTGTCTTTCGCAGAATCCGTCCAAGGACAATGGTATGAGCCACTGAAGCATGATAACTGAGAATGTTTGCTTAAAATAACATTTTACATTTAGGCTACAAAGTGTAAGTGTTGACAGCATACAAAAATGAATACCAAGCGTCTCAGGACATGAGAAAGATATAGTACGGTGAAATTAACGAAGAGCAGGTACTGGTCAAATGGATGCCAGATCATTCCCCCGCACGACGTGGGAATCGCCCAATCAATTCTCAAAAACCTCGAGCCTGTATCATGGGACGCTGACACTGTCGACGAGAGCTTGCTCGTGGAGAGTATCCTTGGGCGTGTACGAGATGCTTATTACTCTGCCGTGACCCGGGTTGCCACCAACGAGCTTTTGGACACCAATGCACCACGCTTTGTATACACGCCCATGCATGGCGTTGGTCTTCCGTATATGCAAGCCGTCATGGAGCGCCTCGGACTTGACGGCAATATGATCGTTGTTCCAGAGCAGGTGAGCGTGACCTCATACATTTCTTCCAAAGAAGCTAATACACTTTCCAATTGAAGCTAACGCTGTAATGGTCAGGCCGAACCGGACCCCGATTTCCCCACGGTGAAATTCCCCAATCCCGAAGAAAAAGGAGCCCTCGATCTGGCCATGGCAACCGCCGACCGTCATGGCATCAGTCTGGTTCTGGCCAGCGACCCAGATGCTGACCGTCTGGCCGTCGCCGAAAAAGTCGAGTAGGTTCCATCGTCTCTTTCTGTCTCCACCTTGATCGAATCCATCATCCCCCGCTGGACAAAGCACTAATTCTATTCGTCTACATAGCGACAAATGGCACGTTTTCACCGGCAACGAACTCGGCGTCCTGTTTGCCGCACATGTCCTGGAGAGCCTCGACCCGGACTACGACCGCTCCAAACTGGCCATGCTTTCATCCGCTGTCTCGAGTTCCATGCTCAGCGTCATGGCCGCATCTGAGGGATTCCACCACACCGAGACCCTTACAGGATTCAAATGGCTCGGCAACGGAGCCTTGGATCTCGAAGAGCGCGGATACGATGCCGTATACGCGTACGAAGAAGCCATCGGGTACATGTTTTCCAGCGTTGTTCATGACAAGGACGCACTGAGTGCTGCCGCCGTCTTCTTATCTGCCACTGCTACTTGGACGGCTATCAACTTGACTCCCTTTCAGAAACTGCAGCAGCTGTATAAGCGCTATGGCTATTTCGCATCTGCAAATACCTATTTGATTGCCAACCCAGATGACCCTGGCTTGACCAATGCTTTGTTTGATCGGATCAGGGCGTTGGGAGGAGAGTCAGCTAAGACTACCGCTACCGCCGAAGCCGCAGTCGTCCCAGATCACACGATCACAGATTCATACACGTACCCCAAGGCCATAAAGAGCGGTACTATTAAAGTTACAAGTTGGAGAGACTTGACTGTGGGATACGATTCCAGCAGACCAAATTATTTACCTATCCTGCCCGTCTCCAAGGACAGTCAGATGATTACGTGCGAACTGGACGTGCCCGAGACGGACGGAGTCAAAGTCACAGTCAGAGGCTCAGGCACTGAGCCAAAGATTAAATGTAAGCCTGCACCTGTTGAACGCCGCTGGTCTCTGGTGCCCGCGCCGAGGGGAGGGACGGTTCCTTTTTTTTTTTTTTTTTTTCCCGGGGTGGGGGAGGGGTGGGGGAACGGTTTCTGTCTTTCTGGCGAAAAGGATGGTATCAAAGATCAGCAAATGAAATTTTGAACGCTAACTAGTAATACAACAGTCTATGTCGAATCCCGCGCATCTACTGCTGCCACTGCCCAAGCCAGCGCCGACGCCGTCGCGGCGGACATTATTAACGAATGGTTCGAGCCTGAAAAGAATGGGCTCACGAGGGCATAACCTTCCATTCATTCCATCTTTTTTTTTATTTCCGTGAATCGTCCTCAAGCATTAATCTACTTGTCTCGTCTTTTGTCTCTGTTATCTGGTACCATCATTGCAACGTATCTCGTCTTTCTCTCCATGTTCGCTGGTCATCATGTCTAGTATAGCATCTCCATGTTCACTCGTCATCTCCAGTATAGCATCTTCATCTTCATTTCCGCCTTCATTTTCATCTTCATCTTTACCTTCGCCTTCACCTTCATCGTCATAGTCATCGTCATTTCTCTTCATCCTAATCTCAATCCATCTTACTCTCAATCCATGCTTACACTCTCAGTTCAATCACGGCATTTTTGCAGGGACGGGGGCATTCCTTTTGTAGACTATCCTGATTTTATATATAGTTCACATTCACTTTTCACAACGAGCCAGAAAGAATTCATTGTTATATCCATACCATAGCATATCATATCATACATGCCCGACGGTTGTACGTTTTACAGCTTTAGACCACTCCTACAAACTATCGAGGAAAAAAAAGGAACAGAAAGATGGAAAAAGTGAAAGAGAAGATAGATTCGACCCAAGCCATGATGCTAGTAGTAAGCTAAATTTTAGTTAAAAAAAAAGATATATAAAGACAAATCGGAAAAGAAATGAAGATATAAAGGGGAAAAAAGGAAAAAAGGGGGGAGAAAAGAAAAAGAAAAAAGAAAGAGAATAGAATGGCAATGAAATAAAACATAAAATGCATAAAATGCATAAGAAAATAAATAAAAAAAAAACCCATTGTAGATCCTGCGAACCTGTTCCATGCAACCGTAACCACCCCTGCACCGCGCACCTGTTCCCGGCTCCGACTCGCCCTCTTCTTTTACCCCTTTTTGCATCATCCATGCCTTTCTTTCTTCCCAAGAGAAACCAACACGCTTTGTACCGTTGTGGCAATCCGCTGATATGCTAACACGCGGCTCGGCTCATACGCTGGCCATCAAAGAAGCTAGCTAAAGTCTTGAGCTTGAGCTGAAAAGAAAATTTCCTTGCTGGAAACGGCTGTGAGAAATGAGAAGAAGAAGAGGAAGAAGCAGACAAGAGCCAAGGGCAAAAATGAAGAAAGGAAACAAAGCAAATAAAAGCAAAGAATAAGAAGAAAATGAAATGTGCATTTGCATCAAAAAAAGATTTCTCTTATACGCTCAAAATTTTCGCTCAATCCATTTACGCCGTGTTAATGTCTATGTTGAACTTCCATGATCCTAGAGCGGAAAGACTTGTCAGCGAGACCCCAAACACGAGAATAGTAAAGGAAATTAAAAAACGGAAAAACAAAGGAAGAAAAAAGGGGGGGACTTTTGACTCACCATTTTTTAAATTTTCGGCTGTATCACTCAGTAGAATGATGCGCCGCTTGTTACAATACGATGTCTTGTCCATCATGTCGACCTTGAGTGCCGCGAGCTCAGAGGTGGGCTTTTCAAACATTTCACTAAGATTCTCGACAGCCATTTCTAGGTCCTTTTGGTTGTCCTCGAAAATCTCGGTAAGATTGTTGCGTGCGAGGTAGTACGCAAACGCATACGTCCATTTCAGTGTCTGACGACACTGTTGAAGAGCTTGAGAAGCTGTATCGAGGAATTGCACCTCGATCCACGACATGCCTGATGAGCTCTGCAAGTTGGTCATCTTCTTCTCGGTCTTGAGATAAATGTCCTTGTCGAGCTTTGCCGACTGCTCGTGGTTGGCGTAGCGGTTGTAGTAGTGAAGGTACCGTTCAAGTGACTGGCGAGATTTCGCCTGCGCGTCTCGAGCATCGCTGCCAGACTTTTCCTCATACCGATTACAGTTATACCAGCTGGTACCATGCTCTGACCAAACCCCCATACAAATCCAACAAAACTCGTTCTTGCATTTGCGACTGCATGGATTTTGTTAGTAAAATAAGAAACGAAAGAAGGAAACAATCCAATCAGTAGACTCACCAGGTCATGTGGTTGCAGCCGCCATTTTTCTCAATGGTAGAATTGCATCTCGGACATTCCTTCGTATTGGCGGAGATCCAGTTCGCCGTTTCCGAGTCGTCCTCGCACTTCTTCAACCACATCTTTACCAGCGCGCATGGCGTCGGCAGATGGTCGTTAAGCGTACATCCAAAGCAAAAGTAATGGCCGCAGTCGCAGCGGACAGTCGGAACGATCCGATTGAGGTCGCGCTTCTTAACACCACATTCTACAGCGTATATGCAATTTGGCGCAGGACACCACTTCAGGTTGTCCTTATCGTCCACATATGTCCTTGTCAAAAGCTCATGATATCTTTTCGAAAAGTCAGTAACCCCAAACGCACGTTGTAATCTAGATTCGCCGAAGTGACATACCTGTCCTTGAGATCATCTTCTACAAGCAGCTCAAGCGTCTTTGAATCGACAATTCGACTACACCCATCTCCAGGGCATTGTATCCTAGCCGCTTCACCTTCCTCGCGTATCTTCTGAGATAGGTAATGCCGATAGCATTCAGCACAATACCGATGACCGCACTTCATAGCATAGGTTTCTAGACCAGGTTCATCTTCGCAGCAGATATCGCAGACGAACCCATCTACTACCATGGTCTTGGCCGGTACGGCCCCGGCCAATCCTAGCCCTGCCTTTTCTAGCACATCTTCAGGATGGTCCATATAGCCTTCGATTAAGCGCTCTTTGTTCCATCTTGCATGTCGCAGCAGGATTGCTGTTGACTCTGGTGGTTGTCCTAGAATGGCCCCTACCTCATCAATCTGTTTGTCTTGATATTTTTGAATATCCCGAGGGCCAAACACATCGAAATCCACTTCATAAGGCTTTTTAGGCGCAGAAGTTATATCCTTGTCGTGTAAACCAAAATCGAGTGCCGGCTCGTCATCTTCAAACTCTATATGCAAAACCTCAACATTAGAATCCGCTTCGCAAAATTCGCTTTGAAACATAGTAGAGATAAATCAAAAAATCGTCCCACATACCTTCTCCGAAGCTCACCGAGTCACTCTCGTTGCCATCCTCGAAACCTCCCTCGCTCGACATCCCGCTCATAAACTCGTCCTCCGAGTCCGCGCTCATGCTTGTAGAAGTTTGCGGTGTTGTAGGCAGGACAGCAGTCGCGACCTTCTTGATGGGCTTATGTTCAGCCGAGAACTCGCCCGCAGAGACCTCGTTGTAGCTCCTCTTCCTAGTTGTGGGAGACGTGGTGGGCAAAATGCGGCCTGGTGCTTGACCCCGCAATGTACGAGAGTCGAGCAGCAGGACCGGGCCAAGGAAAGGTATGGAAAAAGATGATGGTCAGGCACCTAAATGTAGGTCGAGGATGATTCGTCAGTGACTTGAATTATCATGAGCCTCAAACAGGCAAAATATTGCCTCGAAGCCGTGAATCACTTCGCGTCCGGGCTTCAGCTCGGAACTGCGGCGATCCCCGGGCCCAGCGCTTTGCTATATCTTACCTATGATTTCAAATAGGATCCTGAGGTATGCCGCGTGATGGACGGAGCCTTGGTGACAATCCCAATTGTTCCAAATTCGAAGCAGCAGATAAATGTCAGGCTTGCCACAGATGGAAAGAAGTTTCCAGCCCTCAGACAGCGCACTCTGTGAACCAACTACCGCGCCGAAGCTGATCCGTTCTTCCAATATCCTAGGGATGCAAGAGCAAAATCTATGGGCTGTCCTTTAAGGATATAGAGCCGTCTTCACCCGCCTATGACAACCTGTAAGTCTAGTGGCGGAGAGGATAAACGTTCGAGGGCAAAGACGAACTCGATGTCGACGGGAGAAAGAAAGTCGACGAGGCAATAGGTCGAGCCTGCTGATCTCACAGGAGATTATATATGGAAATGCGAGGCGTTTCGAAGAGGTCGAGAAAAGCCCAAAGGGTGTTGAATCGCAAAACGGACCGGAGAGATCGCTCGGAACAAAGGAAACGGCGGAGGGCGACCGAAAGAAGTTATGGGGGCTGAAGAAGATTTCGTGTCGATTCTCTATTAAGTGTATGAGAAACCAAGCATGCATCGAGCGTTGCCTGTCTGGAGGCAAATAGTTTCACGAACGTTGTAGAGAGCCTCTCAAGCTACAAACCAGTGACTTCTCCCCGCTCTCGGAGATCAAGCAGAGGTTGGAAATGGGGGGTTATTTGATTTACCCGAGGAAATAAGATATGTAGTCAAAACGTTGAAAAGGCTGCAAACTCTACTCGCTATTTTCAAGGAAAGGAGGATGTTGCCTAGGGAGAGCGCGAAATAGCGCGGTGGTTGACTGGTCGTAGCGGAGAGGCCGTGGGATGTGGTCATTCGGATAACATTCACCGATTGGGGAACTTCGCTCGCGGATGACGATGGTTGCCTGACTAAGCGGGATCGCCGAATGTGGCAAGTTTTGGATGAGAACGGGTATCGATAAGTCGATAAGGATTCGATAGAGACGGTCACATATTGCAGAGATCAGAGTGAATTTATATCAAAAGCACACTCTAAGTGACGAAAAGTCACACGTACAATCATCAGTATTAAGCATTATGCAGCTCAGTTGTGAGACGCGATATTGATATGCGCGAAATCATTGTTGAGCCTCTCTATAAACTTTTTGAAATATATATACCAAAAACGACGAACAAGTCTATTCATCATCTTCCTCAGAGTCTTCCTCCTCGCTACTATCCTCCTCGGCATTGGCCAACCACTCAACAAACTGTTCCGTCTGGCTCCGAATCTTGCGCATCTCGGGGTCGGCACTTGAACGCTCGTCATTCCACCACTGATCAAAGGACTCCTCCTCAATCACCTCAAGATCATACAGTTCTTTTGCAGTGAAGAGAAGGATGCTATCACCCTTGGATTTTCCAATCAGGTCGCGCTGCATAAGTAGGAGGAAATCTACCTGATCCACCTTTTCTTCTTGGTTGCGGTCAAAGATGGTCCGCGTGATCAGATCTTTGTGATCTTTGAAGACTCGTGGCACGGCCTGGCTGACATTGGCCGATCCACTTTCCACCAGGTTGTGAATATGCTTGGTGAATGCGGCTGCCATGGCTCGTCGCATTTGGTGGTCAGACGCGTTGTTACTCATCCGTAGGCCCATCATCTCAAGCTGGATGACATCGGAGGTGTCACCTCGTTGAAGGGAGTCGTAGATGCTAGACGCGGCGTCGTGGTGGAATTCGTCTTCATTGGCGTCTTCTGACGTCGTAGTAGCAAAACTGCTGGCAGCGGACCGCATGCGCTGCGGAGGTTCTTCTGATATCTCCGAGGTCATCGTAGAAATGGATGAATCGGAAACAGCAAGGTTCGCCATGTTATAGACTTGGGCTTGTTAGCAATTCATTTCTATATTCAGGGCCTTTGGATTAATATTGAACTTACTCAGACCTGAAGACATAGCTCTTTCGTCTTCGTCAATGTCTTCGTCATCCGATTCTTCATAGTCGTAGCCTTCGCCACCGGGACCAACAATTTCTGGCTCGCTGGGAACAGAGACAAGAGCGTCGTCTGCGTCACGCTTCCGCTTGCACCTGGTAATGCGACTGATTCCAGAAACCTTGATGCCATCTGCAATGCGGACTCCATAAGAGATGAGGGCACCAGGCTCAACGCGACAATTCTTGCCAACGACAGCCTCGTTGGCAATGACTGCGTGTCGAACAACAGTACCGTCTCCGACAACAGCATCATCCCAAATGTGCGAACCCTCGATGATAACGTTCTTGCCTATCTGGCACCTGCGCCCAATGATGCTCTTTCCTACCTCACTACCATCCCCGATGCTTGAACCCTGGCCAAGAATAGTACTCCGCTTCACCACACTAGAGCGAGCTAGCACAACACCATCCTCCTTGTAGATGTTGCCTCTCTGCAGACGATACGATTGACCTCGCAGGAGGTTGCTATCTGGACAGAGCGGATAGGCCCAGCGGGAAACGATATCTTTACTGACAGCATCGTATGCATGAAGATCCTGCACTCTTGCAGCATAATGATCGTCGATAATATGCGTATGGATGGTCTTTCCGTTGAGCTCGTAGTCTTTGAGAACACCATGCAGGAAATGTTTCCGAGGCGATTCGTAGTCGAAGCTGTCTGTCCATAGAGCAAGCACATCAGGCGTACAGATGTCAATGTGGCAGTCAATCAGATCTTGGCGGACCTCAAGTTCGGAGTGGCCTGACATCAATTCTGGTTCGATGTGAAGATAGCGGTCTTCCTGGCCTCTGCGCATTTCCTCGTAGTGGAGACAACGATCCTTAGTGGGATCGACGACGAACACGGGGGTAACACCCTGAGCTTTTGTTCGGTGAGCGCCACCAGCTTCTCTGAGGATCATGGTCATGATGGCATTCTTGTCGGCTGCACGCCGCGCTCTGTGCTTAGCGATAGCCTCCTCCAAGGGAAGGTTGCTAACAACATCACCGCTGACAATGAGGAAATCTCCTGTGATGATATCACGATGGTCAAGGTCACGCATGGCATCGCCGACAGAGTGAGAAGTGGATCGAATAATGTCGAGACGGGTGAATGGCGAGGATGAGTGAGTCCATTTGGAGTTTCTAAGACTGTCAGTCAAAGTTGCTGGCACAATAAGTACTGTCCTTTCCGTACCTGATGTATTCCTCGACCTGGTCAGTGTGGGCACCGCAGTAGACAAAGATATCTGCAACACCAGCATTTGCTAGGAACTCAAACGTGTACTCGATGAGGGGAATGTTCGCAAGCGGAAGAAGACACTAGTTGCACAATGTCAGCAAAATGCAATTGCATCAACTTCTGTCGGTTGCAAACGTACTCTTGGTCTTTCGAGCGTGAAAGGTGTGAAACGGGTCTCGAAAGAGTCGGCGAGAACCTATTCACATTCAACTCATCAGCCAAAGCCTTAAAAAAGCAAACTGTCCTTTGTAACAAGGCCTCGCCACAAGTTCTTCATAGCAAAATACTCATGCGCTTCGCGCCATGCAGCAGCAGCAGTCACCATAAGGAAAATAGCGATGCAAGAATTCTCAGACTCCGCGCAGCGCTGCAGCCAATAGCTCTCTGATTGGATTCTTTAGTTGATTCGCTCGATCTTAGTCTCGGAGCACAACTTCTCATTTTCGTGTCCCCCAATATCTATAGCGCTGGCGTGAAATATGTCTCTGTCACTCCACTACGAGGAAGGAACCGGAGCAGTTCATTCCCCTCACACGGCACCCGTCGCCTCAGTTTCCGATTTCAGGATGCCGTTCGCTTCCATTTATTCAAGCCCAAAGGTCGGAGATACGGCTGCACTGACGGTTGTTATTGTCCCCGTCACGCGCTTCCGTACGTATTATGCAGATGTTGCCTTTTTACTTTTCCTTTGAGCGCTGCAGTTCTTTGGCTTGCTGCTTTCCTTCATAAAGTGCAAAGCTTGTGCTGCCATGTTGAGGCATATCCTCAAGGTCCAAGAACTTGGGTGGCTGGTTCTGCGCCAATACCTTGAGAAAAGCGAAAGTGACAAGGCGCCGATACTGCTCTGTGCTGCTGCTGCTGCTGCTGCTGCTGCTGCTGCTGCTGCTGCGCTTCCGGGGGAGAACCGCTCAGATCATCAAAAAGATTCCATAACATACCACTGCCTGTAGCGTCTCCTCAACCTCTTCTCCGGGCGCGGGGCCCTTTTTTTGCTGCTGCTGGTGCTTCTTCGGGCCCATTGTTTCCTCTACAAGCCTTTGTCCTCCTCCAGGAGTTCTCGCCTTCGTGTTGTTGTGCTTCGGCTTCGTAGGTAGATTCCTTGTTTTGCTGGATTCCCGCCGGATCCCACTTGCAATTGACGAGCTGGCGGCTAGAGACGCGGCGGAAGTTTCGTAACGCAACTATTGACCTTTGACAGTGCTGTTCGATGCGTCAAATGCGCTTGGCGTTGCGGCCGAGAGTAGTCCGAGCCCGATGTCCTGCGAACTAGATACAGCACTGCAGCGAATTGACTAGACAAAACGCTATGGCACAGCCAGAAAATAAAGATGTCCCTGGTTTCGGGTTTGCGCCTTGGGGTAGTTCGCGGCGCTATGCAGTGCTTGTAAAAAGGACCTATGTATGGCTCAACCGCGGGGCTCCGATGGAATTGCTGGTGGGGGGACGTTTAGGTAGGTAAGGTATGTGTCACTGACAAAACTCCAAGTAGCTTACCGTAAATTGATTTTCGCGTAGGCGGTGTGGGCAGGCAATTCGCCAAACTGGATCTCGGATGCAAAGACACAACGTGAACGATCGGTTGACCTAAAGGCAGCCAGAATATTCGAGTTGCACTGAAGACGGTTACGAGGTAAAAGTTGAAAATGAAATATACTTAGCTTTGCTAAAGACTATCTAGGTAATTACATTCCGAGGGTGGTTAATTTTGACTATCATATGATTTTATATTGCGCAACACGCACCACGCTGGGCGCGGTCGTCACTTCCCGCCGCCAAAATACCCTACCTCCCTATGGTAGGTAGGAATATTCTGCTGGACTGTACAGGGTAAAATAAAACCAGTGCACAAGGACTAACACTTCTGCGCCTGGGGAAGGAGATGAAAACATATGAACGACAAAAAGAATCAATATTTACATGAGAATTGTAATACAAAATCCAAAAGTGTTCGCCAAGAAGTAAAAATATTAAGGTCAGGTACAGACGTGAGCTGGCATAAGAAAGCGAATAGATCCAACATAGATCTGATGCCGCAGGAAATTTTATCTTGCAGGATGCCTCTTTAAGCACTTGCTAAATATACTCTAAATGCAACCATAAGCCGGACGCAAAATCTGGGCAGAGGTGCGGATCCTTGGACTGTGAACAGACAAACCCTTTGATATGATCTCATTCTGGTCTCGACCCCCTGAACTCTTGCGACGCGCAAGTCATATCAGGAGCCTGGTTTGGAAATCCACTGCTGGCGATTTTGGCCACCATTACGATGGGCGGCCTCTACCACGAGATTTGATATCCATCTGTCTTGGACGGTTCTCAGGGTCTAGATCCAACATCATGGATCGATCGACGGACGGAGTGTCGGCGAAATTGGCTGTCGGTATTTTCGAGCTCCGGGTTTTGACCAGGTCATGAGCTCAAGCTATAAACCACGTTCGCAGTTGCTAAGCTTTTGCTTTGTTTGTGCTTGTGAAAGGTGCTGAGACCCTTGCGTAGCATCCCTAAAACATTGTTTCGCGAATGTCTCACGAATCAAGGAGTGCAGTGTGCTCCCTAACCTCGGCACGGCAGCGAACCGATTGCAATCGATATGAGGACTCGGTTGGTTGCATAAAGGCACGTGTCGAAAACACACTTTCGTTTTGTTCCGCATTTTGCTGGTCTTTGGAGTTGCACGAGGATATCCAAAGTTTTGATTTGAATGGTATTGAATGAGGTATAGAAGTCGATAATGCCTAGAATTAAATGCTTGTCGTAAAATTATCAAAGTATAAACCGCTCACGGAAACGCCAATGGTGGAGATCGTTATATCTGAAAAAACTATTTTTTGAATTTTAGCTCATCCCGGGCCGCTCCGAGGCATGGTGTGCATTGCCGGATTCCCATGAGGAATAAACATTCGTTGCCGCTTTGGATCGTTTCCCATTTCATCACCACTTCCCAACTCGGATGCCTGCCGGCGGTGGCCTTGTTGCCTGGCCGCATTCATGGGCATTTGCGCTTGCGGGTATTGTAGGCCACCAGGATGCTGCACTGAACCATCCATACCATACGCGGTACGCATGGTCTGCATATACTCATCCGGTAGACTGTTTGCCGCCGTGGACACAGCTGAATATTGACTGGGAGATTGCCAACTACTAGTTGCAGGCGATTTTCCGGGAGAATCCTCGTCCTTGAGCGATTGTCTTGTTGATCCCTGCGAGATGGACTGAACACCTGCGCCAGGAGCCTGACCAAGGGCCTCGATTCCTTCGGGCACTTTCTTGAGATGACCAAGGTGCTTCTCAAGGACATGAAGCAGGCCATCCTTGGTGAAAGGCTTTGGAAGAACGTCATTCATCCCTGTCAAATTTGAATTAGATGTTTTGATTTCGACTAGGAGTTGAAGGGAATAATAAAGAACATACCGTGCTGGAAATACATGGAAATGTCATCACTGCGAATATTGGACGTCATGGCAATGATTGGAGTGCTGTCGAATTGACGAATCAGATGGCAGGCCGAGACTCCATCGAGATTGGGCATAATGATATCCATCAAGACAAGGTCATACTTGGACCCGGCGTTCATCTTATTGACAGCTTCAAGCCCGTCAAGCTAGAAATGCGTTAGTTACGAATTGCATGATGCAACAAGGATTGCTACACTTACAGCACTGTCAATGGCGCAACGGAATGAGTAGAGGAATTTGCTGCCAATGCGACGACAAGTAGGATCATCCTCGACCAAAAGAATCTGAGGAGGGCGGATCCAGCCGGGGTCCACCTGGGTGCTCTTCTTCCGGCCTTCAGCAAATTGTTTGCGGGGATCATTCATATCGGCGTCCTTTGGCATCGGGTAAGGGATGTTGTTGATATGTTCGCTGTACATGGGATCGATGCCGTTCGTCTGCCCAACCGGATATACAATGTCCCCAAGGTCGTTGTTAGCCTTTGAAAACGCCAGCGCCTGGGCGGATGAGGCTGGGTGGCTCGTGGGCGTAACCCCATTGCGTAGCGCATCTGGAGGCGGGGTGGTAAGGGTGCCATTGATACGCATCTGCATCTCATTCATTTGCTCCAAGTTTCGGATGTTCAGTAAAATGTCCGCATTTGTCTCGTTGAGCAGTTTCGATGCGTTTTGCAGGGGCGAAGCCGGCTCGTCATCAAATTGAAGTTGCTGTGCCGGTGTGTCCACCGGCCCATTTCCCGCCAATGCCCCGGGACCGGGGCCCTGCGCAAACGGGTTTCCACCTATGCGGCTATCGCGTCGTTGGCGGGCATCGACCGAGTGTAAAAAACTCATGACGTTCTGCATCACATGTTCATGATTGACGACCGTCTTTTGAATGCCAATGAGTTCTTGTAGCAACATGGAGTGGTGAATGCTAAGTTCGTTATAACGCTCCTGCAGCTGCTGCAGCTGCTGTTGAGTGGCGACCAACTGAGTGTTGACCAGGTCCATCTGCTGAGTAGCCAGGACTTCATCGCCGCCCTGGGCTTGCTTGCGGGGCGCCGGCGCTTTTCGACGAATGTTGTCGAGGGAATCTTTGTTGTTGGCCTTGAACTCCGGGTGCTTAAATTCCCATGCCTATTCTATCATTAGCGAACACAATTCTCGTGCCCTCTAAGCATTGGATAACAAGAAGGGGAGGGCAAAAGAAAAAAAGAAAACCTACTCCAGGGCCATACGGCGATTGACCATTTTCCTCATTATTTTGTCGAACTTTGTGGAAATCATACTTATTCAGCTGGCGCACAAAACTGGCAAAATTGCTGTGCTTGAAATGTTTTGGCAGGATAGTCTTTGTGAATTTCTCATTCTGCAGAGCGACCTCAAGTTAGCATGCTAGGTATTCCCATATCGCATTTCCCAGGGCTCACGGCAACCGCACCTCAAGAACAACAAAACTATCACCTTCGTTGCCCCATCGAACTACAGATTCGTAACTAGGGTCCTCCAACATCCTATAAAAATCATTATCAGCACCTATTCAATCGCAAATTTGCGCAATCGCTCTGGAGATTTGGATATGCGGAGGCTCACTTGTAAAGTTTGCGAACCTAATTAGCCAGTCATTAGCCAACCCATTCTCGACTCTCGCCCATTGTGCAAATTTGTCTCTTGAAGGCACTTACAAAGTCGCTGGAGTTGTTGGAGCCCCCGCTCCCTTGATTGTCTCCCATGATTGGAGGATGGACTCAGTCTTCTCCGAACTCAAACCAGGCAGTAAAGAGCGAGGGGTCGGATTCGAGATATGAAAGTTAATTGAGATGTGCCTATCGCGAGATATGGCGAGAGCTGGGCCCTATCGATGCAATACTAATATCTGCGGTTGATGAAAATTTCGTATATAGGCAAACACGGCGTCTCTATTTCGTCTTCTTTTATTGATCCCCGGGCCTTTTTGGGGGCGCTTGAGTGACGCGATGGGCTGGCGACCCAGTGGAAAGGAACAGTCCCGAGGAGATGATCTAATCTCTCGCCACGCCTGGGCGGAAAGCCACAATTCGGGAAAGCTCTCGGCTGTACAATAAGGTGAAGAAATATATTATAGCAAACGCAAAGTCGCTAAATGTCAAGGATAAGGAAGCAGTGGGTTGTGATGTTGGGAAGGAAAAAGTGTAATGAGAAAGAGAGTCGTGAGGGAGGAGAGATCGGGGACGAACAGGGCATGCCGAAGTTTCCAGTTGAGATTAGGTAGACTGGCAGGTTAGAAGGGGACTGACCCTCTTTTTGGGGGGGCCCAATGTGTGTGTGTGTGTGTGGGCGGATGAGGATGATTTAGTGAGTGTTAGGGGACGGAGGGAGCGTCGTCGGTGGGTAACGAGTCGACGTTGGTTCCGTCGAGGCAGATCAACGAGTCGGTGTCTTCTGTACACGACCCTTCGTTTTTTTTCCCCTTTGGCTCGTTTCTAAGGTTTGCTTGCACGACTGGCACGACGAAGCTTTCAAGAGGAGACATTTTGGTTAGTGACCGGGAGTGGATAAGGCGGACATTTTTTTGCAGGACTCGGTCGGGTTTAGATTCACCTGGGCTGCGGGCGTTCCGGGAGACCAAAAGGGAAAGAGACAGGGAAAAGGCTCAGGTTTAGCCTGCGTTGGCGTGGTGGAGAGGGTGTGGGCGAATGCATGGTGTCTGTATGGAGCAAATGGGGGGGGTGCGTGTGAGGTCAAGTCAAATCTCAAATGGGACTTTTGCTGTTGCGGCGTGGAAAGAGTGCGCAAGGAAGACGAAGCATAACCAGCAAAAGTGACCTAACGAACCTTTGTAGCGTTGAGATGGCGTGGAGACGACAGTTATCGGAGTAGACGGTGCGTCTTCTCGTCCCCAACTGACGGATCCCTCGAGGAGGAGCGAAGAGAGACGCTCCGGGATAAGAAATGAAATGGTTAGAAAAGGTATCCAGTACCTACAGAGCCACATGTCCAGAGAGCATCACCGCGTATCTCTACTGCCGATTCATTTAAGCCACGTCCCCCCCAAAACGGACAAAAGCCGCTGCAGGTGCTCCGCAGAGAACGCAACCCCCAGTCACGTCAAATCTCTGATAGTTACAAGTAATGCTGTTATCATCCCTTCTACTCGGGACAACCTCTCAACCTCTTGAGATGAAGCGAGTAGTCAACTGAACGATCGAGAGACATATTCTCTATTAAACATCGAGCCAACGGACCTCTAGACCTCGTTGGAACCCTTTCATTGTGCCCCTTTGTTTCTGAGACTGCCAGGCTGGCGTACTCAGGGCAAACCAAAGACCTAGGCCTTGTCGGACCGAACAATGTCTTTGACAATCATCATGGCTCTCGATCAACCCGCGAGATCTACGATCGTCGTCAGTTGAACTCGTAACCTACCTTTAGGTAGTCCGTAGGTACACAAGGAACGTCTTTTTAAAACTGTAGACTTGTACCCTACCAGCAGAGGGGAAAGCCGCACAAAAAAAGCACGGGACGCATGACGGGTTCCGTGGAAAAATTGAGCTTAAGCCCAGCCAACGGAGCGCTGTTGATCGCCGCCCCGTCATGTCAAGTAGACAGACACCCCAGGAAAAATAAAGGAAGCAGAATGGTCAAACACAAAGGCTGAAGCGAGCGTAGTTGTGATTTGCGGACATCATTGAGGCATCACGCCCAATTAAGCGCAGTGGCATTGCAACCCCCGGTCACAGCTCAACATAAAAGGCAGAACAGGAAAGAGATCGGCCGTCGATCTTGCCCCTAAGAGCAACGAACAAGACGCATCTCATCTTCAGGGGTGCCTTTCATCTTCCTAATTCTCTCGGTAATCAGCTGCCCATTGATCCCCAGCGCAAAGCAGTCTCTGCGTGCGGGTACAGTGCTCTGGTACTCCTGCGGTAGGTAGCCTCAGCGTTGGATCAACACTGAGTGGTAGAGTGGAGGACGCTGGCAGAAACTTAAAAACGAGTTTTACCGTTCAAGGGTCCCGGCGCTGGTACCGGGTTCGACGACGGCTCTTCTCCATAAAAGGACTGCTCCAAGACGTCCAAATTCTATACAGGGCGACAGCTCTACGTCATACAACGTAAACACCTATCCGTTAACTAATTACTTGGAAACTCAAGAACTTTGGGCTCTAAACCCCTGGCAGAAAGTATTAGATTTTCTCTCTGTGTTTGCCATGTTTTTGCCAGTGGCGATCGTTGAGAGCCAAACGATTATTTCCTATGATGACCAACCTCTGCACATCAAATCGTCAATCGCCTTCGCTCCTGGGTATGTTTTCCGAGCAGAGGCATATGCTAGTAGAGTTGTATGATTCTCTTTTTCCTCATTCAGAGTGGCACTTTGTAAGACTGTTGCTGTAACTAAGGTATGACGCTGCAAACTTGCGACCCCACAATATACCACATTGTCATTACAGAGCTCCGTCACATTCGAAATAACGAAATCTCGTCACTGACGTTAAATGCCCTGGCATTTGCAATGGATGCATTTCAGCGCCTATTCCCCTGCCCTCACAATGTGTGTTCTTAAGTTATTGTTGCCATCCTAGCTAGGAGAAAAGTAGCTCACTGCCAGTGTTGAGCTGTGGCTATCATGGAACATAACGCCATCTTCCTGGATCCGTGAGAGGTCCTTGGGACTCTCATAACAAACGCTTCTCGCATCCAATTCTGTCCAATAGCCCAATGTCCAGTGTCGAAGATGCAAACGAAAAAGCAAGCTGCATTGACCCACAAATCTTTCAAAAATGCCTGTTCTATAATCTTCTTCGCGGTTGCTGAAGGATGAGATGACTCCGGCGAGAACTGATCTGGACATATTCGGTTTGCGGATGAGTTGTGGTCTGTACTCGTCTAACAACTTTGAATAGTTGTTTCCTTTTCAATCGAATTGATTGACCGAGCAGCTTCAAAGGCTTTGATCATCACACTCACATCGCGAATATTTAGGACTGATCCATGCTTATGAAAGTATATTTATTATTATGTGCCAAATATAGAGTGAGCTGTATTATAGATGATGCTCATAAATAGAAACAGAAGAAATATATAGTATAAAAGAGAAGCCATGATTAATGCAGATGCAAATAGGCAATGCTTCGCCATAAGACTTCGAAAATCAAAAGAATTGCTTTTGGCCGTCATATCATTCCGTCATTCTATATTCGAAGAGCCGCCCTTTTTACAACCTCAAATCCATATGTGCCAAGTTTAATGTGGTTCCCGGAATTGATCTCATCATACGTTGCAGCAATGCAGCAGACAGGCATGATTCGAAAATTGGCTTGGATGCCAACGAAGGGGCCGAATTGAACCGTTGACTTAAGCGGTAGTCACAGTCATGGGAATCTCCATGACATCCGGGATGTAGCAGTATCGAGTGCCTTGAGGGAGGTCCTCGCAGACTTGCTCGCTGGTATATTTGTAGGCGATAGAACCAGATTGAGTGGTAGTAGTACCATCAGCACTAGAAAGATAAAATGTTAGCATCCGATGAAGATGGAAAAGAGAAGTGTGGATAAGAGCTTACTTATTCTGGACATGCTTGAGACTGATGGTGCCAGGCCACTCGAAAGAGATACCAGTTCCACAGTTGAACCAGATCGGATAAGTGTGAGTGACGGGGATGAATTGCAGCGAGGCAGCGCAGATCTGGCGGTAGCCAGTAGTCCATTCGCTTTCAATCTCGAAGCGAATGGTGTTGTAGCCGGCAGGCTGAGCGAAGACTGTGGAGTAATTGTAGACCTTCCACGTCTCTTGAACGACAGGAGTAGTGGTGTTGCTCGATTGACGAGCAGACAAAGTTGGCATGGCGTAGGAGAGAGAGGTGCTGAGGAAGCCAAGAGCGGCGATGATGGTGGCCCAGGGATGCATCTTGATGGTATTGAAGATTGTCTGAGAAAGACGAATAGATGGTTGATCAGTCTCTTGGTGGGGAGAGGAATTAATGGAGTGTTTTGAATGCTTTGTATGCTTGAGATGCTTGGATTGGTTGCTGCTGCTGATGCTCATTCTTGGACGGCGGATGAGGATGCTTTTATAAGAAATTCTAGTTGACTTCAGCGGTGCGATCTCGCACGTCTAGTAAAGCAGATTGCCAGTGTTTTGTGGGGGCTGTCAGACAATGGACTGGGGGTGCCGACAAGCAGGTAGACCCTTGCACAGCACTGCAACCCTTGAGGGATAGCACGCTGACACCTCGGGTAAATTGATTAAGTTGGGCTGGCCCACTGTTGGACGTACCGCACCGTAACACGTCCGTTGTACGAAGGACGCCGACGGCGGAGTCCAGCCGACTCTGCTGGATGTCTTTGAGAGCGGGCGACGATCCAGGGGGATCCGGGGCAATGACGAGACGGTGACGGGAGTACACGGGCGTACACGGGCGTCGGGCTGGGGGTCGATTGGACAATGGATGTCTCTCTTGTCGAGCACGGGGGCTTGGGCCGAGAGCGGATGGCAAAGGAAAGACAGTTGAGAAGTTACGGGAGGTATAACGAAGAGGTTTAAGCAGCGTTGGCTCTGGACTTGCCCCTGGCTTGAAGAGCAGGAGGGGGGCGTTGGTGGCCGGACCTGCGGGCACTTGGGCGGGCTGCCGCCGCAGCTAGAAGAAAAGAGGTGCCGGGTAGCAACGTGAGACTTAGTTAACCACCAGACCCAGAGCAGGTAGAACCCACAATAGGTCTTACTGGGCGCAGCTTATTATTGCCTGTCTCGTATTCAAGTACGGGTACTCTCCTTGTTGGGGCCAAACACGAGGCGAGCGGCAGTTCCACAAGCTGCAAGACCGACGACACCTTTGGACTTTCTATTTTATTGTATTTTTTTTATTTTTCTGGCGCAGATCAGACCCTCCATAGCCAATTGAGACCTTTCATTTTATTATGCTTGTCGGTGCACAGACAAAGGCGCAGCCCTCAGCCCCCAAGTATTTCGTGCGAGGTGCCTCTTCTACCATCCAGACTGTAATTCGTGCGTTCACTCCGCAATAGGAGGTCTGATCGGACTGATGATGCACGAGTCACTATTATGAAAGCTATTTCAAGCGAGCATATTGTCAATGTCAGCAAAAACAAAGTTTGTGCCAAGCAAGATATGCAACTCAATCTATGAATTAATTTAATTATAGCTGGTTCGGGGGTTGTAGCTCAGAACTGCTATGCATAGCAACCATTTAGGGATAATTTGTGCATGCAGACAGCCGAAACCCCAGTGGTACTTCTTCTCACGCGGAGCGTCTTGTAGAAAATTTGTATATCGTAGTATATCCCCTACGTCATGCAGCTAATATCAACTTCCGACAAGATTGCCAAATGGGGATGTCAACAAGACAGTTCCTACACCATCTTCTACCTACCTATACATACCTACGTCCCAGTTAGGACAGCAAATTCAACGCACCGCCAACATTCAATCCCATTGCTAGGATTACTCTGCTTGAGAGTCAAAGCGAGGCTTTCACACGGTAAGTTTTACTTCTTTGATTGATTTCACCAGCTCCCAGGAATTGCGTCTGCGGGAGATTGTACCCGGGTCCGTGAACAATGCGCGAAAGAAGAATGAAGATCTCATCCCAAGCAGCTAACCGTCTCTCATCTCCTCAGCAGTGCAACGCAACCTTAGACAATCCCTACATCATTGACAATTGATTCCAATTTTGGAAACTCTTTGCAACATGTTTGCCGCTCGACGTATCGCTACCGCTGTTCCCCGCGCGGCAACTCTTCCCCGTCGCGCCCTCTTCCATTCAACTACCCCAGCTGCCGTTCAAGTGGGCGACAAGATCCCTGACTTGGATGCCTTGGTGGAAAACTCACCTGGAAACAAGGTCAACCTGTCCAAAGAGTTGACGGGTAAAGGCCTCATCATTGGTGTTCCCGCTGCCTTCAGTGAGTCGGACCCTGCAGAGACCATGTTGCACCTGCAGCCTGGGGTCGTCATGGACATTCTCCCCCTGCCCTACCTACATTGAATTCTGCGTGTAATTGAGTCAATTACTTGTTTTCGTGCTATGTACATGCACGATCAATATCATATCTGCTGAAATTCATTACACACCGACATTTCACGATGACTTATGAAACCCATTTTACCAGCAGCCGCAGCAAACAAAGAAATCATTTGTGGGAGGAGATGAGCTGACCCTTTGGCTTTGATGCATGTTCCTAGGCCCGGCATGCTCTGAGTCACATATTCCTGGATACATCAATCACAAGTCGCTAAAGGAGGCTGGCAAGGTCTTTGTTGTTGCCGTCAACGATCCATTTGTGTATGTGAATTCCGCCCTGTCCCTCGAGTGCGCTTCATTAAGCATGTCGATCAGACACGTTGGAGAATGTGACTAGACAATTTACCCAAAGTTCTTACTGACGACCTTCTCACAGCACCAAAGCATGGGCAACATCTCTTGATCCCCAAGGACAGAGTGGAGTATGTCGGATTCATTTCTTTCATTCCAACCTCTTCTTTGCCGCCATCGCGTCACTTTCCCCAGAATTTCTTGCGCCACAAAGCGCCTCATACGCCTGAGACCTAAATGTGACCGTTGCATCCGATGTCCAAATGGCACTCTGCGCGTCACTTGTGTAGTTTCTGAAAATACCACCGGGTGGTGAGCGGACACTTGGACCACTCGTTTGCCATCTTCTACTCCCATCCACTGCTCTGTACAACAATCCTTCTGGAGTCAACCTCCTGAAGACCTCTTTTCCCTATAGGTCTCCTTTCATCATCTTTGTGTTCGCACATGATTAGGGGCCAACTGTGTGTCTTGTCACATCTCTACAGAATTCTGACCACTTTCTCTTACAGATTCGTTTCCTCGGTGATCCATCTGGTCAGTTCACCGACGCTCTTGACCTTGCCTTCGACGGCAAGGCGATCTTCGGTGGAAACCGAAGCAAGCGGTACGCCCTTGTCATTGAAGACGGCAAGGTCAAAGAGGCCCACGTTGAGCCGGACAACACTGGTCTGAAGGGTACGTATGACCAGTCTTCCTCTTTTTGATTCTGTTGCGCCTTGTGTCTTCCCCTGGTCAAGCAACTCCGCAATTCCGCTTTCAACATGTATGCTAATATTAACTGATTCAACCAGTCTCCGCCGCTGACGCTGTCTTGGGTGCTTAATCGCCTGATACCCCAGACGGATGATGAGACAAGGCTGTATGTGGCAGGGATAAAGTTTCCACCTCCTTTTTCCACTCTTACACGACTCTGCCTCCTCCTTCCCACCAGTTTTTCACCGCCGTAAATGGATCATGCGCTGGTGTTCACATGATGCTGTCAATCTATCTCCTTCAATCACATAGAACACTTATGTCATTCCTTGTTGGCAGCTGAATCAAACTCATAAGATCCGGTGCGAACGTGGTCTGTCTAATAAATCAATATTACCCGAAGTCAACACAACAAGATCCGTATATGCAGAGTGATCGTCTCAATCATCAGCAAAACATTGAATGCTTTGGCTACTTGACATCATTGATGGTGAGAGCTTCTTTTAGATAGCTTGATTTGAAACATTCCATGAAATCCATAAATACGACCCTTTGTACAAATACGACCTGCCAAGTCACCGGACTGAGACTAAGTTCGTTTGATCTTCTTTCCAATGAAAAGTGGGTAATTAAATACGCGTTGAAGTTTGCAAGAGAAATTCTACCTAAATTAATCCCACTAGGTCAATGGGCTATGTTGATGGATCGGTTTCCGGAACAAGGCTCGGCCCGAAGAGAGATGCGAAGGGCTGTACTCCGATACGGGAGTACGATGGGCTGATGGGTCGCCCGTGTTGCCTGGCCGGGTCGCTAAATATGGGCGACGGCATCGCTATTCTACGTCACTAAGCGCGAGGCTGGCTCCTCGTGCAGTGTGCATCCATCGAAATAGCACGAGAATTTCGAACTCTCACCACGTGCATATGTTTGAACCCTGAAAGCGCCAAGCGCTACGATCCTCTGTACAGCTTTCTAGAATAATCTCTATTCAATGTGTCAAATTCTTTGAAGCCTGAAATCCATTGGAAATTACTGGCACGACGCTCTGTTCTGTGTCTCTCTTTTTACTACATCCCACTCCAATCGCTTCCCCGCAGGCCGCAACCCTTGGCAGCTCTCCATTTTCATCAATGTCGAACTTTGATCCCAATGCCATCATTCGCGGGGCGCAATTGACCATCGTTGGAGGTGAGTCATGTTCTGCTGCCCATCATATATTTGCGGATGGGATACCACGGCTGGTGTCAATTTATTCCTAAAAGTTCCGAAGCTTTCAAGGCTATTTATACACACACGCCAAGCGTATATTGAGACGGAGACACTAAATCTTCTAATATGCAGCTTATCGTGCATTACAAAACCCGGCGCTCTTCAAATATGAGCATTATCGACAGGCTGCACTTGCAGTGTGCGCAGGTGTAGTTATTCGTCTAATTATAGCCATTCCAGTATGATTAATCCCCTTTCGACGGCTTCCTAAAATATGATTCAACGGAACCATACGGAAACTAATCTTTGCCATTAGCTTATTGGAGTCCGTGTGTTGCTCTGGTTCCTTTCACTTTTTGTCAATTTCGAATCCACAACATGGGACAATGATATCATTGACGGGATGCATTTCCTTGAGCATTCCGTGCTACAGATTCCGTTCTTTTTGATGAGTCTGATGAAATATCTGACACCCACCATGGATGAAATGTAGGTGACCTTTCCCTTGATTTTAGTTCCTCATGCTCTGAACTTGCATCGTCCCTTGCCCTTGTTACGTCGTTATGGCGGGCGGGACTTGCACATGTAAACGTGATGAAACTAGACTTATCATTCGTATTCTAAATTGGCAGGTTCATGGATTCCCTACAGTGGGTCGACAAAACCTATTATCAAAAACACAAATCGGAGGATCCCAAGAATCTTAGAGCAACATACTACCCCAATCTCCGGATGTATACGGCTCATGGGGATCCTCACAAGCACAAGAGACCACGAGAAGCAGCCTTGAAGTTCTTGATGCAGTATTCGCGGAAAGCAGCCATCTCTCTGGCCATCTACTTTCTCTCCTATACGCCTGTTATTGGAAGATTCGTCCTCCCAGCTGCAAGTTTTTACACGTTCAACAAGGCCGTGGGACCCGTTCCTGCTGTAGCCATTTTCGGAAGTGGTCTTTTCTTGCCCAAGCGATACCTTATTGTCTTCCTGCAGAGCTACTTTGCTTCAAGGAGCTTGATGAGGGAATTGGTGAGTGTAAATGTCTCGACTATGTCTTCATCTTTCTGTCACCCATTCTTTTCTCCAAGGCTTCTCATTGTCTGTTGTTCATATTCGAATTACCTCGTGCGAAACCACCCAGCTCTTGAATGCCAAAGTAAAAATTTCATCGCTGACGTCGTATCATCTCCAAGCTATCTCCTTACTTCAGCCGCATCAAGTTCACATCTGCGCAAAGACGGCAATGGTTCCATGATCGAGAGGGGCTGCTATTCGGATTTGGTGTAGGGTTTTATTTATTTCTGAAAATCCCGCTGTTGGGCGTTCTCATATATGGGATTGCAGAGGCTTCAACGGCCTATCTAGTCACCAAGATTACGGATCCGCCGCCGCCTCCAGCTTACAGTGAAAAGTTTGCTGAGAGTCAGATCCGGTGGTCAAATAAGAAAGAGTTTTTGAAACTGCCGTTGACTGATCTCGACGCACATAACGCCGAAACTGGAGAAGATTCAGAGAAAGCGCAAGAAGCACGGCGCAGAATCTTCAACCAGGGACTGCCAGCAAAAAAGTTTACCTGATATAGCAGCTGATTAAAAAGCAATTATTAGTCCAATATCAAATCAAGGAGAACTCGATCGTTTCCCGCGGCTTCTGGCGCCCTAGATAATTTGATTTCTGTAGCACTGGAATCGATAATTGACTAATTGTTTCGCCTCTTGACTATACTTTCCTGCCTGATCTACTGAATTTAGCTTGGCATGACTGGATAAGAAAGAGCTGAATCGTTGTTGATGTTTAACCAAAAGCGCACTAAAGCAGAGTTTAGCTGGAGGAACTCAAACTTGTTTGGGGGCAACCCAACAGGGAAGGGGAAAAAAAAAATAACCAACACAAAGACGGAGCAGACCGCCACTGAGGACAAGTGTAATAATAGCAAGTTGATAGAATGAATTGAATAGAAAGCAGAATTGAAATTCACTTTGCTTTTCACGCCCGCATGAATGCATGTAACCCTTGACGGGCTCTTGATAATATTACAGGCGCGCCTGAGATCATCGCGCGACGCCCGAGCCAACTCGTCCCGCCCTGCCTACCAATCCTGGGGTTCAAACAACAATAATAGTGTCCCGCCTTTGGATTCCGCATTGCAGAAATATCCCTTGGTTCACCAAGCGCACTGGTCGTGTCAGCCTGCAAATCACTCTCCGCCATGTCACCGGCCTGCACGACAAACCTTGTTAGCAGCTGAAGCCCAACGTTATGGCCAACTCTTTGACGCCGTCCATGGCAACGGCCCCCATCCCTGCGAGTGGAGAAAGTTCAATAGTCACTCCTGGCTTGCGCCGCTCATGCACACTACCTCTAAAGCTGTCCGATTCAAGCAGAAGAGCATCCAAGTCGAGCGAGGATCCTGTAATCGAGACGTTGTTTGTACATCATTCCGCCAAAGTGGTCTCGTTCAGCCCGCCCTCCCACGTTTTGCGACGACCAACCACGCCTGACTATGGAGCTGCTGATCCAGAGGACCAGGTTGGCACACTGCCATGGAACTCAACTGTGGAGAGGACAATGGCGGCTGGTAAGTTTCTTTGCTTTGACCGTTTTGACAAGCTAAAATGTCAATTTGAACCCGGACCAACCCTGACTCGGAACAGGTCCGTTGCGCCTCTACCGCGTCCCAGGTTCCGTCGCTTTCCTGACCTCTGGAAAGATATTGCATCCCATCCTTGCGAAATCACAATGCTGGTGCGTGGACGGGGAGACGATATTTGTACTTCGAATTCGAACGGGCACCTACTACCGTATTGAGCTCCCGAATCACTCGATAGAAGACCGAGAGAAGGCGGCCGAGCTCAAAGCTGTCCTGCCCAAGATCCTACAATACGAACAAACACCATGTCCTTTTGCAAGAGAATTCACAGTGACGCTGCCAGAGAGGCTGCCTGTCCGGAAGCGTCCATGGCGACCTCGAGAGAAACCAAAACCGCCGCCGCAACAGAGTGAGACAGGGAAGGAACCCAGAGCCAGGCCTCTTTCTGGGCCATCTTTGGACGAAACTGGTGGCGCAGAGGAGAGACTCACGCAAGATCTAGACAGTGATTCTACAGAGGGCTCGATCGACTACCCCAACTACCGAACAACAGCCAGCCCGACGCAGGCGTTTGAGGAGAGCTCTCGACCACGGATGCTGAATACCGAGCGGTCCATCACCGCGCCGCCAATCTTGCATGTCCAGCCTCCTTCGCTCCAGAAAGCGCCATACCAGCCAGGTCGACGATCAAGCACCGAATCTGAGTCGTCGAGCGTTTCCTCCAGCGTGGAGTCATTTCACTCTTTTCACAGCTCCCTCTCACTGCGCCCGCCCTCTCCACCATTTTCTGCCACAACATGGTCGACCGTACCATCCGAAGATGTCCCAACTACTGTTGATCTTCCACAATTCAAGCCTGAGGGTCTGGGCTCGCCCGATTCATCCAACGGTCCAATGGCCCAACTTCCCGCAGTCCAGACCAGCAACACCAGGACTTCGCCCAAAAGTACATCCCCTTTCGGACAGGAAGCCCAGGCATCCGAAGAAGCAGACGAGCCCTACTACAACAGCTCTGACTCGGGCGCTGGGTCTGGTTCCGAATTCTGGCCAGACTCTGCCTTCCCACTGCCGGTAGACGACCAACGCGAGCTCCGGCCTCGGCGGCGCAAAGTACCTTCCTCCCATCCACGGCGCAGTCTCTCCCCCTTACCCCTGGCCGCGAATCTCTTCACCCCGTCGGGCCAGGGCTCCGGGTATCATCTACCCACGGACGTTATCCAGAAGACGTGTTCCCTGCTCTTCGGTCCACCCGTCCATCTCATCGCACTCATGCTTAATGTCGCGTCTAAAATCGCCAATGGCGCCGTCAAGGGCGTGGTAGTCACGCATGGCGAACGCGGCGAACGGATCCCCTGCCAGTGGGACTACAGCGACAGCGACGACGGCCCAGCTACCCAGGAAGACTGGCGCCCCGAGGAAGAAACTGACGAAGAGGACGATTATGGCATCCCCCTGAGTAATGGTGGTTCTTCGACTAATCTTGCTGCTGCAAGAAGGGCGTCACAGGCATCAGATCACGGATCAATAGCTCCTGGCGTGTCGTCGTCATCTGCTTCGTCCTTGGCTTCGTTTCCACTGGCACCGGAATAGTCACATTGCTGATTGAGTTGATGCCAATACTTGTTCTCCATATTTCCTCCATAGTGTTTTTCTTTCCCCTTCTTTCTTCTTTCTTTCTTTCTTTCTTTCTTTCTTCTTCGTCTTCTTCTTTTCCCTTGTGAATCAACTTTTCCGTTGATCTTATAACTTTTCCTTTACAAAGCCACGCATTATCTATCATGCATCTAACGCTTCAAGAGCATGAGCCGGAGTCTGATCCTTGGCACTTACGGCGCGGGAACGAATATCATATTACTTTCGATTATGTTCTGCATTCATTTGATAATCCTTCTTTTTTCCCTTCCGCTTTTAATATCTCTCCTCTTTTTATCCGCTTCCATTTGTCTTTCTCTTCCTCTTTGTCCTCTTCTTCCATTCTCCGCTTCCATCGTCTTTTTTTCAATTTCATTCTCTGTTACTTCTATCTTTAATTCCCCCGTCCGGCGTTGGCGATTATCTCGTTACCTTAATTCCACCCCTTTCCTTAGCATGCCACCTATTTTAGGCCTGGTGGGGTGAGCGTTTACTTCAAAACGAATTGTTCCCCTAGTCCTAATGTCATCATAATTCATAGTCACAGAACAATCTATCTTAATGTACATTTTGTGGCATACTCGAAGAATACCATCGTCAGGTCTCATCGTTCTTCTTGAGAGGCTTGCGCCCCTTCTAATACGGCTCGAAGCAATAAAATGCACAAAGCAGAGTCCAGCCGGTGTTGTTTCTTTCGACGTTGATATAGCGCTTTACCTTTTCTCAACATGCTCACTCGCTTTTTTATATCACTTCTCGTACGATGCCATGACTTGCACCCTCCCCCCCCTTTTTTTTTTCTGGTGGTCGGTTTATAGCTCCCACAGAAGAATGGACTCGGGAAGGGAACAAGACGGTTACGAATTAAATCAAACTAGGAGGACGAAAAAGAAAATGTGAATGAAAAATAAAATAAAAGATAAATCTAAGAAGACAAAAATAAATAAAAAGAAAGTCAAGCCGCCGTCTTATCCGCCTTTCTCTTCTTCGCCTTTGCCTTTTTCCGCCCGCTTCGATCCCGCTTCTTCAGGGCCTGCATGCCGCCCTTGCACACCTCTGCGTAGCGCGTGAAAAACGCATCCAGACTATCGGGCTCGACGACGGTAGAGAGCTTGGTTTTCTCGTTGCGCTGCGACTTTGATTTGCCGTCGCTCGCGCGGATCAGGATCGGTACGGGCGTCTCGAGCAGCTGGTGGTCACTGCTCGCGCTTGCGGCGGGAGAGGAAGAGGAAGATGAGGCGATTGAGGGGTGGGATACTGTGATGTGGTTTGGATTAGATTTGTTGGTTTGTTTAGTATTGATGGGGGGTTTTGGATATTTCGAGCGAGAGGAAATAACATGGTGGATGTAGGAGTGTAGACGTACGTCGCTTTTGCGTCAGATAGACTGATCCATGATCTTTTTGCCGCCGTGCGTCAAAGAGCTCGGCGAGTCGTATGAAGAACTGTGTGCGAAAAAGAAAATGACAGTGTTAGTTTGAATTGAGAAAGAAGAGAAGAGTGGATCAAAGTACATCGTCGTTGCTGAGATGGCCGCTTGCCATGTTTTTTTGATGGAGCTTTATTCGATTGATTCTGCTCCTCTCAGTACGTTATGTGTAAATGGTGTGGTTGGAAGTAAAGGTAAGCTGTACTCCGTAGTTTGGGGGGCTGTTGTAAGTTATTGAGATATCGAGTGCTGTTACAATTAGAACACGGTGAGTTACTGTCATAAGGACGAGTCGGCGGTGGGGAGGTACTGCGGAACAGCGATTGGTCCAAACACTTAGGCGGTGAAGCATTTAGCGCTGGGGTCCTTTAGTGGGCAATGACAGTAACTTTACCCTGCTGGCTGGTACAAAACTCCCCGAAACTTTTCAATTCTGCCATACTCCTAGTCACCCAAAATATTCCCCCACAAAACAATAATGCGCCGTCCGCTGCACAACACGACGAGGCTGCCGAAGCAGCTTCGCGACGAGCTTGGAGAGCAAGGTATGTGTTTTCAGATTGATTTTGAGCCTTCTGGTATTTTGGTGAAAAAGGCTAATGTTGTAATTGTAGACAGCGGTCGAGGCAAAGGCCGCCGTGGCGGAGCGCGAAATGACCCCGGCCAGCGAAAAGAGCGTCGCAAGGCGGAACGAGAACAGAAAAGGGCACAGCGGAGACCTCCTCGGAGTCAGGCCCCTCGGAGTCAGGCCCCGCGGGGGAGAGCCCAGGCGGCACCGGATTCAGAAGAGGACAATTTCGATCTGGATGAGGACAGCGTAGGCAAGCAAAGTCCGTCGCCACCGCCGCAGCCGTCTGCGAAGAAGAATAAGAAGAAGAGTGATGCGCCCGAGAAGAAACATGACCAGCCCAAGTCGATACTGAAGAAGCCTCAGAAGAGGCAAGACACGGAAAGTGAAGAGGAGGAAGACGATGAGAGCGAATTGAGCGAGGAAGAGGAGAATTCTACGTCCAAGCCAAAGCAAAAAGTGTCAAAGGCAGTGCAGGACCGGCTGGATCAGGAGGACGCGGAGATTGCGGCGCTGGAGAAGAAGCTGGGAATGAAGGGAAAGAGAAATCTACCGAAATCCTTTAATGAGGACGGATTGGGAGATCTGCTCGATGGTCTCGACGACTATGTTGAGGGCATGTCTGATAATAAGCGCAAGCGCTCTTCTGAGGATGATGAGTGGCTTGAGAGGAAACGGCGCAAGGCTACTGGGGTGCAGAAGCAGGAGGATGTGAGCGATGAGGACGACGAGGATGAAGACAGCGAGGGTTCCTTTGATGATGAGGATGATATGGAGCAGGATCTTCTTGACGAAGACGAGGATGACGACCTCGGGTCAGATCTGGACGAGGACGAGGACTTGGATGAAGATGAAGAAGCCGACGATGACGATGACGATGAAGCTGGCGACGGCGAGTTTGAAGGCTTCGACTCGGACGCGACGGACGAACCTCAGCCCAAAAAGGTCAAAGAGAATCCCTACCTTCCACCAGTTCCCGCCAGTGCTCCTGCACCACAGAAATACGTGCCCCCGTCTCTGCGAGGGCCGCCTTCGTCGGAACAGGAAGCGCTATTGAGGTTGCGTCGACAAGTTCAGGGTTCTCTCAATCGTCTATCAGAGGCGAATATCCTCACCATTGTCTCGGATATGGAGCGCCTGTATCGAGAAAACGCACGGCAGCATGTGACATCCACGCTCGTGGACCTGCTTCTGACGTTGATTTGTGACCGGAGTACTCTCATGGACACTTTTCTCATCTTACATGCCGGGTTCATTGCGGCCATATACAAGGTCATTGGCACAGACTTTGGTGCGCAAGTAGTGCAGAAGATTGTCGAAGAGTTTGACAGACTTTACAATTCCACATTGAGTGTTGAGACTGGCGGCAAGCAAGTCACCAATCTGATGTCGCTGCTTGCTGAGCTTTACAATTTCCAAGTCGTGGGCAGTAACCTTGTATTTGATTACATTCGTGGCTTTCTAGACGACATTTCCGAAATCAACACCGAGTTGCTGCTCCGACTCATTCGAAGTAAGTCATCTGTTTAAACTTTCTCTTCACCGTACATTCTCTAACGCAATGCAGTGTCTGGCTCGCAACTTCGACAGGATGATCCTCTCGCACTCAAGGATATTGTTATATCCCTTCAGAAGACCGTCGCACGAGTCGGCGAAGCCAATTTATCTGTTCGCACAAAGTTTATGATTGAAACTATCAATAATCTCAAGAACAACCGTATGAAGACTGGCGTCGCTGCCTCCGCGGTCACTGCCGAGCACACAGTCCGCATGAAGAAGACCCTGGGCTCGTTGAACAACCGGAATATCCGAGCAACTGAACCCATTCGTGTTGGGCTCAAGGATATCAGGGAGAGTGACAAGCGGGGTAAATGGTGGCTGGTCGGCGCAAGCTGGAGAAACGACGCCGAGGACGAGCCAAAAGAAAACAAAGCAACCACCACGGACAAGAGCAAGGATATCGATAACGAGATGATTGAAGCTGGTACTTCTGACCTCTTTACTCTTGCCAGAGAGCAGCGAATGAACACCGACATTCGGCGTGCCATTTTCATTGCCATCATGTCAGCGTCAGATTTTCAGGATGCGTCTACCCGCTTGATCAAGCTTCGGCTGAAGAAGGCGCAGGAATTGGAGATTCCGCGTGTGCTGATGCATTGTACTGGCGCCGAGCAGGTGTACAACCCCTACTATGCGCTCATTGCGCGAAAGCTCTGCGCGGACCGGAGGCTCAAAATGGCTTTCCAATTCGGCCTCTGGGGCTTGCTGAAGCGAATGGGCGAGAAGTGGGATGGCGACGACGATGACAATATGGGTGATGACGATGATGAGGAGGAGAAGTTGAGCATGCGGACTATTGTCAATCATGCCAAGTTCTTTGGCGGACTGATTGCGTCTGGGTCCTTGGGACTGAATGTGCTCAAGGTACGTTGCTCACAGTTGCACATGCATAATTGGAAATAGAATTTACTAACGCATTGACAATAGATTCTCGGGTTTGCCTATCTGCAACCAAAGACTCAAACTTTCCTGGAGCTTCTCATGATTACGATCATCCTTGAGTCGCAGAAGCGGTCTCAGACTAAACGGGATGAACAAGCTGTGCGCGGAGTGTTTAGTACAGCAAGTGGCCATCCTCAATTGGCTCGAGGCTTGCAGTATTTCCTTCGCAAGACTGTCAGCAAGACGGACATTGCTGGTGGAAAGGCCGAGCAGGAGACGGTCAAGTGGGGTTGTAAAATGGGAGGCGATATATTGAAAGCCATTGCTTTGGCCGAGGTGGCCGAGGAGTGATGGCCGGACATGACGTTTTTCATTCATTGTATATATAAGCACTGCAGATATACCTTTTTGGCAGGAGTCATGGGATGCATACTGGGAACTGGAGATCAAAAGTTTGGGAATGAAAGGTCATTCATATGTAGAGACTGAGTATTGCACCAATGAGATTGAATGTGATTTTGGTTGATATTGGCTGCGCTTATGGACGGGGAAGCGTAACCGAGGTGAAAAGTGATCGGGCGGACGAGAGAGACCAATAAGTGCAAATCCCAATGGGAAAGGCGGCTAAACCAATCGAACTCATCAAGTCCCTCGCACGGGCTTTAACGAGCCGGTGGAACAACCAGTAGAGACCTCATCAATCATACAGAAACTGTGAGACTGAGAGACATCTCCATTCCTTCATACCTTTCCTCCCGATTGTGCTTTTCTCTTTTCTCCTCCCCCCCACACCAGTCCGACCCTTGTCGGCTACCCAATCCTCCTTTCTAATAGCTTCTTTTCCTTTTTCTATTTTCTAGTTGTCCAGCATGTTTCGCAATTTGGTCCCTAGGACCACCTCCCGGTCCATCCTGAGACCCGCTACGGGTGCTACGGCCACTTCCTTTGCTCCCTCAAGCTTCGTTCTTATCAACCGATCAAGAAGAGGCTACGCCACTTCCTCCGGTACGTTGATTTGCAATTGGAAAAGAAGCTATCATTGGAGCTGTCGAAAGCTAATTGAGTTGGTGCCTTTATAGAGGAGAAGGACCTTGTCATTGTCGGTGGTGGTGTCGCCGGATATGTCGCGGCTATCAAAGCCGGCCAGGCCGGTCTCAAGGTGTGTTGAGCCGCGCAACCCTTCAGTGGGAACGTCGACGTGGGAAATAAAATGGGAGTTACAATTGTTCTGACCATGGGCCTGCTTTTGGCTGTATCGCAAATAGGTCGCATGTATAGAGAAGCGTGGTGCTCTTGGTGGCACCTGTCTTAACGTCGGCTGCATTCCCTCAAAATCGCTCCTCAACAACTCGCATCTTTACCACCAGGTCTTGCACGACACCAAGCACCGCGGTATCGAGGTTGGCGATGTCAAGCTCAACCTTGCGCAGATGATGAAGGCCAAGGAAACCTCGGTCAGCGGTCTGACCAAGGGTATCGAGTTCCTCTTCAAGAAGAACGGCGTCGAGTACGTCAAGGGTACTGGCTCTTTTGTCAACGAGAATGAGGTCAAGGTCAACCTCATCGAAGGCGGCGAGCAGACTCTCCGCGGCAAGAACTTCATCATCGCCACCGGTTCCGAGTCTACGCCCTTCCCCGGCCTCGAGATTGACGAGAAGAAGGTCATCACTAGCACTGGCGCCATTGCCCTGACTGAGGTCCCCAAGAAGCTGCTCGTCATTGGTGGTGGTATCATTGGTCTTGAGATGGTAAGATTACCCCGTACGGTTAGATTGGAGCGCAAAATTGCTCCTTCACCCAAAAATCGGGAAATACAGAGAGAACTTTGGAAAAGGCTGACACAAGTACGACGAATTTCAGGCTTCCGTTTGGTCCCGCCTCGGCTCCGAAGTCACCATCGTCGAGTTCCTCGGTCAGATTGGTGGTCCCGGTATGGACGCGGAGGTTTCCAAGCAGGCGCAGAAGATTTTGGGCAAGCAGGGTATCAAATTCAAGCTTAACACCAAGGTCACCAAGGGTGACGCCAGCGGCGAGGGCGTCAAGCTCGACGTTGAGGCTGCCAAGGGTGGCAAGGCCGAGACTGTATGTTCAAACGTCCAACAATCATTTCTCTTTTTTCCCGTTTCAAAAATTAATACGCAATGCAGCTTGATGCCGACGTTGTCCTCGTCTCCATTGGTCGTCGCCCTTACACCGAGGGTCTCGGTCTCGAGAACATTGGTGTCGAGGTTGACGAGCGCGGCCGTCTTGTCATCGACGACCAGTACCGCACCAAGCACCCCCACATTCGCGTGATTGGCGACTGCACGTTTGGTCCCATGCTTGCGCACAAGGCCGAGGAGGAGGCCGTTGCAGCCATCGACTACCTCACCAACAGCTACGGTCACGTCAACTACGGCGCCATCCCCTCGGTCATGTACACTCACCCCGAGGTCGCGTGGGTCGGCCAGAGCGAGGCCGAAGTCAAGGCTGCCGGCATCAAGTACCGTGTCGGCAACTTCCCCTTTGCCGCCAACTCCCGTGCCAAGACCAACCTCGACACTGAGGGTTTCGTCAAGTTCATCGCCGACGAGGAGACGGACCGCATCCTCGGTGTCCACATCATTGGCCCCAACGCCGGCGAAATGATTGCCGAGGCTACCCTGGCCATCGAGTACGGCGCCTCCTCTGAGGACATTGCCCGCACTTCGCACGCTCACCCTACTCTTGCCGAGGCCTTTAAGGAGGCTGCCATGGCCACCTACGCCAAGGCTATCCACTACTAAGCTTTTTCGGTGATCTGATGGTCGTACGGTTTGGTGGTCTGTCGGAAGGGTAGAATGAGAGTGTAGTAGAAGAGTCGGAGGAAGAATCGGAGAAAGAAAGGGGGACAACCCCCATGTGATGGCCCTTTTATGTATAACAAGTTTTTAGTCTAAACTTACAAGACGAAGACTTGGCAGAGTCCTGAAAGAGAGAAAGAGATTTATTTTGTGAATAGTCGTTAATTGTATACTATTGAGCACCCACTTTATGGACTTCACGTTCGTGTATCTCCGCAGTGATATTCATATATTTACATGAATGATGGTTGCATACCCATCTTGTTCACGCCATGGCTTTTTTTCTACATTCCCCTTTCTTTTTCACTCTCTTCTTCCCCATTATTGGATAGATAGACGTTCTCAGTCTGCTGCACTGGAAACGAACCCGCTGACCTTTGCTCTGCCGCGTGATGTGACTATTATTGATTATTGATTACTTGTATGAGGTGTATACCTGCTTTGCTTTGTTTTTTATTTTATCCTTTTCTTTTCTTTTTACTTGTTGTCATTCTATCAGATTTTGTTCTCAACTGGATTAGATAAAAATGTGACCCTCTTTGCGGTTTATATAAAACGCTCTCCAACAAGCATCAAGCATTAAATATCCCCTTCAAGCTCAGTATCACTACCAGCATCAACGCCAACATCAACATCAACTTCGCTCTTCAAAATGACAATACCGTACGGATCCCGATCCCGCTCGGACACATGCACCTCGACAGACTCGTCTTCTAAAATGCTGCGTAGGGCGGCAGCGGATACAGCGCTTCCGTCAGTAGCGCCTTGGGATTTGCCGGATGCAGGTGGTCCAGACGCAGAGGAAGTGACGAATGGGTCGTGGAAGTTTGACGAAGACGTTGCTTTGCGCGAGATTTGAGGACGTGTGGATGACGACTGCGGACGTGCGGATGACGGGGGAGGAAAGTCGATGCGGAGTTTTTCGAGTTCGCCGGAGCGGATGCGTTGCCATTCGTCCTTGAGTGTGGTGGATAGCTGGTCGCGCAGGACGGAGTGTAGGAAGCCGCGTTCCGTGTTGGAGTGGAAGACTTAATCGTTGTTAGAAATGGAGAGAAGTAAATGGAGTGGACTAGGAGGGAAGAGAGGGAAGGGAGATTTGTTTGGGGGGAATGAGGGGAGAAAAGAAAGAGAAAGGGAGAATGAGGGCAAGTAAATGATAGTGGATAGGCTTACGCGTGATGATGCATTGGCCGCGCTCGATTGCGGCGAGGGCTTCATGGTGAGATAGCTCGCCGGTGAAGAAGAGATCGACGTCGAGATTGCGGAAGAGGGAGCCGCCTATGCGTTCAGAAGAGATGGTTAGTGGGCGTTATGGCAGAGGAATGATGTAATATAGCTGGGAATAGAGAGAACATGAATCATGTGAAATTAACGATAAATGGCATGTTTTAAGGACAAGAAAAGGCAAAAATAAGACGAAAGGAAAGGAAAAAACAGGTTACGTACCTGATCCGGCGCAGATACCGACAGAAGAAATCTCAATTTCGTCAATCGTCTTGCCTTGTGGAATGGCAATGGGGACTAGCAGATGTGACTGTCAGTGATCCAATGCATGTGTGCATTTTGTGTATTTGGAAACTTACAGGCCTTGGGATTGCCCAAGCCGCGAGCGACTCGCTCGATAAGAGTGTTTAGGGCGTGAGGCTTGGAAAACCGAATGATTCGACCCATGCCAGCCTCTTCGAAGCCTATAATAGAGTCAAGGTCAGTACTCTGCCTGCACATTGAAGGAACATTATTTTAGTTGGAGCAGATTTGGGAACAAAAGGGAAAATACCATCGACACCATCTACACGTTGAATCACAGCCCTTTCGTGATCAGATGTTGCACTGAAGTCTCAATGATTAGCTAGGGCAAGGAACAGACTGATTAATCACTAAGACTTACGGCTCCAAAATTGCCTTCTCTTGTGGCGGTTCAGGATATGTCGGGTCAGAATACTTGGGGATTGGCTGCACGGAGAGCTGTCCCTCATCCGTGTCGGCTTGCTCCTCGGGTGTTCGCGGCGTAGACACTTGGTCTGCAGTCTTTTCATTCTGATCTGGCACATCAGATTCAGAGACACTCTCTGCGATCTCGTCCTCGTCTGGGGTTTCTTCTTCGCCAATCAATTGTCCTGTGACAATGTCGGCGAGCCAGTCGTTTACGCCGCCTGGTGCTGCGTCTACAGCAGTATGCGGGCTGTAGACCTGGATAAAGTGTTAGACAAAAGATCTATCGTACTTTTCGAGTGCTTGATATGTTACATACACTGATGCCTGCTTGAGCCAGTCGCAGAAGCGTTTGTTGCTGAGAGTCTGCAAAAGTCAAAGATTTCAATCCTCTGAAAATAATCGGATCTAAAGTGAATTTGTTAGTTGGAGATATATAATATATATAACGAATTGATAAGACAACGTACGATATGCAATAATAATAGAGTCCTTTCTTTCAATTGCCTCGTCGGCGACGGCGCGTGTGAGGTCGACCGTCAGCAGAACCGAATTGGCTTGTTTCCTCGCAGGGTCGAATGGAGCCTCGAGTAATACTGCGTTACAATAAAATTCTCAGCAAAAAAATTTTGTTTATTTCTTTTTATTCGAATAGCTTCGATTGTTTTTGTTCATTTTCTGTTGGTCCACATGTTACGAGACTTGATGCTACTTACATCCAGTGTTGTCCCAGCTTCGATCAGCCAAAGCCTCGGGATATCTGGTCATTCAAAATCAGTGACTATTTTCCTCTCGTGATCTTAGATAGTTGTACTTACAATTTTCTCATGGAATTGACCACGGCCCGGGTAAAAGGCGATGCAACTGCTGGCGAGGACATGGTGCCAAATGCGCGACGCAGCGGAGCAGCAAGAAACATGAAACAAAGCAGTCAAGTTAGTATCGTTTGTCTGCACGTCAAAGAATTGCCCATATGCACGCAACGTGGGAAACGAGGGCGGAGAGCAAATCAATTCAATGAATCAACAAAAATGATCGAATCAGAATCGGCAGAATTAAGGTTGGTTGGCACAAGCAACAGAGCGAGCGAGGCACTAAATCCTCAAGAGGATAAACGAGGAACAAGGCGTACTCGTAGCGGGAACAGCAATGATGACGCCAGCGATAAGGGAACGAATAGAACAATATCTCGGAGAGAAACAAGTCAAGCAATTTGCGCCAATAGTGAAAAGAAGAGAGAATTGGAATTGCAGGGCATGATGCTCGTGCAAGTAAAAGGAGACAAGAAAAACAGGGTTTGGGACATACTGAAGAAAGAGGCGCCATATCAGGGCAAAGTATAACTGAGCAAGGATCACAGGGAAAAGGGCGAGATACCAGGCACCCCGTCTGACCGTCACCGTCACCGTCGAGAGAGCCATTTCTTCACTTGTTCGTCACACGTCGAGGTCAATCGACTCATTGCTCTCAAGATGAGGAAAGAAAGAGAAAGTTGAGATCAATTCGAGAGAATCTTTTAATACATTTCTATGTGGAGAAAGGATAATCGGAATCCGGACCAAGATTAGAGCTGCTAATCTATTTCGTCCAGTTACGAGCTATGAGGGAGGGGGGGGGACGTTTCTCTCTACGACTCTGGTTGATCTGATAACGTCTTGCCTTTCAACATGCGATTCTTTTGCATTCCGATGCAGTTTGGCTAGTTTGGATTGGCTAACTTGTCAAGAGCGGCATGTCCTGAGGGTCGATGATTTCTTTACGCATCATGATCGTCTTCCTTCATTTGCATCAATATGCCCTCTAAGAAGAATATCAGGTTAGACCTTTTCGTTATGGCTCAGCTTTACGGTATAGTCTTGTCTTGCTGGTTCTCTGTTTGCGGCTGCCTGTCTGTCCGCGGAGGTTGGGGGACGAGGGATTCCCCTTGTCAGTAGAGATTACATAATCAGATCTTGCATCATCCACAGGGAATTTGCCGGAAATTCAAAATCTAGGATCTGATAAGAGAAACGTTAACTCTGTATGAGCTCTGCGAAACCCCATTGCCCTCATACTTGACTCCTACTCGATACAAGAGCAGGAAAAATACGGGACTTCAATTATATTAAACGCGTACGAGCCAATTTCAAATCAAGAAAAAATGAGCGCCTCTTCCGGTGTCACCGCGGACACGCTGAAACAGAAGCTGGCCCAAGAGCTCGAGGCTACTCATGTCCAGGTTGACGATCTGTCTGGTATGCTGCCTTCTGTAAAGAAAATCTAAAAGTATGAGATCAGGTAAAACTTACATTATTTTCTCAAGGCGGCTGCGGCCAAATGTTTGACGCCGTCATCGTCTCTCCCAAATTCGCCGGTCAGCGTCTCCTCGGCCGCAACCGGACCGTCAACGGGGTTCTAAAGGCAGAGATTGCCGCGATCCACGCGTGGTCGGCCAAATGTTTCACTCCAGAAGAGTGGGAAGCGAAGAAGACCGCTTAAACTGCATTCCTCCCGCGCTCTCACAGCAGAGGAGTGCTCCAAAGCGACCATGAGACAGACGAGTGCAACGGAAAAGTGTCAAGATTGGCAGCATTATTAAGCATGGTGTTAACGGCGTTGAATGCATTTATTCCATAGATGGGGCATATCCCTCGTATAGGACCGATTATTTCATGGTCCATACATGAATTATCATTACATGACACTGTATATACGTTATATCGGAACTCTATGCCGGAAATACAAGGAAATATTCCATGTCTAGTCGATTTGCGCCCAAAGGTGAAACCCGTTCACTCAGCTAAGCAGCACTCGTATCTCCGCACTTGTTCTTGGGAAGAAGCTTCTGAGAGGGCCAATCTCTCCATCCTCGTCAGATTCCTTGTCTGCTCTCAGCTCATCGCTAGCGAGGATCCGGGCCTCAAGGAGCTCGAAATCGGAGCAGAATCGATCGGCAGCTTCTTCGGTAATGGACTGAACCATTCGCGAGTTTTGCAAGCGTTTGATATTCTCCGACGCATCCATGAGGGCCGAAGGCAAAAAGTCGTCCAACGTCTGACTGGCAGCTTGCAGCTTGGGGGGCTGAAATGGCTCCAGCGAAGGAATAGCAGAAATGTCGTCCTTTGCGTCGGAGAGTGCGAGAATGGCTCGAAGAAGAGGGCCAAGTCCGGACATGTGGATAAAATAGCCGTGCAGATACTCCTTCAACCTTGACGCATGTTCCTGTATTGTCTTTTCTAATGCGATAATCTTTTCCTCGGTGAAGGTAAACGAAGATAGAGTGTCCCTGGCTGCGAGCATGCAGTTGACGATGAAGATGCTGTTCTGAGGCTCATCCAAGGTCTTTGCCAGACCTTCGCTGCTGTCCAAGTAAGGTTCAAGGACATCCAACAGGATTGGCTCAAAACTTGCTTCGCGGCTCTCAGTTGGCGTGAGGGATGTGTCATAGCTCTTCATCAAGGCGGACAAGTCGTTGAGGACGCCACGCAGCGACTCTGGAACGGCAAGGTCTATTGGTGCTTGAACCAAATCGCCCTGCACGGCCGTGATGTGGTCACGCATTGTTGACCGGAATTTGTCCATGGCTGTTTTTGATAACCCCTCCAACACTTCAAGTACGGGGCTTTCCGGGCTGAGAAGCCGTGAAAAGGTAGCAACGTAGAAGCCTACAAGGTTATAGATCTTGTATGCCAAGATAGATTCCTCGTGGCTCTGGATTACTTGCTCCGTCCTCTGTTTGAGCAGCCTCGCGACACCTGCCAGACCACGGCTGACGAGCTGATTGAGAGCCTTCACTCCATCAAACACCTCGGTTTCTCCATCACTTCTCAGCGCCCACGGTTCGCTATTGATTCCGGCTTGGATACCCCGCGCAATCTGCTCCCCCTCGGCGATAAATAACACTTCCAATGCTTCACGCTCCGAAACTGCGGCAGAGTGCGTCCATGCCAGCATGTCACCCACATAACGGAGCGGGTCGTGCGCGTATAGTTCAATCGGCTTGACCGATGATTGCTTTCCTCCCTCGGAGGCAATGCCTGTCAAGGCAGTATAAAATGAATCAGATAGAACATACTCGCGTGACTCCGCAAAAAGATCGAGACAGGTTTGGAACAGTGCTGGCTTTTCCGCCAGGACACGCAAAGCCCGCCGAATGGATGAACTGAGCTGAGGATTCTCCAAATTCAAGGTCTTGAACTGCCGCTCAATCCATCGGTATAGTTTTTGATAGGCACTGTTTACTGCCTTTGAGCATTGCTCGAGCAATTCAAGACCCAGGCGCTGATTTTCTGTGCCGAGGAGCACCTGACAATCCGCGTGTATCCTCTTCGCTCGGCCAAGGGTGTCGAAAAAGCGTTCATCTACCGGTTCTGCAGTAGAGGTGAGGCTAAGCATATCCTGTTCGGAGAGAATGAAATGCGTGTTGAATGCATCAAGAAGCTTCTGTTTTACTTCTTCTTGTCGCTTTTGTTCCATGACCGTTGCAGCTTCTTCTAGTACAGGCCCCGTCTCCTGGCGCGCAGCGGAAATGTGTTTGCGCATGTCATTGCAACAATTGTTCAGACTTTCAATGGTAGACCCGATACGCTTGAGTTGCTAGGTATAAAAGTAAATAATTGAATGGGTTTAATAGTTCATAAAAGATTTGGGCCTACCTCGGCCACCTTTCCAAACTCTTTAATGATTTCGCCGTTGCAATCAATCACTTCTCGCTGCACATCCAGTCTTAATCTCCGTCGTGTCTCGGGAGTATTTTCGAATTTCTTTGCGTCAAGAACCTCGAGCGCATCACGAATGTCGAGATCAGAATATGAAGCTGACAGCACAGCTGTTACTCTATTCGCGAGAGCGTTGGAGGGTCGAGATACAGCTCCTGTCGGAGTTGCCGGGGAGCCGGGCGACACTGAATAAGGACCTGGTGACAGCCCATCATCGAGGCGGTCCAGTGGAAGAGATTCCCTCCTTTCTGAGAAATACCCAGTTGTCATCTCTCAGCAAAATGGTTGAATTGGGTTGCTGTTAGCCTGTATGGAGATTTGCGGGCCAGCAAAGACCCTGGAGCTTTTGGAACGACGTAGCGTAGCGGATGTTGCCGGTACAAGCGAGTTGGCCCAAGCTGAAGCTTTACCCGGGAGGTCAAGCTAGACGTCCCCTCGGTCGTGTGGTCCCTCCGATTACCCCAGCAATCCAATGTCTCATCAAGCTATCATTCCCTCCAAGGCTCCACCATAACACCCCACCTGACTTATATCATTGATCACCATCCTGATCACCATGGTCCAGCTCGTTTGGCCGGTGTGAGACTGGACGGATGCTTATACAACTCCGACTTTACACCTTTCATCTCGAACCGTCTCACTGTTTCCGCTTCGTGCCCTCTCTCGGGAAATGCCGTGGTTGAGGAGCTCTTGATAGCCTCAGCAACCTTGGAACGATAAGGACCTTCAGGTCTCAGCCTTCAAGATGATGGCTTCAAATTTGCTGTCTCGGCTGCTGCCTTCTGCGGCGGGCTCGCCATCCGTCTACGAAACATTAAGGCAGCAAGACCATGCCTCTGACGGTTCAGACATCGAGGAGCGTGCAGGAATGGCCCTCGACGAACAGAATCTAGACGAACCGTTCCACGATTATGACCTAGAGCATGCCCTAGCTGATGCCACCGAGAGTCAAGTTACCACTGAAAGCACTGCTTTTCCCAAGGATTATCGCGGCAGAAGTACGACATCACCGCAAGCCGGCCCTTCCAAAGGCCCATTGGGACGGGGCATTAGTCGACCGAAATGGATGAAAGGTTCTCCACGGGGGCTCGATGCGGAAGAACCAGATGATGATGTGCCCCAGTCTCTACTGATTGAAGGGGGTGATGCAGCCCGACCTACTGCCCTTGGCAATAGTCCCAGCCGCAGAGCACATATTACACTTGCGGACCCTCCGGTACCTGGTCTGCCAACCCGTGAGGCTCGAAAACAGTGGGAGACTACTCGGACACAGCAACAACTACATCCGGATATGCAGATTCCTCGGGCTAGAAGACAACCTACAGTGCCAGCAGGCGCTGGACTTATGGCTGCAAACCCCAAGGAGAAAGCCATGTGGATGTGGGCCAACGTGGAAGATCTTGACAACTTTCTGAAGGATGTTTATGACTATTTTCTTGGCAATGGTATTTGGTGCATTATGCTTAGCAGGGCACTTAATCTCTTGTATGATGACAAGACTAAATATCAAATTTTTTTCATGGAAACTGATTGCATCCTAGGACACTAGCATTCGTCGTTGGTTTTAGCACATTTTTAACCATGTGTATAGACTATAAGAGCATCCCTCAAAGCAGGAGTATGTCGCAAATTACAATAGCAAAGTGCACGAAGAAGTAAGTCGCGGTCCATGGATGGATGATGTGGAACAAAACCCCCCACTGACAAGTCGTCTAGCATGTCCGGTTCGGCCAACTTTTTACTTTGGCTGTTCTCCCTTTTCTGGATAGGAAAGCTCTTCCAATATATTCTTGATATCCGTCGCTTGCGTTATATTCAAAATTTCTATCATTACCTTCTGGATATACCGGATTCGGACATTCAGACGATCTCGTGGCAAGAAGTAGTCGCACGCCTTATGGCACTTCGGGACTCGAATCCTACAACTGCTCAGGCCATGCACCCACATCATCGCAAATTCATTGGCAGCCAGTCGAAGCAACGTATGGATGCGCATGACATTGCAAATCGTTTGATGCGCAAGGAAAACTATTTGATTGCTCTGTTCAACAAGGATATCCTTGACCTGACACTTCCCATTCCCTTCTTAAGGGACCGACCTCTGTTCTCAAAAACTCTAGAGTGGAATCTCAACCTTTGCATTTTAGATTTTGTGTTCAATGAGCGAGGTCAGCTACGCCCGCTATTTTTGAAGGATACCCATCGTCGTGCGCTCAGTGAAGGGTTACGCCGCCGGTTTCTCTTTGCAGGTATCATGAATGTCATTTGCGCCCCTTTTATTATCACGTACTTTATGATGCTTTACTTTTTCCGTTATTTTAATGTGAGTCCCCGCAAAATGATGAAATTTTGGTCATGGTTGTTCCTAGATCTAACGGCCCGATATAGGAATATAAGAAGAATCCGGCCCAAATCGGCTCGCGCCAGTATACGCCTCTGGCTGAGTGGAAATTCCGAGAATTTAACGAGCTGTGGCATATTTTCCAAAGGCGTATCAACATGTCCTATCCCTTTGCGTCTCGCTACATTGATCAATTCCCCAAGGATAAGACCATCCAGCTGAGCCGGTTCGTTGCGTTCGTTGCCGGTGCCATCACTTCAATATTAGCTCTAATAACTCTCATTGATCCGGAGTTATTCCTTGATTTTGAGATTACTCCGAAGCGAACCGTCATCTTCTACCTCACCTTGTTTGGAGGTATTTGGGCCGTTGCCCGGGGCGCTATCCCAGAAGACAATCTTGTGTTCGATCCCGAATTCGCTCTCAATAATGTCATAGAGTATACGCACTACGTTCCGGCACAATGGCAAGGACGTCTCCACAGCGATGATGTTCGCAAGGAGTTTTCCATGCTTTATCAGATGAAGGTGGTCATATTCCTGGAGGAGCTGATGAGCATCATCTTCACTCCCTTTGTTTTATGGTTCAGTCTGCCTAAGTGCAGCGACCGCGTGGTAGATTTCTTCCGCGAATTTACAGTCCACGTGGACGGTCTGGGCTATGTGTGTTCATTTGCCGTTTTCGATTTTCAAAAGGGGCCCCACGACCCAGGGCGTCCTCGTCAGCAACCAACTGATGGTCAGCATGGCCTTCGGGACGATTATTTCTCTACCAAGGATGGCAAGATGTTGGCTTCATACTATGGGTTTTTGGATAATTATGCCGGCAATCCTCGTCCTGGCGCCCCTCATGGCAGCACCGGAACAAAACGTTCTTTCCATCCACCGCCCGCATTTCCAGGGCTCATGTCACCCCTGCTTGCAGCGGAAATGAGTGGAGCCGCCAACGGCCGGCCTCCGCGATCTGCAACGCGCCCTGGCACCGCGGGCACTAGCGGAAGGGGACCACCACGGACGCCCAAGTTTGCGCCGGCGGGTATGACTGCATCCCCTATGCCGTCGATACTCCTGGATCCGCATCATCAGCCATCCGCTTCTGGCTTCCGAACCGTCCCTCGGCATGGCACGCAGTCTCGATATCGCACTTCGCGACATCCGCTAACGGAGCCAATTCAGGACGCAGAAGAAGGGCCATCTGACAGCCTCGAGCGTCGTGGCGGAGTCACGTCCAGCGGATCGGCCGGTGGTCTTGCGACAGAGAGTAATCTCGGAGAGTCCTGGAAGACGACTCGTGCCGGGACCGGCGAGGTGGATGAAGGCGAGGGTGAAGAGGCTGAGGCGCTTGCAGGCGATAAGGGTGCTGGTGTTTTGGGTCTCATTTATCAGTTCCAGAAAGCTCAGACAGAAGGCAGAGGGACGGGCGTCAATATTTGACCTGGACTGGACGCGTCACTCGAATTACAAATTATCATTTCTTGCATGGTGTTTTTCTGTATTGGGAGTTCTACTCTTTCCCTACCGATTGTCTATTGATGGATTATAGACGTGGTAAATGCATCCACACGATCGATGCCGGTCGTCATGATTATTAGCGTTCACGTTAATCAGTACAGCAGCAGCAGAGTGTTATCTTAGACCTGGTATACGAGCATTAAGAGAAGAAATACCATGACTTTTACCGTGACATGCCGTCAAGTATTATGAGCACGAGGTGAGCTGGCTATGGAAACCCGAACCTTGTGATAATCTGAGCAGCACAACAACGAGCTACAGGATCCTTTAATTGCTCATAAACCTGCCTGATGAAGCATACAATTGGTTCATCAATGGGTTAGAAATAGGTGTCGGTACTTTCCTCGGTCCTCGGAGGCATAGAGCATGGACCGAGGGAAGACATTAGCGAAAGGCCGAAAGTCGGCGAGACGGGCACCTCCGCGGGAGATGCCCATGCGCGAAATCTCGAGTAGGGTTACGTACAGAGTACCGTAGTGGAGGATTTGGTGTGGGGGGCGACACAGGTTGAGCGAGTTTATCAGATCCGTGGGTAAGACGTACACGTTGATGAGCTTATCCGTCATGAGGCGTCCAACCCCCGACTAGAAGCCGTTCCAGGGAAATTTGGATAACAAATTGATAAACAGTGGTATTGACAAAAAGTGAAAGATTCTCATTCGGGGAAAAGAGGAGAACACGTCGCCTTTGTTGCTCCTCGGCCGAGCATATGTCAGCATGTTTGTCCCTATTGAGACAAGGTTCGGCCGAGAAACGGACAGCTCGTGAATGAATAATTTTCTGATGGCGAAGATGACGAGAGCGATAAGTTGAGGGAAAATAAGAAATGATGATTGACACTGGCCAAAGGGAATGTAATATGACATTGACCAGCAGGGTAGACCGGGAACGAGAAAAAAAAAGAGGGTCGAGAATGCCATGACTGACTAAAACACGACGAGCGCGTGGCTGCGACGAACTTTGGACCCCCGGCCCGTCGACACCAGGGCTCTTCCGGGAAGGTCTCTAGTAACAAGGCAAGATGGGAAGGTGGAAATTAACACAGTCACCGGTGGGCCGGAGCTACCTTAGGTATTTATCTAACACTTCTCCTTTGGAGTAAACAATTATCCATTTATCAGATAAAATTTCGTTCCCAATCGACCCGGATTAAGGCATGTGGATGATAAAACTGCGACGGTGGGAGTATCAGCCTCTTAATCAGTGAAACTACTGGCTTACAGTACAATAACCAATGCATACGGAGTAAACCCAGCAAAGGCTTCCGCTGTAGCGTATCCAGAGAGGTCGGAACGACCACTGTAATCAGTTAGGTCCAGCGGAAGATTCGGATCTGATTTGGCCCCAGAATCTTCGCTGCCTCCACCACAGCTAGTAATCAATTAGCGTAGGATCCACTGAGTTTAGTTAAGATTCGCTTAAGCGAGTTTCCCTCTGGTTGTAGCGAATGTCAGTTAGCGGGCAGTCAGCGTGGGCTGGGAGAGAAAAGAAAGGGCTTGGCCTTCTCCTTTTGAGCTTGGTCGCTCTTTTTTTTCTGTGGCCGCCCGCCTGCATCCGCCGTCCATCGGATCGGCATCTCCCATGTAAACTTGGGACCCTAAGCACCGCAGAACTTCTAATCCGGCCCCCGACACAGAGGAAAGAAGAGAAAGAGAGAAACAATCTAATCTTCTCTATCATCACCACCACCATCAATCACCAACTCACACTTCTTTCTCTCTCCCCTCCTCAATTCTACACAAGAAAAAATAATTTCAAACCCAACGAAACCCTTCACCTACCGATAATACGCTGCAGAGCAACTTCCATTTTCACATCGTCTTTTTCTTGCGCTTCGCTATCAAACCGTCAACCTGTCGCCCCTTCAAGAGCTTACTGCAGGTCCTCCTGCTGTCTCGCTGCCGGTCACCATGGCCACTCACGTTCACGATCCCATTCCGATTGAGGAATTTGAGTATGAAAATATTCTCTTGCTTTGAATGTTTTCGCTCCATTGTGTACTAACCCTGAGCCAGCTATGAGGGTCTACCGCCCAATTTTTCGCTCGGTGCAAATATGATAGCTGGTGCTTTTGCGGGTATCATGGTAAGGCCTTTCTGCCTCCGCAGCGATACGCAATGAATTCGGAGAAACTGACAATCTGTCTTGTAGGAACATTCTGTCATGTACCCCATTGACTTGTTGAAGGTATGACGATTTAGAACAAATCTGCGCTATCAATGATCCCAGCTGCTAAACCGACTTGTGCTGCGATAGACACGAATGCAGGTGGTCAATCCTTCTCCGACCGCCGTCTACACCGGTCTCACCAATGCGGTCGCCCAAATTTCAAGACTTGAGGGATTTCGGTCGCTTTGGAAGGGCATTTCTAGTGTTGTAGTGGGCGCTGGTACGTGTTGCAGGAGTCAAAGCGTCATGACCCCGTGGCATCTGTGGAACCTCTGTTGGGCTGACATGTCAATATAGGCCCTGCGCATGCCGTCTATTTCGCCACTTATGAGGCTGTCAAGCATGCCATGGGTGGTAACGAAGGCGATGAACATCATCCATTGGCCGCTGGTGAGTGCTACGCCGGGAACTCGTCATCGTGATAGCTTTTGTTGTCCTAACATCTCTATAGCGACGAGCGGTGCTTGCGCGACCATTTCATCAGATGCTCTTATGAACCCTTTTGATGGTGAGCTTCTTCCGGTTCAGTCGCTGAGGAAATTCGTCCCCCAATTGACCCAAATGTGATAGTCATCAAACAACGCATGCAGCTCCACGGCGCCGCATATCGCACCATCGCTCATTGCGCCAAGTCGGTCTATAGGACAGAGGGTTTCAAGGCCTTTTATGTTTCCTACCCCACCACCCTCTGCATGACAGTGCCTTTCACCGCCGCCCAGTTCACCGCATACGAGTCGTTGTCCAAGGTCATGAACCCTTCAAAGGCTTACGATCCGGTCACACACTGCGTGGCTGGTGGTTTGGCCGGTGGTTTCGCGGCCGGTATCACGACGCCGCTCGACGTGATCAAGACATTGTTGCAAACAAAGGGAACGGCGACTGATGTCGAGATTCGAAATGCCCGGGGTCTCTTTGAAGCCGCCGCCATCATCAATCGCCGTGACGGATTCCGAGGATTCTTCCGAGGCTTGAAGCCCAGAATCATCACTACCATGCCAAGCACGGCCATTTGTTGGTAAGTATCGAGCAATGTTGACCGGGAAAAGCGCACGGGCTAAAGAAACATCCACAGGTCTGCATACGAAATGGCCAAGGCCTACTTCATCCGTCAACAAGCCGAAATATAGTCTTTTCTAGAGGCTTTCTTTCGTTTGGGGCTGGCGCATTTCCATCTCTCAATTCTTTCCTCTGGTTGCCATTTTCCATCTATTTTCTCACGCAAGCATCTACTGTCATCAGCGAGGGCGGAGTAAATCTCCCCCGGACCCATCTACGCTGCGCTTATCACTTGTCGATCTTGCATCAAAAAGCCTGTGCTTCTGGTCTTGCCGTTTTATTCGACCGTTTCTCAGCATCATATCATCGATCCTCGTACTGTTGTTTTTTATCCTCACTTGCTTACCGCCCGCAATATCAGCTTTTGGCGGCGCGCGTGCGCGCGAGGACCGGTTTCCTTGTCGCACGCTTTTCAAATGCTCCATGGTGCTGCGCAAGTGACCGCCTGCTAGAAGTATCATTGCGCCAGGGCTGGCCTTCTATTCTCAACTGTATCTTGTTTATCTGATAGAATGGCGGGGATTCCATTATTTCGTGTCTTTCATTTCACCATCTCAAATGGAGGCGACGGAGTCTGGGTGGACTGATTTTTCCTCAACTTTTTCTCTTTTCCTATTCCGCGGTGGGGGAAGTGGCAGGCGGGTGGGCAGGAGACCCGACCAAAATGGCTACGTGGATCTCTTGGCCATGTTCACGGGGAGTGCTCTCTCTTGCTGCCATTCCAACATCTCACTGTCCTTGTTCAAAAGACAAAGTCTTGGCTGATTGCGCGCGAGGTTGCGGTTGTAATTTTGAATCTGCTTCCAACGAATAATCAAGCGGGGCGTTTGTCTAGTTTTCATATTTCACACCATGATCATCATAATTGTCGACAATATGACCTGGCAGGTCATTTCTCTTTATTCATGTATAAATAGCACAAGATATTATCTCTTCCATCTGGCTGTTTGGGCGAAGCACGCCTGAATTTCTATCTGAGATTGGTAGACGGTTAGGCCATGAAGAAAAACAAAGAAATCCGATCATTTAGCAAGAAATGGACACTTCGATATGGTCGACGTAGTATCGTGCACTATATCTGTCATATGCGTCATGTATAGTGAAGCCATGTCAAGAGTATCTAGCTCTAAACGGGAACAGCTACGCCTTACGCACGTTGCGAGTAGGCGGAGCGGAGCGGCGGAGAAAGGAGATGCATGTTGACATGAGAATTATTTTGTGAGGCGCAGCAGACTGGTGATTTTACCGGGGTTCTTTTGCTGTCGCAACTTTTACTGTCGTGGTAGTATAAAGTGTGGCGAATGCTAACCGCGAAATGGTCGCCTTCTGGGCAGCATGAGAGTGTACGTAGTAATTACCAGAGGCAGCCTTGGTGGACGGCTTATGACGACAGTCGAGTTTCTACTTTAGTCGGAATTGGCTGACTCGTGTGATTCGGCCACGGTCATGGCCGATTTGGGAAGTCACGACCAACCACTGTTTCTACTCAATTTGTCTACAATCCTCTTCTTTCTATATGCTCACAGGTTAACTACAGAAGTGTTCCTTCCTTTTTGTTAATGAGGACGCAAATTTCAAATTCTCCCTTGTCTTTTTTTTTTGTCCTTTCGTCCAGTAGAGCTGGACAATACTCCCCCGCAATTGTGTGTTATACTGACCGCATCCTCAAACGCGAATGTCAGTCTGCGGGGCAGTGCATTTGTCTGAATAAACAACACCTTGCCACGAAATTACTCCCGACGGGAAGTCGCTTATACTTGATTACGACGCTATCCGAAGCTTATATGTCTTAAGGGATTGCGGATTCCACACGCCCGGCAGAAGAACTGAAGACAATCGATAAGAGGAAAGAACGACAGACAAACCCTCGCAACAAGAAAAGGGTCGACCATCGACCAAAGAACGCCCCAGGGGACCACAAAGAACCTGCGTGGAGGGGCACAGTTCACGAAGTTGCGGTTCTCCGATCCAAGAATAAATGCTAGGAATTCCTGGTTGAGGTTCTGAAGTGGGAATCACATATTATCGGGCCGCAATACTCCGTGCCTGGCTATGACTTGAGACGAAGGGCCGATACCCACGATATTTTCTATATGCTTGGCGGACGGGACCGAGAACGCTTCCCTCCTTTGCATCGATGATGCGCAATAAGACATTGTCTTCTATGCAGAAGACATATGATGACTGCTATTTAATATGTTCAACAGCGGTCTATTATGAAGGACAGGTGCGTGCACGGGTCACCGTTGATGATAATACAGGGCTTTCCAGCCAGGCGCACAAACATGCTTACAGTCTTTGTAGGGAAATGAAGCAGAGGCTCTCCGTTCCTGGAGGAATGCCCTAGATCAAATTTACTATCATAATGCATATCGCGTACCGCCAACTTATCAGCCAAGATCCGAGACTGAAAAGGCACTGCAGGAATCACTGCGCGACATGGAGCTCCAGTGCAAAGAACGTGTCGACCTTCTGGAAGCTCTTCGACAAAGCCGTGCAGAGGCAAAAAAGGACAACAATAGCAGTGCCTCGAGCGGCAGCCCATTCCTAAAACGAGCGGGACGAGTCACTCCGCCAGAGCGACCTACTCGTCCGGTGGAAACAATAGGGGAAGGGACCGTGCCGACAGTGACATATTCTCAATTGTCCAAGCCGGTGATACCGTCAATGCAAAAGTCACGGCCAGCCTATATAAAGCGAGACTCTGGGAGCGACACGTCACCGCCGATGAGTAGGACGCATTCAGGCAACTCTGTCCATCGGCTGTCTACTTCGGCCGCTATTACTACAAAGTCTTCACGGACTCCCAGTCCAGATAAGAGGTTGGGTGGAGGAATGCCGATGACGCTGAGGACAGGAAAACAGAAGAGATCCTCAAGGTCGCCCAAAGGTAGCGATCCGCAGCCGGACCGTCCAGTGGCAGCAGCAAAAGCTGCAACGCAAGCGTGGGGCTCAATCTTTGGCAGAAGGAGCAGTGATAAAGTTGCTCAAACTTTGGGAAGCCTTGGTGGCAGCGATACGAGCGTCAATACTTTGCAACGCAACAGTGTGAGCGGATCCACTTTGGACGACGGGCGGACGTATGGGGGGTATACGAGTTCCGGTGAACTGTATCTGCCACGGCAAAAAACCCCACCGCAGGTCCAGCCACCAAAGGAGCGTGACTATTCTGCCGGTCATGGTCGTTTGGGACCACCCACACCATACTTTTCGTATCCAAATTGGCAGCAACAATCTTCACCGCCGGCAGCCGCACTTCCGCGACGACACTCGGGGGATTCAGTTCGAAGCAAGCCGCCACCGCCACCGCCGCGCATCATTAAAGAAAAGCAAACACTCTCTCCTAGACCTGTAACTCTGCCAATTAGACCATTAACCGAACCACCAAGTCAATCACCGCATTCCTCTCATGACGCTTCTTCGTATCCATCATACCGCAAAGAATATCAACCAACGCGGCCTGTGGTCAAAAAGAAACCGCCGCCGTTACCACCGCCGTCACACGCGTCGAAACCTGCCCGTTTACAAGACACTCCCAGCTCCTCCACCACATCGTCACCTAATATCGCCCGCCAACGGTCGCCGCAGCGGAAATCTGGCGTTGCCGCGCCGTCAACTGTGAAGTCTAGGAAGCCTGTGTCTATTATAACAAATCCGACAACGCCAAATGCACGGCGTTACCGAAAAGCAGCACCACATGGATTCGACTTTGCCGGCAGCAGCGAGGAGAGCAATGGAAGCGAAGTAGAATATGATCCACACACCCGGACCCTACGCCGCAAGCAAAGGGAGGACCCAATCCTGGCTGGATCGCCAGTTACACCAACCTCGGACATTTCTCGAAACGGTGATGAGAATACACCACCCGAATCGCCAGCGACGAGAGCATACAATAAACGCGTTGAACGAGTAATGAAGAACCTGCCCAAGGGTATTGACGAGACGGCTGCCAAGCAAATCTTCAACGAAATTGTCATTCAAGGCGACGAAGTACATTGGGACGACGTGGCCGGCCTTGACGTGGCCAAGAGCGCACTCAAAGAAGCCGTCGTCTACCCTTTTCTCCGGCCCGATCTATTCATGGGACTGCGCGAACCTGCACGCGGTATGCTCCTGTTTGGACCCCCGGGGACAGGCAAAACGATGCTGGCCCGCGCCGTTGCTACCGAATCCAAATCGACATTCTTCTCCATTTCGGCAAGCAGTCTGACGAGCAAATACCTCGGAGAGTCTGAAAAATTGGTGCGCGCACTATTCGCACTCGCCAAGGCTCTCGCGCCATCTATCATCTTTGTCGACGAAATCGATTCGCTCTTGTCCTCACGCTCAGGATCCGGCGAACACGAAGCCACACAGCGCATCAAGACGGAGTTTCTCATTCAGTGGTCCGATCTCGCCCGCGCGGCGGCAGGTCGTGAACAGAGCGATAAAGAAAAGCTGAAAGGCGATGCCTCCCGCGTCCTCGTTCTCGCGGCGACGAACCTCCCCTGGGCTATTGATGAGGCAGCGCGTCGCCGGTTCGTGAGACGACAGTATATCCCGCTCCCCGAAGGCCATGTCCGCGCCCTGCAACTCAAAACGCTGCTCAGTCACCAGAAGCATAGTCTGAGCGATACGGATATTGATTGCCTGGTTGAGCGGACAGAGGGTATGAGTTCTCATTTCCCTAGATTTACAATGACAGTATGCTAATACGGTGCAAAGGCTTCTCCGGATCAGACATTACTGCACTGGCCAAGGACGCGGCAATGGGACCGCTGCGCGCGCTCGGCGAGGCCCTGCTGCACATGTCCATGGACCAGATTCGGCCGATTGAATTGCGCGACTTCGACGCAAGTCTGACGAATATCAGACCGAGCGTGAGCAAGGCCGGGCTGAAGAAGTTTGAGGAATGGGCAAGAGAGTTTGGCGAACGGGGGGGTTAGCCTCTTAGGTCCCATTTTCTCGTTTCACTCTATCTTCTGTCGTGTCGTCAACACAATCATGTCGTATTGTCGGGGGTTTAGTGTGTTGGTGTGAGGGAGAGGGCTCTTGTTCCTCTTGATTCTTTCTGTCCTCCCTTTTCTTTTTTCCGTTGCCGTTTCCGTTTCTGACGGATTCGTGGGTTTTGTATGACTCCTCTTTTAGTATTATTATACCTCTTTGTTTATTTCTTCCTTTTCTTTTTCCTTTTTACTTTTTTGCCGTCTCGCATTGTGTCTCTTCGGTGCTTGGTTGGTAGTGGTCTGATGCGGCATGTTTCAGTATCAGTGTCAGTGTCAATATCTGTAACAGTAACAGGATCACTTTCAGTTTCTGTATCAATGTCAGATCAGTGCCAGTTTCAGAATCAGTAACGCACTGCCAACTATCGTTATAACGCGGTACTGTTGTATGGCTACCCAGTATACACCTAGCTAGCTAGTATGCCATGATATGAATTATCCGCACTTGATTGAGGTGTGGACTACATTCAGGACTACATTTAGTACTACATTTAGGACTACAGATACTCATGGATATACCCCCCAGATTACTTTACCCCCGGCGTTCAGAGTTTCGTATGAAATCATGGTTCAGACCCGCATAGTTCAGATCCGCATGGTTCAAGATGTACATGGTATTCAAATTCTACATGGTTCAAATTCCGCATGGCTTAAAATCCGTGTGGTGTTGGTGGTGGTGTAAGACAAGTACAAAGTAATTGTCAGAAGACAAGTCAAAAGACAAGACATGCAAAGCAGCAAAGCCCTGGGTCATACCTGCTGTCATACCTTTGTACCTTTGTACATTATATAAGGTACCTAGATGTCATGGCTCATGATTCATACACGTGTAGAATAGTAGTGGAATATGTTTGGATCTATAGTACACTATATGTACATTCACAAAGCCTTTAAAAAAAACAAGCTAAATAAATAAGAAAAAAGGAAATAATACTGAATAATAGACTTTGAATGATTTCAGAAGCGGAAGAGGAAGGAAAAATATATGACGGGTACAAAGCAAGGAAGAAAGAACAAGAAGATGTGATGAGGCAGAACTACTTGGAATTAAAAAAACCAGGAAAAACTACATGGAATAAACTAAAGACAAGCCAGGACGAACTGAAGAAACAGTACAAGAGTACTATGAAATGCGCTCAAGGTCTTCCTGGTTACGCATCGCCTTATCCGCATCGCGGTTCAGACTCTGGTCTCGGCGTCGCTGGACTTGGGATTTCTCCTGCGGGCCTCGCGCGCCCGAGGCGATCGCGCCGGGTGCGCCAGACGCAGTGGTTCCCTCGGAGGCGTACGGACTCGTGATGCTCTCCGCTTGTGCTTTTGCTTCTGCGGCCTCGAGGGCCTCGAGGATCTTGCTCTCAGAGGGACCCGATGAGGCATCAGGCGTGTACGTCCAGCCGGGCGTGTTCACTTCATTGGGCGTCGACGCGGACAAGCGCCGGCGTTCAGCTCGCCGAGCCAGTTTCGCGTGGCGCTTGGCTTCGAGTTGTCTCTGGCGCTTGGCTTCAGAGGGCACGTGCGGCCGAGACCTGAGCGTGTCGCCAAAGGGAGCGATGATGGCGGTCACGACGTGCCGGACTTGTTTCGACACGCGGAATCCCGCGGCGATGCGCACAATGTCGCCTTCCCGGGTCGAGTTGTTGGGGTCGCGGACGAGATAGTGCGTTGGTTTGGAGAAGAACTGTGGTATGATATTAGTAAGATGGCCAGTTTATGTTAAGGTTTAAGGTTATAGGTATTGGGTCATGAGGTGTTTGGATATTGTAAAGTGATATGAAAGAAGGCGGGAAGAAAGGAAGGAATAGTAGAGGATTGAACGAACCTTGCGGATGTGATTGTTCCAATTCTGCTGGGCGATGCGGACCTTGACAGTCTTCATCATCTTGCCCGCGGACACAACTACGCCGGTTGCATTTGGTCCTGCCATTTTTTCCCTTGATATATTCTTCTACAACCTCGTCTTTTCGGTCTGTAATGCTTGATGGAAATGTCCCGATTGGTCACTGCCAATTGCCCTTTATCTGGCCTTGAGATTCGATTGTATATCCCTTCTTTGTGACCAGCAATTGCTTAGTTGCTTCACTTGCTAACGAGACCTGTGTCTGTGTCTAGCAAATGGGTTGGGATCACGCCGTGCGAGTCGTCGAAAGAGATGATAGATGGGAGGTGTTTTCGACCGGCCTGAACGTAGATGTCCCGAAACACAGCAAAGGCTCGTTCTCTTGAATGTATCGGGCAAAGAGTGTAAAAAGTAAGTGTCGAGTTTCGCCGTCTCGTAGATCCTTGAGGTCTCTTCTTCCGAGTTTGGCACAAGCGCTGGCAATTTCGTGATATCGGACCGTATGGGTGCAGAAATACGATGGATATACGCAATTGGGGAACTAGATATGACTCGGCAATGGGGTCAATAATGTTGTGTAAACCGTCCTCGTTGCGGTGCAGGACGTTGACAATATTCAATGCGGCTCTGCCAGCGGCCTGTAGACAATTTTGGGGTTCCGGGGGGACGTGAGTTTGCATAGTTTGCATCTAATCCTCTTTGGGCTCCAGAGCTCAAAGCACAGACCACATCCTCCTTCAGGGTAGAACTGTAGTCAATCAAGATGTTTGATAGTACTGTAAATAGGAAAAAAGTAAAATTTGTTGCAGAGGAAATAATTGAGAGGATAAAATAAGATTCTAAGGAATTGATGTCGTACAAAAAGGGGTAAAAATGAGGGTAAAAATGAAAAACAAAAAAAAACATGCAACAGCGGGGATTCGCTGGTCGTCACCGACCCAACTACTAGTCCGCCGATCTGAGGCTTATGTATGGCAGAGCGGACGGGATGCCCAGTTCTCCTCAGTCTATGGTCGCATGTACTAGATGAGCTTGCAGACAAGTATATATTGCACGCATTCTATTACCGGGATTGGAAATCAAATCACTACAACATCGCATGCAACTTGCAAAACCCCGTTAAGAAAAGCAACCAGACATTGAATTTATAATATACTAATACATATGAATGACATTGTTATGAATTGATTACAATCTATCATTGCGAATCGAGGCTGACGTCTCATCGTAATTGACCACCCTACCCGAATGTTTCTTGTTTGTTTGATGTACGACTCTCATTGAACGCCAGACGCTGCCATATAGAAAGAATTGGTAGAAAAGAGAGGTCCAAAGGACCCAAGAACAGTGCGATGAAATGACACAGTCAGACTGTAGTCCATGTCGTCACGTATTGTCCACAAGTCCTGGACCCCATCATCCGTCACATCATATCCACCCATGCGAAACGAAAAAGAGTTTGCCATGCTCCCACGCAATTAATGAGCGGGCTCGTTGGCGGGAGTCGATGTATCAGACTGCTCGCGCTTTTCTTTCAACTTCTTCTCCGCCGCCGCAGATATCCGCGTCAGCTCGCCTACAAATGACTGGCCCCAAAAGGCACTGCACCCATAAATCAACATTTGAATCCCCATGACAACGCTCTCAAGGTGATCAAAGCTTACCTGGTATACTTGTTGACATAACGCTCGAGCTTGCTGTAGCTAATGGCACGTTGCTCATCGCCCATGGTGACCGCATCATGAATGGCACCGGCCAGTTCTTCCGTATTCCACGGGTTGATAATCAGACTTCCATTCAGACTCTGAGCGGCACCAGTAAATTCTGACAGGATCATGACTCCGTGACGCTTCTGTTGGCAGGCAATATACTCAAATGACACCAGGTTCATGCCGTCCCGGGTTGATGATACGAGGCAGACGTCAGAGACAGCGTACAACGCAATGAGCTCGTCAAAGGAGACGGATTTGTGCATGAAATGAATCGGCATAAATTCAATGGTGCCTTGCAGGTGTCAGAATTAGTTCTCTTTGGAGGATTGGGTCGCATTGTAACATACCAAATTTTCCATTGATCCGACCAACTAGCTCGTTGACCACGGCCCGAAGGTTCTGGTACTCCTCGACGTCTTGTCGACTTGGCACAGCAACCTGAACAAGCACCACCTTGCCGATCCACTCTGGATGTTCAGTCAAGAAAATCTCCAATGCGTGCAGCTTCTGCGGGACACCCTTGATGTAGTCCAAACGATCGACACCGACAATCAATTTGACACCCTGGAACTTGCGCTCTAGGGTAGCAATACGCTCTTGCACCTTGGGCTTCTTGAGACCTTCGGTGAATTTTTCGGGGTCGATACCGATAGGAAAAGCGCCGACAGAGACCATTTTGCCTTGGAATTCAACACCATTGGGCGTGGTACTCAGGCCCCTGCACAGACTTGTTAGCTCAAACTGTTATGGCCTTTTATTTTCACACAACAGAGTGCATACAAGATTCGCGAGCAACTGCTCAAAAAGTGTCGCGCGTAATCGTACGTGTGAAAGCCGACCAGGTCGCAGTGTAGGACACCAAGCAAGAGCTCGTTTCGGACGGGAAGGATACGGTAAATTTCACTACTGGGAAACGGCGTGTGGAGGAAAAAGCCGATCTTGACATTGTGCTTTGTATTGCCAATTTCCTCTCGCAGCATCGACGGCAGGAGCATCAAATGGTAGTCGTGGACCCAGACGAGGTCACCGTCATTGACTTGACTCGCAATGGCTCGCGCAAAGAGCCGATTGGCTTCCCGGTATGCATTCCAAGCCGATTCGTTGAAGACAATCTCACCAGGGTGGTAATGGAACAAGGGCCAAAGGATCGAATCTGTAGCAGTCACACCAGGTCAGCGCTGGGTCCAGTTGAACCAACGGTCAAAGGGCCAAAGCATTCTCACGGTTCCGCACGTACTTGAGAATCCATTGTAATGCAAATCCGCGAGTTCGTCGTCAATGAAGACGGGAATCGCATTGTATTCCTCCAGCAATCTATTTCGCACATGCTGCTCTTCGTCCACAGGGACCTCGAGACCGGGCCAGCCATACCACTGAAACGTGGTCGCCTTAGACAGGCCACTCAGTCCACTGACCAAACCTCCAGAGGACATGGAGAAGTCATAGCTGCCATCATCAGATCGTTTTATTGTGATCGGCAGACGATTGGATACAAGCAAGAGTCTCGACTCCGGTTTTACCTCGGACGATTCGTTTGACATGTTTGCTCGTCAGTATTTTTGTTCAACAAAACGAAAATATAAGTCTCCGGAATGCGGCTGGTCGCTTTGTCGGCGTTTGTGTAGATTTTGGAGATTTCGTACTTTTCCACGAGCTCCGTTCCGTCGGATCAGAGGAAAGCCAAAGGAACTTGACAGTAGCGGTGGAGAATAGGAAAGGCTGTCAAATAGTGTAGCGGAGTGTCAAATATCTGGTGATGGTAGAAATATCCTAATTAACGACTACATGAAGCAGCGTTGTCGGGTTGGAGGAGAGCATAAACAGCGAGAAGGTGAGGAAACGAAGGGAACAGAGATCGAACGTCAGGTTTGTTCGGGACACGATCGGGGTGCGACGCCAAGAGCGGGGAGACGAAAACTAGGTTTCTCCACACGGAATCGAGCAATAAAAAATATCGCTCAGCAGAAGAATAGAGGAGGGTGGGAATGCGTGAATTAAAAAAGAGATAGCAGAATGGATAGGAAAGGAGGGGACGAAAAGATGAGGTGAGGTGCGTCGTATTGCGTGGTTGAGCTTGTGGTGGTCAAGTGGAAGGTTGTGGTGGTTCTAGGCGCGACTGTTGTCGGGTATAACCGTCCAGTCGCGGAGGAGAGGAGGGTTCGTTACAGCTACCAGGTTCAATGGGATGGGGATAGTGGGGGAGCTATTACGATACTATTCCTGTGTCCAAGGCACAGAGAGGGCATAGTGAGGCATTCTTTCAGTCTTCTTTACACTTTCCACGTATGTTCTTGAAATGAATGCTGGGGGGCGGATTTAGTTGGGTGGACGCAGATTATTGCGAGAGCTTTACGTAGCTTGAGCTGCAGAGGTTAACTAGCACCCTAACGGGCCTAGAAGATTCCTTGCTTGACTTTTTTTGGCGGGTTGAGAGAGGAGAGAAAGCCAAGAGCGCCCAGAAGAATAGGTAATCCCAATCAGTCTTTTCGCTCTGACGAGCTGAAGCCACTGACCTTGGAAATGCATGTCCCAAGGATGACGGCGCAGATATCAAGTTTCTCTTGCTTCAGATCTTTTCCCATGTGCTGCGAAAATTTTCTTTGGCAGGAGAGAGAGTGGGGACTCGGATGACAGACAGGCAGACCTCGGACTGGGGGAGAGCTGTGCCAGGCTGTTTAGTGTGGGTATAAGTATTCGATACTTATCCTCCAGCCAATCTTCAAGTGTAGTTACGAGGTCTCCACTACTCTTTTCGCCTGGACATCTCCTGACGCCATAACCAGGACCCTGCAGTGGATGATGCAACCCGTCACGATGATGCAGAAACCTCATTTACTTACTGCCCACAGGACACCCAGAAGTATCTCATCTTAAAGGTAGGAAATCCCACAAGAACAGTTGTTCATTAGACTAGCGAACAATGCAGGGGAGAGAGTATTTGAAAGCGTTTTGATTTTCTTGCCAATATCTTTGCCAATCTTGCTATCTCTCAGGGCTCTACGTCTACACGGTGTCACCCAACGTATACACTGCACCCTACTGATATTCTAATGCGCCAATAACATACCTTACTTGTACGCCCCAATGTGACGCATGAGTACTACCTAGTTATCTCCAGCGACCCAGGCATCACATATTTTGACGGTTTTACCCTGTTCGTACGGCAAATGCGGAGAAGTAGAATGAAGATTTGGCATAGTCCTTTATACTCACCATAGCAGCCGCATTGATATATATATAAAAAGCGCCACGCATTGAAACTTTTCCGCCAGTACACCTCTATGGAAATGCGGGGAACGCCAATTGCCCCGACCTGCGACATATCAGGCAGAGGCTCTAGTCTTCATTGTACTGTTCTCTACCTGGCGCCCCGCCATTCTGGACGGGCTAGGGTCTTCGTAAGAATGAATTTGGGTTTAACCTAAATTTGAACCTGCGCAAGGGGAATGCAAGTCGATGCAGATCGACCGTGCCCTACGGTGGAAAAGGGATATTTCTGGCCAGATTACTGTGCCTCTTAGAAGGCGTCAAAGAGTGGTGCAATTGGATCCAAGCAATATAGTCGTTGGATACCTTAGCTATAAGTACTGAGAGGGGTTCCCTGCTGTATGGGGGGACCCGGTAGCGGTTCCCAGGGGAGATAGCTGGGTACATGGCAGTACACATGGCAGCAGATCTACAGCGACGGAGTAGAATCCCCGCAAGCCGTCGTATGGAAAGCATGAAGGTTGCCAAACCCCTGAACTCACTACTCCTGCTCAACGATCCTAGTAAACGGAGTCTATACCTTTTGAATAGATATGGAGTCTCTAGTGATACGAAAATAAAATGATGCTCTAAGCTCCCTTTGTGTTTCCGCGTCCGACGGATTGCTACGGTAAACCTCAATTTGTATAGAGAAGCTCATCCACGGCAATCTCCATTCCCCGCGTCATTTGCCCGCCTGACGCGAACTCCACGCGTTTTCCCCCACAAAGCTACGGAGTACTCGCCCTGGAAGCCATTGGCCTGCGATCTAAGCTATCATGTCTGACTCGGAAGCGTCCGACGCCACCCCAGGCTCACCAGTACTTGAAAAGGGTCTCCGCGATGTCGTCAGGGCGGTATTTACTGCCTCAACCTTTCAGCCCGAGGAGCTGACGGTAAGGCGCATGCGCGCGGCGGCCGAAGATGCTCTCAGTCTCCCTGCCAATTTCTTCAAGAAGCACGATGAATGGAACCAAAGGAGCAAGGAGATCATACAATCCGAAGCTGTGAATAATTTCCTACGTTTTTAAGGTACTTTATTTTAACAATTGCTAACGTGTGTATATTGCGCAGGAAGCTCAGCATGCGCGACGGGAAGAAGAAACAACAGCTGCCGTGGGAGCCTCAGCGAATTCTAAACAAGATACCTCCACCAAGTCAGCCAAATCAGCCGTAAAGAAAACGTCTACGTCAAGTCGAGGCACGAAACGCGCATCACCGGACAGCAAACCCGCAGCCCGGAAACGGCAGAAGAAGCAGCCTACCCGAGAATCTGAGATCGAAGAGGAGCAACCCGTTTCGGAGAAGGAGAGCGAGGAAGATGAGGCCCCAAAGAAGCCCCAGAGCAAGACTGGTAGGGCAAAACGTCGCAGCGTAGAGTCAGACTCTGAGGTGTCAGGCTCAGACGTAGAAGAGTCAAACAAGGTGGCCACGAAGAATACCAGCAGCAAGTCAACAGAAAACAGCACAGATGAAAAGCTATCACCTCCGCCGGAATCCGAGAGCGAGCTATCCGAGCTGATTGACGAAGGGCCCGTCAGAAAGAAAGGGAAGAAACAGATCGCATCCTCAGCAACAGCAGGCAAGAAGGGCGGGAAGAACAAATCGGCAAAGTTATCCAAGGATACTTCTGACCTCGATCCTCAGGATGCCGAAATCAAGCGACTCCAATCGTGGTTACTCAAATGCGGCATTCGAAAAATGTGGTATCGGGAGCTGGCTCCATATGATACCAAGAATGCCAAGATTGCACATCTGCGAGACATGCTCAAGGAGGCGGGCATGGAAGGCAGATTTTCAGCAGAAAAAGCCAAGCAAATAAAAGAAGAACGGGAGCTTAAAGCGGAACTCGAGGCGGTACAAGAGGGCGCCAAGCAATGGGGTCACTCCGGCAGTGAAAATGAGGAGGATGGCACCGATTCCGGCAGAAAGCCACGAAGAAGGCTGGCAAGGGGACTCCGAGAGCTGGACTTCCTCGGCGATGATGATGGAGAGGAGACAGACTGATTTGTAGAATTCGTCCGAAATGGCAAGGCAACGGCTAGATACAGGGTGGCAGTTCGTTGCATAGAGTCGTATTAAAATACCAGCAGTCATCCGCAGATGAGCCCATCATATCTTAGCCGGATGGTAATTTATAAAGTAATAAGGCTCATGACGATGCTATAGTGAGAATGATAGATTATGCATCTGATAGAAGCTTGGCTCCGCTCATTTTCTGAGCCATTAAGCTAAAGACTGCAACAGAAGACATGAATAAGACGAGATTATAAAACTAGACAGTCAGCTTCATTAGTTGGATACTGAAGACACAATCAACGCACAGCATTTCTTGAGTAAGCATTTTCTTCTGCCTCAGTCCGAGATTCGACAAACAAGCGCCGTAGATTAGGCAGATTCAACGCCTTAAGATGGTTGTCAGACAAAAGCTTAACCACTCAATATGATAGAATGCGAACTCACCATTCCGCCACTTTAAGAAGTGTCGACAAAATCTAAAGCTTTGAATTGTTGAATTTATAGGAATCTTGGGATATGTTTAATTTTTGAGCATTATCGATGCATTGTCAATATTCGAACATTGACTATGCCTACAGAATGAATGAGTGGTGGTGGTCTTGTCGATCTGCCATGACAAGCTTCCCCAAACTCGGCAATTTGTCACTTTCAAGCCAAACGGGCTCTTGGACGACGTAGGAGGGTCCCTGCTCGGACCTTAGGCCAGGAATACATCAACAACAGCGACCAGTCTCACAAATCAATTCGACAACAGCAACGACCACGATCCCCCTATCATCTGCAGACAATTTGAATTTCTTGTGCATGCGGTTTTAGTGTGGTCGTCATCTGCACCCTTGAGAGATGGCGGCGAGTCGGATTAGGAGCGCCTTCGCGGTGCCCCGAAAGGGCGAGACCTTTGAACTGAGGGCAGGCCTAGTGTATGAGAATCCATGTATTTGATGGATTGAGAGCACGCTGACAATCAGGGAAGCTCGCAATATGCCTACGAAAGGTGCGCCCCGAAGAGATGTTTCACAAAGATGACATGTCGCTGAATGCCTAGCAGGAAGGAAGCCATCCAGAAGACCATCATGTCCATGACCCTGGGCAAAGATGTTTCCGCATTGTTTCCGGATGTTCTTAAGAACATTGCTACACCTGATCTCGATCAGAAGAAGCTCGTATACTTATATCTCATGTACGGCGATACCCCGCATTTGACCGGCGCAATAAGGGGAAGATGGATCCGCTGATATGACCATTTCTCCGGCTTCTAGGAATTATGCCAAATCGCATCCCGATCTTTGCATTCTTGCCGTAAACACATTTGTACAGGACGCTGAAGACCCGAATCCGCTAGTCCGCGCTCTGGCCATCCGAACAATGGGCTGTATAAGAGTAGATAAGATGGTTGATTACATGGAGGACCCTCTACGGAAAACATTACGAGACGAATCGCCATACGTTCGCAAGACGGCTGCGATTTGTGTGGCGAAGCTCTTCGACTTGAATCCCACACTATGCATTGAGAACGGCTTCCTAGACACTCTCAAGGAATTGATTGGTGATCCGAATCCCATGGTGGTAGCCAACTCTGTGACAGCGCTCAAGGAGATCAACGACTCGGCACCTGAGACGAAGGCATTGGTCATCACATCACATACATTGAAGAAAATGCTGATGGCTCTCAATGAGTGTACGGAGTGGGGTAGAGTGACAATCTTGAGTACTCTTGCGGAATACCATGCATCAGACGTCAAGGAATCGGAGCATATCTGTGAAAGAGTGTCGCCACAGTTTCAGCATGCTAACCCAAGCGTTGTCCTTGCAGCCGTCAAGGTAGTCTTTTTGCACATGAGAGCAGTCAACTCGGAATTAAATAAACAATATTTGCGAAAAATGGCTCCTCCTTTAGGTATGCTGGACCGAGCGCTGGCCCTTCGATAATTAATGGTCTTGCTGACAACTTGCAGTGACACTGGTATCATCTGCACCTGAAGTGCAATATGTCGCACTCCGAAATATCGAACTCATCCTGCAAAAGCAGCCGGATATCCTTACCAAGGAATTACGAGTATTCTTTTGCAAGTACAATGACCCGCCGTACGTCAAGCTTCAAAAGCTCGACATCATGGTTCGGATCGCCAGCGAGAAGAACATGGACCAGCTCCTCGCCGAGCTGAAAGAGTATGCGCTTGAAGTCGACATGGACTTTGTTCGTCGTGCAGTCAAGGCTATTGGCCAGGTAGCAATCAAACTGGAGGCGGCGAGCGAAAAGTGCGTCAATGTCTTACTCGACCTCATTGCCACCAAAGTCAACTATGTCGTGCAGGAAGCGATTGTGGTTGTCAAGGACATTTTCCGAAAATATCCTGGCTACGAAGGCATCATTCCGACGTTATGCCAATGCATCGATGAGCTGGATGAACCCAATGCGCGGGCTTCCCTCATCTGGATTGTGGGCGAATACGCCGAGAAGATTAACAACGCCAACGAAATTCTTTCCGGATTCGTAGAAGGATTCAATGAGGAGTTTACTCCTGTAAGCTCTTTTTTTTCCCCACCCTTTTCATCTTTTCTAAACCCTGAGCCCAATGTACTAATTCCCACAGGTACAACTCCAAATCCTGACGGCCGTGGTTAAGCTTTTCCTGAAGAAGCCCGATCAAGGCCAAGGCTTGGTCCAAAAGGCGCTACAAGCTGCTACAGCGGAAAACGATAACCCCGACATTCGAGACCGCGCATACGTCTACTGGCGATTACTTTCCAGTGATCCGCAAATAACAAAGGTATGTTCTCTCCCTATTTCTTACCAATAATCTTACCGCAAGCTACAACCAGTGACCTAACTTTGGATGTTACAGAACGTTGTATTGTCAGACAAACCAGCCATTACTTCCACCATTCCTTCGCTCCCTCCCGCTCTCCTCGATCGACTCCTCAACGAACTCTCTTCGCTCGCATCCGTGTATCACAGGCTTCCCGAAACATTTATCGGCCAAGGTCGCTTTGGCGCCGAAGCCATGCAAAAGGCCGCCATCGAGTACGTCCTATTTGCTCTCTTTTTGCCCCTCAATTGTCCACTTTATCTCCTTCTCCTATTGCTCTTTTCCCGGCGCCCCACATTACCCCTTTCACCCGCGTCTTACCTCCCACCTTCCTCCCAAGCCAGCCGGGCAGGCTTTGTGTATGTACACATCACTAACCCCCATCAAACAGAGAGCAAATGCAAAACGCGCGCGAGAACCCCCTGGCGGCCAACGCCGCCGCTACCGCTGCCGCCGTCGTCTCCGGCGGTCCCGCCCCGACCGCAAACGCCGAAAACCTGCTCGACATCGACTTTGACGGCGCCGCTCCTGCATCTGCCCAGAAACAGCCCCAGCCGGGCCTCACGGGCCTGGAAGGTCTCGGCGGAACGCCAGTCCGCATCGAGTCTCCCGCTGTCGGTGCTGGCCTAGGTGCCCCTCCTCCTCCTGCTCCTGCTCCTGCTCCTGCTGGACCTTCTGCTGCTGCGGCTGCTGCTGCTCCCGCAAGTGCAAGCACACCCGCGTCGAACAACGCACTAGACGACCTCATGGGCGTGTTTGGCTCAAGTGGCGGCGCGGCCCCTCCCGCTGCTGCGGCTGCGGCTGCGGCTGCACCGAATGGCGGCGCCGGTCTCGCCGGGCTGGGCGGTTTCGGCGGCCTCGGCGATTTAAGCAGTCTAGGAGGAGGCGCAGCAAATGGGTCGAACGATTTAATGAATGGTCTGGCGGGTCTGGATCTGGGCGGTACGGGTGCTGCAGGACAAGGGCAAGGACAAGGACAAGCTGGAGGACAACAGCAACAACAGCAACAACAACAGCCAAAGAAGAATAATGAGGACATATTAGGACTTTTCTAGAGAGAAAAAAGGAAAAGCAAAATACTCTTGTCATACCGTCTGTTTTGTTCCTCTTTTTCCAGACTTGAACACATTATCTTTAAAATTTAATCCTGTTCTATAAAGAGAGTTTTCCTCGGAGTAGTATCATTCACTAGTGGTTATATTCGAACTCGTGGCAAAGAGAACTTTCCGTGAAAAGGATAATCAAAGTTCTGAATGTACGTATCGGTGATATGGATTTTTTTTATCTAGAGATTACACCAGACGAAGGTGAAATATTTCCCGTTTTATCAAACATACTAGTATCGAATGTATAAATGAGAAGAACAGAAAAAAAGAAAAGGGAGACCGGAGAACGCTATGCTACATGACCACACACAGGGGATGGAAGGAAGAGAGAGAGAGAGAGTAAAAACCAAGACTCGTTGGGATAGAGATTGAGAGAAATAAGATGATAAGGATGAAAAGAGAAAGGGGGGAAGTGAGCTGAGAAAAGAGAAGACCAGACGACTGCTCTACTTGTAGAAATCGAACCTAGGGAGCCATAGTGTTAGTAAACAAGTTGCGAAAAAAAGACTGCAAGGTTGAATGAGAAGAAAAACGTACTTGTCTTGCTCTCCGCCACCCTTGACTTGGCTTGAATACGCATCGTCCAGATCGGACTGGATGATATTGTATCGGTTTTTCCGCACGGCTCGAAGACCAGCCTCTTGCATAATAGCGGCAATGACGGCACCAGAAAGGGGATCGTTGCGGATAATCAGCGAGTCCAAGTCGACTTCAGGGGCAAGAGACATTTTGGATGCAACCGTGGTGAAAATGAGTCGTCGCTCTCTCCGGTCTCGCAGCGAGGGGAACTCAATCTTTCGGTCAAGACGACCGGGTCGTAGCAGCGCAGGGTCAAGAGTATCTGCTCGGTTCGTGGCCATGATGACTTTGACGTTGCTTGACTGGTCGAAACCGTCCATCTGGTTGAGCAACTCGAGAAGAATACGCTGGACTTCTCGGTCGGCACCCGTCTGGGCGTCGAAACGCTTCGTGGCGATGGCGTCAATCTCGTCGATGAAGATGATTGAAGGAGAGTTCTCCCGCGCCATACGGAATACGTCTCGAACCATTCGTGGACCTTCACCCAGGTATTTCTGAACAAACTCCGATCCAACGACACGGATAAAACTTGCGGTGGTGTTGTTGGCGACAGCCTTGACAAGCATAGTCTTGCCTGTACCGGGGGGTCCGTAGAGAAGCACTCCGCGAGGTGGATCGATACCTGTAAACGATTAGTAAGTAAGAGCCTTGTCCGTCATAACCGGCGGCAAGAAAGAAGGGAGCGAGAAGGAGTTGGGTATCTGGTGCGATGACGAACCAATCTGCTTGTATAGATCGAATTGCTGGAGCGGAAGCTCGACAGCCTCTCGAATCTCCTGCTTCTGCATATCTAAACCACCGACATCCGCGTATGTAATATCCGGTTTCTCATCGGCTCCAAGCATAGCAATCGAGGAGTCTGCCTCTGGCGGAAGAATATCGACGAGGGAGTTTGAGTGGCGGTGCAAAGCAACCGAGGAAGAGGGCTTGAGCTTCTCTCGATCGAGCGTCGAAAGGATTCGCACGACATAGTTCGATCCGGTTGATGATTGAACGATTCCAGTGCTTGAGCGAGTTTAGTACAAAGGTATATAACGTATCATCTCCAGCGCACACTTACTTTTGGTCGATGGCTTCCATAAATTGTCCAATCACCAGAGGAACACTCTGGATACGCTTAATCTCCTCCTGGGCCCGCACAAGCTCTCTCTTCAGACTCCTACAACTTCCAGTCAGATCTAATCACCAAAGGGCTCCAAGCATGCGCATGCGTACCGTTGCTCATCTTTAATGTATTCCTCTTGCAACTTAATATACCTTGAATGCCGTCAGCCGAGGGTCCGATTGATGCTGTAAGTTTCAACTCACTCAAGATGTCGCTGCAGCTTCTTCAGCGTTGAGTATTCGTCGGCGCCATCGGCACCTACACCCTCCAGCGGCTCAATGTTCGGTATCGAAGCAGGAAGCTGCTTCTTGTGAGGCGCGACTTGATTGGCAGGGTTCTGCACTGCAACGTCCGCCATTTTGACTATCCGTCCTCAATGCAATAGGATGATGGTGATGATGCGTTGAAAGATCGCGCTGATTGATAGCTATCGGAAGACACTGCCTGCTGTGCTAGACACCTACGGAGTAGTTCACGTTGACGAGCTGCCGTAATGGTGACCGGGGTCTCACTGGAGGCCGACGTTGTTGTGTCAGCTTAGTCATCTATTTGCCTGCATTTTTTCGCCGTCCATTAAAATATGTCATCTTGCATAAAGTTTTATGCGTTGTGCATAAAATTCTCTGACATTTACCTTCGTAACATGAGGGGAATATGAGGTGAATCCGGACGTTTAGTCGGTTGAATAAATTCCTCTTGCATGCCTTTGCTCAGTGTAAAATTCGTTGCTTGAAAATGTAGATCTTTTGGTCATTTGGTACAATGAGTTTGAACTCCAAGATGTTTCAAGTGCCGGTTTGTAGCCCAGCTCCCCAGGGCTAGGTATTTCACTCTCTGCTCTGTAAATGGAGATGGCATCGGAAATGTTCAGTAAGATCTTTGGTAAATTGGATGTCACGGTTTATAGTGCTTGGAATGCATTTGAATTTGTAACCTTGATTTTTGTTAAAAACCCAAATTAAAAGGAATAAACCCAGTAAATTGAATTATGCTCGGTGCCCTTTTTCAAGGCACCTTAAAAAAAGACCCCCTGATGTACACACCTTCGTCACGGTATAGTACGAAACTTATATTCTAAACATCCAAGTACTAAAGGCAAATTTTGGTTTGGTACAGGTAGGAATTGTAGAGAAATTGACCATTTCCCCCAGTTGTCGTCGGCAGCATTTGAGCCGATGTTACTTGTAGCAAGACCGAAGACTATAGAAGGTCACCCCATTGAAAAATTAGGTTGCCCCATGAATCGAAAAGCTGACGACTTAAATACCTTGTGACGGAATGTTCACTATTTGCCGGGATCTAGATCTTATAATTGAATATTGACTTATTTCAAGGCTTGCTTTTCAGAAGGCGAAGATATCACTTAATCTACAACACAGATCAAAAGAAATGCCATAAAAAGCCCCGATAGTGATGCCTTTCAGGAGGGGAAAAAAGAGGTTTAGATGAGAATAAACACAGAACGATTGCACATGTAAGATCTTGATTCATGCCAACTGGGGTACATGATTGAGAGGTTGCTTCTGGATGGTATATCTCGCACTTCGAGGGCTCGTGGATTTAGTGTCACCGTAGCGCCCAAGTAGCCTGATGCACGGTCCAATCCCAACGGACCGCACCGATCCTTTGGCTGTGTCCGTCAACATGGCGGTGTTGCCTAAAGTATACAGAGTAGGCAGGTACATCGATAATGCAATAAGAAATCACTGTGACAGGATACATTTGAACAGGGATTTTGAATTGTGAGACTCGTCTACTCCTGAAAGGGATTTTAACTGTGGTATGAGCGCCCGGCCTATTGTGCCTTTTGGGCCCAAGCAATTCGACCTATTCGGTCCTATATTGAAAGAGAGGCCTAAAGTGTAGTGGTTGATATCTATTACCAAACAAAAATGGTGCAAGATTCGGTTTGCCAGTCAATACCATGTCCATAATTGAAAGTTTGCTAGCTCTTAAAACAAGGCAACTTGCCGGCGGTCTTATTGACTGTACGACCCCCATAAGTCCGGGCTTGTAAGACGATGGGAGGTCCAATCCGGCCCAGCAATTTGTTCCTTTTATCTCTCATCTTACTGCCAATTTCTGCAGGTATCGTTTTTAAATTCATGTACAAAATCCTCGACTCCTAGTATGGCTATTGACACTGCAGTCCGAAAGCAAAGTAAGATCACGTGATGTCTCTCAAGGTGTCTGATTCCTCTTCTCGTCTTTCCTCTGGTCTTGGGATACTAGTATCTCGGTATAGATCCATTTCTTTAACCAACAGAGAGTGACACAGTCATGGCATGAGGGATCTCCCGCCATTATCGTCGGTGTAGCCTATCAAGTAGGTAAGTTACCTACTCGGAGTATAGGTTAATCATCTGCTGAGACTTCCGTTGTTGTTGGTCATGGCGTCCTAGTCCGAATGCGGCCATAGGCCAAGAATGTACGTGATCAGAAATACTGTGAGTAAGTCAGTACCCCAAGGTGGTTTCATCAAGAGGGAAAGAGGCAGGAGGGAGACCAGAGTGGTACAGTATGGGAGAGAGGCGAGTTAAGGGAATGACTCCCTCTCCTCTTCCCCTTCCCTTCTCTCTCTCAGATTCCCCCAGAAGACCCAGCTTGGCCCACCAATCAACCAACCAACCACCCATCCCCTGGTGCGTCTTCATCGATTCTCTCTCTCTCTCTCTCTGTCTCTGCTATCCTTTTGCTCCTTTTTACTCTTACTATTGCGCCCCGAAAGCCACTCCATTCTCCGACACCCCCCAATAATACCTTCCCCAGTTTTCTTTTCCCCCCCGTTCACACAAGAGACATCATCAACCCACACACCATACACACCGAACGTTCCCCCCCCGTGCTGCAATCTACGGCCAGAGCACGACCCAAAAAGCTAAAATTGCAAATCGAAGGCCTCTGGGGGGAAATCAATCAGACCCTCACAGATTCCCACCCCGACCCGAGTCTTCCTGCACTACCGGAGACCTCAAAGCCAACCATCCATGAATACGCCTTAGGTGAGCACCTCTCATTCCATTCCCGTTGATTCCAGCCTCTTTGCGGCACCTGGCACCTGCTTTTTCCCTTTCGGTCCTCTATTTCTCTTGCTCTGCTCTGTCTGTCGTCCATCGTGGCCACCCCCCGTCCCCTCTAGCCTCGCGTGGTCGATCTGAGCCTGATTCTTGGGCTCTCTGACTCCGCTTTTCACGCACACACGCGTCAGGCGCCCACCCACCGCCCTCCGATCCTTTTTGCCGATTCGTTTTCTTTAAAAATTGCCTGATCACGATCTTCCTTATCTGCTCCAGGCACCGTGTTAGCCGCGTCGCGCGTCTGTCGCTTTGCTCTGGCTCGCCGCGCTGCTTGCTGTGGATGAGGATGATGACCGTGTTGATGCACTCCGCGCCTTGTCCCTAAATGTGCTGGATGACGATGCCGCTATCGCTGTTCGATCCCGGAAATGTTTCGCTGACATAGCCAATCTTGTTTGCGCTTCTTCAGATGGGCTGCTCGTGCTCGTGTAGACATGAGCTCGATGAACTCCAATGGCGTCTTTAATCCTGCCGCCCACGACCCGACCGCTACTCTGTCACCGGCCATGCTCGATCCCTCGACCGCCTTCATGCAGACGCCCAATGCCTTTGACCTAAATCAGCAGATTCAGGCTCAACAGCTGCAACAGCAGCGCATGCAAAACGGCTCTGCGCGCAATCCGACAGGCGCCTTTCACACTCCCGTCTACAATGTCAACCCCATTGTGCCCTCGAAACGGACGCGCGAGGACTCTATCGGCGCTTCACCGCGTCAAACACCCATGGCTGTACCCGGCGCGCTTCCCGGATCGCGCTCGCAAACACCCCAGCAGATGCCCTTTTCCACCTTTGCGACCAATCCGTTGGCCGCTCAACAGATACCCGCCGCTCCAACTCCCTATCAGCACCTCCAACATGGCGCTCCGGCCAATGCGTCACCGTCTCCTATCATGCAGAACCAGCACTTTCGTCCGGCGGCCGCGCCTCCGCGCATGCAAACCGCGTCACCAAGTCCCTTTGCTACTGCCGCCCAGGGCTTTGGTCCTCAGCTGTCCCCCTCGCAGCCTGACCACATGAGTCGCGTGCAGACGCCGCAGAGCGCTGCCTCGACTTTTGTGCCAACGCTGCCATACGGTGCCGGATTTGGCCCCCCTTTTAATCCTCAAATGGCCATGTCGCCCGCTGGTCTTGCGCCGGGTTCGGTGCCTCCGCAGCCTGCTCCGACGCCGACTCCAAACCTTCAGCAGCCCCAGCCCCAGCCTCAGCCTCAGCCACAGCAGCCACAGCAGCAGCAGGGGCAACAACAGCAGCAACAACAACAACTCAATGCGCAGCGCATGTACCAGATGCGCCTGCAACAGCAGCAGCAGCAGTTGCAGGCGAACAGCATGACCATGCAGGGCGGTCGTCCTCAAAGCGCTGGACCCATGCCCCTCGGTACTGCTGGCACCGCCGCGCCCATGCCAAACATGCCTGCAGCAGGTGTCGGCGGCGGCGCTGTGCGGCCGATGCAGGCGATGATGCGGCCCAATAACCCGGAACAATTCATGAAGAACCTGGCCCAATTTATGCACGCCAATGGCCGTCCCTTGAACATGACGCCCATGGTGGCTGACCGCACCATCAATCTCATGCAACTCTACGCTACGGTGATGAAAAATGGTGGGTTCAAAAAGGTAACCACCATGGGTGCTTGGCCTGCGGTTGCCGCGGCGTTACAGTTCCCTCCCATGCAGTATCCGACGGCGCCGCAGGAGATCAAGGCCCACTACGAGCGTAACCTGATGCTGTATGAGAGTACATTTTGGCAAATGCAGCGACAAAAGGTTATGAACGAGCAGCTGCAGAACATGCAACAGAGCCAGCCCAATATGCCCGGAGCAGGAGGCGTGCAACCGCAAATGTCGCCTCCCAAGCCCATTCCTCAACCCACTGCCGAGCAGCCGCTGCCGCAATCGATATTACCCCAAGAGTCCCTGCCACAGACGCCAATTAAGCAGACCGTGGCCTCTCCAAACAATGTGCGGCCAACGCCGATGAACGGTTATGTCACCCCTCAGCAGCAAGCTCAACTTTCAAGCAAACCGTCATCCATTGGAAGCAGCCAGCACCGAACAAGCCTGAGCCGCCAACTCGAGATGACGCCGCCGCCGCAAGGGCCAAATGCGCAATATCCATCACCGTCTCCTGCCTTTGTCTCCAAACCCCCAAGCATAGCGGCAGCTGAGTCTCCTATGGTGCGGGCCAATGACCAAGCAACACTCCTTCCACCACCACCACCACCAAGTCCCGCGAAACAGCCTGCGCGGCTTCCGACCAATTTCGAGCCCAAAGTTCGCGTCTTAGACACGCATGGCGGTGTTGATGTCGTCACGGCCGGCAACCTCGGCACAGAACTAATCGTGCACAAGCCTGTGGTCCCGAGTTTCACAGAGCTCGGCGTCATTGATATTCATGCCTTGACCATGAGTATCCGCTCCGGTCTACATGCTGAGGTCCGATTAGCGCTGGATACTCTTGCCACTCTCTCGATAGCTCCGCATTTCCAGCTATCTCTCGAGAGCTGTGAAGATCTTGTGGAAGCTTTGATTGACTGTGCCGAAGACCTGATGGAAACTCTGATCAGTGACATTCCCGAGCCTTTAGAGTCCTTGGCCATCGCCCCGTATGAAACCGTTCTTCGCAATTGTCGGACCGAAGTGGACGGTCTACAATCACTTCCCCCTGTTGAATCTTCAGAATATGAACTGGACAGGGCTGTTGACAAGCTCATTTGTATCACAACCCTCCTACGGAACTTTTCGTTTTACGAGACAAACCATCCGATGCTTGTTGACGCCAACGTTCTCAAATCCGTGGCGGCAATCATCAATCAATTGGGGACGCGGCCACGCTTCCTGCGATCGAATGTCAACACTCTCGACGTCATGAAAGACTTGGTGACGTTCTTGTCAAATCTGGCTCAGTCCATCGAGTTGCCTGGAAAAGAGGAAGCGCTCCTCTTTTTGCATTTCCTGCTGTCCTTTGGTCCAAGCCCTGGTCCGACAAACCCTAACAATGACGATGTCATCTTTTCCGCCTACCATCCTTCAATCCATCGCTATCTCCCGCCTGCTGTGGACTGCTTAGCTAAGCTTCTAGCGCGCGATATGCCGAATCGCACCTTTTTCAGAGCGATCTTTGCGGCGGAAAGTACTGGCTCTCCACCTTACGAGCTCCTCACGAGGGCATTCGGCCTCGCTATTTCTCCGATTCCGGAGCACGCCCGCGGGAACCCGATCCCCATTGTCGAAGCAAGGAAGCCTTTTCTCGTCCAGGGACTGCTTGCAGCAGAGATACTTGCTAGCCTTACTCCTGGCCCTGACCATAATCTAGCCAAGTCTTGGCTTTCTTCTGCCGATGGATTCTCTCTGAGTTTGCTCCGTCTCGTATGCCTGTTGAGCACTGACCGGACTCCGCCAAACCAGCGAGCTGCTGGTAGGTCGACCGAGCAAGATGCACAAGCGTATGGTATGATCACCCATCGTGGTATGGCTGTGCTTCAACGACTAGCCGAGAAGGTTCGCAACTCAGATGATCTATCCGTGAAGCTACCGGTGGGAATCTTACCGAAGAAAGAAAGTTTGCTTGGTGCGCTCTTGACAGCAAATATAGATGGCACTGTCGTGCGGCAACTTTGCGCTTATGCCGGGCTAGAGAGCTAACGTAAAAGCATCACACGGTGTTTGGCGTGTTGTAAATCATGGACTCTTTCAAAGAGTCTAGTATATATGTACTTTGGTGGCCTCTCCATTTTGTTTCTCTCCTTTCAGCGATTTTGGGAATAGCGAAATTTTTGCTTTAGCTCATCATTCGGAGGCAACACTGCACTCGCGATAGCTTGTTCGGACACCTTTATGTGAAGGCTCAATCTGATGACCGATTTGGGAAGCGTGTCACGATTCTACATATTCTGTGTCCATGCAGGATACCATTGTTGTTTGAGTACATCTTTCGAAGAATTTTATAGTGATGAGTGTTTCAGCATGCAAAGTTTCTGACGGGCGATTACACTATTTTACAACTTAGAAAAACGGCCCTTTTGCAGGCTTGAACATAATAATGTATCTGGTATAAGAAAATTCCATTCCACTTTTAGAAACGCCTCTGCTCTAGAAATTTTGTAATCTCCGACTTTCTCCAGCCCTAAAAGCAATTGAGTCAGCATGTGCCTATCCGATTGAAGAAATTTCGCTGACAGTATGGTACCTTTACAATGATATGCTTCGTTAACGAATTGATTGTGATATCCTTGGAGTCCAATTGCAAAGCCTGTTGCAACTGATCCCGCAATACTTTGACGTCGCCCTCCACCTTTCGAATCTTCGTCTGATGCAGATTACCACCGCGCTTTGCAAGCGTATAAATCGGGAGTTGTCTCGAGGGCGTCCGATGCACGAAATAAGGCTCGCTGACTGTTGCGGCAGGGGCAGGAGTTGGGGCAGACAACGGCACTTTCACTTGGACTGTTTGTTTCGACGTCAGTAGATGTAAACATCAAATGACAGCATGTATATCTTACCCTGATTGTATAACCTGGTCGAGCTGGATATTCTTCGCATGAATTGGTGGACACTTGAAGATTGAGGAGGGCCGAGAGGCCGGAGGAAAGGCATCAGAGCCTGAGTGAGCACCATGGCGAATGGAGCGACGCAAAAGAAAAGTGGAAAAATTAAAAGTCAACAGGCAATTGAGCACGGGAGAAAGAATTTCGCAAGAGATATTGACGTCCAGGCGGAAGATTTATGGCGTTTTGCGTGGGTGATCGGTCCTGTATGATGAGGCTTTCGGCTTTGCCTTGTGGTGTATCTCCTTCCCCATCCCGGTCGCGGCTCTGGTGTCGTTTCGTCGCCAAAAATTTAGCGCGGCCGCCCGCGAAAAGTCACACACAATTCAAAGTTGCGAAATCGACGCCGCACCACATCGGACGAAAGGTCAAGACCGCCGCGCGCGCTGCCCGTCACAGACCATCTTATAACACAATCCTCGTGCTTTCGCATCGTCGACTTCAAGAGGGTTGCAATCATGGCGGACAACACGCCAACCTCTGCGGAGACCCTGCTCAACGGGGCCGCCTCTCAAGCCCCTAAGACGTCTGAAGAAATCGTCAAGGAATACGACCTGCTCCCTAAACTGATCTCTCATTTCGACCGACACCTGATTTTCCCGCTTCTCGAATTTGCCGCCGGCCAGGAGGAGGAGCGTGCCGAGGAGATCACCAAGACCAAGTATGAACTTCTTAAGCACACGAACATGACCGACTACGTGGCCAGCCTATGGCAAGAGATCAACAACGCCGATGAGCCTTCCGAGGAATTTGCGAAGCGAAGAGAGGAGGTTCTGCAGAAGCTGCAGCAGTATGTTGATGAGACAAGCAAGATTACTGGTCTTCTTGATGATGAGGAGGTTGTGGGAAGCCTACGAAGCGACAAGATTGCCAATTTGAACTATCTTAAAGAGCAGCATGGTGTGACCATTGAGATGGTGAACGCTTTGCATGACTTTGGACGATTCCAGTACAACTGCGGCAGTTATGCAAATGCCGCTGAGCTGCTCTACCAGTTCCGTGTCTTGGTATGGAAATCTGGAACCCCGCACCTTCAGTTGCTCCCTAAGTGGTCTCAACTAACGTACAACTAGTCTACCGACAATGACAAGGTTGCTTCTGCCACCTGGGGTAAGCTGGCGTCAGAGATCCTGACGACCAACTGGGTCTCGGCCATGGAGGAAGTTCAGAAGGTCAAGGAGAGCATCGACACTAAGCTCTTCAACAACCCGCTCGCTCAGCTGCAGCACCGGACATGGCTCATCCACTGGGCCCTTTTCCCCTTCTTCAACTACGAGCCCGCCAAGGATACCCTCTGCGAGCTGTTCTTCTCGCCCCCTTACATCAATACCATCCAGACTAGCTGCCCGTGGATCTTGCGGTACCTGGCTGCCGCTGTAATTACAAACCGGAGCCGAAGCCGGAACACTGGTCAATACCAAAAGCAGCTCAAGGATTTGATCCGTGTTGTCCGACAAGAGAATTATGAATACCACGACCCCGTCACCGATTTCATCAAGGCTCTCTACATCGACTTTGACTTTAAGGAGGCCCAACAGAAACTCGGCGAGGCCGAAGACGTTCTTCGTGGCGACTTCTTCCTGGTCGCCTCCGCCGACGCTTTTGTCGACTCTGCACGACACCTCATTTCCGAGTCCTATTGCAAGATCCACCAGCGGATCGACCTGAAGTAAGAGCCCCCTTGACACCTCTTGATTTGAAAGCTCTTGGTTTAAAATGTGGAAAAACTAACCATGGTTAACTGCAGGGACCTGTCGACCCGGCTTGGTCTGAGCCAGGATGAGGGTGAGAAGTGGATCGTCAACCTCATCCGGGATACACGCGTGGACGCAAAGATTGATTACAAGGAGGGTACCGTAGTCATGAACCACCCCGCTTCTTCCGTCTACCAGCAAGTCATTGAGCGGACGAAGGGCGCTTTCTTCCGGACCCAGGTTCTCAGGTACGTGCTTTTCCGTCCTTGAACGCTTCAGGTAAAGGCATACTGACGTGTCATGATCAAAAATAGTTCTGCTGTTGGTAAATAAACTGCGTGCATGTTCATCTCTGGCGTATATTGGTTTTCTATCGTGTCATATAGGGTTTGAAAGCCTTATGATGTCTATGGCTAGATATGACAAAAAAAGTCTGCCGAGAATCGCTCGTCTTTAATGAATTTCTAATCTGCTTGACTGCCTGTGCAAATTTGCTTCCAAACCGGTCTTTTATTACTTGTTGGCTGTGCCGTGTCAATTAAATTCCCCAAGCGCTCGGAACAGTGCCGCATCTAATCTCAGTTTAGATGCAACATGCATCTGAAATCTTCACACCGCCTCTCTGTCTCTCGGCTGGAACGTGGCCACCTCAGCAGCGTCCCTTGTCTACATTTGGGTTCTGGTTCCTGGCCCTGGTAAGGCTGCACTGACAGGTCCGCTATTTCCGAAACCCAGCTTTGCGTGATCTCTTAACTTTTTGCCTAAGCACTAGAAGCTGAGAATGTCTCTCAGAGAGTCATAATTTGACCGTCATGTGCGCGGCACGTTAACCAGCCACGTCGCGAAGTGGACCATGCGGTATCACAGTATTCTTCGATTCTACAGTAGTACTACGTACAGAGTTGTCCAAAGGGTTCAGGGTGGCAGAGTGACCTTGCCTCGAAGCCGATGGTCCGAAGGCGCGGTCATCGGTCACCGGTCACCGGCATATATTGCCGCTAGACTCTCGAAAATATATGCATGATATACTCCGCGATTACTCCCTTATATTTATTCAAAGTACAGAGCAATTATGAAGTTTGAGAAATCTACGCGGCAAAGGAATAGTCACCCGTTGTACAAAGACAATGAATAAGCTTAGGTGGGTAGGAATTTCGAGGTAAGACTACCACGTATTGTAGGCCAGGTGTCGTGTGTCTCTCGACAATAAAGGTCTTTGCCCCGGCATGTTCCGAACCCCCCGGGTTGCCCTTTCCCACTGGCCAAAATTTAGGCAGTCATTGAGCAGAAAGAGAAGAGCACCCATTAAAGGTACCTCGGGATGTATAGGGGTCTTCATGCAGATCGTTGTACCCACTCAGTGCCTTCCGTCAAACCCCACGGGTGTCCCCCGATAGCTAACCCCGATAGAGGAAAAGTGACATCTGCTTTGATACGTGATAGGTGATCCTCTATCGGCCAGCTCGGACGTTCCCCCAACCTTCAGGTGTCACTTCGCGAAGCTCTCTAATAATTTCTCACTCTTAATCTAAATATTCTGCTGCTCCGACTCTTCATCATGATCATCAATATTTCTATTGGCTTCCTTGGACCTTAATATAGTCGTCGTTGGAAGTCGTTTGATTCTGGTCCAACCTTCTGCTCATTCGAGGAGTTGCACATGACTGTAATGCTGTCATAACCTCCACTTGCACCGATTCCATTGTCTCATTCTTCCACGACAATTTTATTTTACAACCTTCCGCAGGCAGCAAACCATCCAACTTTACCATCGCTTCCAATATGCCTGTCGAATCTGATCTCAAAAAGTCCGTCGGACGGCGGTTGACCAGGCGAAAACAGCATGACCCGCGCCCTCTCTCTCCCGAAATGCCAGAGAAGTTCAAGGATGGCGCAGATGCTAATGAAGACGTCTGCACTTTACACGGTAATGATGTGCACTACATGAACCAGTCAATATTTTCTATGATTGCAGCAGCTGGTTCCCGAGCAGACTTTCGTTCTCGCTTCGACGAAGATTCAAGTGACGCTGGTGACGAATCAGATGAAGAGGATACACAGGATAAGGATGATACACCACGCGCAAGCCAAGACCATGCTGATGGTCGTCCCACTGTAATGCCATCCGAGGGGAAGCCGCAAGGACAGGGCAAAAAGCTCTCGGAGCTCCTTTCTCTCCCTCGTCTCCATTCGAGAACATCAAAGGGCAAGAGTCGGCTTTCTCAAACGGTATCCGGCCCTTTCTCAGAAGCATCTGGCGCGGAGGATAAGGAGCCTGAAAAGAAGGAGTCGGCTATCTATTCCAGGGATGCGCCGGTAATGAGCCGCATGATCCAGGCGCAGGCAAAACAAGCAGCAGAGGAGGCCTCGGAGCGCGAACAAGCTGCCGTAGAAAGCGGGAAAGAACCACCAGCCGACGTTACTGAACCAAAGGCGACAATTACATTGGCTGAAGGCTTAAGGCGGATATTCGGATACGAGGACCCGGAAGAGGTTCTCGCTGGTATGTAAACTGATTATGGAAAATGCGCGGAGTTTTGGAGACTGATCTCTATTTTAGAATACCCATGCTGGCTTCTGCAAAGCGTCCTACTTCAAGGATACTTGTACATCACTAGGAGGCATATTTGCTTCTACGCCTATCTGCCAAAGAAATCAGTATGTGCTTCCTTTATGATGCTGCAAACCTGCCAGACTGACCCTCCACAATAGGATGTTGTAGTGAGATCCGGCCATTTGTCGAAACGTGATCGAGGAAGACCAACATATCAGCGCTACTGGTTTGTTCTGAAGGGTGACGTGCTGTCATACTACGACGAACCTGTCGATATCTACTTTCCTTCCGGGAATATCGATTTGCGCTATGGCATCTCGGCCAACCTGGACGGCCATGAGCATGAAGAAAAGGCAAGGTCCTTCTCGGTCGTGACTGACCAGCGGACCTATCATCTTCGCGCCGATAGCGCTCCTAGTGCAAAGGAGTGGGTCAGAATGTTACAAAAGGTCATATTTCGGTCACATAACGATGGGGACAGCGTCAAAATATCCATACCAATCGAGAACGTAATCGACATTGACGACAGCAGTGTCTTGGAACTGGCAGAAACAGTCAAGATTCGCGTGATAGAAAGCGATGAAACTTATGCAATAGACGAGGTTTGTGTCGAGCTCTTTGGCTACGAAAGGTATAATTTCTCTGACTGCTATCTAGTACTTCTTCTCTTTTTTCCGCTACGCCAAGGATGCTTTGCGGGTGCTTCGAACGGTAGTGGAATCGATGCCTGCGCAAAATCTCGCCCCTGAAAGCCAGCGTAGATCTTCAGCTTTCACAGAGCCGGCAAGCCCCAGTAGCCCAAGGGGCAGGTCTCAGGAGCCCAGACCTAGGACGCCACAGGGAAAGCAGATTGACTCGCTTTCAGAGTCTCTCAGCCCTGTCCTACATGACAGAGTGAGGGCGACTTTATCGCCAAGGTCGCGGGCTACGAGCAGAGCCGCCAGCTCCCTGGGATGGGGCCAATCACATCTTGGCAATCGCGCCCAAAGCATGGATGTCAATAGAGAGCGGGAATCCAGCAGCTCCAGCGTTGACTTTGGCCGGCGAAGCATCAGCACCACGAGATATAGTGTGAGCGGTGCCGCAAAGGAACCGCAGTCGCCTTCTACAATGCCCCATGAGTCTTCTGACTCCTTTGTGCATTCTCTCGATCGTGATATCGAGTCTTCCCCTGCTGTCCATTCGATCGACGACACCCAAGCCTCTGCCAGCCAGATACTCGATCGAAGCGATGTCTTCCATTCGCCTACAATACCAAGTCATCCACGCGAGGGTGATGCAAATTGGAAAGGGAAGGGGAAGAGCGATGAAGGCAACAGGACCATCAAATTTGGGAAAGTCAAGGTCCATTCTCCTTCAAGGTCACAAATACGGCGCACGTTAGGGGAGTCAGATAAGGAAAATTTTGGCGACGTCAGTGATTCCGAGACTGGCAGCGAAATCCATAGCGGTCAGATGAACAAAACTGGATCAACCCCTACTCTACAAGAGCTTGTTCGTGCTGGAGCTTATCCGCTCCAAAGAGCAGCCGGATTTGCCGAATATCTGAAGTCCCATTCAAAGCGAATGACTGGCCTTCTTGCATCTGAGTCAATGGGCTACGTGGAAAAGGTTTCTGGAATGTGGGCCGGCGGTAGAAGGCATTACAGCGAAGGAGGCCCGAGTAACGGCGATGAAGTGCTCGATGAAGTAGATGAAGACACCGGAATGGGTCCAGGAGACCGATTTCGTGCTCATTTTGCACTTTCTCCGTCCGAAAAGCTTCAAGCTTCCTACTTTGGTTACCTTCTTCGCGTCCTTCCACTCTACGGGAAAATATACATTAGTGATCGCAAATTTTGCTTTCGGAGCTTACTACCTGGTACTAAGACCAAGGTGAGTCAAATTTTGCTCCTATTGATTTGTTTTGATATAGGGTCCACCACTGACACGTTGCAGCTTATCTTGCCCTTGAAAGATATTGAAAACGTGGATAAAGAAAAAGGCTTTCGTTTTGGTTATTCTGGATTGGTCGTCGTGGTCAAGGGCCATGAAGAGATCTTTTTTGAGTTTAGCCACCCTGACTCGCGTGACGACTGTACGGTCACAATGCTTCAAAAACTTGAATCTGTGCGTTACTTAAAAGAGTCTGGTATCTTGACTCAAGAAGAGGAAGAAGAGGCAGAGATTGCAAAAGCTGAACATCGCCTGCTCATGGAGGCGAGACGAGAGGGTAGTGATGCCCGTTTCATTCAAATGCCGACCAGCCCAAGTGATACAGGTATGCATAATTTGGGGGTTGTGGTCAAGATCATGATTTGATGATATCTAACGCCCATTCTGCAGATGCACCGCCTATTCTCTTTGACGATCCGCGAGTATCAATTATCAACTTCAAGCCCACGCAGTCGCTTAGGATTACGTGCTTGACGATTGGCTCCCGTGGTGATGTCCAGCCATATATAGCCTTGTGCAAGGGTCTGCTGGCAGAGGGCCATAAGCCAAGGATTGCGACTCATAGAGAATTTGAGCCATGGGTAAGGGAGCACGGTATTGACTTTGCGCCAGTCGAGGGTGATCCTGCAGAGTTGATGCGTATCTGCGTGGAATACGGCATGTTTACGTACTCATTCCTCAAAGAAGCATCTCTCAAGGTATGCAATAGCCATTCGTTGTCCCTTGTACGATCCATCTGACGATATTATTTCTACTCAGTTTCGTGGCTGGATTGATCAACTTCTGCGTTCTGCTTGGATGGCATGCCAAGATTCCGATCTTCTGATTGAGAGTCCAAGTGCCATGGCTGGGATTCACATTGCTGAAGCATTGCAAATCCCCTACTTTCGAGCATTTTCGATGCCCTGGACGCGGACCCGAGCGTATCCGCATGCCTTTGCCGTGCCGCAACACAAGATGGGAGGTGCCTACAATTATATCACCTATGTCATGTTCGACAACGTCTTCTGGAAGGCGATTGCTGGTCAAGTCAACAGGTGGCGCAAGACTGAACTTAAACTGCCTTCCACAAGCCTAGACAAATTACAGGCCAACAAAGTACCTTTTCTCTATAGCTTCAGCCCGTCAGTGGTCGTGCCTCCTCTTGACTACAGCGACTGGATCAGAGTCACAGGCTACTGGTTCCTCAACGAAGGGGCAGACTGGAAACCCCCTCAAGAGCTTACCGATTTCGTCCGAAAAGCGCGGGAGGACGGCAAGAAAATCGTTTATATTGGATTCGGGTCGATTGTTGTTTCGGATCCGGCAGCCTTGACCAAGACTGTGATAGACTCTGTCCGGAAAGCAGACGTCAGATGTATCCTCTCTAAGGGTTGGTCCGATCGACTGGGGAATAAGGATCCTACCGCGCCCGAAATGCCCTTGCCGCCAGAAATTCTGCAGATCAAATCTGCACCGCACGACTGGCTCTTTACGCAGATTGATGCTGCTGCGCACCATGGCGGCGCTGGCACCACTGGCGCGAGTCTGCGTGCGGGTCTCCCAACCATTGTGAAACCATTCTTTGGAGACCAATTCTTTTTTGGCTCGCGGGTTGAGGACTTGGGAGTGGGCATCTGCTTAAAGAGGCTCAACGTCAGCGTCCTCTCTCGTGCCCTTTGGGAGGCCACGCATAGCGAACGGATCATTGTCAAGGCTCGCGCCCTCGGTGAACAGATTCGTAAGGTAAGACCACAATTTCTTTTACTCTATGCAAGATGATAAACGTGACAGCTGACTAATATCTTATTTATTTTTAGGAGGACGGAGTGGGCAATGCCATTCAAGCCATCTATCGGGATATGGAATATGCCAAGTCACTCATCAAGCGGCATGGTGTTCCCCATACGGATGAAACTTACGATGATTCAGAGGAAAGTTGGACGTTTATTGGAGATGAGAGTGATCCAGAACTGACGCGACGCATTGCCGATTGGGAGCCTCCAACGCGACAAGGCAAGCAGACGGCTTCGACTACTGCCCCAACTGCAACGCCAGCCTCTGGGATCACTTCTATGGCAAACAGCAAGACACTGCCGTTGGGCCGAGCACGATCTTAATGATTCTGACGATTTTATGTTTATTCTCGATGCTTCGCTGCATGACTCGATGAACAATTATGGGGCATGAATTATATTGCGATTGAAAGAACCGTTGGTTCATATAGCTGGACCAATTTAGGTTGACTGCATGGGTACGGAGTCGGGTGTTGATTTCCTTTTTGTTCTTCTCTTCATTGTTGCACTGTGCAATGGCTTCAGACTTGCTCATAATAATTTTGCATTGCCATGCTGGTTCTTAGTGCTGTTCACTCTTGTTTTTTCTGCTTCTCTAACATCCTCGACGACCTTTCTAGTTTATATCTTTGGTATGCTTATCCGCCGTCTTTTTCGAAGGATCCTGCTTTGGCATTTCCGACGATGGTTCTGAACTATTCTATACATGATATTGTCTAATGCTTTTCTTCTGTTCGTCGATTCCTTGATGATTCTGCTATTGATACGAATTTCGATTGTCCATGAAAGACGTTCGTTTTGCTTTGGGGACTAGTTTCGTTAGAAATTTGCTCGGGATTTTGGTTTGCTTCGTTCCACTCGAACTGCAATGGAAACTTGCAATGGTTCTTTCTACTCTTTATCCTTAGATTGATATCCCTATCTGCTCTAAACCAATAATGTTTTATCTATGCTTAATCTTTGTTGCTAATTCAATAAGACTATTTAATGAAGGATATCTGGAATCTTTTCAACACTCTCTCTTTTTATAAGCATGAAGTATATTAACAGAGAAGTTATATTCAATTTCCCTAGCACTGAGCACAGGTGACTTGTTTCCTGTTTGGAGTGAAATCATGTTAGGTTAATGAGGACTAAAGGGCAATAACATGGGGCACGTGCCCCGGACATGCGGCGGGGGCGAGAAGCGGTCTGCCCATGGGGTGATGATGTAGAAGGGTACAGTACAATTACAGCTAGGTTAGCTAACGAGCGATTCAGGACAAGGGGCGGGGAGGAGGAAAGCGAGGGGGTGGAAAGCCGGGAAACACCTTAAAAAGCGCCTTTGTCCTGCCCGTTCTGCGGACCCGTTGAAAGGCACTCGCTTCTGTTTCTTCTGGCTGCATGTTTCTGCCCATTGCCGAACAGATACTTCGTTCATCATTACTTTTCCTACGACACGGCTGGTACCTCGGCTGTTCTATTGATAAGAAGTGCCACCCATCTCCGCGTTTTCCGATTACATAAGCGACATCCGCATTGGGGAAAATCACCATCGCCAGCTCCAGATCGTCTGCAGAGAGACACCCGAGAGCTACCGTCTCTCTAAATCATAACACTTCTTTATTACCCTATTCCGTTCTTCAATTCCCCAATTAACTGCAGACTGACCTTCACGCTTTCGCCCTTGCACTTGAAGTCTTGTCATTCCCTTTTGATCAAAGGACAGGGTATTTAAATCAGAGCCTGACAATTGTCCCAGCTGTCGCTGATTTATTGACTGTTGACGTTTCGGTGTCTCCCCCACACACAGAGAGACTACGCGTTGGATCCTGGGTCCAACTAGATGCGCCATCATTTGCGTCGCTTTGTCCCACAATACACTCTCATCTAACCATTCAGAACCGACTGGCTCTTACGCTGATTTTTCCTTTGTGCCCCTTCACACAATTTCTCGCTCGTCGTTCATCTTTGTCGCGTCACATTGTGCTACTTGTCGGCGCCGCCACTACCGCCGCCGCAATCACAACCGCAAATCCCGGCTTCTCTTCTTTGCCCTGCTCACCGCATCCTTACGGATGACGACCGTTAGGCATGCTGCTCCGTTCACCGAATAGCTTACACTACCCCATCACTGTCACCGAGCTGCACAAGCAACCTGGCGACGATGTCGAAAGGTTCGCCCCGCTCTTCTCGTATTATTACAAGACCACGGTGACAGAGGGCAATCGCTTTGGCGAGGAGTTCCAGGTCGAGCGCACCTATCCTTCCAAATATTTGTCTGACCATGTGGGCACACTGAAGGAGTGGAGGATCCAAAAGGGCACCGTCATCACTCAAAAGGAGTACGTCAAGCGCAGCACATCTGTCTGCGATCATAGCGGCCAATTTGCGAATAGAGCTAACAATGACTCTTTTCTTTGTAGTGTCGACCTCGCCGTAATTGAAGAGCCATGCGCTCACGAGGTGCAGTTTGGTGGCATGTGCGCTAACTGTGGCAAGGATATGACCGAGTAAGTTGACAGTGCTAAGACCCCAAGGCTTAGATTTTTTTTTCCCCTTTGTTTGAGTGTATGGTTCTGAAATTGGTTACTGATTTGTTCTACGTGTCTATATGTAGACTTTCATACAATACCGACGTCTCCGACGCTGAACGTGCGACGATCAATATGATCCATGATAATGTTTCCTTGACGGTGAGCCAAGAAGAGGCCACGCGTGTTGAGGAAGAGGGAAAACGACGGCTACTGGCTTCGCGCAAACTGATTCTTGTGGTTGATCTGGATCAGACCATCATCCATGCCACTGTCGATCCGACCGTGGCCGAGTGGCAGCAGGATACGGAGAATCCCAACCACGAGGCCGTCAAGGACGTGCGAGCCTTTCGGCTGGTTGATGACGGGCCTGGCGCGCGCGGATGCTTTTATTACATTAAACTCCGACCTGGTCTTAGGCCGTTTCTGGAGGCCATTTCCAAGTTGTACGAGTTACATATTTACACCATGGGCACAAGAGCTTACGCACAACATATTGCCGATATTGTCGACCCCGATCGCAAGATTTTTGGTAATCGTATCCTAAGTCGCGACGAGAGCGGCAGCTTGACGGCCAAGAATCTGCAGCGACTCTTCCCGGTGGATACCAAGATGGTCGTTATCATTGACGATCGCGGCGATGTGTGGAAGTGGACCGAGAATTTAATCAAGGTCACGCCGTATGACTTTTTCGTGGGAATTGGCGACATCAACTCTAGCTTTTTGCCTAAGAAACAAGAACCGCCAGCGTTGTCACGGCCGCCGAAGACGGGCCACCACCAACAACCTCAAGATGGACCGCAAGATGGGTTGGACAAGGATGGTTCAGAGGAGGGCAACGGAAAAACGCAACCGAATGACGAAGACGACAGTGCACGAGAGCAGCCCCCCGCCGACGCCGCCGACGCCACGGCAGCATCTCGGTCAGCGCCGTCGCAAGTATCGGCCCTCGAACAGCTCGTGTCCATGGGCGGAGGGGACGATCCCGCCGTCCTGCAGGCGCAAGCCAACCAACAAGATGAAGCACTAGCGGCACAGCTTCAGGATCGACCGCTGTTACGGAAGCAACGTCTTTTGGACGAGGAGGACGAGGCTGCTGAGGCAGTGGAATCCAGAGAGGACGACGAAGGCCAAGACGTAGATAAAGTGGCTGATGAGGCTCATAAGCAGCAACAGCATCATCATCAACGACATCATTTGCTGCAGGATAATGATGCGGAATTGCAGTACCTAGAGCAGAGCCTCGTAGCGGTGCATCACTCCTTTTTTGATGAATACGACCGGAATGCAGCAGCTGCCCATGGTGGGCGAATAGCGCAGCTTCGCGGCGAAAAGCACAGCAAAAAGCTTAGCACAACAGACGGTGCTGCTGCCGATCTTCAAATCGTTCCCGATGTCAAGTACATTATGCCGGAGATGAAGATGAAGGTTTTGGGGAATACTGTCATTGTCTTTTCTGGTGTTGTACCGTTGGGAATTGATGTCCAGACGTAAGTTGATCTTTTTGTGTATTGCCGTAATCGCCTTATCTCTAACATTTACTGTCATCAGGTCGGACATTGGTCTATGGGCGAAGACGTTTGGCGCAACAATATCGGAAAAGGTCAGCCGGCGCACAACACATGTGGTCGCGGCAAGGAACCGAACCGCCAAAGTACGACAAGCTGCGCGTCGACCACACATCAAGATTGTGAATACGCAATGGCTCTTTGACTGCATGTCGCAATGGAAGAGACTTGACGAGGGACCGTATATTATCCCAGTCCTCCCGGAAGACCGAGGCGAGCAGCATCAGGCCGACGTGACTGCTAATTCAGATGATAACGTGCTGCTCTCCTCTTCGGGCGAGGATGAAAATACGACGACGGGAGACGAAGCTGGCGGTAATGGCAAGGATCTCAAACTCCAGACAGACGATCTCGATGAGGACCCCGAAGGGGTCGCTCCGTCTGATATGGACGACGATCAATCTCCCATTGGCGGAAGCAATGAAGATTGGAAGCTAATGCAAGACGAAATGGCCGAATTTCTTGGGTCGGACGCTGATGATAGCGACACGGAGAGTGTGGCTTCAACTACGAGTAATTTGTCGTCTAGCGCTCGCCGAAAACGAAAGCGATCTGCGTCGCCTACTGGCACAGGGCCGACCGAAGAAGGTACCGATGATGAAGGCGGAAACTCTGGAGATGTTGGCGCAGAAGAAGAAGAAGATGGATCCGCCCTGTCCCAGCGCAAGAGAAGAGCGTATGAGCGATCGACGGGACTAAAGGAGGTGGCCACGCTGTCGAAGAATAATTCAAGTCTACCTACACCCCGGCAGACCAATACCGATGATGAGGGAACAGAAGTCGATGCCGAGACATTTGACGAAGAGGAGGATGAGGACCAGGAGGGCAGACTATCGGGGCCAAATCATCTTGATGCAACAAGGACAGAGGCGTTGCAGAATGGAAATGTCAAGGTCCCAGATGAGGCGCCAGCAGAGGATGACGACGGCCTCGAAGCCGATCTGGAAGCAGACCTGGAAGCGGAGATGGAAGCGGAAATGCGAAGAGCAGAAAGCGAGGGCACAGCATGATGGATTTTTTTATTTTTTACTTTTTTTTTTTTTTTTTTGTGTGTGTCTTTGAAGTGATTTTTCGCGGATTGTTTAGTCTGACAAGCGTTCATTCCTGAAACGGGAATGTTTAGTTCCTCAGGATGTTAGTCTCCCTGAGAAGTCAAAGTTTAAAAGAGGCGTTTGCCGGTGTTTTCGGTGTTATCGCACAATGTATTCGAATGGATAGGACGGATATGCGGTGGTTATGGGTATGGATATGATTGACCTACGCATTTTCAAATGTATTTTACTTCTTTTTCGTTTTATTACATGGTCACTTTCTCTTCTTCTTCCACCCCTTCTCCTATTCCTTCTTCTACATTGTCATTTTCACTTCTCGCACTGTCATACCTTGGTGTAATTTATGCATATTTTGCTGTAGTTTATGCATATCGTCATCTCTGACATATCTGAATTCGTCATCGTATATTGATTCATTTATCCACGTCGTTGTTCCGTATCTGTATATCACATTTTTATTCTATTATTTTCATGTTATTTTCATTCTACTTTCTTCTATTTCTTCTATTCTATTCCATTCTATTATATTTTTTATTTATCTTGTTTTATCCTATTCTATTTATCCTATTCTATTTTATTTGTTCTATTTTATCCTATTCTATCCTATTCCCTTCTCTTCTATTTTATTATTTTATTATTTTATTATTTTTTATTTATTTTCATATAGCTTCATACTATCTTATTATCTTATTGTCTTATTATCTAATTGTACAAAGTAGGCATCCAGTCTTAGATGGACATCTTGACATTCTTATTCTCACATAAGCTTACTTATTATTTGCATTTCATGTATTCTTTGATCTCAAGGTTGATGGACTTTTGTGGATTTTCGTAGTGTAGTGTACTTTTTTTTTGGGTATTGTTACTTCTTTTTGTATTGTAAGTTACTCTTCTACGGCGTACGTATTATGAGGAGTCGGTCCTGTCGGTCCTGTCGGCCATGTGCCCAGTGGGCGATGCTGATGTAGATCCAAATGTAAATGTAAATTACCCGCGTTATCGAGTAAGTATCGTGCAACGCGAAGAATACTCGTATAGTCTTGCCTTTCTGTAACTCGTTATATTATTATGCCCATTAATAATTTATGCCCGTATATAATGTGGGTATTTATATTATATAAAATATGGATATTCAAGGACTTGGTCATGCTGTACTGTACTGTGATGCATTGCAATGCAATGCAGTACAAAATACCGTTGGACCATTGTTTAGATGCCAGGACGCGTTGACGCCCTGCTGGCTGGCCGGGGAAGTTGAAGGGATACGCTGTAGTAATGACACTTGACTACCATTTAACAATCTTATACAGAGTCCAAAGTAGCTCTGTACGAAATTACTGCGATGAAACTGACGATACTGATAAGACCTATATATTCCGTACTTGATACTTTTATATTGCCAAAGCTAGGTCAGTAGACTGATTTGCTCAGACTTGTTTATTTGGCCAACACTACTACCAAGCCTACCTTTTAGATCAGTAGACGGGTTTGCTTAGACTTTTTGAATTGGCTAACAAGTCATTTGTTATTCTGAGCCTATGGAGTACTACATATCCTTCTTGGAGAAAGTATCTACTTTTAAAAAGCAGGCAGAAAAATGGAGAATGCAAAAAACGAAAAGGCTGAGCGTCGTACGGAGTACTGTTGTGCTTCAAGCAGCTGAGTATTAGTGATTCCTGAGCCTAGTACAATTCCTTCTTGTAATACAAAGTACCTTTGTACTGTTATTCAATTGGTTTAGTAGTAGTGATTGTTGAGACCATACGGAGCACAGTCATATGGTGGTATCGTTAGTATCGCTGGTATCAATATCGCAGGGACGAGGGACGGGGCAACGGGACGAATGGAATGGCCTAAAGCACAAGGACAAGGACTCGGACTCGGCGACGTTGGCGAGTCCGCGAGTCCGCGACAACGACCGAAGACTGAGGGCCAAGGCCACTTTACGCGAAACGCGTCTCTACGCGTAAAAGCGTACGCGATATTTCGCGGGTTTGCGGGATGCGGGATTGTTGAACGTCGGATACAACACAAAACACACAACACAACACAACGCAGAAGGAGCAGACTAGGGCAAAGCAGAGCTCGAGAGATCTATTGCGTTAGGATTAACGTTACGGCGTTAAAATAGAGTTGTCGAGTTGTACGGAAATATTGCGGACGAAGACGAGGCGACGGCCAACGGATTTACGTAGTCGAAGACGAGGTTCAAGGGATCCGACAGGACAGATTGAACGGATATAGACTCAACTTGACGAGCAACGCACTTGAAGGCTTCGACGGATCAGCGGCTTCGAAAAATTGACAGATTGACAATCGACAATCGACAATCGACGAATACGCAATTTGAGAATCTACGGACTAAAGTGACGAACCGGACCTACGATACAGCGGAGATCCAACGCGTTGGACGCTGCGAGACACTGCGCTGCGCTTGGACAATAGGGTATTCGGACAAGGGAGCGAGATCGGCGATAGATTTGGGACAGCGCCATTGAGTAAGGGAATTGAGTGTCTTGGAAGACAATCGAGGCAATGCCGCACTCAGTCTCACCCGAAGGCTCTCCGAAGCCAGATAATGCAGTGGAGTCTACGGTACCTACACCGGCTGCAGTCAATGAGGGCAGTGCCTTAGACGTTGAGAATGCGGAGACAAGAGATGAGAACGCCGACGGTACAAAAGATGAAAACACACAAGGAACGCAAGAAGTCAAAAACGCAAATGAATCACAGGATTCCCAAGGACCTGCAATTGAACCAACAACAACGACTCTGGAACAAGACAAGGTCAAGATAGAAGACATGTTTGACGATGACGAAGACGATGAAGAGTTTCCAAGTTCCAGTGCTCCCGTGGATATCAAGATGGAGGATGCTGATGTTCCGAGGTATATCAACTCCTTTTCAAATACTCCTTGGAGTCTATAACATCTAACATGTCCATCTATAGTTCCCTACCTGCGCCAAAATACTCGGACCCGGAAATCATGTACGCCTTCTACCAAAGGTTATTCCCGTTTCGAACCCTCTTTCAATGGCTCAACCATTCGCCAACCCCGTCGAATGATTTCGGTCACCGCGAGTTTGCATTCACGCTTCAGAATGATGCATATCTCCGTTACCAGGCCTTTCCGACCGCTGACCTGTACGTTTTTTTGTTGGCTCGCTGCGCTCGTTATATACTCCTCTTTCAAAGTTCTCGTATTCGTCAAACCATGTTCCTCATAGATGCCACTCTCTGTTCATTCTATCGTATTATGGAAAGTGCTAACAGACATAGTCTACGCAAAGAAGTCCTTCGACTGAACCCATCCCGTTTCGAAATAGGCCCTGTATACACCACCAACCCGCGAGAACGCAAGACACTTCGAAAAGCGAGCGCATTCCGGCCACTGGCCAAGGAGCTCGTCTTTGATATCGACTTGACAGACTACGACGAGATCCGAACATGTTGCGACAAGGCCAACATTTGCCATAAATGCTGGTCCTTTGTCACCATGGCCATCAAGGTCGTGGATGCCGCGCTCAAGGACGATTTCGGCTTCAAGCACATTATGTGGGTGTACTCTGGTCGTCGTGGTGCTCACGCATGGGTCTGCGATCGCCGCGCCAGAGAAATGGACGACCAAAAACGAAAAGCCATAGCGGGGTATCTCGAACTCATCCGTGGCGGCGCCCAGACTAGTAAAAAAGTCAACATTCGTCGGCCTTTGCATCCTCACATTGCGTACGTTTTTTTTTTCTCGTTTTCCCCTGCGGGGCTTTTACTTTTCCGGGGCGTTCGGTTTCCTCTATGGGGTGTTTGCCGTTACTGTCCCTTCGCGCTCTTGCCCCTCAGATCCTGATGGTGATACTGACAATACACAGCCGCAGCCTCGACATTCTCAAAGCCCACTTCCAAACCGACATCCTGACCGACCAAGACCCCTGGCAATCCGACGAGCGTTTCGCAACCTTGCTCAAACTCCTCCCCGACAAGTCCCTCAACGAGTCGCTCCGCAAGAAATGGGAATCCTCACCCAACCGGCCCAGCACCAGTAAATGGGCCGACATTGACTCTCTTGCCAAGACGGGCGCGAGCCGCTCTCTCGATAGGAAGGCCCTGCTTGAAGCCAAACAAGATATCGTGCTCGAATATACATACCCCCGTCTCGATGTCGAAGTCAGTAAGAAACTTATCCATTTGCTCAAATCCCCGTTTGTCGTGCATCCAGGTACAGGCCGCGTTTGTGTCCCGATTGACACGCGCCGGCTGGAGGAGTTTGATCCGCTGGGCGTCCCGACCGTGACGCAGCTGTTGGATGAGATTGATGAGTGGGATCGCAGGGAGGGGGCGGTGGGTGGTGGAAATGGTAGCCAGGGAAATGGTAGCCAAGGGAATGGAAATGACGATCCCGCTAATAGTCAAGAACGACGGCTTCAAGACTACGAAAAAACAAGTCTCAAGCCCTATGTCGATTACTTTAGAGCATTCGTTGCCTCGTTGCTCAAGGACGAAAAGGTGCTCAAGCGGGAACGTAATGAGGGCGGGGCTGATGCCATGGAGTTTTAGGTTGCATTTTCTTCATTTTTTTTGTTTTTGTTTTGTCTTGTCCCTTGGTTCTATCTTTTCTCTGTCTTCTTTTTGGTCACTGTCTACTGTTTATTTTATCCTGCAATGTATCTTTCTCGGCGTTAGACCTCTCTTATTTTATTTCGAGCAACTCCCCGGGACATGGTGGAATGGGATGCAAAGTTATTTTCCTTTCTTCTCTTTTCCTTCTCTTTTCTCTTTAACCATTAATTTATTTCTATTCTCGTCAGATGATCAGATCTTCCGTTCTTCCGTTCTTCCGTTCTTCCGTTCAGCCAGTCCAGTGACATTTCTATTGAACTGTTATAGCCATACAACCCTGATTCCTATCCGATGGAGCATCATATTGTTCGATACATGCCAAACACTTGTATGGCAGTACGGCATACTGAGAGCTCTTTTATTATATTGTGGCAGTTACTTGCTGACAATAGCAGCAACAAGCCTCGTTCTGATATCTTGTATTACATTTTCCACGTCCTTGTCCTTGTCTTTATCTGGACCTTCAGAACCGGATCCAGGTCCAGAACCAGAACCAGAGCCAGCGGCACAGACACGACTGACTGTTGAAGACGGGATAGATATATCTTCTAGCACAACAGTCTTGTCCCGGGATTTAAGACTGGATTGGGGAATGGATATGTTGGATTTTGGTATTGCTAGGGCCTGTATAACTCACACCATGTTAGCATAAGCTGTCTACCATGTGCATGTGGTAGAATAACACAAATATATGCGAACACCAGGGCAGGAGTAAAAGAAGGGCTGGATTGAGAACTTTCAACTCAAAGTATACAAATAACAAATATTAGACATTCAGATGTGTTTCTGGATGAATAGGCTGTAGCCTATTTTGTTTGCTCTTGTTATTTCTATGTTATCTTGATGCCTTCTACCATCTTGATACTTTTATTCCAAATACTCGGATGTATATACGGAGTACTATGAATCCACGATAGTACAAGACAACAGATGAACAGGATAACTTCAATACCATACTCAATGCTACCTTTTAATTGAACTGAAATGAAATGCAAACGAAATTAAAAACGAAATATCATATACTCACCTCACTTATGACCTCCCGCACAGCAATATTCGCCTGCCCATCACGTGGCTGCGCGGCAACAGATAACCCAATCGCGTCGGACGCCACAGAAGTTACTCCTGCATATGGAGCAGGCACGTTGGTCTTGATTCGACAGTGCAGATGTATGGATATTGTTGATGGTAGCGGTGCGGGTTTTGAAGGGCTGGATTTGGATTTGGATTTGGATTGGGCGCTGTGTGAACTGTGGGATGCTTTGGATAGGTTTCGGAGAGAGGAAAGAATTGGTCGAATGGCTGACATATCTTTACTTGCCATTTCAACGGTTTATGTCGTCAGCTCGTCATGTCGCGGAAACATGTTACATCGGAATTCAGCATGTAAACTTGGATTGTGCGGAATCGCGGATGAAGATGTTTAGCCACCGGGAAACCGTTGTCGGGTAGCCCGGTCGGACATTTGCCAAAGACATTACCCGATTACCACGGGCTTCGCGGGGAGTTTTAACTAGACTACAACTAAATTACAGCGCAAGTGGTCTATATAACGGGTATATGACCTGGTACATTGTAAATAATATCGCCGTGGTACTGTGCAACCGCAGTATCTGTCTGCTCGGCCCATTTCTTATCAATGCATATGCGTGATGCATGACATTGCTCTAGACCAGCAATGGGAGAGACTGCTACAGTACCGAGCGGTGCTGGGACGCGCCTCGGGGTCTGCTTCTGACTGGCTCTGAGCTAAACATGTTTAATCCAGGGATTGTACCCGGTATCGCAGACAAATATGCTGACGTTGACAGATAGGGTACGGTAGATGAAAACGGGATATGCAGATGCATGGACGGTCAGATACCTCGCATCCTCGCATCCCACTGAGAGCGGACCAGGGATGTTGGCCAGTCGAAGTGCTTTATCTATCCAGTAGTGTTTGGTGCTATACTGGGGTATCAGTATCTCGATATGCGTTATCAGTTGGAGGGGTCCATATGCAGTTCAATAATTGAATTGCGGGGCAGCTCCTAAAGCATCATTAACTTGTTTCGCATTACAGTCTTTCAATTCTCATAATTATTCTGACAAGTCTGCAATTGTTTGACTTTCACATATTTCAATCAAGTTTTATTGTTCTTCTTGGCAGATATCTGGACTATCTGCAAAATCTGTCAACTGCGTGTTGCTCCTACACTTTGTCGGTTCTGTTATATTCAACGGACCACTCGGATATCCCGAGTCTCGATTCCCTTTCAAGTGACAGAGAGCTATTCTGGGCATTGTTTGTCACTTTCAGGCTTCATAATTGACAGCAAATCTTCCGGCTGAGATTTCGGGTTGAGACTAACCTAGACATATTGGATTAAACACGTTTAAGTCAAAACAATATGGTCATTCGGACAGCAGCAAAAGTGGATTTGAACAAGCCACCGGAAGAGCAGACTTGTTTGCATGTAGGTACTCCTTGTTCACGTTCCTTTTTTTCATTCCTTTCACTGTGGCCAGAATTATCTTCTTTTCATTTTATGTCTTGTTCATCTTTTTCTTTGACTTTGCAAGGCGCAGAGAATCGGATGATATCTGACAATACCTACACATAGAATCGATGGCATCCAGATAGTACGTCTACCTCATTATATTTCTCAATTTAACAAAGAACCGCGAATATTTCATGTTTTCGTTATCCGAAAGCCGATAATATCTTTAGTTCGTCCTCAATTAGCTGCCGTAGTGCTATGGCTGTCACAACACAAATATCCTTCCATCTCTCAATCATGCTTTACAGGAGATACCCATCAATTCCTTCCCTCAACTCTCTATACTCATACATGATTACCTAAACTAATTATCTGGATAGTCCCCTTTATCTCACGCATTGCCCCCAACGAAGTCGTCAAGATCGAATGTCTCGACTGGACAGGCGGCCAGATCAAGAACAACGACAGCGCCGAGGACATTCGCAACGTGGACTTGACCAAGATCCACTACCTCACTGGCCCATTTGAAATCGGGACGGCCGAGCCGGGTGATATTCTCGTCGTTGAGATTCAAGACGTACAGCCATTCGACGAGCAGCCGTGGGGCTTCACCGGCGTATTTGATCGTCATAATGGCGGCGGCTTTCTCGATGAGATTTATCCTCATCCGTATGTACATCATTCTCGTCCCCTCTATCTCCTTTTTCCTTTTCATCACTCCCTAGCATCTTTACACTCCTTTATAATCGTTACCATATAATTTCAATCCTTTCCCCATAAATGTGATAGCACCTAACGCTAAAGTTCCGCATAGAGCCAAGGCAATCTGGGACTTCGAAGGCATATTCGCGTCCTCGCGACACATTCCGCACGTTCGCTTTCCGGGACTTATCCACCCTGGGATCCTGGGCTGTGCTCCCTCGGCCGAGATCCTCGCCGAATGGAACCGGCGCGAGGGCGAAGTCGTCCAGTCCAAGGTCCACGAACTGAACAGAGACGTGGCCCAGCTGCCGCAGCCACAAAATGTTCATGCAGGACAGGCTAACATCTCGCATCCGGATCTCAAGGCCAAAGTCGGCCGTGAGGGCGCCCGCACGATCCCAGGCCGCCCTGAAAATGGCGGAAACTGCGACATTAAGAATCTCTCGCGAGGAAGTAAAGTGTTTTTGCCCGTGCATGTGCCCGGTGCGGGGTTTAGTGTAGGGGACTTGCATTTTTCTGGTGCGTATTTTGTCCCTATTTATTTATTTATTTATTTTTTAATTTTTTTTTCTTAATATTTTTTATTTTTATTTTTTTGTGCTGCTGCTGCTGTTATTGTTATTGTTTTCATTTTACCTCTTCCCATTCCCCCTATTTTATTTTACCTCTTATCCTTCTCCCCGTTTGTGGATCTCCCTTGGATACATATTCTGATACACTTACGACAAGTACAGAAGGCGACGGCGAGATCTCCTTTTGCGGCGCCATCGAAATGGCAGGCATCATTACACTCAAAATGAGCGTGATGAAGAACGGCATGGCGGACCTAGGCCTCAAATCGCCCATCTATATACCCGGTCCTGTCGAGCCGCATTACGGACCGGGCCGGTATTTGACATTCGAAGGCTTCAGCGTCGACGAGCACGGCAAGCAGCATTACATGGATGCGACGGTTGCGTATCGCCAGACGGTCTTGCAGTGTATACAGTATTTGAAGCGGTTTGGTTAGTCTCTTTTCTTCCTCTTTTCCCCCCTGCTTTCTGTTTTTTTTTTTTATTATTATTTTATTTTATTTTATTTTATTTTATTTTTTGTTTTTTCCCCTTCTTCTTCTTCCTCTTCCTCTTCTTCATTTTTTTTTTCTTCCTATTTTCTCTTTTTTCCCCCTTCTTCTTTAAGATGGTCAGGGAAGGAAGAAAGGAAGAAAGAAAACGTGCATGCCCGCGTTATCCTCGGATTTCTAGCTGCACTCTATGAACTCTACTTCGAAAGCAGCGCTACTATCTCAGTATACGCCGCAATAATCGGCGTTGAAGGGGGCCTGAGGGGCGACATATAACGTCCACTGGACACTGAAATGAGACAATTGCACTGACAGACTGTGCAGGCTACGACGATTACCAAATCTACTTGTTACTCTCGTGTGCGCCGATACAGGGACATATCGCCGGCATCGTGGATGTGAGTTTTCTCTTACCTTCCCTCACCCCTACCCCTGACCCCCACCTTCCTTTTTTTGAAGCTCCTGGCAGCATGCTATTTCCGTCCCTGTTTTTAATCTTATGGTGCTACATTGTTACTTGCTGGGACTGGCTTGCATTGCATGGCTATTGCATATTATTGCGATATGTACTTGAAGCACCCCAGGAAAACAGAAGAAAGAAGATGAAGAGAAGAACGTCAAAAACCAAAAAAGAAAGAAAAGGAAGGGAAAAAAAGAAAAGAAAGGAAAGGAAAAAAAAAAAGAAAAAGACAGAAAGCTAACACATGATAGATCCCTAATGCATGCACGACACTCGGCCTGCCAATGGATATTTTCGACTTTGACATTTCGCCTACGGGACCAGCGACGAAGATGGACATGGGGGCTTGTGCAAAGTAGGGGTATAGCTACTTTTCTTTGTACGTCACCAGGTGAAGATAATTTGACAGAGGACCGGAGAATAGTGTTTCCATTTTTCTTAAAAAAAGAAAAAAAGAAAAAGAAAGAAGAAAATGAAACAATATATAAAACTACAAGATACCTACTACGGTACTACCTACCTACCATATTTGCGCAACTGCTTCCACTCATAGTACCGTTGTCGAACATTGTCTCCAAAAAAGGCAAGAACAAGGGACAAGACAAGAGTGACAAAAGTCAGCGGAAGAGCAATCTCCCAAAAAAGACCCTGTTGCCGGTTCATGTCGCGAATGTCAGAAGTGTTCATGCCGAGGTAGCCGGTGACAAACGTCAGAGGAAGAAAGACTGTTGTGATGACAGTGAAGACCATGATGGCTTTTGAGCTGTCGTCTTCTCGAATCTTCATTTGTTGTATTCCCTAAGATACAGTTAAGCATGTGAATTTTGGGAGCAGTGGACGTGTATAACAGATTGGGATGGGGATGGTCGAAAAATACTCAGGCCCCAAGAAAAAAGGGAGACGGGAGGATGGGTGAGGGGCTAAAAGACAGCTACAGGTACCTACCTGACCCCACAGGCGCTCGGCTCTGTTTATCAAGAAGCTGAAAGCTACGATCCGTCGGTATAATTTGTCATCTCTTTTTTCCCCAGCGGAGAGGACAAAGTCTGTCGTAGAAGACTCAGGCTGACGTTTGGAATTCTCTTTGACGATCCGATTGAACGTGTGTGCGACTTCACGCTGAATCTTCAAAAGACGCGCAATCATAGACAGTTCATCAATGAGATAATTAATCTGTTGCATTACCCGGTTGTTAGGATGATGTAACACCTTTTCTTCCTGTGGTCCCCATATAGTAAGCAGGTTAAACCTTTACGCATGATTGTTTCATAATCTTTTGCTGTGTTAGATAAGCTGATATACTTACCAGTTGATCGAGATAGTCCTTGTACAAATTTCGTGCATTGATTACCGATGACGATTTTCCATGTGTGAAGTTGAAAATGAGCGTGTCCATGATCATTGAGAGCATCCCCCTGTTGTCCACATCATTCTTAACTATCCGGATGGCATCATCTTCAACACCAGTAGATAGCATCTCGAGAATGGAAAATTCTCCGCGAAGAAGCCGCTCCTTGCATTGATAGCCAGCTTTCAAAACCCGCTCGGTAAGCTCTGGGGTTTGAATAGATTCTCCAGCGAGGACAAAGAACATGACAAGATGTTCAAAGGCTTCATGAAAATACATTGGCGCCGCAGAGCAGGGAGGAGAATCGCTCCGTAGGATATCGTCTTGAATAGTAGCCGTGGCAATTTCGAGGTCTGCTAGGAGCTGCCTTATGCTGCTATTGAGAGACGATTCGGTGGCCTGAGTATTTTGAACAAGATAAGAGCTTGGTTATCTAGGTATATTCAGACAGGTCATTTGAAGGTGTGCGAACCTTGATCATAGAGCCCAGACACTTTTTGACCTCTGGAAGGTCTACGTTACAGGGAAGAAAAAATTGTAGTAGCCTTTGGAAAGTCTCTGCCACCCTTGATTGTGTTTGCAAGCCATTTGGGTAACGTGGAGTATGTTGTTCTCCGCAGGCTGATTTCAGCTTTTGTAGGTGGGCCAAAAATTCTTCGAATGTATGCTCCCTAGTGCACCTGAATAGTTCGCTATCGGAAGGTCCAGTTCCAGTTCCGACAGTCGAATCGGAGAGGTGGGCATGAATATCGTCCAACATCGCCTCTTCCATGACGTCGATACTGGTCTCTGACAACTTCACGTCGCCAAAATCGTCTTCCCACCACGGAGTTTTGCGTGACCACAAAAGGACCGGGTTCACCCGTTTTCGGTTCTGAGTTTGGGTTGACTCTGTTTTATCAGAAGCTTTCTGTTGCATGCTTTTTGGATCATCAGGTCCTCGCTCTTTCGAGCCACCCGTACCGTGATTCTTCGCTTGCGCGTCCACAGCGCTGAGATTGTGCGCTGCGGCCTCATTGGCGACTGGTCGATTCGCATGGACGCTCGTTCTGGATTCCCTAGAAAATGGCGTATTGCTTTCTTTATCCGATCGATAAGGTCGATGACGGGAGTGGCGTTGGTGATGATTGGCGATACTGTCTAGGAGTTTTTGATAGCTCTTGACTTTAATGTATAAGACTAGTATGTCGGCTGTTTCTTCACTGAGCACGCCACTCCAGGTCTCAGGAGTCACCGTATGGCCTTTGTTCGTTGTAAAATAATAAATATCGGGGTCATAGTTGCTGTAATCCGGGCAACTACTACGGACTTGCTCTATAAAATTCTGATCGCTATGTTAGTAGAGTGGTAGAAAAATTCCGCTAAAAGCAATCAATTCCTTATCTGTGCACAAAATCGAATAAACTTACCGACCAAGAAGCGCATTTCTGGGTTGGGAAAAGAAAATCCCTCTGGTGATCATCACGAAGATTAATAGCACAGGGACTGTCGGTTGCTGTCGGAGGGGCAAATTTGAACCCTTTACCCTGCAAGTCTGACGCGGACGATTTACAACATGTGATTATAAGTTCTTCAAAGCCGCCACATTAGCAAGCGCACGATGAGAATAATGTCAAAAAGCCTACCATGACCAATAAGGAGACACCAGAGTTGAGGCACATGATAAATATGGTCCTTTGGAGTATCCTTCATCTGCAACACTGCTTGTTTGAGATCTCGAAGGGTGGTAGACTCGTAGTGATGGAAAAATTGCAGCAATGTTCTTGTTGGATGGCTATTCTGCCAGATGTGATCAGGTACTGCTTGCCTTTTCGCCATAGCGTAGAGCTCAATATACGGCAAAGAAACAAAGATTGCAAGAGGTCGGCTTTCCTGGAACGATTTGCCACTGGGCCCTCTCATATGCCCACTGTGCGCCGCACGAGGCTCGTGTGCTGATCTTGAATTGTATTGTTTCGACGTTGACCAGAGATATTTCGCACGGTTATATGGCTTTTCCAGATTTGCCCGCACATCCTGCATAACCATGGACACAAGCCCTAGCGTTCTCTGACTGAGATGTGGAATTTTCTGAATCTCCTTCTATTTAATCTTTAGCATAGGCTCATTCCCAATCCATTTACTAAGCTCGAAAATTGGAGGTAATAAAGGAAAAATAAGAGATAAAAAAAATATGATAGAAGCTCCATGTTAATTTAGGCACCGGAAGTAATCACCTGAAAAGAGGTTAAATCCATGACTGTCCTTTCTAGGTGTCTAGAAAATTGTCAACAGGGGCTGTCTCTGCCATGAAACTAATGTAACTAACACCCAGCGAACGGCAGGTACCAAGCCAATTCTGCTCAATCGTGGCTCTTGCAATTTCAGCGAGATGGGTGAATCATTACTCTCCCTTGCTTGATAACGATGAGAAGATGCAATATCACGCATAACCACATCTGTTTCTTCGTCAAAGCATTTGTCTCGTCCATTGGAGATGTTATGCCTGTCAATCTGGGAAGGAACAGGTGCCCAGGGCAAATCTACCCATGAAGTGTTTTCAGGAGGTACATGTGATACTCGCTGTCGATACGTATGAGATTTTGTTCTATTCGAATTCGAATACCGGTGCCTTGTCCTATGAATGGGACCCTCTTCAGGCTCGGATGAGTCTGCCTCGCTGCGGTCTGAACCCGACGTTCTCCTATGTCTTGACATCAAGATACTTTTCTCTTTAGGACGTATTTCTCTCAGTGTGTTCCGAGCATGACCTAGTCTCCTTTAAATTGCCTCAACAGTGAAATGCTTCCATGTAAAATGGACCGCAAGCAATATCTGAAAAGAACGGAACTGCAGCTTTGTGTGTTTCACTCGAGCCAAGACATTTTGTTGGCTGAATGCTTGTCGCTGACATAATCCAACCAGTGCTTGACTTTTGGATTTGGTGCAGGGGTCTGTGCAAATTGATTCTGTATCTGAGCCTCTATCTTCGTTAGCTCAATTGTACAAGGTTGTACTGAATCTGTAGAGTAAGGCAAGTTATGTGGGCTCAAGCATCCAGGTATGCCCCGCGTGAGACTTCACTAGTACATGGATCTCCATCATGGCATGAAGTATCTCCTCGGAACCTGCTCTACTTTGAACTCTTCCAATTGATTGCACTTCATATGCAATGAGAATGACGCTTCAAGTGTGAATGATGTCAAAGTTCCATTCACGTGGAGTTCGCTTGAATCCGTCACCCGTCGTTCCCGTTGTCGCTACCAAAATGAGACTGTTTTCTGCCGTCTCCCATTTACGCGAAACGCGTCTGTCCTCGTGCCTTGTCGCGTTTACCCATAGCGCGTCCCACATCCCACTTGACCTGGTCATAGTGCATTACGACCTTTGCATCATCATTACCGTCAGACGATTCAAAGCCTAGAGCATACATGTTTGACCTGGAATCTCTTCAATCTCTAATTCAGGCGGTGTTTCCAAACATCTCACTCTTTAATTATTGGGGTCGACGCGTTGGACACGAGAATAGACAATCATCACAATGGCGGTACCCGATAAAGCGACGGCTCTACGACAAGAATTGAAGGCATGGGAAAAGGAATTTGCTTCTGCAAATGGAGGACGAAAGGCCGGTCGCGACGATATCAAGAAATATCCAGAAATAGGTACGTGTTTGAAAGCGATGAGGAGCTTATTCTCTAGGCTAATGTCCATTCTGCAGCCGCCAAATACAAAGAATACACCAAAATGCGCGATCCGTCATCCGGTCAAGACAAAAACTCAAAAGCGCACAAATCACAAACCTCTCACCGATCCTCTTTACCGAATACCCAAAAAGACAGTGTCTCTACAACATCCTTATTGCGGAAAGTCGAGGCTATCGAAACCCCCTCCAAGCGGCGACGGACGTACTATGATGACGGCAGTAATTACTACAACCCGCGTCGAAATCTTTTGACGCCCTCCAGGCGACGGCACAGCCAGCAGCAAGACCAGCCATACATGGGCCCGATAACTCCCTCTCGACGCAACCATCCTGGCTTTCTTGATCCTTACGATTCCCCGTCTTCAATTCGCAAGCTCTCCACACCTCCAAAGGTCACAGCTATTGGGCCTACACCACAGCGCGACGGTTACGCATTGGGCATCTTTGACCTCCTATCTGAGCATGGCACGCCACAAGGTCCGCAAACCAGCGGAGAGCCCACTGGCAATGCTCCACCGAACGCAAACGCTGTTCTCCAAACACCCAGCAAATCCAGCTCAAGCGCCGTCCTAGACGAAGCAATCATCATGACCGGAAAGCGAGGCAATCGGACACCAGCGTCAAGCAGCAAACGATTCTTCCTCGACAGTTTCACAACTCCGCTAAAACGAAAGCGAGAAGATGACCCAGACGGCATAGGCGGTCCGGAAACGCCTTCCTCCTCCACATCCAATCTCCTTGCCACCCCGGCCTTTTTGCGTCGAGACGGCGGCCGAAAACCTCTCGACGCAGTTCTTGAAGAAGACGAACAGACATCGCCGATGACGCAACGCTTCTGGCCGAAACGAAGAACATATGTCAAAGGACTGAGCACCATCTTAGCCGAGTTGCGCGAAATGCAACAAGAAGATGACGCAGATGGAGAAGAAGCACTACGAGAAATTGAAGGCAATCAAGGGCGCCCATCTCGTCTTGGTCCAGACCAGGAAGAAGGCGAAGAAGAACATCCCGGCAAGGAAAACGAAAAGCAGGGTGCTAATGCGAATAATTCGAAATGGAAGTTTTGGAAGAAGAAGGGCGCCAAGCGACAGACGAGGAAATTCAACTGTAAGTTTTATGTCCGGTCCCTGCTTCTCGTAATCTTTCTTCCATGTTTTCTTTTCAAGGCTCACATGACTAACGTATCCTTTTACCTCTAGTGAAACCCGTCCTTCGCAAGTCCTCCAAGACGTAGACCCTTAATTGTCTGATCATCATCATCATCATCATCATCATCATCATCATCATCATCATCATCATCATCATCATCACCTGCTAACGCTCGACATGCTCAATCCTCTTGTTTACATTTCTCAGCTTTGCCTTCGTTTCGTTTTTAAAGCGAGCAAATATTCCTCGGCGTATTGCGTGCGTATTGGTTTAATACGAACCAGGAACGGTGTCAGGCGGGTATATACCATCTTTGTTCGCTTTATTCTTTATTTTTCTTCCCTTGATTTCCTCTGTTCAACTTCTTCTACGTTTTTGCCGGGCAGAATATTGCACTATGAGCATCGATTCGTTTACTTTTCTTTTTCATTTGGCAGACCCTAAGAATATAGAGCAATGGCGATGAGCATATTGTTGCACAATTATAGAATGCTCAATGAATTGGTGATATAATTATCGATATTCATATTGATATTGACGTGGATATAAGTGTTGATATTCATCCCTGATACAAAGTATTCTTTGTCCTCCGGTCTCTAATAAACTTAGACATGAGGTAATTGGAGATGAAGGGATAAATGGACGTAAGAGGTAAAGGGCCGTGAATCGAATGAAAGACTATGAAGGCAACATCCCGCCCCTTGCCATCTTTTTCGCGCGCTGGTCTCGTCGGTTATGATTTGCGCGAGAGCTCTTGCTGCTTTCTTTGCGCTGGCGGGATATTTGCGTGTTTTTATCGCCGGATGGGCCTGTGAGATTGGATTTGTCTCCTGGTCCTCCTGGCCCTCCTGCTCCGCCGCCTCGACCTCTTCCGCGGGGTGCGCCTCGTCCTCTACCCGCTCCTCCTCCCCCTCTGCCTCTTCCGCCACGAGACGGACCAGTGTCTGAACGGGAACCAGGTCCGGAACTATAGTCATCTTCGTCATTGTCTTCGGCTGAAGAAACGCCTTTGTACTTCGTAGACGGCAATTCAGGCTGCTGCAAAGCTCCAGCTCCAGCTCCACCGGCACCAAAGAGCTTGAATTTCTCTTCCATCTTGCGGAGCCGTTTCGGTTCACGTCCAAGCATGACTGCCCATCCCTCAATAGCTTCGTCCGTGAGGCCGGTTTCTCGGCGCAAGGATTGCCGGGGCTGACTCCGTCGGGTAGCGGCATCGCGGTTGAATGTGTTTGGTAAGGTAGTATACACGGAGAACAATGCGCGGTCGATGCGATCAGCTTCCGCTGCTGCGGCGGCGTCTTTTCCTGCTCCTTGCTGTTTCCGTGCGCGGTCTCCGTCATAGTCGGTCGTGGAATCAACGGTGCCGCCGACGTCTTCGAGATCATATGTATCGTCGCGTTCGTCGTCGTCGGCGTCGAATGCAGACAGGGCTGAAATGATGGCTGCTTTGTTTGGCGCGTTCTGCCGGGATGAAAGGAGGTGGTCGGCTGTAAGATTGGCATCGCGTCTGCCTACGTGCAGTTTGGAAGTGTCGATGGCGAGACGGTCGAATTCGTCGTCATCGTAGACGTTGCGTCTTGAAGGAATAGAAGAAGTGGGCGGAGGTGTAGAGCGGGGAACAAGGTGAGATGCAAGATTGGGAGGTTGCTCTGGTTGGTCCTGGGCTGCAGAAGGACTGTTTTGACAGTGGTATTAGTATTGGAAAAAGTCAAATAGATGCGTATGGTTAATAAAGAGAGTAATAGCGAGGGAGAGAAATTAATTGAGAAAGTAGAGGAGAGAACATACAGATCTTCTGAACGATCGGCTTGGCGAAGATGCGCGGGCAGAGAGTCGTCGAGCAGATGCGCAGTGACTTGCTCGACATCATCGCCGTACTCGTCGAGGAGTCTCACAATGAACCCGCTTCCTAGATCTGGAAACAAGTCCTGAATCTGCGTGACCAAGCTCATCCGGTGGATATGGATATCCTCGAGAGCTGCATCTGCAGGATCACGAGCAGCTTTGCCCTTGCCTTTACTGACTTTCCGTCGTATAGGCCGTTTCCTGCGCGCGTTCGCATCATGGAAAGCCTGCAGGGCGGTTACTATAGACTTTGCTCGAGCACTTTCCGATCCGGTCGCACGCTCCTCGAGGTGACGTAGGAGCGGTGTATTCGTGACGAGGTCCACCACCAGGCTCTTTGACTGCAAAGAGCCCTTCTTTTGAGCACTCTCTGCCGTCCGTTTTAAGGTATATAAATGATCAAATAATGCTGAAAAATTCGGCTTCTCCCCATCAATCAAAGATATTAATCCAAGATACGTTGCTGCGAGAATTCTCAGCTGAACCATGTCAGAAGCACGCGCATAGCCAATGCATAGCGCGTCAAGAAAATCCGACCCAGTCATGAAAAAAGTAGCTATATCCCGAGATGCAGAAAACAGCGGCCCAAGCCTCGCAAGCTCATCCTCGAGCTCATTCGCGTGACCATCTTCTAGTCCGCCTATAAGAGAAGCTTTGGACTTTTGCAATCCACGTACCAGAGTACTCTGGTGCTGGGTCCATACCGAACCCAGCAATTTTCGCAGGCTGGCGCTTTTACCATATACCCGGCTCAGATCCACCAGGAATTTCCATCCTAGCAGTGGTGCTGGAGGCGGACTAGCCTCTGAAAGAAGTCGATGTATTAACAGAAAACATTCGCGCCGTAAAACTTTTGCTTTTACTCCAGAAAACTGCACATCGCCGGGAAATGCACGTGAAGACTCATGAACATAGGAAGAAAGAAATGCATGTAATGAATCGTCGTTTGCGGATTCAGAAGAAGACCGTTCCGCAGACAAATGCAATCGTAATTGAATCAATAGAACCCATGCATCAAGACATGATTCCCATTCGCTGGGGGCAATGTCTCTGCGTAGAAAGCTCGGCGGAAACGGTGCTATAGGCGGTAGCGGCATAATTTGGGCGGCAAAATTGGAGGGGTTTTCAAGTATCAAAAGGGTTGAAAGAAATTGAAGAAACTGCAAATGAAATAGACCGAGAATGTCTCATATCTGAAAATATTGAAGACGAAGGATTATTTGAAGCTATAAGCTCCTCCAGATCATTTGATCTCCGCTACGCCTCGATCCAAGCGTTCCAGGCGTCTATGCATCAATGATGTCTCTCGAGTCATCGCTTACATAATATAAATTACCTGATATGGTCATCTTTGCTCACCGCCTACCCCATCAGGTAAAGCGTATCCGGCAGCACATGGGTCGGCTTTGGGTGGGGGTTACAGCCCTGAATGCCAAGACTTACACACACCACAGTCACTCCCCGCTATCGCCAAGTGTGTACGGCAAAAGTAGTTGTTCGCGATCCTTCGTTCCCCGTTGATCTCACCAGCCTTTCATCACTTTACCGAACCAACGCCGTTCAGGTCTTGATTGGCGCCCTCAGCAGTCTCACAGGTATATTGCACCACAGCTCATCGGACGCCTTTTCTTTTCTGCGACGGCGCTTCGACAATCTCTTAAATACGACATCACGCTAACTGGCCGTTGTTTTCGCGTTGCGATAGACCTCAGATATCCCATCTCCCAAAACGACAAGATGTCTTTCCAGAAGCCCGAGAAGGAGTTCGGCGAGGGTCCTGTACGTTGAACTACCCGAAAAGGAACCATCCATACTGTCAGTTTCGGTCGTCGGATGAAGTGTCGTCAAACCAATTTCTGCGCTCTCGTTTCTCGCCGTGGGAGGAGATGGCAATTGAATCTGCAAAAGGAGAACGGAAGCGCAGAATGGGCTTGGACGGGACTTTCATTGCCGACTTTGAGACACCCGGGGCAATATGACGAATGGAAATCTTGGAGAGAACTATAATTCTGATGATTTATCGCGTTTTACAGAAGATCCACCGTATTCGGATCACCTTGACCTCCCGCAAGGTTCAGTCCATCGAGAAGGTCTGCCAGGAGCTCATTGAGCGTGCCAAGGGCAAGGACCTCCGTGTCAAGGGCCCCGTCCGTCTCCCCACCAAGTGCCTCCAGGTCACCACCCGTAAGACTCCTTGCGGTGAGGGTTCCAAGACCTGGGACACCTATGAGATGCGGATCCACAAGCGTTTGATCGAGTATGTTTTTCCTCTTTCCACCCTGCCCGGTCTTGGGCGTGGTCGCGACACTTGTGAGAACCAAGTACTAACGCATATATAGCCTTAACGCCCCCACTGAGGTCGTCAAGCAGATCATCATCAACATCGAGGCTGGTGTTGAGGTTGAGGTCACCATCGCTGCTTAGATTAGTCTCTAGATTAAATTAAGAGATATTCTAAGCTTCGAAAAAGTTTAAACATTCCATACCACATGTGTTTGTCTGGATTGGTTCTTGAGTAAATGTGAAATATGTCTATAAATTTACTGTAAATTGTGATATGATTATTTAGATTTCCATGACGCTTTGCAACATGTCATTGTCCGATTCGAAGCGGCAAGACAATGATTTTGAATTCAAACAAGAGCATGCCATTTCCCTGCTTTGTTTTATGTAGATTCCGAAAACTCCAATTGTAAGCAAACCGCCACCGATGCGAGTCCTTTCGTGGCCAAAAAATCAGTAGATCAACCTCCCTCCCGCAAACTTTGTCGATGGACTTGTTTTTAATTTCAAATATCCCACTTGCACCATTCTCTCCGCGGCGGTTCTTCTGGCATGATGCCTCCTAGAAATTCGCCAGTATCATAAAGGTGGGTGTAAGCGTCTTTTACCTCCTGCGTGTAAGCCTCCAAAGGCAGCTCCGTATCCTTGTTGTACCGCGGCGGTCCGTTGGGGAACCAAATCCTTTCGAGCCCGCCGTCATCCTTTTTGAAACATGGCTCGCCATCAGCGTACTCCACGGGCTTGCCTTTCCAAGTCAACAGCTTATTTTGGGGATCTCGCACGCTGTAGCTGCGAAGATCGGGATGCGTAGCTCCAGAATCGGGAGAGTATGGATTCGCCGGCTGCACGGGAAATGGGACAGGGTTGTTCGTTTCATCTTTTTGCCAGTTTCCAAAACTTGTGCCACCCATGCCACTGCCGAACGGAGTCGTTTGAGCTGTTTGTGCAGCAGGAGCAGTACCGAAAGGATTAGCTGCGGCTGGTTGAGCTGGAGCAGTGCCGAAAGGGTTGGCTGCAGCCATGGGTTGGGAAGCTGGAGCTCCGAAAGGATTTGTGGGTGCAGATTGTGCTGGCTGAGACGGCTGGCCAAATCCTCCAGTAGATGCAGGGGCACCAAATGGATTTACCGGCGCAGGTTGAGTCGGCTGGCCGAAGGGATTGGCTTGTGGTGCTGAGGGGGCACCAAAGGCGTTTGTGGTCGGAGTGCTTGGCTTCCCGAACGCCGGAGCAGCAGCCGGAGTTGCGGGCTGACCGAATGGATTTGATGCCGCGGGTTGTTGTGGCTGACCGAATGGTGAAGAAGCCGGTGGCTGCTGGTTGGCTGCGAGAGTAGGGGGTTGACCAAACGCTGTCGTCTGGCCAAACGCTGGTTGCTGCGGCTGCCCAAAGGCTCCGCCAGTTGCTTGGCCAGGTGCTGAGGGTTGCCCAAAGGCCGAAGTTTGCCCTAACGCTGAAGGTTGGCCAAAAGCGGAGGCTTGTCCAAACGCCGAAGGCTTAGCATGCGCCCCAAAGGCTGACGGCTGTCCAAAGGCAGAGGTTGAGCTGGGTTGACCGAATGCTGATGTTGACGGTTGTCCGAAAGCATTTGGAGCGGACGGCTTTGCGAACGCATTGTTACCTCTTTGAAACGCGTTAGTTGTTCCCGCAGTGCTCGAATTTGCGGAGATGTCAATGCGATTAGGGTGCGTATTTCCTCCATCGATGATGAATTTGATTGCTCCATCGATATTGTCCAGCGCATTCTTCATTTGCTGTTGGGCATTGTTGTAGAGACCCTGGGCTTCTTGTACCTTTTTTTTTGGACATCAGTTATTCCGCCATCAATTATAATTAGTAGCGTCTATAACATACTGCTTGTGCTTCATTACCTGAAGCAGCTGCCATATAGTGAAGCAGGCGCATTTCTTCAAAGCTCTGCTCGCGAGGTTGGCCGCCAAACAACTGGACAGGCGCATCTCGCCCAGGTCCATAAGCGGAGAGAATCCATAATGGACTTTCGGTAGATAGATCGGTGATTATGGCATCTTTGTTCAAAGAATAGCTAAGTAAGACAGTTAATACTCGTCCTTGGATGTAGGTTGCCAGGATTCATACGGCAATGTCTGCGATCCTCGACCTGTTCCGGATATCAGCCAGGGGACGAGCTTGTCATGTGATGCAAAGGCAAAAGACAAGGGAGATAGCAATCATATAGATCCGAAAATTGAAAGAATGGAGAGAAAGATTGTCACAGGAAAATTGCAAGGGCTCTGTCAAAGGACAAATGAATCACTCAAACAGAGAGAAATCTGATTAAGCAATCACAGATATAAGAACAGAACGGAGCGATGCAAACAATGCGGCCACTCACCTCCAAAAGGGCCGCCAGATGGGCCAGCTGCATTGCCTCCTCCACCTGAAAAGGCAGCGAATCGATTTTGAGATTGAAAACCACCTGGTTTGGGATGCTCGTTTCGGCAATTATCTGTTTGAAAGAAATGGTTAATTTTGCACCGGACGAACGTTCAGATGATCAAAGATTATCTGCAAGCAAACAATCTGGATTGAGAAAGCAGGATCTTAAACAAAAATTGAACAATTACCCCCAAACTTGCATCTTCCTTGCAGGAAGTATTTGCAGACCCCCATCACGACCCCATATGTGGTGGTAGCGGCGAGAGCACGGTGGTTGGAGTCCTTTTCGCGTCAAAAGGCTCTTTCACCTTCAACCTCAAGCGAAGCGAAAGACATAGCGACCCAACCTTCGGCATAATCACATCCCTCGATCCATATATCAATCTGTACGAACGCAACGTAGATGAGGAATACAACAAACCACCTCAGATTTTAATGCAAATTCAAAGCCATTTCTTACTATGTTTATGATCATTGTATCTAATGTTACATTGTCCAGCAAGGTATATGCATGCGATTCTGCAAGACCAAGATGCATCCTCAGGTTCAAGTTCTGAGCATCTGATTTGTTAAACAAAGAAAGCCAACCACCAAACGCCTTTGACGCTATGCAATTCATCCCACATAAAGTAAAACGCCCCATTTTTTGCTATTGGATGGCAGCCCTGTCGTCCTTCCGTGGCCCTAACCCCAAATTGACTCCAGCCTTGAGGTTCTCCCAGTTGATGCCATCAAACAATCTACCGCTTAATATCTTGCCGTTCAAGAGCGCTTCATTGAACTTGCCAGTGCTGATCTTCCTTGCCATTACGGTATCCCTGGCGCCATGCAGCGTTTTACCCTTTCCTTCGTGGAGATATTCCTCGATCCACGATTCTTCCTCGTCGCTAAGAGGCAAATCCACAAATTCCGTCGCTCTTGTCGCGCGTTCTTCGCCAGACTGCTTCGAAAGGACCAGGGAAGCCAATTGCTCCAGCAAATGGCGGTGAATATTCTCCGGCTGACCACGCGCAAAGTAAAATGCCTCTGTGACGCTACACTGGGATAGATACGAAAAGAATGCTTCAAGGACCTTCGGGTTGGTAACGGCCGGCGATACTGTGTGGAAGTATACGAGGGGCAAGCTCCTATCGACCTGCGTGCCATGACGGATGAGGGTATGAAGAATCTCTTCGGGAAACGTGGGAGCGAGGGAAGGCTGGGTCAAGTATCCAAGCGCTCGCTGGTTTCGTGTCAGTCAATAATTATGAAGCGACCATGGGTTTATTTGCTAACCTCAAACTGCATGCGATCCATGTGCCATAATCCTTCCATGACCGTCTCGTATTTCGCCGGGACGTGGAATTTTGCAGAGAAACGTGTCGTGAGGCTTTCCGGAGTCTTGACATCTTTGAGAATGTAGTATAGTAGAGATAGTTTGTGGTGATCAGGTGCTGCGCTGGAGACAATCTTGTGATGCAAAGACCTTAGGTCTTGATTCGAACGAGGGGGATAAAGCTTGGAAGCTGAGCCACAAAAGCTTTGTTAGAAATAAATATGAAAATTAAATGTCCTCATAACCAACCCTGGTTAATATGTAACAAGCGCAAGAGTTTATCGAACAGGAGCTCATTTTCTAATGTGCGCCGGTTGGAAAGGATAGTATCAATGACTTTGTGATCATAAGCGTAGGTCGGATCGAAGGAGAAAACAGTGTCGAAATCTTTAAAGTCTCCCATATTGAACAGCTCTAGATCTTTTAAAGAGCGCAGCGAAATTAGGGAGAAAATCAAGATAAATAGAGTTGATCGTCAAGAGCTTCCAGATGCTAGTAAATAATTCATAGTGGAGCTGGTATCAATTCCCCATGTGAACGAATTGGCGAGCGCGGCGGCTGCGCGTAGAGTGTGCTTAGTCATCCGACCTGTTGATTGTGGTTTGTTTACCCCACGTCTTCCTTCGCCGTTTGTTTTGTCTCGATCGACTGAAACGACCAGCCAACTCGCATCGGCCCTGTTCACTTCGAAAAACAACAGGATGTCGACTGAAATGCCTATTCGGCCTTCGCGCCGACCTGCTGCTCGTCGTCGCATTGTCGCCGACGATTCGGACGAAGAAGACCACCGCGTCCCCTCGCAGCAAAATGAAGATGAGGCGGAATACACATTTCCTCCGAAGACGACGCCGCGACGGCAACCAAGGCGCAAGACTGCGGAGCCTACATCCATTGCGCCTTCAACTACGAGAGGCCGGAGGACAAAAACTGGCGAGAGCATCGAGCCATCGCAAATATTCAGTCCCGAGGGAAACGCTGCCCCAGAGCCCCCGTCACCAAGCCGAGGGTCATCACCTAGAAAGCGGACAAGCGTCACCTCAAGCAGGAGAACCAGAAAATCTTCGGCGACAGATATACCAGAAGTTCCTCCGTTGCCGACGCCGAAACCTTCTCAGTCGCCCGAGCCTCCAGCATCACAAAACACACCTTTGGCGGACATTACTAGTGCAACCGTGAACAACCGCGGAGCAGAACAGCTCCAACCCTCTGAAGTGTCATCACAAAAGCCAATGGAGAGGCCACTTGAGGAACCCAAGGACATATTATTGAAGTCACAAAACATGGCAATACCGGGTCCTCCGCCAGCTCCTAGCGGACCGACGTCGCGCATTGTGATTACATATCTAATCTTGAACAACTTCAAGAGCTATGCAGGAAGGCAAGAGGTTGGACCATTTCATGCATCCTTCTCGTCTGTGGTTGGACCGAACGGTTCAGGAAAGTCGAATGTCATTGATTCGCTCCTTTTCGTCTTTGGTTTCCGAGCGAGCAAAATGCGTCAAGGAAAGATTTCTGCATTGATTCACAACTCTGCTGCTTTCCCGAACTTGGAGTTTTGTGAAGTGGAAGTGCACTTTGAAGAAGTCATTGACTTGGTAGGTTTCATATCCGCCAGGACCAATTGAGGCCTGCTGACAAACTATTTTAGCCTGGAGGAAAGCACGAAATTGTTCCCAATTCCGCGCTAGTCATCTCCCGAAGAGCGTACAAGAATAACACGAGTAAATACTTTATAAATGGCAAAGAGTCAAACTTTACAGTCGTCACGACACTATTGCGCGACCGGGGTGTCGATCTTGACCACAAGAGGTTTCTGATTCTACAGGGAGAGGTCGAATCAATTGCACAAATGAAGCCAAAAGCAGCTAATGAGCATGATGACGGTTTGCTCGAGTATCTAGAGGATATTATCGGAACGTCAAAATACAAGACACCCATTGAGGAGTCGGCGGCTGAACTGGAGACGCTCAACGAAGTTTGCCACGAGAAGAGCAATCGAGTTCAGCATGTGGAAAAGGAAAAGAATAGTTTGGAGGACAAGAAGAACAAGGCGCTTGCATACATTCGGGAAGAGAATGACCTTGCCACGAAACAGTCTGCCTTGTACCAAATTTATATCAGCGAGTGCGAAGACAATTTGAAGGTCACCGAGGAAGCGATTACACAAATGCAGGCCCAGCTCAAAGAAGAGCTTGAGAAACATCAGGGCAACGAGGACGGCATTAAGCAGATGGAGAAGCTCTACAAGAAGGGCGCGAAGGAATACGAAGCAATGGAGGCCGAGACCCAGGCGCTCCTGAAAGAAATGGCAAAAATTGACAAGGAGAATGTCAAATTCGAGGAGAAGAAGAAATTCTTGGCCGGAAAACAGAAGAAGTTTGAAAAGGCTTTACAAGGCAGCCGGCTGGGAGGCTCAGAAGCGGAAACTGTGATCAAAAACTGTCTCGAAGATGTAGCAAGAAGCAGCGAGCAAATTGCGGAGCTCGAGAAGAGTATGAAGCAAGAGGAAGAAGAACTGGCTACAATCAGGGAGGGTCTTAAAGGCAAGACGCAAGCCTTTTCCGACCAGATCGCGGTGAAGCAAAAGTCACTCGAGCCATGGAAGGCAAAGATCAACGAGAAACAATCGGCTATTGCAGTTGCACAGAGTGAGCTGGACATTCTCCGCGAGCGAAACAATGCTGGAGAGACGAAGCTCAAGGAAGTTCAAGCCAAGATTGACGAGATCAAGCGGAATGGCCAAGCCAAGGAACAAGAGCTTGAGGGATGCAAGGCTCGGCGAGAAGAATTGACACAGCATACAGAGGCAGTGGAGAAGGAACTCAACAAGCTGTCTCAAAAGGAAGCTGGATACCGAAATCAAGTTTCTGGTGCGAGGCAAAAGGCCGATGAAGCACGAGCAAGTTTATCGAACACCCAGACGCAAGGCAATGTCTTGACGGGCTTGATGCGCCTCAAGGAATCTGGCCGAGTGGAGGGTTTCCATGGAAGACTGGGAAACCTCGGTGCGATTGATGAAAAATACGACGTTGCCATCTCTACGGCGTGCCCATCTTTGGACAACTTGGTCGTTGACTCTGTCGAGGTTGGGCAACAGTGCATCGACTATCTGCGCAAGAACAACTTGGGACGAGCGCAGTTTATTCTGTTGGACCGACTTCCGAAGCGCGACCTGTCTTCGATCAACACACCCGAAGGCGTGCCCAGGTTATTTGATCTGGTAAAATCGAAGCACGATAAATTCAGACCTGCATTTTTCAGCGTGCTGCAGAATACACTGGTCGCGGATGACCTGGCTCAGGCCAACCGGATTGCCTATGGTGCTCAGCGATGGCGAGTGGTGACACTCGACGGTCAATTGATTGACAAGTCTGGTACCATGAGCGGTGGTGGTACTCGAGTTGCCAAGGGCGCCATGTCGTCCAAGCTCGCGGGCGAAGTGACAAGAGAGCGGGTAGCGAAGCTCGAAGGTGATCGCGAAGCACTTGAGCAGGCGTTCCAGATCTTCTTGGATAGGCAGCGCGAGCTTGAGACCTCACTGCGAGAGAGCAAGGAGGAGATTGGACCGCTGGAGACGACAATGCAGAAGATTGCCATGGAGATTCAGAGCTGTGCACGTCAGCTCAATGATGCCAGGCGCCGGCGGCAAGAAATCGCAGAGGAGAATCAGCCATCCCCAGAAGACAACGACCGCATGGCATCTCTCGAGAAGAAGATTGTGGGCCTGAACAAGGAGATTGAGAAGCTGCATGCTGAAACTGCGGGAGTCGAAGCAGAGATTAAAGAGCTTCAAGACAAGATTATGGAAGTCGGGGGTGTACGACTCCGAGCGCAAAAGGCGAGGGTAGACGGCATTCGAGAACAGATTGATACCCTGAATGAAGAGATTTCTACAGCCGAAGTAGCCAAGACAAAGGCCGAGAAGCAAGTCGCCAAGCAATTCAAGGCTATGAAGGAGGCCGAGAAGGAATTGGAGAGCGTGGCCGAGGAGGCTCAGAAGCTGGAAGAAGCCATCAAAACGCAGACAAGAGACTCTTCTGGATCACGGGACAAGGCAGAAGAAGCTCAAGAGGTATGTTTACAGATCTTGGCTTTGAACGTCCGCTTTTCATCTAACCCATAACCCTTTTGTATAGGCCCTCGAGAGCAAAAAGGACCAGCTCGCGGCTCTCAAAAAGGAGCTTGACGAGAAACGGGACGAACTCAACCAGACGCGGGCCGTAGAGATTGAGATGCGCAACAAGCTGGAGGAAAACCAAAAGGTCTTTTCCGAGAACCAGAAGCGCGGCCGATACTGGCTCGAGAAGCTCAACAAGCTTTCCCTCCAAAAGATTAGGTACCTCTTCTCCCGCACTTTCTCTATTACTTACTTTTCTTCCCTGAAATCCATTCCCAAAATTTATTTAATCTAACCAATTGATCTTTTCAACTAACATTTGAAACCAGTGACCTCGGCATCGAACCCCAACAAGGCGTCGAAGGCGTTGAAAACAACGAACAAACTCAACAGGAAGCCATCCCCGAAGAACTCCCGACCTACACCAAAGACGAGCTCGCAGACATGAACAAGGAAACACTGAAAGGCGAAATCGCCATTCTCGAAGAAAAAACCCAAAACGTCAGCGTCGAGCTCGGCGTCCTGGCCGAATACCGCCGCCGCGTCGAAGAGCACGCCGCCCGCTCCGAGGACCTCCAGACTGCCGTCACCGCCCGCGACACCGCCAAGAAACGCTGCGACGATCTCCGCCGCCTCCGCCTCGAAGGGTTCATGGAAGGCTTCAGCACCATCTCTCTCCGCCTCAAGGAAATGTACCAGATGATCACCATGGGCGGCAACGCCGAGCTCGAGCTCGTCGACTCCCTGGACCCCTTTTCCGAGGGCATCCTGTTCAGCGTCATGCCGCCGAAGAAGTCGTGGAAAAACATCTCCAATTTGTCCGGCGGCGAGAAGACCCTGAGTAGTCTGGCCCTCGTGTTTGCGCTGCATCATTATAAGCCTACGCCGCTTTATGTCATGGATGAAATTGATGCCGCTCTAGATTTCAAAAACGTAAGTTAGTTTGGCTCGCTTCGCTCGTTTGTCCTGCGGTCGTCGGTTTTGTCTTTTATCCAGTTTCTCTGTTTGTTCACTGTCCCTATCAGTCTCTCCATTCATTCGCTTCGTCCTCTTTTCATTCGACTCTTGTCCTCATTGGCTTTTGCTTTTGCTTTTACCTTTTCGTTCCGTTTGGTTTGATTCCCTTGTCTCTTTTCTTTCATCATGTTTTCCCCCGTTGTTTACATCGTCTTTTTCCCGTGTTATGCCATCTTTTCCCGTCGTTTCAACTCGACATGACCAGCGTAAAAAAACGTCGCATACTCTTTGATGTCGTGTTACTGCTTCAACAATTGTACGCACAATGTACACTAACTGACAATCCAATAGGTCTCCATCGTGGCAGGTTACATCAAAGAACGCACCAAAAACGCCCAATTCATCGTCATTTCGCTCCGCAACAACATGTTCGAGCTCGCGGCGCGCCTCGTCGGCGTGTATAAAGTTAATCACATGACCAAGAGCGTTGCCGTTGAGAATCGTGATTATATTCGTCGGCAGGTCCAGGGTGGTCAGGGCGGCCACTCTGTCCAATCTGTCCATGGTAGTCAACCGGGTCAGGGTAGCCAGGGTGGTAGTTCGCAGCAGAGTCAACAGGGACAGGGTAGTCAGCAGGGTGGACAGAGTCAGGGTCAGGGTAGATTGTCAATGGCTCCTGCGACTGGACGGTAGCCTGAACGTGACTGGACGTGAGATTGGACGTCGGGCGTGCGCAGTAGTCTCTTTGGCCCCTTTATTTAAGTTGATACGTTGGTCTTTTCTTCGGATGTTGCTTTGAAGACGGTTTCAATGAGGCGCAGGGCATGGGATTCACATTTCGTGTTTTAGATGGACGGTCCGATCTGTTTTGTTTTTTTTTTTTTTATTTTGTTGTTTGTGTCTTTGGTAGGTAGGTAGGTTGGTTGGTTGTTTCTTTGGTAGATAGGTACCTAGGTAGGTTGGTAGGTTGGTCGGTCGGTTTGATGCAGTGCATGTACGGTACGGTACGGTACGGTACGGTTTACTATTATTCGTATATTTGTCTAAACAGATGATGCTCTGTTCTTGCAATGTACCTTGTATCTGGAATGAATGACTGTGTATCCGAATGAAATGCATGAATGGATGGATGGACGAATGGATGAATGTATATCTGATGAAGTGTACTGGAATGAAATAAATGGACTATAAATATATATGAATGTGTGAATATATGAATATATGAATATATGAATATATGAATATATAATATCCAAAGCTAATGTAGACATGTAGACCAGGGTATGTAATGATATGTAATGTAGCGTAGCATAGCGCCATGTAATGTAGCGTAGTGTGGTGTAGTGCAGCCCAGTGTAGTGTAATGAGGTGGAATGTAGGTAGTGTATGTGATAGGACATTGACGGACACCGAAAGACACCTCCGATAGAATCGAAAAAAAAAAAAAAAAAAAAAAGACCTCAAAGATCCAAAAGTGTAGAGTCCAAAAGTGTCCCCGGGGAGAAATTGAAATGGAAAGATACGGCAGACACAAGAAAGAAGAGATGGAGGAAGAAGAGATGGAGAAGAAGTAGATGAAGGAGATGAAGTTGAGGATAAAGATAAATGAGAAGAAGGAGGAAAGGCCATCAACGTTTCAGACGTGGCTCATGAATATACTGGGAGCACCAGCAGTAGTACCGGCGGACTACAAGTGACAGAGTAGTCAGACACTGGACAGTGCAAAGAGATGCTTGGACAAGACAGTGCAAAGAGATGCTCGGACAAGAGGACATGGGACATCATCCACGTGCACCAATGGAGCGGGGCACCATTTCGCGAATACGCACACTCGCCGCTTTGGATCGCAGGCTGCCGGCAGTTCCGGTCCCGTTGCTGGCGCCGCCGCTGGAGCTGCGAAACTTGCTGCTGATGCTACTAATAGTAGTATTGCTGCTGCTGCCCGTGGCAGAGACATTGTCGCCGACGCCACCCATGCCGACGGAGGAGCTGTCGCCAGATCCGCCGCCGAAGCCGGAATGGAAAACGTATTCGCCGTCGACGTAGACGGCTTCGCTGGCAAAGGTCTTGCGGCGGCGAGTATATCGCTGTTCGAGCTTGTAGAGCTCGAGTCCTGTGGCTGTTAGGGTCATGCATTCACGATAGACATTTTGAAGAAAAGGCATAGGAAAAAAAAGGCACAGTGTTTAGGGAATCGACAATCAATAGGAAGAGTAACATACTTGCGTGAAGCTTCTCCAGGAGGCCCATTGTGAATTGTGTACTGTATAGAACAAAGTCGTTGATAGATTGTAGATGGAAGTAAAAATTGAAAGATTGTTTGGCCAGCAAGTATACCTCCGGGGCGTAAGGGTTGATATGGTAGCAAGGACTACTGTAGTTTGAAGAAATGACAGATAGAGTGGTTGATTCTCCGGATCTAACGGCGACACTTGCGTAAGTGTGGTCCCTGAATGCACGCGTGGATGTGGGGATTGGCGGTGGTGGAGATGATTGGCGCGAAATTTACGGTTTCTGGTTGAGCCTTTGAAATGCCGGGTGCCGAACGGGAGGGGCAATGAAAATCGAGTACAGAGGTAGTACGCGATACGTATATAATATCGAGAGAATAAAAAAGTGAGGAGGAGAAATATGTATCAGATGCACTGCAAAGATGTAGTTGTCTCCTTTTTGCAGAATGGTTCGATGGACTTCTCGTCTTGTTCACGCACGGCGTGAGTATCGTCGATGACAAGTGTGGGTGGAAATACTGAATGAATGGAAAGAGCTTGGGATACTCGTCAGGGTCGTCGATCGTATGAGTAGAGAGAAAGACAGGGTGATCTAGATCCGTAGAGTATACGACGAAGAAGCAGCAGTGTAAATCGTTGCGGATGTCAAGAGTGTATCGTTGCGTCAAGGAGTGTAAGCAGCGAGGTAGTCCAAAGACAAGAGAGAAAATGCGTTATCAAATCTGAATAATGCTCAGTCGACAAAAGACGAGCGAAACAACAAAGAGAGCGAAAAGGATCTGAATAGGAAGAAAAGAGAGCGAGAGGAAGAGGAAGAGACGAGATGAAGAAGCAGGTGCTCGGCAGCCTGCAAAGGAGAGTCAGCAGTGGTGATGGTGTTGGTGGTGTCGACAAAAAAAGGACGACAGCGACGGCGGCAATCCAGCAAGTCGCACGACCTTCACTGGCCAGGGTCACTGAGGGTTTTTGCCTGTCAGCCTGTCCGAAAATTGCGTGGATTTGCGAATCGACGAGGGGCCAGAGGGGGAAACAGGGGCAAGGGCAACAACAGCAGCGAGGCAGGGGGAGACGGGGTAAAACGCGAGGAGGATCGAGGGGATCCAGGAGCTGGAGGGATAAGTGGGACTGCTAACGGTTGGTTCCCTTGCGCTAATATGTCGACTAAGCAGAGAAAATATAGACGACAGACGGCGTGGGGAGACTTGTACAATAAGTGCTCTTATCAGTAGAGACGACACTCGAGGGAAGGAATCAGCTGCTTGTTTTGAATGTGCGAATGATTGTGATGATGAAGAGAAATGGAAGAAGATGCTCTTTTTCAGCTGGATGACAAGGGAAGAATAGAGTAGAAAATGGTTGAGTGAGTCTTTGAGACAGAGGCTTTTCCGATACGATAGGGACGAGGATACACACAAAACACCCAACTCTAAGCGCTCCACTAGGGGCAACTTGATCTACATAAAAGTCGCTGATATCATGTATTCTTGCAGTGATATTGTATGATTCAGTACGGAGTACATGCTCTCTACTGTATTATGAATACGGTATAATGTGTACATGATGATATGCCGTGGAAATTAATATACGCTGCAGCTCTCGGTCACACAAGACGCCACACATCTTGTACGGTGAAGGGTCCAAGCTAAGCTAACAACTCAACAACACCGCGATTGATACTCATATCTCTGTGCAGAGAATGAGCACCATTCTATATGAGAATAGCTTGACTGATGAATGCGATAATATCCAGCTGTAAATTTAGATGATGATCGTGAATCAAAATACTATCGGATCGACATTGACAAGCCGCGACACGTGGATGGCGGTTTCAGCCCCTTTTTGGTCCTCTCGCGTCTTGCCGCTTTGGGACTGGCGTAGCCTAGCTGATAAGACACAATTTACTACGATACACTAGCAGCACACCTGTTGCCATTCAAAAGGACAATAAACATGCATAGGACAACAAGAGGACTCAAAACTTTGAATAAACGGTATACTGATCATTGGTATAAGTAATATGTACAGAAAAATGGTAATCAACTTTCAATGTCGAGAAAAGGAACGGATAATACAACTGATGAAATCTACCATCCCGTCGGAACCTAGATGAATGGATTGTTGTGCCGTCATAGATCATAGCAATACTGACATTATTTCTTTGCGGCACCCTCTTCGATCCGTTCCTCTTCGGCTTCTTCCCTTTGCTCTTCTTCGGCAGCTTCCTCGTCGTCCAGAAGAAGCGTTTCCTGGGCTACACCACCACATAGTCAGCCAACGGTCAATTGACCATGTGCGTTGTTAAGCAAGGAAAGCACCTACCACTCCAGAGCTGCGAGTATACGCCATTCGTGTCAATCAGCTGGCTATGCGTGCCGCTTTCGGCCACGCTGCCCGCCCGCAGCACAATGATACAATCGCTATCGTAGACGGTGCGTAATCGGTGTGCAACAAAAACACTGGTCCGCTTCTTTTCTCTCAAAATGCCGTTGATATTTGAGAGCAATGACTGCTCCGTATGAGTGTCAAGTGCCGAGGTCTACCGTCATATTAGTTACTTGGAAAAAATAGACAAAAGTGCGCAAAGGGGATCAACATACGGCCTCATCAAAAAAGAGCAGTGGCGGGTCCTTGAGGAGAAGTCGAGAGACGGCCAACCGCTGCTTTTCACCACCTATCACAATATATTAAAAGGACATTCATTCAATAAGGCAGGGTATTGAGCGTACCCGAAATCATCATTCCTCGTTCTCCCACCATGGTCTGATACCCATCAGGGAATGATCGGATAATCTCGTCGATCCGAGCTCGCGTAGCTGCTTCGTGCACCTGCTCCTCAGTCGCCTGCAGATTGCCATAGCGAATGTTGTGTTCAATCGTATTGTTGAACAGTGGAGTGTCCTGTGGCACAACACCAATAGACTTGCGTAAGCTCTCCAGGCTCACGTCCCGAATATCCTGACCATCAACAAGGATGCGACCAGACTGCACATCATAGAATCGGAAAAGTAATCGGAGAATGGTCGACTTGCCGCACCCACTGGGTCCGACAATAGCAACCTTTTTGCCGCCGGGAATCGTGAGGTTGAGATTCTTCAAAATGGGCCGATCGGGGTGGTAGCCAAACGTGACATTTTCAAACTTGATCTCGCCCTTGGAGAGAAGCAGCGGTTTCGGGTTCTCGGGCTCTTTGACGGCCACATTGACCTTTTGCAAGTTAAAGAGCGTCTCCATGTCAAGCAAGGACTGTCGCATTTCACGGTACACCGAACCCAAAAAGTTGAGGGGCACCGAGAGCTGGAAGACTAGCTGATTGACCATGACCAAGTCACCGACCGTCAAGCTGCCATTGGCGACTCCATTGCAAGCTAGCCACATCATGGCGGTCAAGGCCGACGAAAAGATGATGTTCTGACCAGAGTTGAGGAACGCAAGCGACGTGGCAACTTTGATGGATTGTTGTTCATACGCAGTCAGAGCCTTGTCGTATCGGCCCACTTCGAATTTCTCATTGTTGAAATACTATCGTAACATTAGCAGAGGCAGGAAGCGCCCATTTCATCGACTCAAGAAACATACCTTGACGGCCTCGTAGTTGATCAACGAGTCAACCGCGACTGTGGCTCCCTTGTTGTCTGCAGCATTCGCACGCTTGCGGAACTGGGTACGCCAGGAGGTGGTCGTAATCGTAAACGCCGTGTATGCGACCATGGTGGCTGCGGTAATTGCGGCAAACTTGGCGCCATATTGATACGTCTATTGCGAGTTAGTCGGGGCATGTGAGGAAATTTTTCCGGCAGTTTATATACCAAAATACCGCACACCATGGAAATTTCCAATGCAGTTGGCAAGATGTGAAACACCATGGATGTCAAGAGGAAGCTGATGCCTTTTGTGCCGCGGTCCATGGCCCTGGTCAGACCTCCAGTTTGGCGTGTAAGATGGAAGTTGAGATCCAGTCGTAGTAAATGTTCAAAAACATTGCATGCAACATTTCGGATAGCCTTTTGCGCGACGCTCGCAAAGACGGCATTTCGGAGCTCCTGAAATATGACCGCCCCAATTCGCGATGCACCATCTACAACCTGTTAGTCCCGAGTTGTAATTTCCTTGCGGAATTCCGGTGGTTCGTACATGCGATGATCATTGCACCAGCTACAGTGGTTGCAGTTCCTCCCAGCGCAGCAAAATCTATATTCATGGAATCGACGATGCTCTTGAAGTAGAAGGGCACTTGCACATTGAGAACCTATAGAAATTAGCGATCCAGGCCCTTGGACAGTAATCCAATAGAATCGTTACCTTTGCACTGACGAGCAATGCAACAGCAACGCTCACTCTGACTTTGGTGCCTAGGTTATCCTTGTGTGATCTTAGCAAGTCCGTTCTGTAGCAGCTAAGTTTTGATTTCTTGCCCAGAAAATACCTTTGGCCACAAATATCGTGACATTTCCTTTATTATAGTCCAATCCGCCCTTCTCTGTTCTTGCTTTGTCAAGTTCTGCTCGGACAGCAGAATGTCTTGCTTCTTCGGCGCCGAAGCACCGGGTGCCTTTGGCGGCTGAGCATTTCCCGGAGGAGCTTTGTGGTGCTCGACCTTGTGCGTTGATTGTTTATGAGCTTCGTCCTTAAGAAGACGTGTCGTTGTCGTGAAGATTCGTGATTGTGGTATTCCAATTGGACTGGCTCGAGGCCACGCGACACTGGCGGAGCATGGCGAACGGCGGAGCAACTGCGAGGCCGAACAGGCTGTCCTTGGTAGCCGTGAGGCTAACATGATTGGAATTATCGGTCCAATTGATCCCTTCTCTTTTTCCTAGTTGTTTATTGACGTTGCGCGTATACAAAGGTCGTCATGATCTGGAGACAGGAAGGAGATGGCCGAGCAATGGATGGGCTATCGATAAGCGTAAAAGAGAATAGAAGTCGAGAGGACGATATTGCAAGAATGTACAACTTTTAATACAGACGGGCGTACCAGCGACCCTTGCCGGAGCTTTGAAAAGCTGAAAGTGAAAGAAATCAATTGAAAGAAAGGAGAGGCACCTGGATGGTGGGGATTATGTTCATTCGTTGCTGACTGAGTACCGTAGTTATGTCGTTATAGAATCGCGACATCGGGCCCTATCGGTGACGAACTTTCCCCCTTGTCTGTTTGCTCTGTTTGCATCCCGAGCTTAAACTACTCACCACCACAATAATCGACATATCGGAATACGCCAAAGAGATTCATCAATCTTTCGTCTTCTCCGCACCACAATTACTGGACAGTCATGCGCCGCCCACGCGCTGGACTGGTCAAGGACCTGGCTGCCTATCCCTCACGATGTGCCGCTCTCAGCGGTTCTCGTGCCGCTGCCATTGGTCGTCGAGGGGTGCACATTGAAGCTACCCCAGCATCAGCTTCATCGAGCATCAACAACGGTCTTGAAGGCGCAGACACGCCAGGTAGGCTCTTCTGCAGATTGTAGTATGACGAATTGAGCTGACATGAATTGCATCAGATGCAAGATTTGAAGTCCTCGGGTCGCCGTCCTCCCTTCTGTCCGTGTCCCTCTCCGCATCACAGAACCTGTATACCCGACGCGGAACCCTCGTCGCATTGAGCGGAAAGGCTGAGAATGTAGGACCATTGACACATTGGGTTGATTTACTCATGGCGACCAGCAGCTGACCATGCAATGCAGGCCACATCTAAGCTTTCCATCCTGGAGCCATTTCGACGATCGGCTCTCGGCATACCATTTTTATACCAAAAAGTATGCACACGGTCAATTGAGTGTCTACGCACCACCCATTTTCAGGAACAAAATCTGACTCGCAAACTATCAGGTCTCCTCTACTAGCCCCGTGACTGCGCTGGTCGCATCCAACTCTCCCACCACGTCGTTTGCAGTAGTCCACCTCAATGGCACGTTAGACTGGATGGTTGCGCAGCGACACGGTCTGCTGGCATGGACAGGACACTCATTATATGTGTCACCGACCGTCAACGCGAGAATGGTACTGCAACCATATCACTTTCTTCACTTCCCCCAAATCTTCGAGCTAACGCCAAGTAGAGCCTCTCACACTGGGGCAACACCCAGGTCACTGGGCGAGGACTGCTCGCCCTGGCCGGCAAGGGTCAACTCTACCAAGTTACTCTCCAGCCAGGCGAGGAATACATTGTTCATCCTAGGTATTCATCCCACCCTCATCAATTGCCCTCCTCGTCACAGCAAAACTTAAAACTAACGCAATGTCAAGCAACGTCCTCGCATATACCATGACACAGAACAAGCCGCTCCCATACCGCCTCAAGTCTTCCTCGCTTCGACTCCAAGTCCCCAGCCTGGGCCGTCTCGCGCAATACTTTCCGCAATCGCAGTTCCTTCAAACGATCCGGGAGTCAGCCGTGTGGAAGTTTTTGGCCCAGTCCATGTACTTTTTGCGAACATGGTCCCGCCGCACCGTTTGGGGTGACAGAGTAAGTCCATCACTCCTTTTTCCTTTCCAACCACTTTTCCTCGCAAATGTCTCTTTCTCTCTTGCAATAGCCGTCACCATCCCTCCATTCTGTATGCGGAAGGCTAATAACGAGATAGCTATTCCTCCACTTCCGCGGCCCCACCACGATCCTCTTACAGTCCCGCTCCTCGGCTCCTCTCCGCGACATGCTCTCCCGCGAGGACGTGACAGAAGTCGCGCAAAAGCCCGCCGGCAGTCTCGCCGCAGCAACATATATCGCTCCCCTTGACGCCGTCAGAAAAGAAGGCGGCCACGGCTCTTCTACAACACCGTCCACCTCCTCCCCTTCGTCTTCTTCTCCATCCACCTCTCCATCATCCACCTCCCCATCCTCGTCAGCATCGGCATCAGCATCAAAGGTAGCAGACGCTGCCAAGGAATCTGCCGCAAAGACTGCAACCCACGCCAAAGACACAGTCAATCAAGTCAAGGAGACTGTCAAGTCATGAGATTAAGACGATAGATTACCTCCCTTTTTCTATTTCTTTTCCTGTTTCCTCTTATCTCTCACTTTTCCATTTCCCTCTTTCCTTTTTCCTTTTCCCTCTTCTTCCCTTTTTTCCCTCCATTCTGCTCATTTCCTTTGTCTTTCCATTTTTTCCCCTTCATCTTCTTCGTCCTTTTTACATGGCAATAGCACTCGTCGGATCCGCCGTGCATTCTTACCCCCTTTGAACCTCTGAGCGCAATATATATAGCAAGAGATAAAATCAAAGACTACTTCTTACCACTTCAATTTTCGTTTTTTATTTCCCGCCTTTTTCCTTTTTTGTCCCTTGTTTTCACCCTCTCCCCCTTTCCTCTTTGCTCTTTTGCAGCAACAACCACGACCACAGCCACAGCCACACTACTCCATCAAATGTGCGCCAGGTGTCAGGTGTCAGGTGTCAGGTGTCAGGTTGTCAGTGTCTCAGGTATTTTAAAGCGTCTTATATTATGTGTACAGAATGTAGAAAGTGTAAAGAATGTAAAGGGTCCCTGATAACATACAAGTATACCTAGTGATTTCTATAAAGTGTCATTATATCTTGTTAAACTGTATATACCTTTAACGCTTATGCTATGCTAACGATAGTAGTATGCTAATGCCATGCTGTCTTGTTGCCATGATTATATATAATACCGTATATACACTGCCATGCAATACATTGTCATGTAATTCAATGCTATGCCATGCAATGCGAGTCCCATATACCATACACCGTAACGCGTAAAAACCATACTAGTAAAGTACTGTACTGTACCATGACTGAGCGAGACCAGACCAGACAAAACTAGACCAGACCTGATGAACGCCAGAAAAACTAGAAAACCCAGAAAAACCAGAAAGAAAAAAACAGAAACTTGAAGGGAATCCAGAAAGTGAATCCGCAGACAAATGTTCTCGTAAGACTCATGCTAAGTCGCTGTGCAGTAAATCATGTGCAGTGTGTAAGGCTTGATAGTTGTTACCTGATACCAACCACAAAGAAGGTACCACAAACAAACAAAAATAAAGGCCAGGAATAAAATACCAACCACAAAGGTACAACAAAACAAACAGCAATAAGGTCCAGGAATCAAAATAAACAATCAGAAAAAAAAAACGGGGTCAAGGACAAGAACATGAACATGAACAAGCACATAGACAAGAAGGGAGAAGAACGGAAAAGAGAAAAAGAAGAAAAAAAAGGAAGAAAAAAACGAAGGAAAAAAACGAAGGAAAAAAAAAGGAAAAAAAAAGAAAAGAAAGAAAAGAAAGAAAAGAAAGCAACGCACACCTACAAAGCCAACCCTAATCGCATATTCTGTACAGTCTTTGCCCCTACGCCCTTGAGGCCCGCCAATTCATCTAGATTGCGTACCCTTGTCCTTGCACCGCCAACGGCCCTTTCATCTCCAACCGCACCTCCTCTTCCTCCTCCAGCTCCAGCGCCCACTCCCACCGAACCCACGTCTAATCCGGCTCCGCCGGCCAACAAACCATTAACAATCTCATCATCCTCATTAACCATGGCAGACGAGAGGGAATTCAAAATGACTTGTGCGCGTTTCGTGCCGACGCCTTTGAGGAGCTTAATCTTATTGACGTCGCGGGTATTGATGATGCGGAGGAGATGCTGAGTGCGGGGGGTATGCGGGCCGGCGGAGCCAGAAGACGAGGAAGAGCGGCCCAACCCACTAGGATCAGCAGAGGAACTAGTGGCGAAGGTGGCGCTGTTGCTGCGACTGCGCGTGTTGCTGGCGGATGTGGAAAAGGAGGTATTGGTTGTAGTCGAGGGATGAGTCTGGTACAAGGAACTTGATTGTAACGCGGACGAGGACGAGGAGAATGAGGAAGAGGATAAAGAAGCGCCAGACAATGAAGAAGTAGAAGAAGTAGCAGCAGCGGTACCTGCACCTGCTCGTCTTAGACTCTCGAGATCCCCCCTCTTCAGCGCCTCCAATTGTTTCGCGACGACATCTTTGTCCATGGGCTTGAGCTTTGATTTGGCATTCGCGCTGGATTTACCTGCGTTGCGGCCCTTTTGTCTGCTTCTGCGAGGTCGGGGTCGGTCGAGTCCGTCACAGAAGCTACTATCGTAGTCTTCTTCGGGACGATAGACCCAGTCTGAATCTGCAGCAGATATGGTCGACGGCTGGTCCTCGTAGTCTTCATCGGCGAGGTCATTGTGGTCGTAGAATGGCTTATTCGCGAGCTTGTTCTTTGTATGTCCGTCCATGGACGAGCGAGGGAGAGCTCGCGCGCGTTCTTCCTCTTCGCGCTTCAGGCGGAGCTTTTCTTCCAACCCGAGCATCTTGTTGATGAGCTTTTCGTTGTTTGGAAAGTGCGGGAGTGCGAGCTGATACATTTTCAAAGCAGACGTGTCCTCACCGCGGACGTGGTGTTGTTCTGCTTATGTCAGTATGATACTGTGACCAGAGGATATTCGTTTACATACTGGCCATGAGAAGAAAATTGAGTCCTTCATTTTCCTTGTCCTCCCTGCAACGAATCAAAATTAGTCTCGTCGTAAAAAGAAAAAACGGAAGAGTAAAACTTAGACATACACTCTCTGTTCAAGCATGGCTAGTCGCTTCTGGACTTGCTCGTTAATCTCGGGGGCAGGCGGATGGGAAGCATCGCTGAGAGCTCGTGACGCAAGAATCTCTGTAACCTTCTTTTCAATCATGGCCTCAATGTTCTGCTTCGACATTTTGTTTTCATTTCCGTTTTCGTTTTCGTCTCTCATGACCACCAGCTTTGACGAGTCGTTTTTCCGTGCTGTCTTTAACGGGCGAGCATTGCTACTACTTAGGGCATCGGATCCTCTCTTTCGAGGTTCCAATACTTTGGGCTGTAGCGCCGCACGTGCCGAGGGTTTGTGGGGTTCTGACGCATCAGAAAACACTGCAAATGCTTTGGCAGGCTTGCCAGATTTCGCAGGGTCGTTGTTATTCGAAAGCGTGTTGTGCACTGTGGCTAGTGGCCGTAGCGGCTGTCGTTGGAATGAAGTACCGGACGTTGACATGGCAGCAGCCTTTGGCATTGACTTGAACAGCGGCTCGTTTTCGACCTCCTTGACTTCAATCTTCTTTGTGCGGTTGGCAAAGTTCAATGAGCTCAAGGTATCCAAGTGGTAAGACCTGACTGGCGCGAGGTTCAGAATCATTACCGTAAGCCCATTGTTTTGGCCCAATGATAAGATTCTTGTCATCTTTGACTCCCGATATGGGATTCGGTGCTGCTTCTTGCTGATAGCCTCAACGCACTGCGCAAGCACAAAAAGACTCTTGTTGATGCTGGCAGACTCGACCAATCTTTCCCTGTTGTTGTCGGTTCTTCGATTGTCTTCGGATCCAGCCAAGTCAATCGCCGATGCCGTGCTCACTCTGGTCATCGTCGCATTGGATACAGTGAGTTTGACACATAGTATGGCATGAGATCGAGAGGAATGAGCATTGAGCTAAAATTTGTCAGTAAATCATCTACTAGCATCTGATTCCTGGAAAGTACAAACCTTTGTCGCTGAAGTAGACCTATTGACGTTTGCCTGGTCATATAGACTCTCAAAGTCCTTTAGAGTCGTGCAGGGTCGCTCCGTCAGCCCGACAACAACAGTTTTGCCATTGTTATCCCTCAGCTGCAGGCCCGTGGGAGTCCGCTTCTCTGGCGGTTCAAAAAGATCAAACACGCGGTCCTAGCCAACGGGTCAGTTGAGTTCGTTTGCATGGGGTTTCGCGTCCTACATTATAGATTTCATAATAGCTCATAGCGACCTGCACAGAAGTTGCGCCTTGGGAATCCTTTTCAATTTTTCGGCTTCTTCGAAAGATGGCGCTCAACAGACGGGGGATGGCGCCTCTGTCTGCCAAGCTCTTCCCGCCTCGCATGGTATGCGTCTTGCCTGTACCTGTAACGCCATATGCAAAAAGAGTCACGTCGAAACCATTGAAGAGGTGCTTGACGGTAGGCGCAACTATACACATGTGTCAGCATTGTAACTAGTGCGCAAGCCTTGAGGCATCTCCCCAGGCTGAGCCCTCTAGAGACAGAAAGACTCCAACGTACCCTCGGCATCAAAGAGTTCCTGCTGCGTCGCAATCTGTCCATATACGCTGTTGAACTGGAAGCTAAAGTTTTCTCCAGGATTCTTTGGGTTGGGTATGCGCACAACCGTAGGCTGCGCGTCTTTCTTCTGCTTGCCTTCTTTGCTCTCCGCAACAGCGGCAGCAGATTGTCCTGTCGTGACGATGACATCCTTTTCGAGTTCGGACTTGACAAGTGGCCGGATCCGAGCCACCACTCTGACAGACATTTTCCTCCTCTTTTCGGTTTTCTTTCTATCGGTACAACCTCGTCTTTTTCTTTTTCTTCCTATCGTACCAAATTCCTTCTTTTCTCCTTTCTATCGTACCAATCTCCTCCTTTCCTTATTCTTTTTTCCGTACCAATCTCCCTCTATCGCCCTCTATTCGTATCAAAACAGACAATCCGCACACCGAAACAAAACGCTACGTCGTCCACAGAAATCCAATCCAATCCAGCCAAACACTTCGAATCAGAAAAGGTCGCGCCGTATGGTTATAGCCCCTTCTACTCCCACAACTCTCTGAGCGCACCAAATCTGATATATCCCGTGGTAAACGGATCTCACTCCAAGCCGTGATATACTTTCGAACGTCGTCCTCTTGTTTCTTGAGAGGCTCAGATTGCAAGTGTATTGAATCCAACGTTGTCTTCTTATTTCCTCAACGTTGAGAAGCGCAGATTGAAAGTGAATTGAATTGAATCCAACGTAACGTTGTCTTCTTATTTCCTCAGCGCTGAAAAGCGATGTGCGCGACGTTACCGGCGAATACAATGTAAAACCAATCTGCTTTGCGCGCGGATGGGCGTTTATCGGACTTGTCGCCTATGAGAATAACAACAACCGCTCTTCCCCTCTGATATGGACAAACAAAAGCGGCAAGTGCGCAACGAGACGGACAAGTTTCGGTGTCAATCGTTCCTTCCCAAATCTGGAGTCCTTTCTATAGACAAGTTCGGGCTTGTGTAGCGGTTGGGGCCGAGAAGAAGAGTTGTAGAGGAGACTTCCGAGGCTAAGAGATTTGTGGTTCACGTAGTGAGCGCCATGCGTTTCCAGAGATTATTTTGCTTTTCCACTTTGTACAAATTCAAATGACCTATTAGGCCGAATGGAGCGTAAAAATAATCAGGAGTTGAATTGCTTGACGGGGTGAGCAGGGTGGCTGTGACCAGTCGGACTGATTGACGACATGCAAGCTCAATTCGGCCTTTAGGGTAAGTTGGCCAAGGTGTTGGTGTCCTGGGCTATATCGTCTATACAGCTTGGTGGTGGGATACTTGTTGGCGGGGCAACGAAGCGCACTGGTTCAAGCGAAACGTTACTCAACCCTTCAGTGACGGCAACTCTTCCGTATCTTTTCTGCTTACAACGCGAATGAGAGTCTCATACATGCCATTGATAACATTATGATATTTTTTTTTTAAAAGATAATTCATCTAAAATATGTACTGGATGCATTTTATGCATTGTGATTAAATGAGTAATGATATCATTGCATATCCCGCCAACAGTCATGAATGCCGAAATTGGAGAATTCGCCCGGGCTCAATCGAAGCCACCCCATTAAACGCCAGTTGATGCAGTGACAGCATCGATGAAACCCTTAATTATTCCGAGAAGTGGACAATAAAGACTTTTTCCTCTTTAAAAGGCTTGGTTCATCGGTTATCCCTCTTAGACCTTCTTGAGCGTGGGTCCTGCCAGGACCATTCGGGCCATGAGGAAGCAAGTGCTGCCGGCAAGGAGCATGACACCGGCGAAGATCTGCAGCTGCTTATAGGAGCCATGGTGGTGCGACACCAGGGCGCCACCAATAGGACTGCCAGTGAGAGCGGCAAAGGAGACAACAGCGAAGAGAGCGCCATTACGGACACCAATCTTGCGAATATCCGAGATCTGAGCGACGCAGGCGGGAATCATGGAGACAAATGCTCCAGAAGCAAAACCATATAGGCCGGAGAAGACGATGATTGGCGCATTGGCCTTGGCAGGCAACCAGAGAGCCAGAACCAAGATACCGGCAAAGTATGACATGACTGTCAGGACGTTAAAACGTCCGAGCTTGTCACCAAGGTATCCCGGGATGATACGGCCAAAGGTACTATCGCTCAGTCAGCCAGAGAGTCTTTGCAATCTGAAGCACCAAGATATCGAAAAAGGCACTTCTAAGGATCATGTCTTCTACATACCTGCACGCATTGAGCACAGCAAGCAGATATCCTGCCAGGCGTTGAGACATGCCAATCTCGACGGCCTCACTGATGACAAAGTTGAAGGGCAAGAACATGCCGAAGAAGAAGAGGAAGCCACCAAAAGTCACCAGCACAAATGGTACTTCGGTGAAAGGTGTGACAAAGTCCGAGAGGACCACTGGCTTGCGCGTTGGCGGAAGGCGCGATGTCAAAGTGGCATTCGAGATAGTAAGTAGAGCAAGGATCAAGAAACCGCAGATTCGCATAGTCCATCCAAAATCGACGTCACCAATGAGATGCTCGACCATGATGGGAAAGATGACACCGCCCAAGCTGGATCCACTGGCCATGATTCCCATGGCGAGGGCACGCTTTTTGAAGAACCAAGTGCTGACACATGTCATGGCTATTTATTTCAGTCAGTATTGTTCACTCTGGTTTGCCTCGAGACAGATAAAATGTTTCTCGAATGAGAAGCGTGTGCGTACCTGGGTAAAAGACGCAGCTAGCACCGAGGGCACTGCAGATTCCCTGAGCGAGGATGAACTGGTAGTATTTCTTTGCAAGGGAAGTCATCATGATGCCGAAGACGTGGAAGAAGCTTCCGGCCAAGAGGAGGTAGCGGGGCCCAAAGTTGTCGTAAATGGCACCGATAAATGGACCCTGAGAGTAGTTGATCAGTATTTTGTTTCCCTGTCGTTGCAATGGAAAGAAAAAAAAAAAAAAAAAACCTACGCCAAAGAACATCATGAAGGCTTCGAGGGATGGAATCCATGCAACGACACTCGGCGAGTATTGCTTCAACATGTGCGTGGTATAATAGTCCTGGAAAACACCAATGCCTACATCAAGCGCAGTCAGCAATTGTCCTTATTTCACACTCTTCTCCGAACGTTCTCTTCCTGTATTTCCTGAGGGAAAGACGTACAATTAATCCAGCCGAAACTGCAGAACATGCAGAAGAATCCACCGAGAACGGCCAACCAAGCCTTCGCGCCTCCATCGGGAAACGCACTGGGGTCAAGAGCTGGCGGAGGTTTCTCATGCTGATCAAGTGCCTTTTCAAGTTCGGCATCCGGTTCCTCACCCGGGTCAGGCAGGTTGTGTGCGCCTGTCCGCGAAGTCACAGGTTCGAGCTCTGCATGGTAGGGACTGGCAGAGGGATAATTAGGATGGTTCGCAGTTGGTTCCTTCAGATCACCAGTGGTCTTGGTTGTGGATGCCACGGAGTCTGTCGTTGAAGACGGCATTTTGAGCTTGAGTGCTCTATGTGTATTTGAAGAAAAGCCGGACAGCACTTATCGCGACAGGCGTTGTGGTGGTGAGTGTTGTTGTTGTTCTTGTTGTAATGTCGTGTCGCGCGGTAAGTGAGAATAAAGAGAAGATACTCCAGGTATGTACGTAGGTAGAACTATTCTATACAAGAATAACAATCCCGACGTCAAACAGAGAAGTGACGTTGGCCAGAGATGACCAGAGCAGCTGGCACAGCAGTGGACAATACGAGAATACAAACGTGAGATGCTGTGCAACACCCGGGGATATATTCAAGTGAATAAGAAGGAAGCGGGAATGAGGGGGAAACAAGATACTAAGATTAGATGTGACTTGTACGAGGTATTCATATATACATCATGCTACAGCATAGACAGAGGGGATGACTTGTTTCTTATAATTTTCATTCCACTTCTCCTTCTGCCACAATTTTCTGCGCCCATGATTTCGGTGTGCGGAGTTTAGGACTGGGGGAGCTAAAGCCGGGGAGACTACGGGCACCAAACTGATAGAAAGATAGTGACGACGATGACTCTAAGAAACGGGGAAAAGACAAGTGGGAGTCGATCGAATAGTGTGTCAATAATGATACTAAGGACATGGGTCGTTGACGAAGTAGAAAGAAAACGGAAAAAAAAGTGGCTTTCTGCATCGCGTTGGGCTGAAGACCGAAAGGCCGAATGTCCGAGGGTCAACAAGTCCAATGGGGAACCCGATAAACAAGTCGATCAATGAAAGTCTCTTCCCTCTTTTTTTTCCCCTTCTTTCCCCTTTTCGTTTCCATTTGTTGGCTTTCGGACCCTTTGTGACAGCGCTAGTCTCACATAGTGCGAGTTTAGACACGGGACGAGCTGCTGCTTATTACGCTTGCAAGTACGGAGGTACCAGTAGTTTAATTGACGCTTTGCCAAGCGCTCAAGTGAAGTGATTTGGTCTAGGAGACTTCGGTCTACTGCTTAAAGCCGAGCAAGTTACCCAACTTTTGCGGTCCCTTTTTTTTGCTTTCTTTTCTTTGCTTTCACGACGAGCGTTAGAACAACTCGGATTAACGCGTCAACATGAGGCCGAAGTGCAACCAGCAAATCGCACGTGTAGTTGTAGCACATGGCCATTAAGGTTCCGCGGATACTTTTCTGTCAGGACTGTCCTTGCTGCAATATCGTTTTGTGCCGCGCTATCGCCTTCTATCTATTTCCTTCTATCTATTTCCTTATTTTTTCTATATCTTATTTCACTTTTAATTTTTTTAAAAATGAGAAAAAAGAAAGAAAAAAAGTAATAATGAATTCCCCTCTAGAGTACCCGTATCGCGAGATTGCAATAGCATGGCCTTTCCAGAAACGACACGTTCCAGGCTCTCAATAATACCATAGTCATTACTTGTACCTTTGTAGTTGACCACCAATGCTGACAGTCCAACCAGCGATACTCCGTATGCATGTGCACGGTGAAACATGCATATCCGATGCATAATTCCTACTATTGATATGCATACTACGGATACCTAAAGTAGTATCTTATCACTATTTCATAACCTCATCCTGTCAAAATGTCGCTCTACCTGTGCTCACAGATTGAGTGAAACCATAAATCAATATGCAATCTAACCAAACCTTTAATCTTTGCGCGTCTTACAGTTATGTCCTTCAATGACCCAAGCTGCATATATTTACCTAAGTTAATACCATAGCAAACAAAGACAATCTCAATCCTACTATGTGCAGTTATCTTTACGCTGTGACTATCGCAGTATTTCGGTTTCCGAAGCCTGTCGACACTAAACTGCTCTTGCTCCTGTCGATCTCTTCACTCGCTCGTTCGCGGCGGACGCAGGTCCGAAGGGGTCCGCGGAACGACCGGGCAGCAGGTAGATCTCAGCACATGCAAAGAATAATACAGTACAGGGTCTCTCAGCTTTGGGTTCTGAAAGGCTTCGGCATCTCGGACTTTCATGGATCGCGAGCCAACACAACAACTATTTTGAGTCAGACACCTGGGAGTCCCCATGCAGACCCCACGATCCAAGGCTGAATTACACTTGACGGCCATTGTGTAACCCTGTGCCCGAGTATTTGACTACTGTATGGACTATATTTTAGATCCATTGAATTAGCAAATAAATTGCCGACAATCTGGAATCGTACACGTAAATATCATTGACGATAAATGAACCAATAAAACAATCGAAAATTAGGGAGCAAAAAGAAATCAATTATCTGTATACATATTTCCTCTCTTGTAAAGTACAGTGCAGCACAAGCAAAGCAATCACAAAAAAAAAAAAACAAATCATGAAAAAGGAAGAAAATTACGCAAGTACCATCTTCTCCATGTCCCATGCAAGCCATGCGCTATGCGCGATTGTAGAGCTGACATTGATTAGTTCTCGTCTTTCCCCCCCATGGATGAAGCAAGCAATACAGTGAACACAATATCCAAATAACAGCCAGGACAGCGAAGCGTTTGATGAGACAAACCGCAAGCCCGACTTGACAAATTGAATACCTGCTTGTCATTTACTTGGCCTTGGCAAGGCCAACGCTGTGGCTGCCAAGATCATAGATAGAGTACCACTTGCGGAGGAAGGCATCACCGAGAATGGCGAGAGGGCCAACAGGCTCAGGGAAGTCCATGCCCATAAATGAAGAGATGCAAGAGCCCTGGACCTCAAGAATGTAGTCCTCGGGACCAATGGTGAAGTTGTGGCCGGTCAGAGTAAAGGTAAGCGGCGGGAGGGAGTCACGTCGGTCGCAGTCAACCGTGTACTGGCCGTTGAACGACTTCTTGGCTCCAATCTCCTTGTTACTACATTTGAGCAAAGGGTTAGTGAATTTTAACGAAAATCATTGTTCAGAGAGAATGCTTATGCTTACAGAAGCTCTGCAAGAGTCGATGGCAGGGCAATTAGCGAAGTGCCAGTGTCGAGGATAGCACCAGTGTTGTCGAGCTCGGCAGATGCGTCACCGAAGGTGATTGAGTCAAGCTCAACCTCCCAGTAGGCCTTGCGGCGCAGAGGAATCTTGGTGATCTTGCCAGTGTAATGGTCCTTGTCAACGCCACCAAAGACAACCTCGGACTCGGCCTCGCCGTTGTTAGTGTCACTGAGATAGAAGGCAAAGACAGGCTCATCGAGCAGGTCCTGCTCGAGCATCTTGTAAAAGGGGGGTACAATCTTGTTAACGCTGATGGTGTCATATCCAAGACCCAAGATGCCGTCAAATCGGCCAAAGGCGAAGGCAAGACCGGGCTCTGAAGTGGCTTCAGCAAAGTCCTGGCCCTTGATCTTCAAGTCGCCAATGTGGACATTGTCATTTGAGACGAATCCGCTAAGGCTACCAGAGCCGTAGCGGATCTCAAATGAAGAGCCGTTCGACTTGTAGGTGGATGAGGCAGACGAGTCGTATTTCTTATGCAAGTAGCATGCAATGGAGCCGCATTCAGACGACGGAACCCACAAGTTGGAGCTTCCAGTGTCAAGAATGACCTTGAATTCTTGGGGAGGGGATCCGATGGCGATCTCTGAGAAATCTAGAGCAACCGTTAATATTGATTGATCGGATGAAGGCGCACGTGCTATCGCGAAGAGGGCTTACATTGAGCATTCAGGAAGTTGCTAATTGGAACAGGATGACCCTCCTCGATGCGCAAAGAGGTGTCTCTGAACATCTCCTCAGTGTGGTGCTCAGGACGGATGCCCATGTACTTTTGGCCGAGCGATCTGACATGAGCGTCGATGTTGGCGGTTTCCTAGCGTTCCACTACGTTAGCCACTTCTTCTATCCGTTATTACAATTCCCTTTGCGACCGTGCTTAGCGGCATAGGTGAGGGATTACACTCACCAACTGCTCCGACAGAGGGACCTTTTGGAGCTTCATCTTGTGGACTCCAGCGGAGGCGGAACCAAGCAGCGTAGCCGCTGCAAGGACGAAAGCGTTCTTCATAGTGACGAGCTATACGACTTTCGCAAAATTCAAAGTACGAAGGAAGCAAGATATGATAATATAAGACAAAGAATGATGAGCTCAAGTGTCGAGCTCACTTGATGAATAGGAGTGTAAGTGAGAGGAGAGGTGGTGAAGGGAGGTGGTCCGGTAAGGCAGTTGGAGGATGACGACGGGGGAAGCTTGGCCTGGCTGGGGCCAGCTTCGGCTTGGGGCAAAGCACGTATATCGCCTCACTTCTACTATCAGGATACTCGCTTATCAGCACGAAAGTGGAGATATCTCGGGTACTTGACGTGTATATCCTTGGTTTGCCGTCGTGCTCACGCGCCCCTAGTGGCTGGTGCCTGGGCAACCTTGACCTGAACCGATTGATTGATTACATAAGCAAACGTCCGGACCTGGAGTTGGCTCGTCACCTGTCCATAGACACCGGGCCCTTTGGGATTGAACATGTGAGAATAAGCTGCTGCATTTTCACGTTAGGCGGATGTTAAGGCGAAAATTGCAGCATTGAAGACTTCAGTCAAAATATCAATTAGATATTATTTGAAGCCTGATGAAAGTCTTCTGCAATATATTACGATCCGCTTGCTCGCTTGCTTAATATCTTTCTAGCTAGCTATGCTCGTAAATTCATGTCAAAGCCAGGTACTTCAAAGGCTCAATGATATAATAATAGGCAGTATATGTACGGGAAAGTGTTGCCCTGAGAGTGTGAAAATGGGAAAAGAATATCTGCAGGGACGAAAGGAAGAATAAAAGATATAATACAATGATAAAAGGAAATGAGCACCGATCAACATCAAAAGGATTACTTCGTTTCAAAGGACAACACTGACGAAAGAAGAGAACAAGGTTGAAGATGAAGAGGGTTAAAGTGAAAGCAAAAAGGACCAAGAGAAGGGCTAAGTGTCAGAATTGCGTCGTGGGCGTGTCAGAAGAAAAAGCCGACCAAAGCAGGGGCAATCGAAAGCCCGTCTAACCGGAGCTGGAAAGCAAGTGTTAAAAAAACGATAAGCTCAATCATATCAAGCGCCCAACCTCGACAAACAGGAATAAATTTAAAATCATAGATCGTAAATCGTTTGAGGAGAAATGCACTTCATGCATTTCCGTTTCTCAGCCGAGCGTATTCGCCGTTATAGTATCCCGCTGAAACAACCATTTATGGTCCACGTATTAAAAGACGTAGCAGCAGGTCCAATAAAGCACTTTACTTCTTCAACTTTCTGCCTCCAACCCCGCCGGTGAGCCGGCCAAGATTGCTTAAGCTTGAACGCGGTTTATGCTGTGCCTGGCCTGGTCCACCTGGTCCTTGAGTGGGTGTTGAGGGGCCTCCAGCCCGCTGATTGCCTGCAGCTGCTTGACCTTGCGTATTGTGTATACTTTGTGCGGACCCTGGTCTTTGAGGGAGTAGCGACGAGAGTTGTTTTCCAGTTGCCGCAATGCCACTAGCACTAGGTACCACTGCACCGCCGGCCGAGCCTGGAATGCCTAGACCGAGTCCAAGTCCAGGAGAGTCGAGATTTTGACCATTCAGCAAGAAGCGGTTGTTGCGAACACTACTGGGAAGCCCGTCGAGAGAAGTCCCATTAATTCCGATGCCATCAGTCCCGCCGTGCGTCTGGAGACGTTGAAGCCGACGGGCCTTCTCCTGGACGCTCTTGAATTTGTCGAGAAGCTCAACCCAGCGAATGCCGCTATTGTCTTGGTCGCGTGATTTGAGGCGGTTGGGACGGTCGTAGGCTGGGGCCGGGGCTGTGGGAGTTCTGACCGAAGAGTTAGTTACACAGCGGACGCCATAGATGGTTGGCAAGAATAGAAATTGCAACAGTTTTTTCTTTGTAGGAAGCCAAAAGATACGCGGCACATACGTTCTGGGGGCGATATGAAGATAGCCAATGGCGCTGACGCTGTTAAGGCGATTTTTCAGAGCGGCAAAGGCCGAGGACTGGGGGAGCAGCATAAGAAGGCCATAGAGACATTTGTAGAGGTGTGGATATTTCTCAGGTTCCAGGAGCTGAAGACGAAGGTCTAATGCACGGTCAAAACATATTCTTCAATGGTACGGAAACTTGGACGATGGCATGCTTACAGGTAAAAACGGGCGACTCGAGCAGCTGAACAAGTTTGTCAATCTGGATAAGCATATTTACAGTCATTTCTAGTTCGGCGCTAGATGGTGTCAGCAATATTCGAAAGTCCTTCCAGCATGAGCCACCAGACATACAAGATTTGAAGCAGATTATAAGCTTGCTCGTATGCTTGCGCGAGCAGGCATAATGAAAAGGTCGCCACAGCATTATGGCACCATGATCGGAAAAGGGTGACGAAGAAGGTTTGTCCATCCTAATTGCGTTAGATGATCGTTTTCACAATACCCCTTCAACAATCAACACACCCTAGTCTCGAGATTCCTCAGTCTCTTACGGAGGTCGGCTAGTTCTGGTGCCGTTATGAGGTTGTTGTTGAGGTTTTGCACCATGATACTGGCGAATTCAACATCCTGGTAATGATTATCAGTATTAGGAGCTTGATACACTAGACTGCATAAACATACTTCGTCCTTTTCTAGACAGTCTGCCAATGTGCGATAGATTCTTTCGGCGCTCAGACTGACGCACAATTGTCTGATGATCAAATTCCCCCGAGTTTCAAGCAAGCGGCGATCTGTGCAGAACAATTGTAAAAGATTGACCATGAAAGAAGTAAAGTACTTGTCTTCACTGTTTCGCGAGATCTGAGAGAGCAACTGCAGATCACGCGTGACCACAGCTTCTGCCGGATCAGAGAGAGTCTTAAGCAGGGCGGGGAATGTGCCATCATTGATGGCAAGAACCTATGTTATGTCAATTGACCGTCTACCCGATATACACGATTGTGACCCTACCTTTCGAGGGGCTTTACTGTGCAGCATGATGAGCCAGGTCAAGGCTGCGACTCTCGTGGCCTCGTGCTCATTCAAGAATTGTAACGTGAGAGCGTTGACGGCAGCGGCATAATCCAGTTCAGTGGTTTGTGCTGCAGAAGGCGACGAGTTATCTCCTTGGGCAGGCGCTGTTGCGGAAACAGCAGCGGGGACTTGGGTTTCTCCGTTACCTTGGTTGTCTGGAGCTTTCTTACCATCTCCTTCTCGAGGAGCAGAAGATGATGGAGTTCTTCCATTCGCAGTTGAGTCTCGGCGTTCGGGTTCTGGGCCGTCCCTGGGTGTACTTGTAGATGCCCGTGTTGTCGCCGGCTCATCCGTCAATGACATGATATATTCCATCAACGAGTTGTTGACACGGTTCGCAGCCTTGCGCACCAATTCCACATCGCTCGCCATGGCAGGCAACACTTGCGACAGCAAATTTGGGACAAAAGGGAGTATGTTTTCGGGGCAGATCTCGAAGAAACTATCAATCCAGTGAAGAGCCGCGAGCTGTATCTCTTCCTCTAGAAAAAATAATGACATTAGCCTTGCATCGTTGATAAAATGATGACAGAATTGGCGTACCAGAAGCTGGATCAAGGAATTGTACCAAAATCTCCAAGATCTTTGGATGGTCAACCTGGACATCTTGCCCAGGAACCCAGTCGTCGTTGCTGACACTACGGACATCCTCCGTACCGCTCGAGTCAGTATGCACGCTTGCCGTCTCTTGCTCTTCATTTGTAGGGCCTCTCTCTGTTGGCGTGCTATCGATCTCGCTTGAATTGGCTTGTTTTGCTTTGTCCTCCCCAGCGCTCTTGCGGCTTTCCTCAATTCCCTTTTTTATTCTTGCAATCTTTTTGATTTCCCCCAAAAATCTATCAAGAGCGCCCTGGGTTGCAACATGTACATCTCGATTCGGATCGCTAAGGAACTTGAAGAGACCACCTAAGAATGCGGGAAGATAGGTAACGAGTTCCAAATCTGGAATAGAATCCAGGAGGGTTATCCATGAGACAAGAAAGGTCCGAGTAAACGGGTTGAGAACGTGTATTCTTTCCTTGAGCAAAGGAATAAATCGAGAGAGTGAGAATGCAGTGGGCAAGTCGACGGAAGACTCGCGATCAGCTTCAGGGTTTTCCGAATCGACCTCTAGTACTGCTTCTTCCGAAACGTTCAGGACCGAAACATATGTAGCTGCTGATTCAGAGACGATATCCTTGATCAATCGGTCCAACAGCTCTGCGCCGTTCTTGACGGAGAGCTCGGAATCTGCTGCTAGCTATACGCCATGTCTCAGCAAGAGATCGAAACACCTCGAAGTGGACTAATTGTGCGCTCACCTTACAGAGCGAATCAAATATGTCGTTGAAGTAGAGTAGAATCTCCCCTTTAGCTACCTTGGCAATGTTGTACATGCTCTCACAAGCATAGTATCGCACTCGAGCATCCTGGTCGGTAAAGCATGCAAGTACCGGAGGAACGATTTCTTCTAAGTATCGGGCAACCTCCTAGTAGTGATGGCCCATGATCAGCAACAGGGTCATAATGCGGGCCATATTCTATCAAGCACTTACTGGACCCAGTGCAATTGAGGCTGCAGCCAGGCCTATTAACCCGCCATTTCGGGCATGAGGTTGATGCACCGCATATGCATATTCGTGGCATAGCTGCTGAACAATTTTGCTGATCTTGTCGAAATCCTTGGCGACAAGTGCTTCGCGAACAAGTCTCTCGAGGCTGTCAATTGCATCTGATTAGAGACGAACGCGGACTTGTGGGGATAAACAACAGGGATCCGAATCGGACATACTCCAGAGCTCCTCCTTTCCGTTTGTCGTAGAGCTTGTCGTGAAGCGCTCTTTGGATATTTGCATCCATTTTCCCGACTGGTGTCTGAGTCTTAGCATTGCGGTCCTATCTGGGTCATTCCCTCTAATATTGAGGGAGTTGTGGGCGATGACGGAAGCCACTACGGGGCGAAATATCCACAAGTAACGGTGGAGCAGCAATGCAGACTAGTCTCGCCCCAAAAGATGGCGACTATAGCTGGAGCATGTGATTCGTATGGAGGGAGGGCCTTGGCAAGAAGAAGATCTCATTCACATAGTATTGGCGTGTTAATTGAGAAGTATGCTCTCAGTTCAAGGAAAGAGCAAAATCCGAATTCGGGTTGAAGAAAATGCAGCGTGAGCTCGCACGAGGACACGCACAGTTGTCGATACAACGCGTGGTGGCGGGATGAGACACGCCTGTCCCTGTTTAGAGCGGGGAGAGCGAACCCTCCCCCCTTTGGCGAATGGGAGAGCAACGGCTGGACTATGAATTACTGCTCATTCCCCAATCGAGAAATATGTCAATTCAACCTCATCTCTCCATTTATACACTGTCCGATTTATGATTAAGATAGTAGTATCGGATTGCAGAATATTTCATTGACTCGCAAAATCGTTTTTGGACAACCGTCAACTTCGAGATTTAATGCTAGTACAAACCGTCAACCTTTTACGTCACTCTTGAAGAAAATCGAGATATTTCTTAGGAATTCCAACCTAACATGCTGCTCTATAATGAACCCGCAATGATGAGGTTATGAGAAGAAGAAAAAGAAGAAGAAGAAAGAACATCTTTCAAGGAAAGACTCCTTTACATACCTATCACGCCGTCAGTATGAACGACCAGCAGGAAGGAGCTGACGAATCTCTTCCATTTTCATTAAAACATTTCCGAAAATGGATGATATGCTTGTGCGTATGAAGATCCGCGAGATGATATGTAAATTCTAAATATTTTACAGTGTTGTCTGCAACTTTAACGTGGATGTTGGTAAGGATAGCATGCCTCCGCGGATGATTGTCTTCTCAGTTCCGCCAGTGCTGATAGCATTCCTTCAGGACCAGAGATAGAGAGCGTCTATCCGCCAACTCCTCTTGCCAGCTCAGACCTCTCAGCAATTTGTTTCAACAGGTATGCGCTCATCCTTTCGCTGAAAATAATTATGCTCTTGTTCACCTTTCTAGCTTTCCTGAACGTCACGAGGGAGAGATAACAGAAGATCTCAGTTTTAGCTTTGCTCTTCGTAATCATTCTCCCAAAGTCAGTTTTGATGCTTTTGATTATCTCTATGGCAAACAAGACTACTTTCACGGCACTTGTCTTTTCCGTCAGGAGCAAGACAACACTGTCAAAAGGCGTTTCGGGCAGAAAAGTCTGGTTCTATTATCCCAGCACGATTTCCCCGGTCTCTGGGTCAAACTGCTACACCTTATGACATCCAACAACGCTCTCGGAGATATTGCTGTCCTTGAGACCGCATGTATGCATGTTGCATCATGGAAGCCTCCTACAGCTGGACAACATCAGCTACCTTTTTTCGGATCCGTCTTAGCAATGGACATGTAAGATCATCGAATACTCTAAAGATAAGGTGAAATCGTGAGTTAATCTTTCGTTGCAGATCACCAAATCCAGCTTTACCGCTGCAGGGTTTGATCCCATCAAGTACAGGGAGCCGTGAAATCTTCACACCTATCTTTGACGTATCAGGACCTGTAGGGAACTGGTATAAGTTGGTGCATTATCTTCCATCTCTAGCGGAAATATACATTATCTTTGAGCAGGTAAGAGGCGTCCTTTCCATGCAATTGTAACCTTTCCACTGAATCACGCAGGCCATACTCGCTGAGCCAGTAGCCGTATTGTCAAAAAATCCTCAAATATGTAGTGAATTGTAAGAAGTCTCCCAGTAATTATTTTCAGCATGCCAATATGTTTTAGCGTATCGGCAGTGGTAGACCTGATTCGACCGGTAAGGCAGAATATAGTATCCATAAAATCGTGAAGACTGATCTTCTGTTTAGGTCCCATATGCGGGTGACTCAAGGCCTTATATTACAATGCAGTCCGGTATGTATTTGATATGAATTTGCCACAATTCCGCGGCGAGGCTGACGTTTCCTCACTTCTCCAGACCTTTTCTCAACTGAGATCGACGGCGTGAGCTCACCTGACCTGCTTTATCAATTTATTTTTTCAATATACTGACAAAAACAGGGCCTTCCTCAACATTATATGATTGGTGAGTTCGTAACTCGGTAGTAGAGCTTGCCATTGATACCGTTCAAGGGATCACCAATCCTTTCCTTCTCAGACGACTTTCTGTAACATCTGGGAACTCCGGTCATCGGGAGCCGCATATTGTTTATCTACGGAACCCGGAGTCAGAAGTGCCTCTGTAAGTCCCAGGGACAATTGAGAAAATAATCGAACATTTAACAGCCAAATAGGAAGCCGTCACACCAAGAACATAATCTACGGGGAGATCATCAAGTTCCACAGGGGTCATCCCGGCCCAAGCAAACAAAGACCCACCTATCCAAGGACACAGCATTCCTCAAGAGTCTGAGCCGCATGATTAGTGGATCAAATCCGCTCCGTAAGCTCTCAAAAGGCGATGGGGAGATCAAGGTACCTAACAATGTGGTACAGGAGAAGAGAATTCGGATGTAGCGGCCACCGTCCGACGCCATTTTGCTGCACTCGCTGGCTCACTTCTGGCACCGCTCAATCGCTACTTTGCCACGTTGACTGATAGTCCTTCTGCATCACCTGGCGGAGAGGTTAGATACGGGAATTTTTCAGAGGCAGATTTTCTGCAGAGTCTCTCCAAATATGGGTGCTCGGTCAAGTTCCGTGGCACCACATCCTTGCAGCGGCAGAGGACACGTGATGCCTTCTACAAGAGATTTTGCCAATCACCAAGTTTCTTCCGCTGGCTGGATATGAAGACACGAATAGAATTAGCAGCATCTACAGGAGTCTCGCCCTCTGATCCAACAGAAAAAGGAGCAACTTAGAGGCTCAGCCGTCATTGAACGAGTTTCATCGTTCGCATGACGTATAACTAAACCGCACCTATTAGGAAATATATGCATATGCTGCCGTGCGGTTGAAGAGTCTAATAGCCTTGTCGCTCATTTGATCTGCGGGAAGAACAATACAATATATGGACCAAGGTGGGGAATTTATAGCCAGCATGAATGAACGTGGGAAGCTAAAAATAAGCCTAACTCATGGCTCTCTTGCAGTCTTGTCTCATAATGACATCGCATCAATCGAATTTGTCTGCCTGCTGCCTACCTAGCTAGACATAACTCCATAGACGTGAGAAGGGACATGCGGCCACAGTCATTGACCACGGTGGGTCGCTTAACACCGAGGAGCTTAGGCCGGGCCTACGTTAATTCCGCTGTTTTTAGGTTGTCTACGGAGGTACATACTGCGCGCATCCCCCGCGTCAACGTTTCCGCGGGGAAATTCCGCGAACTTAAACCAAATATCCCGGACTTTGGGGAGATAGCCCTCCTGTCACATTCTATCACCGTTTTTGATCGCACGCCACTGCGAGTGAAATAGCGGTCTAGCAGAATTCTTTATTATTTTACAAATGAATTCCGTCGCTTTTCCTATTTTCTTTGGAACATGTTATCCTTCGAGGCGGCATAATGACATCCACCCAAGAGGATCGCAATGTTCAAAATGCGACTCCAGAATGGACGAATGAGCCTGACATCGAAAACCAAGCTGCAGTGGAAGTAAAGGAGAAAAATGATGGACCTCAAACAGCAAATGAGAAGAATGATCTTGCGTCCGTTGACAACATTAACGAACTTTATTCCATCTTTACTTTGTGGGAGAAGCGTTTCATCGCCATTGTCGTTTCGATTGTTTCTCTATTCTCGCCATTTTCCTCGAATATCTATTTCCCCGCAATGAACACGCTAGCTCAGAGTCTGCACGTGTCTCATGAGAAAATAAATTTGAGTGTGACCGTCTATATGGTAAGTTGGTGTCATTAATATCACTCCATTTACATGTATTGACGAACTCTGGAGATTTTTCAAGGAGTAGCACCAGCCTTCATCAGTAACATAGCTGAAACATCAGGGAGACGTCCGGCATATGTTGTCTGTTTTATCATCTTTCTCGGAGCCAATATTGGCCTTGCGGTGCAAAGCTCCTATCCAGCGCTGATGGTTCTGCGCTGTGTCCAGAGCTCTGGCAGCAGTGGAACCGTGGCCCTTGCCAATGCAGTCATCGCCGATATCGTTACTTCTGCAGAACGAGGCAGCTTTTTTGCATGGTCAATGCTTGGTGCTATTTTGGGACCTTCTCTGAGTCCTATTATTGGCGGTCTACTCAGCGAGTACCTTGGGTGGAAGTCCATCTTTTGGTTTTTGGTCATCTTCACAGCCGTTGTCCTGGTTCCGTTTCTGCTCTTCTTCCCTGAAACAAGCCGCCCAATCGTGGGGAACGGGTCAATTCCACCGCCTAAATGGAACAGGTCCCTCGCAAATGTGATTTCCGAACGGCGACTAGCCAAGGCTGGGAAGCCTGTTGACAAGTCGGCGACTCACAAATCCACTCGCCTTGAGTTTCCCAATCCCATTAAAACTCTTAAGATTGCCATAGAACCAGAGGGCGCTTTGATCCTCTTCTTTGGAGGCATCGTCTATGCAGGGTACTACGCTGTAGCAGCGAGCATCCCATCGCTCTTCGGCCAGACTTACGGATATAACGATATCGAAATTGGCTTGATGTATCTGCCAATCAGCGCAGGAATGCTCATTGCGGCTTTCACTACAGGCAAACTTGTTGATGCTAACTACCGACGTTATGCGAAGAAACACGGCTTTCCACTCGATAAGACCAAGCAGCATGACCTGACTGACTATCCCCTTGAGCGAGCCCGTCTGGATATCTGCTTACCTCTGACATATCTCGGGGCGCTGGCTATGATCGCTTACGGGTGGCTTGTTGAATACGGGTATCGGATCGGCGTAGCGGGTCCGGTTGTCATCCTCGTGGTATTGGGCTATGGCGTGGTCGGATCCTTCAACACGACCAGCATTCTCATCATAGACATCAATCGTGATCGTCCGGCGATGGCTACGGCGGCGAACAATCTTATCCGATGCCTTATGGGCGCGGGGGCCACTGCTTTCATTGGTCCTATGCTCAATGCGATGGGCCGTGGCTGGGGATACACATTCATTGCCTTTCTGTGGTTTCTCTTTAGCCCAATGTTACTGGCTGTGATCAAGTGGGGTCCTGGGTGGCGGAAAAAGAGGGCCCTGAAGGCTGCAGAGAAGAAGCGGCTAACGGTAGAGAAGCAAAGAAAGTCAGAGCTGGCGGAATATGCTCTCTCGGCCGACAGAAAAACCAGCGAGGCAGCGGTACCAGATGAAAAGAAGCCAAGCGAAGCTACAGTAAATTCAGATGTCAGTCATGAAATTGCAGATCATGACCCCGAGGCAGCTGTGAAAGGTCCGAACGATGCCAAAAATACGAGACCAGGAGCAGAGGGCAAAGGAGATTATATCTCGCCGTCAGCATCTTAAACGGAACTTTGAGTTTAGACTGCATTGGCATGAAATTCCACAATAGTCCAGTCTCTTCGTTTCATATTCGGAGCATTTTACCTATTTGTTAACCATTGCAGAATTTCGCATGCATAGAAATCCGGGACGATGGAGCGCATCTAAAGATATATCCCCGCCAAAAGGCACAAAAAGATCAAGCATTTAGCATTAGCTTCAACCATAAACGTTCACTTTGACTCGTTGGAATGCCATGGGTCTTTAAGTTTGTGATTGTCCCATGATAATAAGACATTTTGGAGTATATCTGTCAATGAAAGACGTGCAGTGAAACGACCGACTTGGAAACTTATTCCGCTGGCAGCGGAATAACTGATGGCTCGAGAGCGGAATTACGGGGTTATCCGTATAAGGGAGTAATTACGCGAAACCACTCAACGCGAGCGCGTAAAGACACTTTCGCGTCGCGTCACCTTTCTGCGCGGACGTCAAGAACAAATACGGGGAGTGAAACAATTACCAACCGATTGGAGCAAAAGAATCAGAAGGCTATAGAGATTTGGAACGTAGGGAACGACTCTCGAGGTCATTAGCTGAAAAGGATAGGCAAGAGATTCTCTGAAAAGCGATCGTGGTATTGAGGAGTCGAAAGATGGCGTCTAGGCCGGAATTGAAGGTATGATAGCTTTCGTCGAATGCGATGGGAGTCGGACTAGCACGCTGGCATTTGAAGCAGGGAATGGACAGCGAAATCTGATTATATGGATTGCAATTGTACTGACATTATTCTGCAGCTCGACGACGAGGTTGGCTTCATTCGCTTCTTCCGAAATTTGCCTAGTAAGGACGAAGAGACGATTCGCATATTTGATCGAGGCGATTGGTATTCAGCACATGGAGATGATGCTGCATTCATCGCAAGGACGGTATGCTCTTTAGAGGAAATAATGGTCTACGGCGATGGCTTCTGACGATACTAGGTATACAAAACTACATCTGTGCTCCGCCAGCTTGGCCGCAGCGACAATGGCCTTGCCTCAGTTACCATGACTATTACAGTCTATCGGAACTTTCTGCGCGAGGCTTTGTTCCGCCTAGGGAAGCGTATCGAGGTTTATGAGGCGACAAGTCGAATGAACTGGAAGGTGTCAAAGCAGGTTCGAGACAGGAGTACTTTTTTGAGTTAACAACAAAAGGGCTAATTGGCGGGGTAGGCTTCTCCAGGAAACCTCCAGGACATCGAAGATGAACTCGGCGGCCAGATTGACTCTGCTCCCATCATCCTGGCGGTCAAAGTCACTGCCAAGGCATCGGAGGCTAGGACAGTCGGTGTATGTTTTGCAGATGCCAGCGTCCGTGAACTTGGTGTCAGCGAATTCCTCGACAATGATTTATACTCTAACTTTGAGTCAATGCTGATCCAGCTCGGCGTCAAGGAATGCTTGATTCAGACGGACGTGCAGAAGAAGGACGTCGAGTTGGGAAAGCTAAGAAGCATAGCCGACAATTGTGGGTGCGCAGTTACGGAGCGGGTTGCAGCCGATTTTGGTACGAGAGATATTGAGCAAGACTTGACCCGGCTGCTGCGAGATGAGCGGTCGGCTGGAACACTGCCTCAGACAGATCTCAAACTTGCCATGGGATCGGCCGCTGCTTTGATCAAATATCTCGGCGTTATGCATGATCCTTCGAACTTTGGTCAGTATCAGTTGTACCAGCATGACCTATCGCAGTTTATGAAGCTAGATGCGTCAGCGCTCAAGGCACTGAACCTGATGCCGGGGCCTAGAGACGGCTCCAAAAACATGAGTTTATTTGGCCTTCTCAACCACTGCAAGACGCCTGTCGGCAGTAGATTGCTTGCTCAGTGGCTCAAGCAGCCTTTGATGAGCCTGGAGGAAATCGAGAAAAGACAGCTGCTTGTCGAAGCCTTTGTCGTGGACACTGAACTGAGACAGACCATGCAGGAGGAGCACCTACGTTCTATCCCTGACCTTTACAGGCTATCCAAGCGGTTCCAAAGAAAGGTTGCAAATCTGGAGGATGTTGTTAGGGGCTATCAGGTCGCTATCAGACTTCCTGGTTTCTTGGGTACTCTGGAGGCAGTCATGGACGAGAAGTACAGAGATCCTTTGGATGCGGAATATACATCAAAAATAAAGGTAAACTGAATCATTGGGTATCGTCCTAGACCTCCAGCTGACGCCTTTTTAGGAGTACTCGGACAGCCTGGCTAGGCTGCAAGAGATGGTGGAGACGACAGTAGACCTTGACGCTCTCGACAATCACGAGTTTATCATCAAGCCAGAGTTTGATGATAGCCTTCGGACAATCCGCAAGAAGCTCGATAAGCTGCGCTACGACATGGAAAAGGAACACGAAAGCGTTGGGGACGATTTAAACCAGGACACAGAGAAAAAGCTGTTTTTGGAAAACCACAGGGTGCACGGCTGGTGCTTCCGTTTGACTCGAAACGTATGTGCCCTATCTTAGCATGACCTGGCAAATATGCACTAATATCTTTACAGGAGGCAGGCTGCATTCGCAACAAGAAACAGTACCAAGAATGTTCGACACAAAAGAATGGAGTATACTTTACCACTGCTGCCATGCAGACAATGCGGCGAGAGTTTGACCAGCTCTCGCAAAATTACAACCGCACACAAAGCGGATTGGTCAACGAAGTTGTCAATGTTGCGGGTACGTCTTTATTCCACCGATTGAACAATTTTCAGAATACTTAACCGGATATCTAGCATCTTACTGTCCCGTATTCGAGCACCTCGCTGCAGTTCTTGCCCACCTTGACGTCATTGTTAGTTTTGCTCACGTCTCTGTCCACGCACCGACACAATACGTACGGCCCCAGATGCATGCTCGTGGGCAAGGGGACACGGTTCTCAAAGAGGCACGCCACCCATGCATGGAGATGCAAGATGACATCCAATTCATTACCAATGACGTGGAGCTCCGACGAGGCAGCTCAGAATTCCTCATCATCACCGGTCCTAATATGGGCGGAAAATCGACATATATCCGGCAAGTCGGGGTGATTGCTCTGATGGCTCAGGTCGGCTGCTGGGTGCCCTGTTCGGAAGCGGAATTGACGCTGTTCGACTGCATTCTTGCACGAGTTGGCGCCAGCGACTCCCAAATCAAAGGCGTATCAACATTCATGGCTGAAATGCTCGAAACAGCGAATATTCTCAAGACAGCCACGTCCGAGTCGCTCATTATTATTGACGAACTGGGCCGTGGAACAAGCACGTATGACGGATTTGGTCTCGCATGGGCCATATCAGAGCACATTGTGCGCGAGATCAAATGCTTCTCTCTCTTCGCCACACATTTTCACGAACTTACCGCCCTGGTGGAACAATACCCCGCAGTCAAAAATTTGCACGTCACTGCGCATATCGGTGAAGGTCCCTCATCGTCCTCCCTGGCCGCCAACGGTACGACAGGAACCAATGGCGCATCCGACGATGAGGAGCGTGCTAAGCTAAATAAACGCCGTGAGGTTACACTGCTCTACAAGGTTCAACCCGGCGTGTGCGACCAGAGTTTCGGAATCCACGTTGCAGAGCTAGTCAGGTTCCCTCCAAAAGTCGTCAACATGGCAAAACGAAAAGCAGACGAGCTTGAAGACTTTACGGTCAAGCATGATCAGGAAACTGCTCATGCAATGGCCCAGCATTCCAAAGAAGATGTCGAACAGGGAAGTGCCATGCTCAAGGATGTGCTCATGCAGTGGAAACAGGAGGTTGAAGCTGCCGGCGGTGAATCGGAATTATCCAAGGAGGAAAAGATTCAGAAGATGAAGGATCTAGTCATGCGCAATGAGGAGTTGTTGAAGAACCCCTTTTTCCAGGCCGTCAAGGCTTTGTAATGGCGTGCGAGGCTGTCCAGAGGACTTTGTCCTCCTTGGGAGCTTTGGAACTGTGTCGGGGATACGACATATTAGAATTGCTTTCCGAGACATAAAACTGGAGTTTTGGAGCTACTTATGAGGATAGATGTGTGGGAAACTTTTTATTTCAACATACTTGTGCGGTAGCTGGTATCAGGGTAGCACTTGCGGCCGGGAGGCCGCAGAGGATTTGCGCACAGCTTGTCGGGTTTTCCTTCTTGTTTTGGCATGGCATCTCTTCATCTTGTTTGCTAATCTTTTGTTTGCACCTTATTTATTTGTCCATTCCCTATTTGCTTTTTTTGCTCTCTAAGGAACCAGAATCTACGAGAAATACTCAGACTCCGATTTACACCATCACCACTTGCATCTCTCAATACCCATCCCCAAAAATCTCTACAATTGTACTTCACCTGCCGCGACATATCTCATCAGTTTTACTATACTGTCTCTAGTTTGAGCTTGTCTCCTATTATTAGACTGTCCGAACGTCCACGTAAGTCTTGAATTCTTGGGATCTTGAGCCTGACTATCTGCATTACAATATAACTCAATTGTGATGTACACACAGATACCAGGCATACCTTGTCAGACTCTAGATTCGCGGAGGAGAGTTGTACAAACACGGAAACAAAATATAATTACGTGGTCATGCAGCTACCCGGAAAAGAAGCAACCATTCAATTCATTGCCCCGACAAACAGGGCGCCGCGATTCGTCAATTCGTAATATATAACACCAGACAGCCAAAATCCAGTCAATCAATATTCATACGACACCTTTTCAGGATCAATGTCTATTCAACTCAACTTGGAATAACAAATAAACAATGCCGAGCCGCAGATATTGATGGTGATTGGAGTTAGTGAAGTCCTATACAATCCATGAGCCAGCTAATCACTGCCAGCAACGCATAGCAAACAAATCTTCCTCCTGAGTCATTCACTGACCAACATTAAAAGCTCAAAGAGAATCGGTATGCTGCAGCCTGCAGCCGGCAGGCAGCAGTGTAGCATTACAGATATAAACCCTCCAGCACCTATGGCCTCTTCGCATTGCTTCCAGCTTCCACTCTAGGTTCCACATATGTGAACAGTGAACATTATGGCGCGGTGTCAAAACCATGATCATCGGCTTCAATTTCTATTCCGGATACTTTGATAATTTTTTTTTAAACAAAGGTCTATCTCAATCTCCCTTTTCGAAGGAGTCATTTTCCAACATTCCTCCTCTGCTCCCTTTGAGGTACTTTTGGCCACGCAGTGCCCTCCAATAGACTTTAAGTTCCATGCAAGACCGCCTACGACTTGTCACAACTAAAATATGGTGAATATTCGCAAGATCTCGGAATTTGGTGCAGCGATAGCGAAGAAATCATAACTGCCGGGAGCTTTTAACTTGCACGCAGCATGGCTTGACAGATGTATTAGTCGTCGGACCCTGCAGTTGAGCGAACGTCTCTTAGAACAAAACTCATCGAACAAGAAACGAACCCATTACCGTTTTATCACCAAATAGAAAAGGTACATAGAAACGATGATGCAGACCACGACAGATCAATCCTTCGCATCGAGCACCGGTCACCCAAAGTCTCCCGCCGGAAATATATATAACAACGACAACTGGGATCTCAGAACGAACAGAGTGACAAAAGGACTCAATTCCCTCCTTCTCTGTCTGAAACACATATTTGGTGAAGAAGGACCTGGAGAACCGTATAATTTGGGCACTGCTGCAAAGCAAGTCGATACAAAGTTTTACCGTTTTGACTTTTTTGATTTGACTCCGTCTGTGAGAAAAGCAGGCGCAGACGCAGACGCGAAGGGAAACCAAGACGGAAAACGACAGTCAACCGCAACGCGGCCCGCGTCCAAAAATCTGGCGATCGTCAAATAAAAAGAAACAAACATAGAAAATAAATGCTGCAAAGACTTACATCTCGCCATGTCTTTGGGAAGGCCGAACCTGTATCGGTCATGGATCCAGAACCACCGCCGGTGGGAGTAGTGGAGGAACCGGCAATATGAGGGTTTCGAACAAAGAACATTTGCCGACTTCATGTTGCACTGTTGCCAGCGCTCAATAGCGCGAAAAGACCCTGGACACGAAGATACGTGAGCCAATAAATAGGTTCAATGGATCGAGGACTGCTATAAGCAGTATTTTGAAAGTCAGCAACGAAGATATCTTCATCATTCTGTCCCCCTTGAGGATGTTTCAAGGATCGGCATGGGGAGACGCTACAGTACTCTCAAATCCAGCGCCTTGACAGGCTGATCATTCCCCAATACATGGCAGGCTCGGAGGCAGAGATTGCCGAAGGGGCTACAGCGGAGGAATACTTCTGGGCAGATAAACAATATCACGGACAACCTTGGCTTCCAGTCATCCCAGCTGGGTGTGATGAGCGATGAGCTCCGGCCATGTTATACCGGCCTACCCGCGGCAAATATGACAAGCATCCGTTAAATCAAGAAGCAACAGCGGGTGCGATCATTAGCCGGGTGGTTCAATTATAGACAAGACTGGTGCCGCTGGGCAGCTGTCACTGAGTCGTATGGTTCGATTTGTCGAAGACTCGAACCACCCTACGCGATGGCAGCTGTTCCATTAGAAGAGTTTTGAAGTCTGCGATGTTTCGTCACTCGGAGCACCAATCAACTTTGATCGTTCAGAATTCGAAATTTTCAATTCATACAGTTCGTCATTTTCTTTATTTACGTCGACGGACGGAATATTATCATCACCGCTAATGACCAACCGAACAACCACGAGGAAGTAGAACAAGACGCTTTTTATATATTTAACTTATCGTCATAATCCTGCATAACTCAATGACTTTTGTGGCCTGGGATTCACAAATATCAAGACCGGACTTTGTCAAATGCGCCCGTTAAGACCATGCGACCTTGCAACAACAACTGACAGGATGGCCAGTCGTGTGGTAGGATGAAACCATCTTCCTCAAACAAGTGTCTGGCCTCCGAAAAAAAGAAGAGGAAAATGGACTTTGTGGCATTCAAGCGTGGTCTGCTAATCAAGCACGATACTCCATCAATGCCAGAACGGAGAGCATCTCACATCCGAATACGTATCGGAACAAAGTGCCAGTCCGTGAATGTTTCCTTTCTCATGGAAGCAAAAAGGCGCGGACGATTACAGTGCGATAAATTCTATTTTGTCCTGACTGAGATCTGGAAAACAAAGGCATCGATGATACCTGGATTTGACAAAGAATGCCCAAGCCCATGGACAAACCAAGCACCTCGACATCCAGTATCACTTCACTAGAGACAGGCTAGTTGAAGACAAAGCGGTCATTTTGCGATACAGCCCTACAGCTGAGAATGCTGCTTATGGTCTGACCACACCCCTCTTCCCCAGTTGGTTTACGCAGTTGTATCTCACAAGAAAATTGGGTGCGGCCAATGTCTACAATCCGTCTTTGCTGGATTCATAGAATTCAAGCTCAGATGTGGCCGGTGCAAGACATTGGGGTTGACTTGCTTCCATTGCATCTTGCCTCATGCGTCATGATGCTGAGATATCCTTCTGCAACAATTCGAATTTCCCAGATGAAACAACACGACAGATGGATCAATCAAGAACAGTATACAAACATACAACATTTACCTTCTTTTAAAACATAAGACAAACTATTTACCGGATCTAAGTCCGACACGCTTGCATATGGAACAGGTATGCAGGCTGATATTTGAATGGGGACCTTATGTACGGGCGAACTCATATCATACGAAACTGAGAATCTAAGTTCTAGAAAACAATTGAAAATTTGTCAAGCCACGGAGCAGATTGCGGCTTGAACCAGAAGCTGTGCAGAAACAAAAAGTCGGCCGTCCGCATTTCCAAACCTGCACACTTTCAGATTTAACGCCAGACCAGAGTGCGATTCTGTATATGGCAACGACGCTCATCGAAGAACCTTACCTCGAGGGAAAATGCGGATGTGAACTATGACCGCGGTTTGCTCTTCGTCGTCGGCGGACCGAATACCCAACTTTAGATCTATCTTTCAGTATTAATTTCTTGAAAAACCCACACATATTACAATGCAAACCTTTTGTTGCCAGACGAAGCTGTGTCAGACTCATGTCCAGAACTGGCGGGACTCTGGCAAGAAAGGCAAGAAAACCATCTTGCAAAGCAACACCTTTTTCAAGTACGCCCACAGGCTGCAGCTTCTGTTAACCTTTCCTGCACTTGAGAGGGTGCAGAATGGACTGAGTACAGCCATGCTGAATTGGATCTGACCGTCAACGGTGTTGGTCCCTGGTGCAACCCTAACAAAGAAGAATGCAGCCCATGGTTCCAGGCTCTGGTGGCTCGTTTTGCTACGCAAATACCTACGGCCAAGGCATTGAGATGTTTGTCAAAACGTCGTCTGATGACAGGAAAACATTTACGAGAAACCGGATATAACCGTTTTTTATCTTTGACCCAAGCTATCCATATTACAATACTCAAAATATGGAATGGCCACAAAATATTTCCTGCTGTATCATTCTGCTGTCTGCATCATGGAAAGATATCGGCTTTTACAACTACGATTATCTACAAATTACACAACATCCAAAACAATGTACGCGTATCAGGCATCCCTAGGAAGGAAGCCACATCAACAAATCACCTCGGGGGCCATCAGATGTACAGAGATTTGAGAGAACTCTTAGGTCCACGGACCGGAATGGGAGGTCAATCGTTCGCTGCAAACGGTCAAGACTGATAGCCACTGCCAGGTCCTTTGCAGTTGTAGACACACTACACTCAACAACAAATCCTTTTGTAAAGCCCACATGAGGGTATGTCCCTCATGTGGGTGGACCTATTCCAATGCTGATAAACATAATTGCAACGCCAATAAAAAGTATGTGATACTGTATTTAGCAATGTCACAACAAGCCAGGATCGTCGCCATGTTTGCGATGATCTTTGGCTTTTCGCCATTGATCTCGGCCATCGATGACTGAGACCAAACGCGAAAATATTCGGAGCAAACCCAAAGGTTTAGTCCATCTTCGACACTCTAGGGATCTAATGGAAACCAATGAGCAGAAAACCAAAATCGAAACCTTCTTCAAGCAGATCGGTGTCAAGAAAAGATCGGCTTGCGGTGTATTTGGTTCTCGCAATGCGGTTTTTGTTTCTCCTTTTCTTTTTCCGCAAAGGAGAAGGCGAGGCGAAAACACCCTGGAAACGCCGTTGGACTGTAGAGCCCAAGACTCTGGGTCTCTCAGAGCAGCCCAGTGGCCTTTATCAGACATCAATAAATGAACCAAAAGTATTCGGACCGAACCACAAATCGTTATACGGGATTTTTCCTTGCCTTTCACCATTTGCAATATGCTCGTGTTGCAACCTGGCGGTTACGAAATAGCGAGCATTACGCATTGCACATCCCTCACCCAACCAGCACTCGTCCTTATGGTGTTTTTTACGGGAAAAATGCCATTGATTCAGGGCGGAAAAGAGAACTGGTAAAACTTGCAAATGAAACAGCACGGGATCAATGCAAAGATCCAAAAGCAGTATTGGTCGGTTATATTCCTATCACAGCACTGCATCAGTGCCAGCATTAATTATTCTCACTGCAGAAATACAGACAAACTGTTGCTAGAGTATCTTGTCTGGGTCAGTCAAGAGATGTTAGAGTCAGGGAGTCCAGACAGACCATTAGCCTGTTTTGGTTTTGAGGATGCTACCAGTCCGGACTCCGGAGTGTCCCGGCCAAACCAAGTGGCTCTTATGGAGTCATGGACTATAGAGCCTCATGACGTTTATAGACTTGACGGAACGGCAAATGTGTTTCTCACGACCTACGAATCCCAGTGGCCGTTGTTCAAGATTAGACATCCATTGACAAACAATGGCGTCGTGAAGAAGTCTCAAATGGAAAGTACAAGGGGTCGCACGTTCACGAACTCTCAACGCTTTGCGGCTTCATCCGAGGAGACCTTTTCGCAAAACCATTCTGCAGTTCCGTCAGCTGAACCGTTGAAGCGGGTGGCAGGCTTCAACCTGCGTGTGGTATGCGGTATATCGGCATGACTTCATCGTGGCATGACATCGAAGACCTCTTGCTCAGAGACAACAGAGACTTCAGCTTCAATCTTTCAGACATTTTCCTTGGACACTACCCTTTCAGATCAGCGGTTGACTGTTTCCCTATAACCGTTGTGTAAACTGTACGTTTGACTGGATATGCAGTTGGACCATTCACCCAATCGCTGGCAAACTTGGATATTGAACACGCCCCCAAGGACCCGGTGGCGGGGAAGGGTAGGGGGTGAACCCCCAACAGATGCAGCAGCTACATGAAGAGAGCAAATGGTAGATCTTCTCGTGTTCCCACAAGTTTTTCTTCAGTCTTCAAAATTCAGGCTTCAGTGGATCACCATCCAGCAACAAGCGTATGCTCGTGATTTCCAGACAGGACCATACACAAATCTGGCTTGACAGAGGTGGCATGCAATATGAGGCAGCTCCCCCTCTGCCGCGCCAGTTGTTGGCTCGGTGCCGCCTCTTTCTCCCTATGATGCTGCTCCTTGTATTTTTGGATGGTCTAGACACATTTGGGTCTTTGACAGGTTACGAGCCCGGAAGGAGAAACGGGGGTATGACCGTATGAAATGGACGGAAAATTCTACGAAAGAGAGCAACTCTTCGACAACATGTTTTTAATAAGTCATGACATTTTTAAAGATTTGTTTATACCAGGGCAAGCGGTGTGGCACGATACTATCGAAACCTTCAACGATGATGATGAAGAACCGTTTGAGAATACAGGTATACTGTATACAGCATAAAAATCAGAGGAGCGAGGAAGGAGCAATAGTTCCGTGTTCGCTCGTGGTCTGGAGATCATGGACCCGAACTTCTGGTTCCGTACCACCTGGAGTCCTGGAATCCTGGAGTTCTGAAGTACGGAGAACAGAGATGTTGAGTTGATAGCCGCTCAAAAAACTCCAGATACCCCCCACAGAAACAAACCAACGGTACGGATTATTGATACGCGCTGATAATTATATTGACCGTGTCCTCTTGGATGCTGGCTTTGTCAGTTATACAATCTGATGGAATCAGCGTATAGTGTATAGTGTCCTTGTGGACGTCTTTGGAAGCAATGAATGCACGGGAGTCCGGGAGTTCGGGAGCTTGAAACTTGGATCCAAGAAAAAGCAATCAAGGATTTTAATAAATAAAGGCATTATGAGGGTGTCAAGGGGAAGATGAAGAGATTGAATCGCCTTTGGAAGGCGTATCAGGCTGTCAAAGTAAACAAAGACATTATCATGGATTCATAGATCCATAGATTCCATATTCATAAATTCATAGACATAGACGGGCATAGACTACTCATATAGCAATACCAAGTTACCAACAAAGAAGATTATCTGATTCCATTCAAGGTCGGAACAAAGAGCAGCGTGCCAGAGTTAGTAGCGTTTAAGTACATAGCGAAAAAACAATTACAAAGTCATAGAGAAACGCAATTTTTTGACCGCACAACAATGGACAAAGACAAAAAGACGAAAAGACAAGGACAGAAGAACAACAACTAAAAAGAACACAACAAGAGAACAAAGTCAGAACATAGCGTAAACATAGACTACATTATAAACATATATTGCAAAAGGAAAGAAACTTGCAAAGAACAATTGCTGAACAATGCGATTCATATATTGAACAATGAAACCTCAACACCAGAACAAAGACCACAAAATGATGAACAAAAAAGGACCCATGAGCGAACAACTCGATCAAATGGTCTATATAAACACCGTGCAGGACATCCAAAACTACTTCTTCTTTTCTCAGCATCACAACATCTTCAACACAGTTCCTCACCTTCTTTTTCCAGCATTCTCATCACGCCTTTCTTGCCCCTTTTTTTAAAAACCAGCATTTGGATCTCCTTGAGATTAGCAATCTTTCCGCGTTTCATACAGCGATCCCCATCCCTTTCATCCCTTCCCATCCTTTAAAAGTACACGTTTTTTACTGACCTAAATTGCTCTAACATAGGAAAAAACCAAAATGTCTGATCGTCGAGTCACGCGGTCTATGACTGCGGGCTCCAACAACAACGAGCCCAACGGGAACTCCACCAGCAATGCCAGCAATGCCAGCGGGAACAATGGTAGTTCTGTGTCCAATGCCAACGGACGCATAGCTACCAACGGCCGTCCGAGAGGTCGTCCTAATGCGGCGGCTGCAGCGGCAACGGCAGCGGCAACAACGGCGGCGGCGGCCACTGCTCCTACGCAGTTGAGCGCCAGACACGCCGCGCCAAACGTCATCACGCGCAGCACTTCTGCAGCAACAAATCCGAATGCGCCTACTGCACCAGTGAGATACACGCCAGTGACGGCGGTGCGGAATATTCCTGGATATCCTACCAGAAATGTCCCCCTTCCGGCTGGCCTCTCTGATAATGATATCTTTAACAATTGGAAGAATCACCTTTATGGTGACGTGCTCTTGGATCTGCATACCAGGCATAGCGCGGATCAGATTGCGAATTTGATTGGACATGGTACCTCACTTCATGCCATTTACAGTCGCATCTCCCGAGCTCGACAGTCAGCAAGGTCGTATGGCACGGTTACTGTAGCGCGGCGACAGGCGACCAACCTGTACAATGCCGATATCTATGGATTTCCGGATGGCCACACCATTCTGCCTCCTGGGCTGAGCATCGACCAAATCCTGGACGGGTATTTCAACCATGTTCGGGGGCCTTTGCTTTTGCAGATTTTGCAGCACCGCTCTGAAGCGGAGATTGCACACAGAGTGGGACGGGGAATGACCCCTACCACTATCCAAATGAGAGCACGGGACGCGCAAGCAGAACCTCCTGTTCCAGAAGCACTTCTGTATCAATTTGCGCCGCCACAGATTAATCCTTCTTCAACGGGTCCGTCCGCGTATGGGGCTATTTTAGCCAATGCTGCGGCGCAACCCACCTCCAGCACTCCCATTGGTCCGCTCAGCTCCGCCTCGAATGCGTCACGTAACGTGGGAGGAGCGACTTGGAATTCGTATCCCGCCCGAAACGTGCCGCTCCCTGCGGGGCTCTCGGCGGAAGACATTGTCGTTCAGTATCCGAACCATCTCCATGGCGAAGTACTGATGGCGGTGTTTCAAGCTATAGGATTGGAGGAAATTGTCCGTCTCAGTCCCCTTGGGGTGAAGTATCATACTCTACGTGTGAGACTCACTCGTGCGGGGTACGTGAGTTCACACCCAAATTCAACACGAAATGCCCGAGGGCAATTTGCACGTGGAGAAAGCGAGGTGGCGGAAGATCAGCGCACTAACGAGACAATGCAGGAAGAAGCGCAGGAAGAAGCGCCGGCAGACATTTCGGGAGAGATGCCAGAGGGCATGGACGTGGATGACTTCCACCTCATGACTGCTCTCACGCAGTTCAACAACCCACAGACGCAGACGTATCCCCCTCTTCCGGAATTGCCTCCGGTCGAGGCTGCCGAGGTTGATGTTTTAGCCGAGCTGGAATCTCGCTGGTTCGGAGAACCCATGGACTTGGACGACAGCGAGCAGCTTCAGGAGACCCTATTTGAGGATGAAAGCCAAGAGCCGGAATATTCAGAGTGGTTAGACATGGATCAGCTCGAAGAGTAAGCTTCCAATGCCACCAATCCCTGGTGCAACAAAGGCTTTCTCCATCCCAGAGTTGGCTAATCAGTATCAGGCATGGCTTGGGGTCAATGGTCAAGGAGGCCAAGGGAAAAGGTAAGTCGCTCAGCGGTAAGTGAAGGTTTCTTTTGTATTCCTTTTTTGCTCTCCTCTTGTATTTCTTTCTTTGCAGAATTTCCATGCATACTGACTGAACAGGATGCCTTTGTTTCCTCGCGACGCGACGAGATGGACGATTTGCGAAGACTGTTGGTGGGGTGGTTATGCGAGCCAGAGACAGCGTTGGTTTAAGGATCATGTGTGACGAGATAAGTGAAGCTAGACCCTTTCATATTTTCTTCGTTGTTATTTTTGCAGACCTGGCTAACATCGCAGCTCCATTTATTGATCAAGTATTAGGCGGTGTCCAGGTAGAATTAACTGTAGTCTTAGCAATAAAGTTGATCACTGAAAATATTAAACTCTTCAAGACCACATTGGAAAAATATTTGTCACTTTGAAATCGTGAACGAGAAAAATTGTTCTCATTTAATATACCTGAAATAATATGATCAAAATATTGCGCTTTCCTTGTAGCCGCGCCGCGAATTTATGTTGCCTTGCGACACTCTGACACGCGTTGCTTTGGCTGGCCTTTCTGTAAGTCTCTTCCACACTTCGGCAATGCTGGCCCGTGTAGCAGGAAGCATGCTGTACTGTAAACTGTAGAGATTTCGGCGATGTATTGGTGGGACGAAACGCCCAGTGACAAGACAGAAACTGACATGTGGTGCCAAGTAATGTTTGCGTAAGCGATGACCGAGCTGGAAATATTGTTGGAACATTGCGCGTAGAGAAAGTGGGACAGACTGGAATCGGGAGGTAAATAAAAATTCCATTTCAAAAGTAATTTTAAGAAACACTTACCTTCAGCCTAATGTACGAAGTTCGTGGCATATTAGACTCCTGGCGCAAAGAAGTTGACGCAGTTTGGGTATCATAAAGCTCAAAACGAATGCCTCCTGCAGATTCCGGTTAGCAAATTTGGAGTGTTCTTCATGCATAGTTCATTATTGAGGATAGGTTACCAGGTAGCCGTTTAGAATCTTTGACTCGAAGCATAAGTGCAAAAAGGGGGAAATGGTTCAAGCAGGCCAAAAGGGTATCTAATGCAGCCTTGAGAGAGATGATTATCATTCGAGCCGACGCAAAAGTTAGATAAAAGACGGCGACAGTTGGAAGCAGAAAGAACAAGAGTGTGAACAGAATTGTCCCCAGTAGAAGCTGATCAAGATCATAATCGCAAGAATCTATTCGGTTACGGAGCACATTACGCTTCTTTCCCCGAAAGAGATGAAACAATGAGATAATGATCGTCAGCTGCCAGTTATAGATACGTGCTGAAGCGATATAAAAGGAGTAGATGTGCAACGTGAGCAGAGAAAGGAGATCCGAAAAGAGAGCTATAGGGACGCTGGCGCCAGCGAAGCTGGAGAATCCGATAAAATAAATCACCTGAGGCAGGAGTGGTCGCAGGTTCGCCACACAGCCTTTCTTCCGGTCAGCAATTTGTTTGAATTTAGACTCCGCCAAGACATGCACCTACCTGCCCAGTAATCTATAACCCAGAGGAACAAATCGCCAAGGAATGCAGCTAATTCAGTATTGAGCTTTAAGCCCGCTGGCCAAAACATCAACCATGATATCATTCTTTGAAGCCCCTCAATGGTCCAGGATGAGAGAATACTATCAATCTGATATGCAACCCATTCCGCATTCTCAATAATGTACGATCCGAGAGCGATGCCGATAATTACATCGTTTGCGACAAGCCAAAGGCTGTTGTAGAATCGTATATAATCGGGATGGCTATCCGTAATACTTTCCCAATCGTCTTTTCGACTCCGTAATGTGAGATACTGTATAGGCCAGTAGCAAAACTGCTGCAACCGAATGTCGACTTGCTGAGCGGTAGCAGATATGTCCTTCAGAGCAGCAAATTCCGGCCTTAAACGCCATTCCAAGACCCTGAGGATCAATTCTGCCATGGCGCGATGGAAAACGAGAAAGACTATGAACACTTTGATGAGGATTGGTAGCAACCAAATGGTGATCGAGTTTGTTAGCCCAAGAATAGCATTATCCCACATGGTCGTTGCCGACTCAACCACCCTCTCACTGACACTCAGATGTCGCCGCGGTCTGACACCTACCAGCCCAATGTTTTTTCGAAGCAATGCACCCATCTCGAACGAACAGTTGATCTGGGTGAGTATTGCCGGGAGGGCCAGCTCCTTCTCAGATGGGGGATGTCGAACGACTGTATGCAAACCGATCTTTTCAACGAGCCGGGATTTCCGCTGTCTTTCCTTTTCAGCTTCTAGATCGACGCTGTCCAAAGCAGTAGAGCCGTTCACCGCATGACCGGGTTTGTCGTCAAGCGCCAAAGACATGGGATTGAGAGACATGAATTGCATGCGAGTCGGATGAGGCTTCTCGAACAATATGATTTGCACGCTAATGGCGGAGTCCTGGGGACAATGAATCCGAGGGGGCTGCGATGAAGCATTTGTGAAGGCAAATATATGCGACGAGTTGAATAGAGTCGTCGGTGGTGGGTTGGAAGGGTTCAGCGTTCCCAACACCTGCATCGATACCTTACCACAAAGCTGGTATATTCGTCCAACTGGGTGTGGGCTTCCGCGAAAAAGCGTACCAATTCGAAGCGCATTTTCGACGCTCCGTGCCTAAGCCACAAAGTTTATTTAAAAATTCACCCTTTAACCAATATCGAAATAGCGCTTCCACACTCACTTCAACATCTTCCAGGACCGTAACGACTACAATGTCCAGATCGGAATTCCTCCAGCCAACAATGACACCTGTAGAGGCAGTTCGAATGATATCCAATGGCCAGAAAACTCTCATCAATTTGTGACCTCCGAGCATAATAACGCCGCCCTCTCAGGCTAATATGAGCCACGGCGCCTCAGCTGTTCACGCGCTGAAATGCCTCTTCCACCAACTCGAGGATGCTTTGGGAGATGATCAGCGTACTGGTCGCATCGAACAAAGAATTAAGGGAGAGTACCAAGATTGTTTCGTGAGCCGCGAGTCGCTCAGCAGGAAGGATGAGCAGGAAGAAGAAGACCGAGAGGATTGCAAAACCTTTGGTTGCACGAGTCTAGCTCTCAAAATAAATGATCAGTATCACCGATTGCGTAAAGAACACAGCCCATATTTATGCTAATCACTTACAACAACTCCGTGATCCCAAGCAAAGATGGCAAGCTCATACAACCGAGTAACCAGATCCCACCGCGCAGTAATATATCCCGCTATAAAGATCCCAAGCGTGAGGATTGAAAAAGCGTGCATGGATTAGCTAGAAGAATCTGAGCATACCGAAGGACCTCCCGTAAGGAAACCCGTTGGACGGCTCGATCAATTGACAATTGAAGATTCAAAGAAGATGAGGGAATTCAAGTGCTGGAAACGTAAAAGTTGAAAGGAACAGCACCATTAGCGGAGTGCACAAGGGTAGAATGACCAAAAGGAAAGAATTGCGGAAGCCAAACTCGCGAGCGTTCGATGGTGCAGATAGAGCTGTAGGTGAAGGGCGTGCTATAGGTAGCGTCTCAATTAACCACCGTGAAGGGTTGCTATAGTGGACGTGGGGAAAAACGGGTTCCGCCGTTAGCGCATTAACGATCTGCGGGCCAAGGGACATGCGCAATGACAGAGAACCCCTCGCCCCAATCGATCTCAATTGTCTATAGATATTGAAATATTACTTTCGACATTCATCGCCGGATACTTGAACCTCCAAATGACTGAGTTAGAGTGGTAATTTTTTTTTATTATATCTTGTTGGTGGCGCTGGAGTCAGATATATTCTAAGAGGAGATATTTAAGCTTCAAGCCGGATAATGCACCTGAAGCTTGGCGGCCGTCACTACTTTGATATAATAACCTCTATACATTGAACCTTTCTTTCATGTGAAGTCACCTGCCCACATTCCTTTGCTGATAAGCAGGATTAATCAGAAAATATGTCAAAAGTAAAAGCCTTTTTACTTGGACGCCATCTCTTAATTTTGTTTCGCCTGACCAAGCTTTCGTCCCAGGAAAAGAAGCCAGTAGCGCCCTTAATAATAATCAGACGAGACAATTTGCTCTTTTCCCCCTGTGCGAAGCATGAGAAACAGGGAAACTTTTATTCCTACTCCCAGCGCAAATCGTGTCCCTGGATATGACCGAGCTGCTACCGGATTTCCTTTCATAGACGGAGCGACTATTGAGAATTGAACAGTATCTAGGGGCTTTGGGTCGGCTTCAAGGCTGGTATCAAATGTAAGATTGATTTTGGAGAGAAGATGGGAAGCTGAAGGTCATCAGAAGCTGTAGAAGCGCAAGCTGTGGAAGAGATTATGATCGTCGAAGATGATGGGTGTCATTTTCTTTCATATCTTGCCTGGCTTCCTCGAGCATATTTTCGATGCCCTTATCCTTCAACGCTCGCTGCGAGGCCTTAGCGGTGCCTTTTCTCACATGAGGCTTCTTCAAGGCTTACCGATAGACACGATCGATACTCTTTGAATAGTGGTTCGCATTCGTCGGTTGAAGCATTGCCTCGTAGAAATTCTGGTATGATTAGCAGAGCGAAGAAGGGACCATTATGTGAAGAAGCCCCTACTCTCGCTGTACCACTTAAGAAAACACGAGTCATACCGCCTATGCCAAATAGAAGTATTAGCAGCAGCGTTGATCGAGAATCAGTTTTTCAGCACGTACTCCTTAACCTCATTGCATTCGGGAGCGAGCGAGGCCGACATGATGACCGAAGAATTGCGAGCAGAGCGGCTTTTCAGTAGCTAGGGATTGCAGCTCTATTGACGCAGGGACTGGCTGCCATAACGTCGATTGCGTAAAGTTGGGCGAGAACGGAGATTGCCGAAGGAAGTTAGTTTTAGCGAAACTGACAATGGAAATAATTCGTGAAGCATTTTGGACGATTCCATATCGATACGGCAATTACAAAACGCGGCTTACACCCTACACAATGTTGAATTACTGCGATAGACTTGCATTTTGAGGTTTTATATTTTCTTTTGCATAGACTATCCGCGCGGACCTTGCAGAGTGCGTGGCTCAATTACGATACGCCTCCATGGATCCCGCCCAAAACTTTAGATCCCTTCAAGAGCAGGTCTCTTCCGCTCTTGTCGCAACGACGAGGACAACAGGGCAAATTGCTGCAGAGGATCTCCCGTTTCAACGGTCGTTGGATGCGAATATTGCTTCCTCATTGGATGAACAAAAGTCTCGTTTCCTTAAACTTGCCGAAAAGCTTGTTAATTTCGCCGCTTCGGGTTCAGAAATTGATGCTCCACAACTTGAAGACGCAGATGCCTTGGAGAACAACTGGCGAGGTGTGGTGGACGTGATAGACAGCCTCCTGGAGAGGGCCGACACCTGTTTGGACGAATATACGGGAGTAATCAAGAGACTCAGTCCGAGCGAACAGGAGCGGGTGAGTACAGACAACAAAATCGAGTTTGGAGCCTATGAATTGACTCCCAAGAGAAGCCACCGACGCCAAAGCCAAAGAAGGCACGAACAGGAAACGTATTTAGGACGCAGAACATCCCAAAGCCGCAGTTGCTGTTTGAAAACGTTCCGACCAATGCCGAGAGTACTGCGTTTAAGCCTCTCTTAAATGCGAAACCGCATGCCATAGTTCCTTTGGAGCAGAGCCTGACGACTTTTGTCAATGAATATGGCCTTGAACAGTACGCTTATTTCGCTCTCGCGCCATAATGACTCCGCTTACAATTGCTAGATACAAGCATCCATACGAAGCCGAAATCAAAGAATGCCAATACCCTCCTAGTGTGTACGATCAAGTAGAGCCGATTCCGTATCGTTCATTCGAAGACACTGCGGCGACCTTTGTCGATACACCTGAGGCTGTGGCTGCTATGCTTGCTGAGCTAAAGAACGCAAAGGAAATCGCTATAGATTTGGAACATCATGATTCGCGATCATACGTAGGCATTGTCTCTCTTATGCAAATTAGCACGCGGGACAAAGACTGGGTGGTTGATACGTTGAAACCTTGGCGGAGAGACTTGCAAGTACTGAACGAGGTTTTTGCGGATCCGAGAATTGTCAAGGTAGGCGCAATTGACATCGAGAGTTGGGAACAATGCTGACGATTCAGGTTTTCCATGGTTCTTTCATGGACATGATCTGGCTCCAGCGAGACCTGGGGTTGTACGTCGTTGGACTCTTTGACACATATCATGCCGCCCGGGCTCTTGGATTTCCCAAACAGAGCCTTGCTTACTTGCTGTCAAAATACGTGGGTTTCGATGCCGACAAACAATATCAAATGGCGGATTGGCGCATCCGGTATGTCTTTCAGGTGGGCGGAAATATTTTTGAAATTTGTTGTCTAACCGCTATCTAGGCCGCTCCCGGAAGAAATGTTCAATTACGCTCGGTCTGACACGCATTTCCTCCTTTACATCTACGACTGTTTAAGGAATGAGCTCATTGAGAAAACTCGTCGAAAAGAATTGGAGCAGCATTGCATTCAAGATGTGCTTCAACGGTCCAAGGACTACGCCCTACAGCGGTATGAACGGCCCATTTACGATGAAATCAACGGACGAGGGCCCGGTGGATGGTACGACATGCTGGTTCGATCTCCGGCAATGTTCTCGAAGGAGCAATTTGCAGTCTTCAAGGCCGTACATCAATGGAGAGACCAAGTTGCTCGTCAAAATGATGACAGCACCAACTATATTATGCCGAAACACGTTCTGCTGAATATCGCCAAGGCAATGCCGATGGAGGTCCCTGCGCTTCTCAATGTTGCGCAGCCCATTTCGCAACCTGTCCGCCTTCGGATCAGTGAGTTGCTTGGCGTCATCAAGCAAGCTAAAGCAGCCGGCGCCAACGGACCTGACATGATGCAAGTCCTGCAGCCACAGCAACCAGCATCACAGGGCGGAGAAGCGCCAGAAGATGGCAAGTCCGTTAACACGTTTGGGGGAGAAACTGCATTATCGGAAAGGAAGCTTCCCGCGACGCCATTCCCAATCAAGAGCGACAGCTCGACTTTCTGGGGCGAAACCTTTGGCAGTAGCGTGTGGCAGGTTAACGTGACACCCGGAAATGTCATCGAGGACTTAAGGCTCGCATTGCCTTTGCCTGAACTCACGGCTGAGATATTCGCTAATCCCTCAGATTTTGCTGCTTCGCGTCCTAACAAGGAAGGAGTAGACCCTGGCGCTCGAGCTGAGCACGAGTACATCAAAGATCGGAAACCACAAGCCTCTGAAGACAGTAATATATTTGTTGTCAAGCAGCTTGGAGGTGGTCGGAAGAGAAAATTCGAAGATGAGGAGACACATGTCCCAACTTCTGGACCGACCTCCGACACAAGCGAGGCGGATGTTGGCACGCAAGAAAAGGAAGAAGAGAATGCAGAAGAGGAGGAGGAGGAGATAAGGCTCCCTACGGAAGAAGACGAAATCAAGCGCAGAGCCCAAGAAAAAGCGGCACGCAAGGCGGAGAAGAAAGCCAAGAAGAAAGAGGAAAAGGAACTTGCCAAGCAGCAGGCTCAAGCAGCGCAAGATGCGGAAATGGAGGCCGAGCCATTCGATTACAGCAAGGCGGAATCAGTTCTCCATGCTAATCCTCAAGGCAAGGGTGCAATTGATAAAAGCAAGCGGTTCAATCCTTACGCCAAGGCGGCTAATGCACCCAAGGGGATGCGCAAGGTTCAGAAAGAGAAGTCTGGCAAAAGCTTTACCTTTCGGAAATGAGAGCTTTGATCTGTGCAAGCCAAGACGTGGTCCCCTCGGCCTTTCCGTTCATCCGGCCCGTCCCTGCAGCCAGACCACTCCAGGCGGTAATCCCGAGGTCATGATGCCTGCTGCCTCGCCACGTCGCCTTGGCGCAGCTACTCCGATACGCCTCTTGAATTGCATCTTCCCAGAAGCTTCGGGCATGAGTGATTCGAATCGTTATTTACATACTCTGAACGTGGACAGGGCTTGGGTCAAGCTGATCAGCGCTATCAGACTATGGATTTTCTTTCTCACTTTTGATCTGGATTAACGTAGTCCTTTTTTCCTATTTAAGCGTCCTGGCGTTGAGCCATTGAGATCGAGTTTCGCAATACTGTATGATTAGATGGGGATCTCTAGGACGGGCCGCAGGACTCATCAAGGTGCCTTTGTTTGGAAGCGAGCATTCTCACTTTATGCAGTCACGTTTAAGCAGGGTCCAGCAACCTAATAATGTAGTAACAAGGTAGATACCCTGTACGTTATGGTCTGGTCAAGGGAACATAAAAGTGGGATTTAAGGAGTTTTTGCATTGCAATACAGAATAGAGGGCACCAACCGTTTCATGCGCACCATCTGTCATAGTACTTTGTACCCATCAGTTAATTGCTATATTATGATCGACGCTACCAGGTCAGTGCTTTGACCGAACTCGAAAGTGACCATCGCCCCGTGTACGTTGTCCGTGAGCATTAGTCTTATGAGTTTGAATTGTATAAAGTCACAACTCGGCTTCATTCCAGAGACAGATACTGGTAGATTTCCTTCTCAAATATATTCTAACTCTCGTGTTTCTCGGTGGCCATTTTCTATCGCGGTCGACGCAATCTATATCCAGGATGATGGCGGGAAGGGTTCTCGCCTCAACCTACGGAGTATGCACAGCGGTCCTCATGGCTGTCCGTGCGGGAGCTCTCTCTCTCTCTCTCTCCTCCAAACCCTTGAACAAGTACGAAGCTACGTACTCTGTACAAAAGGACAGATTAGAGAATTCCGTATGGAGGAAGAAGAGACAGACTCAGAAACCCGAAATGACCGAGGACCCTCAAAAAACCGAAATGGGATATTGATCGGCAAAAGATCTTACGATTTTTGTTAACGATGCTGGCAGGCTGGTCCCTGTCATCGCCCTAAACCACCGCTGCCGAGAGAGACTATTGCAGAGTGTAATTTGCGAAACCTCCACCGAGCACCAGGGCACCCTTTTTCTCGAGCCCCACGGGACTTGGTGCTCCCCTTGGCCCTGTGAGTCTGTGACGGGGGTTCACGAAAAAAGGTACGAGGGGTGAGGGATGAGGTGCCAATTGGAGATTATCGAATTGAGCTTGGCATTCACGACATTTTGTTGATGAGATCCACTGTCCACTCTGGAAGCAACGCGCATGGATTAAGTTAGAGAGGCGCGAAGAAGAAGAAGAACTGTCACGCGAGACACAACAATTCCCAACGCCAAGGGCTTTCAGAACTATACGGAGTACTCTGAGTATTATTGTCAATTTCCAAGGGTACACTACCATACGATAAGACCACCTGCTCCAATATTGAAAATGGCTGATTTGACAGATGATATAAAGCTACTCCGTAATTCAACGCGAATGAGCAAAAGGGTTTGGCGGGGCCTTTTTAACTCCCGTATTGGATTACAAACTTGCCGCGGCACAAGGTTAGTGGATCAAATTGTGTCATGGCAATGGGATGAAATTTTTGGGTCCCGGCGGAATATTAAGCTTCTCGCCCTAGCGCAGGCATTTGTCCTCCACTATCGTCATATTCCCTTCGAGTCCCGAAATTTTGGCCGGCTTCCGTACCGCGGAAACGAAAAAAAATTCGAAGCCGAGCATGACTGACAGGAGCGACCATTCTCAAAACTTCCTTTGTGATTGGATCAAAACGCTTTTCGTGCACCTGCCATTCGGTGCCTCCGGTTCCTCGCTTCAGAGTAGAAAAGTGTTTCTTTTAACACTCTCCCCAAAGGTGCCTTGGTGCCGAGGATTAATGGTTCGAGCATTGGGCTGAGTATTGTGTTTGTGGGGATCATCTTACCATTGAAATTACTCGCGCTCAGGGGTTCATGCTCTGTGATTATAAATTTCGATCAGGATGATCTGCTGATGACGATCGCGTATGGGGAAAGACAATCCATACTTTGTTTGTCCACATGAGTTTTACGTTGATTATTACTCTATCGCAACTGTTCCTGCACAGAATTCTTTGCTTGACGGCCACTCGACCACAGATGAATTCTAAGACAGCGCCCCCTGGACCTAGGTTTGGAGGAGATGATTGTGCCCCATCTGATCAGATTTAACTTTACCGGCTCTGTGAAACCTGCATTGACCGATACTGATGCCGTACAGATACTGCAATGGAACTGCAAGATAATCTCCTCATCGGTCATGGTCCGACGAAATGTCTCTTCATCACGCACCTTGACCGTTTGTGCTTGTGTTATCTTGCAACTGTACTTCCACACCATTTTCGCCTTTGCCTTTGCTCTTCTCTCTTAGCGAACCATTCGACTTGAAAGGGTTCCCGAAAAGCAGAGACGATTGCACGCGACGGGACTCTCGAGGGTCCTCCGATACAGAGAGGTATCCGCAGAGCGCTCCGCAAGTGATTGGCCGACAAAAAGCGGTTTAGGCCCAGGCACGAGAAACGGGTGGATAATAATGGTGATGGGATGGTCGAGCTGCCTTTTTGGAGCCAATGAGGGTGGGTCATTCCCCGCCAGGCAACCAGCCAGGAACAGAACCTGAAACCGAACCAAGTCGAGATAAACGGAGACTAAAAGGTGCCCTAAGCCGTGTGCTGTCACCGGTAACGTAGTGCGTGCTTTGCAACCCACCTGGCCTCGGCGAGCTATCTCCAGGGGAGAGGGCCCCATCAGAGGACGAGCTTTGAGCAGGAAGACAAGGGAGAATTATCCAAAAAAGCGTCCAGGGGTCTACTCTACTACTCTCATGTGAGTTTAAGCGTACACCTTCTCGCGCCTTCCCTTGCGGTGCCTTTAGCCATGCTCATTTATCTTGCAACCTTGTCATAAGTTATTCTTCCTTCTCGGTCTGGACGTTAAGGCCTCGGACAATTGTCCTACTTCAGCAATGACACATGTAGCTAAGAGTGCCTGGAATCATGGTGGTGATGATGATGATGATGATGATGTGCTTTAAAAGCCACGAGACTTGATTGCCCCTGGCGATTGGTACGATGGCTGTGGGCACTGTTCTCCTTGCGCCATGGAAAGGACAATTTAAATGTTCAATCTATCTCTGTGACGGCTATACCCACATCGGGTCGTATCGCGAGCGCATCCTAGCAGTCATGCCAGTCCCTCTGCGCAGTGGGGACGGTTGCGTTCCATGGCACTTTGTGATCCCGCAGAGACAAAGAGACAAAAGAGACAAAGCCTCGCTTCGACGACCGTTGACTCTGCCATGTCCGGCCCTGCGACAGCAAGGGAATGGTGGCAACCCTATGATGACTATGATGAGGGGTGTGGGTTCCATGCTGCTGCGTCTCTGTAACGGACTTGCTACATTATGGATCCAGGTGTGATTCATCAATTTCAACGTGCATCGGCCAGAAAAGTACAAGGTCATGGTAGTGGAAAGACAGTGTTTTACCTGCAATTGGACCCCAGGCTGGCTACGACTAACTTACGATTGCATTTGCCTTCCTTGTAGGAAAGCAAAAACACTTCTTCTTGGGCCATTATTTCCATGGCACCCAGATCCGTCGGCATATCAAGTAATGATGAACTAATCCCCGCGTTAGAAGAAATGGCCCGTCTAACCCTTGTCCCCTTGTGCATAACGCCGTCGACCACCATCTTCTTGGACAAATAATGAATGACTGGCCATTTAGTAGAGAGAAGTAGTACTATGTAGTTGGATCCGGTTCAATCTAAGCAAGCAGCCTACCTTTTAACATTTCCCACATTTTCAAAACCCCCCCTCCCTCTCTTATCCTCTCCTCCGACCGTCAGTACCATCTCTGAACATTTTCATCTCTCAAAGCCATCTGTCTGTTCAGCCTTGGTAATTCGGCGCGAAGTCGCGTTTGTCTGCAGCCTGCCAATATTGAACCTGTTCGCCTCGGCCAAGACGGGGAGCACCCCCTTTGCGACGATACTCCTGAATTTGCTCGCACAATCAACTCCACCGAATATTTGCCCCATAACTCCACTCGTGGCTCGACATTGCTCTGCTAAATCGCCGCTTCATTTCGCCCACCGCTACGTTCTGCGCGCCTGAGAAGGTTTTTTGTGACACCTTTCTTTTCCGTCGCTCCAGTGGTGTGCCTTACTTTCACGGCTGAGTGCTTTGCGACGAGACCGAACCTTATGACAAGGACCCTGAATCGACGCGACCCATGAAAATCACTGTCAAACATATGAACACGCGATAATTACAAAATTCTCCTCGTTTCTCTAGCGCTAGGGGATTACTTTACGATCGACCTCGACGCGAGAGCGTTGACACCAAGGACCGAGAGCCGGCAGTTGGGGGGAGGTAGCCCGAATAGCTTCTTCCAGTTTTGGGTTCAAATAATCTCCTTGGAAACATTCTGCTTCCAATATCACTGCAGCTTTCATATCCTCTCGTGACCGGCTCAACTGAGCTCCAGCTCGCTCCAAGTACGGCCATTCCTGGGTGCTGCTGTGCCTGGAAGACGATTTTCGACGCAGGGCTAACGTCCGCTTCAGAGCGACTGGATAACGCGAAAGCCGAGTTACAACACCTTAATAGACGCGCCTCGGACCTATTTGACTAGATTCACTTCGCCATGTCAGTGGCCACGATGCTTCACACGCCGTCGAGGGCGTCCACGTCCTCTTCGTCCTCGTTCATCCCAATCTCCCGCCAGAACACCATGGCTTCATCACACGATGGGCGTTCTGCGAGGCAATCAAAACGTCTCTCCGTCACTGCGCTTTATCTGTCCATGTCTAACAAGGAGAGAGATTTTGAAATCGAAGACGAGCTTGCACGAGGTGAGGAATGATCGTTTCAACACCTGAAGGATATCTACTGACAAGCTTGCAGCTCAGAAGAATCTGCGTGAGCTCAAATCGAAGATCTCCTCGCAGTCAAAGAAGAATTTTGTGCTCGAGAAAGACGTTCGTTACCTCGATTCACGCATTGCACTACTCATCCAAAATCGCATGGCACTGGAAGAGGTCAGTTCGGCTTTGGCTTTTCATGTATACAGAATTCAGGCTAACTATCTATTTAGCAAAATGAAGTGGCAAATCACCTCGACGAAGTCGAAATTCAGGAAGGCGACTTCCCGAACGATGATAAAACTCAAAAATACGGAAATCTTTTCTTCCTACTCCAATCTGAGCCTAGACACATTGCTCATCTGTGTCGGCTAGTGACCATGGCAGAGATTGATTCTCTTCTACAAACGGTCATGTTCACCATCTACGGAAATCAGTATGAGAGCCGTGAAGAACACCTTCTTTTGACCATGTTCCAAGTAAGTATACCCTCTCAATCTCGTCTCTCTCGCGGGTTTCCAATCCGGACAGCTTGAAACAGAGCTCTGCATTTTGATTGGCATAGTCCCTATCGTAGCATAATTTCTAATGCGGCGATTGTAGTCTGTGCTCACCTACCAATTTGACAACACTCCCGACTACTCTTCCCTACTCCGCGCGAACACGCCCGTATCCCGCATGATGACAACATACACGCGACGAGGCCCTGGTCAAAGTTACCTCAAGGTTGTACTGGCGAATAGGATAAACACATTGATCGAAATGAAGGACATGGATTTAGAGATTAATCCTCTCAAAGTCTACGAGCGCATGATTGAGAAGATTGAGTCGAGCGGGGGAACGTTACCCCCCGACATGCCAAAGAGTGTTACCGCCGAGCAAGCGGCTGCGAATGAGCAGGTCCAGAAGCTCATCGAACCTCGCCTGTCTACGCTAATGGAGATTGCCAATGGATTTTTGACCACCATTATCGATGGCCTAGAAGAGACTCCGTACGGCATTCGATGGATTTGCAAACAGATTCGGAGTCTGTCCAAGAGGAAATATCCTGAAGCCCAGGATCAGGTCATCTGTACTCTCATTGGAGGTTTCTTTTTCCTCAGGTTCATTAATCCAGCTATTGTCACGCCCCGCTCATACATGCTGATCGATGGCAACCCTGCTGAGCATCCGAGACGAGCACTGACATTGGTGAGTTTCCGACCTTTGCTTGCAATAGCATTTTAAAAAGTGCTTTACACTAACGGATTTTCAAAGATTGCCAAAATGCTTCAGAATATCGCAAATAAGCCGTCGTATGCAAAGGAACCATACATGGCAAAATTACAGCCCTTTATCCACCAGAACAAGGAGCGCGTCAACAAGTTCCTGCTGGACTTGTGCGAGGTGCAAGACTTTTATGAGAGTCTAGAGATGGACAACTATGTTGCCTTGTCAAAGAAGGATCTCGAGTTGTCTATTACGCTGAACGAAGTATATTCTACGCACGCGCTCTTGGAGAAGCACAGCACAGAATTGGTAGGTTCTTCTCGATTATTACAAGGAAAGATGCAGGGCTAATTTTTTTTTTTTTTTTTTTTTTCAAGGCCAAGGACGAGAGCTCACACCTGTACACTTTACTGAAAGAGCTTGGATCGGCGCCTCCACAGCTCCCTCGCAAAGAAAATCGTGCAATCAATTTGCCGCTCTTCAGTCGGTGGGAGACTGCGGTGGACGACTTGACGGCAGCTTTGGATATTACTCAGGAAGAAGTGTTCTTTATGGAAGCCAAGGCCACATTTGTCAAGATTATGCGATTGTTGCCTCATAATTCGGTCGTAATGCGAAGGCCCCTTCGACTGGATAGGATTGCTGAAGCAGCCGCGACAACGAGAAACGACTCGATGATGGTTCGAAAGGGCATCCGGTGCATGGAATTGCTCAGTCAATTACAAGAACTCGGAGTCGTCGACAAGTCCGATGGGTTCGGACTTTTGCGTGAGGAAATTGAGCAGGAATTGATGCACCTTGGATCTCTCAAAGAGAAGGCCCTCCGAGAGACGGTAAAGCTGGACGAGGTGCTTCGAACGATTCGCGATCACAATGGGTATCTCGTGGGCCAACTCGAAACGTACAAGTCGTATCTCCACAACGTGCGCAGCCAATCAGAGGGGAAGCAACGCAAGCAGCAAAAGCATCAAGTCCTTGGACCTTACAAATTCACGCACCAGCAGCTTGAAAAGGAGGGAGTCATCCAAAAGAGCAACGTGCCCGAAAATCGTCGCGCCAACATCTTTTTCAACTTTACAAGCCCACTTCCTGGCACATTCGTCATCTCGCTTCACTACAAGGGTGAGTTCCTTTCTTACTCCGCATACCCTATTCTCAAATGCTGACGATTTTTTTTTGTAAATAGGACGTAATAAGGGCTTGCTTGAACTTGACTTGAAGCTTGATGATTTGCTTGAGATGCAGAAAGCTGGTCAGGAAGATCTCGACCTGGAGTACGTTCAGATCAACGTAAACCGGGTTCTTGTCTTACTCAACAAGCGATTTTCTCGAAAGAAGGGGTGGTAAGCGTTGCACAAACACTGGGGGCGATGCGAAGCCAGCATCAGTATATTTGCGTAGGCCCCCAATCTCTGTGCATAATCGGGCCTCTACAATCTTTCAGTGATTCCCGCCAATACATATTCGGGTTGTTTTTTATTTCTACTCATGGGCATGCATTCAAAACGCCAAATGAATGTACGATTTGCGGGACAGGTGCTTATTGGTCATGGCAGGGCGGGAGTACAGTGGGATACCTCTTTTTAATTACCTTTTTTATTAATCTTCGGCACAGCATTTCTGCCCTGTACTTTGACAGTCGCATTTGTTGGCGAGTCATCTCGTTTATTTATTTTATCCATCTCAAGGCTTTTCTCCTGGGGTGCGACAAGAGGTCTGGTTCTTTTCATCATTTTCATCCTCTCGGTCTGAATGGCTTTCTGGGTCTGGCATGGCATGTTTGCCTCTTTCAAGTTCGATTCCCCTTGGCGATGTACGGGCTTTGCTCCGCTTCCAGCCTTTGTTCTCTTCGCTCCGGGCTGGCCTGGAAGGAAGATAAGAGAGCGGCGGTTTTCTGTTTGGCTAGTTATTTTTTCAGATTTGTTTTTCCATTTCGTTTCCTCTCTTTTCTCTCTTCTTTCCTAGGGATCTTCCTGTTGAATTTCTTTTAATTGTTGTTTCGAAAGTGCTGGGAAGATTTACTATCTTGATGAAACATGAAGTTTTCTTTTTATTGTGGGCAAGGTCGAAACATTTGAGCAAAAGCAGCTCGGAAGACATGGTAGGGTATTTAGACGCGGGTGAGCACTCGCGGGTAATATGGCTTAATTTGATACCATGGTAGCGTTTGTTATTTGATCTCGCATTAAGCTATCGCGCAGTCACAATTTAATCAATTAAATTAAAGAATAAGGGTGGAATTCGTTGTGATCTTGTCTGGCCTCTTGTCTCAGAGTCACGACTGGAATGTCTGTCTGCTTGATAGCACGTTATTCCAAGCTAGTTGTGTCAGAAGGTATTGAGCATTTCAATTTGAGCTGGTCTGACGCCATGGCCATGACAGATGGAGTCATCTGTGTGGAACAAATAGGGTGTTAGATCACGCAAACCAATGAGATACAAATCATGTAAATGATGCTGGATGAATGTAGGATATAACAGTATTCGCATCAAGGGAATGTAAAATGCAAAGAAAAGCAAGAGGAGTCAATTGTAGTCGCTGTGTATGTGTCCATTGAGGGAATGGATTGAGGTTGTTGGGTCTAAACCATCTGGGGAATCCTCTGTGTCGGTCACGCTACGGAGCTGCAGCCTGCGACTCATTCCCTGCCGTACTTCCCTCAAAGGTGTCCCATCTGTCTTGGCCGTTTGACTCAATCTTATTCACCTCCGACCTCTCTCTCTCTCTCTCTCTCTTCCCAACCTCTTCCTTGGCACATTTCAACTTTCCATTTTACTTTCCAATCGTCATCAGCTCGACCTGAGTTTGCGAATAATAGCCGCCAGGAACTTACAATCCCTACATTTATATATCTTATTTTGAGTCACTTCACTCGACTGTGCTGTCCGCCACTAATTCATCGTCCCTCCTCAACTGCATACTACGTCGGGATATTCTTATCGAACCTTGACATGTCCGAATCTATCGCTATCCCCAAACCAAAGGGAGCTCGCCTCGGCGCGGCCGGCCAGGGCGTGAGCGCTTCTTCGTCGTCGTCATCGGCCTCATCTCCATCAAATTTCGCTGCACATCTACAGGGCTCGCCGACCTTTTCTCCATCATCCACCGCGTCAAGCTCGCCACTTACCAGACCATATCACGATCGGAGACCGTCTTTACTGAGTGAGTGACATACTTGTTGATTTCCTTATCAGTTGGGGTGATGGCACAATGCGGCTTGTTCTCAGCTATTGCGCTTTCGCATACTGTCATTCATATCTACAACAATTGTTCCCGCTATGCCTTACTCCCTCCTTTCTCCCTATTGTTTTCGATCTACTCAAGCTCCTTGGCTGGACTTTGGAGCTGCATTCATTGCTTTCCCCGCCTCGGAGGGTGACTATCGCCGCCTCACGATAACGCTTCGGATATTGCCGAGGTTGTGGACCCGGTGTCTGAACTTAGCCTTGGGCCCGTTCAATTGATGTCTCATTTATTGCTGCTTCATTTCGCCTGATCGGAAGGTTATCTCTGGCTGATTATATGATCCAGGTTCGTCCATTTCCAAGTCGGAGCATACTGTTATTGATGTTGGACATCCGGGTGGTCCTCCTCGGCTGGTGAGTTCGCAACGCTGAGCCCAAACTCCCCTGCCCTGCCGGCAATGCTCGCTCGGCGCGGGACTAGTGGGTGAGCTCGTCTCCACGGGTAGATCGGCTGATAGGGAAAATAGATAACCTGCGTTAAGGCGTCGCAAGGATTCGACTGGAATCAGGGTACGTCTCTTTCCTTTTGCCCTTTAAGGGTATCTTATGTTTGAATCTTTTAAAATTGACAATGTCATAGACATCTTTCTGCCTGCCTACGCAGACTATGAATCTTCGGCGTCGCTCGAGCATAGACGCGATCCCGTCCACGATATTGTCCTGACCGATGCCGAGATGCAGTCAATTTTGCCACAATAATTTGTTGTGTCTTCTTGTTGTTTGCTTTGGGTGCGCGACTGAGAATTTTGGAGCGTTGTATAATGCGCGGTTGGGGCGATGCAAGGGTCGGCGCTGTTGTCGTTCCATGTCTGTCGCTTTCAAGGAGTCGTCTGCGTCTTTTGATTGACTTATGGTTTCTACGAATCTGGCGCAAGCATAGACTGGCGGGGTTCGTTTGGTTGTTATGATGCTATTCTTTTAGATTTATACGTCTTATGTTGGAAGCGCAAGGATATCCTATCACTGTTCACCCTGGTTATTGTTTCTCTCGTTTGCCTTTGAGGCTTTTCGTCTTCTTTTCTCCTCTTTTCTTACGTTATAGTTTGTCCACTAGGCGTTTGCCATGCTTTGAGGCTATTGTCTCTTATTTTCTTATGTGTAATATCTATTCATCATATACATGCAACGACCGAGGAGCCTTATATTTACACTAACCAGTGCAGTTCAAAATCTTGTATTTATTTAGCTGTAATCGCCAGTAATGTCACAATCATTGTTTAATAAATCTACGCTCAATTTTCCGTTTGAGCACTTTTCATATGCCCTCCACTCCGTACTCCAGTACTCCGTACTCCGTATCCAAGTCCGCGACACCCCTGTCGGACTTTGTCCCTGGAAATCCCCCGGGATCCCCACGCCAAGCTTATCATCGGAACTTGCCGCTGTCAGCACGAGCGTGTCGCGCGTACTCCGTACTCTGGTAACGAAGCAACAAACCGAACCAAAACACCAACACCAAACACAACCAGTCCTACTCAACAGTCGCATCATACGCAGCTATACGACCTATTGAAACAGCACAACAACGACAGCGGCATACATTAACATTACGCACGAGATACAAGATACGTACCCGCAACACCTAATTCGCACATCGACATACCAACATACACATACCCATACCCATACGCATATAGCGGCCGCAATGGACGCCCCGCCCGCGCACCGCAAAATCGAACTCCAGTCCCCCGCGGACATGCTCTACCTTGTCGCCAACGCGCGGACGGCGGCTCGCGAGAAGCTCGATCTGCATTTCCCGCCCGCCGCGGCGCCGCCCACGGGCGAGCCGGATGCGCTGAGAAGTAGGGTGGAGGAATTAGTTGATGGGGTATGTTGCATATTTGCAGTGTTTTTGTGGCCGCTTTTATTTCCCTCGAGGGTTATTTTGCATGTTATTTTCAAGAGTGTTTTTATTTGCAGTGTTTTTGTTTGCAGAGTGTTTTGTGCAGCCGCTTTTGATTCCTCGAGGATCATTTCGGGAGAACAGATTTGGATCCATAAGCCCGCGCGCAATACGTGATACGAGATCCTGGACGGGGAATCAAAGGCGGCTGCAGGGCGCTGTCAAGATACGAACATGGAAACACATATGAATCAAACATACAAACACAGACATACAAACACAAACACGCATACATCAAATAATCACTAACGATGAAACAGTACATCCTTCAGACTTTTGGCCTGGCAAAAAGCAACATTAGCATCAACGGCATGGACGTGGACTCGTCGCCCGAACTCGCAGGCCTATGGACAGGCAACGGAACGGGCAACGGCCCAGAAGGAAGAGAAATTGAGGGTATGCAAAATATCCCTCGTCCTTTATCACTTGTTCCAGATCTTGCTCTTTCTAATGGGAGATGAACAACACTCCGTGACCTCTTCTACATCTTTGCTGAAACGAGAAAAACAACACTCCCTGACCTCTTCTACATCTTGCTAAGACGAGAAAAAATCAGAATACGAACCATTCGACACCCGTCTTTCGTCTCGGTTACAATCTCTCTCTGCCGCGCTCGAGCGCGAAACCCTCGCCCTCGCCGCCCTGCGTCGCGAAGCCCCTGCCCGCGCAGCAGCCGCATATCTCGACGCCGAGCGCAAAGCACAAGAAGAAGACGACCTCTACGAGGCTTGTCTGAACGATGCTACATCAGGCAGTCGCCAGTTAAATAAGTCAAACGGGACGAAGACAAATGCACGGAATGGCCGGAGCAACACAGCCGCCGGAGACGGAGACGGTAACGGAGACGTGGAAATGACCGGCACCGGCACCGGCCTTAGCACTGATGAAAACGAACATACACCTTCATCTAATGGCACGACAATATCAGACATCAAACGTGCTCTCAATATAAATAGTCGGAAACGCCCGATTGACTTGTTCGACATGTATCTCGACAATGAGAACAATAATAATGGCGAGTCCCGAGCTCGGCGAAGACATGTACGAGAAGGCGCAGAAGCGGAAGAACATGATCCCGAGCGGATCGCGGCGCAGAAACAAGCGTGGGATCGAGAAAGTAATCTGCGCATCCAGGAAATGGCGCGCATGTATGAGCGTGCGCTCGGCACGTTGGTTGCGGAAAAGGGTAAAGTCACGGGCACAGTGGCGCGGTGTGAACGTGCCCGCCGAGCGGGGGAGTATGTTGATGGGATGAAGTAGCGGCCGCCGGGGGGTTGGGCGGGGGAGGGGGGGAGGAGAGGGAGGGCGGGTAGGGGAGGGGAGCCTTAATTTTCTTCGCTCTCTTCCTTTTCCCTTGTAATTTTTTTTTCTTCTCTTTTTCTTTTTCATCTCATTTTCTCCTCCTTCTCTCAACTTATTCCTCGGACCTCCTTTCCCGCTTCTTCTTTTTGTTTTATATATCCTGTTTATGTCTTTTTCATTTTCATTTTACATTCCTTGTCTTTGTCTCTTCCTTTTCATTCTACGTCTTCCCGTCTTTTACTTTCCTTGCCTTTCCTTTTCCTTTTGTATACGCGGACATTTCATGCATGATACGGTCGTATTGCGTCTTGCGTATTACATATTGGCATGGGATGTGATCATGTGAATCGTGATCCTATGGCAGTTTTCTTCGCATGGGGGCGGCGTTGGCGTGGGCGCGGCGTTTGATTTGCATCTTGCATCTTGTATCTCAAGTCTCTGTCTCATAAACTATACCTCATGGCTCTTGCTTCTGTTGTGCTATCCTACAATTCCGCAATCCTGCAACTCCACAGCCCTGAAACTGCAAATACCCTGACTCTGTGATTTCGAGAATCTGGGTCTGTGACGTTAACACTCACCACCACCACCACCACCATCATCATCATCATCATCATCATCATCATCATCATCATGCGGATTTGGACTTGGACTTGGATTGGTCACATGCTGTTTGCTGTTTTTTGTTTGCTTTTTTCTGTGTGAACTTTGACTCTGAGTTTTGGGTTTTGAATACTATTATTACATTATGTCATTGACTCACTATCCAGACCCATGTATGATGTTTCATAAAGAGTTACAGCTTACAACTTACAGCTTACAAAAGTCTGATCCTACAACCTACAACCTCCAAAGTTCAAACAAACAGGCCTACAAACTACGAAATACGGGCTATACAACAGGCCACGGCCCACGGCCAACTCCTTGAAACTAAAATCAAACGGACATGATACATGTCACATGTCGACTACGGATCTACTCAGCTACAGAAATAGTTAATAATGTGTTACAGAGCTTAAACATACCACTTTTTGACGTTTCGACGTTTCGACTATCCAACGGACTACAGACACAGTCTACGGGACATGTCACATGTCACATAGGATGATATGGATATGCAGAGTCAGAGTCAGAGTCAGAGTCAGAGTCAGAGTCAGAGTCAGAGTCAGAGTCAGAGAGTCAGAAACATGTCAAGTTACAAGTTACAATGATCAAACGGGTTACAGATTACAGTCTACAGTCTACGGGACATGGAGGATTGTCAGTGCCTCAGAGACTCAGGTAGATCCAGAGCAAGATCCAGAGCCAAGTCTCTTACAAGCTGAAACGCAGAAAACTGGAATGCCAAAAGGTAAAACGCAACAGATGTATTGATGTATTGCGTATAGAGCATGCCACATACCGTGTAGATATTGCGTATATATAAGAGGTCCTTTGTAGAGTACATATTTCTATATTCTACATTTCTATATTTCCACGCCGACTAGAATTACTACAGTCTACAGCTTACAGTCTACACATCAGATATCAGACAGTGTCACAGTACAGTTCAGAGTCTCAAACAGATACAATACGCGCAACTTCAATTGACCGTCCACCGTCCACCGTCGACTGTCCAGCAGCAAAAGCCAAAGGCAGATACAGATACAGAACGGACGATAGGAAGACTTGAATATAAAAAAGAGAAAAGATACGAAACCCCCTAAAAAAAGAAAGAAAGAAAGAAAGAAAGAAAGAAAGAAAGAAAGAAAGAAAGAAAGAAAAGACTAGAGGTACGTTATACTGTATACTGTATACAGCATGCTTTACCTTCCCTCTACCCTCAATCATCTTGTACACCTTGGTCCTTTGATTCTTTGAAACACGCTCTCCAGACTCCAGTACTACATAACTGCATTTATATCCATATCCATATCTATATCCACATCTGTATTGAATATTGATGGAGATTGAATCATGGATGATGGACCTGATACTCTATGCCAAACGTGGCGCGGTATAAAAACAACAACAACAAGTTGAACGTTCCTTCATGTGCAATAATGCAACAGTGCAACAGTGCAACAGTGCTGCAGTGCTGTGTGCATATTTGCACATGTGTCCTGGCTCTTTTTTATTCTCTCCTCGTTTTTCTTTGTACTCCCTAATCACACTTCGCTCCTTTTCACACAGACTTTGAGACTCAGAAAATCGAACAATGAGAAATATGAAACCTGACGCTGACCACTGATACGCAGATACCTAGGTTACCAGGTAGACTATAGTCCCGTAGGACCTTAGTGCCGTAATAGGTCTACAGTCTACTGAACAGAGAAGAACCCGGTCGTGTAACAACTAACGGTGCTAATCAGATTTTGTCTTTCTTTTTTTCAATTCATAGATCTGAACTCACAGGGTGTCAGGACTCTAGAGCACAACTCCCGGAAAAGAACCTGGAGAGAACCTGGAGAGGAATCCAGGATCAATCTGCTCGCCAGCAGCGCAGCTCGATCGTACGTTTATTTTCCTTGACTCCTTGAGGTTTGACGGGCCACGGGCCACGGCGGACGTCATCATCTTGAGCTTTGAGCCTTGAGTCTTGGCAGCTTAAGATTCGAGGACTTGAGAGGTTGAGGACTTGTGAAGCTGAGATTCTAACGGAACTCTGAGTTCGAGCTGTAAAGGCTTCAAACGCTGAGACTTGGGATCTAAAGTCTGAAGCAGCGGAGCCTCGTCCTCGGATACTAGGACTCTAGAGTTCCGAAAAAGAAGCTGAAGCACGGCTGCAACTTGCAAGGTACTGTCTCTCCCCCTCGTACTGTGGACCTGGCAAAAGATTCAAGAAACGAGTCCTGACTCCTGACTCCTGAGTTTGAGTCTTGAGAATCGTGGGTCTTGAGTCCTGACAACAACAAAGACAAAAAGCAAAAGACTAACGCATCTAGAGCTCTAGACAGAGTCCCATCACGATTTCAGACTCCTCTGATCTTGAATCCTGACAAGACTCCGAGACCAACCATCCTTTCCAAACGCAAACCTTCAAGAATCGAGAGCACCTAACAGCAACATTCCAAATACCAACGGAGCAATTCAATCCAAAATCCAAAACCAACATTCAAAATGAGTGAAACCTTCCTCGACCACGCCGGCGTCAAGCGCGCGCTGGACGACATCTCTGCGTACGCCACCGAATTCGAGACACTTTCCTTCTGGAGCACGCTCTTGCCGCTCTACTTTTCTAGTAGCGCGTACAAGCTCGAAGTTTTCTTCGAGTCCGAGTTTGAGACCGAGACTCAGTTCCATTCTCGTCAGTCTCGGTCCCAGCATCTCGGCATCAGAGTAATTGCCATTGGCAATAACGGCCGCCACGTCAGCCCTGCTGCCCATGCTGCTCACGCTGCGTCTTTTGTCCCCACTGCTTACCATCAACCGGGCATGAGAATTATTCATGGGACGGAAGCTGGCACTATCGGCGTCGTGAGCAATGGCGGTATCATTCAGTCCATCACGTTTCTGCCGCTGCCGATTCCGCCGCTTCGGTCGACTGCGCCGACTGCACCGACTGCCACTCGTTCTTTTCCTTTGACTGGAGACGCTACCAGTGGCAGCATCGTCACCGACTCTCGCGTGGTCTTGACTATCATTTGCAAGGCGGGCAACTGGGCCAGAGACCTCGAGGTCTTTGGCGGCGCAGCGGATCCAGCTGATGACGGTGACGGTGATCTTGATAGCTTCAGTAATCTCAATATCGAAGAAACCCGTGCCGACCTTTTTGACAATGGCGGCGGAGTGCGCATTAATGCGGATAAAGACGGCGATGATGCCAACGGGAACTCCAACGGGAACCTCAACGGCATCTCTAACTCCGACTCCAATACCAACAATCAACAAAACGAAAACAACGGCACCAACGGCATCAATGGTACCAACGGTTTCAGTGATGACGATGATAGTAACGACAACGACGACGGCATTCTCAACCAAGTGACTCACCTCGTCGCCACGAACCGCAACGTCGATGGCAACATGTGGGCCATCGTGGCCACTGGCGGGTCTGCCACCGTCTTGTTCATCAGCGGCGAGGACGTCGGGCTCGTTGCCGATCGTCTGCAGTTCCGGCCCGGTCGAGTTGCGCCGCCGCCACCATTTGCCTTTGGTCACCCCCGTCTTGCTGCTACTGGAATTGCTGCTCCTGGGCTGTTTGGGAACTTCTGGGCGCGAGTCGCGGATACTACCAACGCCGACTACGCGGATACAGAATATGGAATTGACGTGGAGCGCATGGAAGAACTCTTTACGGAGATTATTGAACACCCGCGCGGCCCGCCGCTGGGAACGACCTATGTCTCTGCGACGCAGCGACAGGGCGGGATGGAGTAGTTGTTGTTGTTGTGTGCTTTATTTGACGTTTCAGCCCTTGGCTGTCGTCGAAAGTGCAACATGACTGAATGGTGAATCGTGAGGATTGAGGAATGATAGGGGGTCGTGGTTAGGGCAGAAGTGAGGTTCAAGTGACTGAGATCAGCAAGAACAGCGGGAAAGAGGGCGAAATAAGCTTCCTTGTGCAAGAACAAATCGAGCTTGCTGTTCCATCCAACATCACTTGTGATGATTGAAATATCGTTTGTAGTCAGATACTTTGTATTTCACATCTCGAATTTTATTCCTCGTCTTTATTTCTCGTCTTTTGCGCTAGCTGATAAAATCTGAAATCAAAGACGATAATTAACTGGCCGCCAAAGACTAATGATCAGCCACATGATTCTTCAGAAAATGATTAATCAATGACCGTGTATTCTTTATCCATTTATCGCAAAACCACAACCATCGTAGAACGACATGGGAGGGTTATATTTGGACTATATCAATCGACTGCACAACATCAACACCACCTACACCACTCAACCAGGCTCATTGGGGTAACGGGAGAAAAGAAAGAAAGAGCTAAAGAGACACTAGAGACGAAATCACTGAGCAGCAGGCGCAGGGGCAGCGACGCCAATAGCTGCCTTCTCCTCGGTAGAGGTCTGTGCAGGCTTCCCAGAAATGTCATCGCCAGTAGGGATGGTCGTCTCGGGCTTGTTCTCAATAGCTGCCTCCTCGGTCTTCTTTTCCTGGGCCCACTTCGGAGGCTTGGCCCATTCGGGATCTTGCCAGGGGCCGAGGTCGCTGAGGGGGCAGCCGCCAGGGCAGTCGCAGGTGCCGCCAAACTGCTTGGGCAAGTTCTCCTTGGGGACCTGGCTGAGAAGCTCCGACTGGTAGCCACTGCCAAGCACAAAGATCTTCGAAACAGTGACGGGGTCGAGGAAGCTCTTGACCACGCTGAAGACGGTCGAGAAACCCCAGGGGGCGTTGATAATGTACAGCTTGCCCAGACGCTCGGGGTAGTAGTTCTGAGAGATGCCGGAGGCTTGCTTGAGGTATGAGTAGACCGAGGGCGCCTTGGAAATACCCACGCCCTTCAAGTCCATAATGGTGCAGCATGTCTCAAGCAGGTGGCCGTGCTTGCGCGAGCATGCGGGCAGGCGCGGGTCCGCAAGCTTCTCGTACTCGACCACCAGGTTCTGCAGCATACGCTCGGCCGTCGTGATCTTGTACATGGCGTTCAGGTCAATGTTTCCGAGCTGTTCAATGTACACTGGTCGGCCATCCTATGAAATGTTAGTTATCAAAGAAGTAAAGTCTGTTTGGGCTGAAAGGAGTTTTGTAACGGATCAAAAGTATCGGGCGTCACAGATAGAAACATTGCAAGCTCACCTTGTCTGTTTTGTGGTAGTACTGGGGGTAGTACTTGAACACTTGGGGCTTCTCGTGGTAATCAAAGGTGCGGACAAGCTCGTCGACCTTGAATTCGGCGCGCCATTTCTCAGAGTCAACGAACCTGCAACATCTGTCAGCCACAGTCCATAAAATGTTGTAAAGTCCAGGAGGCTTTGATGGTTCCAAAAGACAACCCGACCGGAAGCACATACATTTGCTTAGCAAGCTCGACATTGAACTTCCGTGCACGCAAGAACCGCAGCTACAGAAGCTAGATGTTAGCTTTACTGTCATGTTCCCGGGCTATAAAGTATATTCTGAAGCCTATGCGGCTGAGAAAAACTCCAGACACCCAAGACGAAAGCCAACATAGATCCAGCCGCATGTCACATGGGGCACATCCACAAGGCGCTGTGTTGCCATCTCCATCCCACACAATAACAATAACAGTAAGAGCCAAAACGCACCAGAGTCAGAGTGTCCAAGCGCTCCTTGTATCCCGCCTGCTCGAGCATTGTCCGAAGCTGGTAGACCTGCGCATCCTGCTCGGGAGTCGTGTGGCCGGGGTGACCGCTCAGCTCGATCGGGCTGTTGGTCGGGTAGTCATAGTTGTCATACTTGGGATCCAAGGTCGGCTTCGTTTCAGTTGCCATGGTGAAGATTTATATCTGCCAAACGTTCGCGGAAGCGGGAGGACACGGGAAATTTGAGAATGTGGGGCACTAGAAATATGAGATATTAAAAGATGCTAATATGGCGAGTATTGGAGGAAATGCTCCTTCCTCCTTTCACTTCTAACGAAGAGTAAAGGACAAATAGAAGGATAAGAGAAAAAAAGGAATGAAATTAGCAGAATTGGGGGAGACAGAGAGACGATAGGAGTAGGTCAAAAGTCAAATAGCAGCAAACATCGGTGAGGGCGGCGATGGCGACTATTGGCGGGGGCCCGGTGGAGAGACCAGGGGGGAAATGCTTTACGTTGACAGCTTAGCACTGATGTTTCCTCAGTTGTCCCAATTCAGTTTAGCGTTGTATCATGAACAGCCCCACGTGCAATGGTCAAGTGTATATACGGAGTAAACATGTGCACAACTGTCTGCCTTGTGAAGAAATGGAGCATTCCGAATGTATCTAGTAATTAAGCAAATGCGATATGCAAAATGCAAAATGGGGTGCTGTCTGATATCTTGTGATGGTGCAAATGACTAAACGTCTTTTTTTTTATGCTACAAACACCAACGTCTCCTTTTTCCTTTGCCCTATACACCTTATTTTACTCATAATATCTGGAGACAGTTAGTACTAGCCGTTGAAGGGACCGGACTATCAGAACGTTGATGTTGCATACCTGGGTTCATCAAAGACATGATAACGATGTCCCCGAACGCCCTCGCCGCGGAATAGACTCGGGAAACGAAGACCCGGAGACACTTGATCCTCGGGAACCACGATATCGGAGCCTTCGCTCTCACCCACGACGAATTTGCCCACCTGGAAATAAGAAGTCAGCCAAGAATTTTCCATTAAATTCTCCCAGTCTAAACTCACCTGAAGCTCTGTATCCGTAATCGTTGATCGGCTAACTCGCGCGTATCCTGTCCGTCGCAGTCCCTTGTAAAGGATATACTCACACCATCGATCAAGGTCACTCGGATCAATGTCCTTCATATGGCTTAGCTCGCTCACGTATGTGTTATAGTTGCCCTGATGAGGCACAGTCACAAGATAGCTGAGAAGAATCAACGGCCGAGATGACTCGCCCATCAATTGGGACAAGTACGCAGTCTGCAGACGTCGATCCTCTGGATCCTCTTCCTGGCCAGAGTGGAAGACAACAACATCCACCATCTCCCCATACATGTCAAGCGTAGCATGGATGGCGGGAGCAAGCTCCCCAACAGGTGACGGAAGGAGGTGATGCGTCGAGTTGACAATGGGGAACTTGGATAGGAGTGCACAGCCCCAAGTGTGCTTGTCGGGTCCAGGGCCGTAATCCACGTACATGCCAAGATCTTCAGCCAAGTATTGGGTAAAGTCTCGGTTTCCCATGATGATTCGTTGCAAGTCGGTCTCCAAGAATCCAACAACGTCCAGTTCCATTTCCTTGACTAGGTCCCGGATACGTCGCTCCGCCGTCCACATATCATTGTCCAAAGAGAAATGTATGGTCCAGATTCCTGCTGTCACGAGCTTTTCGTCCTTGTGGTACGGCGTGTAGTCGTATGAGGGAAAACGAAGATAAGCAACCGATGCTGAAAGGAGCTGCAAAGCTAGCAAAACATAGAGGTAGTATGACCGCTGTTTGCGCGGTATCGTCTGTGGGGGCTTGCTGAAGGCCTTTGAGCGGGAGCTGGATGGCGCCAGCGCAGAATAAACACCAGCGCCAATAAAGAGCATCATTGCAGTCACGACCCAGTCGGTGTGTTCTCGCATAAGCGGACCACCAGGAACAAAGGCGTATGCCACAACCCACACGTGAGCCAAAACCATGATGTTGTAAATCAAAAATCCTAGACCGAATGTGGTTCCAGGCGAATGCCTAACGGCGGAAATGATCAAGCTGGGAGTAACGGCCATGACATAGATTGCAAGCACAAATCCTCCGTAGTAACCGAACCAATTATCATAAGCAGTCAGGATCGCTGCGCCGATCGCTCCAATACCGAAGAACGTCCAGCTTCGAGAAAACCCATCATAGAAGAGACCGATCAATAGACCGAGTCCCATGGCAAGAATGGTATAAGCTCCATGAGGCACGGCAAGAGGTCCGCGCACAGGATAACCCTCCCAGACCCACAAAATCATGGTGCTAGAATCGGAGAGGAGTGAGTGCAGCGCAAAGAAGGAGCCCGCAAGGCCCAACGCTGCCAAGGTTGGTGACCCCTTCACCTGTTTCTCGGTCGTTGGGAGCTCAATACCATTGCCCAGCGGCCGACGGGTAGATCGTATAACGGCGAGGACGGCGAGGACGAATCCGAGCTTATTCCAGCCGCCATTTCCAGCATGCAAGGTCGGCCAAATAGGATTATTCGTCCAGAAAGCAAACTTCGCGACACTAGAGGCAATCAAACCAATGCTCCAGGCACAAATTCGAGCCTCGAGCCTTGCTGGCTGTGAGCGCTCAGCGTACCATGTCGCTGCCCAAGCAAGGCAGGAAGTCGCTACACCAAATCCGACTGCAAAAAGTCTGAACTCTGGTTTTACGACAAGAAATGCTAAAAGACCGGTAAGGGAAATCAGATGGACAGTTCGAATATTGCGGATGACCAGCGATCGGAGAGGGCGGATTCCTAGCAAAAAGGGAGAGGCAGTGCTCATGACAAAGGCTTCATAGCCCGAAATTCCCATATGCCACAGTGGAAAGTCTGTTCGTCAGCTTGAAGTGTCCATTTGGAGATTACTGGCCAACATACACCACACGAGCAGTCCGAGCGAGGTCAACATGGACCAAAACACATACTATAATCGCTGGTTAGAAGCTATTCAAGTAATAGAACGTTTGGTCCTTACACCGTTGAAGGCGTCGGCAATTGCATCGAATGCCTCCGCCCAGAGGAAACCTTTTCCAAAGACTTGACCAACAGGCTTGTCTTTCCTAAAGAACAAATGAAAGAATTGCTTTAACACATGACCATTGCAATTTCAATAAGAGGAAATGACATACTCTTTTTCGAGAAAAGTATCCGCAACGGCTTGTTTATATCTGCCAAAAGAAAAAGTCAAGGCCCGCTCTAGAGATTGTATTTCTCTATATGATACAGTTCTCCAGGAAACATCTAACTACTTGGGAAGCCACGGCACGTACGCTCTGCTTGTTCCCTTGACATCCTTGACTATCAACTCGAATCCTTCAAAGTCGAGGGCAGTGACTGCGTCAAAAGCAACATCGAACAAGATCAACGACCACTCAAAAAAGGCGTAGGTCGTGTACGCTGTAACAAATGTCAGTACTTGTAAAATCCAGCCTCTGGTAATTGTATCATACCTCCGGGCACTTTGTGGACCTTATGTTGAATGAAATAGTAGATGAGCGGCACCAAAGTACCAAAGAACAAGGATGCCAGAATCTTCCTGTATTTAACAGCCTTCGGGTTGTTCGGACTAAGGGCCAGGCATCCGAGAGTCCATGGCAATGTCGCGACAAGGTAGGAAATCATGAATATGTCGTGCCAGTCGTGATCGTCCGTAGACGTAATGTACGTCCAGCCACCACAGGTGAGAGTGCGAAAAATTCCAGTCCAGAATATGACTTTGGGCAGAGTTGAATTCGGGCGGGCCGTCAAGAGATACCATAAAAAGACCAGGCCAAACCGAGCGCCTGCCAAGTCGTTAGTCATTACATCCCCGGCGTAACTGAGCCCATTTAGATGTATTACCAGAAGTGATGGCAATGAATATTTGGAAGACAGAACGTTCAGGATATCTGTCTCCGATTGTTGCGGACACGGAGGGAAACCATTCTTCGGGATAACCCTTGACCAACGATGTCAGTAAAAACTTCAGAGATAACTCGAGCTGAGAAATTCACAACTCACGTAATGCTCATTCTGAACAATTTTGTGATAATGAAGTGACCTAGACATCATTTAATCCCTAAGTTCTAATATCCGCTTCGGCAAGATGGTCGTACACTCCAGTGATCAATGCGCCAATAAATGCAGCTGCAAACAATGGTTCAGTCGATTATTTGGAACTGCAGGTATAGATGACTGCGTACCGTAGGCAAAAAATGTATGCGCCCATGCAATCCAGCTTCCGGAAAACTAGGCAGTGACGGTCAGAGCGGTGCGTGGCCATTCAATTGACGCTTAGGAAACATACAGCCACGACCACATCCCCGTCTTTGTATCGAGGGGCCATTGTGAGGGCACCAACTGATAAATATCACACAATCAAGCCTCCTTCTTCATAAGTGGTAAGGGAAAAGAAAAAAAAAACAATTAGAAGAGTAATCAAAACGAATGTCAGAATTAACAGGAAGCAGCGCGGTCAATGACCTTTTAGGTGAGCTGTCCCCTAATTCCCAAGGCGTTCAGGGTCGAGCTTGAGGACTGACAAACTAGTTACCCTCTTCGGTCCCCCATCATTCCGTGTCGGATTCGTCCCACGCCGAGGGAAACTTTACGCGAGCGGTCAAACTCCGCCAAAGACCGACATAATTATTTCACCCCAGCTTTATTTTTCTGCCGTGGTGCCAATTATCTGTCCATCAGATCGTTCCCTCAACATTTGACCACCATGGCAGGCGCAAGTGATAAGGCACGCTTCTATCTAGAGCAATCGGTTCCAGAGCTTCAGGAACTCGAGCGCAAGCAAATTTTTTCAAAGGTCCGCAAGCCCTTTGCAAAGGCTGAATAGAGTATACGACTAATGATCTTACCATCTTCAAGACCGAAATTACTGCCATCACCAAGAAGCGCTCCGACTTTGAGCACAAGTTGAATGCGCGTGGCTCATATCCAGCCGACTACGCCCGCTATGCAGAATATGAGATGAACCTTGAGGCATTACGACGAAAGCGGATCAAGCGACTAGGAATCAAGGGAGCCACAAAGCATGTCGGTCAGCGACGGATTTTTTTCATCCTCGATCGCGCGACACGAAAATTTCACGGCGATGTTGGGCTGTGGATGCAGTACATTGAATACGCAAAGAAGGAGAAGTCGTACAAGAAGCTCTCACAGATTTTGAGCAGCGTCCTACGAATGCACCCAACGAAACCAGAACTGTGGCTTTATGCTGCGCAATCCGCCATTGACCTAGAAGCCGACATGACGGCTGCTCGCGGATATATGCAACGAGGACTACGATTCTGCAAAAATTCAAAAACGCTATGGCTCGAATATGCAAAGTTGGAGATGATTTACATTGCCAAGATTGCGGCTAGGCGAACTATTTTAGGTCTGGACCAAGAACTGCAAAGAAAAGCAGAGGGGCCATCGCTCGATGACCATGATGCCGACATGCTGGCTTTGCCCGAGATCACGGCGGAAGATATTGATCCAAGCCTTCGAAAAGACAACGACTTGGACCAATTGGCTCGTCAAAATCTGGAATCAATGCCTGCCTTCACAGGAGCGATCCCTATGGCCGTTTTCGACACCGGTATGAAGCAGTTCCAGGATGACGATACCGTCGGTGAAATGTTCTTCAACATGTTTGCCGAGTTCGAGAAGCTGCCTTGCCTACCTACGATTCTCCAGCACGTTGTCGACAGGATGCTTGCGCACACACCCTTGAGCCCCTCCACTCTCACTTGCTACTGCAGGCAACCCATTGTCGGCGTGGATGTCGTTTCCGCCGATTTTCCGGCCGCTCTCGGCGTGTCTATTGAGAGGTTACGAGAGGCGTCACCCAAGGCAACAAACCAGGCGCGGTTTGCCGAGAAGTCCCTGGGCTGGCTTCTACCTCCTCTGGCTGTTGAAGAACTCGACACCAACATCCGGAAGGTTATCGCGGTTGTGGTTCGCCAAAGCATCAGATCCATCGGAGGCGAAGGTGCTGAGCTGAATGCCGAAAAGGTTGCAGCTCTGGGCGACAAGTTACATGGAGCAGGACTCCAGGAAGATGCGATGCGGCTGTTGTCAAAGGGAATTGAACTGTACGGTTCACATGATGGACTGCTGGCGATACAGGACAAAATCCAGCAGAGCCAATAGCTCTGCGCCAAAGCCAAAACCTGTCTCTCCCTTTTTCGCTCGGCGTTGGTGTAGCATAGGGTATCTTTCTTTCTAATAATCTGAACCTTTATTCCTTCGGGCACTCTTTTTATCGCTACGGCCTTTTTTCATTCGCATCTTTGCTTCCTTTTCGGCTTGTTTTCTGTAGATGAAATTCCAGAGTTAGCTTGATATGGATGTGTTTATTTATGCCAGTGACATAGCTTTTGTCCTTACAATCCTTTCACGCGTTCTCGCTGCTCATCTGACGTCTCTCCGGGTATGGTATTCCGTGCAGCTTGCAAAATCAATTCGTGCAATCTTCCAAAACATTGGTTTGCATTTTTGGCCTGACTTCGGGTGTCATCGGCTTGAATTATCAGACTATTCGAGTTTGGAGCGTAATAGCGGGAGTCCTTGATGCTGGCACGGAGGGGACGCGGCACCCAGTTGTAAAGTGCATCAAGCGAAAGACGTAGAGTCGCCTTGGAATTTACTCTGTTCGCAGAAGAGTCGATCAGTTAGCGGTTTCGCATTTTGCGAAGTGCGCGCTTCAGTCATACTTGTTCACATTCTGCCCTCCTGGACCCGATGATCGACTGAAAGACACCTGTCCCAAATTCTTCGGGATTGAATCTGGAGTGCAATTCGCGATCCATCGTCTGGCCGCCGCTAGTTCCGCCTCATCCAAAGACCCCGAGCGATTTGTGTTTGAAGCCAGACGTCGACAAGTGAGAGAGCCCACAAACGAATTTCGGTGGATTTTCGGTAACAGACTTCTAGCTCCAGCAAGGTGCCGCAGCATCATCTCCTCGAGAATCACGGCGCCTTTCAACACATCAAGGAAAACGTACAAACGTTAAGTAGTTGACGAGAAGTCCAGAAGGTGAGCTTTCGGGGTCCATTCAGTCTGTTCCTCATCAGGTTAGACGGACTTTGTTACTCGCTTTTATTACCTTTTTGGGTTTGACGTGAGCGTTTCCCTGCTTGCACACGTGACCAGGCTTAACCCGAACGGGCGTGGGTTTGGCGGGAGAGCAAAGAGAAGTAGAGAATTCACCTGTCAGGCTACACAATTAATCTGTCAGTCTCTTTCAAGTTCTCTTCTCCATCTTGTCATTCCCATCTTTCTTCTTTCTCATCACGAATCTCTTTCTTCACTTATCTGCTTCAGCCTGATTATCGATCTCCTTGTTTTCCTTTTTCACTAGCCGGTGTTCCTTGGCCCTTTCAGATTGGCCTCCGCGTTCACATCCGACGGGCACTATCTTCTCCATCTCGCCTCCTCCGACGACCTCGGATCTTATACGTGCCTCGACATGGATGTTGCATCGCAAATCCATTGCTGAAGCTTATGCCCATCTCGCCCGTTCTACTACATCTTGAGACCGACGCGGACGTTTCTATCTAAGAAATTAGTCCTGTTGTTCCCAAGTGAGCTCCTCACGAGAAATACTACATCTTTCTCTCCATCTCTCTCGTCTTGTAGATGATAACTTGAGCCCTGATCTGCTCTTGTCACTGCCGTGTCCAATCCTCCTTCTCCTCCAACGCCATTACTTTCTACTACTTATTTCTGCTCTTCTCTTCTCTTGCTGGGTTGTCTCCCTATAACCAATTGCCGCATACATGACTTCTACTCCTCCGCCCGAAGCACCAGCGTTTCGCGGGAAGACTCTCTCTCCAGTATCTCCGCGTCCTGTCCATCTGCCGGAGCCATCCAACATTCCCATACTTGAATACCAGATGGACCCGGACTTTAATACCACGGCCAGCCATCTGGTTGCCAGCCAAACAAACCCTGCCGCCGCCATCACCGTCCAGAATCAGCCCATCGGCGCCTCCAATGCTTCTCAGTCCGTCGCCGCCCACGCCGAACCACCAGTTCAAGCTCAAGCAGAGCTTGAGCAGGGAGTAGATCAAAAAGGACCCTCTCCCGAGGGCAGTGGGGTAGAAGATGGCACCGACGATTATGCCATGTCCTTAGACAATGACGATGAAGATGGATCCGATAATCAAACCTCTCCTCCATCCATCACGGCTCCTCCCGCCAATTCCACCTCATTATCAATTAACACCGGTGCTGCTGCTCCTACTAGTGCTCCTGTTATTCCTACTGCTGCTCCTCAGGATGCTTCTGCTGCTGGTGCTTCTGCTCCTGAGACTTTCGAGCCCCTTCAGACTGACCGTGTTCCCGTCTCGGTCAGCGAGCTCCCTTCAGATATGGGCACGTATTTGTCGAGCGCCCTCAATGCCTCCGCTGGCTCTACAGCCCAACCACCTACATTCAGTGATGCTTTAGCACCGAGTGCCGCCCTGAATGAGGCTGCTAAAGCGTCTGTCCCCATGCCAGCAGGAGATCGAACCGGAGTAAGCTTTGGTGAGGGAGAACATGGGGGAGGAGTGAATTATCAAACCTTGCTGGAGAATCTTTCTCCTCCCTTGACGGTCAATGCTGCACCTGGTGCTGAGACACTCACCGCTGCCACGACAGCCTCACCGACCACAGCTTCCACTGTGCCCAGACCAGCCAGCGCTGCCAAATCCCCTACCGCAGTCCTTGCCCCGCCTGCCAATCTGCCGCCGCGTCCGCCGCCACAAGAGAAACCCAATACGCATCCCAACTATGCCCCCGGCGACGATATCCGTTCTTATCACCCGCATACGCAGGCTTCTCCTACCGCCCCCTTCCCTCCTCAGACCAGCACATCCTATCGTCCCTCGCAGGGTGGCCTTGCCTCGCTCGTCGCCGCCGGAGCTCCAGGCACGTCCTCGGTAGCCAATGGACTCCCCCCTCCACCGCTCGCGACCTTTCAGCAGAGTGCCCTTCCCGCTCAGCCGCAACAGCAGAGTCCCTCCTCGGCGCAGAGCTACCGTTCCAAGGATAAGAGTGAGAGGGGCCTTGGTCGGAGCAGCGACGACGACTCCGAAGTGCCTTGGGGCCCGGAGATACAAAAGAAATACGACGAATTTCTTCACGATGAGCGGGTCTATGTCACAGAGGGACAATGGGATCGTTTCCCACCCAACTCGAGAATGTTCATCGGTGAGTGTAAATTCGAGCCTCGTTGCCAGCTCGTGCTAATCCTTTGTCCTTCGTCATAGGTAATCTGCCGACTGAGAAAGTTACCAAGCGTGATCTCTTCCATATATTCCACAAACATGGCCGTCTCGCACAAATTTCAATCAAGCAAGCATATGGCTTCGTGCAGTTCCTTGAAGCTGGTTCCTGCTATCGTGCGTTGCAAGCTGAGCAAGGCATGAGCGTGCGCGGGCGGAAAATGCGTAAGTCTTTCCAATCTTTTCTATGGACCCCAACGTCGATGTCTCCCCCCTCTAACCTTTGCCGGCACAGACCTTGAAATCTCGAAACCGCAGAAGAATACACGTAGCTCAACGGATTCGGGGCGACAGAGCAGCCGACGATCTCGTTCGCCAGACTATACGCGTGGAGGAGATTCATACCGAGGCGGTCGTGATCGGGTTGACCGCGCTTTTGATGCCCGAAACAGGGATTTCCCGCGTGGGCGAGATGACTACCGCCCGATGCGGTCTCCTTCGCCGCGAGGATTCCGCGGCGGACGGGATGAATACAGGAGCGGCCGAGACCACTATGACGGACGTCGCCGAAGCAGATCTCGCTCGCCATTCGGGCGGGGTGGCCCCCGCTACAGAAGTCGTAGCCCCCGTGGCCGAGAAGCTCCCGCAGACGAGCTGCCCTTTCCTCGCCGCGCCCCTAAGGATGTGCCTGACGTGCAGCTAATTCTGTCAGATGAACTTGACAGGTAGGCTGTAGCCGTGAATCTCGTTCCAATTTTTGCTGACACCATTTCCACAGAAACTTTATTGCCTTTGTCGAGCGCTCCTTCACCGATAGAGCTCTGCGTGTAGACGTGCTGTTCCTTAGTTCGCGCATTTCTGAAGAGGCTGTCTTTCGGAGGCAAATCTTGGAAGGCGTACAAGCCATTTCGAAGCTTACTCGCGCATCGCAAGCAACAGGACGAATTTCTCTCCAGATTTTCGACCGAAGAGGCGGTGCGGACAATGTCCGCTTCGATGGTACGTTTCGATGTTCATCCCTAGTAATGTTTTTGAAACCCCGTTCTCCGCGCTAACTTTTCTTCAGAATACGACAATTTGGACCCGCACATCTGCGCTGAACTCGTTGTGCGTGCAAAACAGACACATGGAGCACCGCCCCTCCAAACTGCGCCATACGGTGTGCCCGCACCAGCATTTAGCACTCCCCCGTACAGCCAAACTCTTCCTCCCCCTGTGGCCGCTGCTGTTCCTCCTGCGATCCAACCCGTTACTGCCGCTCCCCACGCGGCCGGCACACCAAATCTCGCCAACCTCATCACGTCACTTGACGGACCAACTCTTCAGAAACTGCTAGGCGTCATACAAAACTCACCTCAAACGCCGCAACAGCCTCCGATGACACCTATTCCAGCTCCCCCCACACCAGCATCGGCGACATCTATGACGACCGACCTTGCCAGCCTTCTCAGTGGCGCTGCTCGACAAGCTCCCGCACCACAACCTGTCGCCGCTCCTCCGCCTCAGCCGCCACAAGTCAATCCCTATGCGGCCTTGGCCACCAACCCCGCGCTCGCATCGCTCTTGACTGGAGCTGCCGCGAATGCTCAAGCTGCGAGCCAGCAACAGTCGCCCATTCTGCAGCAACCGCAAATGCAGCAGCCAACGAATCAAGTGCAGAGTATCATGGAGCAGCTGACCAAGTGGAAACAGTGATCCGCCAAGGCAAAAATGAAATAGGAGATGATGATTTTTATGAGACAACGTTAATCTCGAAGGATATCATGGCCTTTCCCAACGACCTGAAGAACTTTGTTTCATTTGATTATGCACGGCGGGTTGCTAGGATTGGTCTTTATTTAAAAAAAGGAATTCATGGTGTATAGGAACTTTTTTTTCCCTGTGCGTGGCATCATTTCCATGCATCTTTCTCTTTCTGTTTTCCTCTTTTCTTTTTCTTTTTTCCTTCCTTTCTCTTGGGCGGCCGGAGCTAGGAGCTGGAACTGGCGATATTTAGCCTTTTACTAAATTATGCTTATCTGGCTGCTAAAGGCCATTTTCACTTGCTTAGTGGTGTCTGGGCATCTAGGGAATTCATTTGGTATTGCCACCGGGATTGGAGCCGGGAATTTTCATGTATGTTCAAATAATTCTCAAAATGTTTTCTTCTTCTTATTCTTATTTTTCGTTTTTTATTTTCTTCCTTTCGCGTGTTAGCTTTTTTAATACCATCTAAGCTCCCTTTTTTTCTCTATATGGATTCCCCTATTCGTTTCCGATTTTATTTTAGACTTAAATACCTAGGTACTCTTAATGTCGTATATGGAGAAGATTAGTTAAAAATTCTCACTTTAAGGTGTGACAATCTGCGCTTATATGTAATGGAAATCTATTTTGGCGCTCTTGCGCGCCTGTTTGGCTAAACGACTGTGAACTATCAATGCGAACTGAAGGGGAATTGGAAAGTTCAGACTCGGATGAATAGCGCCACTGCCGACGCACAAGGACGCGGCTGCAGGCCGAAGGGAATAGCTGCAACTCTAAAATTTCCGACCCCGGATTTTATCTGCAGGCGAGTTCGTTTATGGAGCAGGCCTTGCACGTACACACAGACTGGATCTGTGAAGATGTCAAATTAGTGCGATTGAGTCAATGACGCATCCGAGGCCGGCAAGAAAACAAATGAGAAAGGGCACCCACAGCTGCGTGGAGTGTAAGTAAATAGAATGAACTAGGTTATCTAAACTTCTCCCTGGGCGTCGCTGACTACGGAGATTCAGGTCGACAGCGAAAGGTTCGCTGTGTCTTTCCAACAGGGGAATATCCGTCGAAAAAATGTTTAAATTGCTCCAGACGCGGAGCAGTATGTGAGTCCCAGGGCTTTCCGGAAGAGCGCCCAAATATTACGGAGGCTGCTGTAGATCAATCGGAACTCCTTTCAAGTGGACCTGCTGGTCCTGAGTTGAATTCATCATCGTCATCATCCATCACGACCACTTCCTTTTCAGAAGCTCTTAAATGCTTGCGAACCAAAGTGGCAAAGTCGCTCCAGCAAATACCTTGCACGTCGGTCCCAAATCAAGCTCCGCTGTCAGGGGAAACTTCTCCAAATGATCAGACCGCTGGCTTGTCGCAACATATCCGGTCTGACCGTGTACATACTGATTGTGCACCACTTGTAAAGCTCTTTGACAATGAAATGGTGAGTCAGAAGTCAAATGAAGACTTTTTTGAACATTTAATTTTGCTGAAAAACCAGAGGGCAGGCTGGTCATTTCTTTGACCTTGATCAGTCTTCACGGAACTCCAGGACCAACCCGCGGCCTACTTTTGCTATCTCTGCCCAACATGCGCAAGCCGTAAAAGGACTCTGTGCAGCATTGCCGTCGGAGCGTGAAATGCAACAGATTTTCGACAAAAGAAGCGACTGGTGGACGATCTGGCGCGAGTCCTTTGGCTTACTCTGGGGGGATGAATCAGACGTGACCCTCCAAGATTTCGCAGTCAAAGCCTTCAACGATGGACATCCGGCATTACTCGCTACTCTCTTGGTCTGTTTCGCCTTGAGCGTGGGTAATTATGAAAGATATATCCCGCCTGTTGAACGCTGGGTCGTCAATGATGATGAACTGGCTGGTTCCGAATACGGCTTGCAGTGTTTGATGAGCCTCGGCCTATGTTATCTGAGCGCGCTGCAACCTCGTCGTACGTGGCTTGTCTATCGAAGAGCCAATTCCTTGGTTCAGATGCAAGGGATCCATCGGTCTCACAGAGCGTCGGAGAGACTGGATTCAATCTTTTGGCAACTCTTTGACGCTGACCGTTGGGTGAGCCTCCTGATAGGACTGCCCTATTCAGTGCCAGATAAGTTGTGTGATTTACACATTCCGTCTGAGGATCAGGTTTCAGTAGTCACTTTTCATTACCGTCATATGTCGGTCCTGACAGGCCGCGTCATTGATTGCCTCCAGGCCATCAATGGTCCTTCTCTATCCGCTATAGCTTCGATCAGTGAACAGATAGACGATGTCAGTTCTCACCTGCCGCCGGCTTTCCTGGATCTTGACCAGATATCTGCCTGTCACGATTTCAAAGAAAAAAGTATTCGGCTCTATCGCCTCATGCACGTTCATCAGCTGAAGGCATACCTGCATCTCCCAATTTTTCTAAGCTCTGCCGAGGGGGATAGGCGGGAATACTGTAGAAAGACATGCGTCAACAGCTCCCGGATTCTGCTCAAGGCATACCTGAAAATTTATGACGCCGATCGCTCCAGAGCCAGGATTGACAACAGCATGAAGCTCACGAGCTTCTCTGCATTGACGGCTGCTGTAATCCTGCTTCTCGATTTACTTGGTCAGCGGCAAGACCAACACACAACCACATATCTAGCTGCTACGAACGACGCCGATAATCATTTGATCAACAGGACAGTTGCAACGATGAAAGATTGCTCTAATTGTTTGGCAAGTTCACTGTGCGGGCAGTGTCATGCAGCCCTAGAAACCTTGCTCGCAGCCAGTCACAACATGGAAAAGGGGGCGGTTCGAAATGTGTCTTTGCCATGTTTTGGGGTGATTACAATCGGCCGCAAGCAGCACAGCCGCCGCTACAGCCGCAACTTGAGCTCAAGAGAAGCGCCTCCTCCCGAGCTTGAGGATACCAGTCATACGGACTTGCCACTTGACGGAGCTTTGGACATGAGTGACGGTTCTTTTGGCCTGTATCCCTATCCTCCGTCTCCAGATGGGATATACTGGGCGTATCAGGGTCCCTGGATGACTTCCAATCCTATACCGTCTACGATGCCCGGGGGAAGTGAAATGCCTGCTGATTTGACTATTGCACCCGATATACCCTTTGATTTTCCATGATTAATTACAGAGGACTTGGTCTTTGATTCAAAAGCATAGTGTTGCCAGAGAGAATACATTATGATCAACGTAACAATTTCTTTGCATTGGAGCTAGTCTTGTGCTGCCCTATTTCTGGTCCTATGCTACAGTGAAGGCATCAGTGCAGCACACTCTCAGGTGGACCGTTGGTCAGAAGCAGCGCATTCGCTATGGTGCGCACGGTGCGCTTATTCGGGGTCCTAGAGGCCAAGATGCTTCTGCAGCCTGCTAGACAAAGCAACCTCTGCTGCTTTGCATTAGACACACAGTCTGATAGAGCCGTACAGATGGCTACTCTATAAGGCATGCCGCATCTAGGGAACGGTCTACCCTGGACCCTGGTAGTAGCGCATGTTGTATTGGCTGAAGCCTAAGCACGATTCACAACGCCAATGTGGATTTTCCTCCTTGAGTGAAAAAAAGAGGGAAAGGAATTTCCAAATTGTATGTTTAATTTATGCCCATTCAGTGATTTTGATAAATATGAGGATGACGAGGAGGATGAGAGTGAGGATTATAATACATCTTGGAAGATAGATAGTGATGGACGAGGGAGATATGAGGGAAATATAAGAATATAAGGTGATAGGAACGTGAAATGGCAAATGACGCAAAGGGACTGGGAGAAGAGAGAGAGAGATTCAGAATAAGCAGCAGTCTAAGACGAATATTCATGCAGGTTTTTATTGTACACGATGAGGCATCGAGATAATATGTATGAAACGAGATGGAGAGAGGATGCATGATTGAGAAAATTTGCTATTAAGACAAAGGGTGAATGGATGATATGGGCGATGATAGGTGTATGGATAAGTGGATCAATGAATACATGGATAAATGGGAAATACACTTAGAAGGGAAGGAAGAGTAATATCATTGTCGAGCAGTAGAATTCTGGGCGGTGGTACTTGGGGTAGACGATGATGAAGAATGTGATGAAGACGGCCAGACAGAAGGCCTAGCGAGCAACAACTCCAGCACAACATCCTCTTTACTCGCGGTCAAACTCAACCATCTGCGCAGGGTTTCGCGCAAGTCGCTCTCCTTACGGCCGAGTACGTCCACGCCACGCTCTGCTAGGGAACGCTTGACCTCGTCGATGTTCATGGGTGACACCCCGCCGCACTTGCGAATCAGGAGATCATCCACGGCAAGGTAATCCGCGAGATACTTTCTGACGCGGTACCGCAGCAGGGCGGTCGGAGGCGAGACCGGGTACAGGCGGGAGTGGAGGTTGAGGGAGTTTGAAATGTGGAGAAGCTGGGCGGAACTGAGGCGGTCGACGGCGCTGAGGAGACGGTCATTGTTCGTTTTATTAGTCTTGGCGTCTTGTTGCACTACCGCATCACGGTCGACTTCGGATTTTGAGTCAGATTCGGACTCCAGCTTAGGGAGCGGCGCGACTATGTGTCGGAAACTTTCTCTGCGGCGTAATTCCAGTTTTGCTCGCTCTCCTTGTACAAGACTGTCGAATTTGCATGTGCCTGGTACAAGAGCCGGGACAAAGGGTACAATGAACGGCGTGAATTCCCCAAAGACAAGTAAGATGCCTCCGAACGCAAAGAGACGTTTCAAGTCGTAGCTTGTGCGGTGGAGAAGCTGGTATTGACTACGTGTGAGAACACCGGCGCGCGCGGCGTCAGCGGGAGTCTTATATCCAGACTCCGCTATAGAGGCATTTATCGGACGGGTGAGATTCCAATTTGTCCAGATAGCTTTCAGACCGTCTTTGTAGAAATTAAGATCTGCAGAAGTAAAGAGAAAGCAAGCTCTGGTTAGTTCTGTCCTAACAAAGATTGAAAATGGCACTTGCGGGAAATCGATTTGCTGGAAAGAATGAATGCAGTGATATAATCATTGCCGCAGATAGGAATGGATTTATGAAGACACTGTGGCCATTAGATGGCGGGGACACAAAACTTACAAGTTCTTCCACGCTGGAAGAGAAACGAGAATTGGCTCTGATCAGGCTGCCGCTCGTTGAGCACCAGTTCTGGCGCACGTGTACTGGCTGGTGGGTTAACTTTGTCGGCTCGTGAGAGAGTTGTAGAAGTAGCGTATGGAGCAGCATTCGTCTTGAATGCAGTCGTAATGACGCCGTTTCTCCTGCTGCTGCGGGTGCTGCTGACCAGCGTGCTAACAGCAACGCCACTAGAGCGCTTGCCCCCAGCAATTGCCGAGCTATTATATCTTCTGGGCTGATATAATTGACTGCATCTTCCTAATCTCGAGCTTTGGAGGTATATGTCAAAAAAAGAGACAGGCGTTGTGCTGTGATTTTGGTGTAACCTGCGGAGTAAAGTTGCCTGAGACGAAGATGAAGCTGCGACGCGCACGCCGCATATTGCGTTTGAATTCATCGCATATGGAAAATTATTGAAGGTTGTTCGCCGTATAAAAGGCCAATAGGCCTAAGTATATGTAATCGACTTCACTGGATGGTGCTGGAATGAGAAGGATGTTAATTCAATGCATCTGCGGAGATGTTTTACTCTTGAGGTTCTCAATCTTCCCCAGAGAGATCTAATCTCCTCAGATCTTATCTTAACCGAGATATCAAGTGTCGCACGCGAAAACTGATCAATTTACCTACTATAGACTAGTACACCTGCTCACGCGTAAGCTTCGCGATTGGGAACGCGTTCGCGTCTTTTGATCCTCCAATCAACATTGTATGCTGATGCATCTAACCTCAACACGATGAGATGGTGCAATCGACAACCCCCTAGTTTCATTCGTATCAGAAGATGCGGGGTTTGAATTCGCCTTGATTCGAAATTTTCATCCTTTGACATCTTTGTTATCTTATTCTTACTACATCTAGTCAAGTCTACCTACAAGAGCGCCCTAACCTCTGCCCCCGAGCGGGGATGAGGCAGCCGCATAGAAAAATGACGCATATCCGGGTGGTAACACAGCGTTATGAGACCACAAAAAGCCTATATAATGCACGATGCAAGGGCAATTGATCCGAAGCGAAAAGGAAGAAGAATCAATCGTGGAAAAAAAAAATCCTATCCGCCATGAGGACAACGGAGAATGAGGTATGGAATGCAAACATGAAATAGAGGCAGCCGACGGAAAGCCTTGCTGAGAAGAATGGAAAATAAAAAGGAATAAACCACAGTCTGTCGAGTTGAAACAGTAAAATGTGTAAAGAAACCGTTCCAATACCCGTATGAAAAGTGCCCTCATTCTGGACACCTGCTCTCAACGCCGAACCACGTGAATTAAAAACAGAAAAAGGCAAAATCCTGAACCATAAAAGGTTTGTTCCTGCCATGTACAGAACGTATACAAATCCTCCGGGTGCCACTTTAAAATCATAAACCATCGTTGCATCGTAAAGAGAGGATATAACCCTTTGCGGCCCAGCTCATGTGCAAAGGACGAAGCCACTCTTCTCTACTGCGGTGAAACCAACTCTCCACCGAGCTCCATGCCGAGTGTATCTTTGTTGACTGGGTCTCGGTTGACGTGGGGACTCCCGCCGCTGGGGGGCACCAGGGCATCAAAATTGAGTTTTCTCCGAGCCTCCTTGGTGGCGGCTGGAGTCTTGACGGTAGCTGGCGTACGAGATCCCCAGAGTCCTTGTGCCGGGCTGGGCGTGACGTTGATGAAGTCGGCGAAATTGAAGGCTTGAGATGGTGTCATGGGTGCGCCGAAATTGGTCAGGAACCCGCCACCACCTGGTGTCGTCATCATCGACGAAGGGAGCGCCGGGTTTCTCGAAGGAGGTGTCGATGGGGGGTAGAGGCGTGCCTTCATTGCAGGATTCGCCGGGGATGGAGACGTTGCCAGATAAAGAAGCAGATCTGCACCTTCTTCGCCAGTTTCGCCATTGCGAACAAGAGCTTGATCCACATCCCCATTGCGTATACGGTTCAGCCGGGCACCACGACTTGGTGGGGGTGTACGAGGAGACGAATTGATATGTGAGGAGTGGACTTGAAAGGAGTGGAGGGGAAGGTCCTGGTCATCGTCATCGTCCGAAATGGTCCCCAGCATGGAATGACCAGGATTCGCCGGTACAGGCGAGGTTGCCGGGACAAATGACGCTCTGGCTTTATTCGAAACGGAGAACCGAGATTGTTGTCGTTGAAGTGCCGGGGAGGATTCAGGGAGCTGGTATGTGCTCTTCCACGATGAAGGTCGGGTCAGGTTGGAGCCATTGCTGGGCGTGGCTCGTGCCCGCTTTCGAGCCGAAGGAAGTGCTGAAGATGCTTTTGTAAAGGTATGGTGCGTAGGTTGTTTACGGTGTCCAGCAACACTGCTTCCGGATCGGTGGATGTCATCTGAGAAGAGAGCGGGACCCATCGGCGAGGAGCTCAATATTCCTGAGGGATATGCACGCTCAGAAACAGTTGAGGAAGCATCAGAGATGGTTTCGCCGCTCGAGTTCCGTCGCTTCCGCTTGAGTTCTTGTTCGACTTTGGGTTCGATGGTATCGAGGGTGAGATTCTCCCAGCCATGTCTGGCTTTGAAATTTGCCAAAGCAAGACGGTTTTGTAAAACTCGGGCCATCTATGACTGAGATCAGCAAAAGTAATTTGAAGGTTTGAATGGGAGGGCTGATGAGCAAAAGGAGATAAGAGAGTGCTTACCCTGGCAACCTCAGCTCTCCTCAAAACCTTCTCCACCACTTCTCCGGATTGCTCCGGACGTCGAAGAGAAGACATATTTGTCCACTGTTCGTCCCGTCGGTTTTGTGAACAAGGAGACAGAGACTTTGAGATTTGAAAGATATCGGACTCAAAGGGGGGACGAGGTCCAATGAGAAAGAAGGCTTAGGAGTTTTGAAGAGGAGTTTTGACAAGGTGTAGGCTGACCGATGCAAACCTGTTTACCGTGCGATCTAAAGAAAGATCGAGCGATGTCGACGACGGACTCTTTTCGTCGTCGGGCTGCTAGTGCAGAGACTAAACGATGGGCAAGGGGGTTTTTGTCTCTGAGTGCAATTGTGGTGTGTGTGGGGTGTACGGAGCCACCGTATCGATATTGTTCAAAGGGCAAAGGTGAGATTAGAAGGGAAGAGCCAGGATTGAGCGGGAAAGAGCAAAAAGTGTAACGAATGGCCCACCTGATGATATGCACGGACGGGAGAGCAGGGGTGAAAATGTGTTCGAGGGTAGGCTGGTTCTCTCAAGGGGTTGTTGCTGGCAACAGACGAACAAAACTGGTGTACATAAGGTAAGTACCGTGCACAGCTGGCAGATAGGAATTATGGGTGCGAATAATGCCGCCCAGTTGGCCCCATTCCAGCGACCATCAAGGGTGAGAGTGAGAGAGAGACAGTGTTGATGTGGAAAGAGCCAGTGCAGTGGTCAATTCTCGGGTGGTTGGGAGACGCGCGCGTTGCCCGTTTTTCCCAAGCGCGTGCGGCTGGGCAACATCTCGTTTCGGTTAACTAAGGTAAGCCCAATATCGGATCTTGGATGACCGTTGTCCTCTGTACCATCATGTACCTTTGAACAGTGAAATATTGGAGTACATTCGAGATATATTTTTAATTTGAGAAATTGAAAAGAAAAGTAAATTGTCCGCCGTTACAATTTACAGGATACGGGGCATCCTATAATCATGGTGTAGCAGCAATGATAACCCGGCAACAAAAGGTAAGATTGTGCATCGCTCCTTCCTACCCCGGTCGTGCTGTAGCAGGTTTGACATGGCTGTTCCTGGCCATGTGCGAAAGACGACTTGCACTCAAGTCTCAACAAGTCACTCTATTTGTCCGTGTCTCTACCAGGTACCTGACACTACTCCCCATTCGGGCATGGTAAGGTACCTAGTCTCTCTGACACATGATGGAGATGCTTTCGTCCGTCCCCGCCCATGACGAAGGACGATCCAACTTCTGATTCCTTGACATTGACTGTAGTAGTCGAGAGACGCATTTAGCAATGAAGACGAATTCACTAGGGGGTTCCTTTTCTCGTCAATTTCACCTGGACCGGGAAATATGGATTATTACTATTCCCAATTCCTTTTTGGTGAGAGTGGTAGTGATCATGATCCTGATGCTGATATCGATATCTCCAGCAGTAGAGTGTCTCAGCTCGTAGAGGATTTACCTATCGTTGCCGTGCTGATCATCTGCTCTTCCGCCTCCGTTTTCCATGAAGATCGCCGTTTTTATTCCCGGCTTGTTTCGTTCCTCTTCCCCATCCCCTGCCTGCTGCGATTCGCTTTCTCACTCTTTCCGTCCCCTCCACTCCTTCCCTCCTCCGCTCAATCTGTCGCCCTATCAAGCGAGACCCCAACCACCAGAAACGGAAATCGAATTGCGACGCCTCTGGAACTGGGCCTGATCGACCCCAAGGCTACTCTCTCTTTCCCTTCTCCGCTCTCTCTCTTTCTCTCTTGATCGTTTTTTCTCCAGTCTCTTCATCTTCTTCGTGCAGCTTTCTTTTCGTCTTCTCCTGTCCTTCAAGGAGCTTGCTGATCGGTGGTCGTTGGATTGCCGTCAGCGTAGCACACGAGCATCTCATTTACCTTGCAAGACCTCTCGTTCGTTCGCATCCTTGCTCGGTGATTTGTCCCGCTCTGTTCTCGTGCTATCGAACGCCTCTTTCGTCTCCACACTTGGCATTCTGCATGTTTTGTTCAGCTCGTGACGCCGTGTGCTCGTTCGTTGCTTGAATCGGCCTTGGTCTTTTTCAAAATGCCATTCTTTAAAGACCTCCGCAGACGGTCCAAGACCAGCTTCAAAACCGAAAAATCGTCCTCCAATGGCTCCCCCAACGGTGGTCCGGAAAGGACCCAGTCGTCGTCGACGCTCAATTCCGTATATGGACCTACTGGAGGTCCCGGAGCGACGACACCTCCCGCAATGCTGCAGTCAAACATGTCGTCGCCCAACCTTCAGGTTAGCAGGACAAATGGATCTACCCCGCCCGTCCCTCCACGACCCTCGCCGATTCCGCAACATCAACGATACAGCGTTTCGGTATGCCACCATTTGTCCCACCGCGCCCACGCGCCGCTGCTCTATGCCTTACTCTGCGTTGATCTCATTCATGTGAAACAAGAAAAGAGACGCTAACATGCCTTTTCCGCTAGGGTTTGGGGAGCTCAAACGGCTCGCTGAAGACAATGTTGGCTACATCACCATATGCGCCGAGACTGTTATCGGTGTCGGAAAGCACCTGGGTTAGCTTACCCCATGTACAGGTTTGATTCATTTCGCTGACTCTTTTCGAAAAAGGTTCATCAGAAGATTCTCCTAGTTTACGGCCAAATTGGTGATCCGGCGCAGCAACCAATGGATGGTACATTGACGGTCTGCCACCACCAGGATTCATTCCCGGCCACTAGCTGGCCGGTCTGTGACTCGCACTTCAAGGCTCTAATCCATCTTACGCCTGGACCGAATCGGATCCGTCTGGATTTCACGTCGCCCAAACTTGCGTCCAATAATTCCCAAGCACATTCTTCGTGGACGAACCTCTTTTACCTCCCGTTGAATGCGGCGCCGCCTCTGCAGCTGGTCATCTTACTGGGTAAGGATTCGCCCGGGACGTTTGATACAGTGCCAGAACGGCAACAGAGAGAGGGTAATGGCTTGGATACGGCAATCCGCAAGTTCAAGATGGCAGCGTACCTCTGGCAGGCATTCACGGGGGAGCAAATGTATCGAAATCGCTTCGGGCGGAGGTGCTTCCGCTTTGAGGAAGAATGGCAGCGAGGAACGCTGAGCTGCCGTGATGCTGACACGGCGCAGATGCGAAATGAAGCAAAGATTCACATTGTCCGGACTGAGAAGACTGTTCAAGAACTCCGAGATTTGGATCTCGCGCAGCAGTATGATAAAGCAACCAAAAAGGGGGAGCTATTCTCGATAGCATTGGATGCAGTGCGAGACCACTTTAAGCCTGCTCCGGGCCAGAAGCAATACGTTTCTGTATTACTCCTTGATGCTCACTGGGACACAAATGCTCGGACGATTACTGGGCATGCTGCACTCGGAGGAGGCGCCGGAGACATTCAACTCGCCATCTTTGGCTCACATGCTCTGTACAGCTACCCTGCCTGCATCGAGGAAGTTGCCCCAGTCTTCTCCGACTGCACGCGCACAGATACCAACTTTGTTGCAAATGACTGTAACGAGTCTGGTAGTACCTGGGAAGCAGCCAATATCGGCATTGGCGCTCACTTGCACGAAACGGGCCACTTGTTTGGTTGTCCTCATCAAGAGTCGGGGGTCATGCTGCGCGACTATGTTCGACTGAATCGGAGTTTTACCTGTCGAGAACCGTATTCGACGCGGACCAAGTCACCTGGTCTCAAGCTCTGTTTACCAAAGGATGAATGTGCTTGGCATCGGTTAGACTGTCTCCGCTTCAGATACCACCCGTGCTTCCGGCTGCCGACTGACGCCCCTTATGCATCGGATGAAAGTGTGCATGTGTGGACAGTGGACAATGGCCAGGCCATTGCCACTGCCGCTACGGGCGTCGCCTTTATTGAAGTGTTTGGCGAAGGGGATGACATTTGTCACTCATTCATTGAGTTTGGGGAGAGCAACGGAAACGGCTCTGGTGGACTACCCAAACAAGTCAATCTCGCCGAGCCGGATTTGCGGGGTCGATTGCCAGATGACAAGCGCAATAAGCGACTAAAGCTTGTTCTGCATTCTGCTGCACAAGGCTCACACACGGTGGAGGACTTTGGACAGCTCATCTCGAAAACCTCACTATTGAAGTTACCAAATGGACAGACGGGGTTCCGAGGCGGAAAGCTTGGATTCTCGCAAATGGAGGGAAGCCAAAAGGAAGAGGTGATCCTTGAGAGTGCTCTCCTACAGACGAAGCTCCTTGTTCAGGTCAAGGTATATCATGGCTTCGCAGTCGACGGAATCGAATTTGTGTATGAAGATTTTACGAGTCAGCTCTTTGGTAAACGAGGGGGGAAGCCCGGCGGCAGCGAATTCAGCCTGGGTAAGTCATCGCATTAATTTGAGAATTTGGGTGATTTCATACGTAGAGCTAACCGCCTGCTGCAGACACCAGACGAGGAGAGATCATCATGGGATTCTACGTTCGAGCTGGGCTTTGGATCGATGGCATTGAGATTTTGACAAGCCTAGGAAGGCGATCGGGAGTTTTTGGAAATCCCTTAGGTGGCTCAGGGTATGTTAAATGAGATTTGACGTATGCCTTCGTGGGTCAATGACTGACGTATGATTGGCAGACATACATTGATTCCGCCGCGAGGCTATAGCATTGCAGGCATTTCAGGTTCCTGTGGACCATGGTTAGATGGGTTCTCTCTCATCATTACACGATAAATTTGACGAAATTTTGAGCGCAAAACCACACTATGAGCGTATCCAGCGAGCATCTATCTTGTCGCTTTCATTACATCTTTCAATCGACCTATTCACATTTTCTACCTCTCATCGGAAGTGGTTTAGAGCGGGTCAACATCTGAGCAGGAGCAGGTGCTTGCCATATATCTCCGACTTTGCACTGTGTATCCAGCAAAGGGGTATTTATCTCTCATGATGGATGGAGTTCTTTGTTCCTTTATCGGTTGGGTCGATCTATTTAGCAACGTTCAAGCATATCGGGAAGCCATTGTAATCCGGCATGGGATCTTTTCATCACCCATACAGTTCTGTCAATTTGTACTCTTTTGCTTGCACAGTGATTACATTTCTATTTCTTTTTTTCTTTTCCCCCGTCTTTTTTTCTTTTGGTCACATCCTTGTTCTGTACATGAGCTAAGAGTGGATTACCATATTCTACCGCTGCTGCTTCTTTTCCTCTTTTCAATTATTCCCCGTTTACTACCCATGTACATGTGCAAAGAACCCTCAAGGATGAGAGAGTCCGAATATACCAGAAACAAAGCAATGCATGTTAGATAATTCAATGATGATATCTTTAATTCACAACATTATTTGGACATGTCTAAAGAATCGAACCCCCATTTGTGAATTATAGCGAATGTGCATTGCCTTCGTGTCAAGTCATCCCTTTTCTGAAGAGCTGCACTAGGTTATGCACATTTTGCATAATGTACTTGTATGCCTTTTTCGGGTATGGCAAACTTTTCCACTGACAACTGGGCACACCAGTAGCTTGGAGCTGTATCCCAGGACCCTGTGGCAAATTTGTCACAGAGCTCTCCCCACACACGAGCTTTCAAGCCACACTTTTTCATCTAAATGCAGTTACTGTACCCCTTGAGTCCCCCCATTTAGAGTTTGTGTTAAGGTTATTTTTTTGGAAGCGGCACAGGCTCGCAGCTAAAAAAGTTTTGGGTCTTTTGGGGATAAGGTTAAGTTACAACTTACCGTGTCTCGGTCTGGTTCTGAATTTTGTGGCGAAGTAGGTCTCAGTTACGGAGGTAGGGATATCAAACTTAAGGTTGTGGTAACGTTACTTGTACCCTCGTACCCTCCTTTCTCTCTTTCCCGTTCTCTACTCTCCCTGTGCGTATGTGTTTCCCTCCCGAGGTCCCTTTGTGTGCGCTGTTTTTCTTGCTCTCCATCCTCCACCTACCTACCTACCTAGACACAACATCCACGCAATACGTACGAAGTGCACGAGTACAATACAACGTACCCACCAGGCCGGACTGACTGACTATGCGCCAGGGAGGCGCCGAGGTTGCGCACATTAATTCCATTCTGATAAGAACTTTTACTCGTACTTTGTACACTTGTTACCTGCCCCTAGTTCGTTAGTTGCCTCTGTACTACCTACCCTAGCTATCTTAGATACCTTAGGTAGTTTAAGGTAGGGGTAAGATAAACTTAGTGTACTCCGTAAGGCATCCTACGAGTATGTAGGGTGACAAAAGATCGACAACAACGACAACGACGACAATTGACGACGATTGTGGCGAATTTGTTGACGAATTACCCTTGTGGCGCTTGTGTGGGAACTGTGGGAACTGTGTGGAACTGTGGCGCAGATGTCTGGGTTGCGAGGTGTGGGGATACATACCGTAGTAGACAGCTTGCGCCACAGTAGGCCCTTGTATTGAACTTACCTCGCTTGCATGTGGCTTGAACGCTACCTGCTACGCGTAATCGGTACAGAATAGTGTGGCAGGTGGCAAAGCGGGGAAAATAAGTACGGAAGTACTCGTAAGATGACAGGGGAGGAGGGGACAAGGGGGGGTCGGGGGGAACGGGGATCAAGTGTGGCGACTGCATATCGGACATATCAATGTGGCGCAAACCAGGAGACTTAATCTATTGTGGCGCAGCAATACTGAAACCTTTCAGCTCGGAAGTCAAAAGTCAATCAATCAATCAAGGGCGTTGAGGGACAGCCCTCGTAAGTTTAATCAATCAGTCCAATCCAATCAAAGTCCATACATCCCCGAATACCCCATAAACCCAAAACATAGAACATGTTACCCGAAGCCTAGAACCTAGAACCTAGAACCTAGACCCCCGGAACCCCGGACGAACACCCCAGAACAAAGAGAAATCCCACGCAGGTCTGGTTCATTCAATGACCGAATAATGATCGAATTCAATGTACCACAAGAATGAGGTGACAAATTAAGGTCTAAAACGAATGACACGTGGACCTGATCGTACCATCCCGCGCGGGGGACCCGAGAATGGGAAATTGAGACCCATGTTGTCATCTAGATGGGAAACACGCACGAATATTTCTCGAGCCAGACAAGAGAGCAAAGGAAGCGGGAATCTGTAACGCGCATCTTTGAATTTGAATTCTTGGTAATTGGAATGATATCTTAACTAGCCAGGGAGAAGACGATACAAGATTGTATAGATGGATGAGGGTTCGAGAGGGTATGAAGAGGACATTCGGGTGGAAAAATTCTCAAATAGCAAAATATTTGAAGCTAGATGATATGCAAGATTATTTAAAGGAAATTTAGAAACAAAAGAAAAAGAAAAAAGAAAAGATATCGGGATATCAAGACCAAAGAAAAAGAAAAGGTCGAATAATGAGAATGAGCACATTATAAGCTCGGAGTGGGGGAGAGGAACGAATTAAAGAAAAGACGCAGTTATTGTTTGTGCATTTCTTGAAAGTGGTTGCGCTTGCCCAAAACTTTAAGATCTTCAGAGTGATAACAAGAAACGATAGAAGATGCATAGATTAGAAGACATAATTGTGACGGAAAAAGGAAAGGTAAAGGAAAAGGATCAAAGAGCTGTGATTTTTGTAAGAGCTCGTAAACATATTGTGGCCGTCGTTCAGAAACCCGTGTATCATTTCCGAATCGAGCGCCCACCAAAAAAACCAATTCGCAATGAGCCCAATACACAAAGGAAATGTCCATCGAGGACCAACTGCCGTACGTTTCATGCCAAATGCCAACGGTTGAAAAAGCGCTAAGGACATAGAAAAGTAAAATAAAAACGACAAAGGAAATTGGTACAAAATAAAAGGTGAGCCTAACAACAACCAGATCGGCTGACGGTGGTCTCAAGGAACGGAAAGCTTGGGAAACGATTTGACTGGTGCCCCATGATGCTTGTGTCCGCTCAGGCGATTAAGAGCTAAGAGGATTTCGAGGTGCAATTGTGGTGCAAAATCCAGAAATAATAATCCCGTTCCCCAAGGTAGTAGTGGTATCATATAAATCAAAATCGGCGCCAGTAAATGATTCAAAAAATCCCCCGCCTCCGATAATGAGGGACAAACGAAAAATAAATAAATCAGAGAAAAATGCTGTCAATGGCTGTGCCGAAATAATTAAAAATAATACAGGACCTCGCGGGTCCTCATCAGATATCGGTTGCAAAGACATGAAGGGGAAAAGATTGGGCGGATTGTTATGCTCAAAAGATGCCGTGCCCAGAAGGAAGGTGTTCGATAGCGCTTAGAAGATGAGCTTGAGTTCAAAGCCCGATGGCACGTCGTTGTCAGCGGAGCCAAGGTCGCCGTCCATTTGAGTGTCGTTGGCGTCCGAATTCCATTCACGTTTAATGGGTTGTCGGTCCGACCGAAGTTCAGCGACTTCAATCACCATGTCCTGGCCTTCAGGTAATTCTCGAATGACATCGTCATCGACCATAATTTGGAGGCCCTTTGGGTTGACGACAATCGCCCTCGCGACCTTTGTCGAGTCAATCATGCACTTGCTGGCCACAGTGTCGACAAAATCCTTGGCGGTACGTTGCATGAGATAAATAGCCCGATAGTAGTCATTCTCGAAAGGTTTTCCAGCAAGTTTCGGCTTAATGTAGAAACAAGCGACTACTAGGATGTCAGTAAAAGGAAGTTAACCAATCTAAGGTCAGAACATACCTGGCTTAACCTTTGGCTCTGATGGCGCCTGGTAAGACGCGTCAACTCCTAGCGCTTCGATCCAGCCAGTAAGCATATCCGAATCCTCGACTTGCGACTTTTGGATCTTGACCGGCAGTTGATCCGGAGGACTGGCAAGGTGCTGCGGATTTGATGACTGAAGATCTTTCGTTGCCATCTGGTGAAAGTTTCCCCATTCATTCGAATTTTCCCTTTGGATGAGCGGTGACGCCTGGTAACTTGAAGCGCGCCGTGCAGGCTGAGATTGGATGGAGTGGGAGCTTGGAGTCGGCGAAACCATAGACGAAGACTGTCCAGTACCCATCGTAGCAACGCTATGTCGGCGATCCCACTCGTGCTGGAGGCTCGCATGCTCCGCCTTGGTAAGCTCCCGATTTTCGCCACTCAATTGAACAGGGAACTTGTCGGGGTCGTCGCGCTCCTCGCCTTTGAGGTACAAGAGGCTAACTGGCCGGGTTGAAGTAAACATATCCTGCATGGCAGCGAGCTTGAAGTGCAGGTCATCCTCTACCGTCCGACCGCCAGTTGAGCTGGCTGAAGAAATGGACCAGGTTCGCTTGTGCTTAGGGACTTTCCCGGGCTTCGTCGACAAGGGAGGCTTTACGACCGAGCCAGCTCGTTTCTTCTTACCAAAATCCTTCATGCCGGCCTCGGCTTGCATGATTTGCTGCTTCAGTTTATCAATCGTCTTCTTGATATGTGCAACGTCGTTGGAAAGCTTGCGTTCGGCGCCGTGGTCCCGGAAGAGCTTCACCTTGCAGTAGCAGACTTCAAGTCCATTGTCAGGAGGCGGAGTGGGGCTGCCGAGCGAAAGGACTTCAGTCTTGGCGCACAAGCGTACGGGAATACCCTTGACACCTTTGGAATGACTAAAGTCGGTTGATAGAAAGTTGAATCGGACAGCAACGGTGCAGTCAGCTGGCGCGCCAGGCACAGCGGTCCATGTAACGGCAAAGCCATCGAACGAGGCGCTGTCGAGATCTACTCGGGGACGTCGCAGAGGGTCATCGCCGCCCTGGTTAGGATCCACATACTCCACTGCTTGCAGCCTGCCGCCTCTTTGGTGAGCCTCATTTGTGCCTCTCCCTTCCTTCCACAGTTGCCAGCAGGCTCCGGGTCGTTGCCGCTGCTGCTCTTCCTCAAAGGAAATTCTGATATAGGTTCGGTATCTAACCGGGCCTGGCACGGAGACGAGCGGAGCCGTATCCACAATGGACACCGAGTAGGCCTGGCCCTTGTTCAAGTAGGTTACCGGAATCTCCTCTGGATGGCGAATCATGGCAGTGGGCGCATTCAGAGTAACTTGGAATCGGAATCTAGAAGTTTTTGCGTTAGCGAACTGCAATCGCTGCCGTAGGCGTCTTGAGCGCACTCAAAAAAGAAAAAGAAAAAAGGAGGTCAACCCACTTTTCAATAGAAGATGATATGGCATCGGCGGCAGCAGTCAGTGAAGTCCCGTCGTATACCTGAGGGGGGTATCCAATGAGCGGCGACTGTTCCTGACCATCCGTGTCGATGCACATATCATCCATGGTGGGAGAAATCTCTTCCGGCAGGGGCCCCGTCTCGAAAGCACTGGGGTGTTGCGAGAAATGACTAGGAGCAAAGAGTTCTTGCGTCGCAAAAGGGTTCGGATTATGGAAGGTAGGCGCTTGCGTGGTCGGCGGTTGGAAAGTGCTGAACTCCACGGTGGATCCAGGATGAAGGCCACCTGCAGACGTGGGAAGGGATAGGGGCGTTCCAATTCCGATTCCTAAGGTCGGCGTATGAAGGTCTCCGGCTGTATTGTGGTATAGTGTGTTTGTACCACCAGGAGTGGGGGTATAGTATCCTGGAGGTTGGTTTGCAAAGGAAGCAAAAGCAAAGGAGTTGGGGTCCATGAGAGACGGCGTGAACCTCCAGGGCTCAAGCACTCCTCTTGGTGTCGGGTCTTGGTCTTTGATCTGTTCATCTTCCTCAAATACTCTAAAGTAGCAAAGAGTGGTCAGTAAAGGTCACGCAAGCATAGAAATCTTCTGTCATAGCCAAGGGAAGTGGAAGAGTCCGCAATACGGTCTTCGTTTCTCCAGGTGTGTCCGAACGAGAGGTGGACTACATACTTGGGATGCGCAGTCACTTCAAGGCTCGCGTCACCGAGCGCTGTTGTGACAGGCAAAGAACCACGAGCGCCAGTATTCGCAGGTCCTAGCTCAGGGAAGCTCTGTCTGAAGCTGGCGTACAGCTCGTCCGCCGGCTTCTGCGAGCTTGCTCTAAAATCAGGCGCCTTCGCGTCAGCCCAAGTCAACCAAAAGAAAAAAGAACAAAAAAAATATATATATAGTCGAAGGACGAGCCTTCCAAGATGAGATGGACTTTCTCATCTCCCAGCGCGATAGAGAATAGAAGAATGCAAGTACGACATACCTGTTTCGAAACATGGCGGCGATGGGTTAGGAAGCGCAGCTCAAATGTCTCGTATAAACATGCAGTATATCAAGAGGATGTGAGGGGAAATATCAGGCCATGACGGCGAAGGTGACCATAATTTACCGCGATACCAAAGAAAAAGAAAAAAACAATAAATATATAATAGTGAGAACAATGACAATAGTTGAAACGGCCGTTGGTACGAGAGGGAAGGTATGTCAGTCAAGTATTGTGCAGAGACGTGCCAGGAGGGTCAAGCCACAGGAGCGGGAAGAGGATGTGGCCGATGCTTATAGACAGGTCGGGGGTCCCTTTTGGGGGGGGGGGAGACGGGGTTTGCGTGTGGGGGGTGGACCCAGCAAGCCTATGAGGAAATCATCGGAGGGTCCGCCCGAAGTTTGGGTGACGGAAGCGCGAAAAAAAAGCTAGCTATCAGCGACCCATCTAGAGTGCGGGTCAAGCATGGAAAGTACAGTAGATCCTCCTCCTCTTCATCCCCCTTTTAGCACCATCCAGCAGAGCGCGCCGTCGCGGTTGACGGAGGGGGGCGTCTCTGGTGGTTGGACCACGGGGGATCGAACAAACGACAGGTGTGAATGTAGATTACGTATGTGTATAGGGCGTGCGCGACAAATGAGTGAATGAGTAAGAGAGAAAAGACGAAGAAAGAGCATTGGTACGAGATTGTTCACCAGGGAAGTCACAGTACAGCGGGTGGCTGTGATTGGGAATAGGTGTGCGGTAGATTCCATCATCTTGGGATGGGGGGGGAACCCAATTTGATGATTGCACGTACAGTAAACACTGACCACTGTTACTACGAACCACGACCCGTTACGCTGGGGTTGATGGGCGAAAGGGAAAGACCCTTGACATACTGTAGTCAGTCTATTGACAGGCCATCTGCCACGCCCCAACCACCTTGTACACACCCACACCACCTTGAGGGTCTGTCAGGATGTATCCATCTTAGAAGCCAGAACATCGCCCAAACGCGCAAAGGTCGAGAGATGGAAAGGAGGGAAGGAAATGAGGTGAGAGAGAACCCACCTACGTAGTAAGAAGCCGCGACGGGATATGGGCGCTGTAAACGAAGGACGAAGAGGGAAGGCGCGAGGAGAAGGGACAAAAGGAAGGAACCAACCTCAAAACAGAGAAATACCAGGATGCGGACACGAACTAAGGGACGGACAGACAGGGTCATGACACGCGACATGATTCCCCCCCCATCATCAACGATGCAGCTCGTTCACGCATGCCCGGCAACCCAATGCATGTTACTGTGTAGTACTTTCTTTACCCGTTCAGAACACACCAGGCCAGACCAGCCTGGCCTGAACCTGGGGGAATTGGTCACTCGTCACTCAATGCTTGCGCCTTCTTCTGCCCTGCCTGCCTTCTATGCGATATCCCAAGAGATATGCGGAAAGTGCAGCGCACCGCCTTCTCAATCTGTACATATGGTAAGTCCGATGATCGGGGCTCCGGTTTCTCTCGCGAGGGAGATTAGGTGTCTTCGCCAGTAGTAGACCAGTATCATTCTTCGTAAACATGGAACCCACGGCCTTGCGGTACGTCTAATACAGTAGGACCCTAGCTTACCTTGACCCTACTTCTTTTGTCCCTTACGGAGTAGGGGACCCTCTTGTCCTCGTCGGCAGAAACCTACTTTGGTGGCATCGACGTCAGTGCTGCTGGGGAAAAGAAGCCATTCAAATGCCGAGTTGGGAGAGTACGGAGGCAGTCGCCCGACAAATGAAAAGTCTTCCCAATCTTTATTATCATTCGTAGCGGCATGGCACAGAGCAGCACATCCCAAAAAAAGATGATGCAAAAGGGTCATGAGTGGAGAAGACTACACGCAAGCCACAGCCCGATTCGCCCTAGGAGGATCGTTCCCGAGACGAAAAAGGTCTCGTCTACTAAGGTCGTCGTCTCGAGCCCTTCAGCGTCATGGGATTTCCCTGGGACACCTAATGTGGAATAGTTTGAGGGTGGAAGCATGGGAAAGAAGAAAGGTGCGAAATGCGCGACCCCTAGTGCTAGTCCTGTGGGATCGTGCATGCGGCTTTAGAACGAAAATCACAATCCTTTCGGGTCGAAGCTACACCGCCGCTTGCCTGTCCGATCATCTGCTAAACTCTCATGGGCTGGTGCTGGTGGGATTCGGTTCGATCGGTAGACAAATTCGGTCTTCGTCCGGCTTGAAAGCGCAATGGTACGAACAAGGTACGAGAGTCGAGACCTGGCTTTGCCACCAATTATCGACCCATTTTGGCCGTAGCTGCACTGTAACGTTGTCGTACCATGTCCCCAGTCCGTCCCTCTGGTCAAATGAAGCAAAGCCACAGCTCCCTCATCCTGGTCCACCCCATACATTCACTAGGTACTCCGTATATTATCATTTGTTCCAACGGGGCGTCAGGGCCAAATTCCCCTATAGTCACGCCAATAGTCATTCGCCTTTCTCATTGACCTTCTTTCATTTTCCTTTGCCTTCTTCCCGGACACGGGATTTCCATTTGAACCGGTCATTTCACGCATATCAACGGTGGCACATAGTCGCACGAGTCTCAGAGTTAAAGGCCTTAGTTGCGTTCACGGCCACCCTTCGCTTGTGCATGACTTCGAGACGACCCCCTCATCGCAACGCTTATCACTTCCATGAAAGGCGAGCCCCTCATTAGCCACAGTGTGGCACGTGTATCAGATGTGGCGAATTATTGTGGCTGTGCCGTCCGACCCTCTTTTCCCCTCCATTCAGCTCGCTATTGACATGTAGATCCTTCCAAAATTGCGCATGCAACATTTGGGATCCATATTTTTACCATATCAATGCCAACATCGATTCGCCATTCTAGTATGGAGTACTCGTACATTGACGCGTCAAACCTTCGCCTTCGTCCTCTTGGCTTCTACTTCCCTTTTGATGATCCATCAGATTGTCACTTTTGACCTCCGACCTGGGTCTTGAGTTTTCAGAGGGCCTCTTCCCAAGCGAACTCGGGGCAATTGCCTCAGCATCTGAGTTAGGGCGCACCAAGAACCCTTGCTGAACGTCAGATAAGTCCCTAAAGGTGGGCCATCAAAACTTGACATGGTTAAGATGATGCGACTATGCTAGCAACCAGTCCTATTGGAGCAATGTCGGACTGTCATAACTCCACTGACGAAAGACATGCTGTCTGCGGATGAATATGGTAGAAGATGAAGTGTAATTGGCTAGGAGCCACGGTTCGACTCCGAGCGGGATTTTGAAAGAGGAATTTCCGCCAGGAAGCTGATTGGTTCCCATATCAGGTACAGTAGACGAGCACGGCGCAGAGGGGGACTGCCCCCTCAAAGAATTCCCGCCGTCAGTTTCTAAGACATCCAAATTTTTCCCACACGCGGCGTAAGACCATGAGCATTGCTGCCCGGGTCCAATTGTGATACGCCACCGATGCAAAGCAGCCCAAGGGAAATTTCTATATCTGTCCTATGTTTGGTGCTGGTGCCGACGTAGAGCGGGAATGATGAGCGCGTCGCGCAAACGACGTAGATAAAAAAAAAACGATCTGCCGCCAGATTCGCGATCCCCAGGTCACGTTTGACGTGGGAGCCGAAAGTTTAGCGCGCGACCGAACTGTCACTAGTCGAGGTCGCCTGAAACTTCGCGGTTCTCCTTTGGGGTGAAGGGAACTCTCGCTGGCTCTGGCTGGCTCTGGCTGGCTCTAGCTGAAATTGAAGGGACCATGGCCGAGGACTTAGCCAACCGGTGCCTTACCGACCTGGGGTAAGATACCGTTTTCCAGTATTGCTGTACCCAAGGCTCTCTCTTCTCTGCTTCGGGTCCCCCTTGCGCTTTACCGTACAGATAAATTAGATGATGAGTTCAAACCCTTTTACAAAATCCAAACCCGAAAACCCGGCCGATCTTTCCCCGGTATGAATCAGCGACCGGCATTACCGGAATGGCCAAAATTATGTTGACAGCGCAAGCACAAAGGCGGCCCTGCGTGGCAGATTCCTCGCGTCTCATCATCTGGTCGTCTTGGGGAAAGTCCAGGCGTATGTTTTGAGCCGAACAGTCCTCTGCAACTAGTGTCTCGTCGAGGTGTCCATCGCGTAATTCGTTGGTCAAAAGACCTTCGGACAGGGTTCATTGGAACAACAACGGCGCAGAACGTGCCAGAACGTCTCAATCAGTTTGGATGCCCACTTTGTGGTCAGAGCAATAACGTTGCCCTATTCCCCATTGAATTCCCTTTTGACTTCGCCACATGTGGCGCACTCCTGCCTTGTTTGCGTGGCTAGCACAGTGTGGCTAGAGTAGTGCGTTTGTCGACCCCGAGCTGTGGCTGTGCTCATGGGCTGGTGTGGTTGTTTTTCATCCTGCAAAACTGCATCAATGGGACAACGGAAAACCGTTAAATTGGCAACGATTGAAATTAGTCTCGGAATCAAAAGCCCCACCAACCCTAGTCTTGCCATTATCATGAGCGGCAATTTTCCCTCGAGACTTGCCAGCTGCTCTGGAGAAAGCCGTTCGACATGTTGGACGTGTTTGAAATAGCCGTAATATCAGATTGTCGATCGCCGCGGGTTCGGCTCTTCTTTCTTTCCCTTCTTTTAAGGCCAAGTGCTACTAAGTTGACTGGCGTAGAATTAAAAGAATAGCATTGTTTCAGCACCTGGGCATGACAGGTGCCACATATCCGGAGACGAGTGCGCTTACGGTGGAGCAGACCGCTGATTCATTATTATTCTAGCAGTACGGTAATGGTTGAAATTCAGCCTAGAGCGAGGATCGGCGCGCTGTGTTCTAATTTATTTTTTCTCGTTGCTCTCAATGAAATTTACGGCATCGGATCCACTAAAATACGGGCAATGCTTAAATGGAAATAATCTCGGAGCGGAAAGACGAACAGTGAGAGAAAAAGATATCCACCTTGGTGTTGGTCGTGCCTGGCGTTGATTTCAGTTAGACCTTTTCATGCCTTTTCTGTATTTTAAATTTTTTGCTTATCCTGTTATAGGGTTTTGTACATGCTCCGTAAACCGTTGATGACGGAATGACGACAACTGCTTCTCCTGAACTTGTTCCAAAGTATAGCCCAAAACTAAAGGGACAAAGACGGGCGTCCCTTGGAAGTGATATGAGTCCAAGTGAATTCTACTGTCTGTTTGTCCGCTTACGGGCCCGTCCGAGTAGAATCTCATCGAAAAAGCCGAGTAAAATGACATTCCGATGGGATCCACAAGTCTTACAATATAGCTAATTTGGTTCGGCTCGGCTTATAATCAGACTTCAGAATAGGGTTTTGTTTACAGGTTGTAATACACATGCACCATGTCATCAACACAAGTTCATGAAGTTTGTGTGCTGGTTCAATTTGTTTTGAAAGCATTCGAATTCCGCTCCCAAAAGAAACGGTGGTAAAATGAGACAGACAAAAAAAATTAGTTTATGATTAAAACAGGAAAAAAAAAAAAAAAAAAAAAAAAAAACCTAAGAGATAAGCAGATCGGGAGATCGGGAGATAGGGTGAAGAAAGTACAAAGGGGCGGGGAAAAGGAAAGGGAAAAAACCCCATACAACATCGAAGAAAATGCGTAGAGGTTTGTGTGAGGAGCCATCAAAATTTCCGGGAGTCAACACATGCAGCGCGGAGGCGGCAAGTTTTCTGCTGCATAATTATCGCAAGGGAGGCTTCTCCTGTTCAATCTTGTAGCAGTACCGCTCTGAATACAGCACATATTTCAATGAACTGGCATTTGTCTTTTGTCTTGATCTAATGTTGTCATCCCCCAACAGAAATCGAGAGTTGGAACACGTGATACGACATTTGAGTATCTCAGGTCATTACTTCCTTACCGCGAAAGCCATAACATCTCTTTTCTGGGTCCAATGAGCTCATTTTACATTCTATTAATAATGATGGCCGAACATGTCATGTGGTTTTCACAGGGATTATGCAGATTTGCTGGATCTCGCAATCGCATATACAATTTGTATAGGAGTACGCTTGAGAACGCTCTCCCGAGCAAGTCCCATGCCACATTAAGTGTCATTCAGTAAAGACAGAAAGCGATAACCATCGTCATCTGTGATTGCCTAGAGCTCTTAAAGTATTAATACTGGTGATACACTACGCACCAAGTCTATGAGAATGACGGTCCTCAGCAGCAGTTATAAAGAAAATAAATCTTGCCATTGAATTTATACAAACAAGCCAGCCACGGATGCTTATTTGACTACAACTGTGAAATGATTGAAGGAGCTGATCGTGTCGCTGTTGGTCGATATTGAGATCCCGTGGAAGGCTTATCGATTGGGCCTGAGGAGACGTCACTCACTCGCTCACCGCCCAGCTCGCCTACCAACACCGCAGGACTGCAAACCTGGCGCTCAACGCAACGACTCTTATCGTCTGAGATCTTTCACTTTTGCTTACTCAACGACCAAGAGTGTTCTTAAAATGGCCTCAACGTCGTCAGCAAATTCTGCTGCTCGGCCTTCAACGGCTTCGTCGGCCGGGAGCGCTTCCGAAGCCGCCGTTGCATCGCCGCCAAAAACGGCGGTTGAGAAGAACCCCGATGACGGCTCGAAATTGAAGACATTTGTATCAATTCTAAGAAAGTATGTCTGCTGACTTCCAAGTTTATCTCTGAATATCATATATGTCTCTCAGCAGGCAACAGCCACCTTCTGTCGCATTTCAACCTATCTTCACACCTCGAACGATGTCGTCATCGGAACAAGCTGACCAGGTGCTCTGGCGACTAGATTCATAGGTGTTGCCGATATAGCCTCTGTTCGATTTTCTCTTCCGGCTCAACTGCTTGAGCCTACTCCAAATCTTGGTAGATGCCCTCAACCATAGCGATGTCCACCTTCGACGGGCTAACGTCATGTCTAGAATACTGGGGTTACTTAGATAGACCCGAGACCTTCATAAGGTATTTAACAATCTGCTCCTATCCCAAGAAACGAGCAGAGTACTGACCAGATCACTCTAAAGCATGGCAGATTCAGATGATGAGCTTGGACGAATGCTGGCTGTTCTACGTTTCTGGTTTACCAAAGACTTGGTGAGAAGCATGATTCAATTTCATTGCAGGAAGATATCATGCTGACTGAACATGGTGCAGAAATACGTCAAAGGAAAGCCTTGCAAACCTTACAACTCCACGCTAGGAGAATTCTTCCGAGTACGTCTTCAAAGTCCCGAGTCCAACCAACCGTATCATACTAAATATAATGTTTAGTGCAATTGGGACGTAGAAGATTCTGGACCACTAACGGCGGACCCGTTGAAAGAACGACCAAGTACATCTTCGAACAGCGATCCCAAAAGACATGTTAAAGTTTCATACCTTACTGAACAAACATCGCACCATCCGCCAGTGTCCGCTTTCTACGTGGACTGCCCTGAAAAGGGCATCATTGCCCGGGGATTTGACCAACTTAGTGCAAAATTCACTGGGACGAGCATCAGAGTTGTCCCAGGTGCACATAATTTGGGGATTTTTGTTACTTTACAAAGTCGCGACAATGAACAATATCAACTTACACATCCTGCTGCTCATCTTGGCGGTTTCCTTCGAGGTACGTATCATAATGCTCACTTAAAAATAACTTAAATAAGAGGTTGTGCTGACTTCTACCTGCAGGCAGCCTCAGTGTGACCGTGAGCGACATTTGCTTTATCACATGCCCGAAGACGAAGATTAAAGTCATTCTTCATTACCTTGAAGAGGGTTGGCTTGGCAGGAATCAGCATAGGGTCGACGGCGTCGTTTTCAGATACGATCCTGAAAATGACACCAAGACCCGTATCAAGGATGTCCCAGAAAGTGATATACTTGCAAGACTAGACGGCTCGTGGCATGGCCAAATATTCTACACCATTGCCGGATCCACAGTGAGTATTCGTTGCATCGCCATTAGTCGAGCCCATCGTTTTGATAGCTAACTGTGCTGTTGCAGGAGAAACGATTGTTGATTGATATCTCACCACTGTGGCCGGCTCCCAAGATTATTCCTTCGACCGAGGATCAATTGCCGAACGAAAGTCGCATGTTCTGGGCGGGTGTAACAGACGCGATTGTCAACAAGGAGTACAGTAAGGCAACGCAGCTAAAGCAAGAACTTGAAGAGCGCCAGCGACAGAAAGCAGCCGACAGGAAAGCAAAGAATGAAGAATGGCAACCGCGATTCTTCACCGGTGCCGTGACCCCAGTCGGCCGACCAGAGCTCACAAAAGACGGCGAGGAAGCCCTCCGCGGTTTGCATGAAGGCAAATACCACCTCGAGCCGAATGCCGAATTAGGTGCATGATATCTCGGTTAGCTGTTAAAAAGCAGGTTGCTTCCAGCTAGCTGATTCACAACCTTGTATATCCAATCAATGACTGCTGCCGTCCGCGCTTTGGGAAATTCGATGACTGTCCACAGTCGTTTACATTTTGAGGATCATCTCGGATGACCGACCTCTCTCGCTTTACTACGCCTTTTCGATTTCTTTCCCTTTGTCATTCGGTGGGAATCATATGTACATTTCTTCACGCCCCTTTCTTTTATTCTTTTTGATTCTATATGCTTGGAGAGGAGAGATTGACATTGATGATGATTATGATAGATGAGCCAGTCCACAGATACAACATGCTTTGATAGGCTTTTATAATCAATTCAGATTTGGTTCGAGACACTTGTCTTATTCAAACAGCTCGTCTAGTTTTGAAAAGTATACTTGTCTGCATGGGTGCCCTTACAAACTGTGTTTTTCGCAGGGCATAATGGCAGATCTTGATTACATATGAACAAGGGATGTGTATGTCCGTATTACAAGCAGAATGCCGAAGAGTGCAAAGCTCTATGAAATGCCATTCTAGTATCTTTCAATACTTGATGCTATCTTGTATGTTATGAAAGTCGAACCTTCGATACTGTCAATCTCTGGGTACTGGGCTCGTCTTATCTGCTGGGTGTCTCCCTGCTCTTCTGTGACTGATTTGACTTCGGATAAAATTGTCCCGAGCAATGAATACTCTGAAGATGAATTCAGTGATCTCTATAAGCTGTCTAGTTGGTGAGGACTGAACATCACCAGCAATTACAGCTTCGAAGTATCCGTAATTCAGAGCACCTTGAATCATCCGTGATGTTAGGTTGCGATCCTCGAGCGTACATTGCTTGTCAACTTGAAGACGAAACGACGATCCATAAGAGTATTTCACATCTTGTGTAAGTGACACCCCTTATTGCCAAAAAAAAAAAAAAACAATAATCAGTCGCTAGCTGATGCAGTTGGTCGGAAAGATGATGCGTGTGAGCTTTCCAAAGAAAAAGCGCATATTTTCTGACATTTAAATGAAATTGAAGAAAAAATTAGTGTTCGATTGGAGGTGATAGACCGAAATACTGTGAAATAAGTCCCCCAGTTATTATTATCCTTGAAAAAGCTTCAGAAGCGATTCATTCGAGTGACCTTTCAAATTTCGCATCTTTCTGCCTTTTTGCGGCGGAACACCGTCTGCAGACGGCCTTGAGATTCCTGTCGCGTCTAATTCAGCTCCAGCAGTACCGCTAGAACCTGACGCCAGGTCTTTGCCGGCTTTGCGCTTCAATGATCTGGCGCTGTCTTCCGAATGTTTGTTATGTCGGTAAAAACAAAGGAAGCCCCATAACCATGGGTGGAATGCTTCATCCGTGCCAAAGAGAATACTCAGTGTAGGAGGTGCGGTCCGAAGATTTGGATCCTCAGAATACGTATTTAAAGATGAAGGGCAATCAGGGCAGCAGCATTGCCGGAGCATCTCAAACGCGGCCCTTGCAGCACCAGGATTGAAGAGCAATATCTCTAGGGCATTACATGGTTGTCGAGAAGGTACGTACACCGGACATGGGGTACGGGGTAAGTATTCATCTTCATATTGAGGCCGATTGTGAATACTGTCGGTCGGTTTAGGATAAAAGAGACCAAGGTCATCCTCTGTCAGACATTTCCAGCCCCATTTGTCTGCCTTGCGCTTGGTTTTTTGAGGCATTGCGGGGGAGAATTCAGAGACACAGAAGATATTCAGGACAGGAAACGCATTCAAGTAGTCGATGCATCGCGGCGTGAGCTCCCGCTGATGGCGCAGCTTAAGAACACGCAGCAATGGAAATGCACCCTCGTCGGCAGCGCAACGACTCCATGCTCGAATGATCCCGTCGTCGATGATTCCTTGGGAAGGAGCTCCCAGAGAGTAGGTCCTGGGACTGCAGATATTCAAAGTGCTAAGATTTTTAAGCTTGGCCAGCTGAACCATTTCAGCGCGAGAGAAATTTACGTGCGAGATGGTAAGGTGTGTAACGAACTCGAGACGCGGTGCTTCTATATAGCTAAAATATTCACAGAGTGGACGATCTGGGAGCGTAACGCGGTTATAATGATATCCAAAGATCGAAGTCTTAGGTTTCGGTCTTTCCCCAATCGGAACGACAGAGGGGCCCTGCTCGTCAGGGAACGCCTTTACAAACGTCGTCCACGCATGGAGACTGTCAACGTCCCTATGAGTAATCGTGAGTATGGATATGAGCAAATGAGCGATGACGACTCTCTGACGAATGATCCGAAGGGTTCAACAAGATGGGGAGCAATTGCGTCAAGAAGTGATGGAGATGTGGTTTAATCATGCCGTAGGGTAGCGTCCTCACATGTCTCGTATACAGTTCCAAATTTCCTTTGCGAAGTCAAGTGGCACACGCCTGAGAGCGTCGACTGTGAGGCGGTCTGTATTCAAAGCCAGAGTAGCAATCGCTGTCCGGCGGAGCGATGGCGCACCAGGCTCGCGGTTTTGCCTTCGACGAGAGCCATCCTTGCGGTTATCGGCAAAACTTCTAAAAGCCCAACGAGAATCAAAATTCCGTGCGCTTACGATCGTCTCGCGGTAGACTTGTCCATTCTGATCGTCATATCTGGTCGTCGATGGTTGATTAAGGATTGAAGCTAGAGAGTACCTGGAGTCACTTCGAGACATTTTTCTATCGATGTATGGCACTCAACGACGACTCCTCCCGACTGACAAGTATTCAGTGACTTTGGATGTCGCAAGCTTCTTGAAGAGATCTCAGTGTGATCATAATGCTCTAAATCAAAGCACTCAGGAAGGTATAAACATGGCGATTCTAGCTGGACACTCGTCGATAATGTCGTAATTACGGCAGGACAAACGTCGAATCGTACGCCCGTCATAGGCTCAAGTCATCCCATTATTGTCGGTAATGTCCAGAGTATCACTATTGTTCGTGGTTTGGGTCACCTCTAAGGGTGTCGTTGGATGGGACGTTGAGGTTGTACGGGGGCCGGCCCGATAATTCCCCGGGGCGGGTGGTGGGAATCTTGCCTGAGGGATCCATCAGTCATCCAGCTCCGACCTGTAAACCCCCACCAAGTCGTGTGCCAAATCCACTTCTTCAGATTGAGCTCAAATTTCCTCGTCCTTGTTCTTCTGCTTTCTCAAATATTTATCCAATGGGAGGGCTCCAAGAGCTCATGAGCATACTAGGACCATGCTCATAAGAAAACCAGCTCTTCTCTTCTCGTCGTCTGGCGGGTATCTTTGCTTCTGTGTCACGCCTCATCAGATCCATACGTCATCAACCATAACATCGCAACAATGCATACGATTTTCGCAGTTGGAAGACCGACGACGGCCGCAGGTATCAAGGCGGTATGCTACGGTGAATTCAGAAGAGATTAATGGTTTCCGAGACGAAGACCGTCGTCATTGGCCTCGCGTGGCGAATCCGCTCACACCACCCACGCCGTACCAGATATTTGGCCTGAAGAAAGGTGCTCCTTATTCCAAACGACGTTTTTATGAACTCGTCAAGATATACCACCCTGATCTCAATGGTCAAAATCACCACTCTCCCTGCCATTACCTTTCGCATGCAGTGAGGCTCGAGAGATACCGTCTGATTGTCGCCGCCAATGATCTCCTCTCTGACCCAGTCAAACGAAGCGCTTATGACCGCTACGGCGCAGGGTGGAACGGTCAGCCAGAGGCGCGAGGCACGACAAACGGCGGGACGCAATCCGGCTATTCAAGCTGGCGCGAAGGAAACAACCCAAGTCAAAATGCGACATGGGAGGACTGGGAGCGCTGGTATCAGAGAGAGGCCGGTGGCCCACAAGAACCGCAATTCTTCTCCAATAGTGTGTTCCTTTCACTTGTCGTCATCCTAGCGGCGCTGGGAGGCATCGGACAAGCCACCAGGGCGGGCAATTACGCCAACACCTTCATTGAGCAACGAGATCATGTCCATGGCGAGGCGCTCAAAGAATTGTCTCGCGCGAGGCAGGGTTTAACCAACCCTGGAAACAATAGACAAGAGAGGATTCAGTCGTTTCTTAGACTGAGAGATCCGGTTGCCAACGGTTCGACTGATCCTCACGAGGAAGGTTATCGTCGACTACTCCCGGAGCCCGAGGTGTGTCACAGTGCGGATATAAAAGGCCGCAAAACTAACTCATGATTTTGCAACCCGTCTTGACGAAACACCATCGATGTTCATTAACTTTTTTCTCAATTACGATTTCCACGGCCAACATTCTTATTCGGCGCTTGATATTGATTATTGTCCAGGCGTTCATGGTATATATCCTTGCATACTGCCGAAGCTTGTATTCTTTTTGTTCGCATATGATTGTAAATTCCTAGTGCTTACTTACATAAATGCTCAATCAATTGCACACTCGAAGTCCTACTTCCTCCTGTCATTACTGTAGATGGATTCACCATTTGCTGAATTTGTGCTGAGGGTTCCCAGCAACCACTCGTACGACTGTGTTGGAATAAGAGAATGAGGATGTGGGTGTTATGTAGTAATCTTGCAGATTTTCTAGTACATGCGACCATAGACTGAGGAGAACTGGGCATCCCGTCCGCTCTGCCATACATAAGCCTCAGATCGGCGGACTAGTAGTTGGGTCGGTGACGACCAGCGAATCCCCGCTGTTGCATGTTTTTTTTTTTGTTTTGTTTTCTTTTCTTTTTGTAAATTCTGTTTCAATTCTACTCAGAATGGAGGTTGAGCATTATTTTGTAAATGCAGATGGAAATCATTATGGATTGTGATATGGAAGGAAATGCTCTCTTTTTCTTCACCGAAAGAGAGAGGGTCTTATCTTGTAACGATGGTCAAGTCCCGTGTTCAAAGAATCATTGCTCAAACGGTTACCTTGCCAGGCTACGCTCCTATAACTAGATTGATTTAGCCAATGATTCGAGCAGTAAAAGCAGCATCAGCCGATTACCCTCACGTCGCCTTTAGAGCAGAAATTAGTCAAGCTTGGCTGAGCGAGTTCCCCGTTCACCGCCACACCTCAAAATAACGACGCCCGCTATGTCGTCTGTATAGAGTCATCTCGCGCGAATTACGTGGCTCCTTTCCTCGTGTTTTGAGGCTGAGACTACTCGCCGGGACCCTGAATTTGACCGAACAAACCAAGGGGCGCCCCTTGGTCCCTTCCCCACATGGATAACCCGATGCGTGGCAAGCCCAATGGATCTAATAGTTATAAATTAAACGCCGGCCTGCAAGATGATGTGCCGTGAAATAAGTAGTCGCGCCCAGCGATTATCCGCTCTCCTTTGCTTTATCGTCTTTATTTGTTCCGGTCCTGTTCACGGTTCTTCGTCGACCTCCTCAGCCTTCTCGACCTCTGCTCCGACGTCATCCTTGCCTGCTCCGACACTGCCTTTCCATCTCAATCAATCGTTCTCTCACTCGACCTCACAGTATTCTAGATTTCCACTGCAGCAGCCTATCATGGGAGACATTACCGGCTACAAGTCTGTGGCGTATTTTGTGAATTGGGTACATATTCTTTTCTTTTGTTTTATTCAATGCTATTTTGCGTCTGGCTCTCTGGGACCTGTGTGCCCAAAAAAAAAGACGTTCATTTGAACAAGCAACTGACACCGAAATGAACAAGAATGTCAACTAATCGTCGTTTAATTAGGCAATTTATGGCAGAGGCTATAATCCGCAGGATTTGCCTGCAAACGATCTGACACACGTACTATATGCTTTTGCCAACATCCGCAGTGACACTGGTGAAGTGTATGGCTTCCTTTATATTTTCCTTTCCAACCACTGTTTTCCTGAAATACTGCTCTGGTGTCCGATGATGAGGCATAGTCATTGACGTACTTTTACTATGACCTCAAATTAAAGCAGGGGACAAACACCTTGAACAAATGCTAAATGGTCTGGTATAGTTATCTTACGGACTCATGGGCCGACACCGACAAGCACTACCCTGGCGACTCATGGAATGACGTCGGTACCAATGTCTACGGATGCATCAAGCAGCTGTTTCTGCTCAAGAAGCAGCATCGTCATTTGAAAGTCCTGCTGTCAATTGGTGGATGGACTTACTCCTCTAACTTTGCCGGGCCGGCTTCGACCCAAGCTGGAAGAGAGACGTTTGCAAAGACAGCAGTCAAGCTTGTTGAAGATCTGGGACTTGACGGTCTGTAGTGAAAGCTCAAGGTTTGGCAAGCCATAACAACTGACTTGTATTTTTCTTTGGACAGGTATTGACATTGATTGGGAGTATCCACAAGGTATGTGCCGCTCTTATTGTCTTAAATTTTCATTTCCACCCGATTGCTAATGTTTATGCAAAGATGATGGCCAGGCGAGAAACTTTGTCGAACTTCTAGCAGAAGTGAGAAAGGTTTGCGGAGATTCTGCTTCAAGCTGAAGGAACAATCTGGACTGAAGTTTCGTTTCTCCTAGGCATTGGACATCTCTGCTCTTCAGAGCGGCCCTGGCAGCCGGTTTTATTTGTCTGTGGCCTGTCCAGCTGGTGAGTAAATAATAGATCTAAAACCATCAAATCTTCACTTTGTTCGGGCTGGACCAATCCTCATGACTGTGGCAACAGGACCTAGCAATTACGAAAAGCTCCACCTCAAGGAAATGGATGCGTATCTTGATTTTTGGAACCTCATGGCGTACGTATCACCCGCTCCCATAGAAATACGTTGTCTTCAATCTCTGTACTATTCCAAGTCAGCCCTTCACAATTACTGTCTTCTTATTGTATATCAATACACCATTCTCCTATCTGACTTCACGCATCAGCTACGACTATGCCGGCTCATGGGACAGCGTTGCTGGACACCAAGCCAACATCTTCAACAGCCAGTCTGATCCCGCATGCACACCATTTTCCACCGAGGCAGCCATATCGTACTATACGTCTCATGGCGTTGCTCCGCATAAGATTGTTCTTGGCATGCCCTTGTATGGCCGTGCCTTTGCCGACACTAATGGCCCAGGCCAGTCCTTCAGCGGCGTCGGCGAAGGCAGTTGGGAGAATGGCGTTTGGGATTACAAGGCGCTGCCACGTCCTGGAGCGCAAGAACACGTCGACCCAAACATTGGCGCATCCTGGTGTTATGATAACCAGAGCCGCACTATGGTGACCTATGATAATGTCCAGATGGCCGCTACTAAAGCAGATTATATTATGCGCAAAGGCCTAGGTGGCGGCATGTGGTGGGAGAGCAGCTCTGATAAACCTGGCGCAGATAGTTTGATCGGAACTGTAAGTCTTCTAGTCTGCCTCTCTCGCTCCCATCTTTTCTTTTTCACGGCGCATACCATATGATACTCGCCGCTTCAACTCTTCGCCCCAGACCCAAGCATGCCGTCTCATGATGACAATGTCGTCAGTGGGACTAAGGGATAATTACTTTACCACGAGAGAGCCAAATAAGGCAAAGCTAATCCCGTTTCAAATGTCTAGGTTTCAGGTGCGCTCGGAGGCATAGACCGTGGCACCTTGGACAAGACCCCGAATTGTTTGCTCTATCCAGGATCCAAGTACGACAATCTTAGAAACGGCTTCCCTGCCAATTAGCAAAGGACCTTGCGGACTTAAGGCTATCAGAGTTTGGAACCTGATGGAACGAAGTGCATTAATAGAACGGCCTGGAACTGTCGTCAATTTGCCGGGACTTTGGGAGTCTGGTGGATAGCCAATAGCTCTTGCATTAAAAAGAATGGAAAATATATCATAACTCATATCACAAGCACCGAAATCAAACATCAATGTCACAGCATGTGGAATGTTTAAATGATTCCTCACGGATCCTCGTATTGCAAAAAAAGCTCTAAGCTAGGATACATAAATGGTCACAAAGCCGCGCCCAAATATCCTCCCAAACAAAGCCGTTGTCGTAATCGCTCATTCACATCCGAGGAACCACGCAGAGCGAGACGTTTATTTGGTCTCGTCAAAGACATAGGTGAGGTGGCACTTGCCGCAGTACTGGCGGTTGTGCATGGCAGCCATGAAGACACCAGCACCGCACTATAGAAGCGATTGTTAGCCTCTTGAAAAGCTCATGGACATTCGAAATTGGAACAGAGGGGAAGCTGGAAACTCACCTCGGGGGCAGGGCACTCGCGGCGAAGACGCTCGATCTTGCCGTCACCGTCGACCTTGTAGTACTTAAGGACGGCCAACTTGGTCTTTCTGCGCTTGTGCTTGATCTTCTTGGGGGTGGTGTAGACCTTCTTCTTTCTCTTCTTACCACCACCACGCAGACGAAGGACCAAGTGAAGGGTCGACTCCTTCTGGATGTTGTAGTCGGAGAGGGTACGGCCGTCCTCGAGCTGCTTGCCAGCGAAGATCAAGCGCTGCTGGTCCGGCGGGATACCCTCCTTGTCCTGGATCTTGGACTTGACATTGTCAATGGTGTCGGAAGACTCCACCTCAAGGGTGATCGTCTTCCCCGTGAGGGTCTTGACGAAGATCTGCATGGCGGCCTGTTATGAAGCACAAAACATATTGGTTAGCCTTTCTCTTCTTCTTCTTTTCCCCAACATATCGAGGATGAGATCCTTCGTGGCGAAAAGTGTATTTCAAATCAGGGTTCGAGAAGAAGACAGGCGTAAGGAAAATGAATAGAACCTATCCATTTTCCATCACGCCTCTTTTCATGTGCAAGCAGTGCAAAGGATTCTTTTTTTTTGGAGTCTCAAACATACCTAGACAAGGTCTGTCCTCCTGAGCCTTCTGCAGAAACGGGTTGTCAAACGAAAGTGTCGTCGAGCAATTTCACAGAGAAAAGCCGCGTGTGGGCTGCCAAGACTTTTACCGAGAACTGTGGCTCAGAGTGGTTGTGCACGTGATGTTTCTCTCCCTCGATGGCTTGTACGGTGGCTGGGCTGACTTATGTAAGCGATCTGACGATCCGGCTGGGCCACAGGGACCCCCAGGCTTCTTTGCGGGAGGCGATCGGACGCTGCCTTGATTTGGTTAGCTAGCTCAGATGCGCCAGTTGTCGTGGGCGAGACGCTGCCAACTTTTCAGCTGTCCGTTGCCGTAGCGATATGGCTTATGACTGTTTACAGCCCGACTTGCGCTGGCTAGGAGCAGCCCATTTCGTATATTCTGCTGCCTTGCAACGCACTCCCATTTCCATTCTTCCATATTTGAAAATACGTTAATATTTCAGAAGTTGCCAATTTTCCAAATTGCTCCTTTTGTTTTCTGCTTGAACGAGAAAATAAAACAAAAGAAACCTAAATCACTATCTTCATCCGACAATACCTCGAGGAGCTTCTTTCCGGTGGAAAGCTCCTGCACAGGAGAGTAAAATAGCTTACTCCTCCAATTATTAAAAGGGCTATTTGAGCCCCGAGAAACTTTATTGTTTTACCGCATCTCTGCACATTTAGCCGGCTAGAGAGGATATAAACTTTCTCTTCTTGCCCGGCCGAACGGCTTGCGCTGCGTGAGGTAAGTGTAGATTGATGACCTTGATAGCGCATTCAATAGATCCTTCATACAGTAGAGGATGACGACGATGATCTATGGATGATATAGACCAGCACTAATATGTTCAAAGTCTCGGATCCAAAGGAAGATCTTATTCAAGTCTTTCCATCTTCAGCCAAATATAATCATCCGAACTCGATTCTCGTCCCTCATGCTGTCCAATCCAGCTACCAACCTTCACCTTCGCCAACGCCAGCATCGACGGCAGAACTCAACACCAACGGCATTTGAGACCCCGAAGGTACCTCTCCTTCCTGCGACACAACTTCAACGACATGGTTCCCATCGACGAGGAATGAGCCTTGATCAACGGGCCAATCTGTTTCAGCCTCGACGATTCTCGACGCAGGATGACGTTACGGTAAGTATTACTAACCCAGGATTCAATCGACACCCACAGCATATTGTTCGAGAAGCGCAGCCACAGCGACTGCTTCGACCGGGACATCAGCAGCGGCCATCTTTCATGAGAAGACCGCCACTTGCTGTTCCCAGTCAAGATTTTCTCCACCCGAATTCCATTCCTGCAGGCCAGGACACCAACGCTCTTTATGCTAGAGCGGCACCCTCGCTCGTTAATGGTGCCGAATTTAATCAGAATCAGGTGCCGCGCACCTCACAGTCCACTCTTTCATTCCCGTCACTGAACGACGGACCGGCCGCTGGATACCTTGAAGGTTTCGGTCTTGGTCTCGAGGGAAGTGACATTTTCAGAAACCTTGAAGCGACTACAGTCAGTCCGGCACTTGACAGTCTCAGAGCTCTTCAAGGAAGCAGTAATCAGAATGCAAGCAATCGGTCCCTTCAGCCAGCTTGGCAGATGGAACCTAGAAGACCCATTACACCCCCGAATCAAAATAGCACCAGTAAGCTCAGACTAACCTTTTGCTGATGTCCAACCAAAGCTGATAGTTCGCAGGCTATTTCCCTATGACTCCGGCTGCCACGCCGTTCTCGCGGGAACAACAGACCGAGCCTCAGCGCGAATCGCAACTACCTCGCCTTGAACTCCCTGACGATCCTGATGAGACAATCAAAGCATCACGCATGTCGCGTCGTCCTATGTCTTGTATGGACTTGTTCGGGGCAAGGACAGATGCGGAAAGCAATGAGGCGCCGCCATCACCTCCTCGCACGGCACCATTATTACCATCAAGTACATTTGATATGGCGCCAATGCCAAACCCCAACTTTATGCCTGCAAATCAGATTAGTCTTGACTGTCCGGAGAGCGACCAAGAGTATGACTCGTCATATTACTCGCCTCTGTCGTCGGTCGTTTCGCCGGCCCTTTCATCCATGACATCTTCTCCTCAGCCGCCAAATCAGAGAGACTTCCGCGACGGGTTGCCTTCGGCACGAGCTTTGTCAACGACAGTTGGAATGGGCCAACTACCGCATTCGCAGAGTCTCGATGACATCGCCTCAATGATGTCAGATGGCATCTTTGAGCCTCTATCCCCTCGTTCGAAGTCAATTGCAGACCTAGGTCTAGAAGCCACCATTGAAGATACCGGAATTACTGTCGAAGATATTGCATCCTTCATCGCTGGCCCTGACAAGTCCGATGGGAAGTGGGTATGTCTCTATCCCGATTGCAATAAGAGATTCGGTAGAAAAGAGAATATCAAGTCCCATGTCCAAACCCACTTGGGCGACCGTCAATACCGGTGCATCCATTGCAAGAAATGCTTCGTGCGCCAACACGACCTTAAACGCCACGCCAAAATCCACAGTGGTGTCAAGCCGTATCCATGTCTCTGTGGTAACAGCTTCGCTCGCCATGATGCCTTGACTCGTCACCGCCAAAGAGGCATGTGCATTGGCGCTTTTGAGGGAGTGGTTAAGAAGACCGTGAAACGCGGAAGACCGAGGAAGAGCAGGCCTCAGTCCGACGAACGTCAAGACAAGGCGGCACGCACTAAGAGAAAGGTTTATGCAAAATCTTATGCTTCATCCGTTTCGAGCGTTTCAGAGAGTCCTTGCCCGTCTTCGCCGCTCATACGGGACTCAACACCATTTGAAGATGTCGCGTCGTTTCAAAGATCTTCGCTTGACTTCTCGTCCGATATTTTGTCATCTACGCCCCCAACCTCTCCAGGATATCTGGCAGATTGTGTCTCATCCCGTCAACTGCAACAAATAATGAGCCCGGCGCCTTTATCTTTGAGTTTATTGGACCAGAAAGATGGAAGAGCCGGTGGGATGCGGGCCGCACCAATCCCTGTCCCTTCAAGGTCTAGCAGCCGATACGGACCGACGCCTGACTTATGTTTGTCTGCATCCTCCCCTCCGGGGTCCGGGCTCTTTGATCTATCGTCTATGTCGGAGACCGCGGGAAGCTTGAGTCAAGCTAGCACTAGTTGCTTTGGTGACAGCGAGACAGACCACGAGCTCCCCGATATTTGTGACAATATCGACGACATGTTCCTCGGCTCTTTTGACGGCCAAAGTAGTATCGCCAGCCTGAGTAGTGAAACTGATATGCTGCAAGAAAAATTCGAGGACGTCTTCCCGACGGAGAATCTGTTCCCCAGCAGCTTTGTCAGCAGCGGTGATATTTTCGATTCTGCTTGACTTGGAGGAGACTATAGAATGAGGAATGAACGGACGACAAGCACCACGATTGTACGATGCACATGACGTTTGGGGTTATGTTTTGTTCTGACTCGGCGCTTTGTCATAGAGCACGAGTCGGAAATCTGTTGGGATCATGGAGAATTGGAATGGTTTATTTGGCTGCAAACTTGGGAGATATCAACCATTGTTTTGTTTTGTTTTGTTTTATTCTGCAATTTTAAGCGCCATCCTTGGATGCGCAGAAGTGTTTAATCAGTATTTGTATCCTCGCAAATGGTCGCTCACTACTCTGTCCTTAGTAGCCCAGGATATTTTCCTAGCTGCAACAACCATTTTAGTTTTAATTAGAATAAATCAGAGGAAGTTCGAAAGTTTGCATCAAAAGACATTGTCATAGCAGGCGTAGACTAAACCCACGCGCTCTAGACGCTGATACAGCGGATAGACCAGACACGTGACTGAATTTTTAGCAGCTTGAGCGGAGACCCCAGGGATCACCATGCTGTTCTCGACATATGGAGTAAAGAGTGTATTGAACTCGGTTGAAGGCAGAGAAATCGAACTGCGTTGCAAGAGCCGTTGGATTTATTGGTGCAGCTCTTTCAGGCATAACGCGTGGGCCGAAAGAAGATTGTCCATGACGCGCTATGCAAGCGTGCCATATGGCGATTAGCACCCGTAATCTTATCGATGTTTCAGAATCCAATAAATATTGGTACTCGTATCCTTAGAAAGTTCTCCTTGGTATTGCAATATCCATTGATCTGGTAGCTGGTACTGGCATTGGCACTATATTGTAGGTGAAGCACGGTATTCCACCGCGTGTCATTCTCTTGGTTGAATGGAAACACTCGTGACACGGTACTTGTTCTAATTCGCGTGATGCTACGGTAGATTCATTTTTCCTTTCTTTTCTTTGAACCATCAAAATTACATTTACTGTTTCAGGCCTCAGTGTCTGCAAAGGCGTATTAGGCTCCAAGGCTAGTTGCGGTGATCGACTTCTTTAATTGCAGTAGCGCTGGCTTGAGTATTATTATTCGATGAAAAACTTTTTGACAGCATGGATTAGTCGTGGATTCTCCAATGATAGTCGATATGCTGCCTCGGGGAAAAGAACTTTCACGCGATGACCCGCAGTAAAGGAAAAAAAAAGAAAAAGAAAAAGAAAAAAAAAAAGAGCCATTCAGTCTTTCCCTTTTTTTCTTCTCGTGTTCTTTTTTCTCTTTAGACCCGTACCACTGTCGAATAACAGCTAGACCGGGCAGCTTGTGGAGCCGAGTCGTCGGAGGCTCGGTGACGATGATCATCCGGCGGAACGGCCGAGATTCGGTCCTCGGAAATTGGCAACGTCCGCGGATGAGCAAACCAAAAAACTCAGCTCTCCAACGGTCATCTGATTAGACCAATATCCCCTTGCTTCATTAGTTGTACAATTGCATGAGTTGCTTTTATGCATCATGTCTGATACGTGCAAAGAGAATTGGACATGGCCATGTTACAAGACAGATCAAAGAGATCATAAACTAGCACGTGGGGCTCTCCTGGCTGGAGGACTAATTCCGAGAGTCAGGGAGTGTTCAGGGTGCAACAGTGGTGATACGGAAGCCGCAATAACCGAAATGATGCGAGTGTGATGTTGAGGACTGCCTGTGACAGCGACTACAAGACTTGACAGATAGCGGAGCGTGGTTGAGAGCATGGGCAGAATGGTTGTGGTGGTCGGGCCAAGTCCCCAGGTGCTGCCTGTCAAATCATGATGCCTCGATGGTAATGATGTCGGTGGATCCGGCATTACCTCATTCTCGTCTGTGGGAGTTGAGCTTTTTTTCCCTGAGCGATGACCTTTTTCTGTTTGGTCTCAGGTCCCACTATGCAGACCCCAGTCCTCTTCCGAGGTTTTCTTGTGCAACACCCGTTGTCGGTACCTGACTGTCGTAAAAGAAAACCTCTCGTACACGATACATTGAGCAAGGGTACCTTTGCTCATTCGCTTCTCTACCGTACATACAGGTTACGTTCTGAACAACCTCTTTCTCCGGGTAGATTTAGAAGCACGCTGCTTGATACGTCCTTTCCATTCCACAATGATGACTGATCTGAATGCATACTGTCAACATACTTTGTGGCTCTGCGCTGCGACTCAAGGAGGGTAAGATGATTACTACTCGTACTGTCCACTGGTGCCCTAGTCGGCTTACAAGCCCACGCTTTGCTGCTTTTCGTCGTAGCTTGGAAAGGCCGGATTCGGTAGTTCCGGCGCTTGGCGGGGGGTCCTTAGATGCGACGGAGGCAGACAAACGAAATTACACTGAGCCTTTTGCTGCCACTTTAGACTTTGACCAAACCATAATGGGATGAGTGAAACCTTTAACGCCCAGCCAACTAGAGCAGCGTTGGATGCAAATAACGATTGTTTGCAAGGATTTTGTTGCAAATTATTTCGATTATTGTTATTGACCGGGCCACCTGTTGTATTATTTGCACCTGTCGCGCGGGCAGACAGCGCCGAGGAAATTCGCGCCGTCGTGCCCAGGCGCCACGAGACGAGAGACAGGCACGATTGAGCAATTGGGGGCTGAGTAGTGGTACGTGACGAGTCTTCAAAAGAATCACAGCCTCTCGCCAATGCTGCGGCAGATATTGAGGCTTTGCAGCTGTGCTCGATAGAGGAGCAGGCAGAAGGGGCGCCTCTCGAATGTCAGCAGGGCCAGGAGAAGGGGAAGGAGAAGAGAGGAATTAGTTGTATCAAAGTGATGATTTTCTTGCTCCCTACCTCCGTAGACTGTCCCACATCGCTCAACTGTTGTGGGCGTGGCTCAGCCAAATAATCATAATAAATAAGTTTACATCCATCTTTCCAGAGCACACTTGTCTACTGTGTTCTGTATTACAGAGTGAAAGGGCTCTTTAAATCGTGCAGAGCATAGTAGGAAAAGGGAAGGTACGGGGTACTTGGTTTATTACTGTGGGTTGGGGTATCGGGTACCTGTTCTGAGCCAAAACGGCTGGAGCGTCTTCCCTGGTCGCTCTTTCCCTCTTCTCTCATTCCCCCATCATCCATCGTCCTCCGTCCCGTCCATCCGTCGGCGCCAAAGTCGACCGCTACAGACCAGCAAACTGGGGCTAATTCCTGTAGACTTTCGGCGCCTCTGACCACTCTTCGCTCGTCTGCTTCCTTCCTTCACCTAATCTTACACACCTCTTTCCCCATCCTTCTTCTTCCTCTTCCTCTTTTCACATCCTCTAATTCAGCTCTTCCGACCTGTTCGATACCTCGTGCTCCTCATCCTCAGCATCATCAACTGGCTTGTTTTGGCCTGTTCCGACCTTCACGCTTCCCGACATTTCCGTCATCTCTACCTAGTCCCGGGCTCGGCTTGGAGCGCTGTTGCTCAGCCGCTCACTCAAAGTCGCCCAGGGCTAGTCGACATCATTTTCGCCTGTCCAAGACAAAAGTTGAAGGTCTCAAAATGAAGTCTGCACGATCATTTCTGCCGCGAGGCGATCGCCCGCTGGTCACTGGTCACGGATCAAAAAGCTCCATTGGTTCTATTTCATGGCCATCAATGCCAGTCATAGTCCCTCACCGATTTCGACGAAAGCTTCGTTCCAAGCTTCGCAGCAGACAGTCTCCTGCGTCCTCTCTCGCCTCGTTGCAGACCTCTTTTTCGCCAGCGGACACTCTTCGTTCTTTGCGCGCTCATCGTTGGTCATATAATGATGGACAATATCTTCTTTTAATCATAATCGGCATCTTCTCGCTTTGCGTCATCGAGACTATTGGACCGATGGCAAAGACTTTAATCTCAACCCTCCTGCTCACTTCTCTCATTCTCCCTGTCACGCGGCAGTTCTTCCTCCCTTTCCTTCCCATCGCCGGCTGGCTCGTCTTGTTCTACGCTTGTCGGTAAGGCTCTCTACATGCCCTTCTTACCTGGTTCCAGAACTCCTTTCGAATAACTCATTCGGGAGTCAATTTCATCTGCACCAGGAATTGCATTCTATCTTTTTGGCCTTTTGCAAGATAAACTAACGTGTCCTTGATTTTAGATTTGTGCCTGGTGAATACCGCCCTCCGATTTGGGTCCGAGTGCTGCCCGCACTCGAGAACATCCTTTACGGCGCAAATCTCAGCAATATCATGTCTGCGCACCAGAGCGTTGTTTTGGACGTGCTCGCCTGGCTTCCTTACGGTATCATGCACTATGGCGCTCCTTTTGTGGTGTCTATAATCATATTCGTCTTTGCCGCTCCTGGCACACTGCCCGTCTTCGCGAGGAGCTTTGGTTACATGAATCTCACCGGCGTGGCTATTCAATTGCTCTTTCCGACATCCCCGCCATGGTATGAGAACCTTTACGGCCTCGCTCCCGCAAACTATTCAATTCACGGCTCGCCTGCTGGCCTTGCGCGGATTGACAAGCTCTTTGGCATTGATCTTTACACCTCCGGTTTCACTGCATCTCCGCTCGTCTTTGGTGCCTTCCCTTCGCTGCACGCGGGGGCGGCTACCATCCAGGCCTTATTCTTGAGTCATATTTTCCCTCGCCTACGACCACTTTTTGTCTTCTACACTCTCTGGATTTGGTGGGCGACAATGTACCTTTCCCACCATTACGCAGTCGACCTTGTCGGCGGAAGTTTAGGTAGGGGATTCATTAACTTTTTTGACGTTCGACTGAGCATGTGCTAATCTTAACAATTAGTGGCAAGCGTCGCCTTTTATGTGGCCAAGGCCAACTGGCTTCCCCGGTACCAGCCTGACAAGCTCTTCCGGTGGGATTACGATTACACCGAAGTGGGTGACGTCCCGGTGGGATATGCCTACGGCTTGGCGGATATTGAGGCCGACTTCCATCCCGCCGGCTCGGACAGTGACGAGTGGACCATTGGTTCTTCGACATCAATTTCTTCTGGAGCTGCCAGCCCGGTTGACGAGGGCCAGTCGCTGTGGGAAGGCGACACTCTCGCATCCCACTCGGATTCGGAGCCTGGCCGATAGATTTTGACCAAAAGCATTTTCTTTTCCTATTGTATTACTCATTTTGCTCACGTTCTTTTGGCATGGAGCCCAACCGATTCGATTCTCACTGCATGCGACGCCGTATGACGACTGCTTCTCGCCATCCCCCCTTTTTTTTTGACGAATGAATGGTGATACGGCTTCGCAAATGTTATTTGGATGAGCCAACCTCGAGTTCAAAAGCGTTTACTCCAAGTACTACGCACCGCTTCAATCATACTTTTCCGCAGCTGCTGGGGATTGCATCAGCGATTTTCCATGCTGCGCCTCTTTTACCTCTTTAACGAGCTCGAGAATTGGAACGGCACGACTAAGCGGCATTTTCACACATCGCCACTGTCCTGGTTTACCAATTTTAATTGGATATCCAGGATGGTTATATTATAATTTTTAATGACCACGATACGTTCTGGGCAGCCGACATGTATATTTACTCTTGATGATCTCAACCAACGGGACCATCATCGACAATATTCGTTTCTCGGACTTGTCGAGAGCGCGACCACATAATCACAACAATATTACATGGGTCCTCTCAGAAGTCCACTTGGCATTCTACGCCGCATCAGCTGCATCACGACTAATATTCTGAGAGATTTGTGTTCGGGTTTAGAACAGATCTACTCTCGATTCCTGGAATATCATGAATGCGATGTAGTATGCCTTTTCTTAATATCTTAATTCCATCTCTCCGCCATGGAAGATTAGTTTCCTTCTGGCGCGAAACCTGTTACCATAGAAGATCTTCAGATGCGTCGAGGGAAGTCCCTGTACTGTACATAATGAACTAAAGAGTCGGCATATGATTAATAATGACGGGACATGACGCGTCTGGGTTTGCATTTTGACACTGTTCTTGCATTTATCCAAGGTTCCTTGTGCAACAAGAGGAGATAATTGGACCACGTCAAAGTCGATTGCAGAACATCAGGACGGACCTTATGATACATAATGTAATAAAATTCATCATGACAAAACGCTTGTCAGTCATTGAAATGGATCAACTTACAGTGCATATCAGTACAATGATAAATTGTAGACTGAAATAGTCTAATTGCTCTAGTCCCACGGCAAACAATGCAATAGTAGCCTTCTTCCTACCTTCGATATGCTAAGCAGGGACTACCCAAGGTGGGAACAATGATGACGGGAATGGATCGACAGAAATAGAAAGGGCTCTTTGTATACCCTCCCTTTCGAATCTATAATTAATGCCGAGATGTAGTAATATGATCAGTGAGGTCAGCGACTATTGCGAGCTCTCCAACGAAACAAAAACTTGATAGCGATGAGTTTGCTTTTGGTGAACGGTGAAATGACGTTGAAAGAAAATGCTGCTTGCACCAGATGTTTTGGAATATTCCATATTTCTATGGCGGACAATCGTATTTTTATGATTCATCAATTGTACTATGCTATTATTGCTCTTTTGCTTCTGCATACAACCTTCTCTCCCCTCGTAAGCTTCGTTATGACTTGTCGTCTTCGTCTTTTTCGTCTTTTGTCTCGCCGGCAGCCTCGGCTTCGGACTTGTCTTTTCGTCGCTGAGTGACGTCCCAATTGTATACACGAGCAGTGGCGACTTCGAGTGTCTAGAAAAAACGGAGAAAATTAACGCCATGAGCTTATTGTGTCGATGAGAAAATTTCGTGGCTTCCTCTATAGAACTCATCCCATATTGCACGTACCGTTATTTGCTCCCGCAGGAAATCGAGATCCTCCTCGCAATTGGCGAGATTCTGTCGAGCGGCGCTCAGTCGTCCTTGGAGCAATTCTAGGGCTTCATCTATCGGGTATGCAAGCATCACGTTGGCCTTGTTTGAGGCAATTGTAAGCATTGGCTACTATATTGACGGCGCTGGCAGGTCCGGGGCACGGCCCGACGCAGTCGTTCCGCCACCGCATTGGATGCATTAAACGTGAAACTTACTCCTAGCCATAGATAGACCTCGTCTGTCGGAGGTATTGAAGCCTTGGTGTAAAGGGTATCGTTGAGCTCGAAAGTTGTTTCTATAGGGTCGGATCCGGGCTAGAAACAGGACAAAACGAATTGTGATATTAGAGACTTTCTTTCGTACAGGAAGATTACTACATTGAAAAGCTGGAATATTTACCTCTCTTGTCTTGAGGAATTTTACAGTCTCGGCTGTTTTGGCAATGTCTGGGATCTTCTCTTTCAGCCCCAGAGCTCGTTTCTGTGTGCTGATTTCCATGAATTGGTATTTCCTATTTTCCATCCGTGTGAGCCTGTGTGCCTGCAGAGTTTTCGCCAGATCTGTTCACGCTCCAAGGACGAAGGCCACGGCATTGTCTCAATTGCAAGGATGTGGAGGGCCGGTAAACACAGTCATGGTCGACGAGTCTGGACGTACCCTATCATTTCTTGGAAGCTTTTGAGCGTGGATTCGACTTCTGCGCGGGACGAGACATAGTCTTCGACACGGTCGACAAAGGGAGCTACCGGAATGCCTCTGGGGTTTGTCGAGCCAGGAGCTCCGCGGGCTGCTGCGGTGGTACTGTAACAATTGAATGAAATTAGCTATCTGAGCTGTGTGCATCTCAGTTAAGGATTTATTGAAAACATACGTAGAGGATTTCTCCGCCATGTTTGGCGCACGGTGTCCAGAAAGAAGAACAAGAAGTCCTTTTGGGAAAATTTTCTTTTGCAGAGGTTCGATATTCGAGTGATAAATTTTCCCCAAAGAAATCTAATGCAGCTGTCTCGCAGCTGTATTTCTTCACGAGATACTATTGTGCCTGTAGATGGGTTAGTGTAAGAGCCGCATCGGCCGAGGGGTCCTGGGCGGTGAATCGGATAAAATGCAGACATTGACTTTGGGACGGGTCATATTCCGTGGTATGGAACTCAGTATGTGCCCTTCATTTGACGATAAGGAGGCTTTTCGATATGAATATATATTGTAACATTTACTTCACGATAGAGAGATCGTTTATATCTCTTTGATACACACATTCAAGCACAATTAAGCAGGGTCCATCAGGGAAATGAGCAAAGACTTCAATCCTATCGCCTATCTATTACCATAGATACACAGATTCAAGTTTGATGTTTTATATCATCGTCACACGCAGCTATGAAACACAATCAAAGCGACTTCCCAAGAAGTAATGTCTCGAAGACAGGAAGCGCAGAGTAAAAGGAGAAATAACTTCTTTTATTGGTAACCTAAAACTCCGTCTCACGTGAGAAACCCCAGATCACCACACGTATAATTACATGTACACCAAGAGTGAAATACAAGGAAAGTAACCGACAGACATATGTAAGCAGATATGTCAAAGGTGAATAGAAAGACACCAGGAACAAAAACGGCGGGAAATTTCAGAGGAGCGAGAAGAGTAAATGGAGCACTTTACTCTACGCCCTTGCTCTTTCTCTTCTTCTTCTTTTCCTTCTTATCTTCGACTTCGCCGTCAGCCTCGCTGTGTCGGCGCTTCTTCTTATCTTTCTTATCCTTCTTCTCCTCCTTCTCTTCCTTGTCCTTCTTCTTCTTCTCTTGCTTCTGGACCGCCCGAGGCGTCGCGTCAGCCATCTCCTCATCCTCGTCAGCGTTAGCAGTGGGGTCGTCCACATTGATATCGGCAAGAACCGCATCCATAGCGGTTTTCTGCGAAGATAGTTAGAAACGAATACAATACTCAGTAATTCTGGTAAAGTAGAGTAAGACTTACCATGGCAACTTCGTTCTTTGTAGGCGCCTGACCAGTAGCGTAGAACTGCAGGCGCTCCTCAACCTGTTGCTTGAGAGCCTCACCAAACTTGGTAGTCGGAGCTTCGGAGAAGTTATCAATTCTTGAGGCAATTGAGCACTTGTTGGCGAGGAATCGGGAGATCCGGCCCTTGTTCTTCTGGCCAGCCTTGCCGATGAAAGAAGAGTGATAAATGAGACCATACTTGGGGGTGTTTCCCTTGGTCTTGAGGGCTCTGAAAAGAGCCTTCTCGGCACCGAGAATCTGAACGGTGGAGGCAGGGTATTTGGAAAGGTTGGTCAAGCTTCCAGCGTGGGAAATGAGACGAGCACCAACGACCTCACCGATCAGAGCAGCAAGGTTGGGAGCAACAATGCCCATCTTGGCGACCAGATAGTTGAACAACGACTTGCGGAACCCGGTAAGACTGACCACGCGGCTGGCAAAAGCCATGACATTCTCCATGTCAGTCTCGGAAATATCCTGACCCATGCTAACTTTGGCAGCATCGATAATGCTCTGCGCGATCTCAGCGTCGTCATTGACGATAGCGGCAATGTCATGCAGCTTCTCATCGTTAAGTGTCTTCTTGTCACCAACGAAAAGTGCGAGGCGTGCGTAGGTGTGGTTGTCGGAGACGATCTTAATCAGCTCAGGGAAGTGCCACGAGTACCATTCCCGCACACGCATGGAGAAAGTGTTAATGGCTTTGTCGAGATGATCGAGCGTAGCGATGGCTTGGATGATGTGGTTGTCGTTCTTCTGAACGCTAAACTTGACCTTGGCACGAGAATAGGCGTGGCCAAGACCGAGCTGGGCGCGCTCAACATCGCCCTCCTGCAATTGCTTCAATAGCTTCGGCGCATGGAATCTAATACCACGGAGAAGGTCCTGGACCACCTCGCTAGTGTCACCAGTCTCGCACTCAACCGAGGGGAATGCAGACTTGATGCTACCAGCAAGATTCTTGTCCGTAACACCAAGTACGATCTTCTTCTTCTTGCCTGCCTTGGGAAGGTTGACTTCCAGCAGCGATCTCAGATATTCAGAGGCAATACCCTCAGAAACATCGTTGGCATTTTCAAGAGCCTGCGCTGCGCCCCTGCGATGGGTATTAGAAATGGTAACAAACTAAATCATTGCCATAGGCTTACTGGAAAGGAGCGAAACTCAAAAGCTTGACCATCTTTCCAAAGGTCGCCAAATCCTCAGTACCGGCCTGGACTTCCTTCAGGCGGTTTCCAATAGTCTCAGGTCGGTCGACGACCTGGAAAACGGAGTAGCCCACCGCACTTTCGTGCAGTAGGTAGTCGACGGCAGCCATCTTGAACGAGTGGGTTGAAATTCGAGCCGCGAGACAGAGTTTAACAACAGAGTAGAAAAATACAACAGCCTAGCTGTTTTCAATATAAGCGCTCGATGCGCCTTGGGAATAGCCCGATTACTCTGGCGGTGTAAGAGACGGAGGAAAATCCGTAGACTTGTCGACCTGAGCTGGCAGGATGAATCTCTCGTTTCTCTTCGTCGGGAAATCAAAATGTCGAAAATCTCCGTCGAAGTTCGTAGTGCGCACGTAGCGAAATCGATTCTGATTGGTCAACGCGCAACACGCGAAGGCGGATGTGAATAAATCCCCATCAAGTCACTTAACGGGGCAATAGCAAGGTGTTTTGTCGACTGCGGAACATCTCACGGCATTGCTGATTCATTAATCTCTTCGGGGGAAATCGTCAACTTGCAATCTAAGATTTCAGCTCCGGTTCTTGTTGCTCGCCATGTCAGCCGCTCAGTTGCTGAATCCAAAGGCGGAATCCAGGGTATGCTGTGAAAGCTCCCGCCTCAGCTTCCACTTTGGTCAATGCTAACAAATGTGTCCCAGAGACGGGGTGAGGCGCTGAGAGTCAATATCAGTGCTGGTGAAGGTGTAAGGATATCCTGATGAATTTTAACTTTCAACCTCGATCAGGTAGCAGCTGCTGAACAACATTACAGCTCCAGGATGTCCTTAAGACAAACCTCGGCCCTTCGGGTACCTTGAAGATGTAAGCGCAATGAAACGAAAAATTTTGGATTACAATGTGCTAATTGGACCAGGCTTGTCGATGGCGCTGGCGCGGTATGTAAATTGCTTTGATCGTTATGAAAGCGTCCTCGTCCAAGTAAACGGCTACTTATACAACGAATTAGATCAAACTCACGAAAGATGGCAGTGTCCTATTGAAAGAAATGGTAATGTTCTTCTCCCACATAATCTGAGGTTTCCGGCTAAATATCAACAGCAAATCCAAAACCCAACTGCTGTACGTCCGTTCAGTCTGATAACAAAGGAGACAACCTCTAATATTGATAAAAGGTTATGATTGCTCGCGCTGCCACAGCACAAGATGACATCACAGGAGACGGCACAACATCTGTGGTCCTTATGGTTGGAGAGTTGTTAAAGCAAGCGGATCGATATATCTCGGAGGGTCTGCACCCACGAATCATCACGGATGGCTACGAGATTGCCAAGGCAGAAGCTTTGAAAGTAACAGACCCTTGCCATCAATAGTGGCTAAGACTTTTCTGACCCTACATTCTCTAGTTCCTTGAAACCTATAAACTGAAAAAGGAAGTGGATCGGGAGCTTCTTCTCTGTGTGGCTCGAACTTCTCTTTCCACCAAACTCAACAGCACGCTCGCTGACCAGCTCACACCTTCAATCGTCGATGCCGTTCTCGCCATCTATAACCCTCCGGCGAAGCCTGATCTTCATATGATTGAAATCATGAAGATGCAACACCGTACCGCATCCGAGACCCAACTGATTCGAGGTCTGGCGCTTGACCACGGTGCCCGACACCCTGATATGCCCAAACGGGTGGAAAATGCATACATTTTGACTTTGAACGTCAGCTTGGAATATGAGAAGTCAGAGATTAACTCTGGCTTCTTCTACTCGAGCGCTGAGCAAAGGGACAAATTGGTCGAGAGTGAGCGAAAATTTGTCGACGAAAAGCTGCGGAAGATTGTCGAACTCAAGAAAGAGGTCTGTGGAAATGACCCAAAGAAGAACTTTGTTATCATCAATCAGAAGGGTATCGACCCACTTAGCTTGGACGTTTTGGTTAAGAATGGCATTCTTGCCCTGCGGCGCGCGAAGAGACGAAACATGGAGAGACTGCAATTGATCTGCGGCGGTATCGCCCAAAACAGCGTCGACGATCTGACACCAGACGTTCTGGGTTGGGCTGGACTGGTATACGAGCATCAGCTGGGAGAGGAGAAATATACCTTTGTTGTAAGTATCTCCGTCTTCGGTCTCTCCTTTCAAAAAGGGTACTAATATATGCATTAGGAGGACGTCAAGGAACCCAAGTCGGTGACGTTGTTGATCAAAGGCCCCAATGCGCATACTATAACCCAGATCACGGATGCTGTGCGAGACGGTTTACGCAGTGTCTACAACATGATTGTGGATGGAAGTGTCGTTCCTGGTGCTGGTGCCTTCCAAGTAGCTTGTGCGGCACATCTGTCGAGCGAGGCATTCCGAAAGACGGTCAAAGGAAAGGCGAAATGGGGCGTTCAAGCTTTCGCCGATGCGTTGCTGGTGATCCCCAAGACTCTGGCTTCCAATTCAGGACACGATATTCAGGATTCGCGTAAGTTTCCGTAGTAGTGCTCCCTTTGAAACTTGGCGCTGAATGCATCCCTTCTAGTGGCGGCGCTCCAGGACGAACATGCCGACGGCAATATTGTCGGGCTTAACCTAACAACCGGTGAGCCTATGGATCCGACTCAAGAGGGCGTGTACGACTCCTTCCGAGTGCTGCGGAATTGCATTGCTTCCAGCACTGGTATCGCTTCCAACCTCCTTCTCTGCGACGAATTGCTCAAGGCCCGACAGATGGTAAGGAATTCAAAGGCTCCGCAATGACATTAGGTGAACTAACCATCTACGCTCAATAGGGAAGACAAGGTGAACCAGGCGAGTAATCGATAACATGATGACGATTCAGCAAATGCTTTTCCTCATTGCGACTTCGATTCCTACGATGCATGCTCTGTAGAATTTTTATGATTATCTTCCTGTATGATAGACCTTTCCCAAAGCGTCTGAAAAACCGCATGGTGGCGAGCATGGAATCATAAGAAAGTTTCAATTTGTACAGTCCTTTTCCTATCACTTTTGTAGTCATGATAGTTTTCTTCTTCCAGAGGGGGGTTATTTCAGGTGAATTCACGGATATGAGATGCCGAGAGAAAAGTCTGAGAATCTAGGAGAAGATGAAGGGCAGGCGGGAAAAGGGATGTGACGATTCAACCCCCTTAAGTTCATGGTGGAGAGAGTATCAGCTCAATAGATAGTAGGTGCGCATATAGCAAAAAACTTCGGTACACCTAGTATCGTCCACTGCGGTAGCTTACCCTTCTGTGTAAACGTTTGGGAAGGTCAGTCTCATGAGAGAGACGAGGTAAGGGTCTCAGGTACAGGGTTCTCCGTTTCGCCTCCTATCAAGGTGGGCCTATTTGTACCTCTACCTCAGCATAGCCCAGCCATTCAACACCCCCTGCCTCGCTCCCTGCGGCAAACCCCTTACTGGTTACCCCGTCCTCGCTATCCGCCACTCCACTGGGGTCCATCAGGACTATCTACCGGAGTACACCATCAAACAGAGCTAAGGTCTCCTCAACTCTGGAGTTATAGCTTCCATTTACACCTCAGTCAGACATATTCAATCCTTTCCAAAATTCTATATCCTACAATAAAGAGATCTTTTTGTGTCATACTGCGATCTATGGTCTCGATCCTCTGTCGCGATCAAATGTTGTCCTGTCACGGTTCTTGAATAAACGCATCAGTGCTCCTTGAGGGCTGTAGCCTTTGCTCAAACGCGAATAATCACAGATCCTATCTGCCGGGTCTGACTGTTCACGATGCTACGCGTTCGACGATATCGTATTTTCCTGGTTTTTGCTGTTATCGCCATTATTGCAGTATATCACTTTGGCCATGTCCGGGAATGGACCCAGGCCCATCCCTTCAGCGTGGAATCGCTGATGAACTTTGGCACGAAGGAGATGGCAAAACCGCCCACGCCCGACTCTGCTAAATCCAAACAATCTCCAACCAAGATCGTCCGTCCTCCTGTTGCATCTGCCACCAAGCCTGGGAAAGGGCTTGTTCCAACTTTTCAACCGAAACCGCCGAAACCTGTTGCGCCTGAGAAGGAGCGTCCAGTGGAGAGAACTTCAACGAAAGGTCCGCCAAAGCCAGCCCAAACAAATGCTAGTAAATCTGGAAAGCTTGATAAGCCTCTTGCTATCGACCCCGACGTTCTTGCCCAAAATGTGCCACCAGTACCAGACAGTGACCTTTATGTGGAGAATGGTCAAGGCAGGCTTGATGAGCCTCCACCGCCTCCTAACGACCGTCTCCGCCAAATTCACTGGAAGAAGCAGAGCGAGCATTTTCCGGTCCCTCCTGAGTCCATCATCCCGCTTCCGTCAGGAAAGGCGAAAGCGATACCAACCATTCAATTCACCTTTCCCAAAGAGTCCGCCAATCAAAAGACGGAAAGAGAGAAGAAACTGTTATCAATTAAGCAGGCATTTGAGCATGCATGGACTGGCTACAAGGACAAGGCATGGCTTCATGACGAGTTGACGCCCGTTTTAGGAGAATTCAAAGACCCATTCTGTGGCTGGGGTGGTATGCTACCCTATTGCCTGATTTCATACCACTGCTGACCGTTTTAGCAACTTTGGTTGATGCGCTCGATACTCTGTGGATCATGGGTCTTCACGACGACTTCAAAGAAGCGGTTGAAGCGCTTAAGGAGATTGACTTTACGACCACATTTAGGAGTGATATACCCCTCTTTGAAACGACTATTCGATACCTGGGGGGCTTGCTAGCTGCTTATGACCTCTCAGAAGGCAAATACAAAATCTTGTTGGATAAGGCGATCGAGCTGGCAGAGATCTTGATGGGAGCTTTTGACACTCCTAATAGGATGCCTGTCACCTTCTATCGCTGGAAACCGTAGGCATATCCTGCCTCTGCTGGATCGGACTATAACTGACTGAACTTCAGGACATTTGCCTCGCAACCCCACCGTGCCGGGACCAGAGTCGTGCTTGCTGAGCTCGGATCTCTCTCGGTCGAGTTCACCAGATTGGCTCAATTGACAAAGAATTCGAAATATTATGACGCCATTGCACGCATCACAAATGCTTTCGAAGAGTGGCAGGACAATACGAAACTGCCGGGCATGTGGCCGGTTTACGTGGACGCGTCCGGTTGCAAGAAGCCAGACCTCGACGGTGGAACTCCACTGGAACACAGCTTCCTTAACGGTCCTGCGATCCCTCCACCTTTACCTCCTGTAGTGGACGAAGATGGTCCAATTTCACCTGATTCCGTGCAAAGGCCGGGAAACCCTAAGGCTGCTCCTCAAAAGCAAGGAGTCCCGACGACATCGGAGAAAGAACCTAACTTGTCTAAGGAAAAGACCCCCGCGCTGCATACCGATGTTAAAAAGCCTAGCTCTGGTTCAAAAGAACCTCTTGCTGGAACTACGAATGTTAAGGAAGCTAAGGCAGAAGCTCGCGACATCTCAGATAGCGGTTCCAATGATGCACGAGAGCATCTTCATGCCGTCATGCGCAGAACTCCCCCCAATTTTGTTCCACCTAAGGCCTCCAATAAAGAAGAAGAAGAAGAACTTGAACCTCCATCAGATTCCGCGTCATCACAAAAGTGGAAACCAGATGAACTTCCCGAATGTCCGAAGCAGGGCTTGGCATCACCTCCTGGCCGAGGCAAAGAAAGCTTTACGCTAGGAGGCATGTCTGATTCACTATATGAATATTTCCCCAAAGTAAGTCTGCGCTCTTCTACGTGAAAAAAACTGAAGCTAATGTGATACATAGGAGTACATGTTGCTCGGCGGTTTGAACGACCAATACCGGAAAATGTACGAAAAATCTATCGATGTGGTGAAAAAATATCTCCTTTTTCGCCCTATGACGAAAGATGAGCGTGACATCCTCTTGTCCGGGACTTTACTCACTTCCGGTGATCTCAGTGACAAAGATGATATCATTCTGAAGCCTGAAGGAACCCATCTTACATGTTTTGTTGGGGGAATGTTCGCTATTGGAGCCAAGATCTTTGAACGCCCAGAAGACTTCGAAATCGCTAAAAAGCTCACCGATGGTTGTGTCTGGGCCTACGAATCTACTGCTACTGGAATTATGCCGGAAACCTTCCATGCTCTTCCATGTGAAAGCAGGACGGATTGTCCGTGGAATGAAACAAAATACTTTGAGGCGCTGGACCCTTACAGGGCTGCTAGGGAAAACACCCAGATCCCTACGGCTACAAAGCCAAAAGCGAACAAGGTGGCGAATATGGGTGCTTCTACGAAATCGAAGAAATTTGCGCCAACGGCTAAGGTCGAATCCGAAAAGAGCACCTTGGGCAAGGCCAAGAGACAGATGGGTGATATTGAAGCCGACAAGACATATGTGGAGGAAAAGAAGAAGAGTCAAACCAAGGGAGCTTATACACCTTTGCAATCTATTTCTCATGAGGAGTTTGTAAAGGCGAAGATTGCAGAAGAGCGTCTACCGTCTGGTTTCACCGAAATCAAAAATGCCAAATATATTCTCAGGCAAGCACAAGTGCCCGCACTGGTTGCGGATCATCAGCTGACTCAATCCATAGGCCCGAGGCGATCGAGTCGGTATTCATCATGTTCAGAATAACGGGAGATGACTACTGGCGAGAGAAAGGCTGGAAGATGTTTGAGGCGATACAGACTTATACGTATACCGAATTCGGAAATACTGCCATTAGAGATGTCACCAGCAAGGCGCCTTATGCTCTAAATGGAATGGAGTCTTTCTGGCTGGCCGAAACACTGAAGTACTTCTACTTGCTCTTTAGTGACCCTTCTCTGGTCAACTTAGATCAATATGTCCTGTAGGTGGTTGATCAATCCTGATCTAGCTGCTTTGATGCTGACATCTATGCAGAAATACTGAGGCTCATCCTCTCCTGCGCCCCGCTGCAGGCTCTAAAGGGAGATTCAACCCGCTAGGATGAAGGGTGGCCGAGTTCATGCGTTTGTTTTCAGTTGCGATTTTTCTTTTCCTTTCTTCTTATTTCTATTTTTAATTCTTCCCCTCTTCGCACTTTGGACGGCGGAAATGGGTTCATTAAGAGATGGTGTATAAGATTGCGGTAAATTTGTTGGAGTTCTGGCGGTATCAACAAGCTACATGCGTTACGTCTGATTCATATAGTCGCTGAAGCTAAATACAACGTTTTTGTTCTCGTGAGAAAAGCCGTGATCTACTAGACGCTATAAATCATCCAGCCTAAGTCGTGTACTGATTATTGTTTTGAGAATTGCCATTCTCGACAGTTTTGGGGGGTTATCGACACGCTTAAGACACGGTAAATAATAACTTCGACATCTAAAAATGGGCTCGATAGAAAGGAATGACTCAGTGGATTTTTTTATTTTTTTTAAAAAAAAAAAACTAATTTACGTCCCTTGAACAGGCCATCAAATTTCCTTTGTAGCTGTCTGAAAGCCTCCCCCTATTACGTATGTTTGCATGCTACCGAAAACAGATTCGAGCCCCCTCGCGTGTGCCCAAGACCATCGTCATGGGGCCCGTTCACGCACCCTGGTCTCCGGGGGTATCTCTCACGGCGACACGAGCGTCTGGCAGGTCACAGATCTATTGATTTCTTCCTCGCTCCCAAGCATGACTCGATGATAACGATCTAATGTATTCTGCATTTGCATTTCCACCATGGAGTTTGAGGTGTCCTATTCACTAGACAATGAACAGCAATTCTGGGATGGTAAGTAGACAAGCCCCCATGCTTAGCTAGGTATTATGCTTTTACATAACGGTGCGAGTCGATGTTGACAGCTCGGTTTTCCTCTTGCAGAACTTGATGAAATCGTTTCAGCACATTGTCAATCGCATGCGCTTATCGATAATGCTCTCCGGTCATACCTGAGCTTCACAACAAACTACAAAGGTGTGGTTAGATGGACAAGTTCTCCGAAACGCTGTTCTGGCAGGATTGAAGCTCACAGTGGTCACAGATGAATACTTACAATCAGAATACGACATTGCGCGCTGCTCCTACAAGCTCCTTAGATCAAACCTCTTCCAGACGCACAAAGAATATGTCAGGAGGCAGATTGTCTACGGGCTTCTCCAGGTACGACATATTCAAGCTTCACGAAATAAGACCCATCTTTCCAAGGCTGACATGTTCTTTGACGGCGAACAGGAAGACGATGCCAATATGCTCCACGTAATAACCTCATTCCTTTTGTTCGACGGCCAGCAAGATGAGAAGACATTTGAGATGATGAGTCAAGAGGGCGCCTTTCCTCGACTGCTTGAGCTCGCCAAAAATGCCAACCTTAATGAGGATACTGGGCTTCATAGAATGCTCTTGGAGCTTCTCTATGAAATGTCACGAATACAGCGTCTAAGACCAGACGAATTAAGTGCGTTCTCCCAACCCGGAATAATAAAATCCATGATTTGCAATGTTCGAATACCTGACCGGCGATGCTATAGTGCTTGTTGATGATCACTTTATTTCATACCTATTTCAAATCATTGAGGAGTTAGCGAATGATGTTAATGACCCGTATCATGGTCCAGTGATTAAAGTACTGGTATGACCGAAAATGATGCAATCTCAACTCTCCAAAGCTTACATTTCAATAGCTGGTCCTAAACGAACAATACATGCTTTCAGCGCATGATCCACAGGCCTCGGATATCCACGGGGTCTTACTGACCAACCGAGTCATTAAGGTGTTGTCACTCCGTGGTGGGTGCTTCAAGACGTTTGGAGAGAACCTAATTCTCCTTTTGAATCGCGAAAGTATGTCACACTCCGTGTCTTTCGCGCTGTTCAATGGAATCTAATGCTTTGCTAGGCGAGACTTCTCTTCAATTGCTTATCCTCAAGCTCCTTTATCTCTTATTCACGACCCGCACAACCTATGAGTATTTTTACACCAACGATCTCTACGTACTTGTCGACGTGATCATTCGTAACATTCTGGATCTTCCCGAGGAATCCTCAGCACTACGTCATACCTATCTCCGCGTCTTGCATCCACTTCTGGCTCACACGCAGCTTCGGGATCCGCCGCACTACAAACGCCAGGAAATTCTCAGGCTCCTTTCAATCCTGACGACCCGGCGGAGCGCCCACTTTGCCCCAATTGACGACACCACTGCGCGTCTTGTAGGGCGAGTCGCCAGTGTTTCATGGCTGGCCAATGAAACGCGTGATTCGGGCGAAGTAGCAAGGAGGCTTCTCCGCATTCACGAAGGTCCGGCGGGAGAAAGCTCTTTGTCAGTCGCCGAAGTCGCATCTCAACAGGAGAAGCCGGGTGTGCTTACGCCCAGCCGGGACCCCACGGCGAAAGGCCGAGCCGCTTCAAAAGAAGAAGAAATAATCATCGCATCAGAGCATGGTATTGTTCACAGTACCGAAGCTGTATCAGCGGGGAAGAGCCCCTTTGAAGTAGAAGGCGAAATATCCGCATAGGATTAGATTTAATGCCCCTGTCGGCCGTTTAAAGGTGTGTTGGCCAATGCCAGCATTATATTTGTTACTTGATACCGTTCGAATACCCCGCCATTTGTTTGTATTTCTTTTTCTTCGCGTCTTTTGCGTTGGCGGTCTTACATTACCTTTCGCAAGCTCACCTGAGACTGTCTCTCTGGAGATCAACGAAGAATCTTTGACTGCGCTGAAACTTTTTCCCCGGCAGTTGGGCCTACCGAGTAAATGACATTGTCCCCTTGCATGCCATATGTTCAGGCTGTTCTAGCTCGGATTGGTTATACGAAACTACGTACATAGATAAATGAAATTTTCATATCATGCTACTAGCAAGTCGTAGAGTAGTAATCTCCATCTAAAACAGTGTCCTGGCTCATTCATGTGCTTGTTAAGAGTCAAGATTGGGTGATTTCTTAGGCCAATCTAACCTGTGCACCTGGCGAGAATGATATATTGTTCTTGAGCATTGAACAGTGACGATGCATAAAAAGACTTGCCAAAGTAATATTGGATATTATCTAGCAGTAAAAAGAGATGAATCGGAGCCTCTTCCAGGTAAAGAAAGGGCAGGTCGACCAGGGATAACCGAAAATTGAAAGGTTCTATGTATACAGTGTAAATGCTGGGTAGTGCTAATGCTGCATGATGTGCAAAATATCATTTCCCACTCAGCCCATTTTGGGTTACTGAAATTGCTCCTCAAACTCCTCCTGACCCTGGAAGAGTCAAACATCAAAATCAATCAAGGATATGGACTGACGACCAACATGAGTAAAAGCCACAGGATTGAAAGGGGGAAAGTGGGACCAAAAACGGAACAAAACGCGCAAGGAAATAGAGACCGGCTTCTCTTGGTTCAAAATCCAGGAAATTTGAATCCACCGCCGGGGCCCTGTTGGAACTTGAACTGCCCGCCACCGGGGAATCCACCGGGGAAGCCTCCTGGTCCACCGCGGAAGAAGAATTGCTGACCACCTTGACCCTGGCCGAAAGGCGAGCCTTGGAAGGGACCGCCAGGACCTTCCTGACTATTAGGGTCGTCGCCATTGTCGAAACGTGCGCGAAGCTCCGGATCGATCAAGACTTCGTATGCCTCATTGATGGTAGCCATTTTCTTCTCAGCATCCTCTTTACTAATCCCATTCTGGTGAGCCTTGTCAGGGTGAAACTGCTTGGTGAGCTGGCGGTAGGCGCGCTTGATGGTGCGGTCGTCAGCGTCGCGCGACACGCCGAGAGTCTTGTAGTAGTCCTTTTGCTTGGAGCGTCTCAAGAGGACCTGGGCCTTTTGAAGCAAGTTATTGATCTGGGATGCTGATGGGTGGTGTTCTTTGGCGTGATTGAGTGTGTTGATAGCGGCTTCGAATTCGTCGGCATCGAGCTGTTTGGTGGCTTTTGATAGCAAGCCGGCTAGGGAGTTGGGGTTGTAACTGAGCACTTCCGTGCAGTATGGAGAGCCTTTCTTCGCATTGCCCATCTATGATTGATAATAGTGTTAGCAAAACCAAGGCATAGGAGCATATTAAGGGGACCGTTTGTGGAGAGCGCACCTCAGTATAAGCCTCACAAGTCATTTCTAGCGCTCTACTCAAGAGTTCACTTGAGGCCTTGGGGTGAATTGTCCCCTCGTCGACGAGTGCCTTGACTGTGTCCCGTATTTCCTGAATAAGCCCTCTGTCATCGCCACTTGGGACAAGTAACTTCGCAGCAGCAGCAAATTGACGCTTCTCCATGAGTTGTGTCAGCTTGCCCAATGTTTTGCTCAGTGTCTTCTCCTGGCGAAACAATCGGCTACAGGGTTTCGAGTCCGGGTCTGAGTGCAGACATTTGCGGATTTGGGCCATGCCCCTCTCAGTGTCGCCTAAGGAGTAGAACATCATTGCAGACATCTGTAGATGGGGGGTGATCGAGCCCGGGGCAATCTGGAGCACATGTCCGAGGTCGCTGATGCCTTCGTATACTTCGCCTTTTTCGAATCGGCATCTGGCTCTGAGCTGGCGGAGGCTTAAGGACGTGCCTGCCACCATAATGGCTACACCGGCGTTTGAGACACATTGCTCCCAGTCGCCTCTGTTGGCTGCGTCTGTTGCAAGGATTGATGCACCTTGCGCTTCCTCAAGTTCCCCAATCTCCGGGCCCTTTTGTCTTCCAGCAGCCTCGTAGTCCCGGCGTGCAGCATCCCAATCCGCAGATTTAGCCTTTAGTTTAGCTCGCTGCATCAAGGCTCCTTCGAAATCTGGCTTGATTGCCAGAACCGCGTCAAAATCATAGCTTGCTTGTGCCTGCTTTCCAAGAGATAGATATGTCGCTCCTCGTTTGAAGATTGTCAGGTAATTTTTTGGATCCCGAGATATTGCGGCATCAAAGTATGTGAGCGCATCGTTGAAGTTTCCTCCAGCGAGTTGAGCATTTGCAGAGGAAATTAGTGATTCCGTGGGCGTGTCTGAAGGTATGTCAGAAGGTGAAAGGGTGAACACGGGATGAGCAGAGAGCAGCGCAGCGGTCAAGAGAATGGGAAGCCGCAAAATCATCTTGCTGCTTTGGAAGAACGCAAGGAGCGCTACAGAGGCTCTTCGCCGAGAACGAGAAGAGAAGATATGGTTATTGAGGGAATCGAAGCAGCCGTCTGTAAGTTGAAGCAAGTTGGATTCCCAATGACCGAGGGAATCAATTAGGTATGGCGGCGGGCACAGTATCTAATCGGACATGTGGCCTATCCAATCCATTGGTCGACACGACTACTCCGTAGTTAACTTACCTCTCGCGTCGGGAAGGAGAACAACAAACTGTTCCTCGTCAGTCCTTGGTTCTTCTTTCATTCTTTTCTGGTATCAAATAAATAATTGCGTTTCTTGCAGCCTTTGTCTGTATATTTTTCGATTATTCTGTGAGCGATTTCTTCTCTTTCATTCTTTTCCTAGGGGTTTTTATTTTTTTTTTTTTTTTGGTCGAAAGAAATTTGGCAAAGCTATATAGCGCACTGCTTTTGATTGCTTGTTTACATAAATTTTTGATTTATCCCCGAGCCAGCATCTCGTACGGCGAATCCGTTGCTGAAGACGAAATTTCTATATACAATTACCATCAAGGGCAAAGGTGGCGTGACAGGTGTCAACAAAGGCAGATTTGACAAGGATTGTCATTTTAGACGCCCATCAGCAAGAGCGGATAGCCATGACGTCCCAATTTTCGCCGGGTGCAATCTTCTCGCCGTCCCAAGCGCGTCAGCAATTGGCTCAGGCACGGGACTGGAGCTATATTGACGACTGGCTTGCCAAAATGTATGGTGCTCAGTCAATACCGACATTCGAGCGAAACACAGATACACTTAAAGCGCTTCTGGCGCTGGCTGCTGTTAATGAGTCGGCTGAGGAGGAGAAGGAGCTGGTTCGCAGATTGGAATGCACAGTGCTTGGAGAAGTCGATGAAACTGTATGTTCAAAGATACTTGGACGAGGAAGTTCAGGCGCCCAATACTGACAAATTGCTTTCCAAGGCTGAACCAGGTCAAGATATAGAGCTCCTTCTATCCCTGCATGAGAATTTAAGTAGGGATGGTTCCGACAGTCTCGATGCAATGGCTTCCGCTGGGCTGAAATTAGGCTCATTGGATCCAACTCCTGAAAGGTAGATGCAACTCAAGACTTTCACTCTGCTCTCTTGCATTGTCAACTTGAATATATTATTACTTGTGTTGCTGACACGGAGATTGAAAAGTCTTGCCGGAGATATATTCGAATTAAACCGGTTGGAATTTGACATGGAACAGCATGCTCTGCGGATGCATTCAATACATACGCGTCTTGAACTGGAACTATCACGCCTCGAGAGAGAAATTGCCAAGTTTCAAAATGATTCAGTACTGGCGTCCTCATCGCTGCCACAACGCACCGCTGAATGGACACGCGCAACGAAACAATTCGTAGCCAAATCACTTGATTATAAGAACAGAATCAACAGCCTTTCAAGAAGGGAACCACCCCGACCCGGCATTGCGCAAATCCAAGCTCTTGAAAGGGATTCCCTTGCCATGCAGACAGAGGTGCAAGGATTGGAACTACGGGTAGCTAATTTTCATGGACTGCCCCCTCAACAGGGATTGGCCAAGAAAGAGGCGGAACGAGCGCGGAGAGAGCTGCAGGATCTCACGAGGAGAAGAGACCGTCTTTTCGAAGGATTAATTGAAGAAGATTCATAAGGGTATCTTTCTCTAGGAAAAGAAATGAATCCCGCTGAAATGAACCTCTCCTTTTCGTGAGCAAGTCCTCCATCTCTCAGGTTTCTCCTTCCTACCCAGACGGCTTTGCCCAGATCAACAAGAGTCCACACCCGCGTGGTTGATATAGAGCGGCAGAGGCGCATTATGCGCTCAGCTTCTCAGCAAAGACTTCAAGTCATGGTAGCAAAACAATTTACGGCAAAGCAAGTCTACGCGGAATGATTCAATAATGTACATACCAACGTTTAACTTACTCCGGTACAAGACTGGGAAGGCGAAGAGGATTCTTGTCAAAGATGTTGATGATTACTTTACCAATTGGCCCAATAGGGGTAGGGAACGACGCCTCATACTGTGGCTTGGCTTGCTAAACGAGCGAAGGGACATGTCGAGAGCGAAGCATTGCGTTGCATAACGTGCGGCAAGTACGGCGTTTGAGTACAATGCTAGTAATGGCATTATTCATAGGATGGGGGCCGAGAGGAAATCAAGTATGTTAGTCCAATGTCAGAACAAAACATAAAATCTAGGCATTATCTCAAAAATATTGTCATTATCATTATTAATTTTGTTTGGCACGCTGGCTCGGACCGGAGGGTTTTCGGGGCCATGTGTCAAAGATATTCTTCCGCCCTGCATGATGCCTTTACTCTATTTCATGACTTGTCCCTTGGCTCTTGGCGATAATTCGCGCCGAAGCGCGAATCATAGCACAGAATAGTTCAAGCACTATGCAAGAGTAGGGGGACTAGGACGCTCTCTAGTACATCATTTAGGTAAGATAGGATCGTGCCCTTTAACTATGCAAATCAAATCTCTGTCCATGTCCCTTCTCCTTGCGAGATCTTTCCTAGATGGGATTGGGTTGATCTTGTCCAGCTCCTCCTCGCTCCTACCTGATGTTACGGTACCCTTTCGTACCCCCAACGGCACCAGTGGGGGTTGCTGATCGCGGGTCGTGCTTTCCTCATTGGCGCAACACCATCTGCGCCAAAGGTCCCTTAATGACGTCAAAACTTTGCTACACTCGAAACATCGTTTGCATCGGTAGAACCAATCCATGTACGAGTACACTTTGTACAAAGCGTACTGTGATAGGAATGATATTGATTGATCTGCTCAGGGAACAATAACTCGACGATCTGCTTGTAGGATTTGACCAATTGACTCTGGTAATATATATCTGATGAAGCACCAGCATTCGTTCAGTCCACAGCTGAGAAAGCTCAGTTCTGTCAGGGCAAGAGAAAGCTTTCGTGCGATTGTAAAAATCTTAGCGCTGCTGGCGTCTCGATGATCATTCAAACAGGAGCTGGATACTAGGCTTTCCCTTTTTGAAGAGATTTTCCTGCCCCGGCGAATTTCTATTACGATGAAAAATTACAGAGTATTGAAGCGCTTAATGATATTTTACCTCCGTGCGCTGCAGATTAGCAGACCCCTAGGTAGATTGCTAGACGAGCTCAGCCTTGTCCATGATCATTCTCCATCATCTTTTTAGTCACAAAAGGGGCGAGAGTGAAGGGAAACACATTAATTGGAGGATCGGAACCCACCGAATCGACCCGCAGCAAAAAAAAAAAAAAGGACTGACAGTGGGTTTTGTCTTGTCGTGGCCGATGGTTGTGCTTTGAACCCAACACCTCGTACCCCCTCGCCCCCTCACACTCCCCGTCGATTCTTAATTGACCCTATCCGTTCCCGTGCTATCTGGGCGGCGATACCGAAGCTCCATCGCCCCATCGGAGAGCTGCCACATGCTTTTTGGCGAGAACGGTTCTCCTCCAGTCTAAGCCGATTGTATCATTATTCCCCGCAGACTTGAGTCCCTTTTTCTACCTCCCGTACCTACCTAAGGTATCTATCTACCTGCCTTTACCTTTGGCACGACTGCTGCTGGACTTATGACTTACCTGGTAGCTACCTAAGGTACGAGAGTATAGGTAGGAAGCCCTTCTTCGCACGCAACCCCCGACTCCCACCGACAAAGTAATTTAATACTCGTCTCGTCTACCCAGCAGGAAATTCAACAGACGTCATCGTCACACATCTGCACCCACAACCACCTCCTTTACTCAGACCGGGGGAGGTGTACACTTGAACGTGATCATATTTCAACCATCTCTATCCTCTCCACTCTCCTTCTGTCTGTCTCGCTTCCTTTCCTTCATTCTCAACACCCCCCCACCCCCGGGCATCCCACTGTATCAAACATTCCTCTCAAAACGATCGAAACACACGCCTTAGACTGAAAAGGGGGGTTGACCTTGGGATTTCTCCCTCGCGTCGCATTTCTACATTTGCCCGCCATGTCGGTCGCACAAGATGCCTCGCAGCAAAATTCCTACCTCGACCCTGCTGATGCCTATCGGGCTGATGCGGGAAATCTCATTGATCTTCCGGGGAATCCTAGACAGTCCTCACCGCTCGCCATGTCTGGACAGCAACATCTGAATTCCCGTTTTGACGAGCAGTTTGGTGGTAGCCAGGTTGGCTCCACCGTGCCCGACGGTGAAGCCCCGCAGATGCATCGTTCCCATTCTACCGCATCGGCTTCCGCCCCGGTGACCCCATCGCGCAGCGGTACTTTGAAGAAGAAAGGCTCGTTGAGCCGCAAGAGCAGCCTCCATCGCAGTGGAAGCCGGCGCAGCGCTCGTCCGGGTAGTGTCAGAAGTCTAGCATTGGCCGATAGGAATCAAGATGGAACGGTTGAGACGGCTGAATTTGACAGCGCTTTGTACACTCCAGTGCCCACCAGCGGCAGCCCGACAGATATTCTAGCAAACCGTTTCCAAGGTGAACACTGCACAATAACTCCGAGCTTGCCCATTGTCGCGCTGCTAACTGATGGCTTCTTGCAGCATGGCGAAAGATTCTCAAGGACCTGATCAACTATTTTCGTGAACTTCAAAGCTCCTATGAGAGCCGCGCCAAGTCGCTAATGAAGGTCTCAAATGTTATCAACAACACCAGTGCCCCCTCAGTCTTCTTGGTTGAGGGTGGTATCGGCGATGCTAGTCACATTTTACGGACCTATCACAAACAGGCACTGGCCGAGGGTCAGAAGGCCAAAGATATCGAAAATGATGTCATTATTCAGCTTTCAGGCTTGCGCAGCGATCTCGGCCAGAAGATCAAGGAGATCAAGAATCTCTCGGGGGATTTCAAAAATTCGGTTGACAAGGAAATGGATGGCACCCGAAAGGCCATCAGTAGCTTACAGGAAGCCTTGAGCTTGATCGACACTGACCCCCATGCCATCGCCGGTAAGGGCGATCCTTATCTGGCCCGTCTCGGTGTCGACAGACAGGTTGAGAAACAGATTGATGAGGAAAATTATCTGCACCAGGTGCGTCACTTTTCTTTGAGGGAGGCTTTTGTGTTCTCCCTTGGATTTTGAAACTAATCATTGCATCTAGGCCTTCCTCAACCTCGAGGGCTCTGGGCGTGAGCTCGAGTCCATCATCGTTGGGGAGATTCAAAAGGCATACAATGCGTATGCTGGGATCCTCAAACGTGAGGCCGACGAAGCGTACGATGTCGTTGAGCGATTGCGCAGTGGCCCGATTGCAATGGCCAAGGATTACGAATGGACATCATTTGTGGAGAACGATCCACACTTTGTGGACCCCAAGCTGTCTCTCAGAAAGCCAGAGAATATTATATATCCTGGACAGCATCACCCAGCGGCCGCAGAGGTTCGGGCTGGGATGCTTGAGCGCAAGAGCAAATATCTGAAGAGCTATACACCCGGCTGGTATGCCCGGCGTATCTTGAGCCCAACGTTGTGGAGCAGTTTACTGACACATCTTCTCTAGGTACGTGCTATCGCCGACGCATTTGCACGAATTCAAGTCGGCCGATCGGGTTAATTCTCAACCACCTGTCATGTCTTTATACCTCCCCGAGCAGAAGCTTGGCTCACACTCTCAGCCTGGCTCGTCATCTCACAAGTTTATGCTCAAGGGCCGTCAGACTGGCTCGATGCACCGTGGTCACTCGTGGGTTCTGCGAGCGGAAACGCATGAAACCATGCTCGCATGGTATGAAGACATCAAATCTCTTACCGAGAAGACGGGAGAGGAGAGAAATGCATTTGTCAGGAGTCACGCACGCAGCCTCAGTACCGGCAGTCAAAGGGCTCCTTCGGTCAGTAGTGAGGGCGCAATGGAAGAGGACGAGGCAGACGCAGTGCCTTATTCGGCAAATGCATCTCTTGTTAACCAAGCGGTCAAGCCCGACACCTCGCAGCGCCCGCAACCAGGTGGGCGCTTCCCAAGTGATCTTCAGGTCAATCGAGGCTTACAGGCTCCGCTCTCACCTTCTAGCGGGAGTTCCGACCCTGATCGTGACATCATAGCCGCCGCAGGCGCGCTCCCCGGTCAACAGTTCCACAGCGATCAAGACCGCGAACAATATGGTTTCACCGAAGACAGAGCCGAAAAGCCAGGCGCTGGCGTTGGCACAGACTATGGGGCCTACGGTCAGGAGCAGGGATCGCATGGATATCAACCATATCAAGCATATAATTCGGATCAGCCCGATCACACGGCAACTCAGCCTTATGGTGCGAACCAGTATCAGAATCACCCTGCCGTTTCGGGTCCAAACAGTCGCCAAGATCATGATCCCTCTTACGGAGGATGGGCAGGCCCAGCTGCTGCTGGCGTTGGAGGTGCGGCTGTTGGAGTTGCCGGCGCGGAAGCGTATCGACAACACCAGCGTGACCACGAACCCCCACAGGACGAGAATGGAGGCACTTTTGCAACTCACGAGAAATATCAACCGGGCGTTGCCGAAAACGCTCCAATTGTTGTTGGCGGCACCTCAAATTCACAGAGCTCTGAGGGAGGCGCAGGCGCAGGCGAAAGTTCGGCCACGGAGTCGGCTGCTAACACGCTGCCCACCAGCGTTGATAACAACTTCGAGGACGCTTCGAAAGGGAATCACTCGTCCTTTGGCACTTCTGTTGAAACTGGCCTGGGCCAGTCCCAACCGGATGTGTCTTCAGAGCCAGCCGCAGCTATCAGCTCACAGACCAGCAAATCGTTCACCGCTCCGGAAGTGATCTCTGGTAGTCATACCGTGCAGCCGGGTGAAGGTCATATGCACATCCCGGGCGAATTTCCCCCAACTCCAGCTGGTGCTTAGAGGTCTCGGTCTCGCTCTGTACTGTCTGATGATAAGCATCGAGATGATTGCCCGCTTTCCGCCTATTCATCTGTGATCATCTCGACGAAATTGTCCAATGGCTTTGGTATTGACTGCTCTTGCGTTCTTTGCTGTTGACTGCCACGCCGCATGGTCCCAGTGATGGATTTACCTGTGCCTTTTACGATTGTTCTTTTCTTCCTTTCTATCCCTTGATTTCGATCTGTTCGATTCCTCGTGCCATTCGCTCTCAGCTTTCCTTATCTTTCCTATCTTGAAATACCCGCCATACCCTCTTGCACATTTTATTCAATGAACACAACTTGTGCTTGCTTTCTTGTCCTTTCTTGTCCTTTTTGTGCTTATATTCATGCATCCTCCTGGCTTTCATACCTGTCGCGATACACCTTTCGAGGCAATATGCAATGCAACTCACTCGCTGTTGCCCCCTTTCTGCTTTTTCCCTTTCAGAACTAGCCAGTAATAGTCTTGAGAGCGATTGTTTGGTCTTTTATTATATTTATGCTTTGAAATCAGCAATATAAGCTCTCTTTTACATGACTCACTTCCAGTCTTTCTTATCGCATTCGCATGTAAAATTGACTTTGACTTATCCCCTTGAGTTGAATTTGATCTCAATCAAGTTGCTACTAGCCCACTGTTTTTCTCAAAGAGTCTACTCCAGGAATGCCACGACACAGGTTGTGTGCATTTAACGTGGAGTAGTGTCTTCAAGGTCCCTCTTGCGAGCTTCACCGTATTAGATTCACAAACAGGTAAATGAACGAAAACAAAAAAAAATCACAAATGGAAGCACAAGCTTCTGCTCTCTCTCCCCAAAGGAAAGGCAAGGGGGACATCATATCAGGAAATGATATTTTCGTATTTCATAAATCTCAGTAGCTTAATCCCCTATATTTCTCATATATCTTGTTTACGTTACTCCCCAACCTCTCATCAAAGAGAAAGAAAACCATCTTTTGAAAAACTTGCTATTTTGACGACATCGTAACAAGATTCTTTTCTTTTTTTAAACACCAACTCTGCGCCATTCTAAAGAGCATTCACCAGGCGTCTCTCCTTTCGGAGGGCCGTCAGTTTCGTCAGGGCGTCCTCAATGGAAATCATCTCGCCCTTTACTTGGGAAGATGGGTCGTCACGGTTACGAATGTTGACCGCACGCTGGTTCTTCTCTTGCTCACCGACAACTAGAGGCGTAAAGATGGACTGGTTAGCGAATTTCGGAAACAACTCAATCCAAAAGGGGGGGGGGGGAAAGAGAAAAAGGCACAAGTCACATATAATAGCAACAGAAAACGAATATACACCAAAATCAAAAGCTTCACATACCGAAAATGAAGTTGTACTGCTTGAGCTGACCGGTCAAAATCTTCTTCTTCATCGTGTTTCCACTGACGTCAATATCGACGTGCATCTTCTTGGAACGGAAGATTCTCTGCAGCTCCTCAACATAATCGTTGACAGCGGGCATGACAGGAATGATGAGAATCTGGCGCGGGCTGAGCCAGAAAGGCCACTTGCCGCCAAAGTGCTCAGTCAAGATGGCAAAGAAGCGCTCAAAGCTTCCAAAAATGGCGCGGTGAATCATGACCGGTCGGGCATAACCAGGGCTTGGGGCCTTGGAAGCAGGCTTGCTGTCAGCCTCAGCGTTAGCGAGGCCGTCAGTCTTGCCAGCGGCCTTCGCGTCCTTGATCTGCTGAGCTCCTTCGGCAGTCATGTACTCAAGACCAAAGTTTTGAGGCAACTGGAAGTCGAGCTGAATTGTGGCACACTGGAAATCACGTCTCAAGGCATCAGAGATGGTGATGTCAATCTTGGGGCCATAAAACGCGCCATCGCCAGGGTTTAGTTCCCATTTGGTGCCGTTGGTAGCAGAAAAGGAGTTGAGAGCGAGTGTAAGCTTCTCTTCGGCCACCCGCCATGTTTCAATGTCTCCAAGGAATTTCTCAGGACGCGTAGACAGCTTCAATTTGAACGTGAAACCAAACAAGCCGTAGATGTGTTTGAGGAAATCAAACAGCCCTTCAATCTCAGAAGTAACCTAAATAAAAGCACAATGATGGTTAGATCGATTGAACAAGATTGTAAATGAGCGTTGTGAGGTCGTGTTGCAAAGACTGGTATGTAAATGACTTACCTGATCGGTGGTACAAAAGATGTGGGTGTCATCCTGTTGGAATCGTCGAACTCGGGTCAAACCAGTCAAGGCGCCCGAGGCCTCGTTTCGGTGCAAGACTCCAAAGTCTGCAACCCGCCAGGGGAGCTCACGGTAGCTTCGCTCCCGGTGACGGAATAGCTCACAATGTCCAGGGCAGTTCATTGGTTTAAGCGCAAACTCCTCTTTCTCAACATCGAAGACGAACATATTCTCCTGGTAATGCTGCAGATGTCCCGAAGTCTTCCAAAGTTTGGTGTTGTACATGTTTGGAGTAATGACCTCCTGGTAGCCGCGCTTCCAGTATTCTTGGCGTAATAGCTTCTGCAGCGCGTTGTAGATAATGGTTCCATTTGGCTGGAAGAATGCAGATCCAGGCGATACATCGTCGAAGAATACAAGCTCCTGGTCAACGCCAATTTTCCGGTGGTCGCGCTTGGCGGCCTCCTCGACGAATTTCTTCCATTCGGTCATGCCTTTCTTGTCCGGAAAGGAAATACCATAGATACGCTGCAGGGAGTCATTTGCGGCGTCGCCGAGGAAATACGAAGAGGAATTCTTTAGGAAAAGGATTAGAAAACGAAGCGCTGAAAGTCAACTTGAATTGAAAACACACCTTAGTCACCTCGAAGGTTTTAATAGCACCAGTGTGAGGAACGTGAGGACCAAGACAAAGGTCAATGAGCGTACCGCAGCGGTAAACTGTGCTGCTTGTGCCATCTGGAATTTTTTCGGATATGAAGTGGACCTTGTACTTGTTATAGTTGAACATCTCCAAAAGCTGCTCCTTGGTCATCATCAGGCGCTCAAAGCGCTGTTTCTCTTTAATGACGCCGGCAGCGAGCTTTTGCAGAGAATCGTGATCAGATTTGACAACCGGTTGTCTAATGACTAGTTAGCATCGAGCCAATTCAAGCTTATAGAGTGAAACCATACCCAGAGGGATTTGCAAGATCATAGTAAAATCCGTCTTCAGTTGGCGGCCCATTGCACAAATGGCAGGCAAACTTGAGTTCGGCCGCCTCACCCAGAACGTGAGCACTTGAGTGCCAGAAAACCTTCTTACCCTCATCATCATCAAATTTGAGGTATCGAACTGTGCATGTCGCCTCAAGAGGCCGGCCAAAATCCCACAACTGCTCATCATTGACTTTGGCAATGAAAGATCCGTCGGAAATGTCTTTCGGGAGTTGTTTAAGAAGGGATGCCGGGGTAGTTTCCCATGAAGTTCCGTTCAAGATGGTCTGCTCCTTCTCATCGCCGTGTTTCACCGTAATCGTGATTGGTTCATGGGGCAGCTTGGAAACCTTCTCATCATACTCTGCCTTGATCCGGTCGAATATCGCGATTCTGTAATCAATGAAAGCCTTGTCAAGCGCCTGCGAAGCGTCGGCGTTGGTCTGCTCATCCTTTCCCCGCGTGGGAAGGGTTTTAGCAGAAGGATTTTCTGCGTTGGGCGCCATATTCTGCCGATTGGCTGTCCCTAATTACTAGGGGGTTCGGTCCCTGAATCAGTCTATTGAGGGTGCAAGCCTCGATGTTGCGGAGTAGAGCCCTTAAATGCTCTTCGATTGCACGACTTTTTTTTTTTGACTCACTTGGCGGGGTTTCTCGCTGCAGCAATGACTCCCCTCGCTCCTGCCATCTCTGACTCGGCATCAGTTTTCTCGTTAAGGATTAGCCCAAGGGGACTGGTCGCCCTAACCGCATAGGGAGCGCGGCTCTTCCACAAAATTGATCAGTGTATTCGCGAAGTTCATCTCGAGAATAATTCGAGATCATCGAAAATTTCAACCATCCAAGCACATTAACAACATGGCATCAAGAGGTGGTTTCCGTGGCCGTGGAGGCTTTTCAGGTGGCCGTGGAGGAGGTATATCCCAAAAAAATTCAAATTTGAATTTTCTGTTGCTCAATCCTATTGCAGGTCGCGGCGGCTTTCAGCAGTCTTTTGGACCCCCCGCATCCGTTCTAGGTATTTCAATTTCTCCTCCTCCAAGAAAGTATTTTAGCTCATGCCAGTCTGCAGAGATGGGTACCTTCATGCACGCATGTGAGGGCGAGATCGTTTGCGAGTCGATCAACCCAAAAATCCCTTACTTCAATGCGCCAATCTACCTCGAGAACAAGGTCCGTACTTTTTAACCTCGATTGGAGCCCATTCCTTATGCTGACTGGGAGAAATAGACCGCGATTGGCAAAGTCGACGAGATTCTTGGACCACTTAACCAGGTTTACTTCACTATCAAGCCTCAGGAAGGCATTGTCGCAACCTCCTTCAAGTCTGGAGATAAGTTCTATATTGGAGGTGATAAACTTCTGCCACTAGAGAAGTATGCATCCATCTCTTCCATCATTGCAAATTGTCTTGCTGACCCGCTTGCACTCTAGGTTCCTGCCCAAGCCTAAGCCCCCGCCAGGTACGTTTACATTACCGCTTCAGAATTGTTTGTGATCACTAACGGAAGACACAGGCGCTCCCAAGCCTAAGCGTGCCGGTGGTGCTGCACGAGGCGGCGCGAGGGGAGGCAGAGGTGGTGCTAGAGGCGGTGGAAGAGGAGCTCCTCGAGGACGTGGAGGTTTCGGAGGACCTTCTGGTCGCGGTGGTAGCCGTGGAGGGAGCCGCGGTGGCTTCGGTGGCTTCAGTGCCGGTCGTGGTGGCGGACGTGGTGGTAGAGGTCGTTTTTAAGAACTAGAGTTTTCTTACTTTCCAATGCTTCATGTTCTTGTCAGGGCGTTCAGGATTTGTTAGACTACCCTTGAGACTCAAAAAAGACATTTAGTGTCTCGGATCTACGTCGGGGTATTTAAATCAAAAAGTCCTTTATCCACTTTAGAAATACTTTGAGTTTAATTGTGCGAGAGAACATATAATTGCATGGCCCAATAATCTAAGCACAAAGAATAGAATATCTGTGGCTTCTTCGACGTGGGCGCGGCACTGCCACTAATGTGGCGCATAAGAGTTCGCGAGTGTCCAATCAAAAACGGCAAGGGTCGATGACGTTTCCGAATGAAGATAGCACTGCTCCAACCAAAACCTGGAAAACAAAACCTCACCTCGTTGTTGATCCAGAGAACTGGAGCGGCGCACCACACATTGCCGGCGTCTTCGTTCCTTGGACTTTCATTTCACTTCTACCAGTTCAAGGGTGGAGTTCCTATTCTTGGATTCTCCAAGTCGATTTCTCTCTTCGCTTTAAATGTCTCGCAGAGCTGGCGTTCCTAACGGCGCCGAGCAGAAGCAGGTCTCGAGCATGGCGGACGGAAGTATGTCCTATGGACTGCATCTCAGTTTCATGAATTTGCTTTACTAAATCTATCAGCAGGTCAAGAAAAGCAAAAGAAGCTGCTTGCTTCAGAAACCGGCCATTTTTCCATGATCAAGTACGGAGCAAACTCTTCAGCTTGCGAATGGATCTGACTGGACTCTTGCTGACGCGAAAACCAGAGCACTGCACCTTGCAGACCTTATCACTGAGCTGAACGGTATGTGCCAATCCCTTGTCGGACCCTATTATTCTATTCTGATTTCCCCCTACCCCCGCTTTGCTAACGCCTCATTTTTTTTCCCCCTCATCTAGGCTTTTGCGGGATCATGTCAGTTTTTGCCTCTCTGCGCTATTGTCTTGGTGAGCCTAGCGATTTTGGAAATCTCTGGGCTGCTTTAGCGTTCATGCCCTTTGGCCTTTTCTTCGACTTTATGGATGGAAAGGTTGCGAGATGGAGGGGCAAATCATCCTTGATGGGCCAGGAGCTTGACTCTCTTGCAGACTTGGTAGGTGAAAACGAAAGTTTATAGTTTCTATCGGCATCGCTCACTGTCATTCATGATATTAATCCACGCTAAACCGAAATCTCATTTCGATGTCCGGACTCAAGCAACGGTAGCTAACGATGTTTTTACAGATCTCTTTTGGCGTATCACCGGCAGTAGCCGCCTTCGCTATTGGCCTTCGCACACCAGTCGACCATTTCCTACTTTCGTTCTTTGTTCTCTGCGGGCTTACTCGTCTGGCACGCTTCAATGTCACCGTCGCTGCTTTGCCAAAGGACAAGACCGGCAAGTCCCAATACTTTGAAGGTACCCCGATTCCAACAACGCTTTCTATCGCCGCGGTCATGGCATATTGGGTTCATCGCGGTTGGGTTTTGGAAAATGTCCCGCTAGGACTTGTTGCACAGGGAACCAGTCTCGCTTTTCACCCCGTTTCTTGCATGTTCGTCATCAGTGGTTGTTTGATGGTCAGCAAAACGATCCATATTCCTAAGCCTTAAAGTCCTCTTTTACTTTGAAGGCTGGTTTCTGGGTAGAGTCTTGGACTAGACACCAGCAAGGATGCAAACAATTCCTTTGAATAAAAAGAAATGCTCTTTTTCCCACCCGTTTTAAAAAGCCCCATTTAAGGCATCCATTAGGCATATTATTATGATAGGCTACAAAAGAGGGGACGTACTACACTAGTAGTCAGGTCCTGAGAAATGTCACTTTCATAGTTGGATCGAGAAATTTCCTGGCCAAATCGCGTTAAGCCTCCACTCGTGGGAGGTTTGAGCCAGAAGAAGCGTAGACTTGTCGCCTAAATACCCGGAGAAAAGGTATATGCATCACAGAAATGTAAGAAGTCGAGTAGTAGATGAACTTCATCCTTCAAGTTTTAACATGAGTCGCGAGGGGATTTATGCAGACCATTGCTCTGCCGACGAAATGGGAGGCTTATTTCACATGCCGTCAATCGGCTTGTCATCGAGAGTAGCATCAGCCCTGCCAGGTAAAAGGGAAATGGAAGAACGATGCTGCGCGCAAAATTCAGGCAAATAATATGGAAAAAGATATCATGATTTGATGCTGGCCTAATACATCTGGACCGTATCTTTCAAAACATGTCAGAGAAAAGATATGATATATGACAGGGAAAAAAAAAGACAGAGGGCGACGAAATGACCTGGCTATGATTAACGCTTTCCTTAAAGTCCAAGTCGTTGATCAAACGCAGGCTTAACCTCTTTTCGTTGCACGTAAATAACCTCACACAACACCGACATAAACAGCGCCCAGAAGAAAGAGAAAAGAGTGCTAAGTCGACGTGGGAAGATAGACCCATGATGACTTCAATAATAGAAAAAGGAGTTTCAACTCTTGCATATATTCCCGTTAAGTGTTGTCAGGATTCGTGACCTGTAGCATGTATTAGCAGTTGCCTGAAATATCAAATGGTGAGGTCGTACTTGCCTTCAAGATTCTTCTCGAATAATCCTGGTTGTCAGCAATGCTGCCGTCGCTCTGTCGACGATTCATGACAGACGGTTCCAGGCGAGAGTCAGCCAAAGAAAAGGCACTTTCTGGTTTCACGCCACCGGGGAAGTTGGCGGCATTGCGACGATATTGTTCCTCCACCGCCCGCCGTCTTCTTTGGCGAAGTAATAAGAACACTCCAGCTGCTGCGCTTGCCAAGACTACTATTCCAACGACGACACCAACAGCGATGCCAGCTTTGTTCGGTCCATGTGAATGGGAACTCTTCGGTTCATTTGTGCCAGTTGCAAGGACGGCGGAGGTATGACCGGATATGGTGACGATCATCGTCGGTCCTCCAATGGTCACCGTGGACGGATCTCGCGAGGTTGACGTAGCGGGGGGAGCGCTGCTTGATGTCGACGTCGGTGTTGCTGATGTTGACGTACTCGAGCTTGAAGCCGCTACATTGTCCACCTGGCCTTCCGTACCCGTCAAATAGACTGACCAGGAATCACTTCCACCACCTGCGGTTATCAGTGTTAGCTTGGCAGCTGCATTGCTATCCTAGAACAAACAGCCGGTCTTGCTTACAATCTTGTTGATCATAACCGTAGCAGCCTGCATTACACTCCGAGTCTGAAACCTTGCTGTTCGCCACAGGAAGTTGACTTCCACACCAACAATTTGATCCTCCAGCAAGCCCCATGACCGCCATATTAAGCCCAACGCAAATTTTCTGGCAATAGCCAACAGACTGGTAAGTGTAGGGGCCTTGGTCTTTGAGTGGGTTGGAGGAAGAGAAGCATCCCTTGTAGGTTGTCGGCTTGAGTGCCAGGGACGGCGACGCGCTGGCAGTCGCCTGCGCGTCTGCGGGTGCTGCGACTGAGCAGACAGACCATGCCGACAACAAGGCCAATAAAGCTTGCCCTTTCATCTCGAAATATTTAGGTAATCCACTTTCAGAACGTCTGGTTGAGAATTCACTTTGGACAATTGGATTTGCAAAGGTGCTTGATCGGGCCTGAGCGACAGTGTAAGAGTTAGTATGGCTGTGGAATCCTCGAAGAACTCCACCTGGGCGTAGAATTTTCAGAGCGCCAACCTTTTGAGCTCAAGTATTCCCCTTTACCCGGTCGGCTAAACCGGCGACGTGTTGGGAGATGGGGAAAACGAGGCGAGTCGTGAGCTTCGATTTTGCTCTCGGCGGAAACCCTACCGGTCGGGGCGGACTGGGAAAGCCCCTTCGATGAAGCAGATGGACGGTTTAATGTCAGGTCGTTTAGGGCTTGCAGTCTAGCTTCGTATGACAAAACAATTCCCGGCAAATATTTCGGCGTCAAGGAGAGAAAGGGGTGATCGGGGCCGTAGGAAGAAAAACCGACTCAAAGAACCATTAATCGTGAACGAAAGGCGGAAGTCGTAGCAAAAAGATGGTCTCTAGGTGCCGATGGCGAAAGGAGCGAAGGCCTCTTCAGCACCTTGTTTGGACCAATAAATTAAAGATAAGCAGCCGTAAAGGCAACTGAGGAACGAGCGTAGACAGGTCTGAAAGATAATGAGAGTAATGAGTGTATGGGTGAGGGAGGAGGAAGATGAAAGAGTGAGACGAGAGAATGAATGGTAGAGGGCGTGCGAACGAGGGTGGAAGGAATCTCGGGACTATGGACCGGTTCCTCGTCGATCCGTACTCGGCTGGCCTCTTGAGGTTCGGCTTTGGGCGTATCTCTGTACTTTGTCCCGTCCTTTTTTGACTTTTGGGTCACCCCTCGTAAATCAGTCAAGACCTGTCCCAAAGCGGGTGACTGTTTTGAAGCGATGGGGAAAGGAGCGGACTGGGGAGGGATGAATACGTTGAACGATAGACTAGGAACCAGAACTACTGTACTGTGTATACTCAAAGCAGAGGAGCAGCAGCAGCAGCAGCAGCAGCAGCAGCAGCTGGACCAAGAAAAAGTGGTCAGGGTGCAGAGGGGAGCCAGAGAGCAACAGAGGAGAGCTGGTGCTGGGGATGGCCGTGGGAGGTGGCTTTGAGGTGTTTTGAGGAAAGGAAAAGGATTAGCGGTCTTTTGACAATGTGATTGGCCCACAGGGGAATGATGGCTTGCTTCAAGGGGACACGGCCCAGACACCAAAGGGGGTCTGAACCGGGGTAACAGGAACTGCCATTGGGCGGGTGCACCCGAGCAGGACAATCATTCAGTCGCCGGCTCCACTAGGGTGACTCGTCAGGGGGAATTCCAGGGACTCATAACCTCAGTGCCGTACCATCTCTTGGTCTCAATTTAGTGAGGCCCATCACTGCCACACCAAATCTAACCACGCACAATGTCGCGAGCTTTGAAAGTCGGAGATAGACACTGCAAGTGGGGGGTGGAAATGGTAGAAGGGAATTGAAATTTATATGTTCGATTTTGCCCTTGAATTTTTTTTTTCTCCCGTCATGGATTTGAGAACGAGGCGATCATCGCATGGCCGGTCTTCAAGATGTAGACCTATCCCTGCATCTCTGGTTAGTTTTCAGGGGCCTCGTCCTTCTCTGGCACCTGCTTACCAAACTACCGGAGTACATACTGAGTAACCCCTATGGAGTACCTACCGTACTGTGGGGGGGGCATGCATGACTAAGGATGGAATTGCTTTTGTTTAACGCTCGCTCTTGCTTCTATTGCTACCACAGTTGCTATTGCAAAAGGATAATGGATAATGGCTTAACCATAATCCATGATTAGCTTATATCTACACTCCATAAAAAGCTGGGATATTCCCACTTTTTGGGAGACCTGAGAGATTTTTATGAAAAAAACTAGCATCTCCCCATTCTACTATTTACATATTGTTGAAGATTCTCCTGTGTTCAGATATACAATAGCATGACCCATTCTACCAATAGCTCAACTACCCACCAATTGGTTATCCTGCATCTTGGAGCCAAAGGCAGGGTGGTGGCTTAGTGTGTAGAACAGCCTCTCTATTGAGCATTTGATACAGGGATTTTCAACCTTTGTCATCATTTGATTTGTTTACTCATTTTTTTCCCCTAATTATGTTACAATCTTTCATGGCTCTATTTAGAGCCCATTGACATACATCTGCTACAATACTTGGATGGAGGGTACATTGCCTGAATCCCCTTTACCAGAATTGCCTTGATCACCATTACCTTGATGACTATATAAACTCCAAATACTGATTACCACCTTACAATCTACCTCTCAGCTAAGTCCTACAAGGACTAGCAATAGACCACTATCAACAGGCCTTGAATTTTTGCAATTCAAGGACTCTTGTTCTGAATCAACTAATACTACATCATTAATTAACAACACAACTTTACTGTCCACCAAGATGGAATTGCAAATGTACATTTCAAAGTTTATAGGAGCTTGAAATGAGTTGGAAGATATGGTAGAGTACTTGGAAGAAATACAGTTGGCTGTCCAATTGTCAGGCATCCTCAAGAACCACCAAGATGAATATTCAAGAATCCTCTTTTGACAGAACCTACATGGGGATGCATTAAAGTAGTTCCAAACCTTGGAGGAGGATACAAAGAAGGATTGAAAGACTTTGGTTAAGCACTTCCATGAGGACTTTAAACCAAAGACAAACCAATTTCAACTTCATACCCAAATCATGAACCTGCAGCAGGGAACTATGGTCATTTAGGAATACCTGGAACTGGCAGCCTTGTTAGCCAGATATGCAGATGCAGAGACCATGTGTATGCTTGCTTACCAGATGGTGGCAGGGCTTCACAATGAAGCTAAACAGACCTTGGTCTTCTTATGACTACTGGATAACAGTGTTTTTACCTATCAGCAAGCCAAGGAAGTGATTATCCAAGTCTATACTCCTATCAGAAAGCCTGATCCATTCAGCTTCACCCCTTCAGATAGGGGAGGACATGTTGATTAACTTGATGTGAACAAAGGGATGCTAGATCTTATACAGAGCATAGCAAAGATGGTTATCAACCCAAAGCCATCATCTACTCCCACCAGCTCTACCATTACAACCATGGCCCTGGTCTTGACTAGCCAACCACCCATGGCCATTGTCCAACAACTACAGACACAGCCCTGGCATACCTGCTACAATTGTATGGGCAAGGGGCATACTAGTCAAATTTGTACCAAACTACTTGTTTCTGAAGAACAGCACAAAGCAAATCAAGACAAGGTTAATTGATGATGAGAAGTAAGTTGACACAAACAAGAGGCAGTAGCAGCAGCAGCCACAGCAGCCACTATCATTACTACACCTCCTAATCAACATGACCAATCAAATATTGATGAAGTATATCCAGCTTGATGTAGAATTTTAGAAGTACAACTAGCTATGCCTGTTACACATACTGCAGGAAGAAACCAAGTGTGCCAAGCACTATATCTGCCACCAGCCATAACCAGGCAAGAGTTAGCTCCCATGCAGACTAAACCAACTAACCAGGGGGACACATCAAATCAGCCACCTCAAACCCAAGTAAGAAATGCTTGACAGAATGGTCAGAACACAGCTGGCCCCAGAGTTAAGCAACAGCTCAATTATGATAACATGCCTATGCCTATCCAGCTGTTTGCTGGGGGGGAGAATTGGTTAACTATAGCAAATCTTTTCCACCAGATACAGGTAACCATTTCACTAGCTCAACTTCTAGATCTGGCTCTACCTGCCAGAAGGGAAACTACTTATCTACTACAATCTAGTCTTATCAAAAAACACCAGCAGCAACCCTGGGTTGTTCATGCAAATGCAGTTACTGGGGGGCCTCCAGCAGTCATCACCAAGGTCTTGGACCAGTATGACATCACTGAAGTCCTATACATAGATAGCTAGGTGGGCAATAAGCCAGTACCAAAAACACTTGTTAACAGAGGTGCTGTCATCAAACTTATTAGCAACAAGTTAGTCAAAGAGCACAACTTCAAGGTTTATACAGAAGATACCTGGCTGGCAATCAAGACCACTATAGATGATGTTCATCTACTAAAGAAATATGTATGGCTGCTAATCAATGTAGGGAGGGTCAAAGTAATGGTCCAAGCTTATGTAGTACTAGGAGGGATGAGATATGACCTACTATTAAGCAGAACATGGATATGATGCATTCAAGGATTGGACAACCTGACACAAGATGCCATCTCTATCCAAGGGGATGATGGGATCAGGCATAAAATACCTACTTCCCAGGCTACTACCATTACACCAGAAGTTATAGTAATAGAACTACTAATTAACCCAGATATTATTCAGTAGACCAACAATGACAAACTTGCTAATGAAGAAGTCAGGCAACTCTTGGACAAACTTAATGACTATGATTATTAACATGACAACCAGGGAAAAGAGTGACACTAGTCAGTCAACAGGCACCTGACTGGCATTATACCATGCCTAAATCCTTGCCTAAAGACAATTCAGTACCAAGTCTGGACTTCAACAATTCAGCAATAATCAAGCCACTCTACCAAACAATAGCCTTTTCCTCCACCCCTGTTCATTCTAAGATATACAAAGTTTTCACTGCTCAAGAAATCTCTTGTTCCTTAAATGATTTTGCCTTACATACACAATGGTTAAAACAACAACTAACACCCATCACCATGTACAAGGCTGGACAAACATTTCCAGTTGACCAACAACCAGAGAAACAAGTATTATCCTACACTCCCATGGACAAAATACTAGTATGGTTTGACAATAGTGGCATTACATTAGGAAAGGGTGCAGACACACTCAAATGACAAGACAAAGTAAAACACCTACTATACACCTATCAAGATGTGTTTGCAACCTCTCTCAAAGACATGAGAGCTACCAATCTTATTGAACATTCAATTGATCTAAAACCAGATGTAAAACCAATATACACCAAACAGGGATGATACAATGACAAAGAACAGGCCTTTGCAGCCACAGTCTTCCCTAAAATGAAGAAAGCTAGGATTGTTGTTTGAGGTGCAAGTAAATGGAGGGCACAGACCCTTTTCCCACCTAAAAAGAAAGGGTCAGACCAACTACAAATAGTCCATAACTATAAGCCAATCAACATGTCCACCATCAAACCATGTTACCCAATGCACAATTTGAAGGAGGTAGTAGTAACCATAATCAAACCACAATACACCCTCTTCTTTTGTGTAGATGCAGCCAATGGCTATTGAGCTATACCTCTCTGAGAAGGAGACAAGCACAAAAGCATGGTGGTCACCCCCAACAGACAGTGGTTATACCATCAGATGGGACAAGGACTAGTAGGGGCCCTACATACCTACTCCCAGTTCTCAAACCTAGTATTTGGACCACTACTGTCAACAGAAAGTACTTCCACAATGGAGTCCATCATTGGGGAGCATGGACAATGGGCTTTCACTCCATTCATGGACAACCATTTAGCTGGGGCTACTGATTTCAACTCACTTTATGATCTTCTTAGTAACCACTACCTCCCTCAAGTAGCCTTTGGGCCAGTGTACCTTTTACCACAGAAGGTTTACCTCTTTGTTAATACATTGGACATGATAGGGTTTACCAGAGCACCTGACTTGATTCACCCATCCATAAAGCATCAGAATCAAATACTTTACTGGCCAATGCCCTCTACATGGGCACAGTTAGATGCTTTTATCTAGATAACCCCTTTTCTCAGATGGTTTATCCCTGGGAGAGCAGGGCATGTGATGACTCTAAAAGAAGCATATCAGCAACAAGAACCCATTCAAACCACTAAGGGTCAAAAATCAGTTCAAACTAAAATGAAAGATACTAGGGAATTCAACTAGATGGATTGGCAGCAGAAATTATTCAATCATATCAAACAAAGCATAGCTACAAATGCTATAAAACCTATCAACATGCAGAAACAATTCCATATCTCAGTTGATGCTTCTCAATGGGCAATAGGTAGATGTTTATTCCAGTTGGAGGAATATCCACCTGGAATGGTAGTTGACAATACACATAAACAAAATATGAGATTCACTATGTTTATGTCATTTCAACTCTCAGATACTGAAACACAATACCATACTACTGAGCAGGAAGCATTAGCTGTCATACAATGTCTGGCCAAGGTTAGATGGATTATTATAGAAAGTCAGTACTCTACAATCATCTATACAGACTACAACACCTTGAAAGTAATATTATCCAAGGGGTCAGGAGATGACCACAGGCATATATCCAGATGGCAGGATTGATTATCAGAATATAACATTTTGCCAATACATCAGCCAGGAAAATCCCATGTAATGGGCATAGCTGATGGATTGAGCTGTTTACCTACAAGTAACACTACTATCTACCATGCTAAGGACACTGAATGGTTAGCTATAACAGTCCAGCAAATCAGAATGATTGCACCTGTTATTCCTGATCATATTGCCTCAATGATAGATGAGTGGTTATTGCCTATTATCCAATCACCTAAATATGGTAATGTAATAATGTATCTACTCAAGGGTATCATGGAACTACAGCAACTCAACAAAACTACAGCTGAAATTTAAGGCATCAAACATTAATCATGACAATTCTAGTTAAATCATACCACACTTCTCTACAAAGAAGCAGATAGAAAGTTGGCAAAATGTATATTAACCAATGAACAACTGGGAATTCTCCAACATTTACATAACAATCATGGCCACTTCTCAGATACTATCACTATAGAAAGGGCCCAAGGCCAGTTTTACTAGCCTACAAGGGTATGGGATATACAAGCTTATTGTCAAACATGTCATGCATGCCAGTTAGCTAATCCTTGATGGCAACCAAGCACAACACTACAACCAATAGTGTATTACCAGCCAATGGAGATGATGGGAATTGATTACTTAGGGCCCATAACACCTCCATGCAGTCTAACTAGGGCACAATATATCATAATCACTGTCAACTATTTCACAAGATTTGTCTAGGTAGCTTTGTGCCAGACCACTACCATGGATACCACCATGCAATTCATCATGATGATTGTGCAGGTGTTTGGATGGCCTATTATTGTATATTCAGACAACAGAACCCATTTCTGTAGCTTAGAAATCCAAGACTTCTAGAGGTTAAAGAACATAATACACATCACAGCTCCTGTTAGCCATCTGTCATCAGTTAGGCTTATCAAGAGGATGGTACAGCTGGTGGTTAGCCAATTGAGGATAAGGACAATTCAAACTAGGAATGCTGCCTGGTCAACCTTCATTCTAAATATTGCTTTGAGCATCAATACTTGTCATGTCAAGATACATGGTTTTACTCCTGCTCAAATGATGTTTGGATATCAATCACATCTTAACAACCAACATGTAGATGTAGACCTGACTGTTTATAATGAACAGAATGCAATAGCTATCCTATCTCACAAACAAAGAATACATGATGACACTAGACAGGAATTCAGGGAGCTGGCCAATATAACTTATCTAAACCATATCACTAGACTGCAAAACCTTTGGAACCCATTGTGGACAAAACCCTAGCAGGGGGACCTAGTCCTTGTTCAGGATTTCAGTTTAGACAAGGACTATGGACAGAAACTAGATCCTTGATGGTCAGAACCACAACAACTAGTCAAGATTAATACCAACAGGGTATCAGGAATGGTCAAGCCATTATATAGATCTGGTCTAACTAGTCAACAGCCTTGTAAAATTCACCTCAACAATCTTAAAGTGTATTTCCCTAGTGATCCTCAATTGTAACCAACTACTACCATAGAGTATGGAAGGTCAGCAATGGTGTATTGTGGAATCCTAGGTCAGAGAGCATTGATTCTCTAAATCATGACAAACTAAAGATTTCCTCTTGCTTTGATTCTCATTTTTCTTTCACTTTTCCTTTCACAAAGTTTCATCTCTTTTTTCACATGCAGCTTACCTTTAGCTTACCAACTTCTCTGTACACCAAAAAACCTGTTTTGAAGCTGTACTATCAAGGCATTTCCTGCTCATGATTGCTTAAAAAGAAGCTCAACTACCTTTTCACTTTTTCATCCCTACACATTACATCTTTAACTGTTTAACATTGTTACTCCTCTACTTTGTAATATTACATGGTCAACACTCTGCATTGCTTTGTAGGAGACTGCTTCTATCTCTACACTCAACTATTTGGCTAGTAATAAGTTATTTCAACAAGTATCTCACAATGGCACTCACCCATGAGCTTGAGAATGCCAAATGGTAGGTCAAACATGCTGTTGAAGTAGGCAACATTCCCAGTGTGGACAACCTACATAACATCATCTGCTACTGTTGGGAAAACAACAAGCATGAAGATAATGATTACATTTACATTATGCAAGACTTCTATCACAACCATTGAATGTCTATTAAAGACAATAGGCCAAAGCATTTTCCTTCACCTCACTACATCAAACCAAAGAGAAAGTAGAACTGTCAGAAAGTCAAGGTAGAGGGGACACCTACTCCTTCCACCAACATTGACATGCCTATCTATATTGACAAAAGTAACAATGACACTGCTAGAGAGGTACTCCATGGCTTAATTGTTAAGCATTTCAACAAGACCAACACAGATGAAGGTGGAGAACATGATGATGACAAGCCACCAATGGTTAGTGGCTTCAAAGCTCAGCTATTTAAACAAGGAGGACAAGTAGTACATGGTGTACCCACTGTTGAAATCAAAGATCCTATTGCTAGTTTCTATACTAGGGATCTGGTAGAGAAACAAACCATTCTTGCAGTTATAAACCCACAAGATGGCTCAATCTCCTTGCAAGCAATCCCAGTCAATCATTATGGAAAGTACATCTCTTGGAGCACAACTGTTGAAAACATGGACCCCAAAGACATCATATGGGGAAGCAAATAAGAAGGGTGGGAAGACCCTCTTACCTTCAAGCAATTGGTATACCAATACAAAGAGAGGGCAAGTGATTGAGAGTGGTTAGATGAGGATGATTTTGCAGTTCACCCTGACAAACACTTAGTCATACAAAAATGGAAGGTAATGGTAGTCAAGCATGTACTAGACAATCCATTTAACACAAAGGAGGATGAGCATCTAGGTACTAAGAGAGCCATCCACTTGCTACAAGAGATGAAAAGGATTGTGGGAGAGGGGACACAGATTTTCTAACACATGGCTATCAATCAGGATACTAGCATCACCCTTCAAACCATGATTACTAAGCTGTCAATCCAACTTAGCCTTGCTAAACACTCTGCTCAACAAGGCAAATACAACCAGGAAGCTACAGATACTCAATACAGTCCAAACTCAACTCCATCCACCAATCAGAGGGTTATACACACTACCATCAACAACCCTGAGTTACCATCAATCCTGCTAACTTTTGACAAAGAGCTGGCTGCTTTTCTCCCTCAGTTTCCTTCCTCCTTCTTTGATTCCAATGGAAACTTGAGGTCAAAATGACAGGTTAAGCATCAACACAGACCAACTAGCATCCAAGGTCAGATGGTGGTTTCACCAGGGTGCTCCTTGTGGAGGGGGCATGCATGACTAAGGATGGAATTGCTTTTGTTTAACACTCACTCTTGCTTCTATCACTACCACAGTTGCTATTGCAAAAGGATAATGGATAATGGCTTAACCATAATCCATGATTAGCTTATATCTACACTCCATAAAAAGCTGGGATATT